TTAAGTTAAGCGGGAAACCTAAAGGCCAGGCTTATAATTTAAATCTTATTAAGGTTATTAAAGTCTTTACTAGCTAGTACTATAAAATTAATATTATTATAGGAATTCTATAAATTCTATTCTAATTTATCTAGAAAGTATATATAATATATTTTTTTATTTATTCTAATATTTATATATAATTTCTGAGAGCCAAACTATTACTTAAAAAAAAAGTAAGAAGGCTAGATTAATATTTTTAAAAACTAAGGCCTTAATAAATCTATTTAGAAAAGCTTACTAATTCTTCTAAAAATAACTTAAACTTTAATAGGCCAGAAAATTTTGAGTTTATTATATATTATAACTTATATAATTAGAAATAAGAACTTGAGTTTATTATATAAAATTACTTATATATAGAGATTTTTACTATAAATTTTTTATTTAAATTAATTAGTTAAATCTATTTTTAATACTAAGTTTTTATTAGAGTAACTTCCTGCTTTTAAAGACTTTAGATAAAGTAACTAATAAGTTTCTTAGCTATTAACTAAAACTTATTAACTAGAAAATCTATAAGTAGTAAATAAAATTATAAAATAAAATTTCTCTAATTATAATACTAAGATATTTTATTATAATATAAAGTAATTAGATATAGAAGCCCTATTAAATATAATATATCTCGAGCTATAAGTAATATCTCGTAAGATATAGAAAGTTTTAGTACTTAACTAATACTATAGTCTAGCCTAAAGGCATTTATTATTCTTTATATCTAATTTAATAGAAATAAGAAGTGCTTATATTTTAACTCGAGAAATAATTAGAACTTTTATATAAATTTAGGGTAGTAATTTGCTCTATAAAAAGAAAATAGACGAGAATTACTTATATTATATTAATTTTTAGGAAAAATTATAGTAAATATTATAACTTCTAGAATATTCTCGAGAAAGTTTTCCCGAACTAAAATAGGCTAGTTTATAATCTCAAAAGATCTATAGAAGTCTTATATATCCGAGAATATAAGTACTTAAAGTAAATATTATTTGAGTTCTAATTTATAATAAAAGAAAAGTAAAATATATAAAATAAAATATATAAAATAAAAGTAAAATAAAATACCCGGATATTTAATAAATAAAAAGCCTAACTATAAGTTATAAGAACTAGTACTAACTAGATATATATATAGTAATATTAAAGAAAAAATAAAGCAAGAAAAACTAAAAAATAAATTAGTATATATTCTATAAAAATAAACGGAAAGATATCTAAATAGCCTAAAAGCAAGAAGTATATATTAAAAAAATTAAGATTAGAGGAAGAAAGGCTATTTTCTATAAGAATAAGTTAGTATATATTTTAAGATAAAGAATAGAAGTACTTAGTAATAGCCTAAAGGCTTTTATAAATATTAAAAAAGGAGAGGAAATATTAAAATTCAGAGGAATCTAAATAGAAGTTAGCTTCTTTTTTAGAAGTTCGAGAAAAAGTATTTCTAAAGGGCCCGAAAGTATAAGAGATATTAGAAAAAAGATAAAGATATTAAAGTTTAAAGAGATTTAAATAGAAATTAGTTTCTTTTTTAGAAGTTCGAGAGAAAATACTTCTAAAGAGCCTAAAGATATAAGAGATATTAGAAAAGAAGAGAAGAAAATATTAAAGAAAGGAAAAAGAAATCTAAAATTTAGCTTTCTAAGAAATAAGTAAGTTAAAGACTTATAATATAGGAGTTCTAGATAAAAGTAATCCGGAAATAGTAATTAGATACTAGCTTTAGTATTATTAGTAGAAGTATTAAAGAAAAAGGAGTTCGAAGAAGAGTTTAGAGAAAAAGAGGAAGGTTATAAGATAATTAGATACTAGCTCTTAGTATTAATAGTAGAAGTATTAAAAAAAGAGAAGTTTAGAAAAGGAATTTAGAAAAGGAATTTAGAGAAGGGATTTAGAGAAGAAAAGAAAGGTTATAAAGTAGTTAGATACTAGCTTTTAGTATTAATAGAGGTATTAATAAAGGTATTAATAGAGAAGGTATTAGTAAAGAATAGAAGCTCTTAATATTAATAGTAAAATCGAAAATATATAGAAGAAGAATAAAGGTTTTAAAGTAAAGATAGAATAGAATTATAGTTTTATAGAAAATAAAAGTACTAGTATAAGATAGTTATATTATTATATAATTTCATATTTACTTTTATTATTTATTAAGGATATATATTTCTTAGGAAAAAGTATTATTTAGAATTCTTAAGCTTCTCTAATTTAATAACTATATATTTAAAAAAAAATAAGAAATAAATATAATTATATATATTAGAATAAAGGAATTCTTCTTATTTAAAAATTATAATTATAATATTACTAAATATAGAAATATAGAAGTTTATATAATAAGCTATATATAAAGATTTAAGGAAATTTAAATTACCTTAAATTATTTATAATTAGTAAAGTAAATTAGCTAATTATATAGGTTAAATATAGTTTAATTATTATTAGTATATCTTAGCTTTTATAAGTTAGTAAAAGAAAGAATATTTATATCTTTATTTTTATAATTATAGTACCTAAAATTATAATTTTTTAATATTTAAATATACTTAATTTAGGGCTATTAAATATTAATATTTTTATTTTTAGGTATTATTTATTATAAATTTATTCGGGTTTAAATAATTATATTAAATATATATTTTTATATCCCAAAAATAAATAATAAAGATATAATTATACTAGCTTTAATCTTAGCCTTAACCTTAATCTCCTTCTAAAAATAACTTTAATTCCGATATATAATACTATTATTAAAGCTTTTCTTTATTAAAGATATATTAAATATAGCTTTAAGTAATAGCTCTAGTAAAAGCAAAAGTAGTAATAAAAAAAATAAAGCTATAAATAAATAAAAAGATAATATTTATAATATATTTTCTAATAATCTAGATTTAGTTTATAATATTCTTTCTTATTAATATATTTAACTAATAAATCCCTCTATTTCTTAACTTCCTTCTTATATATAACTTCCTCTTTCTTCTTTTCCTCTTCCGTAATAATACTTTAATCTTCTTATATTATCTAATAATACTACTAAGGTAGTAAAGCAAATTAATAATAAGGCTAAAGTTAGAGAAATAGAGCTATATTAGGGCAGGAAGCTAAAGGAATTAGAGAAAAGCAAGGCAAATCTAGAGGCAAGCTTAGTATATACTTATAGAACCGAATTCTTTTAAACTTATATTACTTATAGTAATAAGAAGAGACCGAGAGGCCCTTTTAAATACTATATAGTTATAAAAGGCAAATTCAATAGCACTTATATAAATTATAGATATAATAATAATAGTAAAGTCTATACTTTCTATTAACTTAATACTAATTCTATTAAGTCTGGAAAGCCTTGCTCTATATCTATAAAACCCTTTATACTAAAGCCTCGACCGCTTATAAGATATAGAAAGCAAGTATAAAGACAGATATAAGGTCAGAAGGTAATAGGGAAGAAGGTTATAGTAGAGGAGGGTAAAGATACTAGAGGAGAAGGGGATAAAGAAGATATAGATAATTCGAGTAATATAGGTAGTACGGAGGATATAGAGAGTGAGGGAGATAGAGATGTGTCTCGTAATCTATGGGATTTGCCTTACGGACTATGCAAGCTAAGGGGGGGCTAGGAGTAGTCGAGAATAAGGCGTGTATGCTGTACTTTTTTTTTTTAGTGAGGTATGGGGGGGGGGGCGGGGTGCGGGCGCGAAAATCAAAAAATCAGAAAATCACTTTTCGCTTCTCGGTTTTGTCGACTAGCCCGCTAATGGCCTCAGTATGGTGGTCTACAAGGCATCCCGTGCTCGTTCACGAGCTGGCAGCAGAGCACCAGGAGGTGTCCTCGCTCTTGCAGTTGATGAGAACGTTCAGTACCTAGGTCAGTTCTTCTGTGCCCCTCCCACAGCATCAGCTGTGGTAGTCTGACCAACAGCAATGGCACTTGTCTGGTTCTTCTCCCCCTAACCCACTTGCTATGCTCCCTTTTGGCATCTACTCCGTCTTCCACGCCGTGACCTACACCAGCACAAACCTCATTCCCACTATCCAACCCAATACACGCAACCTGCCGCCCCCGTCGCAGGTGCCTCTACCTCTGTCAACCTACATACAAGCCCAACGCGATCGCTGACACCATTGGCAAGTTCGTCAAGGAATGCTATGACGCCTCCATGGGTCTTATTGCCATTCTCGAGAGTTTTCTCTGGGCAGTCTCCTTCTTTTCGCTGTGCCTCCAGCAGGGGGTTCCTAGATTTTGATTGCGATGTACAATGCTTCCTCCGTGCACGATTCGCTCAGAGCGCTTTTGTTTAGGGTCAATTCAGACAGCTTGAGGCGAGGATCGATAGTGTTGCTGGTGCTCGGTCTACGACTCTGCTGCTAGAGGTGGTGCCAGGACGTTCCATGATGCTACTGATGTTGGGAAGTACGTTGATGGGCCACCAGCTCAGAAGAAGGCTTCTTATATGCCTCGCCGCTAATCGCACTTCAATCTTCGATAGGGACAAATATGAGGAAGAACCTTGGTGGTGGAAGGGGAGGAATGAGAGAAACAGGGATAGGAAAGTTAGACAGATCGGTGTTTCGTGATAATGCATGGATCATTCCATCAATCATAGCGGTCTGGTTGTCCACTTTGCAGGGGATAGTATGGGATAGGGAGTAGTGGGGAGGGGGCGTGTATTCGTAGTGGTTTTCAGCAGCTTTTCCTTGTTACGTCTTATTCGTTGTGATTTGGGAGGTTGTTGTTATTGTGTGTGTAGTTGGTGAATGAATGAATGGAAAGTACACAATAGTGGGGCTAGGCTCTGCTTTGCTTGTGTGCGCGTGAATTGAGTCGAGCTTGTTCAAATTGGGCGTGGAAAAAAATCAGTTGTCTTTCCTTTTTAACCAGATTCACTCTATTTCTATGAATAGTTTCACTTTGAGGTTTAAAGTCCATACGGAATGTTATATTTTCAAGACTACCCCTTAGATTTGATTCCTTAAATATCCTTTCCAAGCTCGGAATCGCATTCTACCTTAATCAACCATCATATCCCTCTGGATTGGGAAAGAGCTTTCAATCTTATTAGCAAGATGCTCGCCCTGACACCTGCAAGCTAAGACCAGGACGTAGCTGACGGCCTTGAATTGGGCTAACGCCGCAAGACGAAGTGGTCGCAACGTCAATCGATGACGCAGTTCCGCCCATATAAGGTATGTTTCCTTGCGAACCAGGTGGAACACATCCGTTGCCTATAACTGCGTTGTTCACGTTGAGAACATTTATATTGCAGCCTGTCTGGGCAGCTACAACACCAGCTATTGCCAAGATATAGAAGAAGCGAGCCATGACTAATAAGATATTAACTTTATAATGTATTTAAATAGAAAGGAGGAAGTACGGACAGATAGACTGAATAAATTTCAACCCCTTTTATCTAACCAGACACCAAGTCTCAAAATCGAGATATGTCTGTCGCGTATTACAGAACTCGAGCATAGAAATGATTGCTTAGAAGAGTGTAGAGAAATAATATCTCGAATGAGATCTGCTAGAAGGAAGAAAAGAAAGAAAAGAAAAGAAAACGAGCACGGTATTTATACACACTGAGCTCTATTAAAAAGTGCACGATTCACCTAATTGTATGTCAGGACTTGCACCACAGCCCCTATATCCCAGCGGGATTGGTGCGTAACAGCCATACGGTTTTGTTGCAGCGATACGGTCTTATTGCAGCTAGTGTGTCAAATAAATAACTTAGATTAGATTAATAGCTATTAATTTAATTTCTTTATATATTAGTTAAATTAATTATAATTAATCTAATTAATATAATTAACGCGCATATGACCCTTTTACGTAATAAGGCTAGCCAGATCGAATAAAGCTTCCGCTAGCTTTTACTTACTTTTACTCTAGTATTATTTTATTATCTAATAAAAGTAGCCTTATACTAGTTCCTTTAATATAATAGAAAAAGCTCTTATTAATACTTTTTATAAAAGCTTTATATATTAGTAAATATTATAGAAGATAATAATTCTTTAACACCTAGAGGTTGCACATATTGGCATAGCCATTGCCAGGTATTCTCTGCATTCCAACGAGCCATCACCTGCCGTGGTTGTTGGATACCCAAACCAAGGCATGGAAGCTATTATAACAAAGGCGAGGACAGAGGACATATAAGTTCCTTACGCTGGTTCAAACTTCACGTAATGGTGGAATCTGTATTGCTAAACTTCTTGTCTGATGCAAACCTTATGACAGTGGCATCTTCTGCTAACAAGGGTTGATGCTCAGGGGCGTTCAGATTCATCGTTGAAACAGCGCTTCAATGGCAAAAACAGGGACCAGAACTTCGTGAATATTTGAGCGGCAACCTCGCAGAGTCGTGGTGTTGCTAAGCAATAAATGGCAAACCATAAAGAGATCGTTCATCAGGAAGGTTTCTTTCAAATGACCAAGGCTGGAGAACAAAGGGCTGCCTTGGAATTGGGCCACCCATCGAAAGAATAAAGTGCGCTGCATAGAAAGAATAAAGACTCTCACGATTTAACAAGGATCCAAGGCAAATGCCGAGAGGTACACATAAAAGAGAAACACAAGAAATCGCAAGCAACCAAAGGTTGAGTGTTGATATCTGCCATTTATTAATCTACTTACAGACCTAGGCCTTCGCCAGCAAGGGCCCCCGATCCGGCCCCATCTACGATATTCCTAACGCGGTGTTGGCTCGAGTCCAATAGGCAAGCCTGTCCGCCGTGGCGCCGGTCCCAACACATGACAGATAGGCAGCATATCCAGCTTGACCGCCTGCCTGAAGAGCAGGTCTCGTACTGGCGCACTGAGACGTGAGAAACCATACGGCGCTTGCCCAGCTGTAGTTGTCCGGCAGTACCAACGCCCTTATGGCATTCAGTTGATCGTCGCTTAAACTACTCGTAGAAGTCGCCGTCGTGATTGCGCTCAGTTTTGAGGCAAGCGCGGGAATTGACCGAGCATACATCAAGTTGTAGTTGGGCATCTGCATGTTCCGAGTCCCCTGTCCCGGTCTCCCCGGCGCTGGATAGTGATTTATGTTGTATTTGAAGTCTCCTGTCTCATAGGCGATCAAGGATAAAACCGCTGCGATTTCGGGAGGCGAAGTGATACCATAATCCATCATTGCTTTGATGAGAAAAGGGGCTGCGTCGGTGTTTGTAGCACACTCGTTTGCAGCCAAAGCACCAGCGCAGGACCCTGACTCTGGTGCGATGACGAGGAGCATGTTAGCTGCGGAGTTGCCAGCTTGTCGAGAGGAGAGAGGTGAAAATGACGTCGCAGGAATAGCGGAGGCGGACCCCATGGTGCCAAGAAATAGAAGGTATAACGTCGTAAATAACATTACGTGTGATTATTGAAGGATTTGGTTCGGAAAGGCAACGTGGGAGAGCAAGGGCTTCAAGATATGTAGCACAATAGTCTTGTTCTTTGAGGATTAAAGAGTGGCTGAGTAAGAGAATGAAGAACGATTTCACCACACATGGATGCTCGAATAATTAAATGGGTGTGAGTGGCCTTGCGCATTAATAAAGAACAGCATGAAGAGGCGGAGTGAATCATCAAGAGGAAACCCCTAGAGAGTGGATGGATTTGCAGGCTGCCTTTGCCACTGCTTTGGCAGGGTCACACTGTGGCCACAAAGACATGGCAAGAACCTGAAAGAAAGCGACCAATATAAAGAGGGAGATAGATGGCTTTGTTGAGAAGGTCGAAAGCTCGAGAAACGTTCATCCAATGGCTCTGTCGTGGAGTAGCTGCACTGAAGGCGGGTCGTTTCATGTGGCCGAGGGACGTGTTTCGACTAGACCGCTTTGGGATACTACATATTCACGTGATAACACCCCTTCGAGCCTCAAGTCGACTTCAAGGAACAAACTTGTTAGCCAAATTAAGCAAGTCGAAATTTGAATGGGGTGAAGTGCAGAGCAAGATATACAGTAGTACTGTCCGTTCCAATTTTGGCTGAGCTAAAGCCAATCTACCTCGCCTCCCTTCGAGTTGGAGAGCAGAACAATCTGACAATGAAGGGTGACGAAGAGTTCAAGCTTTTAGTACTTCTCAGTGGTAGGGGTGACTGTGTAAAAATAAGCAGGCGTGTTGCGCCATTAATCTGGACGGGAACAGCTTTTGATCAGAACTTGTCTAAGACAATGCGCGTTCACAAAGTCCAAGCTCACGCTCGTGGACCAAGTCTACCATGATAATCTTACCCTTGGCACTTCATGCCTCACCGTTAGCCCTCCTGGTCCTCGCTCTCGAATTCGTGTCCCTCGAGCGTTCCTCGAACTCGCCTCCACCGCCGAGGCCCGAGGTTGCGGTCTTGCAGCCGACCATCCACTTCCAGGTATAGAACGTTGAGTGCCAACCGGCAGCTTTCACACCATTTCACCACTCAACAAGCCTTCGTTCTCCCTCCAGATCTTGTCTCCATCCACACGCCTCCTCTCCTCCTCGGCTCTGTCGTTTTGCTCGATCACATCTTCAATATCAACCAGAGTGCCTGATTTGCCCTTCTCGATCTTGGGGGCTCCGATGAAATCGTCGAATATGGCGTCCTGCCCCCCCTTTCCCTCCGCCTTCTTCTGCAAAGCTTTTGCCCTTCTTGCCTCCCTCTCCATCCGTCGAAATTTTTCTTGCCATGGATTTGTGCCGTTCACTAAGACACTGGCGGCCCCGGAGTCAGCAATTTTCCACCTGGGAGCGGTTGAAGAGAAATACATACTAAGGGTTTTGTCCCGAATAACCTTGTATTACTACCCGCCGGATCTCTGGCATATTCAACAGAATATCGAAATTGGCCCTGACCTGCTCATATTCATGCAGCTCATAGTCTTTCAAACCTTGATTGCCCTGGTGATAGAGAAGTTAGCAACTTCCAGGCATCAATGGCATTTCTCTCTACGTACATCATGTGTCCACCATATTATGCGCAATTTACCAGGGGAATGGAACTTCGGGACTTCACCGGTGAAGGCAATCTTGAGGTTGGATTTGAGGGAAGACCAGTAGGAATAGAGGTAGGACTCCTGCTCTTCCGGATGCGAATCGAAGAATATAGTTGGGGAGCCGAAGTTGAGATTGGGTTCGTTGGACATCTTGGTCGCCGGGTTATAGCTAGCCATGAGGACGTGTCGAAGTCGTGGAGAATAAGCAAGAGGTGAGGAGGTGAAGAGATTCCTGGTGATCCGATAATCCGGTGACGTTCGGCTGCCCCGCTGATTGCGGCAGATTTACGGCAACGGCCGCTCGCTAATAATCGGCTCAGGGTATTCAGGGGTGCCAAGACGAGGACGAGATGTAATCTCACCAGGAGCGAAAAGTTTGGACAAAGTATGGCTGATTGAAGGTACGGGTATACTAAAAGCTTCAGTGCGCGATTTCTCATATCCGTCAATATGAATTCGGATATCTTCAAGATCCAGATCAATCGGTCCAGTCTTTATATTGCGTAACGACATAAATATTAGTTAGATGAGATTCTCATGAGATACTACCATGCTCCAAACGAAATCGTGTCTATGCATATCATCTCTTAATTCTTTCCAATAGGCTTCCTGGCCCACCCACTGACAACTCTCCATCCCGCGCCACATGCTCGACCCTCTTCAATGATGTCCTGAACGCCTTCCAGCTTGCCTTCGCTACCTACGGTCTGCACCTGGCACCTCAATAGCCACTTCTCCCATGCCCACCCACCGACAATTCCACATACACTCGCAGCATTTTCCGTGCTCCCTGACACCATAGCCTCCAGCTCCAATTTGACCTCAACTCCCAAGCTATCTCTGTTGACGACCTTTTCTTCGATCTTCGCTCCCATGGGCAAGAATAGCCAGGCCCTCTTGACGTTTACAAACCCAGCAGCTCTTATTCTTCCCAACCAGAGTTTGGTCGGGCACGGATCATACCCCAGAGTCTTCAAATTGAACCCAAACTCGACACTCTTCGCCAGACCCAATGGTCCAGCGTTCACGACGTCAGAATCCATGATGGAGAATTCCAAGTAACCTCCAGGCTTCAAAACTCGCATGCACTCCTTAAGACAAGCTTCCCATTCGTCCTGCCCATTCGGTGCCTGTTCGCGCAAGACAGTATAGATTTCCCGAGCAGAAATCAGGTCGAACTGGTTGTCCCCAAACGGCAGCTTGACTAGGCGGTCTACAGCAACCTGGCGGTGGTTTTTCGGACCCCGGATATTGGAATTAGAAAGTTGACGCAGAGCCTTCGTCGTAACGGTATACACCTTGGTATTCGGGTACTCGAGAGCGCAATGCCATGCCCAGTCACAAGTAGCCTGGCCTCCAAGATCCAAGATTCTGGCTCGATCTCTTGGCGTACCATCAAGCTTTGGTCCCATGGACGAAAGCCTGGCAAGGCGCTTAGCCACGGGTGCCGCAATCAACCGACCCCCATTCAGAAGCTTGATGGCCTTCACGTTCCAAGTTGCGGGAATCATTTGTTGGAGGGCCTCGTATTCTTTGTCACGCTTGAGCTTTTCGGGATCCTCGGGGGTAATCTCGTCGCCCCGAGCGACATTGGCTGACATACGGCGCTTGGCGCTCAGAGGGACGACGCTGAGTTGGTATTTACTCAGGAGCTGAGCGCGATGGGCATCGGAAAAGTTAACACGTAGGGATTGGACGGCCTCGAACCTGGGAATACGATGGACGAAGGTGTCCCGATATCGAGATCGAGCAATGTAGGCTTTGAACGCGCGGAGGTAGGCAGATTCCTGACGATCAAATTTTGGCAGTGGGCAAGCAATATTAGTGGATGTGGAGACAACTTCCGAGAAACGAACCGTCTTTCGTGGAGCTGACTCGGTTTCGATGGCTTCCTTCTGGCTCTTGGTGCTGGCTGCGCGTTGAAGCAGAGCAACCTCGTCGTCACGGTCTTCGGTCGGGTTGATAAGTTCGGCCAAGTATGAAGACTGAGCTGCCAGCCACATCCAAGTTCGGTCAAGGTTGACAACTGCTCCGTCATTCAGCTTCTCAGTATAGTTTGGGGTGTTGTCGGTCAAGATCTCATCAGGGATGACGTTTTCTCCCTCGAAGAGCTTAGGTGACTTGATGCCGGTCATCGTCTTGTCAGAGCTTTCGTGTCGCAACTCTGGACGGATTGTCATTTCAGGATGCAATTGGCTGAGATTAGGTCTGGCAGTAGGAAGGCCATCAGACATCGTTTCCGACATGTCTGGGACCTCCAAAATACGTTCCACGGGTTCATTACTAGACCATGGTGTCTTGTAGAAATGTTCGGCCGTGGTCGATGATGGGCACTTGGCTGATTCTGGAGTGCAGGCAACGAGATGCCAAGTATGTCGTGCTCCAGGTGACAGTGCTGAAAAGAAGCCGCCAGGAGATGGTATCTCGAGTCGGGTGAGACCAATCATGCATCGCTGTTGTTCTGGAGAAAGAACTACTGAGTTGTTGCGATGAATATTGGTCGTGAGAGGAGGAGGTCTCTGCTGCATCTCATGAACTGGTGACGTTTCCGGAGATACGTGAGTCAACTCAATAACTTGCTCCGTCTGCTGTTCGAACAAATCATCCCCCCCAGAAAGTGCTTGTAGAGTAGCCATGGCTGCTGGTTGCAGTTGAACGCCGCCACCCCAGTGGTCGCCATCCTCTTCGTCATTCCCGATGTTTGGTGTTGGCGGTGCAGACAAAGCTGCCATCTGGTCGGAAGAAAGACTTCCATCAAGAGAAGGTGGGGCAGAGCACGATGGAACTTCTTGGGATTGTAGATACGAAAATATTGCAGGCGACATGGGCACTTTCGGCGGAGGTGTGGGTGGTACGGAAGACGGAGATGTCATCAACTTGAATGCAGCAACACCAGGCCATGGGTCTCCACCAGATGGTATAAGGAGAGCAGGGAGAGCATTTCGAGTTGCTCTGCCTTCACCGGAGTCATCAGAAGATCTGTTCGACTTGTTTGCCCTGCGAGCACTGCCATTCCGCCGAATGCTGTTCTTCCTCCGGGAATCCTCGTCTGAAGACACATCGTACAGGTCGTCGAACTCGGTAGCATCCGTCGTGTAACTATCTCGTGTCCACGGAGCTGATGAGGCAGTGGGGGAGACGCTCTCGTCTTCTGAGGATGTCTCGGATTGGGGGATCGGCGCCGACATGAAGTGATTGCCTCGAGGGGTCGGAAAGTGTTCACTGAGAGGAGAAAGCCAGTTCGCCAGCTGCAGCTTCGGAGATCTCTCTCGACCTCTACGCACGTCTAGCGTCGAACCTCGTGCTGACTCCTCATCGTCTTCCATTATCGTATTAAGTGACCGACGCCGCCTGCAAGCCTGCTCAGGCGGCGGTGGACTATAAGTAGTAGCCGGTAAGAGATCTATAGAGCCCATTCTTGTTGACCTAGAAAACGCCATTTTCTAGAAACCCGCGTTCCTGACCGACGGGAGTATGTATATACGGACGACCAGCGTCACTCGAGTAGGGAAGGAAAAAATTATAAACGATAGTATGCTTCGATCAACGAAGACTTGAATAAAGGCACGACGACGACAGCGACAGCAAGAAGATGACAAGAAAGTAACTTGGGCCTGTTTCTCTGGGCAGCCAGAATGTTTATACGGGCCACCCGCGAGCGAGCGCGACGCTGCCACTGGCTGGGCGCCAACGTCAGACGTGGACATGGTTGTGGCTCACTGGCTATCGGGTCTCAATCTGGGCCTGCAGCCATGTATTGAGACAACGGCCCATGTGCGTCTTGACGCGCCGAACCCGCCCTCTGGGCGACGTTCGCGTGGGAGTAGCACCGTATCGAGATGGACGAGCAGCTGTTTATCATGCTCCGACGCAGTGCCTCTGCCGACGGCCAATGGAGGGGGCAAGCCAACTGCGATGCCAACCTCTGCTCCAGAATAATCAAAATAGCCAAAATTGGGCCGCAGAGGTGCTCGAATGGCGCGCGCGAGAAGATGAAGCTGTTCATGATAGGCGAGCCGTTCCACGAATCAGATGAGGGGGGTTCGCGCCGACCGCTCAGCGCTTACGGAGTAGTGGTTTTGACCGAATTCTCGCCGTGCAGAAGACACCAATCCGGTGGCAGTTGGGCATGCACGACGAGGCTGGTGGCGGGGCTCCTAATTGGAGCAAGACAATCCCGACAGGTCGGTGGAGGGAGTTCGATTGCGGACGCCAGCTCGAAATAGATTTGGACTGCAGAGAAACTTCGAAAACCTGGAATATTGAAGGTAAAAATAGAGCATCGCATCGGATTGTTGGAGATATCGTCTCACACAAGCGACGACGACAGATCCATGCGCGGTGGACTTGATCTGGAGACTGGAGACTGGAGACTGGAGACGTTGTTGAAAGAAAGGTGAGGAGGAGGCGTTCCGAGGATGGCGCAAGAATTGGCTTGGCCCCCAAAAGGAATTGGATTGCTAGGCGAGATTGGGCATGTCATGTGATAGATACACTTCCTTTTGCGCATAAGGGGAGGCACTCTTCTGAAGAACGTAGGCTCCTGGAGCCCACTTTGGGGCAGTGTCCCAGCCGCCCACGCGTGAGGTCTGCCAGATTTCCCGGTTGAGGGCGAGAGTGAGTAAAGCCACAACGCATGAGATTCATTTTGGCCCCCATGGCGTACCCCCTTGAAAATGAAAGTAACTTCGCAAAGTTCCCAAGCACTGCTGGAGAAGGAGGAGAGTTAGTCATATTGAAGCAAATTCTTGGAGATGTTTGCATGACTTCAGAAACTGACGGGCTACTGCCAGAAAGCACAGCCTCTTGGTTGCATTTGCGTGCTAAACAGTATTGTCGTGTTGTGGGCCTAGGCAGGCAATTTTTTCTGTTCGAGTGACAGAGTCCTGAGCTGAATCTCATATCGCGTGAGAAATCTACCAGTTAGCGTTAATTTTATGCATTCGCCCGAGTTTGGGTTCTCGAGTGATGTTGACAGCATGTTTCTATCTGACAACAGGCGCCGTTACTCCTTGCCCTACTTGTTGGCAATGCATCTCTCCGATAGTCGAGCCAAATTCTGCGTTGTCATTCTATCAGATGGTCATTCCTGTCACTTGGAAGTACCGCAGCCATGAGTGACATGTGGTTGTTTGCTATCGGCAGACAAACACTTGATAATCCATAACACAACTTCCACTGCTCAACCATTAACCCCAAGAGCTCACCGATATGCATTATATGCTCGGGCTGTCGATCCTCAGAGTCGAGGAGCAAATATTTTTTTCTCATCTTGGTTTTGCAATGACGGGCCAGAGCGAGACCTGGGGCCAGCCTAGAAAGTCGGGTTTTGGGAGACATACGAAGCAAGAAGCTCAGAGATTCCGATGGCCAGGCCCAAAGTTCATTAAGCGGCGTTTGCCCAGGTCCAGTTATCCCTATCCTTCTACCAGAGCAGTGCGCATGCTGCCAGCACCTCCCATCGGGAATTCGGGGCATGCCATCGTCAACACAGAAGAACCCCTGCGTTTGCAAACAATCCAGCAGCGACGCCACTCATCTGAGATGTTGGGGACGACGGTTGAGATTTCCAATCCGGGCAGTATCGTTCATTCTTACAACAATTCGGCACTTGCCCCTATGATGGAGCCACCTCCTCCACAGCTTCACAGCATGTCCGGAGACCACATGAACTTTCTAGAATTTGAATTCCAGACAGAATTCATCGCCCCAGCACAGATTCGACATTGGATGTCCGACGAAATCTTCCCTGTTCTTATCGAGCTGCCAGATATCTCTCCAGGCGAAGAGGAATCACGGATCATTCACGAGCTTGGAGCACTTTGGGACTTTCATCCTCTTCAATATCTCGACAACACATGCATACAACTAGCCTTGCGGGAACTCTCGTGGCTGCATGACGAAAAGTGGAGGCTCATCGAGCGACTCAATAACTGTCCATTCGAGCTCCGAGTCCTGAATGACATTGGCTGCCTCGACATCGATCGGCTCTCCATCACTGGTCTGCATGGCCACGAGCAACCCGCACGGCAACCTTTGACGACTCGCCCTGGAGCATACCATCTCGACGAGAATCAATCCATCGGAGGAAACAGGCCGCTTGAGGAGAAAAAATCCTCCAGGGCAAAGAGCCAACTTGACTGTTACAACAAGCGATGGAAGGAAATACAAGCACAGTCAGCGGAGGTATCGACTGCATTATCTCCGTCAGCGTCACCAGCGATACCATGGCCAAAAGCTTCCCCTCTCCACAGAAACCAATTCCAGGCCGGGCCCAATGCAGGAAACGCCACGGCGGAGACACTGTCCTGGAAATGGAGTACCCATGCGTTCTTTGTAGAAGCATTTGGTCTCCGCCCAATTGTCGAAACAGACGAGAACAACGAGACGATGTTTAGTTTCACAAGTGACCATGATGGGTGGAAGAGTGTTGAGAGATTGAAGGGGCTTCGTCGTCAGATGAAACTTGAGAAGGTGAGATGACACGAAGATAAAATGAAGGCGATTTTTGGTCCAGCTGCTGCCACACAGGAACGGGTCAAAGCCGTCTGGAGCGCTGTGATCAACTTGAGAGATCAGATTGGACAAGAACTGGAGGCTTTGCAGGACTTTGCAACGCTGTCATCAAATTGAGAGATGGGATTGAACGGGAGTTGGAGGCCTTGCAGAACTTTGACGCACAGTCTGTTACCGGCTCACTATTTCGTATTTATCACACAGTTTCTCTCATAAAACGAATGAACAGATCAACGATATGATTATGTATTCGGTTGACTCAATCTTGTCAACTCAACTGAGCTACTCTCATGGGAAGGCCCCATTTGGCTCCAGAACGAGCTCCCATGTTGAGCGACTCTCGCTTAAGCGCTGCCCAGCCCCCCTTTCTTTTGTGGCTGATTTGGATGAACCAGTTGATATTTCACGCCCACCAAAGTTGGCTCTTTCAACTGCACAGCCGAAGGCCAGAGAAGCAACCACATCTCGAATTTATCATAATGCTAAGATGCCGTATCATCCCCAGACCATGCAAACCCCTTTTGGTATTCCCAACCCATTGCCCAACCTGGTATGCTGTCATAATTCCCACATTACCGCAGCCTAGAAATCATTTACAGTTCCTCGCGCCCAGCTCCCATTAACCAGTCGCTAGCTTCCTTTCTCCGGGTCGGATAGGAAGAAATACATCTTCTACAAATAATGCAAATCCATGCTTCCTTGGCAAAACCCCTGTTTATCCATGACTTGTACAAAAAAAAAATTTAATACCTCCGCCGTCCTTATGATTTAATGGTAGAAAACATTAGTCGTGTCGTTCAAACATCAAAGTATGGGGCCCGTATTTTGTACTTCTATTGCAGCCGTTTTCGTTTTCTGTCTTCTTCCCTCAACTCCTCCTCATGCTCTTCGTCTCTTTCGGCTGTCTCTGCTGGATTCAGAATGTGGGCCATGCTACCTCTCCTGGTAGGTGGTCCGGAATTATCCTTGAATAGACCTGTAGTACCTTTCTCTCGGGAACCACCCCATGACCAGCTATTGAGATGGTCTACGGTGGCTCCATTCGAAAAAGGCGGTGTCGTTGGGCGGGAATTATCGGTGCGGCCTTGGGAGGAGGCTGTAGTAAGTGAATAGGAGCTGAAGCTGTCACGAATGCGCTGATCTTCGGTCATGATCACAGGACCCCTTTTGGGTGATGAAGGCCACTGCGACGATGACTGTCCAGAGCCAAAAGGAGACGAGTTTGCTTGCCAGCCGGGGACATTCCGGATATCGGCCGATGTATGACGGCGGGGGAGATTTGTGGGAGGTGATGCTACGGTTGAAAGAGGATGGGGAGGAGGGGGCGGTGGAGGAACCTGGCCTCGCAACGAGCTGGGTGATGATTGTGATGTGTTGGCTCCAATTGAGCCGTACCTGCGCGGGGTGATGGACAGATGCGATGGTACAGGCGGACGATAAAAGTTCTGTCGAGGGGCAACGCCCATAGTTGTTCCGCGACGAGGATCGTCCTGTGGCATTTGTCGTGGTGAGACAGGGGCATTGTCAAGCGACAGATTGGAGAAATAGGGCCGACTTCCGGAAAAGGGAGGCTCGGGTGGCTCATCCATTGATCTGATTACCTCTACCTGCCGTTGGATTTCGGTTTGCATATTTATTACTGTTGCTGAATTAGCAAATCTGAATACTATGTTCTCACTGTGCTTACCGTCTCGATGCAAAGGTGTCTCCGGGTTGGGTACAAGTGAAAGAATTGCCCGTGACATTTCGTGGTTCAGCTAGAGCCAATTAGCCCCCAAACGAATATGTGATCCACGCCAGAATATGTTGACGCAAACCGAAAGAAGGGAAGCTTACCTGGAGTGAGCGGGTCAAAGCCTCCATGACGACTTGATTCCTGACATGCATGAACTGAGAGTTATCCTCAGTCCTCTGGAGTCTAGCGTGCGTCTCGTATAAGGTGTGTTCAAGATTGGTGAGCCTTGATTCGGTCGATTCCTGCATTGAATGGATTGGCTCTGCTGGTGTTCCCGGCTGGGAAAGTGGGAGCTTCGGCGCGGAATAAGAATCTCTGTGAACCAGAGCGTGTCTTGATGCGCGGCGTTTAATCTCTCGAAGCCCAACAAGATCTCCTCGTTTGAAATTGCCATTGCCATGCTTGAATTCCCACAGTGGAGACTCTGGCGAACCAGTGTGGAAGACATCGCTGACTGCGCAAATTTTAGCAGCAGATCTTCAGGTGACTGTGGCTGGTGATACAAACCTTTGTGGAATCCATACATATTCAATTGTCGTACAAATGACGAAATATTTGTGTGCTTGAAATATTGCCTATGGTGTGTAAGCCAGCATCCGGAAATTGGAAGGTCTGAACCAACGAGAGAACTTTTGAGAAATCATTAGATGGCGACATGACGAAACTCTCGGCCGAGTTTGACCAAGATATCAGGTGTTGAATGCTTTGATCTTCCAACATACTGTAACACCATTAGCCAAAGCCTGCATAGGTGTGACCAGATGGACGCCTACTTGTACAGCTTGTGAATAAAGGCAGTCTGTACAACTTTTGGTTGTTGGGCACCCGCTGCTGCGGCAGCGGCAGCATTGGGTCCAGCCAGACTGCCAGAATGTGGTTGATCTCCCATCACCATCTGATCATGTACGCCGTTTGTCTCGGAGTCTGGGCTGGTTCGCGCCGGGGGGGCCATCATGGCGGATGCTGGAGGCGTGACCTCCATTGGATCTCCAGGAGAAGGAGCAGAGGTTTGGATGACTGGAGGGTGGAGGATGGGGACGGTTCGAGCAGTCGTTTGGCCTGGGTCTGAATCGCTCATGAAGGGACTCCGTTGCGCACTCTCGTCCGTTAAATCCATGGTCGGGTCACCTGTACAATGTTAGAAAGGTCGGGGTCCAGCTGGAATGGAAGGCTGCGCATCGATTGACGTGCGAGGAAAGAGAACAGACCTCATTGCATCTAAATTGATAGCTCTCAAATGTCGCGACGGGTGGTGATGGGGGAGGGGGGAAGGAGAGCTTCTTTCTTTGCCGGAACTTAACCTTATGCAGCCAGCCGAGAGCTTCCTTCGAGCCGCGCTGGCATTCAGCCTCGTTGGGATCCGCGTAGAGCTGGGCGACTGGAAGAAGGAGTGATCCGACTGCAATGGAAGGGTGCGCGAGCCGGTGGGGAGGTGGCTTGTCGAGGTTGAGGTTGAGGTGAAGTGTAATCTGGATCTGAAGGGGGGGGCGTAGAGTAGATAGATTATCGGATTTACGAGTGCGGTGGGTTTGGGGAGAGCGGGCCAGATTATAGCGTCAGTGCAGCGCACGAGAGTCCACCCCGGCAGTGGGCACTAGCCGAATAGGGGCAAATCGAGGGAAAGCCAGTGCTCACGAAAAGGGGGGAGCGACGCGATGGGGACAGTGGACAGTGGACTGTGGACTGACTGTGAACCGCGGACGGTGAGCCGTGACGAGGTGCTAATGGGAGGTGAATTCGAGGTTGCCGCCAATACAGTAGTGCAGTGCAGCGCAGCGTAGTGCAGCGCAGTGCAAGCGGTGGGCGAGGACAAAGATCTTGAGCGAGAGGCAATTACAGTATCATGCAGGTAGGTCTATCAGAGGAGGAAGAGGGATTGGGTGGTCAGGGGAAACGGCAAGGTAGGCAAATCAGGTCGAGCCCGACCCGGGCAGCTCGTGAAGTACATGTTCGTGTTCCTGTCCCTGTTCCTCGCGCGCTCTGGAGCACAAGGTTTGTGGCAAAGTTCCAGTTCTATGATTCTATCAAACCCGAGAGAGCTCCCACACAACAATGCAAGTCAGGATGTGAACGTGAATGAAGCAAAGCCACGCCCTGCCTGCCAGCCTGCCAGCCTGCCAGCCAACCAGCTAGACAGCACCGGCTGCAGACCACGGACGCGGTTAAACGTCGAGAATGGGCCATGCGCGTGCGGAGAATGAGATGTTGTGGAGAACACTCCCCCCACCCCCCCCCCCCCCCCCCCCCCCCCCCCTCTCCCCCTTACAAACCTCGCCCCCTGAGAGGTTACGGCGGTAACATCTGAAACCGCCCTTTCATACATAACGTGCTGGAAAAGCTGCAGCATTTCGTAGTTCTAGAGCCTCAAAATAGAATGCCCCAGACTGCGCCACGGCTCTCTTCGACCTGCCTGTCCTGTCACATTCGCGAGGAGTACTGTATTTGCATCGCCGCAGAGGCCATCGTTCTTCGACGTGTAGAGAAGCAGAGAAGGGGTCCTGCATGCCATTTTCATGTCATTATCCCAGCCGCGCTCGTCGCGGGGGAGGCGCAAAGACCTCCCCGGGAAGAGAAAAAGCACTGTTCGTACTGTAGCCACACTCCCGGCAGAGCTCTTGTATGGGTTGACGAAGCTCCCTTCCTCGAAGCCAGCGTTGCCACTCTCGACTCGCCACCGCCTGCTGTGTCCAGTCCTTCCAGTCCTTCCATCTTACGGCCCGATGTTTCACTTTTCACAGCTGAAGACAGAAGGAGGAAACGCAAGGAAGTCTGCGAGAAGAGTGCGTGCATGGTTTTGGCTTGGCTTGGCTGGCTCGTTACCACAGCCGAAGGCTTCGAGGTATATCAGCGCTCTTATAGACGTCCCACATCAGTTCCATCCAGAAATTTGCGGGAACATTTGTCGATCATTCCACTGCTGGAGCAGTGGAGTGCCGCGGTCCCTTGTGGTTGGCGGTGGGAGCTCAAGGGGGAACGGAGAGAAGTCGAGAAGCGCCCTGCGTTGCGCTGCCTGGTACCTACCAAGTAGACGGGTAAAAGGCGGGTTGAGACTTGAAAGGTCCTAGTGGCCTAAGGCCTTCCACATCGGGGACCCCTATGCATCCGGCACCTGGGCGTGGGCGTGGGCGTGGGCGTGGGCGTGTTCGTCCGACCTTCTTAATAAACGACGACATCCCGGGAGAAGCGTGGCAGCGACGGCGGCGGCAGCGGCAGCTTGACAACCCTTCGGCAGGCCAGGCAAATGAATATCCCGACTCCCGCACAGCCAGTCATTTCGGCTTCCAGGCTCGGCTTTTCGCGGCGCTGGCTGGCTCGCGTATCTTGCTGGCCTCGCCGTGCGTAATCGCCTCTCACCTCGCCTCTCGCGTCTTGACTCCTGCGTCTTCACACTCGAACCAGGGCAATGGGGAGGCTAGCCCAAACCCTGGACTCGCTGCGTCTGCAGGACGGACAACCCGACGTTGAAGCTCGAAGCAGAGAGTACGTCATGTTTTCGTTTGTTCCCTCTGTTTGTTGGTTTAGCTTTCACCCAGGTGCTTGCTCCACTGCGGGGAGAACCATGGGTTACGTCCTGTCTAGTAGTCTTGAAAGTATTGGGAACAAACATGGAAAGTGATAATATCCCAGTTCTCAGTGGGACACTGGGCTCTTGCTGTTCACATTTTGCGGGGGAATGCTGTAGGAACCAAGGCTATTTCATTCCTTCCAAAAACCCAGTCACCGCACTCTACTTCTCTGAATTGTCGAAGTACAGATATTCATGAAGTGCCTGTCTGACCTCGTCCTAGATTGGACAGCTTGTTGCGGCACCTGACTTCTTCTGAGATTCGCCGTCTGAAAATCGAGCTAAACACCTCCTCGAACGACATATGCTTGGAGCTCCCACTAGAGCTCCTTCTTTGTATTACACAGCATCTCGACCTGGAAGAGGTAGTTTCACTACGTTCTGTATCTCGCAAATGGAACGAGACATTTTCCAGCGCCGAATTCTGTCTTGGGATAATAAAAAGGCACTTCCGACCCATTTGGGAGGAGCATTACAATTTAAATACCGACCGGAAACTTCTCGAGAAAGAATCTCTCATGAAATGGCTACCTGGAGCGATAAGAAACAGGATCAGGAGGCAACATGGTCGATATCAATCAATGTCGATCTTGCCTCGAGACGGCCGTATGACCTCGGACTGGTCCGACTGGCAGTACAAAAATGGAAGGATAGCCTACAGAGTCAGTCGCAGCGCCATATCTGTGAGAGATATTCGGACAAATTTGACAGCCACATATATGGACGGGAATCGACTGAATTTGGAAAGCTGGCACCTCTCTGATGAGGTTTTATTGGCTGCGAAGAAAGGCCCGTGAGTTCTGTGCTCAAAACAAGTTAAGGCACTAAACTGACAACTGATAGCATTTCTCTCAGCGCATGGCCGTTAGCTTATCCCCAGACTATGAGTCACGGCAGCATAAGGCTTCCAGCACCAGCTGTACGGATTTCAGCTCACAAGAATCAGGTAGGCATTGTTACCACAGCACACCAGGTCCTCATTTGGTCCATTGGAGGGGCTTTGATATCAGTGGATACTTCAGCAGTACACGAATACCTCCCAGGCTTCACCATAAGACAAGGATTGGTTGTGCTTCATCCGCTCGAGCAGAGTTGTTTCTATGTCATCTACGAGGCTTGGCCAAAGCATTTCACTAGCACCAATGTGCATACGCGCAGAGTCGTTGCACAAGAGTTCATGGGAGGAAAGCCAACCAAGATCAAATTACTAGATCTACATCTATCCAGAGCCGAATCACTCGATCTCACGGGACCTCTTCACGACGGCGTTGTCGGAATCCACAAGAGCTTCCAAGCGCAACTTTCGACAACATCCGAATCGGATACCGGTGAATACCAAAGAAACGGCAGATCAGGGCAGACCGAAACAAATGACATCCACCCTACAGTTTTCACGATGGCGACCTTCGATATCTACCAGGGCAGATTTGCCCTGGAGGATTACTGCGTATCACATCACCATTCCGAGGAATTTCTGAGGTCGGCGTTCTATTGGCGAAATCAGGTATTTGTACCGGTATATGGAAAGCCCTCAGAAGCCAAGAACCCAGTTGAACGTAAGTGATTTAAGGTTACACTGGACAGTGCATTAATCCATGGTATCCCCACGGAGCGCTTCCACCTGTTTTCCTCTTGCTTAGAGCTCGAGTCAAAGATTGTCTGCTGACCTCACTCGGGAACCTCAGAGAATTCGCTGATCGCCATAAATCAACGAAAACCCTACACCGGTCGACAAAGCATACCGTGTTACGGGTTCCAAGGCAGTCCGCTCCATCTTATCCCAGCCGGCAGCCATAGTGATATTGCATATTACTGGACCGGAAACGTAGACTACGCAGTAGGCGATGAAGAGATCGATCACATTTATGACGTGGGAAGTGGTATTCCCAATATTATCCAGAGAGACGATGACTTTGTCGTTCTTATGAATTGGGGTGGATGGACTGTATGGTGTTTTGACAAGGGGAGGGGTGCAGCTGCCCGGAGTGACCTTGTTGAGATTGCAACCACCACCTCTCCTAGTACTTCGTATAGGAGATAAGCTCAGCAGTTTATACGCCCATCTACGATCTCCAGGCGGCGTGCTCGAGTCAACCTCGGAAAGCTCCGACACGCAGGTGCGAACGGATCGATCGCGGCCAAACGGTAATGAGACGCAATTCCCAAACTAGACTGCCACTGCAGTGGCAGCCTTTTATTTCACTAATTCTTATTACTCTAAAGACATCTTTCCACCCTACTTGCTTCCCCTAAGCACCCACAGCCTTTAAGCTCTTCACTAGATCCACAATACTCTTCTCCAGCGGCGTAAACTCGATGCCCAGCACATTCTTCACCCGACTATTATCATACTTATAAAGCCCCGCCTGGTCTCCTTCAGGGTAACCCCCGCCCTTGACGTCCTTCCCCGGCAGCTTCTCCTCATACTCCGGGAAGTTCTTCCGGATAATCTCCACAACCTCCTTATTGCTGAAATACCCAGCAGTGATGAAGAACCGCTTATCAGCCGCCTCAGGAACCTCAATTGCCTTCACGTGAGCCAGCGCAAGATCTCGCACATCAACCCAGATGAACGTCCCTGTATCAGGAATCTCCTTCTTAACCTGCCCAGTGATGAAGTTGCGGACTCGCTGGTTAGAGGTGTTCAATGCATCGAGACTGTTCAGATAGTGCACGATAGGGCCGAAGACGAGGGGAGGACACATGGTGGAGATGGCGAAGTTCGGTTTCTCGTTCTTGACGAATTCCCAGGCGGCCCTTTCGGCGAAGGTCTTGGAGGCGCGGTAGCCGTTCGCCGGGTTCTGCACTGCTTCTTCCATGGTCACGGGGTTCCAGTCGAGTTCTGAGTCTGGGGGTTGTTAGCAAAGAAGGCAGGGAGGGTAGGGGAGGGGATGATTACAGGTGTGTTCGGGCCACGACGGTCCTTTTGAAGCAGTGAGAATAGATGCGAAGGATGAGGTAATGACGACTCTCTTCACGGAGGGTGCGTTCTTTTTAATGGCCTTTAAGATGCCAGTTGTACCGATCACAGCTGGATCAATGAGATCCTTTTGTGTATCGGTCACACTACAAAGGCTCCAGGTCAGTCTTGAACCAGTGAACATATGGAAGATGGAAATCAAGCGGAGAGTATCTGCCCACGTGACAAGAACAGGTCCTTCTAGCCAGAGAAATAGAACTCACTTGAAATGAAACGGACTAGCAGTGTGAAGGACTGCCTCCAACCCCTCAACCTTCACGGCTTCATCGAAAGCGCCTTCTTTGGCAATATCCTCGACAATAACGAAGTCAAGCTTTGACTTTGGCGTATCGGGATATGCCTCACGGATCTTACTGGCTTTCTCCTCAGAGCGAACAGTGGTTACAACCGAATGTCCATGATTGAGGAGCACATCGAGGATGTGAGCAGCGATGAACCCTGAGCCTCCTGTAGTTTTGGTCAGTCAATAGTGGGGTAATTTTCCTGCTGAACTTGCCTGTAAGAAGTACTTTCGTCATGATTGCGGGCCGTGATCTTCGTCCGTTCAAAATCAATCTCTCGAGTGAAAATCGGGATGGTTGAAGATTAAGAATCTGTGGTTGAGGTGGTTTAGACTTTATAGGGTTGTTGAAGATTTGAGATTTATGGCGGAGGCCGCAAAAAACGTCATCCAGACCTCTCCATTGCATCCAACAGTGGCGCCTCCTACCATGACTTTAACCCAAAATTAAGTCGGGGCGAATCACAGCCATGGCCCCACTCCAGCTTTCCTTCCTTTGCCCATGCCGGTAAAGACCAGGATCCATTATCCAGTTGCTAGGGCGGCATGTCACCAGTGACTTTCCAAGCCTTTCGGCGATAAAGTTCAATATCTCCGGGACAGAGGACAGTTGCTGAGATCACAATGAAGCAAACGGCACATACAGCGTTAGGCTATGATTTGTGACTGTGAGTTGGGAAATTGAAGCAGAAATAAGAAGTGAAGTTGGATATCTTCAAGATTTATGGTCATGATACGGCTCTAAAATCTCAGCGCGGCGTGACTACTGTATCCCCAGAGGATGTTCAGCACTAATTACATATCTTACATACTTGTTCCACTTCCCGCGAAGACACGAGAAAAGCTGCTCTGCAACTGGTACCTAAAGGTTACAAACAGAGCCCAGGCATTCTCCCAACGCCGGTGCTCAATATGAGAGAATATGGGAAATGAAGAATTGTCAAACTTAGAATGGTTATTGCTGGTAGGCCATTCCAGACTTATGTCTCCCAATTGTCTTGAAGCTTCCGCCAGCTTGAATAACGTCGAAACGGCTTATGCCCAAGTTTGCAATATCTGTCATGCCGGAGAACCAGAATCCCACCACAACGACGAGATAGCTGAGGAGGAGGATGGATCCCTTGAAGTAATTGCTCTTCCCCTCGCCGTACATGTAGCTGAGAAGGAAGACGCACAAAATTACAGTAACCATATCCCATTGGGGGAAGATGAGGCTGAAGGTATGGTCGACGAGCTTGTCGTCATTAAGCCACTGTCCATTAATGGCACTGAACAACACCAGAGCTGGAATCTGAAGTAGGCAAACTTGGAGCGCATATGCAGATCCAATTTCCATGGATAACGCAATATTGCCGTTCATTGCAAAGGATATGGCATTCTGCCCCAGGGTTAGCAATAATTGGCACGGGTAACTCCAAATACTTACCAGAAATTCGGTGGTGTTAGGAACGAGGGCAAACAATGTGATGCCAAGAAATTTCTCATCAATGGCAACGGAGCTCAACACGACGTCCACCTTGGTGACTAGGATCTCAGCTATGAGGGCGTAAAGTACTGTTGCCCCACAAAGAATGACGGAACTCTTCATCCGACTCCAATTGGGAGCATCGTGACCACCTCCAGCATGAGTTTCCGCGTGTGCCATCTCCTCAGGATCATGAACAACCCCGGCTCGGACTGCTTGGGGCTTGTGCGAAGAGCCTGGTAAGTTACCGGACGTAGATGCTTTTCGAGGAGCCTTAACAACGTCTCTTGCAGCAATGGTTGCAGCAGTGGCAGCCATTTCTGCCACTTCTCGAACGAGATTGATATTCTGCGCTTCGGTAAATCCTGGAATATGCACCTCGGATCTCGAGCTCTCCCCTCCACTGCTCTTCGGAGGTGGGATATGAGGAGTGGGAGACACGCCATTTGGACCCGTAGGATCAGAGACTGAATTGTGTCGGCTTCCATCCTCGCGTGGAGCAAGGCCGACTTGCTTCAACGACTGTCCCAAGATTCGTTTATAAAGCTGCGACTCTCGAATTTCCGATCCACGAGCATCATTTGAGCTATTCAGAGTACTACCTTGTCTCTGCAGTCGACCGTGTGGAGCCCCACTGAAGGGTTGCTGAGGTCCAGAAATTTGTTGCGCCTCCTGTGTTCTTTTCTCATCCACCTCGTTGTTCCAGATAACTGCTGCATGGGTTCGCAGAGTGAACCACAACCCAATTACGTACGAAAGGAATAGAAGAACGGCAGCAAACCAACAGTAAGGACGTACTGCCTCGATGTAGAATCGATCCGTTAAATCTGGAGACTGAGAGAAGTAACACCGACGACAATCACGGCTAGGCGTGGAATCATCTGTATCTACGCAATTCAAACAATTGAGTTCGTGCTATTGATGAAATTAGCAAGTTTATGAGAATAAAAGCTAGCTGAACTCACGGTTCCATAGATCTGGTAAAACAGGGTTGGGCCGAATGCTGCGATGACTGCAAACAGAAGCATGGTTGATGTTACGCCTGCTGATCTGGCATTGAACCTTTGTGTCTTTCTTTTGATTGCCCCAAAGCACATGGATAGTCCGGGAAGGAAAAGAATACCAGCAAAAATGCTGCCTATAATACTCCCCTCCACCAGCTGCCCCTTGCCTTGATTGAGTGCTACACAGTAGAGGAATACCTCTACCAGGGTCGAGAAGAAGGCGTTTATAGCGGCACCAAGTCCCATTGAAGACTGAGCCGAAATGGATGCTACTGCTTGACCAATGAAGTATGCCAGTGGTATGATCGAGAACAGTGCTCCTGTGAAGAGGAATGCAGGAGATGTGATGGTGAGACCCTTCAGCTCCAATACCTCTAATAGGACCCAGTAGTCGAAAATGACAAAGAGAACGACTCCCATCAAATTGATCAGGAAGATGTTGGTGCCATCTACAGTGTATTTCCAGTACTTCAAGCCCACAGCTCGGTAAGTGCAGAGAAGAATGGACGAGTTGGGAATAGAGCCGCGAGAGTAGTCGGAATCTGACTGGAAGGAGAGTGCGAGTGGATGCCGTCGAAGGTGGTAGAATAACAGCATTGTAACTTTGCCCATAGGTATCCAGAAAACTAAGAACCAGCAGATACCGGACACCACGAACAATAGAGGAGTGATGAGCCCATAGAAAAAGAGGAAGAAGATCACTCGTCCTGTGTTCCATTGGCCTCGGCCAAAAAGTCTCCTTTTGAGCGGACGTTCTGAGCCAGTTCGTTGTGTTCCTCGTCTAGTCCTTCCCAAGAGACTATCTGTCTCACTGGCGCTGACTGTCGAGTCGATGCTTCGCCTGGAGCGGCCAACAATGGATCGGTTTCCTTGTGGTCCGAAGAAAAGTCGTCCATCTTCAATGTCCCCGCTCTGCCATTGCTCATATTCTGTTATGCTGCGTCCTTCACCTTCATCTTCATGTGCATATGCTTCATCCTGTTCTAGCCGGACGAACTTCCCGAATGGATAAAACAAGTAGCCCGCAAGTCCCCAGAGGACTCGGCCGTATTCGATAGCACTTGGTGCGGCAGCAAAGATGAAGCACACAACTGCCCCTGTCAATGCAACAAGCCCCAGCCACCATCCAAACCAGACAGTCCATAAAATGTTAAAGAAGAGGAGCCATTTGCTGACCCTGCCGCCAGGAGACGAATGGATATCACCTTCCGCAGTCTTCTGGACTGATCTGTCCTTCTTGTAAAGCGCCGGCTTCCAGATTCGAATACCAAATGGATGTGTTTCGTTTATAGCTTCCTGGCGATCTTTGAGAGTAAAGCTCTCGGCGTCACTCAAATCATCGTCATCGTTCTCATCCGGAGTTATATCATCCACGCCAACCTCACGGAGTGTCCCCTCCTCACCAGACCCCGGTGTTTGGTCTCCACCTTCCACATCTTCCACCAGACTAGCTCTCTCTGCCTGCGCTTCTGCTTCCTCTTCGTCGCGTGATGAGTTGACCCTCGGTAATGGAGGCTGTTGCGTATTGGGCCGCCTTCTTAATGTTGAAGTTTGGTGCCTGACAGACCCAAATCCTGACGTAGCTCCATGCCTTGTAGCAAGATCATCCTCGATTTCCGTCACATCGTCATCCACGGAAAACTCTTGGCCACGATGAGGTGCCTGCACATTTGACGAAGCCCGTCGAGGCATTCCAGGTTTCTTCGACCGTGTACCTCCACGTCCCCGCTCAGGGCCTAACATGGGCGACCTTAGTGGTTGAAATGATCGAGATGATTCCATACTATGTGGTATTGGTCGGTCACTGGTTTGTGAAGATTCGCTGTCCCTGTGTTCGGGCGCATGCGACGCAGCCTGTATGATGGTACCTTCGCCATGAGATTAGCGTGGATGCAGAAATAGGTAGAAAGCTGCAACAAACCCCGCTGAGACATACCGTATGATTGTGGTTCTGGTCTCCGTCGGATTGTGTCTGTTGACTGATAACTCTCTGAAAGTCCCTCAGTTGGCGGTGTAATCTGTTGCGCTATTGATTCCACTATTGACAGAGGATGTCTGTTATCTGTTGGTGAAGCAGGAGTTGACACGTCGGCAGGTTGCTGGGCTGAATCCATCGTTGCACCTGGAGTGTTATCTTGACCAGAAGACATGGCTGCTAGGTTGTTTAAAGCCGTGACTGATATGCCGAGCTATGGCGGGAGCTTGATTAGATAGCTATGCTCGTAGATCCTAGGGTTTGGAATAGTCGGGCACTAAGATCAACAGCTATCACGAGCTGGTTTGTAAACGAAGGAAAAGAGAGCAACACTACGGACGGAAGACATTCGCGCAAGAGACTGTGCGAACACTTCGATGATGGTGATGATTGTCTGCACGTGGAGTGAAGACGGAGGGAGGGAGGGAGGTTTTCTTTTGTCTTAGATACACAATCAGTTGACATCCACATCGATCCCACGAGGTTGCACGAAGGGCTACCGTTCGGAAGGGAAGCCGCGACCATTAGCGTGACTGCCTTGTTTTCTTTTGCGACGACGGGAGACCCTGGTCCCGGTTGCCAAGAAAATTGCACGTGATACGGAAGCCAGGGACGCGTGAGCGGGAAGTGCCTGAAGACCATAAGTCCAAAGGCAAGGCCATCAGCACTTCTATCAACGAACTCTACCAACACCACTTCTCCACGCCCCCCTACCCCCATCACTCCTCTCGCTGCTGCCATCCTGTAGCGATCATGGCGCTCGATAGCTTCTTTCACAACAAGATCGAGAGTAGGAAGCTCGAGATCATCCAGGGTCAAGCTGTTCTGCGAAGATTGGAAGCTCAGAGAAACGACTACAACTCGAGAGGTAGCATCAAGGCCTCCCATAACCAACCATCATGGCTAACACCAGGTAGTGCGGCTATTACGTGAAGAGCTCGGTTTATTGCAGCAACCTGGATCATACGTTGGTGAGGTTGTGAAGGTGATGGGAACGAAGAAGGTCTTGGTCAAGGTGCACCCGGAAGGCAAATACGGTACGACGAAAGGGCAAGCTTTGAAAGTCCAGAACTGACCACGATACAGTCGTTGACGTCTCCGATAATGTTGACATTTCCAAGCTCACGGTTGGAAAGCGGGTTACACTTCTCTCCGATTCCTACAAACTCGAAAAGATGCTGCCGTCGTCTGTCGACCCCCTGGTATCCCTCATGATGGTAGAAAAGGTCCCCGATAGCACATACGATATGATTGGTGGTCTAGATCAACAGATTAAAGAAATCAAGGAAGTTATTGAGCTCGGCCTCAAGCACCCCGAACTCTTCGAGTCTCTCGGCATAGCACAACCCAAAGGAGTCCTTCTATATGGCCCACCAGGAACGGGAAAGACTCTGCTAGCAAGAGCTGTCGCACATCACACCGACTGCAAGTTCATCAGAGTGTCCGGATCAGAGTTGGTGCAGAAATACATCGGAGAAGGATCAAGAATGGTACGCGAGTTGTTCGTCATGGCGAGAGAGCATGCCCCATCTATCATCTTCATGGATGAAATAGATTCCATCGGATCATCCCGTGTGGAGGGCTCATCTGGTGGCGACTCCGAGGTTCAACGAACTATGTTGGAGTTGCTAAATCAACTGGATGGATTTGAGCCTACAAAGAACATCAAGGTCATTATGGCCACGAATCGTCTTGACATCTTGGATCCGGCACTCCTGAGACCTGGACGTATCGACCGAAAGATCGAATTCCCCCCACCAACAGTCGAAGCCAGAGCAGACATTCTTCGAATTCATAGCCGAAGCATGAACTTGACCCGTGGTATCAACTTGACAAAGATTGCCGAAAAGATGAACGGGTGTTCTGGAGCAGAGCTGAAGGGTGTTTGCACGGAGGCAGGCATGTACGCTTTGAGGGAGAGACGAGTGCATGTTACTCAGGAAGATTTTGGTAGGTGCCGGGGCAGAAATCCCTTTCATATTCTCACTGTCTCATGGTTTCTCCCGGGACGTTGTCCTAGTCCTCATGAAGCACTCGCTAATTCTCCTTCTAGACCTGGCAACGGCGAAGGTGCTGAACAAGCACGATGACAAGGAGGTCAGTCTGGGGAAATTATGGAAATAGATGCATTTGGCGAGACCTTTGCGAATTGTACGATAGCAGTAATAGATATCAATCTATTCTCGAAGTCAGTTTGGCCTCGAGACGAGGGCACCGTGTCATCAGCCACACGACCCCTGTTTTGAGAGAGAAGGTTTCCCGAGCTGGAGCTTGCAGCATGCCCACGCGCAAGAAAACAGAGGCAGGCCATTCTTTCTAACCGTCAACTCAGCATCTTCATAAACTGGATGATTTATATCCGAGAATAGTCGGACGGACAGAAACGCCCCTCTCTTTGCTGACTCAGGTTGATATTCAGAGGGCCCCAGTTTTGTGTACGGAGAGGGTGGGGTATGACGTGCAACCCTGGCATGCTCAGAAAAACGTTGGATGTTGATCATTGTGAGTAAAAGCTAGAGCCCTCCAAGTTTGTAAACCATTCATCGCCGCGCCGGCATAGCACGTATATTTCTCCAGCGAAAGAGACACGACTGATCTTCAATTGCCTTCTCAGAGCAACTCAGCCGAGCGCCAACCGGTCGGTTGCCCCTCATTCCTTCCCGTCTACCCCTCGCTGTCGAAGCTGGGCTCAACAAATTAGGCACAGGGCATCCGACAAGCTCTCAGCCACCCCCAGTTGAGGGAGCTCCGGCTGACCTTGGGTGTCAGCAGCGACGTAACCCAGGATGGCTCAGATCCCCTTCCGCCAAAACTACAGAAAGCCCTCGCGCCAGGCGAGCATGGAGTGAGTCCAGACGCCCGCTTCACCACAATGGCGATGGCATTATTGACCAAGATTACCAGTCCACACAACGATTTGAACCCTCATGTGGACCATTACATTGGCATTGACGTTGGCACGGGTTCTGCAAGAGCCTGCGTAATCGATGCCTCTGGTGACATCAAGGCGCTGGCGACGGAGAACATTGGACTTTGGCAACCAGAAACTGGATACTACGAGCAGTCGACTACCGATATCTGGAGATGCATCTGCATGTGCGTCCACCGAGCTCTCAGCCAGCACAACATCGATCCGACGACTGTTCGTGGAATTGGCTTTGACGCCACCTGCTCCCTAGCAGTCTTCGCACACGATACCGATAAACCAGTGCCTGTTACCGGCCCTAATTTCACGAATGACGGAAATGATCGCAACGTCATTCTCTGGTTGGACCACAGACCTGTCGAGGAGACGGCAAAGATCAATGCTACCGGCCACAATCTCTTACGCTATGTTGGAGGCAAGATGAGCATTGAGATGGAAATACCAAAAGTGCTGTGGTTGAAGAACCATATGCCACCTGAGTTGTTTGATCGTTGCAAGTTCTATGACTTGGCAGATGCGTTGACCCATCTGGCAACAGGCAACGAGACGAGGAGTTTCTGCAGCACAGTCTGCAAACAGGGCTATGTCCCAGTTGGAGTTGATGGAAGTGTCAAGGGGTGGCAGGATGATTTCTACGAGGCCATTGGCTTGGGGGACCTTACCAAGGATGACTATAAGAGGATTGGTGGAGTTGATGGGGTGGTGAGCCTTTTCGTAATCCGTTTCTTATACCCCGGAATCGCTAACTAACTTCTCATAGAACGGAAAGTACCTAAGTGCTGGCGAATTAGTTGGCGTTCTGAGTGAGAAGGCCGCTTCACAGCTGGGCCTGCCTGCCGGCATTGCAGTTGGTAGTGGTGTCATAGACGCTTATGCTGGGTGGGTTGGCACCGTAGGCGCAAAGGTCAACCTGGACAGTGACCAGCTTGACTCCCAGGTTCCTAAGAACGATATGTCTCAAGCTTTCAGCCGACTGGCAGCAGTTGCAGGAACATCGACATGCCATCTTGCAATGTCAAAACAGCCCGTTTTCGTCGACGGTGTCTGGGGTCCATATAGAGACGTGCTGCTTCCGGATTTCTGGATGGCTGAGGGTGGCCAGTCAGCAACGGGAGAGCTTTTGAAGCATGTTCTCGAAACCCACCCAGCATACAATGAAACCGTGTCTCTGGCTGAGTCCTTCAGCACCAGCGTCTACGACTACTTGAACTCTCATTTGGAGGAATTGAAAGAAAAGACAAACGCACCAACGATCTCCTACCTCGGTCGACACTTTTTCTTCTACGGCGACCTCTGGGGCAACCGTTCTCCGATTGCCGATCCTAACATGACCGGATCTGTCATCGGACTGAGCAGTGACCGAAGCATGGATGGCTTGGCTATCTATTATTACGCTACCATGGAGTTCATCGCCATGCAGACACGCCAAATCGTCGAAAAAATGAACGATTCCGGACATGGCATCACCAGCATCTTCATGTCAGGATCCCAATGCCAGAACAAGATTTTGATGGAACTCATGGCCACGACGTGTGACATGCCTGTATTGATCCCAAGATACGTACACGCGGCTGTGGTTCATGGTGCGGCTATGTTAGGTGCTAAGGCAGCCAGTGCTGATACAGATGGCAAGACCGAGGATCTTTGGAGCATCATGGATCGTATGAGCAAGCCTGGCAAAGTCACGAGACCGGGGAAGAATGCGAACGAGAAGAAGCTACTTGATGCTAAGTACAAGGTATTCCTGGAGCAGGTTAAAACACAACAGGAGTATCGGATGAGCGTGGATGAGGCTGTTAAAGGGTGGGCTTGATTGTCTCCGTGTATTTAAAAGATAGAAAGAATAGAATGCTTGTTACCGCCTTGCGTCTAAATTTCAAACCCTTCTAGCAAATGCTTCGTCTTGACTTGGTGTTCAGCTCGAAGTAGGATATTCAGACCATCATATCTAACGAATACTCAATGCTTCAGTTGTATTAGGAGACCCAAAATCTCTCGAATTGCGTACCGTGCGAGAAGTGCAACAACGTGATCATATTCACGCATCGTAATGAGTGTTTCTATGGATATCCCAAACAGACAAAGCTAATTTCAAAACGCCGATCCGCCATATCCTCGCGGAGATGACAGCCATGTTCTAAACAGTTGCCATGCAGAAATCTTGCGGCAGTACTGAAGCAGTAACTGAACCACCCAATGCCTTCCTTTTAAACCGAGAACACCATTATAGTACAATGCTGCGCTTCCCATTCCTTCCCATTTTCCCAGCCATCCGAAGACATATATTTGCCTCTTCCCGTTTTTGCCTCCCGGCCCAGCTCGTGACCCTTATCTTATCACGTATACTCATAAAACTTTCTCTTGCTATCGCCTATCACCCTCAGTCTTTAGCCTGTACGTATCCTGCAACCCCGGAAACGCTTTAGCAAATGTAGGCCCCAAGCTCCAATTCTCCAACCTCCTCAAATGCCGCTCAAAAACGGGGTTAATCATCAATTCATCACTCTCGGGACTGCTCAGTAGCGTATCCGTAGGCTCATACGGCCAATTCAGGCTCAGGGTCGTCGTAAATGGGATAAAGAAGTTATCAAAAAGGTAGTCTCGCGGGTTGTAGTCTCGTACAAGGCGGTCTCGCATCTTGGGCCAGGGCAGGTGGTCGATCCAAGCTGGATGGGAGGTGAAGAGTTGGGAGGGCCGAGGCGTAAACCATTCGGGGAGACGGTCGTAGTTCTCTTGCGTGGGAGCGATTTGCCAGCGCATCACGAGGAACATGACGTACAGGACTGCTACTTTCTCGGGAAGAGTGGACAGATCTGGAAAGGTTGCTAGAATGTCTGTAAATACTTTGGACAGTGGGTGGGAGTTGACGCTCCGAGCGGGGTTGAGGAGCGAGGACACGCTTGGATACGCTGGTCCAACAAGCTGGGGGGTTGAAACACCTTCAGAGGCTTGTTGCTGTCGTTCGTGGAGAAAGTCCAAAAGTAGAGAATCCAATGGACAGGTTGGAGGTCCGTTCCGTATAGGTGCTGCGTGTCCCATCATTTCAGCATTGGGTGTCCCGGGATTGTAATTGGAATGGCTACCCATAGAATTGCTTCTATGGTGTGCAGGACTTCCCCTATCCGACGCTCGAAGAATATGTCGATAGCTTGGTTCTGGTGTCCCATTTATCCCATTTGGAATTTTGTTTATCCGTTGAGTGCCATCGAGTAAAAAATCCAACCCCAGTCTCTCGGGGCCCATGTCCAGATTATGTGCCATATCGTGCTTCTGCTTCATTAATTGTTGTGTCTGGGCAGTTTGATTTGGGGGATAGGCCCGAGGATCGTGGCCCATTGGCGCACTGGGAGCTTGCCATTGAGGTGCTGTGGGAGGGGCAGGAGAAGCTGCACTGTTCGATGTCGAGTCATTGTGATTCGAGGATGAGCCAGGTCGAGTGTGGACGTACGGCTGCACAGGAGAAGAGTACTGTGGGATTTCGAGACCTGGCCAATTGTCAGCGACTTGCCGCAGAGGGGTTGCTAGGACCAGGAACAAACCAATTACTGACCATGTTGTCCCAGAATTGGTTGGATCAAAGCTAGCACTGAAGCCAACCGCTTCTTAATATCTGTGTTCTCCGCTTCAACAGCTTCCTTCTGCCGCAGCACATGCTGCAATTCCTGGTACGGCTGCTGCGACGTCAAGTCGCGAATCCGCCGCTCGAGACTCTCAATTTGATTTTTCGTCCTCTCTCGAATAGCCCGCTGGGCCTCGCGGTCATTGGCACGCTTCTTTGCCAACTGGTCGGGGGTGAGGTTTGCGACACCGCGCGAGCTCGACCCTGTCGTCCGTCGCTTTTTGTTCTGGTCGTTTGCAGGGTCCCCAGGTGAGGTTGCTTCTTCGGAAAAATCCCGTTTTTGCTGCGTTCCCTCACCGGGAGCCATTGCTGCGAGAACCCGTGGGCGCGAGGTCCCTATTGCATGGATGCGAGGAAAACCCCGGGGTGTGGGCGGTCGTCAAGGGACAATTATATCGTGGGCCGTCATGAATCGTCAGTTGTACGAAGGAGACCCTTGAGTCATGCAGCGAGACGGAGTGTGAGGGGAGAGAAGGAGATGTTGAAGGGGTCCACAGATGGCAGCTTTTCGCAACATGGGGGTTTGCAATTTTGGCTAATAAAAGTCATGACACAGCAAAGCCTCGGCCAATCTGAGTCAGGTGGAGCAGGGATAACGATCTGCATTGGAGCATGGCACGTGAGGCCGATGGAATGAGCGGATATATGAGGAAATGAGAGAGATATAGGTACGTGAAGACATTTCAGATAAATAGGTGAGGTGTGTCGAAGCGGATCTGACTAAAGCATGAAGAGACCGGAAATAGGGGCGGTGGGAACCAGGTGACAAACGTCACTCATCTCTAGGACGGTATGACATTTATCTGTCAAGTCTTCTTATCCATCACTCGCTCTTCCATCCCCTTGATGATATAATACATTATTGAGTGGATCTCAAGACCTTTTGGCCGCTTTCGCTCCCCTTCACTCCGACTGAGCCCTCGCCAACGCCTCGTGCACATGGGCTGGGAATCTGTATCTCAACTGGCTTGTGTACGTCGTCAAATCCATATGTGCCTGCTTCAAATCATCAATCATCGACTGTCGTGTTCCTTCATTTCCACCAAATTGCGCGCTGGCCAAATTTGCTCGCTGTCTGTTGCAGGATTTAATCGTCCACATCAGAAGGTTGGGAACGTTTTGTGCGACCGGTTGCGAAAGGGAGGCAAATTTCGTTGCAGTATTTCGGATCACACTGGAATTTCCTCGAGCCTTCAGAGGGAGGATATCAAGGCTCGCAATAATCTATAATGGGTTAGATGGGAAGCAGGTTTCATTGACCAAAAAAAGAAACTTACGTCTAGTGCTCGAGCCCACTCTCCATTCTCGACCAAGTCTCTGGCTGCACCCATCTCGAGTAACGTGCCACAAGCGACCAGGTTGGAGGGATTGACCTTCTGAGAAAATATTGCATTTCCATCATACAGTGCCTTCATCCTCTGAGCCAAGATGACAGGATCGTCAACCGTTGTGAGACTGGATTCGGTCCCTCTCTCCTTTGCAGCATCAGCAGCACCAGCATCAGCACGGGGCTTCAACGGATCTATTCGCATCCTCTCCTCGCCAAGAGGCACAGCAATTGCTTCGCTCAGTGCTCGGTTGACTATGACGACGACGTTGTCGTATTCTCCGGCAAGGTGATACAACAAGACAGCATCAGTCGTTCGTCCATTGTCATCAGCAACGCTTGCAGCCTGCATGGTAATCCGTCTCATGAAGTCGTCCCTCTCATCCAAGCCGATCAGTCTCATTCTTTCTTCGATAACACCCTTGATCCGCTGCCCATCCTCACGCATATCTCCAAGGAGCAGAGCAAATTCCCTGCTCTCCAGCACAAGCTCACGGAGCGCCTCATGGCACAGAGCCACCTGATTGGTACCAGCTTGCCCTGGAAGATCCTTGTTGAGACAAATCATTGTCAAGTAATCAACAGCTGCGCTAACGTTCGCAGCTCTGAAGTCCCGTGTATACAAGCCGACCATAATGCCGAAGTTGATTTGAGGTTGGCCCTTGGTCGTCAAGCTACATAGATCCTCGATACCTGAACTTGGATTTGAAACCCTGAGGAGACCATAAAAGTCAAGGGCAATGGCGAGATGGACACCGTCGACATATGAATAGGTATAGAGGTATGACACGGCCTCTTCAAACATGCCCAGTGCAATCTGGAGAAAGACGTAAGTGCCAAAGCCCAAGCCATTCATCTCGGCGCCTCCTCTGTTGAAGAACCGCTCTCCGATTGTTCTGAGTGTGTTTCGTGCGTCATCCAATGCATACACGTCGCTGGCCATTGCCTCGACTCGATTTAGTTCACGCGCGAGAACTATTTGCATCCAAACAAAGTCTTCTACGTTCATGGTGATACCCTGCAGAGAGCGTTCAGTGAGGTCACACCGACCGATCAGCTTGTAACAGGCCATCCTGTAGGGATCGATTGAGTTCTCGGGCGCGATTCGAAGGCGTTGGTTGTATTCGCTACGAATCCGAGCTTGCAAGTCCTCACGCAGCCTCCTATCGCTGCTGGTGGCATAATCCCGGATGTAAGCTGCGAAGTTACGATCAATAGCTCTGAAGGCGATTGCATTATCATGAACAAAGCCGTCTGCCTCCTTAACATGCCCGGTCCGGATCAGGTAGTAGATGACAGCCCATGCGTAATCTTCTCCTAACAGCTGTAAATCGGAATTGTCGCCAGATAGGTTCTTTTTGACGGCTTGAAGTCGAACGTATGCCTTGACTTTGTTGAGAACATTCGGCCTACCACCAAGGGCGGCATCTCGAGGGTTCTTCGCGACTGCCTCTTCCATTCGTTCAAACTCTAGCTTCTCCAAAGCCTTCGCCGAGCCTCTGAGAATGGCCTTCTTGACAGCAGTTTGCTTCGCCGAATTGAGCGACTCGTCAAGATATGTTTCAGCAAAACCGCGTTCTTTTGCCGTGGACAGCTCCACCAGTGATTTGACATCAGGATCCTCCCCAACAATCTCTGAAAGTGTGCGGTAAGCTGCGACTAATTCCTCAGCTTGTTGATCGGCTGCTTGCTTAACAACAGTCGAGAACTCGTGACAAACAGGATAGGGGCGTTTCTGCAGTCGCGCAACATTTAGATTCTGCACCTTTTCGGCATAGTTGCTCTGCTTCTCTCGCTGGAACCGATCTTGGGGACCAGGCACCACCCCACTTGCTTCCATCTTTTTCTCCACGTCGGAGAACAGGACTTGATGGCCGGTGCCAGCTGGACCAGCGGCTCCAATAACGGACTTCTGTAGGTTAGATCTCCCAAGAGTGCTTTCTCGCTTTTCATCAGGTCCTCTTGAGCCAGCCAAAGCAGCCGCCTTACTTCGCCTGGAACGACCGAATGCTGTTGGATTCTCACTCGAAGAAGCAGCAAAGCTTGATCTGGCCCCGCCATGCGGAGTATTGGTGGGGTTAATACCAAAATGCTGGTATATTCTCTTCCGCTGGGCATCCCATTCCATAGTCACATTCTCCTCCAGGAAGGCGTCGAAATCTCGAACTGAGCGAGCCAAGCCATCAGAGATCATGCTGAGTGTAGTCTGCGTCTGCAAATTTGCAAGATACCCCTCCACGTCGGTATCATTTTCCTCTCGAGTTTGCTGTCGCTCAACCCTGCCGGTCGCTGAAGTGAAAGCATTCAAATCTCTCACTGCTGCTCCCGGGTCGACTCCCGAAGCCGCAAGAAGGTAATGCGCCCTGCCATTAGCTGTTCGATCTGGTGCCCCTGTGCCTATCCGTTTGATTCGTTGTCGAAGATCTCCAAGGCCGAGCTGAAGTTGAGGTAGATCGTCTGCGACTGACTCTGCGTGTGCTCTCTTTCGGCTCGCCTCCACAATAATATCCCAGTATGCAGGATTCTGATCACTTCGCTGGGTTGGCGGGACGGGTAGCTGTACGGAAGATGTGAGGCCGCCCAGCTGCTGAGGTTGCGATTGACCGAAGAGGCTGGTCCCAGCTTGTGGTTGTTGACCCTGTGTGCTGGCTCCAAAAGGACCACCGCCTGCTGGAGGTTGCGAGGCTCCTGCTGATGTAGTACCCAACGCTCCGAAGAGACTTCCTCCACTTGTCGTCTGCGGTTGAGATGTTGACGTCCCCAGTGATGAACCGAAAACGCCTCCTGTGGTCGCCGGCTGCGTTGTAGTTGCGCCAAAGGGGTTTGGAGTTGCTGCAGATGAGCCTGCGGGCCTGAACAAATTATCTGAAGGTCTCGCCGTATTGTTGAGGCTGCCAAAGAGGGACGTCATTGTGGTGGATGAAGCAAAATGAGCAGATGGTGTGCAGAGGCCGCGCACAGCGGGTGTTGGTGGGAGTGGTGGTAGGTTGACGCGCCTACAGTAGAATTTTTTGGAGGTTCGCGCTGATGTCTTGATTCGCGACGCGGCCAGACCTCCGCTTCAGTGCTGATTGCAGGAAGAGCGAGGTCTCTTCGAGATGTTGAGGGGATATGCTCTGAAAGATGCAAGTAATCGGAAATTAAATTATATTGAACGATTTCTGAGCTCAAGGTGTTGTGTAGTATTGTGACAATAGGAGCGTCGAGACAATGTGCCGACAATAGGAAGCCTTGTTCTAAGAAATTATAAGCGATGTGAATCTTGAGGCTTGGTGGACTTTTGACACTGAGAATTACAACTCAAAAGGAGGACTGATGCGTGTTGTATCAGGCAATTTCTTCTCATTCGGACGAATGCTTATATACTTCAGCCCCGTCTCATCTAACACTGGGCTCCCTCTACCTGATCGACCAAAAGCACAACTCCCAACGCCACGCCATGCATTCAAACGCTATGCAGTCCCTTCCATTCATGCAGTATCATCATAAACCTCATCTCCGGAAGCCATTTACAAAGAAGAACCGGCACTCCAGGTCGCTTTATCCTAAGAGTGTCATACCATGCAATGCCACACCGATGCAATGCCAATGCAGTCCCAATGCGTAGACCTTAAACCCCCCCCCTTCTTTTTCATTGATCTCTGTTTTCGTGCTTCATTACTGTCGATGTTTTCAGCTGAGCCGTCGGTCGGTCCCAGTGGCATCACTACCACTTCGATCCCGACCCGTCTTACTGCCTCCAAAACTCTGCTGAGCAATCCATTCCAGTACTGTCTCATAACACAGGACATACTGCCTCAAACTTTGCACCATGCTTAGTCTCTGACCCCTAAAGTCTTCCACTGTCTTCTCAATAAGATCTAAATCCTGGTCGAAAACCCAACCCCCGGAGCTGTCGGTTCCAGGGGCCTTCCCTTTCCCCATATAATCTCCTCCGCTCGATGCGGTCACCTCCATTGGCGTAACACCGCTCTTCATCTCTTTGCGTTGGCGCTTCAACATGTCGATCACGGAATCAACAGTGCAAAATGTACCAGTCCGGCCGCAGCCGGCACTGCAGTGAACCAACATCGGTCGAGAAGCTTCCTCAGATTCTGGATCATCAGAGCGGGGGGAGTGGGTAGGTGCTGCGGTGGCGCGCTGAATGAAGTTGCTTAGTTCGACCAGGCCTAGAAGCTGGCTTGGGCTTGCAGGCGCTCCGAAATCAGGCCAGGAGGAGTAGTGAACTTGTGTAATTTCACGCATGGGCGAGAATGGGTGTGCAGCATGAGAGAGTGTGAACTTCCGGATAATGGCGTAAGGAGGCTCTGCAGGCTGTGGAGCAGGTGCACTTTCTGCGGTCGTGTTAGCACGTCGTCGACCCGGATCTTTGCGTTCCGCTGGCGTGCGATGTCTCTTTGTATCCAGAGACACCTTCTTCTCGGAAAGGCTTTTAAGCCTCATCGGTCCGTACTCTTGACTGGCCCAGTACGAGTGACATTTGAGTTGTCCACCCTCGGATTCGGCGGTCAGCATGACAATCACCCGTACATCTTGATCCCAAATGACGCTCCAGAAGTCCTACATCAGATTAGCAGGGGATAATATCAAGACAGACAAAGGAAACTTACCTCAAAAGTTGCAGGTAGGGGGCCTTGCGAAGCAATATACCGTTTATTACTTCGCGAAGCCTTAATGTGACTAGCATTGACATAGTCACAAGCCCCGTCCGAACGACCCTGGAGTCTCACTCTGGCATGCTCGAACGGCCAGATGTTGTTGTACCGATTTTTACCGCCCTTCTCGATGCCGGCGATTTGAACATCTTTGGTGCCTCCAGCAGGTGTGCCATAAGAAACGCCGGAAGAGAGAGCTCTACTCATCCTCGACTGTTCAGCAAGCTCAAGACGCAAGAACTTATCAGAAACCTTCCTTCCATGGTCTTCTTTTGTGGCGGCTTGGAGGAGCCAATCCGGAAGGATCTTGTCGGATTCTGCAATCAATTCCTCTGGCATTTTGATGTCCATCTGGCCCACACCACCAATCAAGTCCTGATTTTGTCGGATGTTACTGAAAAATGGGTTTGCAGCATTTTTAGTAGCAGGCATTACACAACCTCCGGCTACTGGCGCGACTTCGGGTCCTGAAGTTCCCAAGGAGAGACTGATCTTTGAAGACTGCAATTCTTGAGTCGACCGATGATCAATGAGTTGCGGAAAGTGCTTAGAAAAGTATGCGAACCCGCCTCTCAAAATGTAGGATCGCCCTTTCCAGCCTTCGTTGGAGAATTTCTTGAGGGTGTTGATTGCTGACGTTGCGTCCTTTTTCTCATCAGAGAAAGCGTCATAAACAACGATATATTTGGCGTTCCTCCACTGAGAAAATCTGGCTTTTTCGGCCTCATTGGTAAATGTGTCTTGTAGTTTCTGCAGATTGAAGGAGGGCCGCTTTAATAGCGTTGTAGGTATGCACAGGTTCAGAGCATCATGTATTCGTGACTGTGAAAACTGCGGGAACACGCGAAGATCTAACAACAGGAGTTGCCCAGCGGGAATACTGTTTATCATATCTCTTAGCTGGGCCGAAGATATCATGACAGGTCCATCTTCTAGAGAGGAGGGAAGTGTATCTGCCCGGGGATGTTGTAAGCCTGGTTGTTGAATCCTCAGGTGTGGTGAGGGAGGATCCGCTTTATTTTGAGGCAATGATAGTCGAGGATGTCGATCGTCAAGGCTTGAGAGTGCATTCCTTTGCACCGGAAGAGGACCAACATTGACAGGAGATTGTTGGCGGGGTATGTCGAAAAACGAAGGCGCATTTAAAGATGCCTCTCTAGGTCGCATGGGCTCTGGAGACGCAAATCGAGCTTGTCGTTCGCCATCCAGGTCCATTCGATCAGGGGTAGCACCGCGAGCCTTCGGCCTAGATCTGGGAGACGGAGGATGTTCTTGAGAATCCGATCTTGAAGGTTTTCGATCTATCTTGGGACGCACATGTGCACCTGGAGTTGATGCAAAATGCTGAAGGTTCCCATGGCTGAGTTTGAAGTTGTTATGTTCCTCCGACTGCCTTCGAAAAGCCTCATATTCTCGGTTTGAATCTAAAGGAATGACTTGCGGTGATGGATAGGAAATTATCGAGGAAGTCGATGGGCTCCAACCGACGGGACCTGGAGCAGTATCTCGCCCTTCGCTGGCAGGATCGACAACAAGCCCAAAGTAATTCGGCGAGGGTGTTCGAACATCTTGTGCTGCGCCAGGTGATCGAAGAAAAGGCACTGCGTTTGGGGGTAGTGACTGGCCAACAGACGCCGAGACTTGTGATAATTGAGGGCTCAGAGGATTTGTAGCTCGAGGAGTGCGGGAACTGGAATGGGAATGTGAATGGGAAGACCGAGGGATCGGTCTCGTAGCCGTCTTCGTCACCATTTTGTACAGGATTCCCAGCTCAGAAGAGACAGAGAGATTATGTACGGAGAGCGCGGGGTCGTGGTCACGGGACGTCTTTATCTTTCGGTATCCATTGTGGTCTGAACTGAACAGTGACGTGCTTTCGAACACGAGTAAGGAGGTTCGAGACGCGAAGGCGATTGAGGTTCGAGAGGTCGGTGAGGCTGAGGGGTGGGGGTGGGGTGAGAAGTGGTGAATGGGTCGCGATGACGCTGTGAAGCTGAACAGCCGCAGAGGCGAAGAAAAGAGCTGAGAGGACTCGGGGTTCGGAGTGGTGAACAGAGTTCAAAATCGATCGACAGCCGACCAAGCTTCTTCGGAATCGTCAAGCGCGGATCGCGGGGGCGAGGGATGGAGTTGGTGCGGGAATACTGTCAGGACTGCTGGATCAGGCGGACTTTAAAAGAAGGAGACTCTTCGCAGAAAAGGTCGGCGGTAAGGCGGGTCATATACAGTATTAGCCTTCGAAGATGCGGATGGGGATATTGGAGAGGGGGATGTTGTGAGGGAGATGTCGGATGTGGTAGGGCAGAGGTAGACGTACTGCGTAGACGCAGACGCAGACGCGGTGAGAAGTTCACCTCCGGGCTGGCTGGCTATTCAGTAGTAGGGGTCGAGGTCAAGATGGAAGGCGCCACACTGACCCCAATGGCGTGGTTTAGGTATTCTTAGCTGGCCATCGATCTCGCCCTCGCCCTCACAAATCTTGGTTCCTGCTCTGGTTGCTACCAGTAGACTCTTCAAGGACCATGGGCATGGTTCTTTCTTTCTCGACAATGGCCTAGTCATAATCATAAACCTACCAACGATCCGCTCCTGCTCGAACATCCAGACACGAGACACATCCATCTCCAGCCATCCTCTTGCCACAGCCACTCAGCCCTCCCTATCCTCTCACACAGTACTTGCTCGCTATGTCCTCTCCAGTACGTACCGGTCTCGTCGTTGCTGCGATTCCTTCTTAGTAATGTGCCCCTGCCGCGGCTGCTTATCCAAGCTCGGCCTGGCGACGTCATATTCTCCTGGTTTCTAATTGTCAGACATCTGAGCATCCCTCGCGGTGGCCTGGCTACCGGCCCACCGCTGCCTCCCCAGCTCCAGCTCCAGCTCCCGCTCCCGCTCCGACGACAAACAGAGGACTTCAATGTGACTTGACTCGAGGCGCAGGAAATGATGCTGTGGGCGTGTCCTCCCCGTCCCCGCCCCCGACGCCATGCATTTGGAAGAGAGTCTGGACCCTACTTGCGCTGCACAGCATGTCGCCCGTGACCCCTGCCCTGCCCTGCCTAGTCCAGCCCTGCCTCCAACAATCGACGGCCTCCAGGCTTCCTGCAGGTGAGGCTTCGCTTGCGGAGGCGGTCTCCGCTCCGCAAACACTGGATGATATCCAGTTTCCCATTTGTACACCGAAGATCTGGGTCAACCATGGCAGAGTGAGGCCAAAAACATACGATTTAACACGAGAGAGAAACCGAAGGCGCCTCGAGGCCAGCCCCCTGGGGATTGATGGTGTTCTGCATGAACATGAGCCCTGCAGCCCTGGATGACAGCCCATTTGACGAATCGAACCGTTGGCGTCATAGAACCTCGACCTCGGCCTCACCTCGACACTCGCCAGACAAATCTTCACCAGTGTGGCTGAAGCGTCAAGCCCAAAGCCTCATGAAGGGAGCCGAACAGCCTGAGATCGTTGCAGTCATTGCTCGGTTCTGATAGGGACATCCTACCCGCTTGGTGAGAGCTCCGATATTGTCCGGAGACATGGTTGAATGATGGGAACATTCGAGTTCGGGGGCAGGCTCTCAGTTCTTCAGTGTTACTTCGAGCTCGACCTTGGATAGAAAGAAAGAGAACTAGGGTCTAAATCACGTGACTACGTCGGGAAATTAGCCCCGTCGAGGCGCAAGGTCGGCTTTCCTCAGGCCTAGGCGCCTCATCCGCCTCTGACCTCGTGCCTTTTCTCAATGTATACCGAATGGTTCGACGATCCACAACTTCATAAGGGACATCTAGGTTACCAGTGGGGGGGAGGGGGTCAGGTCACATGGCTATGCCCTCTCGCCTCCACAGTAATTCTGCTCCCGAGAGAGTTCAAGTTTTAATTTCCTCCTGCGCAAGCAGCCAGAATTCCTGCTAAATGTCTCCAAGAACATAAGAAAGAAGCCATGGTCCCCCATCCTCCAATCTTCCTCGGCCGTATCAGATTGGCCGAAATCGAGCCTTTCGGGCAATCCGAGCTCCTCATCTTCTCCATAACCATACCCCTCCCTCCCTCACTTGAGCTCTTCGAGCGCGTCAACCAGCTCCCGGCCTTCCCTTCAAAGCCTTCCGGTCGTGGGATTGTTCCCTCCGCTGTAAATTACCTGGCTTATCAGAGGCTCCAGAGGCTTTAGAGCCCTCTTGGGAAAGGTCAAAGAAGCCCGATGGAACCACAGCAGGTTGCCTTGATCACCGGTCGGCCATCGCACAATGGTGGTCATTGCCCATTGGCCAACTGTGGCGATCTACAGCCAAGGAATAGTTGCATACCAATGATAAGCTTCACGCCGCGCGGGGAAAACATTCGTAAAAATTCTGCGATAAGACTCCTGTAATGGTCTTATTGAAAAGCTACTACTCATTCCTTGAAATAGGCGGTTGCATCCGAATTTCGTTTCCTTTTCTTTCGTTGTCTTCCTTCATTCGTAGCTTTCATTTCAGCCGAATCTCAGAAGTTCGATTATCACAACACCACCTACCTGCCTCTTTAAGACAAAACCTAGCCCCCCAATGTCGGTTCGAAAGACAGACTCGGGATCGAATTCCCTGACTGAACCGAATGATCTCAAAGTTCCCTATGAGGAGGGACTCGTTGAAGCCGGACCGGGTATAGCGACGAATGGAGATTCAGCATGGGTTGTTGATCACCATGCAGAGCGTGCTCTCTGTCGCAAGTTCGACTATCGTCTTCTTCCCGTACTGGCGATGATGTATCTTTTCAATGCTCTTGATAAGGGCAATCTTGGAAATGCGAAGACCGATCACATGGACACTGATCTTCATTTCAAGAGCAATCAGTATAACATTATATTGAGCGTTTTCTACGTCCCCTACGTACTAGGAGCCCCGCCTATTGTAAGTCCTTCAATGTTTCGAATGCGCACCAACATTCTGACACTGGAAGGCAATGCTAGGGAAGAAGTTTGGTCCTGCTATAGTATTGCCCATCTTGATGGCATGTTTTGGATCGTTCACCCTCCTGACCGGTAGAACCCCCAGTTCGATGCTCCAGAAGGGTTAGACACTAACATTCTCACAGTTGCTGCCACCAACTTTGCCGGCATGCTCGTTTTGAGGCTCTTTCTTGGTGTGACATCACGATCTCTCTTGCAGTGTACCAGCCTCTAACGGTGATCCAGGCCTTTCGGAATCCGCCTTCTTTCCTCTAGTCATTTACTATGTAGGTGTTGGGGGAGAAACCATTTCCTATCTGCGAGTGTTTCATGAGATTTTCCTAAGACAATGTCCTCTCCCGAAACAGTCCCAATTGAGCAATTACTGACTCCCCCGTTACCTAGCTCACAACCTTCTACAGACGTGGCGAGCTTGCCCGTCGCCTAGCCATCTTCTATGCAGCCAGCAACATCGCCAACGCATTCTCCGGCCTCCTAGCATTCGGTGTCTTCCACATTAAGAGCACGCACCTCTACGCCTGGAAATACCTCTTCATCATCGAAGGGTCCCTCACCTTCCTTTTTGCAATCTTCGCTTTCTTCTACCTACCAGCCAACGCTAGCTCTGCGAGGTTTCTGAATGACGAAGAGAAGAAGCTTGCTTATCATCGTATCCAGGTAGATTCTTCGTCTGTGGTTAATGAAGCGTTCAATCTCAAGGATTCGCTTAAGATCTTCAAGCAGCCAACTACCTACGCCTTCCTCGCCATTGAAATCTGCCTTGGTGTCCCACTGCAATCGGTTTCGCTCTTCCTCCCACAAATCATAGCCCGTCTTAAATACTCGACCGTCAAGACAAATCTGTACACTGTGGCACCAAACATCAGCGGTGCGGTGATGCTCCTGATTTTGGCCTTCACTTCCGATTACACAAGACGAAGAGGACCTTTCATTGTCCTAGGCTTCACTTTTACATTCATCGGAATGATAATCTTCGCCCCCATCGACGTGGTCCACGAAATTCACCTAGCCTGTAAGTACATCTCCCCACTATCTCGGAACACTCATTCGCGATCAGGAGAGCTGATATTTCAAGACTTCGCCACGTTCATGATGTGTTGGGGCACCTCCGCCCCGTCAGTCCTCCTGTCAACATGGTACAACAACAACGTGCCCCACGAAGGCCGCAGAGTAGTCCTGACATCTATCGGCGTACCACTCGCCAACCTCATGGGTTTAGTATCTAGCAATATCTTTACGCCGCAATCAGCGCCTAAGTACATCCCAGCCTTAGCCACGACTGCTGCTTTTGGTGCTACAGGTGCTTTGCTCGCTGGGTTGTTGAGCTTGTTCATGGTTTATGACAATAAGAGGAGAGATCGTAAGTTGGGGAGGAAGTTGGATATAAGGGAGATCCCCACCGAGCTGCTTCGCGACGGACCAAGTGTGCCCGAGTTCAGGTGGTTCTTGTAAGGAGTGGGAAGGAGACGTGATCTAGGAGAATTGATGAGTGGGAGAAAGGAGCGAACGTGTTGTATTGCGAACTCGAGCTGTAGAGCAAACCAATGCCATCAGATAACACATCTGCTATGTTTTGCTGTCTATTCCTCTAGCCATTGCGATTATTCAAACAAATGTTGGGACATTCAAGACTTCAGCACCTCAGAGGGCCGTTAGGCGTAGAATCAGGTTTAGCGAACCCCATTCGGCTTAGATTATTTGGGTCATATATATTCAAATAAGATATTTCCTGATATTAGCAGTGGGCACGGGTCTAGGGTTGACCTAGATCCGGGGAGTCAGCGTGGGACTTGTTGGTAAAGGATTAAGTTTTCGGCATATAACTTTTTGCCATTTTGATTTCGATTTCTAGGCCCGAGGGAGAGGCAGGCTCGAATAGGTATTTGTTTGTTTTTCTTCCTTGGCCCTCTGGTAGAGGTTGCGCTTCCCTGAATGCATGGAGCGAGCCTTTGTGATGAGTTGCGTACGGTATTGTTTTGTATTGTATAGTTCTCTTGACTGGGCACAAAAGGCAAAATTATATCCTGAGCTCTGGACTCACACTTCCCAAGGAGGCAACTGAACTTCTGAAGGAAGTTGAGGATACTTAGATGGATGCATATCTTATGTGCCGCTTTTTGTGGTACAATGGGCGGCCGGTGCTATAAGATGGCATATTAAAAGAGTCTGAAGTCCAAGTCCGCTGAAATTTAAAAAGGAATGCCTCCAAAGATGGGCAACATCAGATCACAAAAACACATTGTTAAATTCGCAAAGGGTTCCAAATGCAAGAATTGATTAGCAACTACCCCAAATCATCACTGAACGCCCCTCCCCGATTTCCTGGTATATCCATATCGATGCTATGCTCCGCCTTCAAATCAGCCAACCATCCAGCCACCACAGCCGTTCCACTCAAACTCCATATTTGTCAAAATGAGGCCGTTGCATCATGATATTCACCTGCCGCCCAACCGCCATACCGCTCAAACTCAAACTCCAAAACCCCAAAATATGAGACCGTTGAACGTCTTCATCAATCATATCGCGTCGTTCATTGCCGTCATTCGTAACGAATCCCAAGCTCAAGAATCATCATCATAACTCATCCCTTCCACCAGGATCACCACATTAAGACACGCCGCATACGCCTCCCGAATAGCACACGCCATGCACGTCCTATCCATGTCCGCAACCACCGCACTAAGTCCCCAATGACTGCACCACGCCCTCGCAAGCACCTCATTATCACTGACACCAAACGCCTCAATAGCCAGCACCTTCTCCCGCGCATCCTCTTCCTCCTCCTCAACAAGAGTCCTGCCGCCAGAGCTGCTTGCCGCGCCGATAGAAGAGACGTTTCCGTTCAACCCGCCCCAGTCTTTGATCCTGAGGATCTCGTCGACTTTAACGGCTGTATATACGTAGTCGAAGAACAGCGGATGGGGACCTCTGGCGCAGGGACATGCGGCTATGAATGAGACGTCGTAGGAGAGGCGGAGGGGCCAGGATTGCCCGTCGATGGCGAATTGTACTGCTGCGTCGTAGGTGAGAGGTTTATCTTTATCCCTGTTGTCTGGTACGCTGCTTGCAGAAACTGGTTTCAGCGCCAACTTTTCGATCCGGACCGTGTCGACGATCTTATCTGGGTCCAAATCTGGGAGCAGGAGTTGATATTCGGCTACAGGATATTCGTCCGAGGGTGGTCCCAAGGGATCGGAGCGTTCGGTCATGCTTTCGGTATCGCTTACTGTGAGATATTGCTTTGGTTTTCGTTGACGTATGCGTGCGATTTGGATTCGGGAGAGGTCCGGCGCTGGGCGTGCTGGACCGATCCAGCCTCCTATTTCTCGACATGTGGGTGCGAGAACTTTACCGACGATGGATGCTGCCGACCAGTATGTTGTGCTCCTGTATTGGAACCCGCTGTTTGGATGCATATGTGTTAAAGAGGCCAAGGCATTACCACCTGCATCCGAATCACAGTCGATTAGGGAGTTCATTATAAGCCAGGGTAGTGTCACACCTGGAAGAACCATCCCCGTGAAATAGGACATCGTATCGGAGCTTCGATCCTCCAAAGGCTTCTCATCAGGATCCTGTTCTCTCAAAATCTCGTCCACCTTAGCATGGTTCGGCCATTTCATCGCGCGTGCGAACTTCCTGAGAGCTTTAACTTGGCCTTTCTTAATTTTAAGATGAAATCTGACTGGAAGATTCTTAGTTTAGAAAGTTACAAAAAGACAGGTAAAACTTACTGCTTTCCAAATCTCCACCAGTCTTGAATTTCTCAATGGTCATACACTCGTGCCACTTCCTAGCAAGGGCAAGATCCCAAGCTATACTAGGCGGTAGCTGAGCAAGTAATTTTTCCTTCGCCCAATCCGCATGGTGCTTCGAATGTATCCGGCGATCCAACTCCGAACTCAACAGCAGCTGATGAAAGAACGTCTTGTACCTCCCATGATCCGTGTACGTAGCATTAGCAAAGTACTTGGCCACAACCTGATTCTCCGGTCTGCTAAAGTCGATCCACTCATCCCTCGATAACACAGTAATTAGATCCGCTATCTGTGTCTCCATTCCTTTGTGGGGTTTCTTGAACTTGTCCGGGTCTCTGAGAAGGTTCCTGTAGAGGTTCTTGTATAGCAATTCTTCATAGTCTTCCTCAAATCCATGCTCGAGATATATCAGCCTTTCCAGGATGACCGAAAGTTCCACTTCTCTTGGCTTGACGCCTGGATCTCGAAGCTCGATCGGGGGTGCAGGTTGTCCGGACAAGGCGACCCAGTGATTTAATGTGATTGTGCCCGGCTGTGCACCATAGCAGAAGGACATGCTTGGCTGCTCGAGAGTTTCCCACGGATATACAGCTGGTGCCTGGCCTTGGAGTGGAAATGAGCACGCAGCAAATGCAACATTATATGGCTCCGCTTTGTCACTTCCATCGGGTCCATTCCCAACGACAGTCACGTACAAGTTATAGTATTCCTCAGAGGCGTGCGGGATCGGTCGTCGATGTCCTTTGAAGACCGGAACACCAGAGCAAATCAACTCCATCGCCTTTCCCTGTGAGAGGCTCCCATCTCGCGCAACGCCTAGTGGAGGCCATTCCGTCAAAGGTTGTGGTGGTGCCGGACTTCCACGTGGAGATACAGGAATTCCAGACGACCGCCGGGGCTCAGATCTCGCGTGGGGTGATCCCGGGCTATGTGAACGTCGCCGGTGGCTTCGGGGAGGGTTTGAGGTGGCCGGTCGTTCTCTGCGGTGCTTGCGTTCCTTCTCCTGCTCGAGGTAAGCCCATTAACGTCATGATGTGGTTCAGAATGAATATACTCTATCGCTGGGGCTCTTGGAGGACAGCGGCGCAGTGCTTCGACTCCTAAAGAGACCTAGCAGCTTGTTTTTGGTTTCGCCCATGTTGTATTGTCCAAGTCATGTCCGAGAATGTAGGGTAATTTGTAGTCGCAGTGGTGCGAGGCCGCGTCTTTGCAGCGAGGCTGAGTCTTTGCAGTAGTAAATTCCTAGCAGCGTCGTCGTTGGTCCAAGAGAACCTGTTCAGCTCCCATTCGAATTTTGTGGACTCTGAAGAGAAAGCTGTGAAAGGTCGGCCGTTCCATAGTTGTTTAAAGGTGTCATGTGCGATTGTGGTTTCAAAATGTTCATGAGCACATGGCGATGAATCAGCCTTGCGCCCCACACGTGACGATTTCCATATATACACCCCCCACGATTAATCGTGCAAGTCGGGAGCTTATGTACTGGCTATGATACAGATCCAGTTATGATAACCCGGTATGGCACAGCTCCAGCCCGAAATCTTCCTCCTGCTCTTGATATCCTTCGATCGATACTCGCTTCCAAACACTTAGTTCAGCTCAACCTTGACATCCCCAGACCAAAGCGTATCCGTCATTGCTGAACTCGAATTGGTATCATTAGATAAATTCATCTTCTTAACTGCTTCTCGATACTGCAAATAGGTTAGTTCAAGAACAGGAGACCGAGAAATATAGTGCTTACCTGAATAATGAAGTTGAGAATCAGAACGACAATCAGAGAGACACAGACAATCACAGGCCCAATCCAATTGTCGAAGTCCTTTCCACTTCTTGCCACAATCATATCTCGGCGCACGCGATGCATAGAGTAACCCCATATCGCGGTAAACATAGCGATGCCGAGGAATACAATACTGAAGGCCTGTATCGTCAAGCTTCCCTTCGCTGCGTTGTACAGTGCAACCGAGAGCGTACCCAACAAGACGGAAATGTGCTGCCATTTCAAGAATGTTCTCTCGTTGGCAAGCCATACCTTAGGCTCTACTTGCAGAGGTCCAGAGTCTTTGATAAGTAAAGTTGGTTTCGTAACGCCAGGAGGGAGCGGAGCCTCTTTCACTCGTCGTACCAGAGCGTACCTCGACAACGAGAATGAAGGGAAGACTGAAGGCATGGTGCCATATCCAGACTGCGCGCTTGATCCTTCTCCACCATCGCGCGCCGCTGGAGATCTACTGCTGCGGCGTTCCCTCGTACTGTCGTCCTCTGCCGCCAATCTATCTTGCATGTACGACTTGCCCAACGGTGAGCTAACTCCAGGTTTGAAACTTCCACCACCTCTTGGAGTTCCAAGGAAGCTCCCAACGACTTGGCTGTTCTCTGCTCTCGTGGCCTTCCTCCTCTCCTCCTCCTCAAAAGCATCCTGCGGGTCCTTACGAATATCCGTTTCGATTTCGCTGAGCCAGAAGGGGAGGGCGTTGACATTATCCTCGAACAAAGACGCCACCCCATGGACAAACTTTGAAAATCGAGGGGCTTTGTGTACCAGATGAGACGCCATTAAGTCTTCAACCCATTTAGGGCTCTTCTTGGCTCCATCATCTTTGACCTTAATATCCAGAATTGCATAGGGGAACCTCGATATCTCGCCCTGGTTTATGTTGGGAAAGGGGTAGGCCATAGCACTGTTGTCGATATCGAGTCGATGCCAGTTGTCAGGATCTCTGCACGGCCGGTCCGGATCCAGGGAGTCCTCCCTGATAAATGCCAGAGACGTATCGATAGATATTCTGACTTTGTCATCAAGAGGTTTTTGGAAAGCTGTTCGTGTATAAACCGCTCGTAGGACTGGCTGCAAGTCGTGCTCCAAAATAAACTTTTGAATCTCGGCCACAGTAACCTTGAACTCCTCGATTTTGTTGGTTTGCTGCCCTTGGCGCTCCATCTTCTGTATACTCTTCTCCATTTTATATTCGCCCTTGATGAACGACTGGATATACTTCCCCTTAATCGGAATTCTCTTCTCCTCGCTAGTTCCATTTCCATGTATAGTCTTGAGTTCAAGAAAGAGCTCAGGATTAGCGCTTAATTGGCCATACCACCTCACCCGCAATGAAGATGCGTCAACCTGTCGGTCGACCTTATCTTTATACAAGGAAAAGTCTTGGCTGTCGAAATAGAGGGAATTGAGGGTCGGGTCGCCCTGTGTTTCGAGGCTCTTCGAAGTCGATTGCTCGCTATAAACAAGGACAGGAAGTCGGCGAAGCACGTAGGTTTTCAGCTCGAGCAAATTATCGAGATGGACCCAGACTATCGCATTTTAGTGACGCGTTCTTCTGGAGCAATCGATCAACTCACATTTATATGCTGTATACCTCTCCCCATTGTGAGTCTGAGATTGGGCATCGGATGATGATACGGCAGGATTTGTTTCTGTCTCGTCAAGTTGCTGACGAACGACGAAGAACATCGTCGAGAGCTTGTTGAGAAGTGGGTGATAGCCTTGCTCGGAATTGAAAGGCCGCTTCGAGAGACTGGTCATCAACATGGGACGAATCTTGTAGTTGTTCCCCCGCTTCCGATCATGCTTCTTAACAATCTTCAAGAACCCCGTGTAGTTTATTTCGCTGTATTTCTTCAGCCTCTTCGTTTCGTCAAGGATGCCGTCCAATTCTTTCTCGAGCTCCTTGAACCGTTCAGTGGTGATGGTCCCCTTGGGATTTCCCTCCTCTGGTGCCAGATCATGAAGCTTCTCGGCGGCTTTTGTTGCACGCTGTTCGAGGCTCTTGAAGGTTGATTCTTGGAAAGCAGCGACCTTCTCCAGCTGGACGTTGAAAATCTCATCGCAGAACTTGTTCTCGTCGTCCTCGGTCCATTTGACACGCTCTTCCGCATCCTCACGCAGGAGGCTCTTGAGCTTTGCGTAATCGATATATTTGTCCTTCCATTCTGGGTATATCGAGCTCCGCAGAGTCCTTCCGAATCTCATCGTGGAGAGGGAGGCGGTATGTCAAGCTGCGGAGGAGAGTATTGTCGGATCGTATCGAGAGATTGAAGGAGGGGGTGCAAAAGAAGGCGGGGAAGTCTATCGTATTAGCTGAACCATGAATGGCTTAAATCGAAGCCACTGACTGGACACGGGCTTCAATGCCTTTCGTCGAAGCTCAACTGCTGTCGATTGAAAGGCTGCGGGGATGTGAAGTAACGTCTTTGGTCTGGGGGGAGAGTAATTGTAGAAACAAGTGAAAAATTCCATTCGAAGAAGGCTTCAAGTTACGTGCCACACCAGGAGGGTTGAAGCAGGCAAGGGTCCTGGAGCTTCGAGCAGGGATTATCAGGGAGGTCGAGCTAAGAAGAAACGTGCGCCGGGAACGAGCCTTCATTTGCCAATTCCTGGGCGAAAAAGAGGGTGGAATGTTCGGACGGGATGACCCCACTTGGCACGTGATGTTATCGATGATTATGCATGTCGGGTGGGGGTTTAAAAGATGGGTTTTGGGATGGATTTATTTATGTTCAAAGAACCTTCATCAATAATAACAGTGATCTTCCATGCGAAGGGAAGGGGGTCTCCCGTGTGTCTTTCTATTAAGATTCCCAATTTCAGTATGCCGTGGTAGCAATGCAGTTCTTGTCCTTAACAGCTTAGCAAAAGCTTCACAAGATATCATCTTCTGAGCATAATTCACAAATACAGGAAAAGGACCAGAAGTTTATGTACTGTGGTTCAATGCTCTATTGTACAACGCGAGGAAATCCGCAACTATTCCCGAGACCCATCAAGTGAAAATATTCGCTGGTATCGCAAGTATAATTGTCAAGCCCAAAAACCAAGACCGACGATTCTTTCCGCCATGCTCTTCTGGTATCGTAGCAGATCGTTCGTAGAAGATCGTTCGTAGCAAAATCGTGAACGTTTCCCTCATCAATCATCTTGAACCCATTGACTTTTCTCCCTCGCTTATGCATATTCCATTCCCTTGGCATCCGACAAAAACACTCTGACGACCACGAAGCCATTCAGGCAGCAACAGCAGAGGCCTGGATAGGAGCGCGCTCAGCACGACCAAGAATCTCATGCGCAGTTCGCTTGACGATACCACCGGTGACTGGAAGGCTGGAGGATCCTTCAAGATAGAGGTCAACCTCGCGAGCTGACTGTCTTCCTTCATTGATGCCCCTGAGGGTTTATCAGTAGGTAGAAATTAGTCAGACGATTGGGGATACAACTCACCAGACAATGAGCGACTGTCCACGACGACAATCACCAGCAGCAAAGACGCCTTCAACGTTGGTGTGGTATTTTCCTGGAGGAGTCTTGATATTTTTGCGAGGATCCTTCTCAATCTCATCGCCAAGAACACGATCCTCAGGTCCCAAGAAACCCATGGACAAGAGGACGAGGTCAGCAGGAAAGAATTGCTGAGAGCCTTCAAGCTTCTTCATGTCCCAACCACCGGTAGCAGACTTGGTCCACTCAACACGGATGGTGTTGATGCCTTTGACCTTCCCAGTCCCATCGTCAACGAACTCCTCGGACATGACGCAGTACTCTCGAGGATCCTTGCCCATGTGCTGCTTGACCTCAGTGTGACCGTAGTCAACACGGTAGATTCTGGGCCATTGTGGCCAAGGATTGTCACGAGCACGCTCATTCGGTGGCTGTGGCAGCAACTCAAAGTTGGTGACGGACTTGGCACCGTGACGGACAGAGGTGCCAATGCAGTCATTACCAGTATCACCTCCTCCGATGACAATAACGTGCTTGTCCTTGGCCGAAATGTAGGCGTTATCTTCAAGCTGAGAGTCAAGCAAAGACTTTGTGTTCTTGTGCAAGAATTGCATGGCAAAGTGGATACCCTCAAGGTTTCGGTTCTTGATGGGGAGGTCACGAGCAACAGTAGCTCCTGTTGCAATAACGACAGCATCATTCTTTGCCTTCAAATCCATGAGCTTGACGTCCTGTCCAACTGCAACCCCGGTCTTGAAGGTGACTCCTTCGGCAGCCATGAAGTCCGTACGACGCTTGACAATCCTCTTGTCGAGCTTCATGTTGGGGATACCATACATGAGAAGGCCACCACAGCGATCAGCCCGCTCATAGACAGTGACCGTGTGGCCAGCTTTGTTGAGCTGGTCAGCGCAAGCAAGACCGGCTGGTCCTGATCCGATGATAGCCACAGTCTTGCCAGTGCGGACCTTGGGAGGCTGTGGGGTCATCCAACCCATGTCGAAACCGCGGTCGATGATGGCACACTCGATGGACTTGATACCGACGGGGTCCTCGTTGATACCAAGAACGCATGCACCTTCGCAGGGAGCAGGGCAGACACGTCCAGTGAACTCAGGGAAGTTGTTGGTCATGAGAAGACGATTGAGAGCATCCCTCCACTGGTTCGAAAAGACGAGCTCATTCCACTTCGGAATGATGTTGGAAATAGGGCATCCGGAGTCAGACTGGCAGAATGGAACACCGCAGTCCATGCAACGAGCAGCCTGGTACTTGAGCTCATCCTCGTCAAGACGCTTGGAAAGTTCGGCCCAGTCCTTGGTTCGAGTCTTTGCTGAGCGATACTTCTCGGATCGTCGTTGGTATTTCATGAAACCTTTGGTTTTGTCCAGGACAAGAGATCTCTTCTTCTCAACGGCAGCGTCACCGACGGTTTCTTCGATGTCCTGCAGGTCGGACTTCTTCTCGTGGGGATGCTTCTCCTTCAAGTTCTTCTCGTGAACTTCACGGACAGGATTGCTAGGGAGAAGAGGGAGCGAATACTCAGTACGCTTTGCCTCAGCTGCCTTGGCGGCCTCCTCTTCAAGAACTCGCTTGTAATCGACAGGCAGGACCTTGACAAAGCGAGGAAGGGCTCTATTAAAATCGAGAAGGACGCGAGCTGCAAGTTCAGATCCGGTGTAGTGATGGTGATCTTCGATCAAGCCTCGAACGAAGGCAATTTCGGCAGGGTCATCAATGCCTGAAGCTTCGACCATCTCAGGGTTGAGCTTCGACATGAAGTCCTGCTGGATGTCAAGGATATAAGCAATACCACCTGACATACCAGCAGCGAAGTTACGACCAGTGCTTCCCAAAATGAGAACACGACCACCAGTCATGTACTCGCAACCATGGTCACCAACACCTTCAACAACAGCAGTAGCACCCGAGTTCCGAACCGCGAAACGTTCTGCCGCCACTCCTCGGAAGAAGCAAGTTCCACTGGTAGCACCGTACAAGCAGACATTGCCAATGAGGACGTTCTCCTCTGCCTTGAAAACGGCAGTACGGGGAGGGTAGATAATGAGGCGACCACCGGACAGACCCTTTCCGACATAGTCGTTGGAGTCGCCTTCCAGCTCGAGGGTGATACCAGCTGCGAGGAAGGCGCCGAAAGACTGTCCAGCAGAGCCCTTGATGTTGACATGGACCGTATCCATGGGTAAACCAGCTTCTCCGTAACGCTTGGAGATCTGGTAGGATAGGGATGTCCCCATGGCACGATCCGTGTTGACAATGTCGCACTCAATGCGAGAAGGCAGGCCTTTGTCGAGCGTGAGTTCGGCCTCAGAGATAAGTTTGTTGTCCAGTCTGACGTAGAGGCGATGGTCTTGCTTTCGGACGTTAAAGGTAGCTACTCCGGGTCTGAGCTTGTGCGCTGGGGTCAGAATCAATGAGAGATCGATGTTCTGAGTCTTGTTCGTGCGCAGATCCTCGCGAACTCGGAGGCACTCAGCATGGCCAACCATTTCGTTTATGGTACGGAAGCCAAGCTTTGCCATGATGGCTCGCAATTCATTAGCGATATAATAGAAACTGCACAGGAGGGGTTAGCAATCGCTCATCACGTATCCTTTCGGGAGGGAACTATTGAGTTTCTTGGTAAGGGGAACATACAAGTTAATGACATGCTCAGGTGTGCCCTTGAACTTTGTGCGGAGCTCGGGGTCTTGAGTTGCAATTCCAACCGGGCAGGTGTTCAACTAAATTATAAGTCAGTATGGGCCATCGCAGAGGGTGGGTTAGGGAGCGCACGTGGCATTTTCTCATCATAATGCAGCCCATAGCAATGAGAGGGGTTGTGGCAAAGCCCCATTCTTCTGCTCCAAGCAAACAGGCGACAGCAACATCACGGCCAGTTCGAAGTTGACCATCGGTTTGGACAACAACACGACCTCGAAGATCGTTCAAAACTAAAGTTTGATGAGTCTCGGCGAGACCAAGTTCCCAAGGGAGACCGGCATACTTGATACCAGTCCATCGAGAGGCACCGGTTCCACCATCGTGACCAGAAATCAAGATGTGATCTGCCTTGGCCTTGGCCACACCAGAAGCAACAATTCCCACGCCGGTTTCAGAGACAAGCTTAACGGATACTCGTGCACGAGGGTTGGAGCACTTCAAATCATAAATGAGTTGCTTCAAGTCCTCGATACTGTAGATGTCGTGGTGCGGTGGTGGGGAAATCAAACCAACACCAGGCGTGGAGTGACGAGTACGAGCAATGGACTTGGATACTTTGTGGCCAGGAAGTTCACCACCTTCTCCGGGCTTAGCACCTTGAGCCATCTTGATTTGAAGTTCATCGGAGTCGGCCAAGTAGTTGGAGGTGACACCGAATCGTCCGGATGCGACCTGCTTGATAGCTGATCTCATAGTATCACCACTTTCCATTCTCTCGGATCTCTCTGGATCCTCACCACCTTCACCAGTGTTGGACTTTCCGCCAAGTCGATTCATGGCAATGGCGAGCGTTGAGTGAGACTCCATAGAAATTGAGCCGTAGGACATAGCTCCAGTACAGAATCTGCGGACGATCTCAGTCCATGGCTCGACTTGGTCGATCGGCACTGGGGAGCACTCATCGAACTTGAAGTCGAGGAGACCTCTGAGGGTGCATGCCTTGATTTGCTCGTACTCAGCGAGGGAATAAGCCTCGTATGATTTGTCGTTCTTGGTGCGGACAGCATCCTGGATGTTGGCAATAGAGGTTGGGTCGTTGATGTGGGGCTCTCCTCCATCACGCCAATGGTACTCTCCAGATTCTACGAGACCTGGAACGCTGACAGTGTATCGAGATGGAAATCCCTTCTCGTGGAACCTGAAGGCATCTTCGGCAATGAGCTCGAAGGTAATGCCCTTGATTCTGGTTGCGGTGCCCTTGAAGCATCGGTCGACAACAGTATCATCAACACCGAGTGCCTCGAAGATCTGAGCACCCTTGTAACTGGCCAAGGTAGAAATGCCCATTTTGCTCATAACTTTCAAGATACCACCGTCGGCGGAATACTTGTAGTTTCGAATGAGCGTCTCATCGCTGAGCTTCTTTCTGATCAAACCCTCGCGGTTGAGCTTGATAATACTTTCCATGGCAAGGTATGGGTTGATGGCGTCGGCACCATATCCTACGAGAACACACATGTGGTGGACTTCGCGTGCCTCTGCAGTCTCGACAACGATAGCAGCGAGTGATCTCCACTTGTTGTTGACCAAGTGATGGTGAACCATGCCAGAAGCAAGCAGAGCCGAAACGGGAACCCGATCGGCGGATGTTGCACGGTCAGACAGAATGATAATGCGGTCCTTGTTCGCGATAGCAGCAGTTGCCTCTTCACAGATGTAATCCAAGTGCTTGAGATAACCCTTGGTACCTTCGGATTTGGGGAAGGTCAAATCGATGACTTTGACAGTCCATAAAGGGTGAAGCTGGTTGATATTCTTCAAAGCGTTGAACTCGGAAATCGAGAGAACGGGCGTTGGCAAGAGTAGGCGCCCGCACTGGGATGAGTCCATTTCCAGCAAATTGCCTTGAGGGCCAACATAGCACTCCAGGGACATAACGATGGCCTCTCGAATGGGGTCGATTGGAGGATTTGTGACTTGTGCAAAGAGCTGCCGGAAATATTCGTAAAGTAGGCGAGGTGCCTCCGCAAGGCACGCCAAGGGAGCGTCGTTGCCCATAGACCCAAGTGCTTCCTTCTCATCTGAGGCCATTGGTGCAAGGAGCAAGCTGACCTGCTCAAAGGAGTATCCGAATGCTCTCAGCATCGCATCTTCCTGGATGGGAGCAGAATCAGGCTTGGCTGCCAGATCAAGTGTGCCTCTGGCGAGCAGATCCTCATGGATTCTAGGCAAGCTGATCAGCTCTTTGTCGAGCCATGCGCGGAAATTGTGGCGGTTTGAAACGGTGCTCTTCAGCTCAGCATCGTCGATAATGCGGCCGGCAAGGGTGTCAACAAGCAGCATCTTTCCAGGCTGCAAACGCCCTTTGAGAATAACTCGCTCGGGGTCGACGTGCATAGTTCCAACTTCGGATGCACAAATGACTCTGTCATCGTCCATGACATAGTATCTGCAGGGTCGGAGACCATTTCTGTCTAGGTTGGCACCACAGTATCTTCCGTCAGCGAAGGTGAAGAGAGCAGGTCCATCCCAAGGTTCCATCTGACAAGCAGCCCACTCGTAAAATGCAGCTTTGGCAGGGTCCATTGCGGCATTGTCTTGCCATGCTTCTGGGACCATGAGCATGACGGCCTCGGGAAGAGAGAGGACACCGTTCACGGTGAGGAGTTCCAAAACGTTGTCGAAAGCAGCCGAATCAGATCCACCGTCTTCAACAATGGGATAGAGCGTCTCAAGCTCATCACCAAAAATGTCGGATTGCATGACACCCTCACGAGCGCGCATCCAGTTCTTGTTGCCCCGCAATGTATTAATTTCACCTGGATTAGTCGTTAGTGCGTGTTTCTTGGTGGGTGCTACAATATTTCCATACCATTGTGAGCTGCCCACCGTAATGGTTGAGCGCGGTCCCAAGATGGGAAAGTATTTGTGGAAAAGCGAGAGTGTACAAGAGCGAAATGGGCTTCGTAGTCGGCATTTACCAGATCATAATAGTACTCGTAAACCTGTACGGGAGCAAGCTGGCCCTTGTAGACAATATTCTTGTTGGAAAGGGAGCAAAGATAGAACCAATTGTGGAGACCAATGGTATGGGTCGCACGCTTTCGTAGCACGTAAAGTTGTCTCTCGAAATATTTCTCATCAAAATGGTCAGGATCTGTAGTCTCTGGCGAATTGCCATAGCCGTACGCAGATGCTAACACGACGAACGGCTGCAAAATAATAGGCTCACGCGAAGCAGCAGCAGGACCAAGAAGAGTAGAATCTTTAGGAGGCTCTCGCCATCCCAATACCCTTAACCCCAGTGACTCTGAGATCTCTTCCAACTGTCTCTTTGACTCGTGCAACGTCTCCTCATCTGGCTTGAAGAAAAGATTGCCCACAGCATATTGTCCCATCGGTGGAAGCTTGATATCCGTTTCGCGTTCGAAGTTCTTGATGAAGAACTTGTGGGGAATGGAGGTCATAACACCTGCACCGTCTCCGTCTCGAGCATCTGAACCCACCGCACCGCGATGGGTCATGTTACAAAGCAAATTTCGCGCTGCCGAGGTGAAAAAAATTAGCTGATTGACCTCTAGAAATATGTATAAGGGCATACCATCGCTGACGATCTTGTGGCTGGCCTTGCCCTTAATGTTACTGGAAAGGGTCAGTCGTTGCGCTCGGTGGCAGATTTCAGGAACAAAAGCTTACCATGCAAAGCCGACACCACAAGCATCCTTCTCCAAATCAGGGTCATACAAGCCCCTATGAACATTGGTCAGCCGGCTGCTCCTGCAGACAAATTGAGGGAAAACTTACTGCTTCACCGGGAGCGCTCCCGCCCAAGAGCCGTTGCCCTCCGCTTGATACTCATACTGATGGTATGGCTCATTCTCGGCGTCGATCTGGTTTTGTCTATCGTTGAAATCGTCGGCTCTTGCCATAGCAGGCAAAGTAGCGGCGATTCCAGGCGTTTATCGTTTGCGGGAGAGTGAAAGCCGTCTTGTGTGTATCGGAACTGCACAGAAGGCCTTGCAATGGATGTTTTCTGTCTTGCAAATTGCGTTAGCAACTGATAAAATAGTGTCGGAAGATGGCCACAACTGGAGTGTTGGTCGGAAGTGGATTTCTGGGTGGTGGGAAAAGTTGGAGAGGCTGGATGGGCGGTTTAGTAGAAGGATCGCCCGTGACGATCATGTCGCTTGCCTCGGAGTGGTTCGATTGTTGAAAGTGAATCCAAAAGATCAAAAAGATTAACAGCCTGCTGCCACCGACTGAATTGTGACCCGGCAAATGGATGGAGAGAGACCGAATTGGTCTATCAGGCCCATTGAACCCCGAGCGGCTGTCTGCATGGACATGCACGCTGGCCGGCCGTTGCGATAACCAGGCGATTGGCGGCATCCGGGGATATCAAGTGGGAAACGAGGGGAAGCATCATGGCACTCACGCTGCTCTGTGTTCCTTATTCACAACTCAACAATACTGCTCTTGCAAAGGAACGGTCGGGCTGGTAATGGGGGAGAGGGAAAACAGGCACAATGGGGGGGGGGGGAAAGCTTTTTATTACTGTACAGAATTTGGTGTGTGGAATTAAGAGCCCCTCCACACCTTGGAGCTAGGCACGGTCCAAGTGCTACTCCTCCAATGTTCCCTTCGGCCTGTACCGGCCTCGTCTTACGACTACTGGATTTCACATCTAGGACGTGGTTCTGCATGTGTGGTCCCCACTCCAACTGCATATCTTCTTCTATCGGAAGACCTGTCCATCCCCCAGATCCGGCGAGGTCGCGAGGACTCAGAACGGGCTCGCACCTTGTCCAAGTCCCCCCTCCTGCCGAGGACGACCAAGGTGAGTAAGTGGTGATATGCTCGAGTGACCTTTTCTAGCAGTCATCGCATCCAGGCGAGATATAATAGCCGATGGGCTTTCGATCCTCGGAAACTCTTTTTCGAGGACAAGGTTTCCAGGACCCCACACAAGGGCCACAGCTTCGAGGCAGGCTGCAGCTCGAGCTGCATATGTCGTGATGTGCAGCACTGCAGCAGCAGCAGCAGCCTGCTTCGCTGCAACGTGCAGGGTCGCCGCCCAGCAAATGGGAGGGTGGCAAAGTAGCCTCAAGTCTGGGTCGTCGACGGTCATGGACGGTCGTGCACCTGGCCCTCTGGGCCCTACGGAGAATGGCCCTGGGAGCGCCGTCCGCCGCGAAAGTTTTTCTTCAGTGAGATCCGATATCGCCGTTGCAGACGCTGAGCTAGGACAACCTTATTGCTCCTTGCCAGGGGGTCGATTGGGTTAAGGGGCTAGCTGCTGAGCAGGTCCAGGCTAGAGAAGTGTCCAAGAGACTTGGCTGCTGGTCGAGGAGTGTTCTTGGGAGCTAGTCTAGCTAGAGCGGTGCCAGCCTTGAAGCGGACGGTTTTGCATCGAAAAAGATTTTGTCCCGGCTCGCTGACTGGCTGCGGCGCCGGCAGGGAACCACCCCGCACCGAGGGTTCGTGTGAAAAAATGACACATTGCCCATCGTCCCATTCTCGTTGCAGCCAATCACGGGCTCTGGATATCAAGATTGCAGTGTGATCCTGGTGGGAGAGGAGCCCTTCTCCCCTGTCGTGGACCCCCCCCCCCCTGTTGAACGTCCCACGCCAGCGCACAAATCAGAATTCGCGACATGTTTCTGCGGATGACCAGGGGGATGGCAAGGCTCGTGACCACGGGCGACGGAATATCTTGGACAGAGAGCCAGAGAAATCGGGCGCAATAGGAACCGCCCGGCCAGCGAAGACATGGAAAAGCGGCTTGTACTGTAAGAAGAAAAGAAGAAAAGTTCGAGCCCCAAAGACCCAAAGGGCGGTCAATAATGGCAGCTGAGTCGTCTTCAGCATGACGCGCACGCACAGCCTGGGCACAGTGGGCAAAACCCGGGTTCCGCATGTACTTACGAGAAGGAAACTGGGACATCGAGTCACATCTCACAGAGGAACCGGGTGCGAAACGCGGTCAGAATTGCCTGAATACTGCCCTTTTCGAGATCCGATGGAGTTGAGCCGTCCGGGGCTGGAGAGGGCGGGGAATTGACGAGGGATTGACAGGAACACAGCCTTTTGCAAGCCTTGCCTATCCAAATCGGGCTAGGCTCAGCCTCGCCGAGTCGGACCGTGGAGAGGGGGAACGCGACGTGAATGTTTACCACAAAATTCACTCATTCACCAAGACACCACCAAAATGCTCTCCCTACCGAATCTGGAACCTCGGGATGTAGGATTCACTCCCGCGGTCGTGTCTCCAAAACCAATTTATTGACATGCATAGTCCTACACGTTGTGGTACACCTCATCCACGTCCAACAATCCCCCCCCCTTTGTCGAAGCCAGCAACAACGCCAATGACCCGCCCACGCAAGGCCAGAATGCAGGACCACATCCACACCGCCGCCACAATGCGCTCCATCGGACGCCCTTGGTCCGATTGCGATTGGACGAGGAATACATGGAGCGGAGGAAGCTGAACATCCAGAATTATGGCAATTCGTGGATCAAGCCGCCCGGCATACCGAAGTCCTTGCACCAGCTACGCGAGGAGAAGAGGGAGATGGAGGAGCACCAAGAAGCTTTGCGACGCGAAGCGCTTGCACAAGAGCTCGCAGAGGCAGAAGCTGAAGGTGTCGATGCTTTGTTGCAGGGCGAGGGGATGGACCCCGAAATGGAAGAAGCGCGAGACCTCGACAACGACGTTCCCGAAGCCGACACAACAAATCCAGACGTCGATGGTCCCGAGAGTGAGGATGAAGAGAATGATGTCGAGGATGTTCCCAGAGGCGTCTTAGCGGCACGAATTCCTGATGATGTTTACAGAGAGGCTATAATTCGTGGAGAGGACGTTCGAGCCGCTCGATTTGGTAACGATGGCGGATCGACTGTTGATGAAGAGGACCAATCCCAGATGCTTCAGGAAGAGGACCTAGTCCACGAAGCAAGAGGCCACCATGATATGGATATGGACATGGATGCGGATCTGGATGCAGACATTCCTGAAGCCGAGGCTGGGAGCTACGAGCATACGGACACAGAGGCTGAGCTCACCAGCAGTGATGATGAGAGCCTAGATGATGGGCGCTTGCCCCAACGGAATATTGTGACTACGAGTATGGTCAGGAGTGATGGAACCCAGAACAGCATGGATTTGGGAAGCCTCATGTCGAATGGGAGCAGCCAGATTGGCAGCAGTCCTAGGACGAGAGGTGCTCCACGAGGCAGAAACAGGCGCTCGTAAGCGGGAAAACATCCTCAAATAGGCATCGTTCCAGAAATCAAAGGTATTAATATAGCCTCCCTGCGGCTAGAAGCAATAAATGATTTATCTTACAAGCAGCGCCCAACGCCTGGTTTAATGCAATCCCGCTGTCTCTTCTGTTCTTTCTCCCAATGCCCACCGTATAAAGCGAATGCAGTTCCTAACTCTCAGAATACCCATACGTAGAAAAAGAGGAACCCAACAGCAGCAAAGAATGCAAGCCAAACCTTCCAACCCACCCCTGTTCGTTCTGCCATCAAGAGCATCCTGTTCATCGTGCCTCTTAACCTGACCCTCGTACTATCAAACGAGTCATTCATCTTCTCCGCCAGTGCTGAACTCTCTCGAATCTCGTCCCCAATCGCTACTGTCATCTGCTTCCAATCAGCACAACTCCCTTCTTCATCCAGAGAACACACACGTCTTTCAACTGCCTAACCTTCCCCATTATCCCCTCAACCTGCCCATCGTTCTGGCTCTCTAACTCGTTCAGCACAGCATCGCTATACTGTCCCCTTCACAGCATATTAGCCCCCCCTCCCATCCTCTCCCTCAACACCACAACTCACCTCGAATTCGGCGTCGCTGGCCTATACCCCAGCGCACCTGCCCCAAGTCCTCCAGCTGACCCATTCGCAGCACCGGCATACCCGTACCCCCCCGCATAACTGCCTGCGCCCGGCCGACTCGGGCTCGCGGTCCCTGGTTTCCTCTCGCTCCCGCCGCCGTTGTAGTTCTCGAAGAGGGCACTGCGGGGATCGCGTTGGTGGAGGGAGGAGGCCCCGAATCTGCTTTTCAGAGAAGAATCATTAGCGCGATTTTCCAGAAGAAGAGGAAATGTGGTAGGGGATGCAGGAGCGGGGATTTGGATATGGGTTGAAGGGCTTGAGAGCACGCGCACATAACGGTAGAAAAGCGCCACGCCCAAAAAGGGAATTAACGAGCGCCAAATATTGGATTTATGCCAAGAGAAAGGTAGACAGGAGGGAGGAGGAAGGGAACAAACCTTGATGCCATGGTTGTGGAGTTTGAGGTGGAAGTTTGATTGTACGTCTGGAAATGTGTTCGGTTGGGGCAACAGATGAAGCCACCGCATCACCCATGGAAGATTTGGCAAAGGGGTCTTTGATGGCAACAAGCCACGTTTTCTCAATAATTGAAATGCTTTAGTAGTTGAACAAGATGGACTTTGATTTCTCATTCAGATAATCAAAGAGATTGGCACTGCATTCACAATTCAAAGTGGAGAAGTTGGCTCATATCATCTTTTTTCGCATGCCTCTCGACGCCCCTTTCTAAAGTACACCAAACCCAGGGAGCCTCCTATAGCCATTCCGCAAATCAATCGTAGTCTCATGCCCAGAAACCTCATAATGCAGTGCTATTGGAGAATAACTTTTTGACGACAAACGAAAGATGCATGAATGTGCTTTTGATGACGATCGGGGAAGAAAAGTATCCAGTCAAAGCAGTTCAGTTCGGATAGACTAGCCATGTCCAACAAATGCGATGTTGTCCAGGATTTGCATTGAAAGTCCACCAAAACTGATCACGTCTTCAACCAAGGATTTAGTCTTTCATCTCCTCATCCTCATCTGCTGCATCTATTAGACACTATAGATTCTTGTACTCTTTCGATCTTACCTGGCGCCTCGAAATCATCATCCTCATCCTCATCTTCATCTTCCTCTGGGAGCTCCTCAGCAGCCTTAGCGAAGTCAATGTTGCGGCCACGAGTGCGGCGACCGATGATGTTATCCAGGTCGATCTCCTCCATATTATCCTCATCAGGCTCATCGGCTAAACTTATATCAACAAAGGTGTGAAGGTAAACCGGTTGCTAGGAGTATCTTACCGACAGCTTCGGTCTGTAAGAGATGTTAGTTGATGCGCTAAACTTCGAGTAGTCGGTCTATTGAGCATACCTCGTCAACTTCTTCCTCACTGGAGCTCTCATCAACGTCCATGCCCTCGTCGTGGGTTTGCGCGCCGGCGGGGGCTTTGCCCTTTCCCTTGCCCTCAACTGCGGTGGCAGTGGCAGTCACATTCTCGTTCATAGCGGAACCGTTTGTGTCGGCCATTTTGAAGTGATTTCAAGTGTGATTGCTTGATTGAGTTGGTAGTTGTGAAGTGCGCAGTTGTGAAGGAAGTGGATTGTTTTGTTTGAGAGAGCTCGAACCGCGAGATTTCAGCCTTTTGGCGCGGAAGGACGCGATTTTGGCCAGGCAACACGTGACGAACATTCTCCTTCCTCCAAGGTTAGATACGATGAAATTGAGTTGGTGTCAGACAATTTGAATCCGGATAAAAGAGCAAATATGTAGCGGACCGCATGTTTATTGACATTTCTATCTAAATTTCAGACGTACTACAGTGTGGAGCTAGCTATGAGACGGTCGCGTCGGACAATTCTTTGGGGACCAAACTTTCCGACGTGACATAGTACAGGAATCTGAAGTATAGGTTTGAGGTTTAAGGGGAGTAATCAGCTCCTGAATAAAGGTTTACTTGTCTTGGGATATGTCAGGCAGCCTCTGTTTTCGATGCACGATAGGCGAGTGAGAGGCGAGTAAGAGAAGTCCCAATTCGAGCATCTTTGTAGTACTTCACTTAGAGTTCATTCCTGGATTTGATACATATTTTTCTTTTCATACCAAACTAGTCAATTGGCAATCCACTCTCATTCCCCTCCTCCTCCTCCAGACATGAGAAGTAAAACGCCGGCGAGCAGCACCCACCAATACCTAATATTATGTTAGTAAATGCCATTCGGGTTTCGATAAAAGGATAGACCTACTTCTGCAACATCGTCTTCTCAGCAACAGGCTCCTCCAGCTTGCCCTCCGGAGACAGAACAACGGCTCTGTTCAACGCGGGCGTTGGCGCCTTCGCTGTCTTCAACACTTTAACCTTTGGCCCAAAGTCCCTCGTCTGCCCAGCATCAATCTTCGCACTCTTCAAGCTGACACCAATGACACCCCCTTGCGCATCCAACGACAGTACCAAAGTGGGCGAGTAACCTTTCGCGAAGCTCTCGGCAGAGGTTGTTGAAGTCGAGGATTTCCAGCTGGATGTCGCGACATCGTACACTCCCACTCGAAGAAGTTTGGATTCTGGATCTAGCTCGGGGAAATCGAATGAAGCGAGTTCGGCGGAAAGGGTGGATGGATTATATTTGATCTCTGCGAGAGGAATGGCGGGTGCTGCGGTGGATTCTACAGATTGAATGTAGACAGTTGTGCTGTCTATCAGATCAGATGAAGCTGAAAATACTGGCGCACAGAGCGCAGCCAGAATTGGTAGGAATTTCATCTTGAAATGGCGGGCAATCAAGCTGGGAGAGTCCGGAAGAACAACTTGACGTTATGCAGCCTTCTCAACTTTCTACCTCAGGCACGACAAGGCTGAGAGTATATTCAGCCGAACCGAACCGAACTATTGCCTCAGGTAGATTCCCATGTGGTAGGTACAGTGTGGCAAGCAAAGTGAAAATGCAAGCAAAGTCCAAAAGTGAGCAGCAAGTCACGCATGTTGCAGAGGAATCTCATCCATTAAGTGGCAGTGCTGAAAGGGTATATGTAATTTTCCCAGCATTGCAGTCAAAACCAAACATGCGGACCGCGAGTAACCAAATCCACCTCCCTCCTTTCTTCTTTTGACTATGCAATTGCTCCACCCTTCTATACATAAATATCAACGCCAAGAACAGATTCCACCACCCTATCATTGAACGCCAATCTCCTCCCAGTGCTCCCAGTAAAATGAAGTGACCCAGGGTATAGCATCGTATCTACATTCTCCCCATCTCTTCTTCTTTTTCATGCTGGCTTATCTTCATGAGAGGCTCCCGACTGCTGCATTGAAACATCATCCATCCATTGCTTCCACTGGACGTCTGTATTCTCCGTTGCCGGTGCTGAACTGGCCACCTCCTCAGGGCTCTCTATGTCGTCCTCATCATCTTCTGCGTCTGAACAGCTCGTAGTACCCTCATCCTCTATTTCGTAACCTGGCGCTCGACCCACTAATCCCCGGTAGTAATCAACGAGGGTCTCCGGATTGGGTACGATTTTCCAATCCAGTCGGTAAAGAAAATCGAGCTCGAGGAGCCCAAGTTCCGCTATCTTAATCCCTCCAACTCGAGCGTATGTAGCATTGTTCCAGAAGGAATCTGACAGACCCTTCGCTGCCACAGTCGCTGCCGTAATCAGGAATCGATGAACCGTAAGAGTAGTAATCGTAAACGCCGGGTATAGTAAACAAAGCCGGTCTATGTAATAGACCATTGATAGCAGTAAAGGTGGTGTTAAAGTTGCATGTTTAGCAAGTCTCCGGAGGTAATCAAGAACGGATATCCCAGGTGGAGTCCTGCACAACATCAGTATGTAAGGTCTCCCTCAACGCTAGCATTCATCTCACCTTGAATGGAAACGAGTGAGAACCCCACTTCTCAGAGGAAGCTGATCATTGGTTTCAATGAGCTCTGATATCATGTGTGAAATAACCACAACCATATCGTCCACAGGGCAAAATTCGTATTTGGAAGGCAGCACCTTCACGGGAGTTTGATCCGACTTCGCGCGCTTCGGTGGGAGGGTTTGACTACTGCTAACCAATGCCGTTGGTATATCTTGAGACTGTCGTCTTTTCAGTGCCGGTGACTCGGGCTGCAGGATCGGTTTTGTTGGGGAGGGAGGCGCCGGGGCGACAATAGGGGGAGCTGACGCCGCCGGCTGGGGAGGAGGAGCCTCTACTCGCACAGGTTCTGTGCGAGGAGGATCCATCTTGGAGTTCATACGAGGACTCCACTGAGTTGCGGCGTCAACATATTGTACTCGGTTTGCTAACACGGGCTTCGAGTAGAGACGTTGGGGCTTCGATTTTGGATCTCTTGTTGATGGTGATCCTGGTAGTGATCTTGATATCGGCGCATAGTGGAACTTGGGCGAAGACGCTGGCGATGCTCTAGGATGTGTCAATGGCTTCAACATTGTCCCGAGAATGTACTCATGGTCAAATTCCTTGTCGTCGTCCAACCTGGATGTTTGTGGAGAGTGGGGTTGTGGGCTGTCTTCTAGATCGCTCGAAGCTGATATGGCTATTATGCAAGTGCAAAAAGTCTGCCAGGGCGCAAATAAAGTGCCGAATTGTGGGGTTGTTCGTGGCTCGTAAGTGGTTTGTTGGTACTTCAGGTTTGAAGGAGTTTCTAGGCAATTTGGAAAGATTTTTCAAGAAAAAACTTCACGAACAGACGTCAGGCTACTACTGAATGTAGCTGAGAGTCCGGATGCGATCGAGACGTCAAGGCGGCGGGCAGGGCCACCACGCGAAGGACTACATAGGTAGTCTCTGCCGACAGTAGTGGTTGGGAAATGCCATACCAGCGTATAGGGAGACGCAGAAGGGCCTCACGCGTTGACGTGCTTTGGGGTTCTGCAAAAGTGCTGGCGAGGCTGACGGCCATTTTCTCCGAAGCCGCGAGAACAATTTGAGCCTGATCTGCTTGTAGCCTCTTCCTTCGGCGACAACAGTCGGGCAAGAGCTATTCACAGCAACAGCCGCGTCGATTCGACATTCACACGAGTAGTGGACAGTCGAGGCGAATCATTATAGGCTTTTGTTTCCTTCGACGGCTCGAATCAGTACAATATCCTTTCACGGGTCGCGCCACGAGCTTCAATTACGTCCCGATCAGGGTTCACTATTTAGATGCACGCCTCCCATCCACAACCTCTCTAAAATGGCCCGACCTCCCTGGGTAGCACAGATCCGAAGCGCGAGGAATAATGCCGAGCAGATAGAAGTCTTGAGGGCTCTGAAGAACGAGATCGTGGGCCACCCTCCGCAGAAGGAGCTCGTCGTTACGTTGGGAGTTCTGGAGCCCATCATCCGCTTGACGTTCAATAAGAATGGAATTAGACAGGATGGGAAGTCGCACGACCATAGCTTTGCCTCTAGACCTCTCAGTGAGGAGGAGATGGTCAGATTGCAATGTCTGCAGGTCATAGCAAGCATTGCTCTCGGTGAATAGCTCAGTCCACACTTCTCTAAATTTACTGACCGTATACAGGAGGCCCCCCCTTCCTTCCCCCCCTACAGGCCGCCTCTGTCTTGCCAGCGATCCTGTCGAACATGTGTCCTTCGAATAACCCATCTCAATTAGTCCTGGCCTCCCTCCGTGCCCTCTCGAATCTTGCGGATTCATCGGCTTTGGCCTCAACCGCACATGTCCTCAGCACCAGTGCAATCGCGGACGCCCTGTTCACTCGCCAGCATCTAAACTCCCTATATCGCATACTATCACAATCTTCTCTATCGGCGTCCGTTCAAACCCAAATATCAATTGCGGCGTCCTTGATCAGTAGGATCTGCCTCGATGAGCGCCACCAGCAAGGCCTTGCGAATTCGGGGGTTCTCGATGCTCTTGCTACCAAATTAGCAAGCTTCGTTGTGGCAGAAGGACTCGTTATACCCGGTGCGGAGATCCTAGCCCAAAGAGATGGCTTGCAAGAATATTTCCCTTCGGCGGCCCCTTCAGGTGGGAAGCTTGCTATAATATTGGAGGCGATCGCAGTCATCATCACCGACTCCAAATTCAGGGCTTCCCAACTGCTCTACTCTGCATCTATCCTCGCAATCTTCCCCATGTCTCAACCGACCGACCTTGTTGCAACTCAAAACGCTCGAGCGGCTTGGAACGCCTTCAACGCCGCCGGATTGAGCGTTCGACAAACTCAACTCAACGCTGTGGACTATCTGTTACCTTTTGTGCCCCTCCACCAGGTCAAGAGCACATCCGCCTCTGCCTCTGCCTTTCCACCCCTTGGCACATCTGGTTCCAGAGAAAATCTGGCCCCCTCAGTACGAGCTGCAGCAAATAAGTATAACGGAGCATCGCTTCCTAGTTGGAACGACTCTCCCGGCTTGGACAGCAGTACGGTAGCCCTTGATAACATTACGATCGACCCTGAAGAGCCAGAAAGTCCTTTGATAGCATATCTTATACTACTACTGAGATCGCAGACTAGCATGACTCGACTGATGGCTGCCTCTGTCTTGACGGTTCTCTACAGAGCTGGCTTGACCCACAAGACCAGAGAGACTGCGATTGGCTTACTCGTTGTTCCGCTTCTTGTCCAGCTGTTGGATGATCCCGTTGTTCCTTTGAAGGGGAAGGATAGCCTTCGAGAGGAAGAGGACCTACTGTTGCAAAGGGCGATCACCGAACGTACTCCTGCCATCCTGGCGATGTTGATTACAGACAGCGAATACCTCCAAAAAGCTGCTTTTGACGCTGGTGTTGTCAGCAAACTTGCGAAGATGCTGAAAGTCTCCTACGATCCCGTTCCCGAGACTGCAAATCTACATCCATGGTCTCCAGCTGGCGAGGAGTACGGGCAGGGGGTTGATGGCCCGTCTCCTCGACTAGGCCGCAATGGCCAATCTCCTCTTCTAGTTCACAAGATAAAGGTTAGGGAGAGTACCCTGAAGGCAATTGCAGCACTTGTTCCTTTCAAGGATGAGTACCGGAAAGCAATCGTGGACCAAGGAGTTGTACCTTATATCGTTGAATCAATGAGCTCATCCCCGGGGAAGCCATCACCAAAGGCCGACAAATCTGAAAAGCTTGTCAGTCATTCTCCCGACGAGGGATCTAAGAAGGGTTATGGTATCAACCCAGTCAATGTCCTGATTGCGGCATGCGGTGCCGTTCGCGCGTTGTCTCGGTCCGTCAGCGTCCTACGCACCACACTCATTGACAGCGGGGTGGCTGAGCCTGTATTCCGTCTCCTTCAACATCCAGACATCGAGATCCAAATTGCCGCCACAGCAACCGTCTGCAATCTGTTGACGGAAGTCAGCCCAATGCGTCAGGTGAGCAGCTTATAGTCTCTAAGTAGTAGCACACATCTAACCCACTCCCAGCATATTTCTGAAGCTGGCGTTCTCAAGATTCTCTGTGAGCACGCCCACTCAATGAACGCAAAACTACGGCTCAACGCTCTCTGGGCATTGAAGCACTTTGTTCAGGGGGTCGACAACGAAATGAAGCGGCTGTGCCTCGAGGAGCTCGGCCAGGGCTGGCTTGTACAACTAATATGTGACGATACTGAAGACGAAGCTCTACTTTCTTCAAGGGTAAAAGGCGAACGATCTCATACCCCAAATGATGAAATGGATGAGGACGTTGAAATGGACCAGTTCGAAGACCAAGTTGATACTGCATTTGGGACATCCTTCGGTCGCTCAAACAATTCACGTCCAAGCAGTAGTCGGAGCAAGTCTGTCCAACAAGCTGAACTTCGCCTTGCTGCATTGCGAGATGCAGAAACGAATCCGGCTAGAAAGGCCCGGAAGGATGATATTGCCGTGCAAGAGCAAGGGCTCGACTTCATTCGAAACCTTATAGGTGGTGCTGGCAACGGTGGGACATCAGACACAACGGAGATGATCGATTTCCTCTTCAACGCTCTTGGCCAGGACAGAGTATTCGAGATCTTAGCATCGAAACTCCGGCCGAGGCATGTTAACAGTTACACCAATCGCAGGAACTCTTCAACACCCGAGGCCAGAATCGTGCCTCCTCAGTCCGAGATCATCATCGCCGTGGGATATATTCTTGTTCATATGGCTGCAAGCATTCCTCGTCACCGACAAATAGTCATCTCTCAGACCGAGTTGTTGAAATTGCTTGTGCCTCAGTTCAACCACCCGAGTATTGAAGTACGATTAGCGCTCTGCTGGTTGGTCACCAATCTCACTTGGCTGGATGACCATGGCGATGGGGAGGCCTGCGCATCGCGCGCAGATTCTCTCAAGAAGCTTGGGTTTCTTCAAAAATTGGAGATGCTTGAGCAGGACCCTGAACTTAATGTGAGGGAGAGGGCGAAATCTGCTTTGTGGCAGATGAAACAGAGTTATTGAAGATAATCTCGGCGGAGGATTTCTTAATGAAATGATGTTGCATGGCGTATTCGGCGGGGAAGTGTTCGATGCGAGATGAAAATCACGAATTGTATAAAACCAACATTCTTGCCTCTCAGGGTGTTTATGACAATAATTCAACATCGTTCTGCGACAGATACAAGAAGCGGATATTTCACATTCTTGACCCGTCAGCTTTGATTTGTGTTTCATCTTTCTAACTGGGACATAGCGAACAAATCTACATTTCATCGGGCATTGCTCCTATCCTGCGGATTCTCCGGTTCCGGCACGGGGATTAGGGGGGAAGTCCGTTCGTGTAACGATATTGATATCAGCCTCTGCCGCATGACTCGAGGGCGAATAAGGACGTCGCATTCGTATCCAAAAACGCAATCATAATGCGGCCAAATCAAGTAGCTAAATAAAGCACAGTTGCGGGACCAATGATGCTGGAAGGTCAAAGAGTCCTTCAGTGCTGTGTTCTCGAACTAGCGAAACCGACACTCGCGTGGCTTTCAATGTCCGAGACGCGGTTTGACATCAATGACGCCCGGCCCCGGAATAATGTATAAAGGTCTTGTTGGGACCTGCTATTCAGGTAAGGTTCTTAGCAATATCTCTCCATAATTGTTCACCATGGCTTCAGATCAAGTTGTTTTAGTCACTGGTATTAGCGGCTTCCTTGGATCGCACGTTGCAGACCAGTTTCTCGAAGCTGGATACAGAGTGAGAGGGACCGCTAGAGAAGTTTCAAAAGTTGATGCGATCAAGAAGACTTTTGACTCAAAATATGGTGTGGGTAAAGTGGAAGTTGTGGCCGTTCCAGACATCACCGTCGAAGGTGCTTTCGATGAAGCCGTGAAAGGTATTTAAATGACCCTCATCCTCTGGAACATCCATTAACAGCTCACAGGAGTCTATGCCGTTGCACATGTAGCCTCAATCCTGAGCTTTGACAAGGACCCGGCCAAAGTGATTCCGGCTACAGTAAATGCCACCACGAGTATCTTAAACTCCTGTCTCGCCGTGCCAAGTATCAAGAGATTCGTCTACACTAGCTCTTCCGTTGCAGTGTCGATGCCAAAGCCAAATGTTCCCTGTTCATTTGACTCAAGCAGCTGGAACGAGGAGGACGTCAAAGCCGCCTGGGCACCCGAACCTTGGGGAGACTCTCATCACTGGACCGTGTATGCCGCCAGCAAGACAGAGGCGGAGAAAACTTTATGGAAATTCAGGGACGAGAAAAAGCCTGGTTTCAGCATCAATTCGGTCCTTCCTGCCACAAACTTTGGGCCGGTAATCACTCCTGATATTGTGTCTTCGACGGCAAAATGTGTGGTAAGTGCTAACCTCTCGGGTGTTGTTCCCTCTTCAGTATCCTTTCCCTGGTTTGTACCGATGTCCAGCCGTTCTTGGAACATTATGCTCCTGATTATACTTTGAAGAAGTACGCTGACTGCGATTTCTTGGGAAACAGCCTACTATTTATAGTGGAAATGTGAAAGCACTGCTCGGTGTATTGCCTCGTAAGTAGTCCATTTTTTTCTCCACTCTGTTGATGTACGCTAACAAAATGAAGAGTACTACATCGACGTCCGAGATACGGGCCGGCTACATGTCGCAGCAGCAAAATATCCAGACGTTGAAAACCAGAGACTTTTTGGTTGGGTAGAACCTTATAATTGGAACAAGGTGCTTGCCGTATTGAGAGAAATAAGACCTCGGCACCAATTTCCTGAAGATGTGCCTGGTCTCGGCGAAGATATGAGTAAGGTGTCAACGGTAAAAGAGGAGGAGCTGTTGCATAGGATGGGGAGGTCGGGGTGGACTAAGTTGCCGGAAATTTTGGAGGATGGTTTGAAGAGCATGTCGATGTAGATTGTGTTGGCCATTCAAATTCTCCCCGTCGAAGACGGAAACATTGGTTGTGCAATCAACACTAGAAATTATATAAATCTTTATAATGCTTTTTAACATTAAGAAGTCGGTGGTATTAATTCACCGAGGAAATACCGATTAAGTATATGAATATCCAGAAGAAACTGGTACACTCATCGGGATGATATTAAGCGCTCTCGGCAGAAAAGAGGCTCGCATAGGGGCTCGCTTGCTCGTTTCAGTGGCTTTTGTTGAAGCCTCGGCACGGCTGACGCATCAAATCTCAATGACAACTACATTTCTACAGTCCACGAATGCAAGATGTCCAGCGGCAACTCAACCCGGGGGCCTACTCTCATTGATTCCCTTAGGGATACCCTGAAAGACCTATATGCGAACCCGTATCCAGAAGTGGAAAACCCGGTCGGCTGCAAGAAGAGGGCATCCGTCGCTCTTGTCTTGCGGATCAGGCCCAGCTACGAGCACGAGGCTGCTGTGTTGGAAGAGAGTGGTCACAGTGGCTCAACTACTGAGCGGCTAGACGGCTTCTTTTCACAGTCTTGGGTCCAGCATGGCGATCCAGAATGCGTATTCATCAAAAGAGCCGCAAGAGTTGGAGACCGGTAACCAAGCCATTTCTTTGTCCTATATCGCGCGTTCCCCGCCTCACTGGACGGGAGGATATTTCGTGCTCCCCTCTCCCTAAAGAAATACGTTACTAATTTTGAAGGTGGACGGCGCATGTTGCCCTCCCTGGTGGGAAGAGAGGTATTGTACCAGTCGTCCCAGGATCAATCTGGTTCTAATTAAGAAATAGATGAGGAAGATGAATCTGATAAAGCTGTCGCAATCAGAGAAACCTCTGAAGAGATAGGCTTTGATCTCACTTCTCCCCACGCATTGTTTATTGGCAATCTGCCTGAACGTGTGGTGAGCACCTCGTTCGGCCGGCAGCCCATCATGGTACTATGTCCCTTTGTCTGGCTATGGACCGGACCTGAGATTCCAGCGTTCAAACTGCAGCCAACAGAGGTAGCGTCGACCCATTGGGTACCTCTTCGAGTCTTGCTTGCTCCATCGGCAAGGACGCATGAGTATGTCGATGTCTCGGATCGCTTTGCCCATCGAGGTAGCGTCTTCTTGAAGACGATTATAAGGTCTATCCTGGGCAAGATGCGGTTCTCTGCAATCAGGCTGACGCCGTCGGAGTCATTATACTGCAGCTCTACAGTCGAGTTCTTTTCGCCCCCGGAAGAGAATCCCGCGCTGAAAGCCTCTCTAACAACCAGATTGTACAGCTGGTACCTGGGAGATCACGCTGGAGTAGCTGGCAGTAACAGACCTTTGCTTCTCTGGGGATTAACACTCGGGATGCTAGCCGATTTCCTCGACCAGCTTCCACCGTACAATGCAGTTGAGCTGTGGTCATATCCAACGTTCACCTCACGGGATGTCCGATTCATCATCGACATTCTTACCATCCCCCTCAAGCGGAAGAATCAAGCCCGTCTACAAAGCAGTGAGCCGAAGAATGAGACTGCTATTGACAGTGAGACGGAAGCAGTCTCCGGCGACAATCCGTGGTTCATCGGGGGGCTCAGCAAGGGCATGGAGGCTTCGAAGAAAGGAAAGAATGCCACCAGATCTTATGCGGTGGGAATTCTACTCGAGAATTACTATGCCATGGCAAGAAGGGGGGTTTGGATCTCGGCAGGAATTAGAGCCATAACAACCATACTGTTTGGATTATACATTGTCAGGAGATATCGTCAGCGAGTTGGGCGGTGATTCTCTGTGGAGAAACCGATTCAGACGTTAAAACCTCACCATACCAGCGGGCAACATCTCGGACAGGATTTGCTTACTTGTATCGCATGTAAATTAATTGAAGTTGTCAGTACTTTCGACTTAGACTTGGGGTGTTACGATGAGTTTGACGACGTCATTACTCTTGGACGTCATTCCGGACGGCGCTGCAACCATAACCTCATTTTCTTCTAATTTCAAGTTAAAAAAATTGCTGCTATTATTTACGTGGTCAATATTGTACCACCCAATTCGGAACAATCTCGTCAGATCTTTTCTCCCAGCAATCACTCGGACCATGGCTACCGGCGCGGCTAGAAACGAAGACTTGAAGGCCAGCAAGCTCTTCAATGTCGACCTCTACACTGCAGTAGTGACCGGAGGAGGCACTGGAATTGGCCTCATGATCACTCAAACTCTGGTTGCCAATGGAGCTCCTGTCTACATTACTGGTAGACGCAAGGAAGCTCTCGACGCTGTTGTTGAAAAGTATAGCACTGGTCCAGGTGATATCATTGCGTATGTGATGTGATGACCATCATATAGTTCTAGTCCTAATGGATCAATCAGTGTACCAGCAGACATTAGCAAGAAAGAAGGCATCCAGAGGCTTGTCAACAGAGTTGCAGACACGGAGGTGCGGGGAATTCAGCTACTGGTCAACAACGCGGGCATTGCCAGAGATGACAACACCAAATATTCCAATGGAAAGCCAGACTTCAAGGTACTTTACCATTGGGAGCTATGGAACTCAGCTGACAATACCTGCAGTCTGCGCAATCCATCTCAGATCATCTGATGAAATCCGATCCAGAAGCTTGGGCAGAGACTTTCTCAACAAACGTCTCGTCACAATTCTTCGTCGCAGCAGCATTCCTCCCACTGCTCGCAAGGGCTAACGGCTGCATCCCAGACTTCACTCCAAGCATTATAAACATTACAAGTATCTCAGGTTAGTAGTTTTTTTTAGCAGTTTTCGATTTTTGGTCTTTTCTGAAAAGAGTCTTCGCTGTTGCCGCATCCTTGCTCTACCAGGCAGTTGCTAACACCGACTTCTTCGAAAAGGGGTGATGAAGGGGAGCTCAAATGGGCAGTTTGCTTATGCATCCTCCAAGGCGGCATTCTTGCACTTGACCAGGATGATGGCCACGACTTTCATAGAGACTCAGGTCCGGGTAAACTCGATCGCTCCAGGGGTGTTTCCTTCGGAGATGACGACCGGCGGATCTAACGAGCATCAGAAGAGCTCTTTGGACAGTGAGGCTTCGAACCCGAGAGGACGCTATGGCCATGACACAGACATGGGTGCTGCGGTACTTTTCCTCGCCGGCCCAGGAGGACAGTTTTTCAACGGGCAGGTGCTCTATCCGGACGGAGGAAATCTTTTGGTCTCTCCTGCCTGTACATAAGTCCCTGTTCGCTCATTGCTTTCATCTGTAACCATAGAATGAACCAAGCCTCGGGCGGCGGTCTCGGCTGGTCCAGCCCAGAGCCACGTGCATCGGATTCGAACTGCTACTTCTAAGGCAACACCTCCTATCTTTCAGTAAACAAACAAAACAAGCGAAACAACGCGAAATGAGTCATCGTATCCCCACATCTTTCCAAAAGGGTAAGACATCCTTCCACAATCATCCAAAACCAGTCACATGACTGTCTCAAGCGTTAGGTAGGTATAGGCAACCACCCCTTAAAGCGAAATCACGGAAGACGCTTGAGTCAATACATTTTTGAAGCTTTTCGAGACAATAGGACATAAAAGAAGAGCTATTGTCTCGAATGAGCTTCCAGAAGTGACTGTGCAGAATAATAGACCTCGCTTAGTATTGACATCACAAATTCCATTGTTCTCCGAATAACTGGTGCTGAAAGCTATTGTCAAGACTCAGGATGTACATCCAACGACAGCGAAAGAATCTCAACCCATGTCTCTCCTTCTCCCGTCATGATTCAAAGGTCCTGAAGAACTCATTGCGAAAACTCCGTTTCAGCAAACGCATACAAATTCTGTACAAACTTTTGTTACACGGACTGCCAGTCTTCTATAAAATGGATAGTATCCAGGACTGCATCGCGCAAGCCGTTCTAGCAACACCACTCCGCGTACCAAAATCTTGCAACCCGTGGGAGATCCACCCTGATCCGTTCCCAGATCATCTATTTCCTCAACTCCGATCCCTCAAACGAGCAATCGCCAAGCAACAGAGAATCAAGCAGATGGAACCGATGAATTGGCAAGCCGGCATTCGGCCAGACCGTCCTTTCGAGCCGCTGCAGAACAACTTCTTCTCACAACCACGCCCTCAACCTCCACCGCCTCCTCAACAACCTCATAGCCAACGGCAAATACCAACGCAATACTACCTGGAGCAAGCCGCCTTCTACGCGGAGAACTTCGGTCCCGATCCTTACGCAACCGAACCAGAGATTATCCAGCCTGGTCCCCTCAAAGTCCTCGTCGTCAGATTCATCACAATCTTCAGGAAAGCCGCCGTCCCAGGCTTGAACATCCTCGCTTCCTTGGTCTTCGGACTAACTGTTCTCGGCCGGCTCCTTTCGTCTTGGGCCTTGCGGTTCCCGCTCAAGAAAATCTGCACCTTCGTGGCAAACTTGGAGTGGGAGGCTCTTGTTGCTATGGCGCTGGCGACCCAGTGTGTCAAGCTTTTGCCGGGGATGGGTGGAGAGGTGGTGACGGACGGCCGAGAGGGAGGTGGCCCTGTGTATACCATCTTTGTTGGGAGGGGACAAGCCATTGGCAATGGACCGGTCATGCCGGGGAGTTTTTAAGGAAATACTGTATCTTTGGGCGGAGCAAGGCGGCAGGATGGATGGAACTCTCTGCTGGAACGATGTTTCTCGTGTTTGCTATATACTAATGACTGAATGCAAACAATGTATATAACACGGCCTACGGGCACTTACCCATAAAGCCGCGCAAGCCTTCAAAGTTCATCTAATGTGCTTTTGCTTGCAATTGATTGTGATGATTCATCGACTCTCTTGACCGATTGAGTCAAGGACCGAACGGCCTCAAACCAAGAGGCAGAACCGAGAATGACGCAAATCCAGCTTTAACACCAGACAAAATTGTGGCACTCACCACTTATCTTCAGCGAGTACCCTTGAGCACGAGTCTCGGAAATACAGGTAACACAAAAGCCAACGATGCAATGCATAAAAACAGGCTTCTCACTGAATGGGTCTTATCAGGTATCATGCCGTTCATTCGTAATGCCGTGAATGGTAGCACGGAATTGGATGCATTGTACATACTCGCCATCATCTAAAAGCCGAGGGAATCATACACAGAGAGAAGCATGACGGGGAACAGTCGTTCAAATACCAAGGGAGAACTCAACCCCAACATCAATATCACGCGCTTGGAGGGGTCAGCATGATTCGGTTTCAATGCACAGAAGACTTACCCATCTTTACCACCTTCGAGAACTGCACAGCCTTCTCTGCCGCACTTTGCAAATCATCAATCGAGAAGATCTTAAGACCAGACTCGTTGATCAACTTGTGTGCCGCTTCCATGTTCGTTCCTTGCAATCGGGCAATGATTGGAATACGGAGGTTCATGCTCTCAACCACGCTGATAAGACCTTGCGCAATAGCATCGCATCTCACGATACCTCCAAAGATGTTGACGAAGATGGCTGTGACCTTGGGATCGCTGGTGATGAGAGTGAAAGCTTCCCGGATGGCTTGGGGAGTAGCTCCACCACCAACGTCGAGGAAGTTGGCAGGCTCTCCGCCATTGAGCTTAATGATATCCATTGTGGCCATGGCAAGACCAGCACCATTGACCAAGCAGCCGATATCACCCCCAAGCTTGATGAAGTTCAAGCCAGATTCCGCAGCACGGACTTCTTCGGGATCCTCTTGGGTTGTATCGCGCCACGAGAAAATCTCCTTCTGACGGAACTCCGCATTGTCATCAAAGCCGAGCTTAGCATCCATTGCAAGGACTTTGTGGTCCGAAGTCTCCGAGAGAGGATTGATCTCAATTTGAGTTGCGTCCTTCTCCATGAAGATCTGGTACAGCTTTTGAACAGTATCCTTCGCATCCTCGATACATTGCTCGCTGAAGCCAAGATCGGTTGCAATTTTTCGAGCAATATCATCGGTAACACCCTTGTGGATATCGATATAGGTGGTGGTGATCGCACTGGGGCTTTCCTTCGCCACAGTCTCAATATCCATGCCTCCTTGTGACGACGAAACAATGACTGGCCCTTGAGATGCTCGGTCCATCAAAATAGCAAGGTAGAATTCGCGACGGGCGAATTTACGTTCGCAAATGTAGACTGAATTGCAAAGACGACCCTGAGCACCGGTTTGCTTTGTGACAAGCTTGTGGCCGATCATCTGGTCGGCAAACATCTTGGCCTCTGTTGGAGAGTAGATGACACGAACACCCCCTTTCAGCCCATTGTCGAATGTACCCTTTCCTCGTCCACCAGCAAGGACCTGTGCCTTGATAACCATATCGTCACCTCCAATCTTTTTGGCAATGGCTTCGGCTTCAGCGGCAGTCGTTGCAACGGAACCTTGCGGGACACCAATGCCATACTGTGTCTGTATAAGCACAGTCTTCGGAACGTTCCAATACTTCATACCTTTCGCAGCAGATCAGCAGACAGGTACTCGTGTATGCTCAGAGCTCTCTTCTGTTGTGCAACGCCAGCCAATCGAGATGAAGAGTAGACCTGAAGCTTGTCAACCTTGATTTCCGTTGTCAGAGTAGTTGGCAGAAGTGTTTACCTTGCTGGGCTTAAGAGCAGCCGTGAAAGGCCGACTACGAGCGAGCTTGAACATCTTGACGGGAGGTGTAGAAACGACACACAGAGCCGTCAATTGCTCGGTGTTGATGGATGATGGGGTTGCAGATTGTCTGTTCGGGTAGAATCGTGGTTTGGGAAGCTTTATTTGTACGGTTGCCGAAACGAGCCTACATTTCCACGAATAATCCCGCTTTGCACGTGAAATATATTTCCTTTTGCGAAGAAGCTCAAAGTACAACCAAACAATCTTCACAAACAACCTGCGACAAATGGCGACAGACGAACCTCCCAAGTCTGCGAAGGTCTCCAAGGAGGATTTCGATGTCATCTCCAATCGCATCGCAGTGGCTCTGGCGAAGAGGGAGTCACTTATAAAATCATGGACAGCTTCCTCTTCGCGCCCACGAGATCCAGAAAAGACAGAAGCAGAACTCGAAGCCGAGGACGCTGCCCTCTTCCGCAATGAACCGGCTTACCTGGGCGTGGGTGCTCCGATTCCTTCGCATTTCTTGGTCAGCGAGGCAGAGAGGAATAACAAATCACTTCGAGCCAAATTCTTCCCATCCAAAACATTGCAAGCGAGCAAGGCGAGGGATGCAGAAGAGAAGGCTGCTAGTGCAAAGCGCGGGCTCAAAGATGAGAGTAGCGATGAGGAGGAGGGTCGGTCAGGGCTGGGAAGAGCGAAGAAGCGGAGGACGCAGAGGACTGAGCCTGTGATGGAGACTGGAAAGGATGAAGTGGATCACATTGGCGTTAAAGGAGGCTCGAAGTTGTTGAAGCCACAAGCCGCAAGTATGGATCAGGCTGCGGGAGTTGGGAGAGGAGACAAGGGTTTACCAAAGATACAAGCCACAAGAACGGGTGAAGCTGGCAAGAGTGAAGGGTCCAACAGGATCGCGAAGAAGAACCAGGACTTGAGCACGTCACGGAAGCCCGAAATTGAGAAGGAGGACAATGATCCAGCGGAAGATGTGGCTTCAATGAAGGGTGGTTCAATACAGGTTCCAGCAATTTTACAGAAGGGCGGCGTGATGGATCCAGAAGAGCGGAAGAGGATGAAGAAAAGGGAAAAGAGAAAACGGCAGAAAGAAAGATTGAGGGCTGCAGGAAAGGCTTGACTGGAGGGAAAGTTTTGCCGACATATCAACCATCTTGCCATCAAAACCTCTTGAGCGGATTATGAATTCTGGTGTTTATTTTTTTATTGATGTGAGAATCACTCAGCGAGTGCTTGAACACTGGTAAACAGACTATTACCACCAGTGTAGACTGCACAATTTGAATTTTCATCATACAGTTATTCATCCTGCGTCCGAATGTGGTGGATGACTTGCGGACTTATGTAGACATTCCCCATTTCTCCTTGGCTCTTACCGGCTGACCCTGCTGATCTACAAGTTTGAATCATCTATCAGTTCAGCCGTCGAAGTATAAAAGCGCATTTATTCTCGCAGTTACTTCGAAAAATCCCTCACGGACTTCGTCAACAAGGAATCAAACATAGAATCCATTCTATCGAGAAGATGGCAGGCGTAGGAGAAATTACGAAAGGCGTCCACAAAATGGACCTCAATATAGCAGGCACGTCACTTGATACAGAAGGTAATTTACGACTTCTGCAACAACTATACCAACGCTTCAACTCCCTGGCTTGTCGCGAGCCCACGTGCCGGGCACGCTTATCCGTTGGAGAGGCCGAATGCCACATCAAGGCGTGGATACCCTTAGCCAGAGGCTCGCAACCAACCCCAATATCAGCGGTACTTTGTACGAAATGCAGGAGGTACACTTGCATAGGCTGTCGTAGAAAGCCGGCATTAGGATCGAAGAGCATTACGGTACATGAGGAACCCGAAATTAAGGTGAACAACTGCTGTGAGGGTGGGAGGTTGTTTGGAATCTGGATTCTTCTATCAGCATTTGATGAGGCAGAGCTATCTGTCCAAAAACAAGTGACCCGGAAGGCCCCCAAAAGTTCCGGTTCTCCTTCGGCAGACAAAGGTACTGGGTATGCTTCTCGTTTGGGGATGGGGCTCAATCTTCTCCGGAGGCCAATGTGGGACCAGTATCTGGCACTAGATTTGTCAGTCCAGCAGCAAGCTGGGAATGATGGGAAGGAGGACAAACCCATGACAGATATTTTGAAGATACTGCCGCCATTCCTTCCATCCTCGAGTTCGAAACCAGCCCCGGAGCTATTCGCTATGTTTCGATTGAGTCTTCTGATCGACCGGCTGGCGGAGTTGATAAGAAATGACTCAGTGACGGATATGACGAAGAGAAAGGACCTTTATCATGCTGCCTTTGCGTTTTCGGCGGCTGTTGCAAAGCATCCTGCACTGTCGGTACTCCTTCTTGAACAACGGCCTACAAAGAAGGGAAGCCCAGGCCTACAGGCGCTTGGAAAAGAAGCGGGTCGGAGGGGGCTGAAGGTGGACACTTCCTCAGCTGGGCTCAATCTTTCACTTTTAGCCTGTGGCCAGAAGACTTCTCAACATGCGAAAGCTTTTGCCGGTCTCACAGAGAACGGCATTATCAAGGAAAATGCTCAGAGTAGAGATACCAAGGAGGCCATTGATATGTGCAGGGCGCTTTTTCGGTTCACCTCAGCGGCGAGAGAAACGGCTCCGGCAGCATACGAAGCTCTTATTCTTGTTCCGAAGGACAATTGGGAGACTTTTCAAGAAATGAACAAAGTCGCCTTTACAGATGATGTTCTCGATGGTCACATATATCTCGAACCCCGTTTGTTACAAGGTGAGTTTTCGCGATTTGGGGAGGCGCCAATCGGTCGAATGAGACGTTTACATGAGGAACTCACAACATTAAAGACGTCACTGTAAGCAATTTCTACTACTCTTCCCATCTCTACATTGCCAGGCAATGCTAATTCGAAAATCAAATAGCCCTAAAGGTATCTTCCTCAAGGTGTCGGACGCGAGACTAGATGTAATGAAAGTCATGATACGCGGCGTAAGAAACTCACCATATGGGGGTGGTTTGTTTGTGTAAGTGTACCAAGATATAGATATATTCATCCATGCAGTCGTTGGCAGGCATCACTTTACTGACACGTAAAGGTTCGATGTCTTCCTTCCCGGGGGGTGGCCAATGGAACCGCCAAAAGTCCTGTAAGTCTTCCTCCCAATCTGAACGCCTCCGAGTCGCCACACTACAAACTTCCCTATCCCGAGTGACACTGGTCTTCCGTGCACTCAAATGATCCTTTCTGAATGTCTCGAGAGCTATTGTAGTTCATTTTTAAAGAATCTCATACATAAAAACACATGAACACTGACTCTGGGTTTTATTAGCTTTGCAATGGACAAGGAAGAGATTGGCTGCACCATGTTCACTGAGAATTATGATGTACTCAGTCCAAACATCCACACAGATGGAAAAGGTAAGACCGCCAGTGCAGTTCCCCAGACGACAACCTGTTAATGTGTAATTGAACAGTCTGCCTCTCACTTCTTAACACGTGGGTGGGATCCGCTCAAGAGCAGTGGCAACCAAACGTATCGACCCTCCTCTCCGTTTTCGTTAGTATCCAGTCATTTATTCTCGGCGAGCCAAACCCGTACAGAAATAACCCTGGCATGGAGGGTGAGGGCAATTCCCAGGCATCAAAAGCATATAACAAGCAAGTGCAATGCAAGACGGTGCTGTATGCAATGCTATTCTGGCTCGAAGAGGAGAACGCCAATAGGAGTGTATGGAAGGAGATTAGTGCTGAGTACTGGCTTCATAAAGGGAAGAAGGTCCTTGATACCGTGAAGCAGTGGTCGAAGAGTAATAAGGCTTTACGAGCTTACGATAAGGCCAACAACAGTTACCACCGCCGGGGAAGGACTGGGCGAGGAGCGGATTTAGTTGCAAGATTGGAGAAAGGCTTGGAGTCTTTGGGTAAGGAACTGGATGAGCAGGGAATGATTAAGTACAGATACTAGACCTGGTGTCTGGTCAAATATAAGCGTCGAAATATCACATTAAAACTCCAAAGTTGTTTCTTTAGCAACGAGGCAGAGATTGGATATAACAGAGGGATTTATTTGTTTGTAAAAGTAGTTCTTCTGGCGAAATTTTGCTTTTCCTAATAGTATATAGCTGATAATTACACTTTCCAATAAGCCTGGGCAAGTGCCTTGTACCTTCAATTCTTTTCGGGAGAAAGATTGGAGAAGACGGTCAGGAACAAGCAGTCCTTACGAGTTAGGTCTCGATTTTCGAATTTTTGGCTGCCTACCCAAGAGACGGGATAGAAGAGCAGTGTGCTCACGAGAAAGCACTCACACTTTCTGCAGCTCTTGGAAGCCAAAGGCAGACGACCGGTTTTCAGGAGCTCAAGTGGAGCAATGCAGTTGAATACCTTTCATACATGAAAGGCAAATCCCGGAGCCACGTTCCGCCACGCAGCAAGGCTCTGCATTCACGCAAATCCCCCTCGACAGAGGCTTACGGATATCTTTTGACCCTTCTTAGCCGAAAAATTACAGACTTTTTTATGAATGATTATGGGGATGCAAATTGCATTTGAAGTAGCCAACTTCCGTCTTTCTATGGGGATATCGTCCAGAGGGTTCGTCGTGCTTCGAAGGGAGATTTGAGAATCTTGCCATTTTCTTCTCATAGAACCGATGTACTTGTTGCCTCCGTTCACTGTAAACCCCTGCTGCCTGGACCTTCTGGCCTCCGTCCGTAAAACCCAGATATCCTCAGACCTCGAAAGGCACTTGGATCCTTGAAGCCAAGACGAGTTTTAGAACGAGGAATCTGACACAATCTTGTGCACGGATTGCTACCGATTCGCCTTGCTCTACGGTTATTACCCTAGAAAAGGTGTATTCTCGGCTTAGAGTTTTTATGCGTTTCACGCCGTTTGACTTTTCAATCCTGGAAAGCTCTCTAGAATTTGCTAGGACTGATCTGTGCCAGCCTAGCAGAGGATTAAAGCAGCATCGGTCTCTCTGACACAGGGTTACCCTCAAGGCATAATTTTACCGGGGTAATAGCCATTCGCAACCACGGACACAACTCACTCGCTTCCTTACCGAGGTCTCAGCCACACTTTATGTCGGAATGACAATGATATTCTAATCCTTTAGAAAACACAAGAATAGAAAGATGAGAAAGTAATACAACGTTGGAGTTTCTGCATGTGGAGCTTGGTCCCACAATGGCAACCCGAGGCGACCCCAGCGGCCCCGCCTGTCTCAGGCTTCCCCACAACCCCAAAAAATTCGGGGAGGAAGGGGGTAATCCCACCTCCGACGAACCAAGATCGTCATGCGGGATCGCTACCAGAGGCTGTCTATCTACCATTGCCATCTACCGCTGGCAGAAAGGTAATTACCGCCCGTTTGGGGTGGATTTTCAATAAATATGCGGTGCCTCCCCTCCCCTCGGTTTCGTCTTCACGCAGGTACACACAGAGACCGGGGAAGCAGGCATCATGGGCTCTACTTATCTCTTCACCCTCAAGGACGAACCGATTGAGAATCTGCGGCCGCTGAAGGTGAGGGTTATTGGGGCTGGGTACTCGGGGATTTATTTGGGGATACGGATACCGCAGCGTCTGAGGAATGTTGACCTTCAGATATACGAGAAGAATGAGGGTGTAGGTGGAGCGTGGTGGGAGAACAGATATCCAGGTACACTCCCCTCTTTGCTTTACTAGAACTTACACAAATCGTGTGCAAGGCTGTGCGTGCGATATCCCAGCTCATAGCTACCAATACTCCTTCGACCCGAACCCGCACTGGACCAACTTTTACGCGCCGTCCAAGGAGATCCGGGAGTATCTTGGAGGCATTGCAGAGAAGTATGGGGTGAACAGATATGTAAAGCTCTCGCACAAGGTTACGAGCTGCATATGGGATGATGCTGTCAAGAAATGGTATGAGAATGAGCCCCACATTGCCACTTTAGCTAGTGAACTGACTATCTGAAAGGAAACTGGTGGTGGAGAATGTCAAGACGGGAGAGATTATCCATGATGATGCTGATGTGTTGGTCTCTGCCCGGGGGAATCTGAATGATAAGGCGTGGCCCAAGATACCTGGGTTCGAGACCTTCAAGGGGGAGGTGATGCATTCTGCACAATGGAATGAAAAGTCGGTCCTCCTCTCTTGGTCTCGGCAGCAGCTAATTGTTGCAGATATGACTTTAAGAATAAACAGGTCGGTGTTATTGGAGGGGGGTCCAGCTCCATCCAGATTGTCCCAAAACTCCAGAAGATCGAGGGAGTGAAGATGAGTGTTTTCGTCCGAAGTAGGACTTGGATAGCCAGTCCTTTTGGTGATGGTAAGTCTTCCCAGTCACTGTTCTAGGCGTGAGCTAATTACTTACAGCTTCCATGTTAAAATTGGGACTAGAGCCCAACAACACCGCAAGTATGAAGCTCTATTCTTACTCTAGACTTCACTAATGGTCTACAGTGTCCGAAGAACTCCGCAAAGAATTCGTCGACAACCCGAAAAGATTCCACGAGTTTCGAAAGATCATCGAAGTGGACGGAAACACCATCCACGCAGGAAGCTTCAAAGACTCGCCCATGCAACTGGCTGCTCAAGCTTTCTACCGAGGCGCCATGCAGGAAAAGCTGGCAAAGAAGCCCGAGATCATGGAAGCTCTGGTTCCTTCTTTCGGGGTAGGATGTCGGCGTCTGACACCCGGGCCTGGCTACCTGGAAGCGCTGGTGGAAGACAACGTCGATTTCGTGCGAGACAAAATCGAGGCCATCACCCCTAGTGGGATAACGATCGAGAATGGCAAGAAAATAGACCTCGACGTCCTTGTCTGCGCCACGGGGTTCAACGTCTCCTCACCACCGCCCTTCTACGTTGAAGGCAAGAACGGCATCTCTTTACAGCAGAAGTTCCTCCCGCACGCAGAAACCTACCTCGCAGTCGGCGTCGACGGCTTTCCTAACTTCTTCATGATTCTCGGGCCTAACTCCGCCATCGGGAGCGGTTCATTGACGATGATGATCGAGAGCGAGGGCGACTATATCACCAAGTGCATCCGCAAGCTGCAGAAAGAGGATTACGTGACCATGATGCCGAAATCCGAGCGCGTAAAAGACTTCTCCGATTACTGCGTCGAGTATTTCAAGAAGACGGTGTATTTGGATCAATGCACGTCCTGGTATCGCAGCGAAGGTGGGAAGGGGGATCGGATCATTGGGCTGTGGCCTGGGAGTACGCTGCATTGTATTGAGGCGCTTAGAGCGCCGAGATGGGAGGATTTTGATTTTGAGAGTAGAGCGGAGAATAGACTCAGGTGGTTGGGGAACGGGTGGAGTGTGACGCAGATTGGGGAGGGGGGTGATCCGGCGTGGTATTTGGAGCCGAGCATGATGAACGTGCCGATGAAGGGGAAGCCGGAGGAAGATGAGGAGTTTAAGAGGAGGCCGTTTTCTCATTGATGGGTTGAGTTGTTGTATTCAGATTTGTTTTGTGTATTGGTTATTTTGATATAAATCCTGACTCGTGTCTCCCATTGTCCTTAATATCAGTGATCAAGACCAACAAACCCCTCTTATGGCATTCTAGCCTTTTTTCAGTGAGGTGGCAACGGGATAGATGTGTTACTAAATCGATACCTCTTAGTAACGAGGAGAGCAACATGTGCGGAAGGTCGCATGTAAGTGCAATGAAAACTTGTGACCTTGGGGTCTTGAGGCGAGTTGTGAATAAAGGGGTAAAGGGGGAAATTTTGCAGATGTGCAACGAACCATCTACGATAATAGTGAATCGACAGGAGGAGGGGAATTTCTCAGCAACTGGGACAATGAGCCAAATTTGAAGATCGAGAAGCAAATTTCTACGCTAGTTCCGTTGCACATCTACTCTTCCATGCTTTTCACCGAAGTTTAGCAGCGTTCAGATGAAAGATGAAAGATGGAGTGAGTATCTACTAGTAGGGTCTCGTTGCGTATCGGTCACCAATATCCGATGAAAGACTGCATTGAGATGAAAGGGGGTTGAGGTGATGAAATGGATTTTACTCTTCTGATGTTGGCTGGTTCAGCTACGTTATGCAACGAATTTGATGAGATAAAAGGCTTTTGATGGATGAAGTGGAAATCTAACCATCTGATATTCGGACGATTAAGTGCGTCATGCAGCGAATGCCAAGGAGATGAAAAGTTTCTATAAAATGAAAAATTAGCCGCTAATATTTGGACGATTCAGGTGTGTCACGCATTGGACGCTCTTGTTAATAGTGACTTGCACTGGCGAGTCTAACAAGTAAATAGAGATGAGGAGAAGAGAAGAGAAGAGAAGAGGGGGATATTTATTTATTTATTGTTGCTAATTAATCCTGCTTGCCTTTAAGCAGTATTCCCGTCGAAAAAACGCCTGCGATGGCAACGTTATCTGAAACCGTGTGCCTGCCTTGCCAGAAGTGTCATAAGCACCCCCTTCGCAATAGAGAAGGGGGCGAACTTTCCGACCAATAGCTCCAGGAGGCATTGACTGAATTGAAGATGCCAGATACTCCTACACCAGGAGCCAAGGGAGTCAGCTTTGCCGGGCCAAAGCCATCACTGTTTTTGGAAGAACCGAGACAGGTAGTGCTCAAAGCAAAGCGACAGCAATCCAAACCAAACCCATCAATCAAGATGCTTTAACGACCGACCAGAAGCAACAATATAGCGTAGACAGCAGCTCCGCCGTCGGCATCCATCCTATGCCTAAAAAGCAGGGCAAGTACCGACCACGAGCCGCCAACTGGCAATATACTGCGTTATCCATCTTTGATTTCCGATTCCGAATCTACGCAACTCTTCGAGATTTCTTCTCTACATACCCGTTCGTACCTTCCACAAGTTACCACTGGTGGTTCGTGAAAGCGCCCTGCCTATAGTATACACGTGATTTGGCCAGGTCGCTTTCACGAACCACCAGTGGTAACTCGTGGAAGGTACGAACGGGGATGAGCAGCGCCACGCACACCAGCCTGTTGTCCAATCAAGGATCTAATAGATTGGTCCGATGAGAAACCGGAACAGCACTGCAATTTTAGTCTCTGGGGGCTCCGAGTGTCAAGACAGGTCGGACCTTGCATGAGAGACATCAAGCCTCACATGCAAAAAGATAGAGGCAGAGAGGCAGACAGGCACAAGGAAACGATGAACCTCGAAGAAACCTCGAAACTCCCTTCTAGCCTTCAGATCAGCGGGACTAGGAACGACTATCTCTTAGTTCAGAGTGAAAAATGCAACAACATCTTGAAATAGAACTCGGTGAAAAGAGAGCTTGCCGCCTCGATCAACGACACCGAGACGCTGGACTCCGAAAAAAGAAATTGGTCTGGAGTCGGTAACATCGCAGCTGTACTGAGTTATTCGCTCTTTGAGGAACATCTCGGCACAATCGAACGACTCCATCAGTGGACAATCGTACGAACTTTAGCGCAGCACAGCCCCAGCCCCGTTCGCTGCTTCAGCGAGCTGCACCATGATGCAAAGCTTGCAAAGAGCACTGCATGGCCTCAGTGGTTCGGGAGACGATGGAACAACTCCTGCATCATGCAGGCTGTTGGATCGTCGTGAAAAGGTCCCGTAGGGCTGGCCTCTCGTGAGGGATTTCCTGTTTGCAAGCAGGGTCTGCGCCATACAGCAGGGAGTACTGCTGCAGGACTGAAGCAGCCCGAGGACAGATTTCGGACCCGAGGGTGTGCTGCGTCGGAAGGCTGGGCAAAAAGAGAGAGGGCAAGGGCAAAGGGCGAGGTGATCCCATGATGAATTGACGAATGCCGTATGCAGGTAGATGCAGCTCTGCGGCATGGGTTTCTTGTGTTCCCACCACCCACCACCCACCACCGCTCGAACAGGTTGCATGAATTCAGAGGTGAAGTCACCAATTGAAGCGTTGACTCATCGTGGGGGGGAAGGGGAAGGGGGGTTTAGGCGAGCGTGCCGATTCGACGGTGGGCGTGACACCGAGTCTGGATCTCTCTTTGCAAGCCGCAGAACTGCACGATTGCAAAGGCAAAGTGTCAACATCACGGCCGTTGACGCCATATTGAAGAATGGTTGGTTCGTGAGTCCTGGACTGAAAGGCATGGCTTTTGGTGAGTCTGTCTTGCATAGCTGACGAGTCACCACCTGCAAGAAAGAAGCAGCAAAATTAAGCTTGAGCACAGACAATCCCAATCCCCAGGAAATTATTAAGCGCGATACGGGCCTTTTTCGTGACGGCGACTTCTTGATTTATCTGATAGGCGGGGGGGAAGCGCAGGACCATTGCTGGTGTTGGGATGAGGAGGTCGAAAGCGGCCTGACGAGAGCCGTTGCAGGACTCGCTCGAGAGTCGTCAATGCCAAGGCCTGCTGACGAGTGTCGGCTATCGAAAGGGTACTCGGTGTGAAAGGCAACAAATTATTGCTCTGGGCACCAATCAGAGCCGTCAGAGCCGTCAGAGCAGCATCAAACTCGCAGCGAGTGCAAAAGTTTCGTGGGGTTCAACACTGCAATGCAATCTAACGGTGACCGCTGGTCCACTCTTCACCGGTCTCTAAGCTGTTCACCGGCACGGGCCGGGGTGAAGTGAAGTGTGTCTTTGGGAGGCGTCTCCGTAACGATCATGAGAAGATGAGGCATTTGATAGATGTGGCGGTGGCTGAGAGGCCTGCCATTGGCTCGCTCGTGTCCGCCTGGCGCCGCTTCTGCCACAGTGAGGCTCGTCCTACTTGTCGCCGCTGCTTGAAGCGGACTTTCGGGGCTGGATCGGGGCAACTGGTGCCCGCGTCTGACAAACACTACTCGGCCTGGCCTCGCTCGAACGACGGCGGCGATTATCGTGCGAACCTCCGCATCGGGATAGTTTGCAAGGTTGCACTCCATTTTGGGGACATCACTCTCCACGTGAGCCCGTAGACTCATACAGTAGGACACAGCGTGGGATAGCGGGAGGAAAGGCATTGCATCAACGCGGATGAGAATAGGCCCCGTTTTGATCCGTATTTCACGTACTGCTATTGGCACCAACAGCGTCATTTCTAATTGGGCCCAGGAGTCTGTGACACTGACACCGCAAAGCAAACAATCTTGTCTGTACTTCGCCCCGCTGGTAGCGTCTAAATGCACGCTTTGAGCCTAGCGCTTGCTGCCCCCCTGCTGCTCATATTGCTGCCATTTGCTGCATCATTCGCTCCAGGAGTCCAGGACCCCCCAAGGGCAGCGACATCGTCTCGCGGCTCTCTCGCGCGCTGTAGGCCTCCAGGCAGCAGCCATGCACGGCCTGGCGAGGCGTTTTGCTAGGCGTTCCCGATGAACCTCATCTCACGCACTCGCTCACTCACTCACTCGCTCATTCACGCTTTGCTCCCTCTCTCTTGATTCCTGATTCTCCCCCCTTCCATCCCCTTCAACTCCCGCTTTCCTGCCACGAGTCCACACGCGTTGCCAATATTGCCCGCTGAGCAGCTCTCTCCAGGACCGTTTCAGAGCCTGCTGGACCTGCTCCCATCCTATATACTTCGACACTCGTCCTCACCCTCCAGGCAGCAGCAAGCCTTACCTTCCGCCCGCCCCCGCCGTCCCGGTGTCTTCTCTCTTCACCTCTCTTCACTCTTTCTAAGCCTCCTTGTCCTCGTCCTCGTCCTCCTCATCGCTCTCCGCGAAGCAAACATCTCGGTGGCGACATATCCAGAGACTCGGACGCTGCTTCGAGCCGCCGCTCGGCGAGAGTCAGACACGAGTCCAAGTCTTGTATGCTCCCCTTTCCTGCCTGTTGCTTCCCCACACATCGTCTCGTGTCGTCGGTCAATCGAAAAAAGCTCGGTGAAGTGAGCGGAATTGACGAATCAGGCCTATATACAAAGTCGATTGAGTTGCTTCACCCCGATTTGGACAGCTCTCGATTGGGCCGACCTCGTCTTGCCGGTCTTTGACTCGGTCGAGCTGTGACTCACCTGGCGTTGCATGATTGAAGGATTCCCCCAGGCTAACAATATCCCAGTATCTGGCACTTGCAACACACTTGGTCAACACATACCTGGCCACTCAAGCATGTCGTTCCGCCATCCCCGCCGAACTACAAAGGCCACCTCGTCCGCTCTGACTCCCACCTCGTCGAATGCGTCAGGCCATCCCACCGTTAATACCAACATGTCCCTTCGCAAAGGAGCAACCTTCCACTCACCCACTACCCCCGAGCGTGAACTACCTCATCACTTCAAGGTCCCCTCACTACCTCGCCGCTCCCAATCCACACTCGAGGATGTCGTCGATGCCCACAAGCGTCGCGTTGCCATAACTCTCGGAGACATTGATCGCAGTCTTGCTTCTGTCGAAGAGCGCTCCCCCACCGCACGGCAATCCTTCCCCGACGTAGCAGACCCCGTCCCTCAGGGCTTCCTCAACCACACCGTCGGCACGCCGACAACCAAATCATACGGCCCAATCATGGATGGTGTCATGACCCAGGAGCCTGCCGCTATTGGCAGACGCCTCCGCCCGCGGCACAACCGCCGCCCTTCCAGATACTCAGACAGCGGTCTGGGATCCTCAATCGGTTCGCGGTCTGGTAAGAACGCTGCAGATGCAGACGCTAGCGATGACCAATGCACCAAGATTGTTGCAGCTTCAGCTATAACTAGGTCTGCTGCTGCCCATTCCTCAACAATCGAGAGCCTACCCAGGCTCAGTGCTCGTGCAAGTAACCGTATTACCGAACATATCTTGAGGCCCCTCCTCGCCAAACAGTCTTTGAAAGACTTCCACCCAATTGTGAAAGATTGTCCCAGAAGAATCCATGGCAAGGAGATAGTATGTCTTCGTGATCTCGAGAAGACGTTGATATTTATGGCACCTGTAAGTGGTTTCCCGAACGATGTTGCCGGGGGAGTTGCTCACTGGTTTTCGCGTTTGAAGGAGAGGACCAAGACTGCCGCCTTGTACCTCGATTTCTGTCTCACGTCAATCCGGTGTATCCAAGCGACGGTGGAATTTTTGAGCGACCACGAACAGACTCGCCCTCACGACCGACCCTATACTAACGGATACTTCGTCGATCTTGTCGACCAGATCAAGCAGTACGCCCAACAAGTTCAGGCTGCGAAAGAGAAGGAAGAGAAGGGGGAGAAGCTTGGCGAGATGGATCCTGAGTCGTATGTCTTCCTTCCTCGCGAGGCTGTGAAGTCGCTCGTGACTCACTGCCGAGCCTTACCGACACATGCTAACCTTCTCAGAACCGACGAAGTCAGACTTCACGGCGGACTCAACAAGAACGGTCGCCCTGCTGAGCTCGTCCGAGTCAAGAAGAACGGAAAGGCCATCTCTATCGCTACTGGAGAACCAGTTGACCTCGACGAGGACAGCAAAGACTCCATTCGCTTCAAGCGATCTCTGAGCGAAGAAGCAGAAGAGGACGAATCGATCCTGCGCTCGATGGCTCGCCGCAAGCGCTCCGCTTCGGCGGCTGAGCTTGCTCCCAAACGCTGCCGTGAACCTGGCTGTGACAAAGAATTCAAACGCCCTTGTGACCTGACCAAGCACGAGAAGACCCACTCGAGACCATGGAAGTGCCCAGTCGAATCGTGCAAATATCACGAGTACGGCTGGCCAACGGAGAAGGAGATGGATCGCCATCACAACGACAAGCACTCTGCTGCTCCACCCTTGTATGAGTGCCACTTCAAGCCGTGCCCATATCGATCCAAGCGTGAATCGAATTGCAAGCAGCACATGGAGAAAGCTCACGGCTGGACCTACGTTCGGTCGAAGAACAACGGCAAGAACAGAGACAAGGCTAGCACCACAAACACAAACAACGGTCTGCCAACTCCTGATATGACTGAGGGAAACATCCGCACCCCGAGCAGTGATGGAAACATGGCTACCCCCGAGGACGATGATTTCAATAGTTATGCTGGATACAACCAGATTAACTTCCCCGAGTATACCTCGGAAATGGACACAACATATCCAGGAAACATGCAAATTGATTATTCTCCAATCTCCGATCTGGCTTCTAACCACTCTCCGTACACTTCCAACACATTGGCCGGTCAGGATCACTTCACGAACCAATTCCAAGACTTCCCCAATACCGGCGGTGACTTCAACTTGTTCCCTGATGAAGATCTCTACAACGCCAATGTCCAACTTCCTACTCCATCCCACGACATGTTCCAGCGAGGGTTTGAGACCTCTGGTGTCGGGTATGCCTCTGAAGCTGCTCCTCACTTCTCCCCTGTTGGACATGGCAACACAATGTTGTACACTCCAACTTCTCTCGAGGATGAGGGGTTTGAAGATGTTCTTCCCAGCAACTGCCAGATGGGCACCGCCGACTTTCAGCTTTTCCCAAGCTCAACAGGCGGAACTGTCGCTAGCTCTGCACCGAGTGCTCTCTTTGGTGAAATCCCTAGCACAGCCAACATCAATTACCCAGGTGTTTCAGCCCAGGAACTGCTCGATTTCTATGCTGCGAGCACAGCTGCTGCTACCGCCGGGCATACTATGGATTGGTCTGAGGACCAATTCACTCACTACGAGCGTCAGTAAAGGGGAGCTGAATCAGCGGGACTGGTAGAAGCTGCAGGCTGTCAGGCATTGAATACGAAAACATTGTGATATTAGCATGGCGTTATTTACTCTTCATCATCTCCTTTCTCGCGTCCATTCTTCTCGTTTTCACGAAGAGGGGGGAGATAATTCGTTGAGGAGAGGCGGAAATCAGACAGAACGAATATGATTGATGATACATTAGGGAATCTCGACGGGGATGCTTTTACTCCGGGGATGGACATGTACTTCTTTTTGAGGGATACTTGCTTTATGGATGGGATTTGGGATTTGGGAGGACAGCACAGAGGAGATAGATCTCGCATCAATCAACCTTTAGGGTTATTGGGTTATGATAGGAATGAAAGCAGTCACAACTCAAAAATAACTTGTGTATTTTGCATGTGATGTGAAATATGAATCGATGTCCTAATGTATCAGGAATGATGGCAAGTCCCCGTCTTCTAGATGTAGTCGGAAGGTGCAAAGGCAGGTCAACCTAGAAGCTTACATTGACTCAGGTCTGGTAACGCGGACTCAAGATGAATCTCGGAATGTTCAGCTCCTTCATTCATGGCGAGAGTTGACGAGATGCAAGAGTGTGATTGGCGTATGATAATAACAACAAAGAATAACACACAATTCAACCCCCTTGGTTAGCTCGATATGAATTGGAAGAAAATATCATGGAAGTTGGCTGACATCCCAGCACCGTGAGTAGTGCTGACTAATATATTACGTACTCGAACGTCTCGCTTCTTCTCGGCCCAATTATTCAGACTTCACTTCCTCCAGCAGACTGAAATGACCCCCATGTTTGCACAGAAGCCTGAAAGTACAACATCGAATTCATAATGTATCATAAAATCGTGTCTTGTAACATGCTGTTCTTGTCGAATCTTTGCTTGCCATTGCAGATCGTTGCCTCGGCCCTGGGTTGAACTGAGCTAGATTTCATGCGGTGATATCTATGGCGAGCTTCTCCTTCCTTAGATACTGTCTTGTTCTGAAGCAGAGATGTCTCCGTTTGAGAAGCTCTTAATAATTGCACGGCACGGTTGCGATGTTGCGTTGCTATTTTCCTGGAAAGTCTATGGATGCACCACTATATTGCCGATGACCTTGAGTGCAAGTTTAGGACCCATCACCAGAATGAGTTCTTCTCTGCAGCTTACTGGCAGCGAGAATCTTCGTTCGAGAATAAAACCTGCCAGGACATGCTCTGATGGGCAAGATGGCCCCCGGACAGGGGAACCTCCAGCAGATGTGCGAGTTGCCTGGCAACCTGACATGGATTTCTGCATTTATGCTACTGCATCGATAACGATGAACTACATTACTCCCATAAACTATCATATTTACTATGTTCTAAACACCTGTGAGCCCATGTGAGAGCGTTTGAGGCAACATCTCGGCTTTCCAACACGCCGCTATTGCCTTGCTCAGCCTTATCACGCTCTCGTTCGCAACGGCGTCACTTTTGCTCGTTCCACCTTAAGTGAATCCAATCCACGTGATATGCGGAGCTAAATTCGCTTGATATCCACAACGCCATCCAAATTTTGAACCTTCCTTCTTTCTTTCTCCAACCACTTTCGACAACTAGAGAGGCCAATCCCTCTCTACCCTCAACAACCGTAAGTGCCTCATTTTCATACGAGGATTTTCGCTATTATTGCGAGATCTCCTTTCCAGAGGAGAAAACCACCCTCCTGGTGATGTCGCGGATGGCAGTCGCGAAGCTGACGCGCTCCCAACCCTTCCGTCCCTGCATCCTCCCTCTACCACCAAATCCGACTTCTAGTCAACCTGCTTCTAGCCAAGCTAGGGGCCTTGAACAAACCCCTTCACCTTCCGCTAGGAAGCAGATGACACGATCTGAGCGGATTCCTCGTCGATGCGATGTGATTCGCGTTGCCCAGGGCCACGCCAGATCACGCTCCGTCCTCCCCTCCACCGCTCTCCACCGTCGTCGCACTGTTACAGAGAACCATTGCTAATGCCAACGTGGTTATTGCAGACTTGGCGCCACCTCGGCGCCCTCCCGACCCGCCCGACGGGTCCACCAAGCCTGGCGGCAAAGCCCCGGGCCGAAAAGTCTGTGCCAGTTCCTCTGGGACTGGCACATCATCGAGGCCGTCACCCAATGGTGATGGTAGTTCAACTTTGGGGTAACCTCGCGGTTACCCCTGGAACGGCTCCCGGCTAAGCCGGAGCCACTGTTCCTCCACCCGTCGTCTCAGGCAATGCCGAGACCTCAATCTCTTCTCAAATCTCGACCATGTCGAGTGGCAGCTCTGCTGTCTCCGGTTCATCCAATGTGGGAGCCGAATCTTCATCTCAACGACGCTCTCTCTTCGGCGCCTTCGCATTCGAGAAGTTCAGCAAGTAGGCAGCTCCTGCACCGAAGCCGGCTGGTAAGACACCCGAGGTCACTCTTGTTGATGCTCCTCTCCCAGCGTCTCAGCCTTGGTCTGAGGACCCAGACTTGCCCAAGATCACTCCGGATCTTAAGGAAATCTAGAGGCTCGAAAAAGAACAAATGGATCAAGTGAGTAAGTAGCAACCGCCGATATCCCCTTGTCAACACTGGACGAAGTTACTTGTTGCAACCAGGGCTTCCATTACCATGTGACAGGATCAGCATGCCTTACATCTTCCGTCGAGATGGACGTGTATCGACTCGTCATACTGTATGCCTCGAAGCTGCAACTCCTAGGTTAGCTGTCAAAGTTGTGAATTCGTAGTCGGCAATCTCGGAGTATTGACCGGTAAGTTTGCTCATGAGTGTGAGGACTTACTCTCACCGATGACAGCGGAGAGGTAAGGTAGATTTTCAAAGGCTGACAAAGGGACATGGAGTTCGGGATTAGGATTGAGTGGACTGGCTGAGGAGAAAGGTATGGGAGTTCGCAGCACACTTCCCTCGAGTCATCGATGTCGAGTACAAGATTAGTGACTGGCAGTCTTATTCTAACCACCAGGATGGGCATATATGCAGGCGCTGCCGCCGACCTCCATGTAGGTGTTGGGGGAGAAACCTTTTCCTATTTCGGACTGTTTCATGACTTTCTCCGGAGACAATGTCCTCTCCCGAAACAATCTTAATCTCTCAATGCCAACTCCCCCGTTACCTAGAACGATGCTCCAGATTTGCCGCGAGGCTCGAGCTGAAGGCGTGAGATTTACGAACGGCTTGAGGTTTCTTGGACAGGGTGGATAGAACAAATACATCCCGGGATCCTGACGATGATTTTGAGGGGGAATCCGAGGAAGGCTCTGGGAATGATTGGGGATCTGGTTCCGGAAATGAGTCCACAGACAACAGAGACGACGAATCTGGTATGACTTCCACATGAAACACCCCTCTCTTTAATTATGGTGACACCCCTTAGGTCTACTAAAGTCCAATTGCCGATATTGTACATTTTGGACCCAACACTTGCGAGGGCTTACTCTGCACTTTTCTTCTCGCTAGCACCATCCCACGAATCGCCGTTAATCTTGGAGAGAACTGTCCTCGTTGCTTTGGTCAGCGGTGTATACCTGTACCGTCACATCTTTTCATCAGCCCCGGACCGTGGATCCTAAGATAGCAGAATAGCCCGAGTGATGCGAATTTTTCACGGATTTCGAGTGAAGCTACGTTACTTCCAAAATAGGCATTTCTGGCCTGGATGTGATGGACTTAGAGGGATAATCTGGGTGGCCGATGCTACGCCGATACACCCTGAATGATGTGGCCGGAACGTTGATGAATCCGTGCGACACCTTCCTGTGGGCGATGAACAGATGGTTTGCAACTTCGGGGGCCATAAAGTGGCGACAGTGGTGAAGAGGCAGTTGAGTCTTTGGAGAATGGGCGATGGCGCAAGCTCGTTGGTGTAAGCAGATGGACGGGAGAGAGGAAGCCATCAATTTCCTTCCAGCGCTTTGGTCTCCACCTTTATTCAAAGCACAAGCTCGATCGTTGGTTCTTGCGACTGAAGTCGAATGATCGTCGGACTGATATTTGGAGCCCAGTGAGAGTAGCCAATGCTACGGAGTGTTGTGGCCAAGCACTTGAGTTCTCTAAATATTTCGTTGGTTTCGAAGGTGCGGGCGACTACTGCATCATGTTTATGGGGAACGAGGAGGAGATTTGGAAGGCCAAGATGGTGGTGAGAGGAGATATAGAGATGAGGGAGAGGAGCGCCAAGAAATCTTGAGTAACTGGAGGAGAAGACGTAAAGCGGCTTTGAGGAGGAGTGAAAGCTCTAATTGCCCGTTATGATAATGAAAAGAGGGTAGGGTATGGCGGAGCCATTCTCTGTCTAAGCATTCAACTAGCAAGCAACATTTGAAAGCTCCGTTGTTATCATAAAAAATGAAGCTAGGGTGGCTACTTTAGCAAAGAAATGAACTAAACATGATTTCAGTAGTAATGACACGTTCCAAAATTAGGAAGCAGCCCTGTGCAACCTAATATTCTGCCCTTCAGCCGGCCCCAAGGTCACAGACAACTTCTTCTTCAACGGGCTAACCATATCCACCGCCTCGATCCGATCATAACGCTGCAAGAATCGCACCAGCACGAAACTCACTTCATTAAGAGCAAACTGTTGCCCCAGACAAACTCTCGGACCACCTCCAAAAGCAATCATCTCCCACCCCAACTTCCTGTTTATCCATCGGTCAGACCGGAACTCATCAGCATCTTCTCCCCAGATATCATGTCGTCGATGCATCACATAAGCCGGGAAGCCAACTTGCTCTCCTTTCCTGATAGCGATTGGCTGCTTTCTATCAGGACCACCGCCAGTGGGGAGCGTCGTATCTCTCAGAGCTCGTCTGCTGTTGATTGCCACCAGGGGATAGAGACGCAGTGTCTCGTAAAGGAAGTTGTTTATAGCCTTGCACGCCTTGATGGAGGAGAATGTAATCTCGTTGGTCGGTGAAATCTCCGTTCCGAAGTGGCTGACGACAGCCTCGCGAAGTTTGTTGAATTCCTCTGGATGCTTGGAGAGCACAATTAGACTCAAGTTCAAGAGTGCTGCAGTGGTGTCCCTTCCCGCGAGCATGACATGCAGTATCTGGTTTCTAAGTTCCGTTGGATCTCGTGTCTCAGACACCAGCTCATCGAGGAGGACGTACTTCCTCTTTTTGCCGTGCTCTGGAACGGTCCGCTTGTGATCCGGGTTCAAGGCGAGATTGACAAACCGGTCTGCGAATCGTTGGACTATCCGACAGGCATTTTGGTACTTTCTGGATGTGATAAGCCAGTACAAGGGACCGAATCTCAAACGCCAGCCGATATATTCTTGAGAGTAGCTCATAGCTTCTGTGAATTTTAAATCTTCCTGAATCTCCTCTGTGTTCCCCGAATCTTGTGAATGAAGTGTTCTGGATTGGGTATCGACAGAATGCCCAAAGAGGAATTCGGTGCTGACATCCATAGTAAATCGATAGACGTAAGGCATCAGGTCCGTTCCTACGATCCACCCGTGAGCATCCTCCTCGGGCAACGCCTTGAATAAGATCTGTACATGACGACCGGTTGACTCGAGATCGCTTATCTGGTCGCGGCTGAACTGAGGCCTGAGTTGCTGGCGGAAGTGAGCCCACTCCTCACCATCCGTGGTGAAAATGCCTTTGCCTAACACCTCTTGAAAGACATCCCTCCGCACTGGGCCGAGGTCGTAGTCCTGGAACTTGAGGGCCAGGATAGTCTGGACGTTTTCGGGCTCTGCCGTTGAGACGAAGGTGCTGTTAAACACTGGGCAGAGTCAGTATACTTGGTTACAGAAATTGTGCCACAACTTGGGGAACACCATGAAAAAAATCTTGATTTACAACAGTTCATAGGATCCAGCTGGGAAGAGCCTTGGCATTGTGATATCTTGAAACACCCAGGCAACGAAAATAATCTTACCGTTAAACACCCTAAAAGTCGAGCATTGCATTTCTGTGTAGCGAGCTCGAATGATATCCTCAAGGAGGTCCATCTCTGGGCCATCGTTAGCTGCTGGTCCATGCTAGAGCTTGCTTGTCTGGAAGAGGCGATCTCAGAACGGAACGAAACGTACTAGCTAACTGCCGGTTAAAGAGAAAGGCGAACCTCTCAATACCCCAAGGCAGTTTATTTGGGAAAACCGGCGCTTCCTCACATCCATTCTGACGACTCCGTTTCCCGAAGGCTCTCCAACGGTACCAGAACCTGACCTGGAGGAAGACGGCCCAGGCGGCGAGAAGTAGAAGGATTTCCTTTACGAAGAGGTAGACCATGATGGCTGGTGGAGACTTCCAAGATCAGAGGTGATAAATGTTGTCGAGAGAGGAAGCCAGTTTTATATCCGCGATACACGCAGTCGGGGTGTAGCCTGATGCGAAACGGGGATGGAGCGCGAGGTAACCGCTTTGACACTTCGGAGAATGCAAATATTCATATAAAGAGCGGCGGAAAAACAACTTGGCCCGTACCAGACTTAAAATTCGTGCAAGATCGTTTTGATACTTTCTTAGGCATACAATGCACTTGCTTGGATGTATAATTTTGTATATTGTTAGATATGCGAGTTGGTGGGAGAAAGCCGCGCCGCTTTCTCGAGCTTAACCCTGCGCGCCTGACACGTCTTGGAGTCAGCCGGGACACCTGTTGGCCCGAACTTCCGCCTACAAGACCGCACTCGCTAAAGCCCCCTATCAATCAATCAAATTACTATTAGGACCTTGTATATCGACCCTCGATCTTTCAAGAAGTTCACTCCGTTAGGATTTGATGATGTAGCCCCTCTTGAATGTCATGCAAAGCTAGAATGCTGCATCCTGGCAATAAACTACGACAGTATCAAGTTCAGTCCAACCTTGCAACCAATGCCCACAACCACCGCAACCGTAGCAGCAAACACAGACGCCCTTCGAACCGCCCGCCTCCCCCTAATCTTTTGCATCTTCTGCGTGGCCTGTCGATACTGCTTCGTCTCAAACACCCTCGGAAATGATTTCTCCGGGATCTCTTTTCCCAAGAACTCACACAACGACTCCCATCCTTGCTTCAAATTGGTTTTCCTTCATTGATAGCAGCATTGTATTGCTCATACCACTCCCTTCCTTCTGTTTCGAAGCGGCCGCGAGGCATGTAGAGGTTTTGGTATTTCATGAGGCGGTCGAAACCATGTGATGGCAGGAAGAGACGGAAAAGGACAGTCACGGAGGGTTGAGGTAAGCGGTTTGGGTGAGGTGGTCGATGGCGTCGGTGTAGGATTCGTACCATGCTTCTGTGGAGTCTCGAGTGGTGAGAGTGACTTTGGCATTGGGGTATGCTTCAATGAGCTCTTTCCGGAAGATCGCACAAGGGACGTTCGTCACGGCCTAGTGGACGCTAGTATATCATCCAAAAAGTATATGGGAGCTCTATATAGTGTAATTTCCAAGCAGACGTCCCAGTCTTGAAAGCGCCGGCCGCCTTCAAACTTCGCTTTGAATGCCTCGATCCAGATATCTCCATGCTCAGGTTCATCAAAGATGATTGGGTAAGTATGATACACCCTCTCATGTCCAAGGTCTTTCAGCGCTTGTCGAGTTGCTTCGATGTTTAATTAGCCTACCGATTCTTAGTTGCGAGTAAAGGAACCCATTGAGATTTTGGGAGATGCAAAGCATACTGGAAGAAAATAAAGCTAGAGCAAGGGGATCTCGCTGAATGTAAGGACTTGAAACTACATTCTCACGTGAAGGGAGCTGGCCCATGGGAGTAGTCATCTGATTCCTGCATGCCGAGTTAGTAGAATGATCTGTGGCTATTGTGGAGTCTAAAATGTTCCATGCGGTGCAAATATCTTAGTGCTTGTTCTAAAGCCGCGGCCGTCATCTTAGGAGTCATGAGGATACCGGGGTACCTGTAAGATAGCCCAAAGACCCAATTTCTTTCGGCGAAGAATAAAAAGCTCTGCTTAAACCTGATATTGTGCCTTTCGAAGACAGTAGCTGCCTGCAATCTCGAGCACGTCAAGAATACGTATATCACGTGACCACGCCTTCAATCCCACCTTTCAAGCTTATCCCGTCCAACAAACCCCTGGATAGTGCCTGAATCACGAAATAGAAATTCCAAGCCAATTAACTTATGAATATAAATCAAATTCAAGTAAAAAACCCCAGCCTCGCTAGCTGTGGAGCAACGAACCTGTCAGGGTTTCATTACGGTATCATCGTCACTTTGACAGTCGATCCTAGATCTGCAACAAAATTGGAAAAAAACCGGGTTTATCTCGTTATTGCTTCTATGATCTCCTCCAGGATAAGCTCTCCAAATTCCGTGGATATGCCAAACGCTTGGGTCATACAGTCATGCGTACTTGAATACTGACAGTGAAGACTTCAAAGCGATGACACTGAGATTTGACCCATAGCTCAAGAGAGCTGCCGTACATTCTCCGGAGATGGTGCCTCAATATGACGTACCTTGTACTTTGACATCTCGGCCCATCCAGGAGGAACTCCTACAGCGTCCCGTAGTCCAATTGTTCTGAACGCCGCCCTACAGTTGATCTTTCAGTCCGAATCGCTATCCTCAGAGTCCGGAAACCCCCTAAACACCTCATCATCGCTGCTCTCCTCCAAAGTGACCATCTCCTCCTCCCCCTCTCCTTCATCCTCATCAAGAACCACCCCAAAACTCCCACTAACATCCCATCTGTCCCCCTTAGCATTTCTGCTGACGTACTTGACAAACTTCAAGGCCCCGCTATCTCGCAAGACTATGCTCATAGTATTCCACGATGCCGGCATTGCGAATAGAACATTGTCCTCATCCGCATCGGACGTCTTGTAGATAGCGGCATCTTCGTTGTCTTCTTCGTCGTCGCCTGCCATATAGACTTCATGACCTCCCACATCGTCTTCTTGTGGCTCCTCTTCCTCTTGCTTCCCGTTCGTCTTTGATTTACCGTTGGTTTTCTCTTTTGTCCCATTCGTCGATTCATCCTCGTCAGTGTCATCTTCCTCACTTTCGGCTGCCTCTTCAGCACCCCAGCCCGGAGTTGGCGTCAAACCAAGACTGATCTCTAATCTTGGCTCACCATCATGACTAGTCGCAAGTGCATAGTCCTGTCCTCGACGGAATCTCCTTCCCAACAATTCATAGCTTTGCAGAGTGCATTTCGTCGCAAGGGCTAGCCATTTCCTGAACTGCGCACTGGGTAGAAAGACATCCAGGAGCTCATGTAGCGGATTCGATTCGTCTAGAGTCTCCGAAGGGTGTCGATACAAGAACCGATGTTTGTGAGGAGGTTTTGCAATATCCCAAGATCTCTCCGCCTCCAGGCTTGCCTCTTGAGCCTCGATGTATTCCCGAACTCGAGCCGAGAATTTATCTGACAAAAGTCCATCCAGAGTCACGCTGAATATCTCAACAAACTGCTCCGCTACCTGCTCCAACGTATCAGGGACCAAGTAACCCGGGGCCATATACTTGATCAAGAAATCGCATTCCGCCGGGTCCAATCCTTCCTCTATATGGGGCTCGACTGGTGATTCAAGAATAACAGGGGTCGACTTGGGGAAATCGTATCGATCCGGGTTCCCTTGTAATTGTTGTAGGCTACTGTTCGTGCCCCATTTCTCTTCTTCTCCTTCGACGTAACCCTCTTCGCCAATTTGAGGAATATGATACCATCCACTGATGGCCATCCGAATCCTTCCCCTGTCCTTCTCTAATTGCTCCTTGGTCTCTGCATGATAGACCTCCTCGACATCATGGAAGCTCTGGCCAGGCTGAACGGCAAAGAAGCTCAGTTGATTCCATGCAGGCGGAATGACCTTGGAAACCTCAGGGCTCGGCGTAACAGTCTTTTCTCCCTTCTCATCTTCGAATGTCTCTGTGGGAAACAACCTCAATGCCCCGCCCCACTCCTCCTTCCAGGGCACATCTGGATCTGTCAAGTACAGAATATAACTGACTCTCCGGCTTCCAATCACGTCGTCATGGCACAGCAGATGGCAACCAGGTATGTAAACATTGATAGCCATGTCCGTCTTCCTGCCGCTCAATTCCCCCGAGCCTGTGATCGCAGAAACGTAGTTTCTGAACGCAGAAGAGTACATGGCATCCCGCAGCTTCAGCAAAGACGGCAGCTTCTCCAAAGCTCCATCATCCAATCCATCGAGGTTGGCAAGATCACCAGATTGGTGGATTTTGTAGATATCGGTCTCTTTCGGTGTGAAGTGGACGTTTTCGCGGATTTCGTTGCGGACGGTGCGGAGGAGATCGTCGTCGATTAGAGAGTTGATAACGCTGTGTTTGTAGGGTTCTGAATCTGCATATTCCTTGGTGTATTTTCCGAGCACGTCTTTGTCAAAGAGTCCGTTTCGGAAGCTTTTCTGGATCTCTTCGTCTGAGACAACTGTCCAAAAAAAAATTAAAAAATTAGACCCGGATAAGGCTGAGGGGAAAGTTGAGAATTGGAACCATACTAGTCTTTGCACGCTTCTTAAGAATGCTTTTGCCATTCTGGCCGTTGGCCTCGGTATCTGCTTTGCGTTTCATGTTGAATTTGAGGAATTGATGAAGAATTGGTAGAGTTTTCAGGAAAAGGGAAATCATTCCATTTGTATGGATTTTTTGGCAGAAATCGGCTGACGTTGACCGCCAATCGCTCAAGCGAGATGTTGGGTGCATGGATGCTGAAGCGCCCGCGGATTCAGGCATAAAAGGGGCACCCATCTGATTCGAAAACACCATAATCTGAGTTAGGACTTCTTCAGCGCGATATGCGTGTAAGCGCTGCGAGCTGCCTATGGACGCCAAAGATCTTCAAAGCTTGAAGATTATTTGCGAGTATCCATTCATGCAGATGTTGGCCGAGTTGGTCTTTATTGAATCGGCCGACAGGATAGTTTCACAGTTCTGGGAGGTGAAATCTCTCCAGTGTCCCAATCGCCAAAAGCAAAGGCTCCCCAAATCTGCGGTGTTCAATACTTGTACGTTTCTGCTTTCCATCTAGCGTTCACAATACGGAGCAGTTCCGGGCTGAGAGGCGTCGATGTCGATGTCGATTGGCGGGGAGCTGCCACACTAGTAACCACCCGGCAGAATTGAGAATGGGGTAAAAGAGTGCCTTCTCCACAATCACATATAACTGTATACCTTTCGTTTTCAACCTTAAGTTCACAATTGCCAACGTCCAAGTGAACCCAGAGTAATCATGAGTTCCTCCAATTTCGATATCTCTACGGCAAGAAGCAAGTTCCCTGCTTTGAACCAACCCCAAGTCTTCTTCGATAACGCAGGCGGAAGTCAAACACTTGGGACAGTCATTGAATCGTAAGTACTCCAACCAGCTGTATCAAAATGTCAGAATTAAAAACCTGGCAGTGTCACCAATTACCTCTCCAAGACCAATGTCCAATTAGGAGCAACTTACGCTGTAGGCAAGAAGTCCACTTCTCTATACTCGGCGGGATATGCAGCTGCAGCCAAGTACATCAATGCTTCTGAAGAAAACATTGGTACGACTAAGATTCCTTCTTGTTTAGGAAATTTACTTACTCAGATCCCAGTACTTGGCTCCTCAACCACCCAACTCTTCCGCAACCTCTCCTGGGCGCTATCCTTCCCCGCAGGCTCCGAAGTGATCGTCTCAAAAATTGATCATGAAGCCAACATCGCCTCCTGGGTGTCCCTGGCCTCCCACCAAAATCTGACCATAAAATGGTGGCTCCCTAAAACCAAGATCAACCCAAAACTCGAAGCATCCGACCTCAAAGACCTCCTCTCATCGAAGACGGTACTGGTCACGTGTACACACGCTTCTAATATCCTGGGCACGATTCATGATATCAAGGCTATTGCCGAGGCGGTGCATAGTGTTCCTGGTGCGTTGCTTTGCGTAGATGCTGTAGCGTACGCGCCGCATCGTCAGGTTGATGTGACGGAGCTTGGTGTAGACCTGTATTGTTTTTCGTGGTATAAAGTAATTCCCCATCTCTCTCCTAATCTCCGCTTTTCTTACTAATATTCCAGGTCTACGGCCCACACATCTCAATGCTCTACGCGTCCCCAAATGCTCTCAAGCAAGCCCAGTCCCTAGGCCACCACTTCAACCCCTCATCCACGCTAGAAGATAAATTGGGGTTGGCAGGCAGCTGCTACGAACTCACGGCCTCTATCCCCTCTGTCATCTCCTACTTCGGTCCCGATCCCTCTGCCTCTTGGGCTGCAATTGAGAAACATGAGTTCGACTTACAAAGCACCTTACTCACCTACCTGAACGCAAGACCAGATGTAACGATTTGCGGCGAGAAGGACCCGGATACTAAGAAAAGGGTAAGCACGATTAGTTTTGTGGTCGAGGGGAAGAAGAGTCGAGATATTGTGGAGAAGGTGGATGAGATCAGTAAGGGGGAGATGGGGATTCGCTGGGGTGCGTTCTATAGTAATCGGTTGGTGGAGGAGGTGTTGGGGTTAGGGAAGGATGGGGTGGTTAGGGTGAGCATGGTGCATTATAATACATGTAAGTTGAGAATATCTGAGGGTATGGTTGAGTGCTGATTTGATTTAGTGGATGAGGTTAAGCAGCTGGTTGGGTATTTTGATCAAGTACTTGGAAAGGCACAGAAGTACTAGTCTTTCGAGCGAGACAGTTACCAGAGAGGGGACGACACTAGGCTCAGCATTGCCCTCTGTCAGGTAAAGTACATGCATAGCGAGTGTAGTGTGGTCATGAGCATCATTACATTGCTAGCATAAAGAGCGAAACCAAGGGTATATATCGGAAAGCCTTTCCCAGCATGTACCCAATCTCAACTCCAATCCGAAATACAAACTCCGCCCCCAAAGCCAATTTAAACCGGACCCATAAACCCCCTCCTCTCCAACTTCTTCGGCCTATACCTCCCATAAAGCTCCTCCAGCTCCTCCTCTTTCCATCTTCGAAACGGCTCACTCCCAATATAATTCCCCTTCAAATCTCTCGCAAAGAACTTCTGGTACTCCCGCCGCGGCATAAACACCACTTTCAAGACGCCATTCTCGCTCTTGCCAGCTCCCTCCTTCTCCTTCTTGCCCTTCAGCTTCCCCAATATCCCCCTTTTCTTCGACCCCTCCGCTTTATCCTTACTCTTGTTCTCCGAAGGTATCACGCCCGTAATGATCGCTGGTATGATCGAATCGTCTGTATATCGTTTCGGCAGCAGCTGCGGGGCTGTATACATGTGTCCGCCTAGGCTCGCGAGCGCGCTGCCCTTGAATTGCGGCACTGGACGCCCGGTGGCTGTGAAGTGCATGAGGTCATCTTCGTCGAGGTCTTCGGAAGCGATGAGGGGCTCGAAGTCGGAGTCGTACCCTGTGGATGAGGCCAGTGCGGAGTGTGATGGACGATAACCTGGTGCCGCGACGTAGCGGATGGTGATGTTATTTTCGTCGCGATAGGGGAGGAGGAGTTGTTGGTGGACGGTCTTGGCTGGCATTTTGAGGGTGTGGGGAATGCTTGTTTGTGCTTGGTATTCTTGGCCTTGAGTTCCTTACTCGAACGCCGAGTTGTTTCTTGTAGAATGAGTTCTGAAGATGTATTTGGGGTTTTGTGTTGCACGGAAGTGGCCAGTTGACCTGTATCAGTTCGTCGCCGGTATCTGAGACGGCATCTGCGGAACATATGATATCAGATGTGATTACTGCTTTCTATGGCTGTCGCACAGCCCCAGGTTTGTGATACGCTGATAACGAGTGCCGGGTTGCGAGGGGGTGCAAACAATTGGCTCAGGAGGCGCAATCCATTCGATTAGCAGGTTGGTGAAGATGAAATTTAAGAAGTAGGTTATTAACCTTCGCCTACCTAATAATACTCAAGGTAGTCCCTATACCCCGCTTTACCAGTAGATCTGGGGAAAAGCCGTGAACCCGACCCGAATTCGTGCCTCGCCTAGGGCAGGATTTTAGGGGAAAACTAAAACGACGGCGTTGACGGTTTTATCGCGGGAGTACATGTTGAAGTTGTGTTAACAAGGAATTGATTGTTATGACGAAGAAATGCGGGAAAAACTAAAACGACCCCCCCCTCCCCAGGGGGTGTCGATTAGGGCAGGGGTGTTTAATTGGCTACCTGAGCTCTTTAAAAATCTGAAATTAGATTTTTTAATATACGTCTAAGCCAGTATATTATAACCCTTGTATTATAATCACGTGCGTTCCAACTTATAATAAAAAGATTCCTTAAAATAGTATTTTAATTTTATGGAGTTTATATACTAATTAATTAAGTTTTAGTTTTTGAGCCCTATAAGGCCCTATAAATTATGGGCTTATGGGGCTCTTATATCTGATTTTAGGGGCTATTTCGCTAAATTTCTAGGCTTTCTTAAGCTTACCTTTATGCTATAAAATATAAAACTTTTGACTTCTTTAATTTAAAAAGCTATTATTAATCTGAATTTTATAAAACGTTCAAATTTAAATGGCCTTTAATTAGCGCTATAAGGAAATAAAACAAGTATTAAATTAAAATAAAGAAAAAGCCAGAGTTTTGGTGTGCCTGTCCGAGCGCCTCTACTTTGGGTTAGTTGCTAGTCTGCTCCCAATCGACACCCCTAATCGACACCCGGGTGGGGGAGGGGGGGGGGGGGTTGTTTTAGTTTTCCCCGAATTGCTGCAATGTAATAGTTACTCTCCCCCCTAAATGTTTGCTAGCGGCCTCCACTGCCCCAGTTCTCGACAAAGCACGATTTCTGAGTGGTTAGAGCACCTGGTCAACCCTTTACATAGGGCAAAGAGTGGTCTGTATATCAAAGAAAGGGTGGGCGTAGAAGGTTCAAGAAGACTTTCTGCCCTAGCAGTGGCTCTCAGCCAGCTTAAAAGGCACTTCCTCACGGCTAAACACCCTGGATTCCTACCCGTACCTATACCCAAAACATACGCGCTAGCTAACATTTAGGGGGGGAAGGGTACAGTATTTGTGAGGCAGAACACAGCCCACCAGCCCAACGCCACTTCATTCAGCCTATCGTCATGCCTCGCACCTCGTCTCGTGGGCATGCATCCTCACCTGATTTCTTCTCTTGACATTTCGTGAGGTTTCAGGCTTGCCTAATCTCTAATCTTTGGCAAACCATCTTAAGCTAGCGACGAAAACTTTACTGCTTTGACATTGCGTTATCAAGGGCAACACACTGCCTTACTGAGAGGTTTTGCTGAGCGGCAATTTGAGCAGGCTGAGGCTGAATTTTGCAATCGCAGCACGACCAGAAACTGTTGACATCTTTGATTTACCTCTAAACGACAATACCGAATAGTCGTCTGTCCAAATTGAGATGGTGACCCCTCAATCTGGACTTAAGAATCGTTCGAAGCGGAGACCAGATGGGCTGGGACATCTGAGTAAGTGTGAACTCCTCGAAATAAGCAACAATGAATTTGGTCAGCTTGTTTATTTACCTGGAGTTTTCTAGCTTCGGGGGATGTTGAAGATGAACAACCCATGAATAATCAAGCACTGCGCAGCATTGCATGTACTCTTCATGTATTCGATGCATGGACGCTGGGTACATTCGAGACTGCATCTCGCAAAGATCATATTACTGTGGGGCTTTTTAATCGCTTCCTAAGGCTTACGAATCGCGCCATTGAGGGCATGGTTTGGATGGACGATAATGTCTATGAAGCTAGATGCGTTGACAAACATCAAGATCGGCTTAAGGATTTGACTAAAACGGCAATCACTGAGATCTTGTGTGATCTCAGAACCAGTCAGTATTATGCCCAGTTGATTCAACTGCGGACGATCCTATACGCAACCGCGGAGGGGCAACGCAAATACGCCTTGACTGCGTCAGACGTGGAGGTCCCAGATACATTGGATGATAGGAAAATTGATTCTTTTCAAACTTACATAGGAGCACTTACGAGACAATCCAGCGAGGAAAAGCAGAAGCTAGAAGCAGTGATAACATATTGTTGGACTCTTTGAAATCGCATCAAACATGCAGCCGAACTAGGTGAACTCACACCAACACTTCTAGAGGCGTTGAAAAAGAAGATGATAGCACTGCAAGTCAACATTCGAAACGCGTGTACAGAAACGGGGATGGAAGCCCGACCTCTTATAGATGAAAACAAAGCAGAGTGGTGGTGAGTACCCTGAAAATTTCTTGAAGCATAAAATGCCTGCCTAACATGCACACAGGGAACTCGGTGATGGAAAGAAGGAAACAAAAAATGACTTGAGCAAACCACCTCACAACGCCGTGAACGCATATCCTCGCTCCAACAACCTCAACGCAGCCCTCTCCTTCGCAGTCCCAGCAATCTGTCTCCTGTCTTGCATCCCAGCCGGAATAGCTTGGTCACACACGCCCGTTCAAGTTGGTTCCTACAATGACGGCAACTTCTACCAACTGTTGTCCAGCTCAGCCATGCAGCTTCTCGGAATTGGCACTCTCATCTGGCCGACACTTTTCTCGGGACGTCTTGTTAATCTTCCTCGCGTCTTGGCTTGGATACTCGCCTGCACGAGTATTTTATGTACAATTATTTCTATTCCGTTGTACTTGTATGCTCCAACTACTTGGAGTGGAATGCTTTCATTTTGTGGCAATGTTGCTCAAACTATGGTTTTGTTGCAGCTCGTGTACAGCCTTTAGAATGGCCTCAGGGAGTCCCTCTGAGAATGGCAGAGTGCGGTGCAAGAATTAAAGTTAGTTAGAGCGTGTGGGCCTGACTTTTTTAAGAAGATAGTATTTGGGAAGAAGCCGGTTTCGAATGTTACTGTAGCTGATCAATTTATCTCTAAAGAGATCTTCCCCGATGAAATTACCCTTCTTGTCGATCCCAAAGACCCGGTGCTCAACTCAAATAGTATTCATATACTTGTAATTGCGCAATACTTCAGGATATCACTAGGTGACATCCGCTGGACTTACTCGAATCCCTACCTAAGACCCCCCTACCGAACGAACGAAGCTTGCTTCTATCACTAGGCAACGTGAGCGTTACATATCATTTTCGACACCCACGGCAAATAACTTACATGGAAGTTGATTGATTATACAGTAAGGTTTGGGATCGGTTTCGGTCCAAACTCTCGGTGATTTTGTACCTCTTAGCTTGCTAAGAGAAAAAGGTTACTAAAGAAAAGCTTACCGGAAACTTTTCAGGGCCAAAAAAAAAAGGCCTAGTCCGGATTCGGTTGAAGTTTTGATTCACCCCCTGTCAACGTTTACTTACACGTGCTTGCTCTCGGATCATCCGATGTTAAGAAACTTCGCCTACTAGGCTGATATTCTATAGTCGTTTACTTCTCTCTTTAACTCCTCCTACGCCTTAAATATATAGCTATTAGATGCAGCCCAGTACCAGTCTTTTAGCTAATTATATAATATGGATGTACATATATATATCACGTGATTTTGATCTTTTATTACCTCGATATTTTGGAGGGGGGTTTTTTTTAGGTTTTTTTTTACTAGAACTGTTTAATCCCTATACTTTTTCTAATAGTTCGAAGGCTTCGTGCGAGCCGTAGGCTACTGTAGCACTCTCGTGATTTTTATTTTTGACCCACATTTTATGCGGCACTAACCTCTCTATAGTTAGTTGCATTGCCAACCCCTGCCTTCGCTTATCTCCTAACTGCACGTGATTATACCTCAGAGTTTTTCACGTTGCCAGTCATCAGCATTATTTCTGCTACGTCGATCGAGGGAAAAGCCGTGAACCCTACCCGAATTCGTGCCTCGCCAATCAGCGGGGTATTAGCGTGACGTATGCAAGGCTGAACAAAATCTCGCCTCGTTGTAACAAAATGTCTCTCTTTATCTACCGTGATAGGTTATAAAGTGCCGAAAAACAAGGGACAATGAAGCACAATGCTCAAACTCCTCAGTGCAACTCCATCGGCAAGTAATTGGGAAGAACACAAGTCGCACACACGTCTGAGGATGCACAACACTGAAGCCGGGGTATCAACTGATTCGAAGTCTTCTACCAAGAAGCCATATGCCGGGAAAGTTCGCATAGTCCTTGAAGAGAAAGACACCCCCTTCGAATCAATCACCGAAGTTCCATGGGACAGCACAACCTCCATACCTCAATACAGCCCCATTGAGAAACACACAGTGCTCATCCTAGAACCTGGCGCCTCGTGTACGAATCCCATTACGTACTTGAGTACATCGAGGCTAAATTTCCAGGGAGGACCCCAATGCTCTCTCAAGATATACACGAGAGGCTCTTCGCAAAGAAGGTGGAGGTCGTTGCAGATGGGATGTGTGATGCTCTTGTTTACTATTCTTTGAGAAGCAGAGAGCAGAAGCGGCGCAGAGCGCAGAGTGCAAGGCACGGCAGGTGAGGAAAATCGATGGAGGGTTTAATTTTATTGTTGCGTAGGTTGGTGAAAATGATTTTATTATTGGTGGGAGGTTTGGTTTTGATGTTGCGGCGGGAAGTGTTTGTGGATATGTTGATGTCAGATTTCCGGAGTATCCTTGGGGAACAAGATATCCGGATCTGAAAAGATACTTGAATAAGCTGGGAGAGAGACAGTCATTCAAGGACACGATGCCGGCTGGGCAGAAGATTAAGGATAATGTTTGAAAGGGTCGGCACTATTGAAGGGCCAAGATTTGGTTGAAGTCAATCTGCTAGCGGTCAACAGCTAGATTTGAACAACCTTCTCTCCCTTAATCGTCGCTTTATACCATAGCGAGTGCAAGGGCCTAGAAAAAGCCTTGTCTAGGCCCCAAATAGCAGTCGAAGCATTCGGAGAGATCACGTGAGAATAAGCGAGCCCCTGAAATTGGATCACCTGAATGATCCAAAACCGACCCGTACAACCGACTCGGTTTGTTCACACTTCAAACAAAAGTCAGATAAAAGGATGCCGAGACAAGAAGATATATTGGACTTCGTTAATTACCTTCTCTTCTGTCTCCAATCTATAGGTAATACAAAGTGTTATTCATTATCAGGCACGAGAAAGAAGGAAATGATTAAATGCCGTGCAGTCTCGTCAGTCTCGCCATCAAGTCTCTAAGCGGCAATCTTCTCCTCGACCGCTGGCTCCTTTGAGATTTCGCGGACGTCGGTCTCTTCGTCATGAACATCGTGGCTTTCATCTTCGCCAGCAAGCTCCTCGAGGGTCTTTCGTGCGGTTTCTGGGATGCACATGGTGGTGAAGATACCCAAGAACATGAAAAGGGCAAAGATCTCGAGAACGTGGGGCAACCTATGTTCACGTCAGTAGAGTCACGCTAACTTGGGGCAGAATGACTTACCATGGGGAAGCGGCACGGCCGGTGGCACCCTTCTTGGCACCCCGGGTTCGGAGAGGAGCGATGGCGGCTTGAGCAATGACAGCACCCAGCTTGCCAGAGGCGGCAGAGAAACCATGGGAGGTCGATCTGTATCTGGTAGGGAAGCATTCTCCGGGAACGATGAAGGTTGTTGTGTTGGGGCCAAAGTTGAAGAAGAATTGGGCGAGAACGTAGATAGCGAGAAGACCGTGACCAGAAAGCTTGGTGTATGCGAAGCCGAAGACGCAGAAGAGGATGGTCAGGATGATGAAGCCCATGAACTGAACTGGCTTACGGCCAAAGACATCGATGGTAGCGACTGAGACCCAGTAACCGGGGATGGCACCAGCCAAGACGACGATCAAGTTACCGACAGCGGTGTTCATCAACTGCTTGTACACGGTAGGTCCACCGCTGAAGCCGATAGTCTGAAGGATAATGGGGGTGTTAAGGGAGACACCATAATAGGCACTGATTTGTCAGCGTGGATGCAGCAAGCTGAGGGGATAACTTACACATCAAGCAAGAACCAGGAACCGGCCGTGCCAAGAAGAATCTTTCCATTCTTCCACTTGGAGTAGTAGGAGATGAAGTCCTTGAAACTGGCCTTGGGTACAGTCATGACCTCCTCTCCAGCAATGCGGCCCTTAGCACGAGCAACTTCGTCGACGGAGTCACCCGATGCCTTTCCTGCCATATAGGCCGCAACATCGTCGCCAGCCTTCTCCACATCACGAGCAACATCGAAGGTATAACGAGGAGTCTCGGGGATGGTCAATCGGTAGTAGAGGGCAATGCAGGCCGGGACGGCACCGAACCCGATGAGTGTTCTCCACATCTTGTCAACAGCGACACCGCAGACACCCTGGCAATTGGCATAGGTCTCTGTAACAATGATTCAGTAGTGTGACCCAGAGTGCCTTCCTCTGAATTACTTACTAGAAGTCAACAGAGATTCCTTGAAGCCGGCAGTGACGATGATCATGATAACAGCGGCACCTAACTGACCCAAGCCTTGCATGGCAAAGACAGCTCCCATCATGGCGCCTCTCCATTTGGTGGTAGCGAACTCGGACGTGATAATGGAAGAGAGGGGGTAGTCGCCACCAATTCCTGGAAAGTATTAGCCATTGGGGAGGCACGCTCTCCCGGGAAACTCACCAATACCCATGATCACACGCCAGAAGATAATGACACCCACAATGTTAACTGAGGGGGAGTTTGAGGTCAATGATTGAGCGAGGGTGGCAAAGATGATAACGATGAGTTCCAATCCGTACATGCGCTTCCGTCCAACGATATCGGCAAGAGCACCAAATCCGAGTTGACCAACAATGGTTCCGCCACTGGTGGCAACCTTGATGGCGGTATCAGAGTTGGTTGGCATGGAGCCCTTCTTGGGCCAGTAAACTATGCCCAACATGGTGGTGAGCAGACCGACGGCGAAAATGTCGTAGGAGTCAGTGAAGAATCCAACGCCTGCGACAACACAAGCTCTGACATGGTACCTGTGAAAGCTTAGCACTGCCAGACAAGACCTTGGCAAGCACCTTACCATCCGAATGGTGCCTTGTCAATCTCGGCAAGAGCCAGACGGCGACGCTCATTGGGGTCTTGGACGTGGGCAAAGTCGTTGTTGAAGTTGTGGTAAGCAGAATTACCTCCGGCGGTCTTGTGAAGGACCGGTGCCGAGGCGGCAGCAACAATGGGTTCGGACATTCTTGCTCCGGGGTTGAGGCTCCCAGAAAATGATATAGTCGAAGTGTCGATAACGTGAGCTTGAAGTTCCCAAGACGAACGAGGGCGACGACCGGTATTTACGCCCTCTGGCGTTGTGGAGTCCTAGAGAACTCTTCATGGCGGCGTTCTCAACTCTGACTTCTTGCACTGAATCTGCGCTTAACAGCAAGACATTCTATCGCGTGGCTGCCCCGACTCGAGACCCAGTTGATAAATATGGACTACTTTCTGAAGAGATTGGGCAAGTAGCAGACCGGGGCCCAGAAACGTACCCTGTCGTGTTGAGGGCATGAGCTGCAGGCGTGGCGTGGCGAGGCTGGCGAGGCTGAACCGGAGGCTGTTAGCGTTCAGCCAGTAGCAGGCAGGATATCAAACACGTGTTTGCACTTCAGAGCGTGCAGGTCAAGCAAGGGTGCATCCCGCAGTCCCGTCATTCGGTACACATTTCGCGATAGCTGTGGGGCGAGGCTTGAGACGACTTTGTGCATGTGCAATCTTGCCTCTTTGAATCACCCCACGACCGGGATGCGCTGGACGACGTCGAGTCTGTGGACATTTTGCAGCATCAGTTGCATCCGTCTCCCTCGAGTCCATTCAATGCTACAAAGTCTTTGGCGCGTTTGATCCATATTGGGACTGAAATGCAGCCTTGATGGAGGGACTGACAATCCCGTGCTTTGCCAAGCCCGCAAGCCCACGGAACAAATCGAAGAAGATTAAGCCTCAAAGGAGGTTCGTGTCCAATCAGGACGCCTGAGGATGGTGATGGCGCTGGGCTTGATAATTGTCTCTTGGCCATGTCTCTTGGCCATGTCTCTTGGCCATGTCTCTAAAGTGTCTCTCGTCACCGCAGAGGTGGGGTTTGGTGCAAAAAGTGAAGCACGTTTCCCCAGCTCCCCTTGAGAGAGGACGACATTTTGATTCCAAACTTCTCACGAGATGCTCTCGTGAACAGCAGAGCTAGATGAACGAATTTTTGCTCTTGCCTCTGTCCCGCTATCTGACTTGGGGAAATTCCTTGGAAGAAGACTCAGCTCCAATTCATCGGCAGATCCAAAGGTTATGAAGCATTAGGTAGTCAGCTCGATACCTACCAAATCCAGGGGCTTCGTGAGGAACGTGATTCTGCGTCTTATGCGAATCTAACCGTCAACGATGTGAAGAGAAACTTGCCCAGAAAAGCCAAGGATTTATCATGCAAGCCGCACTCAACCAAGACCTTCCATCCCGCTCAAATAAGCTTCCAGCGAATAGCTTGTGTCTTGCTACGCATGAAAATCTGCGAGCTCAAAGCTCTGGCCATTGCTTGATCTGATCCATTGCCAAGCAAGTAGTGTCCAGTTCAGCTCCTTCCGCCAGAAAAGACCATGGCCGAGATCACCATCCGCACACATCCCTCCGGTCTTCGGCATCCGGTACTGGAAAATTACCTTTCCAAATCTCGAGTGTAAAATGGCCATAGAGCACATTACACACGGTTCGTGAGTGCAGTATATTTCGAGGTCGTGGCATAGGTACCCAGCTACTGTGCCCGATAGGTCAAAGTGGTCCCTCTCTGTATCCAGAACGGCCTTGTCCTGGAAAATATTGCCTACACCCACTTGTTTTTCTTGCCCGGCATACATGAACGTAACGTCCGTGTTAGGTTTTGTGTCCGAGATGACTTTTTGTGAGTCCGGTGGGCTTGATTCGACCCCAGCTTTGGTCGCTTGTTCTGCAGCAATCTTCTCAGTTTCGAGCTGCATAATCGAGGTTGAACCATTGCAAATGCACTGGTCCGCAGGATCAGCCTTGAATTCGGGCTGGGTGACCGAGGCTGACACGGCGTTGAAAGTCTGCGCTGATTCGCTGGTTGCTTTCACCCCATCAGCAACCATGGCAATGGCTCTCAGCGCAGCATGGGCAGTGACGTTTCCTGCCCCTTTAGAAGGCCAGCCCACCCACCGAGCATCTCCTGCAACTGCAACTGGATGGCCGATACCATTTTTCCTCTCCACGATCACAACCCCAACTGTTTCTCCGGAGCCCGTCCCATCTGCTTGACGAGCAACTTCAGAAGCAAGATCCATCCACTTCCCGACCTCGCCATGAATCTCCTGCTCTGTCCGCGACACTATGCTTGGATGAGGCCCAAAAGGGTTGCTCTTCTTGTATACCGTAGGCCAGTATTGTGAAGACCAGAGAGTGGCTTGCTCTTGGGAAGTGGGTGCCAGTCGAGGGACTTGGATTGAGAAGATGACAGCGTCATTGACAATAACAGAAAGCTCTTCGGCCACCACTGCGGAAGATATAGCGTTTGTTGATCCGACAATCAACAAGAGCTCGGTTGCTACATTGCCCGTTTTGATTCTTGGATTGGCCGAAGTCGGGATCGAAGCAGCAGCAGCATCAGGACCGCCCTTGGGCTTGGATTGAGCGGAAGGAGCAGCACTTTCCGACTTTGGCGCATCCGAAGCAATCATCTCTTGTCCTTGAGCTGAGAGAGAAGCATCCGACACACCCCTCGATCCCAGATCTTCCAAAGCTGTACTTGAACTCTCCTGAACTAAAATCGACTCACTCGACGCAAAGTTCATGCCACCAGGCATAACTTTCCCGACCTCAACAGCACAAACGCCATGTCCCGATGCATCCAAAGAGTTCGAGAAATTTGAATTATCCACCTGCCGCCCTTGAGTGGAGCCAGATTCTGTAGAAGTGGTCTCTCCACAACCTCCAAGTACTTCCACTCGCGCCCTCTCAAACGCCTCCCTCACGGCATCCGGTACATCCCTAGCTTTTGCAAATCTTCTCAAATGTTGAAGATCCACACCGCCATCACCGGGTAAAAGTCTTCTTATAACCCTATCCAAACACCCGATTTAGCATCTCCACGCCCGAAGGTTTCCTAACCCCCTTCCAAACACCACCAGAAGGCAATAGAATGGCAGAAAATCACTCACTCCAAAGCCCCACTTGCCTGCTTGACAGGAACACTCGTGACGTAAACATCGAGAAGAGAACCCCTCGCCCTTGTCTCCAATGTCGTTTTCAGTGGGACCAAGATACCTTTCGGGGTTGCGTCAGGGACTGCTTTCGCATTGGTGCAAGTTTCCTTGCCCTTCGTCTCTCGAGTCATCTCATCGCGGGTCTCAACGTCTGGCTCTCGCATTAATCTCTTCTCACTTCCCAAAATCCTCGGAACGTCATCGAGTGTGTCGAGCTTGTAATCATATGTTCATGGCTATTGGAAGTCAAGACAACCCAGCTCATCAGATGTTGTTATTCAGAGAAGGGGGCCGAATTCGAAGAAATTATTTGAAGTTGATCCCAGCCGAGGTTTAGCCGAGGCCTCGTTTAATCCGTTTTCACGTGACAAGCCCCTATTCAGCCGTTGACCTTTCTGATCCTGCACAGCTGACCAACTGCAAGACTTTGAGTTGTTTCAAATGAACTGAGAAAATTTAAAATCACTCTCCATTGGCCAATTGTCTTTCTGGCCATTGAAAATCAAACTTCAAATCATAACTTGCTTCCGTCTCATCACCTCAACCGCGTTGCATGAGAACTTACGTCATGAATGGACCAGAAGTTTGATTACTGAGAAAGTTTTCTGCCCTGGAATGCTTCAGACACTTGAAGGGGTTGTTTAGGAGCAGTTACCACGGACTATCCACTCGTACCCGTCTTTAGAATTCCCAGCGTCATCTAACTTGGCCAGCAATTCGACCCGCTTCACGTCACGATTCAAGGTCAAGGGCATTTTTCCAGTTCTTTTGGTCATTGAAATCTAGTTACAAGTTGTCATCTGCAAAAGCAGTTTCCTCCCTGAGACCTAGAGTGCATGTTCCGAAAAGAAACGTAATAATGAATTTATGTCACAGCCGGTGATATCCTGCCATATGAAGAAAATGCCGAAGCAAGCTCAACGGCAGGCAAGGAAAATCCGGAACCGATCCACTGACTTATGTGCCACCCATCCGAATGAGACACATGTTTTTGGCGCAAAGAAAAGGGGGAGATACAAAGGTGCCTTGCGTTCAGCCACGATTGACGAAATAACCTCTAGAATCCGGGTGTTGGCGAAGCGTTGGCGGGAAGAAGTGAAAATGGCAGAAGTGTGTGAACACAAAATGTCTGCGCAATGCTTATGAAAAGGAAAAACCCGTGGACATCGAAATATCACCGAAAGAGGAAACATATCAAGGAAAAGGGTCTATGGTGTTGCCGCCCCAGGTACAGGTACAGATCGAGCTGCGCAGTCGCTCGTATTGTACCCTGCGCTGAAGAAATTGCCATTCGAATCGTGCCGAGATCTTTTGTGACCGGGTCGCTATTGTACAAGGGGCATCTGAGAAGCGTTCTAGATGCATGCGTCGATCGAATGCGAAATATGGCTTGCGGTGAAGCAAACCTCCGGATGTAGTGTAACAACAAAGGGCCGTGAAAATCATATGTGAAAACAGTCGTCGAATTTGCGAAACTTCCCAATCAATACGCACAAGTAGATCTCGAAAGACCAAGAGCATGTGAAAGAGGATCGTGGATTCAAAGACCTGAAAGTTGATCGTGCCTCGTACCATTACAATCGTAAGATCGTGTCGTCGTTACGAAGTGTCGAGCTACAACCAGTTGCCGCCTTGGCTAGCACCCCTACCGTAGGTGTAAGGGAAAGGTTGCTGAGTATTGGAAGAGGTAAGGCGATCGGAGGATGGGAAGGCTCCAGACTGTTGGGATGGACGAGTAGCAATCGGAATGCCATTGGGAGTAGTGGCGGCACCAGTATAGCCGTTCGTATATGCACCAACTGGGCTGGCGAAGCTGTTGGCAGAGACGTTGGAGAGACCACGCTGGTGACGAATAGTTGCTTGGTTTCCCTCGACCTCGCCCGGAGTTGCTTGGCCGCTGGAAGAGCCGCTGCGAGTCTCGTTGCCTTGAATCTTTGCTTGAATTCGGCGGCCATAGGGAGTGGTGCGAATAGCAGGCAAATATGGACGAATAGCCTCAATAAGACGGACCTTCATTTGAGGATTGGCATAGTCGAGGGCAGTCTGGATGACATAATTGGCGAAGGAATCACGGAGGAGACGATCAAGTTCGGCGGGCTGCAACATCTCCTCGATCAACATATCCTTTGAAGGCTCCTGAGCGCAACGAAGGCACTTCTCGATAACGTTCGAGCTGAACTTTTGCTTCGAGAGCTGAGCAACTCGGTGCTGGAACATCATGACCAAAGGCTCGGTGAAGACCGGCTCGTTGAGATCGAGGATGTACTGGACGACGTAGTTTCCGAAAGGATCTTGAACCAGGACATAGGCATTGTCAGAGATTTGTCGAATGAGCCAAGCCTTTTGATCACCAGAAGCGTGGTCAATGCAACGCTGCAGGACACAGCAACCATGACGGTGAGTTCCGACATCAATGCAGTTGGTGCCAACAGCATCAAAGATGAATTGAGCATCAACGGGGGACAGCTTGTTGAGGCACTTCTGGATGACGTGGTTGCCGTTCAAGTCCTGGATGAGCTCGACAACTCTGTAACGAAGAGCATCGATGATGGTTTGGACTTGACCAGGGGTGGAGATGAACTCGATCATCTTTTGCAAAGCTCTGGTGCCGTGCTGGTTGAGAGCGATACGGACGAGATCATGAGAGGCGTTCTGGATCAGGACAGTGCGCTCCTCATCGTTGCAATACTCGAGCAGCTTCTGGCAGAGGTAATTTCCGAAGGGATCGGTCATCAGCTCGACGACATGTTGATTGGTCTCAAGCCAGATCATGTGAACCTGCTCAGGGTTACGGTCCTCGAGCTTCTTCTGCAAGTAGCGGCATCCATGTTGGTCCTTGCAGAGAGCATAGATTTCACCACCGAGCTGCTCAAGCTGCATATTGGCGAACCGGTTCATAGCTACAGATCGGTCAGCAAAGATCGGCCAGTCCAGAGCTCAAAACTTACCTTCTCCATCATTTTGGCGACGCTGTTGGATAACACGAGCCTGACTGTCACGAAGGGGAGGTGGTGCTTGAGGGTACATGCCACCATAGTTTGCGTACGGGTTGTGTTGGGAATAGATCGGCTGTCCGAGCTGCATATTTTGCATACCCATCGACAGCATGTTGATGTTGTAGCCGTTGTAATAGCCCGGAACTGGGTATGGTTGTTGTGCGGCCGGAGATGTGATCGGTGAAGGGATAGGAGGTTGGGACAAGCCTTGAGTCAAAGAAGGTCCGAATGGTGGCGCACTGGCATGGAGGGCAGACTGGATGGATTGGTAGCCGCCATTCTGAGCCTCACGTAGACTAGTGCCTTCGGTAGCGGTCATCTCTCGGCTGAGCCTATTGTTCATAGCATTTGGTGGAATCCGACCCAAACTAGCATTGTGGTTGTGCAAATGCTGCTGAGCATGAGAATTTGGGGTGGAATTGACACTAGATATGCCATTGGAGGTCGATCCCATCGTCGGGACGGCGCCTGCTGAGTAGGATGACTGCAGCTTTGGCGGAGTAGCTTGGGTGTGGTGAGGCGGGGAGGCAATCTGACTACCACCATCTTGAGAGGCATAAGAGCCATCATAGACCTTTATGCCAGCACCATTGAGATCGCTCAAAGAGTTGCGGTGTGGCTGACGAACGCTGATCGGGGACTCTGGTCCATTCGATTGGGAGGCAGAGGAGGAGCCGTTTGCGTGACCTTGTCCTTGGTATTGGCCTTGCCCATTGCTCATGCGATTGCTTTGCTGAGACTGGGAGTGGCGGTGGCTAGCAAACGCACCATCCCAGCCATTGCTTTCGGAGGTAGGGGAAGCTAGGTCAAGACCAGCATGAGAAGCGGCAAGTTGCGTCTGGCGGTCAGCAGGATTCTCATGCAAGAAGGATTTAAGAGACTTACAGAACCACCTGGGTACTCCTCACGACGAACAAGAATTGGGAACTTGTCATCGGTTGTGTTCATGGACAGATATTCATTGTCGGAAGACGTCGCGCCCTGCTCATCATCTCCAAAGAGAAAGCGAGTGGTGTTTGAAGGGTCCATGGACAGCATTTCGTGCATGCCGTTGCGAGACTTGGTGACTGGCATTGAGTATCTGTTGAGACTGTCGAATTGTTAGTGACAAGTAGCTGACAAAGGTGATAAATGCGATGCAATCCAAGACAATTGAAGGATGGTAGGAAGCTGGCAAAGGCGATGTAAGGACGCGAGCGCGATTTTGACTGCAAAATTGCTCAAAGAGTGCAAGATGACAGCCCAAGAGCTAATGAATGTGTTGTGGGATCCAAGAGCAAGGTGTTGGTGGGAGAAGTGGTGGAGATGGAGTGGGATAGAAGAGGTTGAGAATTTTTTGAGGTGGAAGGTTGAGGGAAGGACTTTGACGTAATTCGGAGTGAAAAAAATTAGGCCCCGACGCTTGGCCTTGTGGTGAATAGGTGAATATTGAGTGATCTGAAGGGGACAAGGTGTGAACAAGGGGTGTGATCACATGGGCTCTGGTGTTGAGGTGAATATTCTGCAAAGCGAGGCGAAACCGATCACACACCTCACAACTTCTGCTTGTCCCAATATTTTGAAGAGCGGGGTAGTCTTCACTGAAGAAGCTCGGAAATAAAGATAATGCAGAAAATGTAAGGCACAAGGGCAATTGTTGGTTGGAGAAGATTTTGTGTGGAGTTTGGGTTGGTTCCAGAATGCGGGGAAGAAACTCGGGAAAAAAGGGGAGCGACTGGCGACTGCCCAGTCACGCGGCACTGCATAAAATTTCTACTGGGCTGGCAAAGACGTCAAGCTGATAGTGCCCAATATTCTGTATTTGCACTAGCAAATAGAAGTAGGGGCCTAATGTATGAAGTGCTGAAGGTACAAGGGGAAATCGAAAAGCGAGCGGTGCTGAGGTGAACGGCTGCAATAGCACAACTCAAAGCGAACCGCTTGTGGATCGAAGAATGACGTAGCTGTTACAAGAAGAATCACAAAGCAGCATGCATAGCATCAGAGGTAACGCCGATAAGCTGGACGTGAACTTTCAGAGCATCCTAGGACGGAAAGGTGCGCCGGTGCTGCAAAGAAAAAAACACGAAAGTGCGCCGGTACCGCCAAGAAAGACATGTAACTTACGCATTTGTAGATCGGTGGCTTGTAGGATCTTGACGGACAGCCTCTTCCTTCTCGTCCTCGTCACTGTTTCGTCGAGAGCCTGGGACAGACTTGGACGGGAGTTTGTCATCCATCATGAGTCTGGACTGAATGATACCGGATTGTGGCGAAGTAAGTTGAGAGCCCGATCTACCTGGTCGGTTGTAAAGGCCGGGCGGAGATGTAAGACTTGAAGTAGAGTATCGGTTCGGTCTGGAGAAGACAGACGGGAAGCCCGAGGCTGATTCGCGGTATTCGGGCGGAGTTGTTGGTTCTGATTGATGGCCGGTATTTGTATTGTTAGATCGTCCGAGGTCTTCTTGCATCTGAGCAAGTTCTTGTTCTTCACGGCGTTGCTGTAGGTCCAGCAATTGCATCTCGGCCTCGAATCTTCGCTTCTGCTCGCGCAATCTCTCGTATTCGAGTTTCTTCTTCTCTAGCTGTTCAATGTGTAAGCCAAAGCTGTAGAATATCTTATGACAGAGGATCAAGGGCTGAGTGTGCGGGGGAACGAGAACGAAGATACGGAGGTGATCTCGATCGAGGTCGGGTGCTTCGACGAGGGGAGTTCAAAGAGGGAGATTGCTTACAAGTTGGACTTTGTGGAACGTCTGAGAAAGATTACAAGTTAGCAAGAGCCAAAGCTATTGTACAGATCCGACAATGATTCGGCGACGGAAAGAAATAGGAAGATTGGTGGGGTTGTCATCAAGAGACAATGGGAAATTTAGACAATAGCGCCGAGGGGAGCCTACCGAAGGGCCATATTCTTGAGAGTCCTGTCCACCCCTCTGACTATTTAATGATCCAATCGTTGGCACGCGCCCCGAATCCGTGGTGAATCTTCTCATAAGGCCATTTCGGCCATCTTGCTGCAACGGCTGCTGGACTCTCGTGCCATTTCGAGGAGGAGACACGAGACCGAGTAAGGATGCATCGTTTCGAGGGGATTGCTGGCTCCGAAAGCGCAACTCGTCCATCCGGTCACTTGTACTGTTTGAATACGCCATTTTTATGTGCTACAATACTACAGACAGTCAGCTTCTTCTTCTTTTCCGGAGAACACACGCGGAGGAGAAGGCTTCAAGGTGGGGTCCACCGTGCAGGAATGGCTTGCCGCCCCGAAGCTCCAGCAGCACAGGGAGAAGGGAAAATACCTGAAATATCCAAAAAGGAGTGGATGCGTGCGTCCTGGAAGCCCAGGCGCGCAAAGCAGATGTGGTGTCCAAGCAAGAGGGCTGAGGACCTGAGGTTCAGATTCACAATTCAGGGACGTTTTCGAGAAGTCGTGCCTGCCGAGTTTGGCTGCGTTGCGCTCGCTCGCTAGGCCGAATCCAAGTCCTCCGTCCGCACAGATCAACACGAAGGGCCTCTCCAAACCTAGAAATACATTTATATTTTACAAGCAGTGGAGGAGAGAAGAAAGAGGGGTCGGGGGAGGAGAGTGCTGGAAAGAGAAGAGTCGGCACTGTGAGCTGGCCGTCTAGCGATCCACGCAGCATACAGCAGCCAGCAGCCAGCATCCAGGAGCACGCCGGACTGTTGTACGGGACGGGGACTTAGCCGCTCCAGGCCTTAAAACAGCAGCGACAAGCCCGTTCGAACGACCCTTCCACTCTCATTGGCCACTCCATCCTCCACCAGCCCTTCACCGATGTTCCTCTGCGGTCGGGGACAATAATAATGAGGCGACACAGGCGAGTCTGCCTTGAGTGCATATTATTCGCACACAGGACAACTGGATCTTGAAAACGACTCCTCGTTTTTCCCATGCCAAACCCTTCAAGAGTGGGGCCGCCCGCCCTTCGCCAGGAGGCGCCTCGATGCTCTGAAACTTGGGGATCTTAAGGGAGGGGATTCCCACGCCCGCGCTTGTCTACGGATTGTATCAAGATGCGGTACAGCAAAGAGTTGCACATTTGACTCTCCGAACGTACCATTGGCAAATACCTCCCTGAGCCACGGATGATTCTCACCTGCTGCAAGCGGCGAGAGGCAGGGAGGCAAAAGGGAGAGATCTTCCAGATCCAGATGGCCAGGCTTGGATTGACGAATCACATGATACACGTTTGAGGTGGGATGGATCTCCCAGGCGGCCGATCACAAGCTGCAGATGGGGTTATAACGCACCTTGGAGTTAATGTACGATGACATTGATAATAGAAAACCAGCTGGGGCTGGGCTGGTTGAGCAGTTCCGGCAACACACTACCGAATCCGTCCAGAAAATGCCGCCAGTTCAACAAAATATTGCAAATGCTCGACCGTGCCATATCATTCAGGGGCTCGAGCCCAGACCGGTGGCCGCTCGTGATGGCTCATTTACGGAGTCTTTGGTGAACGCCTCCTGCAAATTGGTGGATCTGGAGAAGGAGGAGTTTTCAGACTGGCGGTGAAGAGGAACTGCTCGTGGTGGACTGAAAAAGCGGCGCTGAATTCTCAATGTCTCAAGTCGCCTTGGACTGATTCAGATACTTCCCCTCCGCAAGTTCCTTTGCTTTATTGTACACTCAAAGTCTACCTTCTCCTATTGTCTATGAGGTTCTGGAACTGTGAAAGCCGTCTCCGTTCAATGTCCAGCTTGACTGACACATTGATAATTAGTGCCGCTTTTTCTGCTCTTTAGCGTGCAAACTGAGCAAACATCGGCGCAAGTGAGGTAGGTCCGACTAGCTTGCCCCTGGGCGCCAACTCGCGGGGTTGGTTCCGAAGAATTGCTCCAGCTGGGAGAAGCTGCCTGTATTATAACATCGTGCTGTTCACGGCTGATGCTGCAGACTTGACCAGCGTGAGGAATTATTCTGAAATAATTCAACCGCACTCCGTGCACGAGAGAGTATTGACAATAAAGACAAAGCCCGCCAACGCTGGACGTTGAACTCCATTCCGCGCTAGGCGATAAGATTGGATCGAGCAGGGGTACTCGGTAGCGAGGGGTTTTTTGTGAAGTTAAATTTTGAGCTCGACAGTCACATCTAATAATACCACTTTGTGCTTTGTGCAAATGCCTCCCAAGAAGAAGCAGGTCGGGGGACCCATTGAGGTCGCGCCTTCACCTTCGACTTCGAAGCCTCCAGCTCAGAAGAATGCAAGTGCCTTACCATGCAGACTGGAACTGCATTAACTTTTATTGCAGCCAGAACCACAAGCAGAAGCACCAGCTCCAGCACTCGTTGCGGACCCCGCGAAGCACAAACGTACCAAGACGAGGGTTTCAGTCCAGGAAGAACCCAATGTCTTCAAGCAAGATGATTCATTTTCGGCACTCCTGGAACCATTCTACGCTGGGAAAAGTCTGACTGATCCTATCGACACAGCCAAAGACAAATGGAACCTCCTACCAGCATTTTTGAAGGTCAAGGGACTAGTCAAGCAACATATCGACTCCTTCAACTTCTTTATTGAGCACGAGATCAAGGAAATTGTGAAGGCCAACAAGAGGGTAGGGAGCGATGTCGATGGGAATTTCTTCCTAGAGTTCGTCCACACCTTGCATTTCGAGGATTGTTTTGACAACCCACCAGGTACACAGACGTCCGAGTAGGATCTCCAGAACGCCTCGAATACGACGATCGAAGGCCCCAGAACGAAATTACCCCCAACGAATGCCGTCTCCGCGATATGACATATGCTGCTGCGATTCGGGTGGATGTAAAGTACGTTCGAGGCAAGGAAATAATCAGCCGAAGGAATATTGCCATTGGAAGGCTTCCTATCATGCTTCGCAGCTCGAAATGTCGACTCGCAGGCAAGAATGACCGGGAAATGGCACATATGAATGAGTGTGCTCTTGACCCGGGTGGATATTTCATTGTCAACGGTACGGAGAAGGTTATCCTGGTTCAAGAGCAGTTGAGCAAGAACAGAGTTATTGTCGAGACCGATGTAAAAAAGGGTATCGTCTCTGCATCTGTGACGAGGTATGTGTGTTAATACCATTCTCGAACACATTCTGACATCTAGCAGTTCTACTCACGAACGCAAATCGAAGAGTTATGTGCTGATGAAGAAGGAACGGATTTACCTCCAGCACAACATCCTCCAAGAGCCAGTGCCAATTGTGATTGCACTCAAAGCATTAGGGATACAGTCAGATCACGAAATGCTGCTTCTTGTGGCGGGAACAGACAGCACATATCAGGACGAGTTCTCAGTGAACTTTGAGGAGAGCACAAAACTTGGCGTCTTCTCTCAGCACCAAGCTCTTGAATACGTTGGGGCTCGAGTCAAAATGGGTGCACGGAACAAGAGTCAGGGCGCTCCCCAGCGCAGAAATCACATAGGAGACGCTCTGGAAGCCCTTGCCAACATTATCATCACCCACGTACCAGTCACTGGATTGGACTTCCGCCCAAAAGCACTCTATATCTGCTTTATGGTTCGTAGAGTCCTCATGGCGATGCATGATCCCAAACTCGTGGACGATCGAGATTACGTTGGTAACAAACGCCTAGAACTGGCTGGACAACTGCTGTCATTGTTATTCGAGGACTTGTTTAAGAAATTCAACGCTGACCTTAAGATGAATATCGACAAGGTCTTGAAGAAGCCGAATCGGACCATGCAATTTGATGCTTATAATCATATCCAATCTCATGGAAATTACATCACGCTGGGCATGCAAAGAGCGATCTCCACGGGGAACTGGAATGTCAAGCGTTTCAAGATGGACAGAGCTGGCGTCACGCATGTTCTCAGCAGACTGAGCTATATCAGTGCCCTCGGAATGATGACTCGCATTAGCAGTCAATTTGAAAAGACTCGAAAAGTCAGTGGGCCCCGAGCTCTGCAGCCATCTCAATTTGGGATGCTCTGCCCTTCTGATACCCCTGAAGGTGAAGCTTGTGGTTTGGTCAAGAATTTGGCCCTGATGACCCATATCACGACAAATGACGATGAGGAACCTGTAAAGAAGTTGATCTTTGTCCTTGGGGCAGAAGACATCGTTTCTATGAGTGGGAAGGAGATCTACGAAGAAGGCGCCTACGTCGTTTTCGTCAATGGCACACCCCTTGCCCTCACACGACAGCCAAAAGGATTCCTAAACTCTTTCCGGAAGTTTAGACGAATGGGCCGTGTCTCCGAGTTCGTGAGCATTTACATCAACCACCATACAAATGCAGTACATATTGCCACGGATGAGGGACGGATCTGCCGGCCACTTATCGTGGTTGAGAATCAAAAGTCCAAGGTCTCGGTACGATATTTAGAGGCTCTAAGAAAGGGCACCATGGACTTTGACGATTTTCTTTACAGAGGTCTCGTCGAATATGTTGATGTCAACGAAGAGAACGATTCGAACATTGCTCTTTACGAAAACGAAATCAACGAGACTACGACGCATCTCGAAATCGAACCTTTTACAATCTTAGGGGCCGTTGCAGGCCTGATTCCATACCCTCATCACAATCAATCTCCCCGAAATACCTACCAATGTGCAATGGGGAAGCAAGCTATTGGAGCTATTGCATATAATCAATTTTCCCGAATCGATACTCTGCTTTACCTCATGGTCTACCCTCAACAACCGATGGTAAAGACCCGGACTATCGAGCTGATTCATTACGACAAGCTTCCAGCAGGTCAAAATGCAACAGTTGCTGTCATGTCATATTCCGGATACGATATTGAAGATGCTCTTGGTTAGTTACTTTTTTTTTATTAATCTTGTCAATACAGATGGAGTCGGGAGCCATTTGGTTGCACCAAAATTGCGCGGGCCCAAAAATGCACTCTTCCAACGAGGAAAATTACAACAGACACCTCAAATCGAAGAGCCATATCTCAAAAGCTGCGGGAATCCCCGTACTCAAGTTTGCAATCAAGCGAGCTAGAACTGCCTCAAAGAACCTAGCAGCCAAGAAATACACCTGTACTGTCTGCAATAAGTCCTATGGATCTCAAGCAGTCCTCACTAGGCACTACGTTTCCAAGATCCACCTTGAAAAGGTGGCTCTGAGCTCCCAGAGCTCCTCCTAGGCACCACGGACCATTTTTGGAGCTATCACTAACCAACATTGTCTAATAAATTCTTGAAACAGTCCATATTCTAACCTTTTGGTGCCTAGTTCTCAACAAAGCTTCTTGCGATCGAGGTTTCGGGCGATGCCAAGTCTTTCGAAAGCATACAACACAACTACGAAAGTATCCCAACAGATCTCAAGACCGCCTTGCTGACCGGCAAATGGACGACAAGAATCCAAGCATGCCCATCGCGAAGCATGCGATTCTCGGCCCCGATGGTCTTGCAATGGTAGGAGAGAAGGTCATTTCAGGCCAGGTCTTCTTAAACAAGGAGATGCCCTTGAATACAACTTCAACAGGGATTGGTTCAGACTATGGAACAAATGAACACAAACCTGCGCCGACGACCTACCGAACTCCAGACCACGCCTACATCGACAAAGTCCTGGTCTCCCAAACCGAGGCGGAAGCAATGATCATAAAGGTCCAAACAAGGCAAACCCGCCGTCCCGAGCTGGGAGACAAGTTCTCCTCCCGCCACGGACAGAAAGGCGTCGTTGGCATCATCGTCAACCAAGAAGACATGCCCTTCGCCGACTCTGGCGTCACACCAGACATCATCATGAACCCGCACGGTTTCCCCTCCCGCATGACAGTCGGCAAGATGCTCGAGCTCCTCTCCGGAAAAGCGGGTGTCCTCAACGGGACCCTGGAATACGGAACCGCATTCGGAGGGAGCAACGTCGACGACATGGGCGACATCCTCATCAAGCACGGCTTCAGCTACTCCGGAAAGGACTTCCTGACCAGCGGCATCACCGGCGAGTCCCTGCCAGCATACATCTTCTTCGGGCCCATCTACTACCAGAAGCTCAAGCACATGGTGCAAGACAAGATGCACTCTCGAGCCCGCGGCCCAAGAGCAATCCTCACACGTCAACCAACCGAAGGTCGTTCCCGCGAGGGTGGGCTGCGTCTGGGAGAAATGGAGCGCGATTGTCTGATTGCGTATGGAGCGAGTCAACTGCTGCTGGAGCGGTTGATGCTGAGCAGTGATGCGCACGAGGTTGATATCTGCGAGGTGTGTGGGTTGATGGGATATCAGGGGTGGTGCCAGACGTGTAAGAGTACGAGAGGCGTGACGCGGATGACGATGCCGTACGCGGCGAAGTTGCTAGTACAGGAGTTGCTGAGTATGAATGTGCTCGTGAGGCTGAAGCTTGAGGATGAGTTTCCGCATCCAAGATAAGGCAGGTAGAAGTGAGAGATGGGGAGAGATGCATGTGAGGCGTTTTGTTAGAGTTGAGTGCATAGCCATGGCGTATGATGAGATGCCTGAATAAAAGACATCTTAAAATCTCACATGAATCACGTTCACGGCAAGATGTCAGGTCAAGATTTGGAGAGAAAGAAAGGTCTGCTGCAAACTATCCACCCTCCCGGCCATTTACGAGAAACCAACCGAAAGAAGCGGCATTACCATTATCCATCCCTTTTCAATCATCCATCAAACGTCAGAAAAAGAAGAAGGTTCTCCAAATGCTCGCTCGCTCGCTGGAAAATGCAGTGCAAAGTGAAGAAAGGTTGCGTCCATCGTCTCATGTATAACCCATTTCTCATTCTGAACCAGCTGCTGGCTTAAGTTGCAGGCTATCTTTCTCTGCATGGAGTTGCTGCTGAATGATGCCAACCTCCTAAGCCATGTCATGAAGCAAGAAAAGAAGCCAGAAGGAGAAATACAAGATTTCCTCTCTTCCGTCTTCTCATCTCGCAATTTCAATTGCGTAGAAACCGCAAAAACCCTTCGTTTTCGTAACTCGGTATGGTGCAATCTCGTGTGATATGAAAGGAGAACGCCGCCGATGTTGTGTGAAATGAAAAAAAGGAAATGTGTCGTCAGTCATAATTCATAATATGCATGTATTCATGCCTCATGTGCTCCTCGCCCCGTCTCAAATGCAGGATGCTTAAAAGGTATCTCTATCCCAATGGAAATCGTCATCAGCCTCTTGCTTCTTGCTCTTGCTCTCTTTGGGTGCTGGTCTCGGCTTGGTCAATTTCGTAGGTCCAGATGAAGTCTTGGAGGCCGTGGAGGTTTTGGAGTTGTTGCTTGCGAATGAGGCATCTGTTGTCTGGATTATTTGGCCGCTATGGAGGCGGATGGCCTTGGGCATTGTGGGCATAGGTGGAACGCTGTCATCGGTGGTGGGATCCGCGCTGTAGGCTACATCGTTACCGATGAGTTTACCGACTGCGGTTATTGATTGCCTGGCCTGAGAGGGTTTCGTGTAGTCTAGACCTGTGAAAGAAGATGAAGGAGGCGGCGAGAAGGATTGCTTTCCTTTTTGAGGGATCTTGCTCTTCTGACCCGGGGGCGGAGGGCTAATGAGCTTCTTTCCTCCTTTTAGGCTATTTCCTTTCATTGGTACTGAAAGAGCAGAAGTCGATGCTTTTGCTGAGCTGGTGTTGTGACTGAGCTCTCCTAAGCCGGCGGGTGTCACTGTCTTCGACGTGGAGATCCTGGGCTTAGACTCTTCGGAATCCGGAACAATCTTTTGCAACTTCCGTGGTCGAGCATCATCTGTGTTTTTCTTTCTTGGCGTTGACTTCTTGACCTCTGATTCTGGGTCAGACTCTGAATCTTGAGATGGCTTGTATACACCACCATCATCTGCCAGGCGTTCGAAGGTGCTCTTTCTCTTCTTAGTGGGAGTCTTCTTCGCTTGGGTCTTCTCGGCTGCCGGCTTGGCTCGCTGTGGCTTCGGGGTTGTTTCGCGATCGGATTCGTCTTCAACATAATCGCCATCATTTGGATCGTATGCCTTTGTGGATGGTTCGCTGATGGTGGTAGCCGTCTCGATAACCGTTTGACCAACGTCAGAAACAGCTTTTCCCTGAACCGACTCATCATGCTCCACAGTCGGTAGGACACGATCTTGTGGTGGTGTTGCCGGTTGTGTTAATGGTTTTCCAACCCATGATGGTGATGTTGTAACCTTGTGCTTAGGTACCATAATCTCCTCTTCTTTGACCCTCACATCGTCAAGAGTAACGGCCATGCCAACCTCGACATGACTCTCATTGTCGCTGAAGCTCGGATCGGAGTCAACATAGCCACTCAAAAGTCGTTCAGATGGAAGAGAGGCAAGAGCCCCCGGTACAAATCGTGCTCTGCCAATCTTGGATGGTGGCTGACCGGGAAGAGGCTCCTCCGATGCTTCGGCAAGTTGACGACGAGCTGCTTCTAATTTGCCCTCCAAGTCACTAATCCGCTTGACCAACTTCTGCTGCTTTTGCATGTCCTTCCGTGACGGGACCCGAGGGACAGGACGTTGATATTGATTTTCGTCAGCAGCATTCTCAGTTGCCAAAACCTTCTTGATACTCGAGATTGATGGCTTCTTGAAATGGAATGGCTGCTTGGGGGTCGAGGCAATTGAGGGAGCCAGAGATCCAGCATTCGAGGCCGGACTTTCGTCACGGCGATCACAAAAGATTTTGGGGGCTTCGAGATAGACTCGACCTTTTCTCTTGTCCTCTCTCGACGTCTCCCTACTCAGTCGACGACTGCCAGCATCATGGCCAGCAAACTCGATACCAGAATCATGCTTGCTACGCAGGGGACTTGGGTCTGAGATAGGCTGACGAGGACCGACGCTACGACCTCGGAAATGGCCAGCCTCCTTCAGCTCTTTGTACATCTGCTCCGCCTTCTGCTGTCTCTCACGCAAGGCTTGCAGATGTGCAGTTTCCTCATCTTCCACCGGTGATTGCTGTTTCGACCAGATCTTCCAATTGTTTGGATTGAAGGTGGCAGCCAAAGACTTGCCAAAGCGAAATATACTTGAATGGCGAGACGCCTCTGTGTCCGCAACCGCGGAAGCAGCCCGAGAGTTATTGCCACGGGTTGTGAACTTTCGGTGTCTTGCCAGCTTTCTTCCACGTGCATCCTCCTGTTCATCATAATCGAATTTCGACCTGAGCTCCTCATCCGTGCCAATATATGTGGGTGGTGGCTTCTGGCTTATCCGATCATTCATGCTACCTTCGACGAACTTGGAAGAGCGAGCTTGTGAAACCGGTCGACGGAGGGAGGAAGGAGAATTGGGTGCCTTTCGATTTTGTAGGGGGCTTCTGGAATGGCCATTATTTTTTGGACTGGTGTCTGGCAGAGGCCAACCACTGGAACGTTGTCGCTTTCCCGAATGAAGAACTTCGTCAGAACCCTCGTGCTTTGCATTCTCGCCATAGTCTTCGTTTTCGTTAGGCAGCTTAGATTCGCGGTTGCTGAACAGTCTCTTGGTGCCGGTTTTCGATTCGAATTGCAGCGTGTGTTGTTCACGGTGTCCGTCGAAAGAAGGTGGTCTCGAGCCCACCCGGGGATGCTGGTATGAGATCAGTACTGGATCCCATGCTAGGGAACCGAGAAAGTGGACTGACCTGGTACGTGGTTGCCATCTCCCACGGTTTCTCTGCAGCGTTCGATCTTCAACCGTAGGTCTGCATCGGCAGGTGTTGCGTACGGCTTCGATTTTGTGGTTTGTTTATGTTGACATTACCCAGCTAAGAAACGGAAGAGAGATCGGTATGGAAAGGTGATAAGAGGTGAGAAGGGGAATTTATTGCCTACGGAAGGGAAGGCGCTTGGGATAGTTGGCGTTTCTTCTCAATTCAGCAAATTGGTTCTCCTTAATTGTGCGTGATGCAGGTGAGATGTTCCAAGACATCTGACGTTGCGGCGGCGGGCGCTGTGTTGTCAAACGCGTTAAAGCGCGTCAACGGGCTGGCGTTCAGCCTTAAATTAAAAGTGCCATTTTTGGCCGCAGACAAAGCAGCTGAATTTCAAGCCTGGTGGAAGATCGGGTGAATTTTGCTCAATTTGACGACTATCCCTGTAAGACAAGTTCTTTTAGATTTTACTGTCCATTCATTACACACTGCTAGACAAAAGTGACTACACACGTAATTTTGATGACGAACTAAGGTTAGAACTCAGGGTTTGCTTCCATCACAGCCATTGCACGAGGAATTATGCACACCAGAAATTAAATGATCATCGAATCCATACATTCATATCCTACCGAGCACACACTGTTGGCTATCTAGACTCCATCCCTACTTAATGCTCTCCTAAATTACAGAATGGCCCCCAGCCCAGTCCCAACAATCCTGAACCCCTCCAAACTCGAGTGACATATGAAATGGTGTTGTGTTGTGATCCAAAGGATAAAGCAGTGCTTCCACCAATTCTAGTGGAAAATGAACGATAAGGTGACGTGTGCTTTTAGCTGAAAGGTGCAGAAAGACTCGAACAAAGGCCGCCCAGAGGTCGTGCCACAGAAGGAAATCGAATTCGTATGGAGGTCGTGTTGAGCCGAGGAAAAAAGGTAATGGTGGCGGCTGTCATATATGCGGTGAGCTGACAGGTGCCAAATGTACGAGACGAATAGACGCGAAAACGCCGGCCGTGACTCCATTTGGTATAACACAAAAATAATTCCCAGACAAGACCAACGCCAAAAGGAGAGATTTGCGAGGCGAAGGCATGCAAGATTTAGTCGAGGGTGGGAAGCTCCCGGGTGTAGTCGGTCCCATCGGCCCGCTTGTAACTCATCTTGACATCCCCCAGCTCGTCATCGTCGTCCTGCGCTTGGTTGTGTGAGCTGCTCGGACGCATGCCATTGTAAAGGGGTTGGGTAGCTGCGGCTGATGCCGCGCTGAACACGGCGTCAAAAGATCGCTTGCCATTTCGGGTAGCCTCCGCAAGAGGAGGAAGCGGTTGGGTCGTAGGCTGGCTGAAGGAGCTTGAACGCTCAGGAGCCCGTTCATAGTTAGGACTATGCAAAGGCGGAGCAATACGGTTCACGGAGGAGAGAGGACCAGGTGGCGAAGTGAGACTCTCATACTCAACATGATGTAATTGCAACGGTGGAAGGGTGGCAGGAGTATGAGGGCTTTGAGGGCGAGGAGCGTAACCCTGATAAGGAGCACGGTTGTACCCCAGGTCGACAGCTGGAAATTGGCTACCGTGTGGAGCCTGTGGAGGGTAAGAGCTGGACGCCCTCCTGCTGTACTCGATCTCACGCGGGTCCCGTGGAGGATTTGTTGGATGTGCTGACTGAGGATACTGTCTGATATCATATGTGAGGTTGCTCTGCGGAGGAGGTGGTGGTGGTGCCGCGCGGAATTGGGCTGGAGCTGGTGGAGGGTAGGCATTTGGAGCAGGTTGGTATGCCTGGGGCGCTGGGGGAGGAGGAGGTGGTGGTGGTTGATGATAATGAGATGGTGGTGCTCCAAATTGCTGGGGACCATCGCGGCCGCCAAGGAAGCCCAAGTGGCCTCCTGGAGGGGGAGGAGCATGTCCTTGAAGTGGTGAAGGAGAATACTGCGGGTATCCTTGTTGATACTCTCCCGACTGGCGGCGCTGCTGATCAGGATAGGCTCGTCCGTCGGGGCTCCCGCTGTGCGAGCGTTCTCTGTTGTATGGGTCGTGAGGCTGTTCCGCAGCTCGGCCAGGACGAGCATAATCGTCCTCAGCGACGTCGTCAAAATCCGCACCGGACTTGCCCTCCCGTCTCCTCATACGCACATCACGTCGGATGCGGACTCGGCACCCTTGCTCGGCGACAGTCCGGCTCAGCACTGTACTTTCGGCAAGACCTGGGAACTTCTTCGCACTGAAGACAGTAAACTGGGCCGACTTGACCTCCAATCGCCAGTCAAACGACGAGTCGGGGGCATTGGGGCCAGTCATGATGTTCGGCTTGCTATCGTTCATGGATTCTGCATCGCCATCATCTGCCGGCTTCTTTGTCTCCTCGTAAAGGTTGAAACTAAGACGATACTTTCCCTCGTGGCGAACAGAAAGATCGGGGAAGATGAAGTAGCCCGCCTCGGTGGGTCGATCAAGGTAGGCCATTCCAGAGACTGGCATTCCCGTCAGGACTGGGACCTGAGGAGACGGTGGTTGTGGGAGGCCGCGATGAGGTGCGATGACACGAGACACTTCCAGAGTAGCAAAAAGGAAGAAGTTGGCATTGTAAGAGAATGTGATGTCTTCCTGCTCCTTGCCCTCTCCTTGGAAGATGCGAAGTTCAACAACAGGAGGTGGGTCAACAGGCCGTCGATCAGCGGATGCTGGACAATGTCAGCAGTGCAGCACGACGGGATACTGTGTTAATACTCACATTTGGCTCCTGATCCACATGCTCTGGCTCGCTCTGGTTGTTGAATGACCGTGAGGCAGTATGTGAGCTTTCTTCCGCCCTTGGTGACTCGCGAGATGCTCGCCGTCGACGGCGGAGGAGGTGCGGCCATTTTCTAATTGTTCTAAAACTATTCAATCGCACAGGAACAATTCTCTCACGTCGGTTGGGATCCTCAGAGGCCGCGGGTTTTATCTACATCCAACGGTCAGCCCTGTTCCGTTCCCAGACAGTTTTGCGACCCGGCGAGGTAAAAGTCATTCCCGACACCCAAATTGATGGGTTTGACCAAGCGAGCGCCAACAGGAAATGCTCACCTCTCTGAACTTCAAACTCCACGGTCGGAAGTCGTGATAACTTCAGGAACCAGGGGTTCAAAGGTCCCACGAGCGTGGAGGTCCTTTATCGATGCGAGGATAGTTCGTCCTTGCTGTCGGGGAGGCCGTGTCGAATTCCTTCAGCACCAGCACTGGGCTGAAATCGGGGTCGCTTGCTACGGCGGGGCCTGTGTTAGGAACACAGAGAGAGCGAGCAATGGGATCGCGGGGCCTCGAGCCGTTCGAGCGTCGACGTGGTTGCCTATGTCCTTTCGCTGTGCGTTCGACCTGTCGTCCTGAAGTGTCGACGACGAGTATCGAGGGTCGAATGGGTGTCGGGAGAAGCGTACTCTGGCAGGAAGAGAACGGAGGAGGTGTCGGCTGGGAGAAGTGGCAGTGGCAGTGGCAGTGGCCGTGGGCAGGAGCAGTGCGACTGGCTGGCTGGGGGGGAGGGGGTCGCTTCGATGGCCTGGTTTGGGATGGACGCTGGATGCTGGATGCTGGATGCTGGGTGCTGAACACTTGCACGCTTGAACTCTTCCTGGCTTCCTGGCTTCCCAGGTTCCCACCCAATCTCAAGGGCCACCAACGACCAGGCCCCTCTGCACCGTCCCCACTGCCCCAGGACGTGTTGGGAGCGTCGTTGGCGCAGCAGGCCGTGGAACCGTGGGAACTTGGATTGCCTGTTCATTGGCTCATTTCCGGCCGGGCTTTCTGCAGGTGTGGGCATTGGACCAGGGGCTTTGTTCCCACCAGGGTTCACCACAAGTGGCCAGCCCGCATTCCATGCCGCTCGTCATCTGCAGACTGCAGACTGCAGTGGGAATTCTTCGGACCATGCTCCAAGGAGGTTAGGCCGCTGTGGGCCCGACGGGTGGAAACTGGGTCGTGCTGCCGTGGAAGCGACCCTCCTCCATGCCCCCCCATCCTCTTCCCGAAGGCTGGTGTTCCGTGGACGCACTACTGTGCAACAACAACCCTTCAGATACAGTACTGTGCTAGATCTCGCTCCCGCAGCTCCCCCCCCCCAACTGAAAAGCCATGAGCCTTTGCTCCGCTGTCCTCGAATCTGACTCGACGTGGAGGATCTAAAAGGTCCAGTGGCACTACGGAGTGTGGGGAGAAGCGAGTCTCGGCCAAGAGTCCTGGGACTCTGAGTAGTGAGTGAGAAACCGGTCCTCGGGCTGTCAACCTGTCTCACCAGAATTACCACTCCTCGCGCCGCCTGAGGTGGCGCCGCTGCCTTTCCTTTTCGAATGTGTCCAGAGTCCAGGCTCCAGGGACGGGCTCGGACGAGGCCCCCAAACCCAGCTCTACTTGTACCGAGAACAAGCCGGGGGAGTGTCAAGTTCTCAACCCGCCAGACAGGTGTATACGAGTAAATCGCTGGCATCTATGAAGTTTCAAGGGGCTTCACACGTTCAGAACCTCCCATTCTTGACAGTCTCTGACTCGGCCAGCCTGCGGCGGAAATCTCCTCCAATTACTGTGCTCCGTACTGTATTCGCAACCGATTCAGGGGTTGGTAGTTCACCAGGGTCTACCGAGTGCTCGCGCAATTCTCCAACTGGAGGCAAGTAAATTTAGATGTCTGTGAGACTGGGGCAACGGGGATCAACATCCCACGGGCACGTTCCAGCTTCTCGGCCAACGGGACGGGTACTCAGAGCAGGAACCGCTGATGGCGGCTAAAATATATTTTGACTAAAATATATTTTGAGCTGGAGCCTTCAGTTGGTTTTCACACGTTCCACACAAGTGCTGAAGACTTCTACTTCGTATTCTCGGGCTCAGACGAGCCTAGCGGACAATAATACCCAGGCATACCATCCAACCAGCAACTCCGAAAGCACAATTATTAGTATTATTGCGAGTTGTCACCAACTGGGCAACTATCACTTCTCTGGCTAATCGAATTCAGCTCTGGGCTCTCAAACTAGTCACTGAGTGAACTCGGCCCATTTTCTCAGGCCCTCAAACCAAACGTCCGGGGACGGAGTCGCGTTTCGAGGGCATGATGGAGAAGCGTGAGCCACTGAGGCTGGAGAAACCAACACGGGTCCGGTTATTCGTCGGCATGGTCATCTCCGACTACTGCTTTCCCATGACCAGCGAATAGGAGCTGCTCAAACAAAGTGGCCGAGTTTTGGGGTGCCTCCCTTGGCCGTTCAATGACCCGCGCAACCTCCTCCATCCCGGCAGCTCCACTCGCCAGCCGTCGCCTTTTCTCTTTCTTTAACAACCCCATGCTCGGGATGTTTCCCCGGCGCTGTCCATGGCATTGGTCATGAACTCCACATGGGGTTGCCTGTCCTGGTTCCTTCTCAATTACTACGGAGGTACTAGTATGGTACAGACTCAAAGTATCAAAGCCATTCAACAGCATCCATTGCACGAGACATCAAAATGAACTATCAGAATCGACGGATCGTCACTTCTCACGTTTGTCCCACGTTTTCCCATCGTCCCACATGGTCATCCAAGAAGCGGGCCACAGAAATGCTCTCGCACCTCCCACAGTCCAGCGGCTCAGATTGGGTGCAGCTCAGTGGAGATCGCAGAAAGCCTGCATCGAATTAGTGAGCCATATGCACAGGTCATCACCGATGTTACTTCTATGCAAGGCTTGTGCAAGCCCAAGCCAGCTTTGGCGGAGCAGCCAGGGCAGGGCAGGGCAGGGCATCTCAACAGGCCTTGTGCTCCGAATGCCGAAACCGTTGCGATCTAGATCTTGATCTCGACCTCTGCCTCTTCAGTCTTCACCTTCCCAAGATATCCTTACAGTATCTTCAAACCCGCATTTTTGATCTTCATTCTCCAACCTTGGGCCATCCTTCTTCACAGTGCAGTGTTCTGCTGCTCCCACGGGTTGGGCGGCGGGGACTTGCTGGCTCAACCCGGCGATACATCCACTGAAACGTCGCACACAGCGTCTGGGCTCGCCATTTCTCTGGGACGCTGGAACCGCTCTGAGAGGGCAAGAGTCACCCCCAAGCTTCACGGGCCTTTCCCAGCGAGACGTACGCTCGCACGATTGGGCGGAAGATCTGGGCACTCGCGGATGAAATCCTGTCTCGGGAAGATTGAGAGGCGCCCGTGTCTCTCAAAAGCCGGGCCAGCCAATGGGATGAGCACTCCTTGACTCCCGCGGGATGTGCGCGTGGATGGTGCATTGGTGCTGCATCTTGGTCTTGGCCCGGCCTGTGCTGAAAGCAAATGATCGAATCAGCGAAGCCCAAAACTGCTCACCCCGCACCCGCGATAATTTTGATGCCAACAGAAGGTTGCCACTTAAAAGACGGTGTTGGTCATGGCTGCAAGGTCAAGTGGTGGGGCAAGTGCAGCTCTGTCGTGGTGGGTCCTGCATACCGGAACTCTGACTCCTGAGTGCTGATGACTGCGCAGGGCTCTTTCTTGTCGATACCAACATGCAAGTGCTGTCAGAAATCCGTTGGAAGCCTCGTATATCCCGGATCATGGGGAGACAATAACGCTATCCTCCCTTAATTTTAAGCGGCTCTTCTACTCTTCCCAGCAGGATCGCGCATAGACGCCCCTGCGGTGCCAAACCTCCCAAGCAGCCACCTCATGGAGAATGGGGTTTCCAGTCTAGTCCGATTGGGACAGCATCTTCTACTTTGAAGTTTACTCCAGGGCTGCTTGAGACACTGGCCTTTCAGTGGTCAAGGCTCACCTCGAAGTTTTTCGTTGTGGGTGCTGGAATGCTCGGAAAACAAGGTCAGACGACACACCTCGAGTCAATCCAGAAGACGGAGGAGGTCACTTCTACATCTCAGCCGCCCCATATTTCCAGTACGAGAGCGGCAGCACACACTCTACGGCACCTTCGTGTGAGTCTCAAAGATGAGCCCTCCTTGTTCGAATAACGCTTAGCCACAGCTGTCAAAATACTGGATGAATGGTTGGTGTCACTGACCAGGGCATTTGCGCTTGTTCGTCTCCATCACTTGGTGGTCTCGGAATGCAAAACGAAAGGTTGGAGCACTGGCCAAAACTCTCAGTGTGTTTCTCTAGATCAGCTTTCTCGATCATCCCACCGCATCTCGATGAAAACGTTTACCAGCTTTAGCGACCAGCAGCAGTACGGACAAGTACAAAAGATTCCGATGGCGATCACAACATTGCCACCGGCACCTTCTCATTCCGTGCAGCCACTACACCATCACGTTGACTTGCACTACCTTAGAGCTCTCACAGGTGATACGAATAGGCCACCTTCCAGATCACAACTCTGTATCCGGGACCGCACTGCCTCCACACTCACCACTTCCCAAACAAGACACACAAAAGCAGTGTCACGACTCATTCCCCTCTCAACCTCTTCCCCTATTCCCAATCCATGCGAGCCCTCTTTTCCTGCAGCCAAAGTTGCACGATAGCTGTGGCTACCCGTGTAGCAGCCTGCACAAAGAAGGAGACCTCGTTGTCTCACCCTCAACCTGCGCTCCGAAACTTGACACTGCCGCGATGCAGCCTCTGCTATGTACAATCCAGCATGGAAACAGCTTGTTTCGGCACCTTCGAGTCTATTCGAGTGCGATGTTGAGGGTTTCGTACGTGTCACTGTTTCATGTTCATTAACACACTCCCCAGATCTCAGCGGATCTAAATCTCCGTCGATCGATATCATTTCGTGTTTCCTTGCTCAGCATATTCGGGGCATCGTCAGCCGCACTCGCCGCACCATACCACCAAGCCTTCCTTCAATACTAGGATGAAACGTGAAAGCCTCTTTTACTGAAAGGAGGAGATCAGACCATCGAGCACAGGTCTCCATTCTCCACCCCCTCTTCCATAAGAATTGGATCATGGCATCGGGTAAGGGCATGAGACTCGTCATCGGAGATTTGTGCAGCCACCCGTCACGAGTGCCGAGAAAGTGCCTCCCGTCGAGAATTCGATGGCTGAGATCTACTGTAGGATGGATGTTGATGGCCAGTGGTTAAGAACGTGGCTGACGTCCGCAAGAACTTGTTTTGAATGTAGGAGGCCGTGTGAGACTTTGAAAGATGCTTGCTCGGAGGGAAGGAGGGGGATGTTGAAGATCGTGCTTTGATCATTAAGTGGACAGGATGGGGTCTTGAATAAACTTGGAGTACTGACTGGTGGGTGTATGTAGCCAAGCGGCATTCCACGCCAGATCCCGCCCGAAGAATCATTTCTGTGGTAGGTGAGGAAGGGCAGCCGCCTCAGAGATTTAGGTCAGGATTGATGATCACGGCCCGAGGAAAGGGAGCTTTTAAAAAGTATGCTTCCATTCATTTTCTTACAGAAAGGCTAAACGCTATGCTAAAAGTGCCGAGTGAAGTCACGGTATCCAATCCTCCAAAAGCTTCACAAATTACCTCTCTCTGCCTGCTCCCTCTCAATAGCCTCAAACAAACTTTTGAAATTTCCAGCTCCAAAGCCATCAAAGTCGTTCCTTTGAATGATCTCAATGAAAACTGTGGGACGATCCATCAGAGGCTTGGTGAATAACTGCAAGAGATAACCACCTTCATCGAAGTCGATGAGGATGTTTAATTTCTGAATGACATCAAAATCTTCTTGCAATTTCCAATTTCTCTTGTCCGTCTTCAATCTGTGGCGCATGGTGGTGTAGTATGTTTCTGGGACGTTGATGAACTCAACGCCTCGAGCTCGCATGTTTGTAACAGCGGCAATAATGTTGTTTGTTCGGAGCGCAATGTGCTGGACACCAGCACCCTCATAAAAATCAACGTATTCTTCAATTTGGCTCTTCTTCTTTCCGGGTGCGGGCTCGTTGATAGGCATCTTGACGACGTTGTTTGGAGATGCCATGACAATCGAGTTCAGGGCAGAGAATTCGGTTGATATCTGAGAATCATCGACAGACCAGAAACGGTGAAAGGAAAGACATCTCTCGTAATACTCGCAAGCAGCTTCCATTTGTCCCCAATCCTGATTTCCAACACAATGATCAATGGCTTCGAGTGTGATCAAGGGCAGAAGCCGTTGGAGGGGATCGAGCTTGGAGCCAGGGATAGACTTGTAACCTGGGAGGAAGACACCGTGATATGAGTCGCGGGATATCAAAGTGTGAGTTGTGTCTCCGTATGTTCGGATGACTGCGGTGGTGACGGATCCGTCCTCGTCTGACCTTCTGCGAGTAGACTCGACGGAGACAGCACCTTGCTCAACAGCTTGCCTGTATACTCCTTCCACATTGTCCACTTCGAAAGCAACGTCCTTCACGGCATCGCCATGCTTCTCGAGATATTCGTGTATCTCTTTCAGTAGCTTTCGGTCTTCGGGCGATATTGGGTCATGTTCTTCGAGGCCGGTATGTGATTTGATGGGTGAGGTAAGAACGAATCTGATATCGCCATTCGCAACGACGTAGGAGGCAGTATGTCGACTTCCAGTCTCGAGGCCCCTGTATGCAATCGTGGAGAAGCCGAGACGAGTAGTATAATACGATGCCGCTTGTTTTGCATTTCCAACGTACCAGGCTGTAATGGGGCTGTAATCAGTAAGAGTCCCGCTGAACCTGTCAAGAATGGCAGAGTTTGACTTACTGATGTGATCGTAGCCGTGGAAGTTTGGCAAGTCCTGTACAGCACCATTCGTATGCTCAGACGTGGGGAAGGTCAAGGAAATAGGAGTTAAGACTGGCGGGGTGATTGCTGATGGAGCCATGACCAGTGACGTATGGAGAAATAAGAGAATAGGTTTGGAGGGAGTAGAAATGCTGACAATGGCACTATTCACTTTCTTTGAGGGAGCCTTGGTGATTTATAACAAAGAGAAAGGAAAACTAACTTGGCGCAAGCGGGATCTCACCTCATACATACATATCCAATTGCCTCTAGAGTGGAAACTACGATCAAATCCCATCCAGGATTACAGTACACTGATTACGAAGGTTCTGGCAGACCGATCGTGATTGCTTGATGTTGCCTCCACTTGGAGTGAGGTGCGGAAAGGAGGGAAGTCGCCGAGAGTACCCGCGCATACCCGCACCTTCATTCAGCTACTCGCGGCTCTCCCACGTCAGAAATCGCCTTTCAACGTCCAAGTAACGTGATGAACGTTAGAAGGCTCGTATGTACAGTAAGTTAGTATCAAAGCAGGTGCTTACTTTCAAATCTTGAAATCGCTACGCTTCATAAATTCCTTTCAGTCCTCCTATGTCCGGAACCTTAACATTCCTCGCTCCCTTGCGTCACTTTACCCTTCAAGGAAGGCACGACTGATTACTTAAGTGCCTTTTCATGGTTTTTGCTATCTCAGATCTTCATCTCCAAGTTCACAATGCCCTCCGCATCTCTCACAAACCGTGACCTGTTCATCCTCGAAAAAATCAAGGATCCAGAATCGGGTCCCTCAGCACCCGTTCTCATCGACTCTTCACTTCCTCGAGACCCCCACATCACAGACGATGTTGTCTACCAAAAGGTAACTCAGTCAGAACGAGCTATCATCTCTTCGATGCAAGATGTTGAACTCCAGATTGCAAACCTGAAGCCAGTCGTTTCGGATCCATTAGCCCAGTACCTCTCGAGCGTTGAAAGGCTGGGTGAACTGGTTGAAGAGTACCCCGATTATGCTAGTGCGAGGAACAACAGAGCCCAAGCTTTGAGGAGGATATATGGGGATGGAATATTGGTGAAGGGGAACTCGGAGAATTTGACGGATGAAGCAACGCCTCTGCACAATGAAGCTTCAGATGAAGATCTAAAAGCTGCGTCATACACCATCCTTGACGACCTGAGTAGTGCGATTAGCTTGCTCGCACCAGCAACACCTTTCATGGCTATCTCTAGTGAGCACTTCTCCATGGTCATTCTATCCTCCAGTCTCACCCAAGTTCCCACCAAATCTGGGACATCCCCGGATTGCTTCTTCTTCTCACCTCAACTTAGAACATTCAAGCTGACCCCGTCTAGCACAAGCAGCAAAAACACTCTCACAAGCATACACCCAACGAGGAGCAATATATCACCTAACCGCCAAACACCTATCTAAACAAAACACAGGACTTCGAATCGATCCGGGACGAACTGAACCCAAATGGTCAGTAGTTGACTTTGAAGAGAACGCATCGAGAGACTTCATGATGGGTGGAAGGTATGGTAATGAGATTGCGAAAGCGTTGGCTGTGAGTGCGAATCCAACGGCGAAGTTGTGCGGGGAAATGGTAAGGGAGGCGATGAGGAAGGAATATGCTAGTGGTGGTGTCTCGTGAGATGTTCAGGCATTGGAGTTTGGGCTCAAAGCAGGGTTGTTAGGACTCGATGTATAAATTAGAAGTCTTCAGGATAACAATCTATTGTTAAGGGAGGTGTTTTCAGCTTTCCGGCCCCGACTCGGCATGAAAGGCCAGTGAACTCGTGACTCTCGCTTCCAACCTCCGCCTTCATAGAATAGTATATCCTCAGCCTAAGTAAGCCACAACAAATTGCAAATCTTCTATTATAGCGACAGTAAAGATAGCAAAAGCTCATCGGACAACCTCGAACTAACTGTCGGATTTGTCTCTTAATTTACAATAAGAAGCATGTCTTGTCATTCGTCCTCGGCCCAAAAATATTTCTACTCGATCTCCAAACCAGCAAAACGGATTCTATCCAGGCCATAGCGTGGATGGGGAGACTAACGGAAGAACCTTTATTAATAGCAAACGTTCTAAATCGAAATATGTGAACGATCGGCAAAAGGTTTGCCTCCTACCTCAATCACTTAGCAAGGAGTAGAGTAGGAAGTGAGGGGGAAATGCAAAACACTAGTAGAGAAACCAGGAGAACCGAATTTTTTCCGTGAACAACGTCAATCAACTTCAATAAGTTTGGTTTTCTCCGTTCGCAGGGGTGGTTCGAGTGGTGAAACCCCTACTACTAAGGTTCTTCTGATCTTTGACGAGGAGAAAGCTTGAACGCTTTTTGGTCGTTTGCGGACAGCTATGAGATGTTAGATAGAATGTGTACATTTGATGTGCAAGGAACCTTGCCATGGTCGGGGCAGGGCGTTGTATGCTCACATAATTCTTATTTTGGCATATAAAACCCGATTCACTTGGAATCTTGGCATCTCACTGCATGGCTAACCTTCCGTGCCATGTTTCATGCATCTTCTAATTCAAGTTCTGGGTTCGGTAGAACTCATAACTACAGGAGTAGTCTCTTGATCTTGTCTCCGAGGAAGTTTTCATCCTGTTTTGGAAAGGAACAAGCCTGTCTAAACAGTATTCTACATTTCCGCGAAGCCATATCTGTTGGGAAATAATCTAAAACGATGCAAGTTTATCAACATGACGTGACAAAGGAAGTCGTGCCAATTAATACCCTTATAATCCGCGAACCTTTAAAACGCCGCTGAATGCCATCACTTCCCCGCTCCAGATTCCCCATCTATCTTCTCATTGAGCCTTGGAGCCCGTCACTTGCCTCCTTGCCAACTGACAGTGCTCGCACCTTCAGCATGCAATCCCTCCAACCTCAAATCCAACCCCTCAGTACCTCGGTGTCATCCTCTTAGTCTGATCTGCCATCGCATACCCACTATCATTCGACTCCAAATCCCTCCCATGATGTTCCATCTCACCTTTATTAATAATCCTACTGGGGTGATAAACATTAAACAACACCATCGTCAAAAACATCAACGCCGCATCGAAGACATAAAGGAAGACCTCATGATCCAACAAATACCCATCCTGACCCATGATATACTCCACGATACGAAACACGGAACGGATCATGATCATGAAACTGGCGCCGTAGAGGACGAAGAGGTAGCTTTGCCATGGGACGGAGAGTTGCTTAGAGCGAAGGGAGGGCATAGCGCGGAGGCGGTAGTTGAAGATCCCGGCAACGAGGATGAAAAGTCCGAAGAAGAGGACTTGAATCCCCAGACCACCGGTGATAATGTTCTGTCCGAGCTTGACACCGCTGTCGCTGGTGGCTTTGGCTAGCATTCCTCCTCCTACAAAGTGTGTCAGCTTAATGTTCTTCGACAGAAGTAAAGGATTTGGGACAGGGAGTCCTACCTCCGGACTGTGCTAGGAAAGATATGACATCTCCAGCAACGAAAACTTTGGTGAGCCACTTCACCCTGACTGGGGAATGCGTTTCTCCATCTGTTAAGACGATTATCCTCCCAAGCACCATATATATGGAAGCTGCGAAGAGAGCGGGTGCCAAGAGCAGTAACAGACTTTGGCAGATGTAGGGACCCGTTGACCAGTTCGGAGACTGCGTTGCGGAGATGGCTCGGCCGACATAGCCAATTGTTTCGACTGTTTAAATATCAGACACTCTCTAGGGCATTGCGAAAAGGGGATGAGTTGACTTACAGAGACCGCCGATGACGAAGGGGATAAAGTACCAGGTTCTCTTTCTGGTCAATTGGAAAATATGAAGAAACGTTGTGATGCCGAAAAGAGCAATGAGTACTATGGCTGCGACTTTATTGGGGTTGTAATGGTAGAGAAGGTACTTCGTTCCTGGAACAAGCCGCTGAATCAAGGAAAGCATGTTGAGCAAGAGACACTAGGAGGCTGTGAAAGGCTTCGAGACCTCTGAGAGTAATCAAGCAATCGCCAGGGGCTTTGAAGTGTTTGAAATGCTGGGGAGGACGTAATCAAGCAACGTCAAGTGTCTGCCAGGTTGTCTTGGGATGATGGAGAGAAAGTATTTTGTTTATATTCGAAGAGTGGCTGGGGGTCGGATGGGTGGAAAGGCAGTTGAAGGGGGAACTCGCAACTCTATATACATCTTGGAAAGCGAGTAACTGGGATTAAAATAGCTAAGACGCGTTATCAACTGCAAAATGGCAACTTTCAGATTGCGCTGCTGTGGCATAGTATTGAAGCCAAAGAAAATAAAGGTGTGGAGCGGAGAGCTCGCTCGCATCGTCGTATATCGTACTTTCGTACCACAATGTTCGCATTCGCATTCGGAAGTTTCCAATACCCCAAACGAGGCTTGTAAGGGCACTAGAGACAACAGAATAGGCGCGGCTATCGTAGACTTTGGGCAGATGAGGTCGCCAAGAGATGCGCGGGCGAAGCGAGAAAATAAGCTCTTGCGCCAGCCTCGCAACAGTGTCTATTTCAAAGCGACCTCGGGTTTTGTACGAACGTACTAATGTGCGAAGCCCAGTCTCTTCCCCGTCACTCCAGGCTGCCATCACAATCCGCAGCGCTTCGCCTGCTCGCTGACGTACCAGAACTCGTACTCCGTACTGGGACTCGGATTCAAATGCTGGCAATTGGCCTGCTTGGCCTGCGAATTCTGGAGCTCCCTCCTGGAGATTTCGGCTTGGGGCCGACCCCCTTGCAGCAATGGACCACCAGACCGGCATGAATACAAAGCCCTCGGCTCGAAAGACGCACCGGAAGACTCGTACCGGTTGCCGGACTTGCAAATCGAGGAAGATTAAGGTTAGTGCTGCCAACTTTGCTCCATGTTTTGTGTCCATTGGAAGATAATGATACTTACGCACGTGATCCAACTTCATCCCCTTGGAATCGACTCTCCTTGATTGGCTCCCTCGGTTTCGTTTTACAAACTCCCTTGACTGCCGAGATATCTTTCTCCTCTCCAGCACAAGTCTCTATCCTCTCCCTGTTCTCAAACTGAAGGGGAAACCAAGAAATCTGGCAGTATGAGTTTTGTGCTGACAAGCCTCACTGTAGTGCGATGAGCAACGTCCTAGCTGTCACAATTGCGTCAAGCACTCGGTAGTTTGCGACTTTATATCACAGTCGATTGGAGGAACCAGCAATTCGGGCAGAGGTACACAAGTAAGTAGTAGCTTTACTCCTTGACTCTGGCCCATACCAAATGCTGACGAAAATAGGTGACCAATTCTCCTCGAAATGGCTCTACCGGAGGTGGGCCAACGCCGGATTTCAGCGGAGACACACCAATGTCCCTCCACGATGTGCAATCAACCCCAGGGCTGAATTTGTTGGACTTGGAACTTCTGCACAATTACACAACCTCAACCGCTAATACCCTCCATACCGACCCTGCTATGAAAACGTTATGGAAGATAAATGTAAGCCTTGCACTCCTACCAGCGGTGATTTCCTTAGCCAGACTGTTTAGTTAGGTTTGAGCATTCACGTCATGGGCCTTTTTCGTTTTAGCGAGATAGCAAGCGTACTAACACCACCTAGGTTCCTCAACTTGGTTTTCAATACGACTTTGTGATGCGTGGCATACTGGCCCTCTCTGCTCTCCATCTGGCTCGATATCGACCTGAGAAGAAGGAGTTATACAACTCTCAAGCCATGCTTCAACACCAAATTGGGCTTCGTCAAGCGACAAATGCTCTGACAGAAATCAACGAGGAGAATTGTACCGGTGTTTACATCTTCTCAGCACTCACCTTATTCTTCACAGTAGCAACTCCTCGCAAACCAGGAGACTTCCTTCTTGTGGGAGATAATAGTATCGCGGATTGGTTGGCCTTGGTCAAAGGCACTAGCTTCATCGTTGAGACTTCCCCGAAGATTTTGTTTAACGGGTCCCTCGGACCCATGTTCAGTGCTGGACGACGACGGTATGAGCTGCGCGAGAAGCTTCTTGCAGAAGAGGCACCAGAAGATAGTCCCCTCGCTGAGCTTCATCAACTCATCAATAGGAGCACCGTCGATCGCCAGGACGTTACCATATACCTAGCCGCCATCGACAGCCTCCGAAAATCCTTCGTCACATACCCCGGGTCTGGTCAAGGCCCAACCTTCGAACCAGCGGATGTTTTCATATGGGTGTTCGAAGGGAATCACAGCTTCCTCGAGCTTTTGCGGCAACGCACACAGGAGTCCCTCTGTATATTCAGCTATTTCTGCGTGAGTCTCCGACGCCTGGACTCTTGCTGGTGGATGGAGGGATGGGCTACTCATCTCATCGCGAGGATCTACCATCTGCTTGATGAAGAGCATCGACTATGGATTCGATGGCCAATTGAGGAGATAGGATGGATTCCGAGTTAGACACAGCACTCCTTACCTGTGACAGCTGTCATCGTCTTGCTTTGGAATTCACGATTCGGTTGCAAATGGAGTTGGCCTCTGTAAGGTCTAGATCCTTTCTTGAATTCGAGGAATAGCATTTGTCAAGAGGTTCAAATAATCAAAAAGGATGGGATTTTGATCTTCGGTGCTCTGTGGAAGGTTGTCTGGGGTGGGAGTCGTAGGTATCGATGGAGAGGACGCTTTCGGTATTGGAAGGACTCAATTATTTGATCCGGGAGACAAAGATGGTGCCTTCAAGTCATGAAGGAGACTTTAGGGACTGCTATGGCCTGCTGATTGCTTCACTGAGAGGCCGTTCGTTACAATAGAAATGTACAATAGCGAATGGATTCATTTGAAAATGTCCTAGGGACATTGATAGCTCCCATGGAGGTAGGGATTAATGGCTCCGACAAGGGACATCTTTAACAATAAATCCCATCCTCCAGTGTAAAGTTACACAAGCCAAGCAAGCCCCAACTTGCCCCAACTTGGCCTCCACGAAAAGCACATGCATGAAGGAAGATGGTGATCAGGTGCCAAGCAGCCACCAACCCCTCATCCGCCGAAAAGCGCAACCAAAAGCGTTTCTTCATCCGCATCCATTCCTGAAGATAACCTGCACAGTAACATTGGGTGCAAATGTCCGGACTTAAGACATGTGACGAGGAGAGAAGCAAGTTTGAAGGCTCAAGTCTGGGGTTTGGAACTTTGGATAGCATTCTGACATGCACGAGCGCCGAGCTTGGCAGGCGGGGCCGGCCATTCTTCTACCCCACATATTTTTTTTTTCGAGCCTAAAGCAAGAGTGAAGCGTCGCATCAAGCATGTGAAATACGACCAGGAGCTCCTTTATCCATGCCGCCGAACGGTAGTCAATACCACGGTGGAGAAATCCCGGGTCGCTGGCGGAATCGCGCCAAAACACTTGGGTATTCATCAGCAGAGGCATCTATCGATCTATCTGTACGCTTCACCGAGTCTCGACAGATTCGCGATATCGTACTATGTAGCAGCACGAGTTGCCCCTTTTCGGTCGCTCCGTCGCGGTGGCGCAGGGGGTGGGTCGGCCTTCGGAGGCTGCTTCTAGCTTTGCGTGGATTCCAGCGTGCCTCGGCCAAGTGCTGCGTACAGACCCAGACATCCAAAACCCACATGCCGGGCAGCTCCTCCTCTTCCCCCCTTCCTCTCTTTCTTCTCACGCTGTCTGCATCCATTGGAAGAGTTCAATAAGATCATCCGCCGCCCAAAAGTTATTCTTTGGCCAGGTAAAGTCCACTGTCTCAGCCGCTGTTTCCCTTCTATTTCACGGTCCGCGGATACCGACCTTTTCCAGCTCTGTAGAATCCTCCTTTGGATTATTCACTTCCGCGAGAGATCATGGCCCCGACCCAAGATCCCGAAGCCTACGCCAGGACATTGAAAACCCCGCCGCCTCCTGGGTCGGCCTACTCGCTCCCAATTCCTGGCAGCGCCAAAGAAGACCGCAGTGCAGTCTACAGACACTGGCGCTTCGTCGATAGCCCTCTGCTCCAGACTTATAATCCTGAAGCCCGTACGTCCCACGACTTCTTCGAGATCTCTACAAAGAAGCGCCCCAACGCTAGATGTTTGGGAACTAGGCACTGGGATCCGGTGACGCAAACGTATGGGAAATACGAATGGATAACATATGCGGAGACGGCGTTGCGGAGAAAGAACTTCGGGGCTGGAATTGTTGAGTTGCACAAGAAAATTGGAGTCACAGAAGAGAAATACGGTGTTGGGTTGTGGTGTCAAAACCGTGCGGAATGGCAGATTTCTGGCGAGTTCTCAAACCCTCGAAGGAGAACCTTATGGCTGACTTTTTCAGATTTGGGATGCATGTCCCAATCTTTATTTACTGTTTCGATCTACGATACCCTAGGTCCCGAGACCACCGAGTACATCATTAACCATGCCACTCTTAAGTGTGTCATCACGAGTCTCCCGCATATCCCGACCCTCCTCAAGATCGCCTCCAGAGTCCCAACATTGAAGATCATTGTCTGCTTAGACCCTCTAGATGCAGGGGAGCAACCAGGAAATTCGAAAGCAGCTATTTTGAATGCTCTCGCAGCTGATGCAGGCATTCAAATCCATTATATCAAGGATGTTGAGGCGCTGGGAGCTGCATCCGGTTTGCCAATGAAGCCGCCTCGACCTGACGACCTCATTACAATCAACTATACCTCCGGAACGACTGGAAATCCCAAAGGGGTTATGCTGACCCACGCAAATGCTGTTGGAGGAACTTCAACTGCTCGAGGCCAGACAGATACACTGCCTGACGATATTCTGTGCTCTTACCTTCCTCTAGCCCACATCTACCAGCGAGTTGCAGAACATGGTGTTCTGGCCGCAGGTGGAGGCATTGGGTATTTCCACGGCGACATTTTGGGCCTCGTCGACGACATGAAGCTCCTCCGCCCTACTGGATTCAACTCCGTACCCCGCCTGTACAACCGTTTTGGATCCGCTATCCGAACAGCCGCAATTGACGCCCCAGGCTTGAAAGGGGCAATGGGACGACATGTCATCAACGCCAAGCTTGCGTCCATGAAGCTCCCCCACGGACAAGCAACGAACAAGCACTTCCTCTACGACCGCTTCTTCACGCCCAAGCTCCGCAGTGCTTTTGGCCTGCAACGAGCCCGCGGCATGGTCAGCGGCAGCGCTCCTCTAGACCCAACGCTCCACCAGTTCCTCCGTGCTGCCTTCGGAAACGATTTCGTCCAAGGCTACGGCCTAACTGAATCCTACGCCGTCGGCCTCTGCCAATACGAAGACGATTTCTCCTCCGGAAACTGCGGCGCCGTTGGCGCAGGAGTGGAAATTTGCCTCAAGTCCGTCCCGGACATGGAGTACCTCGTGACCGACTCGCCCAACCCACGAGGCGAGCTCCTGCTGCGCGGAACTCCAATCTTCAAAGGCTACTACAAGAACGAAGCCGAGACCGCGAAAGCCATGACGGAAGATGGGTGGTTTAGGACAGGCGATATCGCGGAAGTTGACTCGATGGGTCGCTTCAAGATCGTGGACCGCGTGAAGAACGTCCTCAAGCTGGCGCAGGGAGAATACGTCTCCCCCGAGCGGATCGAGAACGTGTATATGGCCAACACAAACATCGTGGCGCAAGCGTACGTGCACGGCGACTCCACGCAAGCTTTCCTTGTGTCGATCTTCGGCGTCGATCCCGTAGCCTTTGCGCCCTTCGCCAGCGGCATCTTGAAGAAGACCATCCAGCCAGAGGATCTAGATGCCGTGAAGGCCGCAGCGAAGGATATTCGTGTGCGGAAGGCGCTGGTCCAGGAGCTCGAGAAGATCGGGAAGAAGAATAAGTTTAACAGCTGGGAGAGGGTCAAGAATTGTCATTTGGAGGTTGATCCGTTCACGATTGAGAATGAGCTTTTGACTCCCACGTAAGTCCCTATCCCCTTTCTTGCCTTCTGGCTGAGATACGTGCTAACAATGAACAGGCTTAAGCTCAAGCGCCCCCAAACAGCAAAGAAGTTCCGCGCCGAGCTGGATCGGATGTACGAGGAATCACTCGCTGAAGAGACGCCGAAGGCGAAATTGTAGATTAGACCTCTCTTTTCTGCGTACTTGGCCGTTTGTTGGACATCGGTTCATGTTTGTTCATCATTGCATCGCATTGCATCACATTGTATATATAGAATACCGATTTTGAATCCTGGGTTTTGAGACAGGAGTGAGGAGAAGGAAGGCAAGAAAGAAAGAATGAGGGAAGGAAAGGAGTGTGGTAGATAGAATGAGATAGCAAAGGCGATGTTGGGTCCTTGTCCTCCTGCAATCTGCCCCTGAGCTGAGTGTGCTGTGAGGGTGTGCCAGACGTTTGAAAGAAAGGGGAAGCGAGTCAAGCGGGGTGAAGCTTGGGACTGACTCGACTCGATGAAAAGGTGAAGATTGGAAGACAATGTACAAGCACACACAAACACCCTTTCCCTCTTGAGTTCGACATTGAGATTAGATTGCTATATCATTGATATTTTCATCCTCTTACGGTGTTTGATGCGAGCTTAAACGTGATGCGAGCCAGGTGAGAGAGTCTTCACCAGTAACATCATGTAATGAGACTTCAAATTCAGAGCGAAGGAATCCGAATCTTTGGATTCAAACGATCCCGTGAGTAATCCGATGGAGAAGTCATCTCATTTGAGAAATAATCCATCAATTCCGTGTGGAGCCGCTGACGTCAAATGCGATGCCGGAGATCCGTCGAAAAAGTTAGTAACCGACATCTAGTCTTTTTAACCTTGGCCCAGCCTTCACTTTCTCCTTCCTCGAGTCTCACTTCACAAGGGCCCTCAGTCTTATGATTTTACTTTATTAAGAATTCAAGGAAATTTAGTATGCGGGGTATGAAGACACCGGACCGGAAAAACCGACAGTCCAACGCCTGCCCCTTCTCTTTTCTCTCTCCAGAAACCCCCAATCTTGCAACGCTCTCACTCAAATAATTATCGTCCCCTTGCCACCCAAGAGCGATCGAACGATACACGATTGGAAGTTTGTTGAAGAGTGAAAGAGAAGTAATGAGCCAAGTACTGTCAAAAGCCAGTCAAGACTGTACATGTAAGACGAGTAACGGCTATGTAAACACACCTAAGAAACGCCACTTCACCAGGCGCGCATCGGCAATGTGCGAGACGCGCTCCATGCAATTTTTACGAGGACTTTTCGTGCTGGGTGGAGACACGTTGGAGCGAGACGACTATGAAACACGTTAGCTGAGGGGGGTATGAAACGAGGGGTAATATGCGACTCTTGCGCAATGACTTACCGAAATCTTCTAATGATCGTTGCTTTTGGTTCTTCTTGGGCGACTTTCCGTGCATGAGGTTGTCGAAGCCGACACTGTCTTGGAGAAGATAGTAGACGCCTCCCATGATGCAGAAAATACCGAACGAGAAGATCCAAATGCGGACGACAGCCACAATGGAAGTTTGGTGTCCGTGAAGGAACCATCCGAAGAGGGTGAAGAAGGTTGCCAGAAGATCGACAAGCAAGATAGCACCGGACAGTTGCCATGAAGGGATCGAAGACCAGAAAGGACCATTAGCACGGGTGATAAAGATCAGCCAGTTCTCAGTGAGAGAGATTTCCAAGAAGACGACCTCATCGAGAACACCAAAGTTCTGGACAATACCGCCGTTCTGGCCACGGGCGATCATGGTTGTGAGAGTGATCCAAGTGCCAATGGCGAGAACAATGCCGAGGAGGATGGACATACCCCATAGCTTGGGCAAGTTCCACTTGACGGGGGTCTTGGAGAACGGCGCATTATCATAGGCAATAGCCAGGGTGGCGACATCTGCGAAAATGGCGATGAAGACGACCAACTCGATGTTGAGAGATCTGTTCAAGATGGCAATCCAGAGACCGAGGAAGATTTCCAAGTGGATGGACAAGGCGATACGATAGACAACGTAGGCGTACATTCGGTGGAAAATTTGTCGGGAAGTCTTGAGAGCATCGATGATAGCACCGAGACCAGGAGCCAAGAAGACGATATCAGCGGCAGATCGAGCTGCATCAGAGGCACCCTCGACGGCAATACCAGTATCAGCCTTCTTGAGAGAAGGAGCATCATTGACACCGTCACCGGTCATGGCGACCAGGTAACCACGCTGTTGCAGAATCTCGACGACGTTGTACTTATGCTGGGGGAAAACCTCGGCGAATCCATCAGCAGCTTCGACGAAATCATACACCTCTGAGCCTGGCATATCTCCGCCACCACCGAGACCAAGACGCTCAGCATTGTAGACGTTGGTACCGAGACCGAGTTGGCGGGAAGTTTCACGAGCAATACCGACAGCATCACCTGTCAACATCTTGATTGAAAGACCGAGAGTCTTGGCTTCGTTGATAGTGCGGGCAGTGTCATGACGAGGAGGGTCAGAGCAAGGCATAATACCAAGAATCTCCCACTGGCCTTCACCACGCTTGCGCGCAACACCAAGAGAACGGAACCCACGAGTAGCGAATTCGGCGACCTTGTTCTTGTAGGCTTGGTCGATCTCTTCAGGAATGGGGTGGTCTTCCTCGACAGTCTTCAAAACGAAAAGTGGTGCTCCCTTCACACAGATGATACGCTCACCCTGCGGTGACTCGACAACTGCCTGGACCTTCTTGGAGACGGGATCAAAGGGGTGGAATTCGATAACCTTGTACTTAGAGAGGACCGACTTTGCGCGAGGGTAAAATCGGAGTGCCTTCAAGAAAGCCTTGTCAATAGCGTCGATACCCTTCTTCTTGCGGGAGGCAGCGAGACAGGCAGTCAACATAAGATCATCAGGCTCAACACCTGGGACGGTGAAGGGCTCGGCGAGAGAGAGCTTGTTCTTGGTCAAAGTACCAGTCTTGTCAGAGCAGAGAATTTCGACACCAGCCAGGGACTCAATGGCAGATAGCTTCTGGACGATAGCCTTCTTCTTGGCGAGATAAGCAGCACCGACAGCCATGGTGGTGGTGACGACGGCGGGGAGACCGACGGGGACACCAATAATGGTGATGGCCAAGGTGTACTCGAGAATTTGGACAATTGGGTTAGATCGGTAGAAGGACGAAATCCAGACAATCAGGTTGGTGAAAATGACCAAGATCAAAAGAACCGTTCCGATGCCGTTCAAGACCTCCGTGAAATGACCAGTTCCACCGGAAGCTTGGTTCACAAGAGCAGCGGCACGACCGACGAAAGTGTTGTCACCGGTGGCTGTGATGACCATGAAGGCCTCACCACGCTTGACACCAGAAGAGGCATAACACTGATCACCCTTGTGTTTGTCGACTGCGAGGGACTCGCCAGTAATGGCAGATTGATCGACTTGGAGGAAAGCATCATCGGTAACAATGCGGCCATCTGCGGGAATGATAGTACCCTACGCACAATTCTGTTAGTGCCATTTCATTCGCGATTTTGGGCCATTGAGCTTACTTCTTCGATTTGCAGAATATCACCAGGAACAACTTCAGGAGCTTCGACCTCAAAGAGTCGTCCGTCACGGAGCACAACAGCTTTCAGGGCAAGGGTCTTCTTCAGCTCGTCCACAATGGAACCAGCTTGGAATTCTTGGATGAAACCGACCGCGGCATTCAGCAATAGCAGCGCGCAAATGACGCCGAAATCGACCCAATCTTCGAGACCTGCAGCAAGAACAGCGGCAGCCTATCACAAACGTTTTTATTAGCACGGAGCACTCGGAGGATTGTTTCACGTCTTTTCGCCTCGCAATTGAGGCACCCCAGCCGCACCCAAGCGGGCCTCTTGGTGGAGGGAGAATACATGCGGGCACAGCGGGCACAGCGGGCAGAGCTCCAGGGAGCAGGAAGTTGAAGAGGGGCGAAAAGAGAACTCGAGTACATACCTCCATGACGAATTGAATGGGGCCAATGAAGTATCCCAAGAACTTGAGAAACAGATTCTCCTTCTCTTCCTTCATCTGATTCAGACCGTACTTCTTGCGACGGGCGTGTACTTCGGCTTCTGTAAGACCAATGCGAGTATCGGTCTGGAGTTGGTCCTCTGGAACGACGCGTCCACCGCCTGGAGTGGCCTCCTCCTCGTTCTCGTCGTCCTCGGCATGGCCATCTTGGGACTCGAGCTCGTCGATCAGAGCGTCCATGTCCTCGTCTTCCTCGTCTTCCTCAACGGGTTTCGTGGCAGGCGGCGCGGCATCGTGCTTCTCGTCGAAGTTGCCCGACTCGATCTTGGTATTGAGGTGATTGGGATTATCGGATGGATCTGAGTGCGTGCCTGTCGCACCCGGTTCCGCCATGGCTGCGCGGTGGAGAGAAGCTCTGCTTCCTGCTCCGAGAAATGAATAGGTGGGTTACAGTCCGCAGCGCGGGGGTGGTAACAAACGATTGCGGGGAAAGGGCTAGAGGTAATACAATTAATCGCGATGGATGCGATTGAGGATAAAGAGCGGAGAGAAGACCGCGACGAGGGAGGAGAGCAGGATCGTCGAAGGTGGTGAAGGTCGAAGAGGAGTGTAGAGGAAGTCTTAAGCTTGGGAGGGAACTCAAGGAGGGTATTTGAGGAGCGAGGCAGCGCATGTGCCACGAGCTATCGGTTTCCTCGCTTATCATTCGACAACAGGGCCCTCTCCAGCTTTTTTGGGGGTCAGCCTGCACCAAGTGAACCGCAGGAGCGTCTGGGCGGAACGCATCCAGCGCAGGCCGTGGATGTGCTGCAGGGCAGGGCTAGGAGGACCTCAGGACATGCAAGATATTTGCACCCAGGTACGTAGGGCTTGGCTTCTCTGGCCCTGTAGTTTTACAAGGCACACACTTTCAGCAAACGGGGGAGCTCTAGCTGCTGCAGCTCCGACCCCGGTCCGAGAGCGCAGAGATTCTTCCAGCTCTGTTCCAGCAGCGCATTTGATGTGTCACGAGTGTGATATAGAAGGAGCTGCATATCCTCAACAACCCCATGGGTGGTCTCTTCAATTCATCCCATGCCCTGTACGGTACCTCGTTGTGAACGGCCACGGGCCACGCGCAGTCCCCACACAAGGATAGGGTACCCAAGATATCCCGCAGAAAATTGCCAGCCTCAGAGTATGTCGCCATGATCCCCATCTCCGATAGCTGATCCTGGTCGTTACGATCGAAATTTTTATACCGCAGTCTTGGCTCATGAACGGGGTGTTTTATAGGTTGTAATTTACGATTGTTCATTTCAAATATGAACCAAGTTTGTAGCTAAAGAGCAGATACATTTGAAGCGTTGCAGAGAGCATTGTCATTTGGCGCAATATTTTCTTAAATAACCCTGGCTTCCAATCACAGCTTGACCTGACTCATCACGCCCGCAAGAGTGGCGGCGATCATTGGCCAATTCCCAGTCCTTGGCATGGGTCGCGACGCTCTCTGATCCTCGATGACCTCCTCTCCTCACGGCACTTGGCCGCTTGGGGCAAGTAGCTTCACTTGCTGCTCGACGACGGGAAGGCCGCTGATTTGCCCCCCCCCACCTAGCTTCTCGGCAGTCCCCTCACGCTGCTTTGACTCCGTCGTTGAGAGTGGCAGATTCTGTGGGCCGCCGATAACTTAAAAACAGCGACGGGCTGGTTTTCGAACGCACCCGGGCCGTGCAAGGAATCAAGGAATCAAGGAATCGACAGGACAACATATGGTGATCTAATCCAAACTGCCCCCAGTCAACAACGTCCGTCATCCTGCAAACGGAGCTTGGCAGGAGACGATGAGAGCTTCCGTCACTCCCGTACTTTCGTATCCGCGGATGTGTGACCTGAGCTGTCCCTCTGCAACGTCGCTGAGCAGAAGCCAAGCCACCACATCACGAGAGCGAGCTCGACAGCTTATTGCCCAATCTGGCCTGCAATCATTGCTACATCCTCCCTAGCTCATAGCCACTTAAAGAATCGAGGAAAAAGAAACCACGTTCTCCACAAAAGCGGCGTGATTGACCATAGATATCAAGACGTTTGTGAACGCGTTGAGATTGGGATCGTAGATTTGTCCATGTCGGCCACTTGGCATGGAATGGCCAAGAGTGAGGTGCGATGACCCTGCCCTAAGAAGACGTGATGGGGATCAAAGCTCGAATCAGCCATCCTTTCGGCCTTGAGAAACTCAAAGAAAATGCCCCTCTGAAACGTGAAACCTTTACGGTCTGTTCGCAAATGAACCCGACCCTATGATTATTGAAGACAACGCATCTTCTCAGCCTCAGGTCATCTTGTGGGTTTCCGCCAAGGACGTTAGCCTGTGCACATCTTGATCCCATTCATTCATTGGATCTACAGATCAGCCGACGGCCGAGACAGCAAGGCTGGGCAGAGATACGTTCGCCAAAACATCAATAGCCTCGTCCACTGGTCTGAAGGTTGTAGTCTGACCGGCATTTACAACCTGCCAAGTAAAGCTTCGGGCCTTCTGAAGAAGCAGCGACATGAATTCAGTGAGGATTCGACATCTCATGCCATCCGTGACACTCAAGAAGCCTCAATGTCTTCCACGATAAGCTCCGTAGGTCAAAAGCGGAGCCATCCCCTCCTTGCCAATCCCTTGGCGATATCGACATCGTTCTCGTACTCACCAAATCATGAGATTTGAGTCTCGGGACAACATGGACCTCATTTCATGGACTACACCTTACCTCCGAGGGCGTCACCAGCTCTCGTCCAAAACTAAGAAAGACAGACGCGTCAGCGTCGAAAAACCCCAACCAAGAAGACTCCCTCGATTCAATTTTCGAAGGGCCCAAAAAGAATCAAGCCATACACAAGTCACTCTCGAGACAGCGCTAGCAGGAACCATCCACTTTGGCCTTCCGAATTCCGACCAGTCTTTTCATCTGATCTATGAGGTATTTCCAAGCCAACAGCTACTGTAAACTATCCTGCCCAAACTTTCTTTCCAAGAAGCACTACAATTTTCACGGTCGTTCTAGCGTCTGAGGTACGCCTTCCAAGAGACTACAGTAGCTAGAAGCGTCGAAGAACGCGGATGCGAGATCGAAGTCGTGTCACCGCCGGCATTTGCACCGCCTTGCCGTCTTGAACCTTGGGTCTCTGGATAATCATCTGAAGGGGACATCCATGGAGCGATATCGAGCTCTTGGCGCGGGGGTGAGGGATTTATATTAGCGTTGGGTATGATACTATTGCAGTCTCAGAGCCGTTGCTGAGGTGAGGGTTTACTTTTTAGGAAACGCTGGAGTCGTTGCAAATACCTGCGGCTTCCAAACTGTCCTCCAACATCATTTGATTACTTTCAAATGTTCTCTTTTGAAGCTAGAAACAAGTACTTAATGCTACCAGTAGCTTGATCGTTTTTAGGTTAGTGCCCTATCCTTCTCGTCCTCCGAAGTATTTTGGAAAGAAGGCCATGACGGGGCGGACTGCCTGAACTGCAGAGGTAATCTACGACAACCCCCTGCTGTGGAAACGTGAGAGGTTCACGACGAAAAGGTTACAAATATCCGATTGCAATCGATGCTGGAAAAGGAGGCTCAAAAACTTGGGAGGCGATATATTCAACATCGCAAGGCTTTTCATGCACTTCCAGATCAGTAACGAAGTCTAATGTCTTACAGATGAGAACTCGGTTTCAAAGCTGAAGCCGAATCTTCTGCTTAGGAGTCTAGTTGCACATCGCCCTCCATGTACGAAGTCTCTCTGGTACATTTAGATTAATGAATGCAGAATATCGAGTTCTAGTCTTCAGGTGAATTAAAGACCTTTTTATGTTGTAGGGTGTAGTCTTTGTCTGAAGAATTGGGGCTCATTTAATTCCAGTCAGGATATTATGTGACGTTTGGGGACGAAAGGAGCTCAAGGCCATCTAGAGACGAGTGCGAGCCAATGTATGAGGGGTCTCGAGACACTCTCACTGCGGCTGTAAATATCTGACTACTCGCGAGAGGGCCAGGCACCCTTCAACTAGCTCTTCAAGTATCTGAACAACTTTCAGAATGATGAATGCAATACCCCAGCCTCCAACATAACTTTCATCTGAAGTCCTTCGCGCCCTACGATGTGGGCTTTCCGAGACCCCCAGACCAAGTCTCGAGATGGCAACTGTTCCACTCTGCCCTGGCCATGAGAGAACCAGCTGATACAAAAATCTCACTTGAAATATCACTTTCCAAAATTAAAACAATTCAATTCTTCATCTGTGTCTATCAACCAGAGCTTCTACGCATCTAGTCGAGACAACTCTAAGAAACAAAACAAACCAAAACAAAACAAGGCAAGTTCTATCTGCTCGCAAGTCGCACAATGATCACATAAACCCATCCCTATCTTCCAAAAATACCATGACCCGTCATGTGAAAAGTGATTTACACAAGCCGTGAAGGTTTGGAATCCTGAGAGAAACAAGCGAACCCATGATATGATCCCGTAAACGCCGTCTAATGCTTAGCAGTGACCGCCTCGCCGGTGAGCTTCTCGACGTAGCTCTTCGCCCTGTTCCCACGTATTAGCCAATATCCTACTTCTCAGGACTTAGCAAGAACACTTACATATCACCCATAGCAACCATGCAAATCGTCTGCCAAACGCCCAAGCCAATACGAGGCACCACTCCCCGATACAGACCCTTAAGCCCGTTATTCTGGTAAATGTACTTCGCCGTATTCCCCACTGTCATCTTCTTCGGACGGTTCGGGTCCTCCGTCTTACTCTGCATCTCCACACGGATAACCTCAATCGGCTGGTTCCAAGCACTCAAACCACCACCCAGCCCAGACGCCAGGATTTTCTCCCAGGCATTCAACCTGCCGCCCTCCTCCTTGCCGGTAACCTTCCTGATACCCTGTTCCGCCAGTCTCGAGAGGCCGAATCTGGATCCCCAGTTCGTCATTTGACGGATAGCGACAGCATTCACACCCTTGTTGATCCCCTTGATCCCCTCCTTCCGGTAGATATCCATGAACGTGGCAAATGTACCCGGAGGCTTGACACCCGCAGCAGCAAGCTTGGTCTTGGTGATCTCGACGGTCTTCATGCAGGTGCAGAAACCCATCGTCGCGTACGCTTGTGCCACTCCGCCCAAGATACCACCGCTGATGCCGGCCGTGAAGTCAGACGCGCCGAAGGAGCGGGCATAGTACTCTCCTTCGGAGGCGACGAAGAGGAGGACTGCACCTTTGGTGGAGGCTTCGATCCAGGCCCAGGGGATGAGACCTTGGTAGACTGTGCAGAGCAGTGCACATTAACAAAACGACCTCAAAATGGCAGATGGACAAAAGCAGAAGAGAAAGGAAGGGTAGCATACAGCCAAGAACACCACCTCGACCCCATATTCTTGTCAAAGCGGTCGCGAACGAATCTCCTCGATTCGCCGCCATCGTCGTCTTCGTGACCTCCAGCGGCTGTCCCAAAGTTGTGACCTCGAACCTGTGCTCTCATCAGTCCTCCGCCTTTGCCCCTTCTCTGCGAATCGGAGCACGTACATGTTGAGGCCGGCCCCAAGCAGCAAATTGCTGAACTTGACGGGCTTCTTCTCAGGAACCGGCTTGGCTGCGATGACGGACATCGTAGGTGGTATTTCTATATCTGGGACCCTGACCAAGGGATAAGGGTGCTTCGTCGCAAAGGATTGTTGTTGCTGGAATTGGAGCTATGCTGTGCTTGGTGTCCTTTTTTGCTCAAGCTAAATGCGTCGACGTTGGGGTTCGATGACCGAAGCTTATCTTGCTGGCTTTGTTTTGCTTTTTCCCTTGTCAGCATCAGGCTCAACCGGCAAACTGCGTAGCTCTAGATAAATTCGTTGGCTATATCTGAAGGGCGCGGTTGCAGGTAAGATTTGACCTTGCAGCAAGATTCGATACGGGTTTGGTGTTTGGAATTATTCTTCAACGAGGCTCTTCCGTATAGGCTACAGGGGCTGCGTTTCCCAGTTGGTAAAGTTGTTGTCTTGTTGGGCGGCTTGAGCCGACTGTTGGATCGCTTCGTTCAACACCTCGGCATTGGCCGATCTGCCTGCATGTGGGTCAAAAAAGGGGATGTTGATCTTCATGATTTTCAAAGATTGTACATGCTGGGGGGGGGGATCTTCCAATGGCCGGATTAGTTGGGATTGGAAGAGGAAACGCCTTGCGATGCGAATGGCGTCCCTGTCTTCGGATGATTTCCAAAAAAAAAAACAAAAAAAAGAAAACAGCTAGATGCCATTTGATGGGTTGTCACACCACTCACTCACTCAAAACAAAATCTGTGCTTGGCAAAGACCACATCCGAGCGAGTTCAAGGGGCGTCAACGAGCTCATTGAATGAAGATCTAAGGACGGAAGCTTATTAGAATACGAAAATGCAGTTCAGTAGGCAGGTATGGCTGCAGAAAAGCACCAGCACGCTGAGATAAAGTACAGTGAACAGTGCTATTGCTCCCAATCCCGTCTATGCCAACCCTTTTCGTACAATCACAATCTAGCGCCCCGACCCCATCCCTCTTCCACACCTATTCTATTTTTACAGCTTGGCTCCGACGATCTCAGCCCACTTCTCTGTTGAAAAGGACTTTGGTCGTTCGATTGGAGCGCCAACTGCGCGGTCAATGATGAGTTGAGGAAGGACACCAATGGCACGGGAAACACCGAAGAGAACGGTGTAGTAGTTAGCCTCAGTCAAGCCGTAATATTGGAGGAGAACACCAGAGTGCTGTTATCGAATCAGTGTCATATTTTCTCGAGGGATAAATTCACTTACGGCGTCTACATTCGGATACGGGTTCTTGGTCTTTCCGTGCTCCGTCAGAACACCTGGAGCGATCTTGTAAACCTGGCTAACCAGTTGATACATCTTGTCATCCGGGAGATGTTTCTAGCAGCTGTTAGTACTTTTCTGATGGAAAAGGAAGCATTCTTACCTCGGCAAATTCTCTCTGAGCCATATAACGAGGATCGGTCTTGCGGAGAACAGCATGTCCGTAACCGGGGACGACTTGACCAGCCTTGAGTGTAGACCAGAGGTAGTCCTTGATGGCTTGATCACTCAGATCATTGCCAATGGCAGCCTTCATTTTGGTGAGCCAATTCAAAACTTCCTGGTTGGCGAGACCGTGGAGAGGACCGGCAAGACCATTCAGACCAGCGGCGAGGGACAGCATAGGAGAGCTGAGAGCACTGCCAACCAAGTGAGTGGTGTGGGCACTGACATTACCACCCTCATGATCAGTGTGGATGGTAAGGTACAGTCTCATCAGCTCAACGAAATCCTTGTTCTCACCGAAACCCAATTGGTTGGCAAAGTTGAAGCTGTAATCCTTGTCTTTCTGGACAGGTGCGACCTTGCCACCTTTGAATACGTTTTGGTAGATTCTGGCAGCGATAGTTGGGAGCTTGGCGATCAAATCCATAGAGTCCTCGAAAGTGTGTCCCCAGTACTCGGTCTTCTTCATTCCTTTGGCGTATGCTTTCGCGAAGGCAGATTCGTGCTCCAGAGCAGTGACTGCAATGGAGAATTGGGCCATTGGGTGGAGGTCATTCGGACAGCGGTCGATAAGCTCTTCCACGAACTTGGGAACTTCGGAGCGGGCGGCCCACTCAGCGGAGAGGTCGCGGACTTGCTGTTCACTGGGAACTTCACCAGTCAGGAGAAGCCAGAAGAGGCCTGGGGAATCAATTAGCAGATTACCGGAATATATCTCTTATCATTCCTCACCTTCCGGCAGAGGCTCCTGTCCTCCAGGAGCCTTTGGCAGGAGCTCCTGGCATTCTGGAATTGTCTTTCCTCGGAAGCGGATACCCTCCTCGGCGTCGAGAACAGATCCCTCCCAGACTAAAGACTTGATACCACGGGCACCGCCATAGACTTGGTCGAGAGTAACCTCGCCAACAACTTTCGATCCGTAGTCCCTGGAATTTATCAATCCCGTAAATTTTGGTCCCCATTGTCAATGCTTACTTGCGGAGCTTCTTTATCTTCTCAATATTCTCCGGCAGTTGTTCGGCGAACCGCTCCTTCAGGGTCTATCACAATTGTTAGTTGGGGCCACGATTGAGACCGAAGGAGCTTCCGCACTTGAGTTTTCGACGAAGAATAGCATCGCAAGCCATTGAAGGCAGCGGTTCTGGCATTGAAAGCTGGAGCGGCGAGGGAAGACCGCAAGGCCGAAGAACCAAGACGGAGCGCTGACGACATTGTGGTATGGAGTTGGGAAAGCAAAGAGAGGAAGATGGGTGTTGAAAAAGATTGGAAGGACTCCCGGACCAGCGGAAGCTTTGGGCTTTACACCCCGGCTCCCAACGGACGGGACAGCGGGCCACCGCCGAAAAAAAGTTGCGAACACCCTGACGTCAAAACGCGGTGCGAGACACGGGCAAAGTCGGAGAGCCACTGGGCCATCAAGGGAGCTTTCTATTTCTGATTCACACAAACGTCTAGGGAATCTGAAGCTACCCGTAACTCGTGAATTGCTCGCCTCTCTACTTTTCCATTCAGTTTCGAACAAATGGGGTCTGGTCACGTGATCGATGAGTAATTCTCTGCCTAGCTTGCAGTCACAAAACGCCTCCTCATCTTCGGCTTTGTCCAACCTCCTCTTCCCTCCACATCTAAACCACAACCTTCTGGAAACCATCAGAACTACAGCAGCTAATCAAGAACTTTCGCAGCCGTAGCTCCTGCTACTTCTGCTACCTGCCAACGCCTCGAAACTTTGGCTAGTGACACTCCAGCTCTAGAGCCATCGTGCCCGGTCGCACGTCGTATCGTAATCGCGCATAGACCACCTACCTTCACTTTTATTCACCATTATCGTAGCTTCGCTTCTGTTGGTCGAGAAAGTGAAGAGCAGAGCGTAGCAGTAGACGCAAGATCTCTCATCTGCTCCACTCCACATTTGATTGCATGAACTGAGCTATCGCCGCAATCTTGTTTCTCCCGTCATGTCTTCCGCAGTAGCAGAACTAGAAGCTGGCTTGCAAGCCATGCTGTCGTTGAAGCCTCCAGGAGTGTCGGGTTCTCGAATCCAAAGTATCACAGCGCTCTGCACCGCAAACGTTCAGGTAAGAAGATTGGTGACCCCGCTTGATGTTCACGAAGCTGACGCCACCCTCACATAGTCCGAATCGGTACTCATCCAGAAGCTGTACACTCATTTCAAGAAAGCCCCCGGAACCCACAAACTTGGCGTGCTATACGTCGTAGACTCTGTGACGAGAAAGTGGACAGAACAAGCTAAGAGTGCTGGACAGCCTATAAACAGTTCTGCCCAGGATGGAACCTATGCTGCTGGTGTTCATAGAGTAAAGGAACTGCTTCCCGTCCTGATGAACGATATTATTTTGTCTGCCCCCGGTGATCAAAAGGTACGCCCAAACATTTGAGCTCTGTAGTCTTCGGAGCTCTTCGGTATTGCGAGATGCACACGATCTTGACTACTGGTGTGCCGCTTGAATGAGATATTTGCTCTGCATAGTTCGCCCCTCTGAAACCCTACTTACTTTGTTTCTTGTTTTGTAGGAAAAAATCAGAAAGCTCGTTGATATCTGGGAGAAAGGCCAAACATTCCCCTTGCAAATGCTCACTACATTCAAGGAGAAATTGAACGTCCCACCGCAAAGTAAGACAGCCACACTTTCCCACCCGTGTCCTGGTCATTCTCTAATCACTGCTATTCTCTTCATAGATCAATCAACTACCCCTCCGGGAAGTCCTCCCGCAGATCTTCAAAAAACTCTTGGACTCCAACAGATGCCTGTATCAAATCCAGCCCCAGCTGCCCGTAACACCTCCTCGATCTTGGAGGCTCTTGCCAACATGGCTCGACAAAACAACACTGCTCCCCCAGCGAATCCCACCCCCCCAAAGGATAGTCAATACAATGTATCAAATTCGCAGAGTAATCCTGCTCTTTCAGCCTTCAATCAGGGCATTCCGTTTCCAGCAATTCCACCGCCTGTAAACGTGCCAGCCGCAGCGGCCACCTTTGCTTCTCAAGGAATGAGTAATGGTGCTCAGAACTTTGCCAGTAATCAAACAAATCCTTTCGCAATTGCTCCGCCGATAGCCCCGCCTTCTGCTCTCGATCCAAATGTCCAACAGCAGTTGATGTTGATAAAGGCATTGTCAGACCAAGGCTTTACTCCTGACAAGATTGCTGGTATTATTGCTGTTATGGGTAATCAAGCACCTCCAATGATGAGTGCAGGAACACTCCCACCGCCACCTCCGCAATTCACGGCCCAGAATTCAAGCCCAAATGCTCAGAATGGTTGGGGTGCGAGACCAGAAGAATCACGTGACCGCAATGGAACTGGAAATGGCTACCACGAGGCTGCGAGATCACCCCCTGGTCGGTACCGCCGTCGTTCGCGATCTCGCTCGCCTCCTCCTGCATGGAACACTCGCGACTCTCCTGCTTCACGTCGTCGAGACGAGCCCAACTATGAATATGGCCGAGACTCGCCGGGCCGAAGCCGGGGTGATGATCGCGGCCGTGGCCGAGGACGTGGTAATGACTATCGGCAACGCAGTCCTCCCCGCCGTGGTCGTAGCCCATCTCCTCCAACAAGGCCCAATGGTGCTGCTAGCAAATGGATAGGTCATGACCCTACCATCCCCAAAGGAAGTATTAAAGGTATGGGCGCGAATCTCCCTTCTTGCAATCAAGACTAACACTTTCTAGTGCTCAGCCGAACTCTCTTCGTTGGTGGTGTCACGTAAGTTTATGGCTATATCCAAGCTTAAGTTTTACTAACATTCATAGGTCCTCTGAACAAGAACTGAGAAATGTCTTCGAGCGCTTTGGCAAGGTGCAGACTTGCATTGTCAACAAGGACAAGCGCCATGCCTTTGTCAAGATGATTAGCCGCGCCGATGCTGTTGCTGCAAAGGAAGCAATGGAGAAGAATAGAACTCCGGACTCTCCGTTGAGGGTATGCCCGACAATTGTCTTCTCCTTACTTCTGATTACACAAGCTAACTTGAACAGACGCGATGGGGTGTAGGATTTGGCCCTCGTGATTGCAGTGACTACCAGACTGGCGTCAGCGTGATCCCAACTAGCAAGCTCACTGATGCTGATCGCAAGTGGATGCTGACTGCTGAGTATGGCGGCAGCGGTGGAAAGCCCATTGAATCTGGCATGGTCGTTGAAGAGCCAGATATCGAAATCGGTCAAGGTGTCTCTTCAAAGGCAATCAGTCGTCGGATGCAAACTGACAAGGGTGGCAATAACGGCCCCAAGTCAAGTCGGGAACGCGATGAGGAGGAGACTGATCGTCACCGTCGAGGAGGCAATCAGAATAATCGACGAGACGATGACCGCCGTGAAGAAGACCACAAGGATAGACCTCAAGCACCTCCTTCAATGCCCCCAGTTCCTGCCTTCGGGATGCAGAACCCTTTCCCATTTCCTTTCCCGAATGGTATGCCCATTATGCCTCCTGGCTTCACCTTCCCGGGTCAGACAGCAGCACAACCAGCACACCGTCCTCCACCCGGACATCGCAGCTGAATCTCTGCAAATCTAATCATTCAACCTTCACAAGAGTCTACTTGACCAGAGACATCCGGAGCTACAGCAATTCCTTTCCTCTCGTTCGTCATTCCCTGCATAGCAATGGTGTTGGCGTTAAAATACCTTATGGGATGCATATGGCTTGGGCGAGAATCTTGGCGGATCTGGAGCATGCAGAATGAATCATCATCTGTCTCATCGATGCTGCTCGTAATTTGAGCCAGCATGCTTCACTGTATATCAGCAAAAATCGTCAGTCGCGGGTCTTTACGGCACGAGAGACACGACTTCGGAGTTCCAACTCCAAATCCCTCTCGCTGTTCTGAGACTGACGTCTACATAGCCTTTCCTAATGAAAATGACCATAAAATGACTCTTCACCTTGCATTTGATGTGACCCGAAGAATTGACTAACTCCCTGTTGAGAAACAACCACTTCCCCTTGGACTGTTGTTACTCGCAGAGTCCTGATAGCCAGGCTACCTGCATGTATCATACCTCGATCCTTTCGAGGCAACATCATTATTTACCTTTGATTCAATAACCTCATGTTTCGTATCCTGTCTCTTCCCTTCAGACTTCCGAAAATAAATCCAAAGACTCCTTCACCACTAACAACACAGAGTTACATAGAGAATCCTCACCAATGCTGCATTCATTCCCTTGCATTGCCACTGCATAACACACCCCTGCCCAAAGCCAGCCACACCTCAACATCTCCTCCCCCAAAAGCAGCCAGCCGCGAGAAAATCCCTTTCAAAGCAGCGGTCACACAAGGGCTAAGATGCCACTCGATCGCTGAATCGGAGGCCTGAGGGCTCACCGATTGGGCCACGATGCAAGGAGGATCGCGAGGAAAGCCACCACCTGGTCTGGAGGGGAGGTGCAGGGTTGAAGAAAGAGAAAAGTTTTGACTCTTGGCTCTTGGATGGTAGATTTGATCGAAATACTGCTCCGAGGAAAAGTGGCTTTGGGAATAGTTTTAGGGACAATGGAGACTGTGTCCAAGAGAGAAGGAAGACACAGACCCAACAACCGATCTTCTTTTCGTCCCTGGTGACAAAGAGGAACAAGAATGAGTCATTGGAGATTGAGGCACAAACAAGCGAGTAGATTCGTTTCCATGCCACGCCCACCAAAAATCTCCGATCCGATTTGTAGAATTGCATCTGCAGCTACAACTCCAATGGATTTCCATGGGCTGGCAGTCTCGCCTGACGAGAGCGATAAGGCTCATGTGAGATTCGGGTGCGGATAAGCATTGATAATCCCCTCATAATTCTTCTTCATGATCTTTCGAGATTTTCGATTCTCGGAAGGAAGGGAGGATAAGGTTACTTTTTGTAACCAATGTTCGTACTGCGGATGAAGTGGCTCCGCGGATGGACTTAGAGCACACAGCGGAGCTCAAGCTTTTGGCTACGGAGCATCACATGCTTAAAGACCCTGGAATTTTGGTTATCTGTCTAGTGAATCCGCTGAAGGGTCTCCTTTTTGAGGGGCGGCATGAGCATTGCTCCCTTCAAATGCCAGAGCTCGGGGCTAGCTGCCCTTTAAGCCTTTCCGTATTTCTTTCCGTTAATGTACCCGCAAAAGAGGGCAAGCGGTACCTACTTCTGAGGTGTATTCAAAGAAAATTTTGTACTGAGAAAGACTAGAGCTATTGACAAGGTGCGCATTAGTGGGTGAAGACAGGGACTTTTTGGATCATTGGGAGACCAAAGGACCTGGCAATGAACGTCTGATGCTTTTTAACTTACAGTCCAACAGAGCCGCTAATTACCGGAAAGGTGGAAGAATGGAGAACCCAGGCTCGTCCTTTAAGTCCGCGAGAACACCAGCCAAGACGGTTCTCAACCTTCTTCAAATTATCCTCGTCCCAATCATCGACTCACATGACTGCCCGGCTGCAAAATACCACCTCGAGACCGAACTTCGTCATCCGACCAATATTATCAATATTTTTCTATGCCAAAATATGTTAAAAGCGATACGCGGCAGCAGGAAGCCGATAAAGAGCAGAATGTTTCAAGTATCCTGGGTGACGACCCATGCATACAAGACACATTTCTATTATAAGATGTCCATTCCTTCGTTCCTTCGTTCCATCATTCCATCATCTCGTCCGCATCCCCAATGCTTCGCTTCTGAGTTTCATCTCTCGATGATCCGCTTCTCGTGTTCTTCTTGCCACTCCAAATGGAGGGCTTCGGAAGGAACTCGTAGCTATATGTGTGGGAGAAGTCTCCTTCAATTTCAACTCGTTCTTCTCTCAAGGCCTGTTGGGTGTCGAGAGTCAGGCTTGCAAAATTGAGATCAAGATTCATGTTCTCTTCATGTTGCTTGGGGTCAGAGCTTCTGACGCGTGGAAGCAGGTCAAACCCCTCATCGTTCTTCTGGTGCATAATGAATTGCTGCTCCTCACGAAATTGAGGTAATAAAGGGCCGTGTGGATTGCCATCTTCATGTGCAGTTCGGTCATACCACCCGGTCTCAGCATAGTTGGCTCCCTGGTATACACCTAGACCAACACGTTGTTCTAGCCAGCCTTCACTCAAATAATGTTGTGCAATATGTGCAGAAGTTTCGTTCTCTCTTTGATTGATCTCGTAACCTTCCGGGGGAGGGGGCTCCTTATGTGGGAGGATAACCTTTGGACGTTTGATGTTTTTCAAGAGTATGCCGTTCTTTTGTTGAAGCAATTGTTGAAGTTTGATTTCTGCAACGCTGCCTTTCTCCGCTGTGCTCGAGGTACCTTCTCGGGAAGAGTTACTCTTGATAGTTGCTATCGGGCCTTCTTCAAGGTCGTTGTCGTTGATGCTCAATAGATGGATTTTTCCAGTGGCGTCGCCAATAAGAAGTTTTGAGAAATCTTTCGAAAATGCTCCACTGATTATTGCCCCTGCGAGAGAAAGAACGTTTCGAACGAAAGCCTTTCCAGGAGGATGCTTGAGATTCCAAGCTTTCACCTTCCCATCTGACGATCCGGTGTAAAATCTGTTTGTAGTTTGTCCCCAGGCTGCGAATTGGACGCCCACATCGCCGATTTCGCGAGGGAGATCAGGGTCTAGAGGGTCTAAAGATTCTGCTGGAACTAAGTGTCGGTTCAACTCAAGAATTCGATCACGACTCACCTCCATGCTCAAGAATGTGGATGGCTTGGTCGCCTCGTGCTGTGTCGTAGACATAGGTATTTCCGTCGGTACAGCTTGCAGTTACGTAGCAATGAAGCTCGCTATTCGGCCTTCGATACTGTCAGTGAAAACGCAAAGAAGACGGAGACACTACTTACATGATGGTCAATTCATTGATATCCAGTGCTGAACAGTCCAATGCCTGAGTGTTCATGAAAATCTCCTGGTCATTGAGAGCAAACAGCCGAATCTGGGTCTTGGTCTTGTCACTATCGAAAGTTCCGGAAGGTGATGTGGCTGCCACAAATATTGGCTGTGTTGGATGCCACTGAACTTCGAAGACATTCTGCGTGTGTGATGAAGTTATGGGTACTACCTCCTCATTCCCAGTATTCCAAACGCAGAGCTCTCCAGTATTTTTCTTTTCGTCTGGAATATCAGCATCGTCGCCTGTATCGCTCCGAGGGGAGTATCCAACGAGTAGTAGATTCGCGACTTGAGGAGCTTTTCCCCATTGAATGGTTGCTGGTTGGTAAGACCATGGTTTTGTCGCTTGATCATCTTCAGTTTGCAAAAGGGCTTTGTTGCCGCCATAAAATTCATAGGAGGACTCGGAGATGGACTTTTCATCGAAGTTGTAGACTCGCACGGCGTTGCTGTTGACACCCGAAGCAGTAGCAACTCTCTCGTGATGATCTGAAGTCACAACGAAGTTTACTTTTCCTCCATGTTGCCATGTGCCGGCCAGGTCCATAGAAGAACCGTCTTGGTGTATGGACCAGATTTTGACTGTCTCGTCGAAGCTAGCAGTGAAGCTAAACCCATTCTTTTTACAATGGGCTGTAGAAACAACGGAAGAGTATAGCCAGGGATCCTGAGTCTGTCGCATCGAATCAGCATTGGCCTTATCCGATCTGGGTCTGGGCACACGATGGTCTGCAAAAGACCTGACCGTATCATGGGTTGTAGATCCGAGTAGCAAGTTGCCAGGTTTGTTGTATTCCATATTGTGCGAATCGAGGTGGGCGGTAGCTCCACAAAGGAAAGCATCTTCATTAATCCAGCGGATGCTCTGAATATCTCCAGATGAGTCCGTCCACTCACTCTGTCGTACAAAGGAATCCTCCAACTTGGCATAGATGGAAGCCTTGAGCGATGGTTCACCACGGGCCACCTTAACGGGGGCTCTACCATGCATCTCACGGTGTCTCAGAAGTGAAAGTATATCCCTCTCTGACGAGACGATCTCTGGCTTCTTCGGAGGCGCTTGCAATGTTCGAGCAACAGCTTTTATGCCTGCCAATTCATCTCGCGGGTCAAAATCTGGGTTGGGGTTGGCGACCAGTGTCTCAGCTTCATAGTCTAAGTCCATAGGGAGTGTGTCGTCGTCCTCGCCAGCTAAACGGACCACATTGGCAGACTGCGTGTTTGTTCGTCGCCGCTTAGCAGCAAAGACATAGGATGAATGAGGCCTTTTGGCTCGCTCGGAGCGTCTCAGAGAGTATCCGATGTTTCCAGCGGCCGGATTACCACGGGCTTTTCCACCTGGCTCCGAGTCCCCAGCGCCATCGAGCTGATCATTCGATAATTCGGTAGTAGGCGATTCGGAATATGAGCGTGATCGACCTACACCTGAACGTGGATGATGTCTTTCGAAAATGTCATCGGTAGTTGACGAGCTCGAGCCTCCTTCGCTCTCCTCGGAAGCACCCAATCTCATGGGCCTGGTGTTTAGCTCTCTTAACGTTTGGACATAACTATCCACATAAGCCTTTGCTTCCTGGGCCATTTCCCTCTTATATTGTTTAGTAAACCTGCCATTATTGCTTTCATAGTTTGTCCTGAGTTCGGGGCGAATGAGCCACGCTGCCGTCTGCGACGCAGTTAGCGAGCAAAATCTCTCAAAGCCCAATACCTCCTGTACCTTTGACGTGATTTCTTTTTGGTCCGCTAAAGAAAGATCCTTCTGATAAGGTTGCAGCGCCAGCTTGATAAGCTCAAAAACTTTCTGGAGGATAGCCATGGAATGGTTGCCTTGGTCCTCGAGCGCGACGGATTCTTGGATATGTCCATTCTTGGGAGAAGGCGGGAGGCCGTAGCTCGACTGTAACCTGCTTGCCCCGGTGATCACGGTTCTGGGATGGGCTGTCGGAGGAGATAATGTAAGATCGACGGTTTGATTTGCGCTTGGTAATGTTGAATTTGGCGAAGCTTGAGCTCCCAAAGAACTAGAAGTCGCGCCTTTCCCTCGACCTCCTAGAGGAACACCGTTATGGGTAGTTTTCCGACGCTTCGCTACATTCGCGAGATTTTGTGGCCCGTTCATCTGCACACTTCTGCTAGAGAGATCTTCGAGGCTGGCAGAGAGTCGAAGGGTAGATTTGCGGTTACCTGAAAGCTCAGCGGATCTCAGGACCGGACGAGGTTGGGTGAAATTGGGAACAGCTGCTCGAGGAATAGGTATAGGAGGCACATATGGTAAACGGTTCTCCGCATAATTCATTCCCGAAGCGCCATCTCTCTTCTCCGACTTGTGGTCTGCGTTCGTCGTGAACATGGGCAAGCCATGTTGCATAGGGGGAACCTCGATCAGCAACGTCGAGGTATGCGTCGAGTGATCTGGATACGGCAGCTTTACAGCAACATCCTCGCCATCGCTCAAAGTAAGATCGATCACGACCCGAGGGGATTTGGCTCTGCGGCATGTTAATAAGAAGAGAAGTCGCGTCGCGTTCGGCTTCAGAAAAGGAGGTACGTACAGCGGTTGTCCAGCCTGTTGAGGCATTTTGAACTGTCGATCGAGCCAGAGAACCCTCAGAAGCGAATCGCATTATCGAATTGACGGCAAGTAAGTGGCAAAGGATGTACAATGTGTTCGGTGGGAGTTGTCGCCGCGTAAGGAGAGATGTGTGTTTCTGGACGTCGGGTTCGACGCGCCAGCCAATAGCTGAGAGGCGGGCGGCAAGGCTGACCAAACACAGGAGATTCGCACTGGGTGCAATGCAATGTAAACCTAGAAGAGCAATGTTGGTGTTGATGTTGACAACTTGGTCTGGTTCGTAGAAGTGAAGAGATATTTGCAAGCCTTGGTGGTTTTTTGATCTGTCATGTACTGTAGTGAATTAGGTCTCAGGGTGAGTTAATTCAGGTGAAGAGGAGGATCCTCGGAGGTCACGAGGCTGTGAAGTCTGCGGAATCACTCCAAGCACCCGCCCAACAAGACTGTCGACGGACTGTAATAGAAAATAAGAAATTGAATCCAGTCGTAGAAGCAGGTCAAGTTTTTGGGCATAAATTTTGTTTCAACAAAGTCTCCGTAAAATTCAGTTGACTTCCCTCACACCCCGCATTGGAACTAAAGAGCAGCAGACGGATGGATTCCGATTTAAATCACTAGGCCTCCTAACTATAAGCTGACCTTATCCAAATAGCATCAATAATCTGTCAATTCCCATGACTTTGAAACGTCTTGTCGTCAACCTTCCTGTTCTTAAACGGGGACCTCGACGTCTTTACTCGTATCCAACTCCTCATGTCTGCGAAGATCCATCTTCTTGTCGAGCAGCGGAACGACGTATGGATCGAAGGTCTTCCAGTAGGGGTTTTCAAGGTGGTATTTTTGACTCTACAGTACGTCGCAATTAGCTCTAAGAGCGAGACAAATGGCACAAGTCGTATTTGGGGGAGACTTGCGGACTCGTTCTCGAAACGCTCAACAATTGTAAAGGCTCGCGGATCATGGACGTCTTGCATAACAAGCCAATCAATGGTCTCTTTGTCCTTCCTGTAGATTCGTGCAGCCTCAATCAATTTGGTCTTGATGCGTGCAATGGAGTCGGGGTGCTCGTTGGCGTACTAGCAGATGTCAGTGAATGCTCGAATGTCTCAAGAAGGAGATTGAAGTACTAGGTGGACGGTGAGTGTGTAAACCATTGTGAAAGTTTCTTCCGTAGCCAATTAGAGGAAGAATGAAAAATGTGTGCTTGGGAGTGTTAACGGTTGTGCAAAAACCCCCTCAGCAAGGTTTTGAGTATCCAGCGTGGCCCTAGCCAAAGCATGGTAGAAATATCCGCCGCCATCACCAGACCTCGTGACCTTCAATCACTCCATCAAAAATCCTCCTCTCCATCCATTACCTCTGACGCCTTGTTGGATGCTAGTGATACGGCCCACTCTCTGGGATCAACAGTCGAACACATGATAGAGAATCGCGGAAGGTGACCATTCATGAAGTCGCGCTCGACATGGAACGTCCAGTCCGAGAGATTCCTGGTTACTACTACGGTTTTTGCCACTTTTCCTGCTTATCAAGAGATGCTCATATGATTTGTAGACAAAGAGAAGAAGAAGTACTTTAAGATTCAGTCAAGCGGTGCCGCACCTCCTAGTTCAGCATACTCTCAACAAGACGTCAAAGAACGGAAATTAAATGATGAAAAAGCAGAATCAAGAGCCTTGGCAGTAGCACGAGAACGGCGTCGTATTAAACGCTCGAAGATTCTCTTAGAGCCTTTAGCTGGAGGTTTACTCGCAAGAGAGAATGGGTATGATGGTCTGGACGCTTCCGAGATTCTTGCTAGAGGACTTGTGTCCCAGGGATACATTAGCGCCATGATGCAGTTTTCTTCCTGCAGTAATCCCTTATTCGCCTTTGGCCATAGACCCGACTTGGGTCCGTCGATATCAGATCTTTGGATAGGTGAGTTTTCGTTTTTCCAAAAGTTGGACACACATTCGTCTTAAGATTATCTATATCTTTTGCCTCTTTTGCCCGAATCGAGGCTCACTGGTTTCCTGCCCGCTTTTCATAATCCTCGCTCGCTCTTCATTGACTCTGGACCTCTCAATAGTATACGACGACCAACTCTTCACTCTTCGAGTTAACTCGGACAAGCATGCACGCTCAACGAACCATGGTTGCGTGGAGATATGTCATGATTTCAGCGTCCCGGCCATCAACAACGCAATCTGGAGGATCGAAAGGTTTGGTCACTCAGGCACATCAACATCTATCAGCACAAATGAAGCCAGCCGGCGTTTAGCGATGACTTGGTTGGCAACCTCAGCACAGGCGGGGATAGCAGTCACTGCCATGGCAGGCATTGGCGAATTAGGTATATTCTTGATTTATCTTCCAAAACTGCTGGCGCCCTAGAACTACACACGAGCACATCTAGTCACGAAATTTATAGTTGATTTTACTGACGTTGATACTGGCGGCTGTTAGACAGCCCAACCATTATCCTTGGCCCAGGATTTTCTCGAGGATCTGATGTCAGCATCTACTCCTCGACTGCAGCTCCATCCTCCTCGTCCCTCCTCTTTGCCTTCGGAACAGGTCAAGGAATTCTCTCCCTCGATAAACAACGTCATGACATGAACTGGATAAGCCCTCAGCCAGTATCCGGAGAAAACCACCCCAAAGACATCTTCTCCCTGGAATTCCTTGACGACAATCCCTCCATTCTCCTCTCCGGTGGCAGACCGGGAATTCTCAACATCACAGACCTCCGAGTCCCCGTATTTGGACGCAATGCAGATATAATTACTCACCCAAGTTCGATCACGCACATCAAGCAACTCGATGCCCACCGCATATTGGTTGCTGGTTTGAATTCCAGTCTCCGTCAATACGACCTCCGCTTCCGCAAAGAAGCAACACTCTCATCCGCCTGGCCCCAAACATTTTCAAAGCATAGCTCTCGACGTAATCGCCATCCTACGAGATATATTCTCGCGTACCCAGATTACTGCAACGAGGCGACCATCCAACTCGGCCTCGATGTTGATCTCGAATCTGGCATCGTAGCAGCGGCTCAAGAGCAAGACGAACATCGCTCTCATGTTCAGTTATTTTCCCTGCACGGCGGACACAAGCTATGCTCACCATACCTGTCAAAAAGAAGGTATGTTGAGGATGTTGCGAACGTGAAATGTCTGAGGTTTGCGAGGGATATCGAGGGCAGGATGAAAAGTTTATATGTTGGGCAGCCGCCGGATATCCAGAGATTTGCTTCGGCTGAGCCCGAGGAGGCGGATCCTGAGGAGGCGGATCCTTATTGAGGCTGCATCCCTTATCTGGTGATATTATGACAAAGGAGTAACAGTTAGGGTTCGGTATGGAATCGGAGTTGAGGCTTGGATATACTGTACCCTAATACCATTTCAGTGGAATGCTCGTTGATTATTCCGGGGCCCCGAGGGATGTTGAAAAGCTCTAGCCCCTGAATGACTGTGTAGGTAAGATTACAACGGGAAGCTTTGACTGTTGATTATCCAAGACCCCGAGGGACACTGAAAAGCTCCAACTCCTGGCTGTCCACTTTGACGGAGAGAAGTAAAAAGCTGGTTCCCTGTTTAACACACCATACCACATGGTTAGATTCATGAAGCAAGAACGGCTGTGTCTGAATCTCTGATTAATCACGTCCATCTTGGTATTCTGTACAAAATTCCCCTAATTAAGCGCCGTCTGGAATATCGCCAGTCTCTCATCCCTTGTAACCATCATATCCCAGTCTCTCCAAGCATTTCAGAGGAAGAAAAACATGCTAATCAACACCTCACAAAATGTGTTTGTCATTCCCATCATTATGACCTGCAAATGAGCAGTAACATCGTGCTGTGATCCTTTTCTTCCATGATTGAACATACCCATAGCTCCTTACCATGCTCTTAACAAGACAAATAAAAGGGGCAAATTTGATATCATCATACAGAAGATTGTTATTGTGCCACCTTGACGATTTGTGGCTGTTCGTTGGCAGCAGTAGGATTTCGCACCGAGGATATAAAGCTTGAGGCTCCACTCCATACCTGCGGAACGCGATTGTAGAGCATCGCAAGGATGATGACGACGAGAAGAGGGATCTTTTTCATGTTAGAATTTAATACCTTCAACAAGCAAAAGAGCGAACATACCCAAATAAAGAAAAGATTTCGATCACGGCTGAGCCTCTTGACCTTCTCTGCGTGTGCCAGGCGTAACTGATCCTGTTGTTCCCTAGTGATTGTATGCTTTTGGCCAATCCTAACTGTCTCCAACGTTGTAGATCTCCTTAGTGCGGTAGTAGAGCTTTCAGCCTGGTCGAATAGTTCGGCACACTTGTTGTCCGCAACGATATCAGCGGCGGCTTGCACGGCTGATGCTCGTTTGGTATCAACGTCACCGTGAGGGAAGATATCTTCATATGCAGGCGGAGCGGCCGGTACTGTGACGGAGAAGAGGTCCCACCATTTATAGTCTTGTTCCTTTGCATTAGCTGGCCGATTGTTACCCACCAAGTTGCTAATACGGCGAACCATAGGAGCAGTCGGGAGATAGGATTGGTAGTCAGGCAGATTGGGCATCATATCGAATCTCGGCATCTGTGGCAGATTCGGGAGGTTAAGCTGCATGGTGCGTTGTAGATGTTGAATCTGAGCATTCAGTTGATCTCGGAAAGCTGTCATAGCTGCGGTTGGCGAAGCTAGCCCAGCTGTTTCAGTGATTCCAGGTAATTCTAAACTTGGATCTTTCTCGTCTGCAGAATCGCTCTTTGGTAATTTCTGAGCACTGGGACGTCTTGATCTCATCCAGAATGCTCCATCGTTTGCAGCATCGGCGTCTTCATCCTCGTATTCGTTGTCACCTTCACTACTGTCCTCGTCCGGAGCAGGTATGTCGCTGGGTGCTGGTGTAGAAGCAGATTCCCAGACAGACCTCAAAGAAGTAGCACTGCTGGTTCTGCTCTTCAGCGAGCCCCCACTGCGAGTTCTGGAGTGGTGCTCGATACGTCGAGCTGCACGGAGAACTTCTTCGGATGTTGCCATATCTGAAGGCGTGAGACCTGCGAGACTTCGGACAGTAGGGTCGGCACCGCTGAGCATGAGGCGCCTCACAATTTGGGGGTGATCATGAAGCGCTGCAAAGTGCATTGGTGTGAAGCCGCCCTTGTCTCGCGGCTCGGGATTTGCTCCTCGGGCGAGTAGTGCTGCCACGAAGCGATGGAGGCCAAGCGAGCACGCCAGGTGAAGCATGGTCTGCCCAGACGCCCTTCTCAAATTGAGGCGAGGCATGTGGGGGCTGTCGTCGAGATCGATAAGGTCTAAGCATCTCAGAAGAGTTGCTTCCACATCAATGCCGAAGGTAGCGGCGTTGAAACCGGAGACCTGTTGATTTCCACCGCTGCCCCCAGTCGGCGAGTGGCCGGTTGGTGCTCCCCAGGAAGAAGGGCCATCTCCAACAATCCGCCTCGCAAGATCACGAACATCCTCCATCTTCCCGGTCATCTTGTGTCCCAAAACGGAAAGTGCTGTTCTTATTATTTGCTGTTCGTCATCGTCCACATACTTGAAGAAGGCTTGCTGTTTCGGAATAGGAGGCGTGGGATAAGGTTGCATCTGTTGTTGTTGGTGTTGATGCTTGAAAGTCACCGCTACAGTTCCAGCAAATGCAGACGGCGGGAGGAGACAAACGAGGGACGTTTCGCCCCAGAAAGTCGTCGTTGTCGCTTTGGAGTCGCCAAACATCACTTCCAAACCTTGACAGAATCCGCTGCCCAGACAAGTCACCTCGATACCTCCAGCTTTGGGTCCTTCGTTGGGAATCAATTTGTGAATCGTTGGCGGTCGGTGAGGGTTCAGGCTCAAGGGTATTCCATACAGGCCATTCGCAACTGCTTGTGCAATTTGAGCCTGCTGCTGCTGATACGCCTGAACAGTGTTCCTTAATCCATTGGGACTCGGGACTCTACTGGGATGAGCTGAGGCTGGTGCCGAATACAACTGATGCATGGCCAGGTTCTCCATTGATTGAGATCTGTTGGCGTTGGTGAAGAAGACTTGATCATTGCTATTTGGAGTTGGAGGGCCGGTATTGTATTGTTGTGGAACATTTGGAACCGTCGTCGAGCTCTGTGCAAATTGCTGCTCAGTTGTTGGGAGTGGGAAGTTGGCGAGGCTTGGAGTAAAGGGAGATTGCGCAGCTGAAGTCGGTGCACTCATCGGGTTTGACGAGCTGGCTTGTCCCATGCCTGCCTCCGCTGTCTCAAGCCTTGTCATCGCCAAGCCACTGGGAACTTTGCTTGATCCACTGGCTTTTCTCTTCTTCGACGTTGGGCCCGCAGAAGAGGACGGCGAAGTCTGGCGAGACATGTTCCGCGGTGTCATGGTAGCAGAGGTGGTCTGTGATGGCTGAGAGGAGCCTCCAAAACTCATCGGAGCGGGGTACGCCATATTGAGGTTTCGTTGTAGACTTTGCAAGTCCGAGCTTGAATGTGATAGCCGGAAAGGAGCCATGCTGCCAACTGGACCAGTAGACATGTCGAATGTTCCGTCACCTGGAAAGGCCCCCGAACCGGAGTAGACCTGGCTATCGGAGCCATTTGAATTCTGCGTGGGTAGGGGTGGCATGTTATGAGTCTTGTGATCATCCGTGATCATGATCGAAGAAGTCATCTCTTGAGCAACTAGACGATCTTGGTAATCCTTGATTGTGAAGATCACCTGAAATCCAAGCTTCTCGTTTTGATGCCGGCAATAGCACGCAATACGCATAGGAGCGTCCACTTGCATTGCTCCTTCTGGGACAAATGGTTCTGGTCGATCCCCGGTGGATTCCGAAGGGGGCTGACTCGTTGGTGCTTGCCAATCCTTGATTTCATGTGTATTGAAGACGATCACACGTTTGGCCTCGTCCTTATGCCACGATTCCTCTTCTTCGACTTTCTTCACCTTCTTGCGTGCTGCCCGCTTTCGTTCTCGCGTTATGCAGCCAGCACAGATCTTGACATCACCGCCGTTTAGCGGTTTGTTCTCTTCATCCTCTTCTGAAGCTTTCTCTCCGGTAGTCTCATCTTGAGCTGGTTCGGGAGCAGCAGCTCGCTCGAAGGCCCGTCTCCTGTTCTCCGGATTCTGCATAGCACTCGTGCATACGAGAGTTGTATACAGCTCTAAGGTATCGGGCGATCGATTGGGCGTGGGCTTAGCAAGTAGCTTGGGTTTGGAGATTGTGTGTGTTGGTAGGTGAAGCTTGGTGATCCCCATGGGCAAAGGGAATAATGTCATCTTAATCGGGATCTGCGTTTCTACGCGAGATTTCAGAGGAGTTGGGTGAACCGTTAGAACTGGCTTGAAAGGGGGACCCATATTCGCAAATCCTTGAGTTGGGGCCATTCTCGGCATCTGATGGGGATTGAGTCCGTGATGAACTGCTGGCAAGCCATGATTCGAGAACCCATCTAACCCTGCTGCCCAGTTGGTATTTGGAACTCCACCAAGCATTGTCCCACTAATGAAATCGACGCCAGTACTTGGAGACGGGGAATTGTTGAAGAAAGCCGAGGGAGAAGATTCTTGGCTAGTGACCATTGCAGATAGAGGCGAAGCCTCTCTGGAGCCTCCGGTTGTTAGGCCATTCATCGACTGTGTTACTGAATGTTGCTGAGAAAGAAACGTCAGCGACTGATGCTAAATCGGGAAAAGGAGGCAACTTACAGAATTGGCCTTATTGTGGTTCTTAAATTTTGTCTTCAGCATTGCCGAATTCTGCTTTGGAGTATCGTACTTGATCATCGGCATCTCTGGGGAGTCCATCTCAACTGGCCCAATAGCAAATGGGCTAGGACTGCTCGCAGCACTCTCGAAATCGAAGTCATTCTCCATGGTCTTGTCGCTGAAAGCCCCATAATTGTTGCTCATGGCCGAGGGGTCAATAGTTCCTTCATATCCACCAAAGGCCAATGCCTCATTTCCTGCCAGCATGTCCTCCACCTTCCAATCCCCCATATCTGTATCATCGTTCATCATCACGTCGCCCGACGTCAGTGCTGACCGCGAAGAGCCAGAACTAGACTTGCGCTTGTATCCAGACGATTCCGAAGACGAATCCTGATACGATCCAACGGGAGAGGCTGTGGAGGGCGCAGAAAGTGGCTGCTGAACTCTGGTGTCTAGGAGAGAGGCTTGCTGGGGAAGCGGGCTCTTCAGATTCGAGGGGTTGGGAGATCCAAAATAATATTGTGAGCTCTCAGTCGCAAAATCTTCATCCAAGAAGAATCCAGGGCTGTTCGCTCCTTCCACTGGCAAAGTGTTGGAGTCGAAAAACTCGAAATCAGGGTCCGAGTCTAGTCGTCCTGACATGTCCGAGTCGAGAATGAAAGGCGGCGAACTCGCAGAGTATACAGCCTCTGCTGAATTCTGCATGACCCTTCCGAATGTACACCGTCGTGTGGCGCTTGCTTCGTTTTTTCAGTTGATTTGTGCGAGGCCCCAGATGGAAGCGGTAGGCTAGAGAAAGCGGCGTCCTTGTTGATGGCGCGCTGGTTACTGCCCTTCAATCCTTCCCTTCCGTGACGCAGCAAGGGAGAGATCCGCAAGCTCATCAAAACATTGTGTCCGCGTGCCGAGTATGTTCGAGTGAGGGGATGAAGTGTGTTTCCAGGGACGGTCCTCGTCACCGCCGAGGGGAAGAGTCGAGCTCGGGGTGATTATCTGGCCTTTCTTTGCCTGCGTGTTGAATGTCAACGCCCGTGTATCAGGCAATCGAAACTGAGGCTGCAACTCACGAGGTGAACAGGTTTGCGAGGGAGTGCGGAGAAGGCCTAGGCGACGGAGTGGAGTCGGAGCTGGCTGGGGAGGCAAGATCTGTCGTGATTCGACTCGCCTACGAGCGAGCTAGCATCTGCAGAGCTCACAACAGAACGCGCAGGTTCAGAAGCCGACAGGGAGGGAGGGCACAGGAGGGGAACGTTCAGATCACTCCAGATCAGACCAGATCAGACCGGAGCAAACAAGGCAAGCCGTTGATGTTTGTCCCTCAAGTGAGGTGAGGAAGTTTTATGCTTCGAGAAAGTTGCATGGCGCAATTGATGTGAGTGAGGCTTTCACTTTTTGTGTGTGCAACACGAGTCCAGACGCTGTTTCTGCCCCCCGTGGAGGAAATAACAACGCTTGAGCCGGACTTCTCCAGTCATTGACGGATATGCTGCCACTCGCTCGCGCTCCCCTTGATGCAGTTGGCTGCACTCTCACCGATATTACACGCGAGCCTTCCTCGCCGCTTCGGCCGCACTGGATGGCTGGCTGGCACTCTGGATGTGCAACAGAGCCTGATGCAGGGCCTTCAGGGGCATTATCGCGAACGTTTCCGACTTGGAGGGCAGCAACAAGAGGCAACAATTATTGCCTTATCCATCACTTTTCCCTCAACTTGCCGATCATCCCTGAGATTTTGAGCCGTCTTGCATTGGACAAGAGCCAAGACATCAGATTTTATGGGCAACATGCCTAGCTCCAGCACGTTCGTCAAGCCACGCCGGAATGTTCGCCATTTTGCCTTTGGTTTGAAGTCGGAACTCAGATCAGCGTATCATCGTCTCTGATTGCTTTCCTTGCCTTTGCAGTTGCTGTGCAGTAGGGTCTGCGATGGCGTTCAAGCCACAAGCACTTGGCTTAGTGCGTGCTCGGATTACGCAGTCTCTATCCGCAGAGCAGTCTCCACTCCAACATGCAAGCTATCTCCAGCTTCTCATCGATGCTATCCTCTTACAGCCTTCGATCGTCGAAAGAAGTTCTGACACCACTTCTTACCCCGTACCCGTCTCCACCCGTCCCTCCTTATCTTCTCCGGATGTCTCTCTTTCGGTCCTTCCTCCCGTCCACTTGTTGGGGCAACGCCGGCTCATGGAGTCATATCAAACTCTCTTTGTATTTTTGATTTTCCAATTCATGTTCAGCTCATCTATGGAATATAAGAGCTAGCAAGGGGAAAATCTCCTATACCGATCTAGTTGATTCTCCGTCGCCGGACGTAGAGTTTGACGATGACACGTCACGTGAGCTAATGCGGGCTTTGAAGGATCTTATTTGAAGAGATCGTTGACTTCCAATACCAAGGAAACAGATGACAATCTTCCTCCCGATCCTGCAGGACATCTCACAAGACTCAGTTTCCTGCAGTTTTTACCTGGTTGCACACCAACACCTCTTCCAGATATGCGGACGATCCACGTCCAACAATTCCAGGGGTCTCTGCCGACACGCGCCTTTCTTTCGCCTCAACACCACCATCAGGCTGCAGAACAGGCCCGTGGCGAGGATTGACGAATATAGCACGGGCTCCTCCCTGGCTCCGCAATCGCAGTTGCGAATAGCGTAAACTGTTATGCATGTATGATGAATCACTGATAGCGGATAAAGTCAGAAGATTTTATTCTATAGCCGTGTTGCACCAATTGCTAAAGCTCTACATAAAGAGAAATTGCCGATATCCGTTGCCACAATATGTACCGAATAAGTACTCTTGTACCCGCAGGAGATTTTGTTACGGAAACCTTCCAACATCCTCAACCTTCACTAGGCGTTTAACATGCAACATAAAAACTCGCTCTCGTACCAACTGCCAGATAGGATAACCCGGCGCTTTCCTTTACTCTTGATTTCACGAGAATTTGTCATTTGCAGCGTGAGCTAGCTCAGGCGCTTCATCAGGAAAGCGGATCGTTCGCTCGAGAGCCACGTCGCGGGGTGTCGAAGGACGCACGTTATTTAACTCGACTGGGGGTGGAGAGCTGGCCGCTGCATGGCCATCTCGAATTATAGTCCCACCAATTCTATAAAGCGGCCGCTGACCAGAAACTGATCGAGGTGTCGACTGTCCCGAGTGGTTAGACTTTCTTATCCGTTCCCGCAGAACACCAAGTGGCGGTATTCGGATCTGGTCGCCGGCTTGAAAGGAACCCGACTCATTTGGCTGGGAGGAAAACGCTCGTGACAAAGTCCGCGGTAGGAAGAAGCCAAGCTTTCCGAGGGGGACGGACAGACCATGTACGACCTACAACTGTCAGGATAAAGGTTCTCGAAAGACGACAAAGTTTCGATTGACCATTTTTATCATGGTCGGCGCGAGTGGGCCTGGACTTACAATGCTGCAGATGGCGAGGAACCAAACAACAACGGTGATGATTTCGCCCAATTCCTCAGCATCTCCTCTCTGAACCCCATCAACGGTGATCCCTTCGAGGAACTCGAGGCTGATGTAAAGATAGAAAATAGCAGATACGCCGATAGGGCCAAAGAACCCAACGAAAATGGCCTGTCTCTTCTCTTCGATTTGGTGAATGAGCTTGCTAAAACCAGATTAGCATTGCTTTCGAGAGCATAGATTGGATTTGAGAAAGTGTTTTGCAAAGTCCGTTCTCAAGACATATCTGCGGACAAACAAACTTGAAGGATATGGGATTTATGAAAACTTGCCCCGAAATCAGGACTTACTGCATAGCAAATACAATAGGAAGACGTCTATAGAATAGTAAATTAGCACAAATAGAGCAGTGTTTGGGCAATTGCTAACTACTCACCTCAACAAAAGGATCAGAATACCAAGGAAGATCAATCGATAGATGGGGATAACTAAGTTGTGGGCGAACAGAGACCAAGGACAGATAGCTCCGAACCAAATAAAGACTGAAAGGTTCAGCAGCATATCGATGGTTGGCTGCAACGAGTCATCGAGTGTTTCGAGGCGAAACCAATCGTCCCATGTAAAGGTGTTACCGGCAATGAAGCAAGCCAATACATCGTCGCTGCCTATCATTCCACAAGTTCCAACGATGAACAGTGCCAGGGTGATAGCAAAGACCAAGAAGCTCTCTCGGTCAACAAACTTGTTTTCTTCGGCCCAGTGAAGGAGTTCCTTGGCTATCCAGCCCACCGTCGCCCCGTATACAATGCTGAGAATGATCGTATAGCCCCATGTTTCACCGAACCAGAGGCCAATAGCTGTTCGAACGCCCCCTTCCTGCCCGAGGCCTCCTTCACCTGTGTACTTGATTAGGTAGAGCGCCAGGAAAAGATAGGGGTAGCCAAGGCCGTCATTGGCTCCAGACTCCGCAACTATGATCTTCTGGAGATCTTTTGGAACATTCTTATCCGCAAATTTACCTTTCACGATACTGTTTGACAAGACAGGATCCGTAGGGGTGACACAAGCCCCAACAGCTAGAGCATGAAGAAATGGAAGGTGCGGGACCATTGCATATATCAACAAGCTGCTGGCTACCCACATACATGCCATGATAGGTCCGAGCAATAGAGCCAGCGGCTTCCATTCTTTCTGGAGGTACCGACTTGGCAATTGGACGCCTGCAAGGACCAATTGTACGCCAAGCACAAGACGGCTGAAGTATAGAGTGACAGCATTCAGATTCGCCTGCGAGCCAGTGTAATCGAGGGGTTTGACGAAGTTTGTAGCATGCGGGGAGAAAGTGACGCCAGCCAGGAGTGAGATTACTAGAGAGACCAATTAGATAAAAAACTAGTATCCAGACGTGAAGAGGGCTTACAAGCTTCTGACAAGTAGAACTTCTCCTTGAACAAGTATGATACAAGGCCGAAAAGGGTAATGAAGCCGCCAAGTACCGAGCAGACTATGTTGAAATTGGTAACCGCGAGAGTCGGCATCTTGAGCTCGTATATACTGGCTCGAGACTGACAAGACTTGCCACGGCTCGAGGAGATACCCACCGTGTTAGCTGACACCAGTGTCGTCCTGACTGCTGCGTAAAGCGAGCAGGGGTCGATGGTGGGGGGGATATTCGAGCGATGTTATTGCATCATTCGGGAACGAGAGAAAGGAAATGGATATCTCCAAGAAGACCGCCACTTTTGATGATTTCGAATAGCGCTGGGAAGGCTGAGATGTCGGATGCGGATATCGGAATCTTAATAGTTTTGCATGAAATGTTGTGTTACGACAAGGAGGTGATCGATGATGATGGAGAAGTCCACTCACTGCTCGGGGGAAAACCCCCAGCTTATCGCGTTATCAAGCCCCGCGTCCCTCCGCATGCAGATTTTGCATGTGGAGACGAGGGGATTCGCCCACAACTGCCCAAGCACGGGCCAGAAAGCCTCACAAGCAGCTTCCGTTATCGTTCAATTATCGTCGACTTGGGAGCATCACACTGTGAAAAACAGGACAGCAAGAGGGGACGGACTCCATTGCAAATAGTAACATGTTCTAAATCTACCGAGACTAATGACGACAGGGTATTAAAATCATCTTCTGGGAGAAGCCATAAAGCAACATTGGTATCATCAGCGTCGCACTCCCGCAATTCCCAACCAAAGAAAAGGTAACCCCCCACCAGGTCCAATCCCAGGACCTCTGCATGATCCAGTCCCTTCCGGGACTGTCCAACCAATTCTCGTACGAGCGAGAGGGGAGAATAACAGCTCTACCTGCCGATTGACTCTCGATATTGTTGCGAGACACGTCGGATTCGCCAACTGAGGGATTCGACATCAAACGGAGGCGGTCTCTCCCCTTTAAGTTCGAGGCGCCATGGCCCCCGCAACAGCAAGTCTGTCCGCAGCCTCATTTCCAGGGTCATTGTCATGCCCCTTAATCCAGGTAAAGTCGGTGGTCACACCAGCAGCATCTCTTGCGTCAATCAACTTCCTAATATCAATAACGAGGTCCTTGTTGACCACTTCGCCACTCGCCGTGGTCTTCCAGCCATTCTTGATCCAGCTCTTGTACCAAACTGTAGAGCAATTGATCGAGTAGTTGCTGTCGGTGATAATCTCAACATTTTGGCTCTTTTTGACAATCTGAAGGGCTCGCTTGATGGCTGTGAGTTCTGCCCGTTGGTTGGTTTGAGGAGTTCCTTCCAGGGGTTCCGACAAATTTCTATCAACTAAATTAGCAATGGAATCAATGTCAACACAGACCAATTTGAAACTTACCTTGAATCGTTCTCTCCAAAGTAGACGCCCACACCAGCAACCGCTCCAAGGCGACCATTTCCCCGACTGCTCCCATCTGTCCAGACTCTGACAGTCTTTCCATTTGAAGAGCTATTTTTTGCCTTCTTCGCAGAAGGTCCCTCGATGCCCATGCCATTGGACTTCTTGGTCGACTTCGGCGCGTCTGCTTTCTGCGAACCCTTCCCACCACTATTCACATACTCCTCTGCCTCCGTTCTAGTGGCAAACTTCCTATATTTCGGACCCTTCACGTCCTTAATCTGTTCCGAGGCCGCACTCCAGGTCTTATAGACTCCGGGATTGTGGCCTACTGCAACACCATAGAACTTCTCTTCTGTTCCCTTGCCTGCTCCCGCAGAGCTAGCAACTTCTCTGCCCGCTGCAAAGTCCTCCGCATCATGTCTAGAGATAAAAGATTTGTACGACGCGCCCTTGAATCCGGTGGTCTGCTCCTGGCACTCTTTCCACGTCATATACACACCAGGTGCCTTGCCAGCTCGCACGGCGTAGTACTTCGTAACATCCTCACCGAGCTTGCGTTTTTTGGATGCCGTAGACATGGCGGATAGCTTTAATGTGTTGTTGAATCGGCGGTATTTCCACAGAGAGGTCGAGAGGGTCGTTGTCGTGGTGCTGCGGGGTCGAGGAATGTGGAAGGGAATAGCTTTATGTGGTCGTGATCGAGTTGAAAGAGTCTTTGAATCGCCCCGGATTAGCTGGGACTTTCCCAAAGTGTGGAATCAGATAAAGGAAGGTGCTGGAGATAAAGAGTTTCTCGATGCTGCAGCAATGCGGGGAAAGGACTTACGAGGATGAAGGAAAATGCACGGCATGGATCTCGTCGAAGAAGTCAATGATTCTGGCGAAGTCCGCTCCAGCTCCCAGGAATATGGTCCATAGGAACTTGACGTGGCGATTTCAGCGCTGGTTGCGGAGGGAAGATGGATGTTCAAGGTTGAACTTGTTTGCGGTATGCCGGTGATTGAATGATGCGGTATCTTGGACAGGGGTGAAGTGGAGCTTGGCACAACTGGAAATAAAGTGTATTCGATCCAGGCATATCTATTATTGGCATCTACAGCCATTACCCTAGTAAAATTATATCCTGTGTCAGTGAGATAGATGCTGCTTTAATACTCTGCAAGGCTGGCACAGATCAATTAAACACGTTCTATAGCAAATTCTAGACAGCTTTCTAGGTTTGAAAAGTCAAACGGCGTGAAACGCTCAAAAAACGGTAGGCCGAGAATACATCTTTTCTAGGGTAATAGCTGTATCTAGTTGGAAATTGTGGCAAGAATCCTTCTCTTCGTTCTAAGACAAATCTGCGGTTTCCAGTAGCAGTGGCTGAACCTTCGGGGGAATACACAAAAGAATTTGTTTAGTTTCATGCTCTGGCCTGTCACACTATCATGCCAACTGCGCATCTACTCTTTCATTTTGGAACCTTGTATTGTCATTGCTGAGTTGGTATCGAGGCCAACGCCATCACTTATTGTTACAATGCCTGTGACTCCATTCTTGGATCACAGCAGACCGCCCCAGGGTATATGGGCTTGCAAACCGCAATGCTCCTCTAACGCCTTTAATGTGCAATGCCTCCCAGAAGATATAGGGCAAAGTTTTTTTACATGTCAACCTCCAACGCCGTGTATGCAACCTCGCTATGCAATCAATATGAAGAAAGAAAAAGAAAGAAAAGAAAAACCGAAACGCCAATGCAATCGCTACAGACCCCCCGCCCTTCGTCGAAAGTCATCATAATTATTGGACCGAACTGTTATGCGTGCAGATCCGTACTTCCGGGGAAGGTGGTTCAAATCGGCGTTCGAAATCCTGCCACCACATAAAGAAAGAAAGATCATATCCTCTAGGATTCAGTAGCTTGATTCAGCCTCCTTCTGAGGCTTATAGCCTGGAATCTCGTCGAAAGTGTAGTCGGCTTCCTCGTTGTACTTGTATGCATGAAAGTCGATGCCATAAGGTTTTGGCTCGATGACATAGAGCATGCCAAGAGGAACGTCCAGGTCAGCAATATCGTCCCTGGTCAGGTCCATGAAATAAGCCATCAGGACACGGCAAACAGAACGGTGACCGATGATGAGAACGTGGTCCTTGATCCGCTCAATCTCCCGAACCATATCCCTCAAACGGCTGATCACCTGCAGATACCCTTCTCCACCAACGCCTGGATAGATGTAGTGGAGCTTGTCCGCCTTACGCTTTTTGTACTGCTCCGGATATCTTGTCTCGATCTCTTTGTACGTCAGCCCCTCGAATTCACCGGCATCGAGCTCATTAAGCATCTCCCAATTCTTCACATCATAGTTATCGTCCGTGTTGAAATCCTCAGCTGTGTGGATGCTTCGCTGGAGCATTGATGTCCACACACAAAAGTTCTTTTCGTCCAAATCCCCAAGAAGCTCAGGATAGGGTGGAGTTTGGTCGCCGGGTTGCAAGGGCAATGTCAGATTCTCCATAGCTCGAGACTTCTGATCCGCCTCCCACTCATTTCGCTTGGTGCTGATAAAGTTGTAGAGAGCGGTGCCGTAATGCTGTCCATTTTCCGTGAGGCATGAGTCTCCGCCGATCTTTCCTGCAACGTTGTCCTCTGACTCTCCGTGGCGCGTAATCCAAATTTGTCTGGGAGAGAGGTTAAAGGTGGAGAGGTATGATGCGATACCAGAAGCTAAGAAGCCTTGGAGACGGAAATGAATGATCTTTCGGCCGACGTCTATCATCTTGATGTACTGCATATTATTCTCCTCTTCGTAAGCACCAAGTGGAACGTAGGCACTCTCATACGCTTGAACGCGCTTCTTGAAATCAGCGAGTGAGCTTTCAGGATCTTTGCCTTTATAATCAGGTCCCCTAAGCTTCAAGTGCATGTTTGCTTCAAGTAACTGCGAGGTGTCAGCTTGAAAAATTTCTATCTAGAAGAGTGATCTCACCTTTGCATCCTCGCACACACTTTCAATGAATAGAATGCCAAGCTTTGGCTCTCGCTCCTTGATGTGCTTGAACAAGAGCTTTCGGCGATCCAGTGTGCTGTTCGTTGCGTCCAGGATACCGACAGATCCACCCTGGTTCAAGAGGAAGTTGAGAACCTCATCCAGAGTAGACATTGCTACTTGCTCACGTATCTTAGAGGCTTTCTCGTTATGAGGATCGAAGAATTCCGCGGACTGTTTCATGGTATCGGCACTTGGAAGCTTCGCCAACCTGTTTTGCTCTTCAAGGGGATCAACGCCGTTCAATAGGATATGAGCAGCCTGTGTAGGACCATCAATGACGCCAGAGACTGATCGAGCTAGCAACATTGTGCTTCTTGGGGGTGATTGCGGAGGTGCTGCAGTGGGGCCAGTAGAAGTGCCTGCTGCAACTCGTCTGCGATTGCCAACGTTGAAGATGCGACACTCATGCTGTTGCCAGGAGAGGTAGCGTTGAATCTTCTTCGTGATATAGGACTTTCCTCTCGCGGGCAAGCCAACCATGATTACAACCAACTTTGCTCCAACATCTCGCTGGGCGATCTTGCCGTCAGGGGAGACTCGCGATCTCGTCATGCCGGGAATGTTCAAGGTGGTTGCAGGAGGTCTGCTTCTCGGGGTAGCAGAGCCTGAATTTTGTCTGACTGGTGGCCTGGTGATTCGTTAGTAAATTGATCTTTGAGTGAACTTCCAAAGCGCCAAGAAACGTCCAGGCCGAGCCATTGCATACTGATTTGTATGACTCAAAGTACAGAAAATATGAAGATGAGAAATTCCTAACGTCACTATAGAAAAGAGGCACTTTGTAGGGGAGACTTACAATCTTGGACTTCCTGGTGCTGTCGAAGGTGCGCTACCCAATGGTGTATCACTAAGGGTATGGCCCATTGCATCTTGTCCCTGACTGCCCATATGTATGGACTGAAGAGCGCGACCGAGAGAGGAGATTGGGGGTTGGAGCAGAGACTCGTGTGGGATATGGGGGATCGCAGGTTTCGGGAGAGCGAAATCCTTCTCGACGGTGGTACTTGAAGGATTGTCATGGTCTGTTTGTGGCATTACCATTGAATTAATACGGTTGCTCATTGCAGCTCTGGCAATCTCCGAGTGCTGTGACGTCTTTGTGGCCTTTTTCGATTCGCCTGTTTAGAATTTGTCAGTGGGTCATTCTTGCTAAATTTGCAAAAATATGGGTATATTGTGGGTAACTCACAGTTTGGGGTGTCCTCAGTGCCTCTGATAATGGCGGAAGGCATCGTTTTCCTGAACTTCAAGACCAAAAATGTCGCACTGGATGTTGACAGGGTTCAGGATTGGCTGGTGGAGACAAGCCCGCCCTGTGCAAGTGTCCGTCCGAATTGCAGCTGTAGTGCAGAGACAGACCGCGTCTCAATGCCTGAACCGCGACCGGCAGTGTATCAAAGGTACGGTGCTTTGGGGACTTCAGGAGGCCGATAAGGGACTGAGGGTAGAGCCCCTCTAGGGGAGGGTAGTCGGTATCAGATCGCAGGTGGATGATGAAGAGTTCCCTCAGAAAATACAGGGAACGGAGCCTCGCCCTGAAATCGCCGGGCCGCGAGACCTAAAGGGGTAAAGCGCCCTTGTTGGGGAAGGCCGATAAAGGTGATCTCCGTGTCAAAGAACCGGTGTCATGGTCGGCAACATCCTTCTGGGACAGACCGCATCGACTTAGTGAGTGCTAATGTCGGTCGATTGAAATTTTGTACCGTGGATGTATGCCTCCGTCCAAGAAGTATTGAAGAGTTGTGCCTGCAGGGCTGTACGGTTGAATTTCGAGAGCGTGAAAAGCGTGCGCAATAATCACCATCTCATAGGCTACCCCTATCTGACAGCAATACAAAGAGATCAGCATAATCCAAGAAGTCTTGTAAGGGGCCAAGTGGTTGAGATAAGCAACATATGCGGCCTCTGCCAATCATCCATCTCATTTGACGTTCACGAGCATTGGACATCATGCAGCTCTTTCTTAGGATGACCAAATGTTGAGAGATAAGAGATCTGGAGCGACACTCACTTTCTGAGGCTGTGAAGTATCTTGCGAACCCTCTAAAATATACACCTCCTCCTGGCTGCGGAAATCTGTCTCCCAATGAGAGAAGGGCGAAGAACTGCGATTGCAACGGGATCTTTGGTAGTCTGCACATTGACCTGGTCACCTGGAGCATACTTAGTAGCTGCTATACCCATGTTGAATGGATTGGAACCTACTGAGGAGATGGCAGGCAGTTTTATGTCATGCCCAGGACGAACACTTGGAATGAAAGAGGCATAGACAATAGCAGCACATCACTCACGGGAGTGCGTCGATGAAATTCGCGGGCAGAACGCCCCGCAGAATCAGTCGTTCAATAGCCACGTCTCTTGTCGAACCATTCTCCCTTTCCCGCTTAGCATCAGCGATTTCAGTAGCTTTTGGAAATCGTGCTCGGACCCAGCAATCGGCGTTGTTATACGTCTTATTCCAATCATTGGGGTTGATACCCGGTGGCGGGTTGCCACGTTCTTTTGGATAGTACCCGCGGACTTGCGTCGTTGGTTGGTAAGGTGCTTGACGTCCATGGGATGGAGCTGGCCATTGTGGTGTAATGGTGGGCAGGGTGGAGATTGTTGCCTTGGACTTGCGAGTTGGCGCTTTGGTTTTGGTGGCGGTCTTGCTCTTGGTGACAGTCTTGCAGTTGCGACCTGGATTCTGTCGAGTAGCTGTTTTCATTGTTCCCTTGCGGTCACGAACATTGCGCTCCATCGCCATGGTGATGTCTGTTGAGGTTGTTCTGGCCTGGTCGAATGTGATGTTGAGATTGTTCGTGTATTTTTCTGTCAAATGTGCGGACAGGGAGTTTCTTGACTGACCGCTTCGACCTGTTGTGACCAAAAGTGCGGTTGCGCACGAACCACAACGAGACAAGGCTGCTCGCGGTTAGGAAAAGCAGCACTCCTCATTATGTTAAAGTTGAGTTCAGTTATTTTCAGACATATCTATATGGGATCGACGCCGCTTTGAATTTATCTATGTGGTAATGCCGTTGCTTCCTGTTCCCATGTCAGATTTCGAGGAATAAAGTCTCTTAGTACTCGTTCACTATGTCGAAAGAGGCAGCCCTTGGAGGGAGGAGACCTAAGGCGGACCCGCGGTACTATCCAGGCGTAAACCTAGCTCTGGGCTGCCACCTGCTTCTCCTCTGTACCACATCGATCTCTCAAGCTGGCGTACGATCAAAATAAAGAAGACGACAATAAGATTTCAGGGTCTCCGTCCATCAGTCTTCCTAGACGCTCCTTTAGTGGTAATTGGTACAACAGCGAAGAGATCACAGAAGCACATATCACGCACGAAAGATCTCCACACCTCCACCCCCGAGACTCTAGCCTAGATCCTACGCAGAAATTTAGCCACACGAAGCCACCAGGTCTCGACGATCACAAGCGCGCAAGGCAGTCAAGGCTGATTGGGCTGGTACGACGGTGACCTAACCCCGCGGTTGGCCTTCGACTTGCACACATATACACGACTATTTTATTGGCAACGCCGGGAGCATACGGTGACTCACTCGCGGCTAGGTGATGGCAAGTTACCCTCGTGACGTCGTTGACTTCAGACTTGTCCCCTTACTTTAAGAGATTCTAAGTTTGGAGGACGCGGAAAGAACTCCTCTGTCAGATGTTCCCGGCGGAGGGCATCCGGAAGCATTGCGTTGATCGAAGAAACGATGGCATACGTTGAAGACTGGAAGTGTTCAATTACCTAACTTTAGGCGGTGCATCAAGGCGAAAATACTGCGGGACAGAGTGAGGACGGACAGAAGTATATTCCGCCAAGGTAGAACCCGGATCCGCTGCGATCTGCGAAGCTGCATAGGGAAGGCCAGCGGGCTAAGTCGAATCTCCCCGCTCATCCATCTTCAGTCCTTTAATACCATTGCCAGCTAGTATTAGGAGGCTCGTAAAGAGAGCGCTACCCACTCCAAGAATCCTATCTCGTCTTTAATGCTGCAAGGGTTCAGGAAAGGGAGTATTAGGGTAGAGTAAAGCCAAGGATACACAGGCTGGGAGCGAAGACCTTGAGAGTGAAGGCATACCGGAGATACACGGAAGATTGAAGAATGGTGGAGAATTATCCACTGGAGGATGAATGGAGATAATGATTGGGAGGAAAACTATTGTATGATATATCGTCAGAGAATACTAATAGAAGGCGGTTGTAAAGCAGCTTAAGAAGGAGGGTTTCGTCCCTTAAGTGGTTTCAATTGTACCTATACAGATAGGTCATATGGAGACAGTAAGGGCGAATTGCCTCTTGAATCAGGTACCAAGACATGGATAATTGCTCTACTTCCTAGATGTGCCGATTACCCCATGGCCGCTCAACTTTCGACTTCCCGCAAGTTTACATAGCCCCCTATCCTAACTCTCAGCTACCGTATGCCGCTCTCTCCTCTACTTCTAACCACATACAGGTATTCAAGATATCGTCATAATAGAATCTTAACAATCAAAATTTCACTTGCTTTAAAGGAGACAATAGGGTGAGAAGTCTGCTTGACTATGTAGCCTACAAGCTTCGCCAGCCCGACCCTTATCATCGGTGCATCTCAAATGCTTCATTCTTGGATATTGTGCTTTTGTTGTTCTTCATCAATCAGCCCACTTAAAACCTGCAAATCTATGCACCGCACTACATTCATTCATCAAGTTGTACATAATTGGCCGGGAAGAGACCTGATTTTCCTCGGAAATGACCAAACCACCAATCTTCATCCGGAAATTCCTGCAGAAGGTTAGCAGATAAACGGGGGATGTTACGACATATTTGGATGCTCACCAGCCCAGTTATAGTAGCCCCTTCATCAAAACTCAATTCGTTGTCCTCAGCAGCCTCATAGTCGTAGATCGCAGTGGCAGTAGGTCCCGAAGGTGCAGCTGGTACAGCAGCGGGTCTAGGAGCAGTAGGTGGTGCGGAAGGCTCGGAAATTTGAGCTGCTGGAGCTGGAGCTTCCTCCTCCTCTACTAGCTCGACATAATTGCTTGGAAAGAGACCACTCTCGCCCTTGGAATTTGTGCCCATCCACCAATCCTCGTCTACCATCTCAATATTCGTGACATAATCGCCTTCTGTGAGTTCCAGCTCGTTATCTTCAGCCTTCTCGTAGTCATATTGAATCAAAGCCCGCTTCCCACTGGCGTGAGATCCTTGATTTGCATTTGTAGCTGCATTGTGGCCGAAAGAGGCTTCAGCCACAGCGGTTCCTGCTCCTCGAGCGGGATCGTGACCGGCTGGCTCTTCAGTGAGCTCTTCCTCCTCAGGTACACCACGTCCTATCGACGATGGGAGAGCTGGTGGTGGGTTACGCTCTTCTGGTGCCTCCATCTCCGTATCTCTGCCTCGAGCAACTGGCATGGCAATTCGGACAGGGGAAGTGTCACGCTCTTCGGGAGTTGGACTGCGTTGAACGCGAGGTGGTGGTGGGATATTGGGTCCATCTTCGTCATCATCCGGACGAGGCCTTGAAGGTAGACCCGGCATGGGAACACCCCCAGTTGGTCGGCTTGATTGGTTGATAGGTGGTGGAGGCGGCGACGCATCTCCAGTGGTCGCTCTGGGAATACTGGGTGCGCCCATTGGTGCACCGCCCCTGAAACGATCTCTCAGGGCACCAATACCACCAGCTGGTGATGATGGGGCCTCCTCCTCTTCTCCTGTTCGCTGTTGACCAATACTGCCAGTAGCAGAGCGCCCGGTAGCATTCGTGGCAACAGGCGCCCAAGACTTTCCGCTGTATCCACTCTTCCACTCTCCGCCCCCACTCGTTTGACTCGCAATTGGCGATGTCGCACTGGGAGGAATATTGCCCGCTCCGCTATAACCTCTTTCGCGCGCCTTCTTCTCCGCCCAAATCTGAGCTGGGGTCTTTCCGCCTTCATCCGCAAATGTTCGACTCGCCGCACTAACTGGGGGTGAGGCGGCGGTGACAGGTGAGGATTGGAGACCGAAGATACCAGGAGTTGGTGCCTTTGTACCGGTAAAGCTTGCAGCACCCGATCCGAACTTATTAGCAACTTTAGGCTTTGGCAAGGAGGTAAGTCGTTCCGATTGGGAGAATGCAGCAGACCTTTCCGCAAGGGATTTGGATCTGGTCTCATCGCTGGTATTGCTTGCTGCAGAAGTTCCTGTGGCTGCTGGTGAGAGTTGTCGGGCTCCATCGTCACCTGGCTTCTGCGCTCTGGCTCGAATCGCTGCAATGTCCACCTTGCCAACCGGCTCATACGCGCCCTTGACTATTGTAGGTCTGTCATCTGTTGATTTTTGTGCCTGAGCACGAATCGCTGCAATATCAACTTTTCCAATGGGTTGATATCCACCTTTGACAACATCTCCTGTGTCGCTCTGTTCGTCTCTGCGGTTGCTAAACTTCAGTGGCTCGGGATTTTGCTTCGTTAATTCCGCCATGTTGACCTTGGTCGGCTTGTATGCAGGCGCAACCTTCTCGAGCTGTGATCTGACAACCGGAGGCGCGTCTGCGCCCCAACCATCCTCATCCACACTTGGATCGTTCTGTCTTGCCCGTGAACTCGCTAATGGATTGAAACCAGAGGCTGCTGTGGATCGTGTAGGGTTGAAAGCTGGCTTCGAGGCCACAGGAGGTGGAGGTCCAGAGGATGTTGAAAGAGCAGCGCTACCGGCCGAGTACTTCGCACCCGATGCATCTGCTACCTTCTGGACTATGCCCTCTGGGGTGAGGTCACGATCAGATCGAGCAGTAATTTGGACATGATAACCCTAGCTGAGAATTAGCTTCAGTAGCAAAGGTTTTCCACATAATTTAGGATGACGAACGTGGAGAATCTTAGAAACTGCAGCTAGATGGCTGGTAAAATACCCCTTCGTTCTCTCGGGCACACCTTCCCCACACTGCGAACCTGTCAGCTCTAGCACCAGTATCCGGCAACCTTGGGACTAACCCATCCAATCAAGACATATTTCGGCAGTGTAGTATTTGGATCCTTGACCTTTACAAAGGCAAACTGCACCCGTCCTTCTGAGAAATCTTCAATGAGATCAACAAGCTCCCCCTCTGAATGTTTCATAGATCGTTAGCAACCTGACTAAAAGGGGGGTTGCAAAGGTATGGATTTACCTCCAGTGCTCTGGACCTTCAGCACACTCTCCTTGCCCCCACTATCTTGCTGGAAGGCATTCACCAACGGCGCAGAGACGGAGAAGACTGCCCACTGTCCATAAGTCGGGGAGCTTGCCGCGGGGCCGGAGGGGGCTGCAGAGTTGACCACGCCCTGGTATGAGGATTTGATGGACGGGCCATTTGTCGAAGTGTTCAGCGAAGCCATACTGAGGCAGAGTTGTGAATGAATGAATGGGGAGGGCCGGGGAGGCAACGTGCAGGAAGCTTTGTAGTACAATCGCACCTGAAATGATTCGTGTCGGCGCTGGCCAGCCCTCGTCATCCTGTTTCCCAGGGCCTCGCTTAGCATTCTATTCGGGGCTAGGTTAAACAGCCGCAAATGGGGCTGTCTGGGCCACCGTACAGAACACTTTTGATTTCTGCGGCTGCAGACCAATGGATTTTGTGAGGCGAACAACCCTCAAAATTCCATACACAGCACGCGCATCCTACGCCCTGTCCCATCGCAAGGGAAAGTACATAAGCCCAGCAATCCACCCTCTCGAAAGCGTTCCTTCCCTTCTTTCCACTCGTCCCTCCTCTCACGCCCAGGCAGCGGCTCGTGTCTCTGCTCCACTCTCGTTGCGATCGTGCAGCTCTCTGTCGCTCGCCGCACCACTGATGTTCACCTGGACATGACGCAGTGTCCTTTTCTTCTGCAGATTGTCGAAGTGTCTCTGCCAGTCAGATAGTCGCACAATATCTCCCTTGGTTCGTTGTATTCTGGTCAAAGATCTCTATACAATTGACTCTTGATGCCTGCTTTTCTTGTTGTCTCATTTTCCTAGTTGGTGCCGAGGGGCTCAACCCCAGCGTCTCCGATCCCAAGACCCGAGGCCCTTTCCCTCATCCACTTCACAATGGAACCACCAGACAGCGACACATCTCCGGATGCAGATTCTTCATCAGCAGACTCTACTTCTGCTGACTCGTCTCCCACACAGGCACAGCCAAGCATCGGAGAAACCCTTGTCATGCCAGCCATGGAGGACGCTCCAGTAATTCATAACGACGACTCTGCATCAGATGTTTCCATGTCCACAGACTCCGAAGACGAAGATGACAGCGCTCCGAATACAATCTCCATATCTGCAACTCCAATCATGCAGGATCTGGCGCAACCAGCCATTTTGGACGTCGTAAAGCCGAACACGGAAGCCTCCAAGAAGCGGAAATACTCGGGCCTTACAGAAACATCCAATGGGGACATGCACAATGCCACACTTCATGAAATTCGAAAGCGGCTCAAGCCAGATGATAGCCTCCAATCTCATTGGACTTCAGAAGGACATTTGCGCAAGGACAAGTCTCTTTTGCCCCCAGAAATATGGCATCACATATTTACATTTTGCCCTCCAAGAGTTTTGGGTCTTGTGTTGCAAGTCAACAGAACTTTCAATGCCTATCTTGATCCTTCTTCCCCGGGCCATTCCCGTGAACCACTCTCAAGATCCGTTCTCCAGATCTTGACGCCAGAAACAATTTGGCGAGCTTCCAGACATCTACATTTGCAAGGCACGCCAGCTCCCTTGGCTGGGAAAACGGAATTGGACATGTGGAAGCTGGCCTGTGGCACCTTATGCCAGTTTTGTGGCAAGAAAAGACCGACGCATTCCACAGTCCCAATGGACCAATGGCATCCTGGACCAGGTGAGAACGGCGTCACTCCAGTCTGGTCGTTCGGGATCCGTGCCTGCGGCTCCTGTAACCAAGCCCGGTCAACCAAGGTGGGCAATTTGTTATCAGAATTTCATGCTCCGGCCACCTCTAATTTCAGTATAGGAAATCGATTTACTCCTGTCATCTGCTATCCCTTCCCCTCTGATGACAGCTCTGCCATTCATATTTCTCACCAATGAACTTCACGTCATCCCCGCGGCCACTCTCCAGAGCGGGCCACCAACTGGTATCCAGATTTCGAAACACTTCTTCAAGCCCCATATTGAGAAACTGAAGCAAGAATTCGATGATGTCAAGGCCATGGGCTCTGCTGCAGCAGAAGAATGGATGAAGGGTTTAGAAGGGCGAGGAAGAGAGCGACGGAACGATGCGGTGCGTTGGGAACGATGGGAAGTCAGTGGAGGTATCGCTCGAATGCGCAACCTGGAGACCAATGGTATTCGAAATCCTGAGAGGCAATCCAGCACCCACTCATTGCATGCAGCATCATTTCCCCCAGTAACAACAGCAAACGGACACATTTCACTTTATCAAGGTCACAACGGCACTCAACAGCCAAAGCCTTTCCAATCTACCCAACCAGCCCATCTATCTTTGCCACTTCCCGCAACTCTTAGTGGGTAACCCCCTCTGACCAATACCAATAGTCTACGGTGTTAATCGTAAAAACAATCTAGCCCCAAATCCTCCTCCTCGATTCGACTCCCCTTCTCAGAATGGGTTCTCGTCTTACCCTTCTCGCATGCAACCCAGACACGAGAGAACAAAGGAAGAAGTCGCGGAACTAAAGGCAACAAGACGAGCAGAGATTGAGAGAAGGTGCATGCTCCTAAACCCTCCTATAACAGCTGGTGTTCTAGCACACATGGCTTCATTCCAAGCTGCCATTCAAATCATCCAACCTCTAGATGATGGCGCCTGGGAAGTACTGAAGCCAAGACTACTATCACAGCGGGAAGAAGCTGAACAGCGAGAAAATGACCGCATTGCTCAGACCCGAGTGGTTCAGGAGCGTTTCGATGAGCGTCGCTTCCAAGACATGCAAGCCAAGTCGGATTCCAAAGACCTTGTGGATAGGGAATGGGATGACATCCAGGCCCCTTTGCGTGCCCGGATTGGTGGGTATGCTGACGAAATTATCCGTGACGGCTGGAACAACGGCGAAAAGGTATCCCATGATACTGCTCCATTGTTTGCCTCGGAGGTCTTGATCTACGTCCGGAAGAGATTCTATGCAGAAGTAGCCAAGGATGAGGCGGCGGTTCGCGCCACGGGCCGGGAACCGGAATTGGATCCTCCAAATGGTCCATACACCCGGAAACTCATATTGGAGAACATGAAATGGGTTTTCGACACCAAAATCAAGCCACATACGGAACCCTACCGTAAGGAACTATTTCTTTGCAATGCTTGTGAGTATCCCTCCAAGTACTACGGATTCGAAGGCGTCATCCAGCACTATGCCGCGAAGCACACCACTGCTTTGAGTGTTGGGAGCGTAGTTGTTCATTGGAAATCGGAATGGCCAGAATACCCTCCATTCCATCCCGACCCAAACAATATCAACGTCGCCCCGTATTATGCAGCTGCACCGAATGCCGGCACTCCATACGTTGGTGCGGGTCCTTCCATGCAGCAGAATTATGGTTATGGTGGGTATCAGTCAGCACCAGTTTCTGCACCGATGTCAGGTCCCAATCCGCATGTCTATCAGGAAAGCCCAGGGCCGTATTATGGTCATCCCCAATTTGGTGAACCATATTCTGGCCATCAGAATGGTCCCTACGCGCCTCCGCCAACATACCCGGATAATTCTCAGGGATATCAAACTCCGCAGTATTCTGTTGCACCTCCACCAGCTCCTCTCCAAAGTTATAACGACCCATCCCAGGACTACTCCCAACAAAGCTTTGGTGGCCAGTATCAGCCAATGGGTCCAAATATGTACACATCTCCCCATACGGGCACATTGTATTCAACCACAGTTCCGGACGTACCAGCCCAACAACCGAGTTACCCGCCGCCAACAGCCCAGTATGGACAACCCTACAGCCAACAGCCTGCCTATCCGCTAAATAACTTTGCCCCAGGACCACTACCTCCGCAGAAGACCGAAGAGTACATGACCCAGCTTCAAGAAATAGCCCGGAACGCCCGCGAGGTTTGGACTACCATTGGGAATTTAAAGGATGTTCCAGGAGCACTGAAGGTTTACACTATTATTTACCACCTATTGCAGAGATTCCGTGCCACTTTCCAAGAAGATCCACCTCTGGCGATGATTGTTGATGGTCTGTCCAACAACAAAGACATGCGGCCTGTTCGGAATATTAATGGTCTCTTATGCAAGGCTTGTTCATTAGGTATGGCAGGATCGTCATCCGCTACACAAAAGAAGCGCTTTTCTTTTCCTCAGCTTGTCAGCCATTTCCTTTCGGTCCATGAACAAGGGATCTCTCAGAATACCCAAGGCAATATTCCGGACTGGACCAAAGATATGGTTGAGCTTCCAGATATGTCGGATTTGAGGTTAACATCCTCTTCCCCTGGAATGGATGAGAACAAACTCAGCCTCTTCACCGAAGCACTCCCGGAGCTGTTCGCTGTTCCTCCCCCTAACAAGGGCGATATGCACAATGGATCGGTCCAGCATTATGAAAACATTGCCGACCGAACTGAGTTCCAAGATCTCGCCCCATCTGTGGATAACCATGAGAAGTATTACACCACAGTTGATAGTGGGCGACCATCAGAAACCGGCAGTGTGACTTATGATAGCGGAGAATATGATCCTCGACATCCGGGGGACCTTCCGATGGAACCTCGTCAACAGTACAAAGCACCGCGGCGGAACCGCCATCCTAGGCAACATGAGCGAAGGGCAATGGATCAGCCGTCCTATAGATACGACCCACAGGACGAAGAACCACCGCAAGGGGTTTATGATGATCTACCAGACCGCTCATACATCGAACAGAGGCCACTCTCACAACCTCCTCGAGCTCTTCCACATGCCGCCGACTATGAGCGTGTCATCGTCCGTGATGAGCCGCCGCTCTACATGGACAGACCACTTCGCTTCCGAGATTCAGGGGAAATTGAATATCGCGTCAAACGTGAGCCACATGTCTTGGCCTATGATGAACCCGACCCAGTTCCTTTGGCAAAGGACTATCGACTTGCAAATTCATATGCATATCAATCCAATAGACAGGACATGCGTGTAATTCCACGCGACCCACAATCCAGGTCCGACCGTCTGCAGCCAGCAGAGGATGCCACGGCTCAGCAGAATCGCATTTTCGAAGTTGTGGCACAGATCTCTCAGCAAGCACAGCAGGCTCGAGAGCGCCAGCCAAACAAAGAAGAACCAACTGAGGCTGGTTCTGAAGATGGCGAAGTCCGAGCCGATCCCAGATCGAAGCCTGAGAATGGTCATACGGATCCATCCGACGAAGCCAGCCATGCCGCTGAGCGGTTTTTGAACGAGTTCCATCCTGGCGAGAATGAGGATGAGGCCACAAAGAAGAGAGAAGATGCAGAGCGTCGCAGAGATGATGGACTAAGGATAAAGTGGGAGTCTGAACGGGGTAAGAGGCACTTGTACCAAGCACCGGCAGAGCCCCTGCGACGCATCCGTGACGAGTACGATGAAGATCACCGGATACTCCCTAGTGGCGGACGGCTCGTCAATCCTGGCATGGAGGAATTGGGACACGATGGGTATATTGTCCGTGAACGGATTCCAGCGCTACGGCAGCCACGAGTCCAAGCGTACGAAGACCGATATATCAGTGGCATTCCGGAGCAGGCGATGCCGCGAGAGCGATCACCCGAATTGGTTGATCGTCGATACAAGTTGAATAATGTTGTCTATCGCGATGAGCGACAAGGTAGCCATGGCACTCACCGAACACCAAGCAGATATGCTCGGTACGAGAGTGTCCGACTCGAGAACGACCGCGCGCGTTCAAGGTCACCAGTATACGTTAAGGTGGGCGCCCAGCCAGCACAGTATCGAGAGCGCAGTCCAGCTGCTCCCGTCTTGCGCCAAGAGCCCAGCTATCGCACCCGGACGCCTCCACCAGCTGCCGAAGAGCTTGCTTATGAGAGAGCTCCTCGTCAGGAATATTACCGCGTCTACGCTGATGAGCCTCGACCCCGCGAGCCTCAGTACGCCGAGGCGTTCGAATACGTCCGAGTATCCGACCCGCAAGGCGATTACATGATTCGGAGACCAGTTCGTCGAGAGCCTGAGCCTGTCTATGCCACTTACGAAGAGGACGCCTATACTCGACAACCAGTCTACGAGAGCCGAGCGCCCGCCTCGCGACCAGAGGCTACCTTCTACGAAGAATACGATCCTCGCCACCCCGAGCCTCCTCTTCAAGCGCCAGTTCGTCAGGTCAGGTATCAGTAGATGGTCAAGAAGGGGTCTTCATCCAGAAAAGTGCTTTATTATTTTCCCTTCCCTGTATATTATTCGATGTAACCTTCGTTCATCGCTGCTTCTCCTCCATCTCATTGCATGTCACTCCCGCTCCTCCTCTACCTGTTCTAACTTCCTTTGGCTAGCGTGCACCTTGTCCTCGTTTGTACAATCAAACTCATTGTACAGTGTATACTTGCGAAGTTGCGGAATCTTCTACTTGTACAGATTCATTTCATTCCATCGCCAAGAGGGATTGCAGAAGCAATCTGCCTCTCGTTTCCGGGAGTTACTTAATGAGTGGTTGGGGAGTTTTTGCATGACCAAAGTACCCTAGAAGGTCAGGGCAAAATTTCGTTATATCGATGTCTTTTGCTGGCGGTTTACAGATGTATCATAGTGCGAAACAAAAAATACTACATACCATTTCAATTCTGAAGTATGTGTCTGTGAATGAATGTAAATGACGCTGTCAGTACACTCTGTGACTTTTATCATTCGGCCAGCGTGTCCAAAGTACTCGGCATTCTCGGGACAGTCACTATCAAGTGAATCTTCTCCTTGATGTAGCAGCTTCTTCAGAACATTCAAAATCGACGAAACTCTTGGATGTACTAGCCTTTTCGGAACATTAAGCGCAAATGACCTGGTCAGTCGTTCCTGCAGCTTTGTAGGTACCTGTTAGCTCACTTATACTCAGAACACATCGAACCTCTCAAGCACTAACTGGAAGTGATTCCAGAGAATGATTTGCCAGAAGGGACTTACTATAAGAGATTTGTCATGATGGCGTCAAGTCATAGCACCTTCATCGAACCTCCTCGAACTTGCCCTTAGGCTCAAGATGAGGAAGGATCTAAGATATTGTAAACTCAATGTGCCTTGATTGTTGAAGGCAAACTATAATGCAATGACCTTGGCACGCCAAAAATTAACCTTCTGATTTTTTACACTCTGAGGTGAAGGAAATGACTTCAAGTTTAGTCATCTTGATTGTCATCTATGGTTCAAAGGGGGCTATTATTGCCGAGACGGGCCTCAGTCGCGACCTATTCTAAATACAACTTGCCAAGCTGCGTTTCGCAGGCTGCGAACCGCAGCATTCAAGAGGTGATTTGAAAGCTTCAGGCTGGAGGGAGGCCGTCGGAGTTTAGATAGCTAGTGTAGTCAAATAGCTCATCGTGATCGGAACTATTCGCACCTTCTCCGAATGACGATGGCAAGCTGGGAAAGAAACTCGGCGGTTTGGGGAAGGAGTGAGTGAAGGATGGAAGAAGCGAAGGTGAGCAAGTTAAGGAAGGAGGAATAGGTGACTACTTTTCGCAGAGAACCACGAAACCATCAATGACCTGATCCATAACTGGTGGTTGGATATTTGAAGGTTGGAAAGAAATCAAGTGAATCATGCTGCAGTCCGGACCCCGATGATTTTGAAATCGTGGCCCTTGCTGCTTGTTCATGACTGGGAAAGGTCGAGATCACATCGGACTCGGGGAGGCACTTGTCATTGCATTCAAAGTCGTCATGGACCAAAATTGACATACCTTCTCAGCCACTGTCGAAGCAGAATGTAGGAAATTCATCGCATTATATGACCAGACTACTAAGCCACCGAAACTTTCAAAGGCAAGAATGTCAGAATGTCAGGTTGCAGTATTGAGGCCGTAAAGGAGAAAACCCGTCGAACGCACTCTATTCCACATATCGCACATCGCATCCATCTCCCCTTCACCTTCCCGTCAGTTCATATCCCACCGCCGCTGTCCATGTTTTCGTCGCGATCGCACACATTGGAGTTGATACAGGCGTTGGTTTTTGAGTCGTTTAGCAGCAGCCCTCGGCGCATTCTGGTGTTGCTGTTAGCAATTGAAGCGTTTCAGGAAAGGAGAGATCAATCAATCATACCGGCACAATCGGCGCAGGCTTCGCATCCCTCTTCGATGACACAGCAGCAGCACAATACAGCGAGACAGCTACCGAGGCAACCTTTACCACCGCTCTTCCTTTGGTTTATTTCTGAATTTTGTGGTTGTTGAGTGTTCATCTGTGGGCATCGAGGTCAGTCGCTGGGATTTAGACTCGGAGTTCATTGATTGGAGTATTCACGCACATTTGGCTGTTGCGAGGGAGCACCATATAGTTGGGGAGCTCCATATTGCTGGGGAGCTCCATATTGCTGGGGACCTCCATATTGCTGGGGAGCTCCATATTGCTGGTTGTTGTCAGCATCTCCATGAGAATACTGTATCATCATGAGCTCACCTGCTGGCCATAGGCTTGAGGAGGATATTGCTGAGGATTTTGCGGGGAAGGATAATGCTGAGGTGGTGGTCCTCCGCCGTAGTATTGTTGGTTAGACATCGTGTAGATCTGGCGATGTTGTGGCTGTCAGATGTGCTCGGTTTCGGATGGGTTTGTTGAAGGGACGCGAAGGGATTGTGGCGTCAGAGAGACTGACCAGATGCAAGCGTTTCAAGGAGGCGAGGAGGGGATCTGGTGAGTGCGATGACCCTTGCGTTCAGGTGTGGTGATGATTCACAGGTAATGGAGAGACAGTGAATGTCAAATCAAAGGAAAAGGAGTTTGAAGTGTGCGTGATGCGAGCGAGCGATGTGCCAAGCTATTTGAAGCTGAACGGTAGGGAAGGGGCTGGGCTGTGAGAGGAGGGGGTTCAGCCGAAGGCCTGCGTGGAACGGTGCTTTCTAGTGGCCCGACGTCCACTCCAGTCTTCGACCACGAATCGCTACGCCACAAGTTCACAGTTCACAGTCCACAGCCACAGTCCACAGCCACAGTCCACAGTCCACACTCTACAACGTACTGTAACACACTCATTCTGGACTGCCATGCCATTCTTATTGAACATGTGCCGCCCAGAAGATCGCTGGCCATGATTAATGCCTTCGTTTCGTCATGGGCTGCGCAATGGATACTCGCAACGATGTCTCCTCTCTCATCATTCAACCCCGAGGCGGAGACACCTCAGCATTCGCAAATGTGGCGGCTGCACAGCCCTGTCCCGTTCAGCCCAAACAGTTTCATTCGGATCCCTCGGCCATCATCGCTTGACAACGCTTTCAAGGGCATCTCGTGGCCGCGAGTCAGAAAGCTTGCTTCATCCAGCCCGCCTGCAAGAGGAGCTTGGCCAACGGCCACCAACCATTGGTTTAAGTCTTGCTCCTGGTGAACCCAGACCTGAGGTTTGGTGGCTCAAAAAGACTCGGCGTCGAGCCATGGCATCGGCTGCAGTCCCCAGTGTTGTGGGGAAACCAAGATCTTACCCGGATCTCACAAAGCTTGTGATGATCCCGTCGAGATTCGAGCTTGGAGATGCAAGTAGTGAGCGCACGGGTCTTCATGAAAAGGGATTTCAAGGGAGGGACCTGTTTGTTCGGACTGTCTAGTTGTCGAAGCTGGCAGAGGGGGCTCTCAGGCTTGCCATAGCACAGCATAGATAATTTCAAAAAGTTGCTCCAATGATATGGACCTGCTTTGATGCTTGAGCTGGTTCTTGTATTTCACCAGCGTTGGTCAATCACGTGACCCAAGCTGACGCGATCGGCGCTAGTAGGATCTGATAACGACATGGAGGGAAACGAAAGTTGACATCTCCTATCAGCAACAACAACCACGCCCTCTCCACCACTTCTTCCTACTTCTACTCTGAGACCCAACTCCTCTCTTGACTTCTCCTTGGTCTTATCTGGCATTAGGAAATTTCCGCCAAGTTCTAAACCGAATCACAGCATCGAACTACCCCGCCACGACCACTCCTCGAAGTCTCAATAAGTAATCCCCAAACCACAAGGCGAAAAATCCTCTTTAAGAGGACTCGCCCCTCTGTTCACGGCTTTTTCACGCCCTCGCATTCGACCATAATCTACACTGTACTTGATCACCTTCAACATGTCAATACTCACCGAGCTCAAGTCCGAGGAGGATTGGAACAAACACAGCGCCTCTCTCCCTTCAACAACACTCCAGATCATTTACTTCAAGGCGGAATGGGCGGCACCGGTAAGCTCTGCCTCAGATGTCGTGTACTTTGCAACCGGCTCCTTTGTCAGCTTTCTAAGATCTGTGATACTAATTACAGAACAGTGCAAGCAAATGACCACAGTTCTGCAGACACTTGCTTCCTCGTACCCTGCCACCGATCCTCTATCAACATCATGGATTTGCATGGATGCCGAAGAAGTCATCGATGTCAGCGACAACTTCAATGTTACAGCAGTTCCCTTCCTTGTCTTAAGACGGGGCGATCGGGTCCTTGAAACTGTCAGCGGAAGTGACGCCACGAAGGTTCGGACAGCCATAGAAAAGCACGCGAAATCCTCTGGTACTGGAGCAGTCAACGGGGCATCAATTACCACGTCCGCCAGTGCAACAGGAGCAAACAACTTGAGCACATATGCACCTACCCCTCAAGATCCAGTTACGGCACCAGAGCTCTCGTCAAGTGAGGTGAAGGAAGATAAGGAGGCACTGCATAAGAGACTGTCGTCATTGGTCAAAGCTGCACCGGTTATGCTTTTCATGAAGGGGACACCAAGTGCCCCGCAATGCGGTTTCTCGAGACAGTTGGTTGCACTTCTGCGGGAGAATTCTGTAAAATATGGATTCTTCAATATTCTTGCAGATGATGAGGTCAGACAGGGTTTGAAGGAATATGCAGATTGGCCTACTTTCCCACAACTCTGGGTCGAGGGTGAGCTTGTTGGCGGCTTGGATATTGTAAGTCTCACCGCGAGATACTTAAAGAGACAGCGACACTGACCCTTTTTAGGTCAAGGAAGAGATTTCGAATGATCCAGAGTTTCTTAAGCCATTTAGTGTCGCAAAGACTCCTTCTGCGCCAGTCCCTGGAACAGCATAGAGAATGATGATCTTTATATCCACACTCCTGAATCAAACAGCTACTGCAAGGCGGTGTGACTAGACACAACCCGCGATACTGCCCCTGTGCCAGAACACTTGGACGGTGACCTCGGTTTCGATTGCCTCCTGAATTGTTCTAGGCAAACGGGCCGCATCTTTCCTCATAACACAGGAGACCTGCTGGGAACAGCGTAATATGCAAGTATTGCTAGGGGCTGAAGCTTGAGGCATAACTTTTGTGAGGACTCACCGAACAATAGTTTATCATGACGTGCAGACAACTGTCTTATGGTGGTCAGAAAAGGGGCAATTATTGACAAGTTCCCAAATCAAGTCGAACACTTAAACGATGTACTCCCTCGCATTTCCATATACTCAAAGCCTACTACCTTCGAATGTCCACAGAAGTTCTGGAATACTTAAGTCCTCTCTCTAAGAGTGTATCCGACTCAACTGGAGACATTGAGGACAAGCGGATCCCACTTCCGAACCGTCGCGAGGCTATTTCAGGAGACCATTGGGAAGCCACCAATACACTACTTTCCGAATTTTGATCCATCTTTTTGTCGTCGCAAGCTGCGCAATAACTTCCGCGGTCCTTTCATCATCTTGCCCAAATTCTTGGATCATAGCCTCTACACATATCTCCTGCATAAGCATTGCCTTTTTAAATGAAGCACAAAAAAAGTAGTCCTGCGCTAGCCGCGCTTGACAGCCCAGAGTTCGAAAATCTTTGTCTCCGAACTGTTGGCTCACCTGGTCGAGGTGCGCTTTTCTACGGCCGAGAACTCTCTTCCTCAAAAGAGGGTTTCTCCACCGTCGGGCTACATAGTCCATCAATATTGCATCCTGGGAGATTTTGGTAGGATGGCTGGTTCCAAAACTGTCTCTTATCGAATTTACACATTTTTCCTGCCAATCGCAAGCCTTTTCGAGATCGTTCAAGTCTTGGTAGTTCCGCGCCAAATATTGCATCGCCAGGGAAGTCCTCGAGGACGCCATACCGTAGACTTTTTGGGTTCCAAGCACCGCTTTCGTGGACCAAGTCAATGCCTCCTTTGGTCTTTTGAGACCAGAGAGTGCTTCTCCCATCACAATATAGATGCTCAAAATGTCGGGAACTTCGTCTTTGAAGCAATCTCCAAATCTCTCCATTACTTCCTTGCAAAGATTGAGCGAAGTGCGATACCCCCCGACACGGTTGTAGATCGCTCCAAGGCAGGCTACTGTTTGAAGAATAAAGGAGTAGTGAGTACTCTCAGGATATTCCTTCATCAAAGGCTCTAGCGTTTCGATAGACTCTCGGAATCGGTGTAAACCTCCCAGATCCACTCCAACTAAATACCTGAGATAGAGGCAACATTCATCTTGTGGATGCAAGATGCTCTCTTTCAACTTGAGATCCGCTTGGACGATCCTCAGTGCCTTGAATTACTCAATCATCAGCCATGTTTGCAAAAACAGAGTCGAGTGATACACTCCTCGAATCCTCAATTCCGAATTTCGCTAGAGCGCAAAGTGTTAAGGACGGTGTTGACTGACCTTCTGATACTGCCCGCCTTCGATGTAGGCCGTATGGAATTTCAATCCTGCTCTGTGCTCTTCTCCTAGATCGTCTGGAACAGAGGCAACACATTGCCCATTGTTATGTTCGAGTAAAGAATCTATATGTGGTAACAACAGCTGTCTCTGTCGCTCATCGGCAGGAAGGTCGGTGACTGACATCGACAAAGTCGTCATTGTGGTCTTCCATGTATCACCGCGTTCTGATACTATCATTCGCTCCCTCGACCACAAATGCACCAGCGGGTGCATAGAGATCAAGCCTGAATGGCTCGTCGTGATGAGCGAGAATGCAAGCAGAAGTTTCATAGCCTTGCCCCATAAGAGACCGTCCCATTCTTCAGGCATAAGTCTTGCCAACAAACTGTCTTTGAAACCCGGGACATCCGTACGATACAGCGAGTTTTCTATTGCACTCTTGAAGATATCCTTCCGAATGCCATCGAAATGCATAAATGAAAACATCCTCAGAAGCTCCAAACCAAGCCTCGCATGTTGGTCGGCTATTTTTTTAATCTTTTCGATCGAAATTTCCCAAGTCGTGAAGACGGAGTACTGGTAGAACTCGATACCCGAAACGGGTCTCCCCGATTCCAAAACTTCTCTTTTCTGTTTCGAATATAAATCGCAAAATTCATCAAGGCTGCATATTCCTTGACGGATTACGGCCCCTGCCTGAATAATTGCAAGCGCAAGACCTCCCAGGTCGTTGACAATTCGCTCAGCAACTTTTCTTACATTCTCGCCTGGCAGGTCCTTTATTGCAGCCGTTTTGAGAAGTAGAGCCACAGCATCCTCAAGGCAGAGCTTGTCAACACAGTGCGAACCTGCGTTCCCACTTCCAGTTCCATACCTTTGCAGGTCGCGATCTCGAGTCGTGATAAGTATTGCGCCCCGTTCCTGAGATGGGAAGAATTTCGAAACGTCCAAGTCTCGATTATCTACGTTGTCTAGAATCAGGAGCCAGTGCTTTTTCCGGGAAAGCCATGCTTTGACCGATTCAACGCTCTCTTTTTGTTTGCAAGCACGTGCGAGATTCGCAAACCCTTCCTTTGCTGTCTCTTCACTGCTCGCATCGATCCAGAAAATACCCCAGAAGCTGTCAAGCACGTCAGTTTAAGTCTATAACTTGAAAGAATTCTCGAGGGGACAAGTGGGCAGGACTTCTGATTTCCAAATTGGCAGAAGAACCTCTCTCTTCATATGTCCCCTTTCATGACGCAACACATACTCTCCAACGTCCCAAGTCTAGATCGAACAGTGACAACTTACTCCTCTCGATTATCCTCGGCAAACTTCAAGGAAACCTGCGTCTTTCCCGACCCTCCCAGCCCATATAACACAAATATTTGTTGGGATTTTGAAGTGCGGTAAGAGAGCAAGGAGTCATTCAACTGCTCACGTATGTCGTTCCTGCCAGTGAAGTGCAAACTGGCGGAATGAGGAACGACATAGAACTCATGCGTGGCCTTGACTTCACATCCCTGTCGTATCCGCTTGATCTTCTGGACAACAGCCTTGTAAGTCTTGTCTTTCGGTGTTGCAAATCGACACATGTCCGTATGTGTTGCGCCGACGGGAATCTGTTCTTCGTAGGTAGGTACTTCGCTGGGAGGTGTCAATAGTGCTGAAGTCTTTTCTACAATCTGTTGTACATTTCAGCTCTAGTCTCTCTCTATACCTCAAATATGAGAAGCTCACCAGGCCCCTTAACCCTTTCATTGTCCTTGTTTCATAGAAGCTCGCAATCTCATATGGCCTCCGTTCGTGATGCGTCTTCCAGTCATCATCAAGTTGCTTCAACACGGGACTTCCCGTTCTCAAGGACTCCAGTAGCTCGGCATTTGGTTTGTTGGCGAGTATGAGGAGGTTACGAGTTATCGTCGTGGCATAATTGGCGGTACTGCTTCCTTGGTGAGGGGTACCGAAAAATATGACGCCAAGGGTGCTGTTGTAGATCTGCTTATATAGAATTTCTTGCTCTGCTATTACGAGTGCCTGTCCCTCGTTGTCAGAATGTACGGATGATCACTATACTTCGAGAATACCTGTTTAATCACCAACCCGCCTAATGAATGCCCGATGAAAATCAGAGAACGTTTGGCTTCCTGGGCTCAACAATTAGCCTCCAGCCAAGCCTTGAATACCAACACACTGTCTTCAAAAAATATTCAAAGTCTTTGGTACACTCCAAGAGCAACGCATCCTGCAGAACACAGAACCTTAACTTACAAAACTCTTATCCCTTTTTTCCAGCAGCGCCCCCAACAACCCCCTCGCATGATCCCTAATCCCCGCAACCGAGTTATCAAACGCAGCAGTGGCATTATACCCAAAAGCCATCACTCTCGCTGCTTGCAGATCCTTGGGGAGAAAGTCCCGAAGCCATAACTTCTTCGATTTAGGTTCCGTCCATGTCTTGAGCTGGTTTCCGTTCAGGCCATGAATGGCTATGATACTATCAAGTACAACAAAGTCAGTAAGAAGTCTGGGGAAAGGAGAGACTTGATGGGAAAGCGGGCGAAATGTCAAAGTTCTTACTCGAGAGAGAGGCTGGCGTTGAGATCGCGGTCTGATTCGTCTTCTGGGGAGAAAGTCACGATTTCCATTTGTGTGTTTATATCGCGCAATATCAAAACTTCTCAGCACCAAATTTAGTGTTACAGTTTTCAAAGAGTCGAGAAATGGAAGAAGAAAGTGTGTTAAAGGATTTATTGCCATTCTTGAACGCTGGTGGTCATGGGAGCGCGCGCGTGCAGCCTGCTGCTGCGCAAGCCCCAAACACCAACATATCCCTGGCCGTTGCTGCATACGACCCGACCCGAACCTTTCAATCCAAGCAAACGTGCTGCCATAAAATGTTCTATCTAATTTTGTTGCCTTAGAGGCTCGATACAGTGGCTTTACATATTGCTAGTATGTTCTTTGGAAGAGCGCTCGCAGCTTTCTTCGAGCAAGGTTTGAACTGATGGAGAATTCATGGCAAAATGGAGAGCTTGACTTGGTGGCGATGATTGAAGGCTGATGGCTGATTTCAAGGCTGGGGGTGTGGCGGTTACAGCAAGGATATCGCTGGAGATGCCTACGTTGTGTAACCTCGACCTCGACCTCGCCACAGGCGACTCCGCGAGGCTCTCTGTACAAGCTAGGCATCCAGAATGTGGTCTCGACTCTCGAAGCATTGGAAGAGGCGGGAAACTGCACGGACAAAAAAAATGAAAAGCAGAGCACAGTCATCTTAGGTGGGTTAGTGCGAGCCGGAAGGCTCACCGTCGACAGTGATGTTGTCAGAAGAGTGCAGTTGTACATGATACAGGTGCCTTTGAAAAATTAACAGAAACTGGCTGGCCATCTTGCGAGCAACTTTTCTTACTTTGAAAGAAGTACCGAAGGTGGTGAATATTGGCGAACCTCCGTCAGGACGATGATTATTGTTGAGAATCTGCAGGTCTAAAGAGTAGTCAATCCGGGCAGAGATGTTCAGGAACGCTGCGATGAAGACCAAGGAAAGGACGAGGCTGAGGCCAATGCGTTTGCAGGTAAAAATACGAAGAAGACGTATTGGAGAGGTTGAGGTAAGATAGAGAATGCGTCTTGAATGTTGAACGTGGTGATGTTGCACAGCTGGATGTACGATTGCACTCATCAGCGAGGTTGAGTTTGAGTTTCGGGGATGACCGCGCTACTGTGGTAGCCTATAAACCTTTTCTCAACTTCGTCTCTTCTCGGCGGGCGATCTTACTCAGTATAACAAAGTTTTTCTCTCGCATCGACTTGATTGTGGTGTTGTTCAGTGAGATGCTTTTCATTTCCTCAGCCATCGGGCTCCTTGTTCACAGCTGGGCGGAATCTATCTCCTTTCCAGGGTCTGTATGGATGGATAGCAACCAGCGTTGTATTTCCACGCCACGATGCTTGGACCATCATTCTTTCTAGGCTTCTGATAAGCCGAATAAAAGTCATCCTGCATGCAGCATGCATCCTTCTCCATCATTGAAGGCATGCCTAATCCGGATGCATTCTGCAAGCGTTCAGCCTCAATCCTTCGATGGTGAGTTGGACGTCTATCTGATTTGTATCATCGTACCTCTCATGCTTTTGCGATTTCAAATCTCGATTTCTACCCCTGTCTTCCCCTATATTTTCAGCAATTGTGCTGTATCGCCTCAGTTGAGGTTGGTCAACGGCCCCTATCATGTCAGACGCCTAGTCGAAACGTGGTGCCATCACAACTATCTTTACCCCACCTTCATCATGCTCACAACCACCTTTGACACGATCGTTACCGAAATGTCTTTCTTCCACGTTGACTATTAGGGCGGCTATGGTAAAAGTTACGGCGGATCATGTTATCCCAGCTCTGCTTCAGCCGCGACGTTCGGCACCACCACCTCGGAGTCTGCGTTCGCCAATTACTACTACTCTCCTGCCTTCATCTGCCCAGCTGGATGGACAACTGCGAGGTCGCTAAGCCTGTCCACTTCTGATGGGTTCACAACAACTTCTGGCGTTTCGACGTATCTATGCTGCCCGAGGTAAGTCTTCATCCTTGGACACCAGACAGCTAGGTCTACATGTGTCCATCTCGGTATTGACCATATCAGAGGGTTGGCGTGGAGTTATGCAGTACACGTGCCGTATCACCAATGTGTTGTGACCTCCCCATTTGATACTCTCAACAACGTCACCATCACGGACGCAAAGCTATCTAGCGGTTCCTTATCAGTCACCGTTATTACGGGTGCTGTGGGATCTTGTGATGGCATCCCAATTCAATACAGTCAAGCGAGTTCGCAAGTTTCCAGCGTGCTATTCGACCACCACATCCTCATCCCAATCCCAGACGTCAAGCACTTCGAAAGCATCGTCAAGTATTCACGGACAGACTGGAGTTTCTTCGGGAAATTCGGATTCAGCAGGTTCAGAACGCCTCTCTCCCGGAGCCAAAGTAGGTATAACCAATGCCGCAGTCCTCGCCGCCTTCGCCATCTTCCTATTCATCCGACGACATAGAAAGGAGCAAGCTACCCAACCCTAGCCCGGCTAGCACCAAGAGATAGGTACAATAGAAGTCGATGGGAAAAGGATTGTTATATTAGAATTCTCTACCTCGGTAAATAGGCACGAGCTCCCGTCCTCTTATCATCAGAACCAAGAAATAGAATCGCATGATTACGGTGGTAGGCATGAGTAGAGCCATGAACTATATGCTGCCGTTCCTGGTGGTTTTGGTTTTTGTGGCCCTCGCCCTCCTGCTGGTCCGATAGCGCCAGTGGCGCTGAATTCGGAGGCGCTTGTAAGGCGGAAGGCTGTAGCGACAGAGACTGGAAATGATGATGACCCCGAGCTGGAGCGGACGGAAGTTGATATCAAGGCGTTAAGAGTCCAGAAAGAGCAGAGGCTGCAAGATTTGGAGAGGAGAGAGAGGGAGTTGAGCAAGGTTATTGCGGAGAAGTCTGGGTCGAACATGAGTGGGAATCTTGGTCAATCAGAAATGAGTTTGCAGTAAAAAAACATGCTGACAATATTAGAGGGAACGAATATCCAGGCCAGGGAATTCACAAGCCCCATTCTGTACCATAGTCTCTAATAGTAGGACATGGCAGGATTTTCAATGTCCCAAAAAGATTAGGGTTATTGAGTGTGATGTGGAACAAGGCCTTTTCTTCTCACGACTGTCTCTCATATTATAAGGTGAGTTGGCAAGAGTTAGCTCAAGGTTCAAGGGATAAGCGATATGAGGTAAAGGGCTGCGCCTGTATTTATTTGTATCAAGTGACAAATCTCGGAAACAGGTGGCTCCCCTCAAATATCTAAAGTTTGATGCCAACGTTCAAATATATATTCTGAATTATATACTAGAATTAAACTTTTATAGCTCTTGATGATGCGGACTAGAATTTACTCATTAAGCCAGATCATTGCTCTCAGTAACTCATCTCATGCGACGTCTAGAAGGTGTAAGGGATGACAGGAGGGTTGTTTCCATCAGGAACCTCAAGCTGGCCATGATAATAGTTCTTGTCCTGTTGGCTCTCCCATTGTGCCTTGATGGCTGGCAGGGTGGTACGGCCATTGCGACGACTGTGGCAGTCAGGCACTGGCTGTGGTGCCCATTTATTGTGGGTATTGAAGATTCCAGCGTACGAGCTGTTGAAGTAACGGTGTGCAAGGTCAGGGGTAGTAGACCATTTGCGGATTCTGTCACCAGTATATTTGCCAACGTTGGCGAAAACGTTCGCACCAACATCCCAGCGGCCTAAGGTGTACAAGTCCCTGCCAAAAGTTAGTCTACTGTTGGGATGATTGTTGGAGCACGTACCAGTTTGCTTCAACGGTTGAGATTTCCGAGTAATGGTTGTAGTAGTTGTCATCCGTCGTTCCCTCGAGTTCTGCGGGAACTGCATCACCGAGAAGGACGCTGAACACTCTGTTTTGGAGGGAATAGGTCTCTAAACGCCGAATTCGTATCAGTATTCTTGAAGGATTGAGTTTGGGTGACAGTACCATTTTCGTCGAAGGTAATGAGAACCATTGTGTTCTGCATGAAGTTCTTGTCATCCAAGAGCGGGCCCAAGAAGTTCCGGAGCCATTCGCCAGCCACGGTCACTGAGGTATCGTGACCATCCGAGGTCATGTTGGGCGTGATGAACATCCATTGCGGAAGTTTGTTGTCCTTGAGATCCTTGAAGAACATTGTGGTGTTTTTGACTTGAGCGGCACGCTGTGGGGTGTTGGCAACAGAGTTGTAGAGGATTGCGGGACTAACCGGTTGTCAGTCTAAACATCGAAAGCGGTCACGTTGAAGTTGAAATACGCACTTGTGCTTTCGAACGTAATCATTAGCACCATTCTGCTGATTGACCCAAGCGAACCCTTGGAAGCCCGAATAAGGTTGATCCTCTTGATAAAGCCCCCAGCTGATTCCCTTGTCCTCGAGCAGGTCGACGACAGTAGATACATTTTGGGGAACCGCGTTGAAAGCATCACCGTCTAAACCGAAGTAGTCCCTAGTTTTGTCAGTAATCAAATCAAGGATATACAGTGATCAGAAGACTTACCCTCCTACGGCCGCCATGTAGTTTGGCTCGGAAGGATGCGTGGCGCAAACAAGGCTAGAGAGCGTGATGCCCTTCTTTGCAAAGAATTGAAAGTTCGCTGAATTCCAATTAATTATCTTTAGAAAAGAGAGAGCAAATGGAACAATGCTTACGGTCAGCTTGAGCGGTCTCAAAATCGGTATTCTCAAACCAGATAGAGACATATCGGTCAAACCTAGTTAACGGGGGAGTTAGCAATATCTCGATGAGGTTGTCTCTGGAGAAAAGTGTGAAACAGACAGAAATAAGGAAAGGATTGCTCCCCCCCAACACCTACACTTTGCCCTTGACATTGCTAGTTGGGCTTAGGGTGAGTGCTGTGGCTTGAGCCGCATACACATCAGCTACATCGGTGGCTGTGGGGGAGGCTGGATTTTATCAGATTTGTTTCACGTTTGAGACTGGGGTTGATCTGTTTGAGACTTACCTGCTCTCTTGTTCGGGGCAGCCAATGCAACAGCTGACGCCACAGAGGCAACAGCGAAAGCGGAAGTGAAACGCATGTTGTTGACTTGAGAAAGCGTGTTCCGCCGAGGCTGGGGAGAATGGTCAAAGTCAAGGGGGATCGACAAAGGACCCGTACCTTATTTATACCTTCAGGGACGGAAGCTAGGTCCCTGAGTTATGGTACTGGGTTGAAGACTAGGAGGAACTGCCAAGGGTTCTGGGAACAGAACAAGGCTTTTGACAGCTTGCCAAGCCGTCTTGGGAAGGCGGCTCGGTCATACCGTACCGTGAGGGGTGAAGCTGAGGATGCGAGGTCACGTCGTTGGAGGAGCACAGTAGAAAGGCAGAAACGGGTCTGGTCATTGGGTCTTCCGGGAAAGGGCCAGGTCACAGCACGCCGGAATTATTTTCCCGGGCCAAGTGGGGAGAGAATGGTAAGGTAGGACCTTCTACAAGGGATAGAGATCCGAGATATCCGTCGCCTTTTTCTCTCGGCCATAGGTTAAAGGCACGAGGTGAGGGTTGTGATGCATAATTATTCCACCTCATTCTTCACTTGCAGCGTCTCTTGCCTTTCGGGCATGGGGGAAGGGGGGAGGGCGGAGGGGGGGGGGGGGGGGGGCTGACTTACAGTAATTACTTTCGAGGTAAGCGGCAGGTAATTAACATGCAGGGGACGGGGAAGACTGAAGACTGTGGGGGCTCGGCTCTTTGCACTGGCAAAGGCAGGTGAGTTGAGTGATTGGCATCGTGCTGGCGATGATTGGCCGAGAGCGGTTTGTCGTCATGCAGGTCACATTTCGTTGTCGTCGATCAAGACTCAAGGGGCAGCAAGATCTCACTCAAGCTTCTCTAGCGCCACGGGCGTGGTGGCGCAGGCAAGCTTTGGCGAGGCCCGAAGCGTGCTAGTCGCCAGGAACGTGTGGCAGAGGAGGCTGATGATTGGGAGACAGCGGAGATGCGAACAACCTGGTCTGAAGGTCGTACCACCAGTACCGTACAGCATCACCCGCGTGCAAAAAGTCCAACGCTGAAGTTGAAGGCCTGCATTTGCCTCGGACAGTTTAGCCCAAGCAGGCACCGGCCGCCCTGTCTGTCGACGACTTCTGGAAGGCTGGAAGAGACCCTGCAAGTTGCAGCCTTTGAGCTCCCCGGTCGAACCCATCCATGATCCATCCATCAATGCAGTGGCCCCCCCGTCTTGCCGGGGCTTTGATTGTGCACCGCCAACCCCCGGCTCCACCATATCAGACTTGATATCGGCCAAGGCGTCGATCCATCATCTTACCTCTGACGCTCTTCATCCTCTTCACCTCCTTGCTCCTCTCTTTTCCCTCAATGCTAGCACTGAGAAGACCATCAGTTGAACAGTTCGTTGTGTTCACAGTCGGGGTCTAGAGATTGTTTCGACTATGGGACCCTGAAACAAAGTTTTGTGGCCGGTCCCAAAGTCGTGCCACGACCAAACCACCTTTGGAACGGCTCTAGCTATTCTCCAACTCTGCTCCCATTAACAACATTAAGCTCCAAGGCTCAGATTGGCCAGGAATATTCAAAACAGTTCCACAATCATGGACTCCCACAAAGGCGGTCGAGACAAGCCTTCGCTCAGGCACAGCGACAGCCTCGACGGCTATGACGATGTTGAGATGCAGGAGCGAGAGGATGACTTCGAATGGGGACAAGAGCAGCGACTTCTTCCTGGCGATGACATGGAGGCTATCGGGGAGCTCGATTACAAGTTTGAATGGCAGATCCGAACAGTCTGGGTGATAGCGGGGTCATTCATCGCAACGGCCCTGGTATTCTTCAGTCTCATGCTCTTCACTAGACGTTTTATTGTTACAGACGCCACTGGAATGGGAATCAAGACCTATGAAGCGCCGGGTCTTGGAGGCTTCCGCAGACTAGCTAGCGATTATATTTTGGATCCTGCCTGGAATTTCAACGCCCCGCCACAGGTTAGGGAGTACAAGTGGTCCATTGTCAACCGCGTGGGCAATCCGGACGGAGTTTACAGGCCCATGCTCATGATTAATGGTCAATTCCCGTAAAGAACCCTATTTCTTTGTCCCACACCCACAGCTCCCTATTTTCACTGGCTGGGTGGATGCCTCGGCCTCCTCGCCTGGTCCCTGCTCCCTCGTCAAAGAAATATGTTGCTAAGCTCGTTCTAGAGGCCCGCTCATCGAAGCCAACGAAGGAGACACCTTGGTTATCGAGGTGGACAACCAAAGTGATAATGCTACTTCAATCCACTTTCACGGAATTTATCAGAATGGCACAAACTTCATGGATGGTACCACAGGCATCACGCAGTGCCCAATCGCTCCAAATCGAAAATTTCGATACGAGTTCACAGTCACAGGGCAATCAGGAACGTATTATTACCATGGGCACGTTGCCGTTCAAGCGTCTGACGGCTTGGTCGGTCCCCTGGTCATCCACTCCAAGGACGAGAAGAAACTTCAACAGATTCCCTACATCACAGATCGAGTTGTGATGCTTCAAGATTGGTACCACGACCTCTCAAGTGGCCTTCTTATCGAAACACTGGAACCCGGCAGCGAGTCATCTCCAATTCCACACGGCGCTCTGATGAACGGGATGAACACACGTGATTGTTCTAATATTCCACACCGGATGTGCGACAATTCCACGGCAGCTCTTCCTTCGCTCGATTTGATTGCGAATGCCAACCACCGCCTGAGATTTATCAATACCGGAGCCTTTGCATGGTTTCAAGTCGAAGTTGATGAACATTCCTGGGCCATCACAGAGGTAGATGGAACCGATGTTGTGCCAACCTATGACAATAGAATGATGATCAGCCCGGCTCAGAGATATAGCATGATTCTGAATACGAACCATACGACTGCCAGCTCCTTCTGGTTGCGAGCGAGGATGGTTGCTCACTGCTGGAAAGATCCTACTTTGCCAGGTCCCGGAGCCGACGAGATAAAGGCAGTTATCAACTATATTCCCAGTGGCAAGACCAAAAAGCCCAAAGGGCTGCTTTCTCAGCCAAGTTCCAGAAGCTGGAGTAAAGGAATGGAAGTGCAATGTCGAGATATGAATACCACGTCCTACGTGCCAACCACTTACGCTCCTCCGCCTCCACACGCCGACCACTCGTACTATCTCCGATCCAACCTCGAAATCGGCGACTGGAGGCTTGAGCGTGGATTTTTTAACCAATCGACGTTCCGACCCAACTTACAGAAACCGACTTTGCATCGTACCATCGCTGGGTTGTCCAGTAACAACGAGACTTTCAACTCTATGAGAAACACTGATGGAGTCAATGAGATCTGTTATGATAAGAAGAACGACTTTGTCATTCAACACACCGGCGTCAAAGTCGTGGATATCATTATCCAAAACTTCGACGAGGGAAATCACCCAATGCATTTGCACGGTCACAAGTTCTGGGTACTCGGACAGGGACATGGGCCTTTCCCGGGCTATGACTTCCTTGGATTGAAAGCATACGGCCAGGGAATTCTCGATGGCCATGAAGGAGTTCTTGATAACGTGATTCGGCGAGACGTTGCTACAGCTGAAGGATTCGGATGGTTGGCGTTGAGATTCGTGGCAGATAACCCCGGGGCCTGGGCTTTCCATTGCCATATGGCTTGGCATTCGGAGGCTGGACTTGTTATGCAGTTCATCAGCCGAGTCGACGAGCTTGCTACATGGTCGATTCCGGAGGCGAATCGACAATTATGTGAGGCGCCCCTCACAGAGCTTAAGAAGGGCGCACCACCGGAGGACAGCACCTGGTTTGGCTTCGGAATCGGATGATGGACGTTTCCACGAGAGGCCTACGAAAAGCGAAAGATCCGACTTGCAGGAGACAACTCGAGGGGCTTGGAGTGAAGGGATTTAAGGGTCTGACGTGAGGCGGGCCAACAGCGATGAAGCTCAAACACTAAACCCAACTCGGGAGATCGGGGACCACAACCTCGATTATTCGGCAGGATAATTGAAGAAAGATCACTACTGGAATCGATTAGTAACATCGAAACAGTTCATCCAATGATTTTTTTGCGGCTTACTCCGCATATACCGAGCTAGCTGTTCAGCCTCGGCTTTGACAATGCAGCAAAAACTGAGTTCCCTGCAGCATGGATGTCCTTGATGTTCATAGCAATTTGGGCGGGCCCGGAGAAGCGACTGGACATGCTTTTATGAGCACTAGCGGAAGCTTGTTTGACAATCAGATGTAACGAATGCTACGCCGCCACAAGCTCATGAGAATGGCCGAAGAGGATGAAAATAGACGGCGGTGAATTATGTATACTGTGTGAAGATTTATGTACATAATACGTCTATCGATTAAAGACCTACCTTTACAAATAAATGATGGGTTTGATTGATAGCCTTCAGAAGAAAGAGCAGAGTAGCAAACTCGTTGAGTAACGTTCCTCAGCTAACTCATCAAATGTGTGACTCCTATTTTCAATCGTCTCTGGGTGTCCAGGTACGTGCGTCTTACACAAACCTGTGGTGGGCGAAAAGAGCGGCACTAGACTATCAATGCCCCAAGTCCAGTTGGGTCATTTCAGTTACTTCCCCTAGAATACTGCTACCAGTTTTAGTAAAATTAGACCGCTCCCCCCTTTTGACTATTGTAGAAGTTCTAAAGACACTATATTCCGACCTCCGCCGCGGCCCAATAAATGTCCAACTTTAACTTGGAACATTGAAAATGAATGTCACTCTTTCTGACCACCGTGAACTAGGTACTTCCCTTGTTGAACGAAGGACGCTGCTGCTGCACCACAAGCTACGACGCCTCCAACTACAACTAATCCCACCGTCGAAGCGCAAGACATGCACTCACTCGGTTTTACCTCTTTCAAAGTTCCCGATACCTGCTCCCGCTACAGCTCAAGGGCAAACCCGGTATCTCTTCATGTAATTTTCCAGAGGTCACTGGCTAAAAGGTCGAATACATTTTTGCCCGGTAACTGAGAATGTGAATAAGCGGAGGAGGCGCAGACGCAGAGGGAAAGAAAGGGGAAAGAGGAAGGGTACTGAACAACTGGACATTGAGCTGAATTCTCGGAGAGCGGAGAAGAATATGGAAGTTGTGGAGAACGACGGAAGAGCGTCATGAGACCGACACATCAACACTGGCACTCATTTTCAACGTCTCGAGTCAGGCTGGACCTCTGATGAGGACTCCAATGTTCTAAACTTGTAGGACATTCGAAGGTAGTAAGCCCCGAAAATTCCAAAATTTGAGGGATCATTTGAACAGGCTGCGCGGTATTGAATGATCAACCTGGCTCGGGACAGTGGAAATGGTGCCGCTTTCCCTGTCCTTCGCGAGGTCCAGTTCAATTGAGACATTGCTACCAGCCTCGTACATCACCGCAACTCTAAAACAGTGAGCCATGGAGGAAGACATAGCAGAAACAGTTTCAGGCTTCTATGACGATATGATCGCAGCTGTGGGATGTACGTACTACAGTACAGGAGGAACTATCTCTTCTCAGAAAGCAATTGCGGCATTTGAATGCCCCTATGGAGAATCCTCAATCAAAGGCTTTCGGCATTAACGGAGTTAACTGCCAAGTTCCTGATCTCGAAGCCCATTTGAGCACTTCTTGACCCTTCCTCCAATCCCCCCCCCCCCTCAATCTACACTCATAAGTGAGTCACTCAACACCTGACTCCGAATGCACTACTGTACCACCACCAAAGCGTACTTGTATATTCCATGCAACTTTTGTCAGCACTCGCCGTCGCTCGGCGAGGCTTCTGATGAGGACGCGAATATTGCTGGTGCCTGAACCCGCGCCGAGGAGAGTCTTGCTGGAGAACATAAAGGTGGCAAAAACTCTCGACTACACCGACACCGACGCCTCCGCTCCTCCGCTACTCCGCCGCGACGACGGCGACGTGCATCTTGGTGCCTTTTTGCCCCCCGCGAGCTTACACATCTCTGCATTTCAGTGCCTCCGCTGGGCGTGGCCAATTGCAACCCCACTTCAGCCCTGCTGCGGCCCCGCTCTTCGCCAAACAGAAACACCAAATTGGCGTCGACTTGTCCAAACCCTGGTCGCCGTCAACCACCAGAACCTCCAACCTTGATGACTGATGTCAATATCGTGATAACTTCATTGAGACGCATCAGCCACTCGTCTGTCCTATCTTTGGCTGGAAGCGCGGAGTCCCCGACGCACTCGAGACCAGATCTTGGCCCAGAAGCTCTTGGAAGCGCGCCCATCAAATCTCAACTGGTGAGTTTGGCCCCAATTAGGAACGTGGATACCCATCGGGCATGCGGCATTATGAGGTTGGAATATACTAACGGGAATTCAGCAATTGACGCGAAACGACGCCCCTGCTTCCTCGTCTAGCACCGACCCTACCGAACGTCATTGAAGCCTTCGTCGACCGACCCCCGACCTATCTCGCGCCTCGCGCGGTACTCTCATCCGACCGAGACACCAGTGGCGCATCATTCCTCAAGAGGACAACTTCCCCTTAGTGCTCTGCAGGAATATCTGCAGCTTCAAGGATATCGTCGAAGGGCTGTGTGGCATTAAGCCCGAGTAGAAACTCGGGGGCGAGAGGTTGACGAGTAAATCGTCGATAACTGTCTGTGTCGGTGGAATACTCAAGCTCGCATTGAAGCCGAAGAGCACAGTCCCGTGCGTGTAGGATACACCATCGGGTAATCAAGAAGCTGCATCGGCCTTGGGTGGCTGAGATCGCAACCAGGAAGAAAAGCAGCTAGGATCGGGCCCGAGGCATCGTCTGAGAAAGCGTTGAGCCACCATTTGGAAACCGAGTTGGTGGACAATAAGCACGGCAGCTTGTGCATCTCTCCCATTGGCATTTCATCGAAGGGGCAAATTGCTCTTCGGAGGAGGCACAGGCAGCATATATACGCCAGCTTTGAGCGCTGGCAATACGTGCTTAGTGGACATAAGGCTGCTGGTCATCTGCACCAGCAACGCTATCTCCACCACTTAGCCCCCAGGTTAGGTGTATCGGTCTGTCGAGCGAGACAGCACCCTGCTTTTGTGCTAAGCTGCGGCAGAAGGCAGCCTTTGCCATAGATAAATTCGCACCAGATCGCTCCTTGCTATTGGTGCGTCAGCAGCACAGCGGTGTCTCGACTGAAAGATTGTCGAAGAACCGATAAAAGGACATTTCTCCGCTCAGAGGCCCCCACTCTCTGGCCGTTGAACCGTCGATCTGGGTGGAGGTAACTCTCATCCGCATCTTTCATCCGCACTTTCTCAAGTAATCATCGCCATGACGCCGACACCACCCTCCACTACCTCTTCGAGCGCTGGCGGTCATTCTCCAGACGCCCAATATCGGGTTGTGCGGAAGAGAAACCGGGTGCCTCTGTCATGTGGGCCCTGCCGACACAGGAAGTCAGTAATCCGCCTCCTGATATACCTCTTGAGGCAAACACTCCCTCCACAGGTCCGGTCATACTGACAAAGCGCAGGTTGAAATGTAACCGGTCCCACCCATGCGAGAATTGCATCCGGAGAGGCGATGCCTCCTCCTGCTCGTATGCTGCGCCGGGGACACGAAAGAAGAACCAAAGTCAAGGAGCAACCAGCCCTGATGATATGCAAAACCGTATTGACCGTTTAGAAGGCCTAGTTTTGTCGCTGATGACGAATGGAGCCCAATCTGCTGGGCCTGCGGCAGCAGCCGCTGCGATTTCTCGTTCGCAGAGTGACAGTGCTGGCTCCTCCTCCTTCCCGCTCGACTTAGATCGGGAGGACGATGATATGATCAAGGAGGAGGAGGAAGGTGAAGACAGCGAAGTCGATGGAGTGACCAATTCTTTAGGTGTTCTTAAAGTGGATGCAGACAAACAGAAAACGCTCTATTTTGGGGACTCGCATTGGCATTTGGTTCTAGCAGATGTAAGCATCTCTATCTACTTGTCGTTGATTTGTCGTTATCTCGGAGCTCCGTCGCCGTCAGGAGAACAGCGCTTTAAGGGAGCTCACTAGCTCTCTTGACCAGCTTCAAGGGGAGGTCAGGTGCAAGAGAAGCGTGGCCATTACGTTGCTAAGAAAGCCATTTGTCTACGAGGCGGCTATTGCTTCAGTCCGCTTGGTTTCTCGTCTTCTTAACTACAGGACGATTTGGTTGAAGCGAAGTGTGCTCTTACTGACCATCTCCTTCAGATCGCCGAAGTCAAGAACTACTTTTCCAATCACAAAAAGGAACTCGAAAAGAATTACGAAAAAATCAAGCAGTTTCAACCAAGTACCGCGAGAGATGGGCCAGCATTTCTTTTCAGCGCGCATACGGCGGCCTCCGACACAGATCTTCGAGCAGAAGTGCCTTCCAAATCAGCTGTCGATAAGCTTGTCACACGATACTTCAACTCTTATGATCCTGCCGTTCATATCCTTCATTCTCCTACCTTCCATAAACAGCTCCAAGCCCATTGGCAAGATCCGAGCAAAACATCAATAGTTTGGCTCGGTTTGCTGTATTCGTTGCTCTGTCTTGCTATGCAGTCGTATCATAAAATTGGGGATGAACCGTTGGAATGGAAGGGTAAGCAGTCCTCTGAGACGGATCACGCCAATCTTACATCTAACGAACAACAGGTCGAACACTTGATTTGGCCGCGGAATATCGATTACGGACTGTCCAGTGTCTTGTCAATTCTGACTACACGAAGTCTGACATTTACACGATTGAAACGATGATTCTCTACGTCCATGGCGAGTACAACAGTCGATGGGACGCCGAGGTCGGAATCTGGGTTATAGTCGGCATGATTGTGCGACTAGCGATGCGGATGGGTTACCATCGAGATCCTAGCAAATTTCCTGGAGTCACTCCCTATCAAGGCGAGATGAGACGACGAATTTGGTCTTTTGTTCGTCAGATGGATGTCATGTTCTCGTTTCAATTGGCTTTGCCAAGCATGATCAGAACCACCGATTGTGATACTTCTCTGCCAAGAAATATCTTTGAGGATGAATTTGGCCCAGATTCAAAAATACTGCCCCCCCCGAGATCTTCGACAGAGCCGACACCGGTATCTTACATGATAGCGAAGGCTCAAATATGTTTTGAATTCGGCGAGATACTGGAGGAACTCAACGCCGTCAACAAAAGCGTCTCCTACGAGGATATCCTGAAGCGGGACAACCGTTTACGAGATCTCAAGATGAATATGGCTCCACATTTACGACTCCGTCCCATCGAGGAATGTACTCACGATCCCGCTACTCTCCTCATGCAAAGATTTGGGCTTGACATCCTTTGGCAGAAGACGATGTGCGTTCTTCACCGCAAATACCTTGCTCGTGCTCGGCAGAATCCGCGGTACGCTCATTCGCGTCGAGCGTGTGTGGATTCGTCGATGGAGATTCTCCGCCATCAGGCACAGCTCCACCGGGAATCTCAACCTGGTGGCCGTATGCGAACTATGAAGTGGTTCATTTCGTCGCTCACTAAGCATGACTTCCTCCTTGGGGCCATGATTGTGTGTTTGGAGCTTCATTACGATGCCGTCACCGAGGCATTGCCTGATCGCCCTCCCAATCATGACATGTACTTTTGGACCCCAAGTCAAAAGGCCGAGATGCTGAAAGCCCTCGAGACATCGCAGCAGATTTGGAAAGAGTCGTCAGATACGTCTATGGAAGCTTACAAAGCGGCTGGGATTCTCGGCATCATACTTGAGAAGCTGAACTGTACTAAAAACAAAGAGCCGACCACCACAGAGGTCTTTGCCCAGTTCGATGATGACAGCTTGAAACCCGAGCACTCGGCAGCGATGACTCTGGGTATGCTTTCAGGAGGACTGTCGCCGAACTCGGCTGCCATGTTTAACAGCATGGCACAGTCCCCTGGGGGCACCAGATATGGCAACATGGACTTAAGCATGGGAGATTCTTCTGCTAGCATAGGATTGACGCCCAACTTTCCCATGGACAATTCAAATCCTTTCGGCACTCTGAACAGTGTGGCATCGCCGTTTTCTGTTTTTGGTAACGCCGGGACTGGTACGGGGATGCTGGACGTGCCCGCGAACTTGGACTGGGTAAGAATCGAGCCTCCCTGACACAAAAACCGAATGCTAACTCTTTCCTAGGAGGCATGGGACTCGTATATTCAGAACGGCAACACGATCGACCCCTCCTTCCAATTCTACCCTACGGCAATGGATCAGACACAACTGAACCCAGAAGGACAACCAGATGCAGCAGGCTTCGGTAACAGCGTATTCATGGGTGCTAACACACCAGGACGGTGATGACGTGGATGTTCTTCGGCGAATCTATATTGCGTCTTGGGATGGAGGGCTTTTGGGTGGACCGGAAAATTTTGGATGATTTGGATGGGAGAAAAGTAGGGTTGCGAATATACCATGGAGTACAATCTCAAAAAGGACATCTCTACACATCAACAGGCAAATCACTTGCTAGATTCTCTGCTTCCTTGAACTATGACCTGATTTTCTGGCTTCTCTCTATACCCCGCCCTTCCCCGCGCCTTGAGCTTGACAGCATGCAACGGAGGCTCTTCGGCGACGGAGAGCACATCCTAACTGGTCACAAGACCCCCAGATTTGGTAATTGTCAGTCATGGCTATGGCTACGTAGGTACTGTATGTATTATTCAGCACTTGTCCGCGATCTCCAGACTCACTGCACGCAATCAAGTGCCAGTAGCTCCTAAGCTCCGTAAATTCGGGCCTTCTCAACATGGACTTCCCTCCGGGGTCGTCATGGTCTCCGCATAACGCATCTTCTCCGCAATGCGGGGTCAAAACGTGGAGTTGATGCTGGCTTCGACCTTACTCCGCGCCTTATAAGGGTGCCGGGCAAAGGAAGGACCGAATCTTGACTCCGCACGGGAGCTGGAAAGAGTGTGAAGAACACTTCCCGCTTTACTTGCATAAATTAGTCTTGACTGTGGTCGTGATAAGCATGTCCCATCTGCAAGGAAAAGGGATCATCATTGCTCGCTCGCCTGGAAAGGATCTCAAACGGAAGCGAGGCGAGGCGGAGCCGGCCCGCTTCCTTGGTACCCCTGAATCTGAATCTCCCTTCTCCTTCGCCACGCTGCTCCCAGTGATCGACAGTGATTCAGCTCGACTCCTGCTACTAAGGAACACACTTGTGCGATGCTAACGTCATCTCGTCCAATCACTTGACTGGCCGTCGTGATGCCCAAATGACTTGTGCAATGAAGGGTCGCCTGTGGATCGTGATGTCGCCAGTCTTTTAGGGTCGGACGCGACTCAATTTGGACGACGTCTTTTGAATGCGGCGGCCTTATTTTTGAACGACAGTCTGACCGACTTGATTTCTTTCTCTTGGCCTCCTTTTATTCCCATGATATTTATATATGAGATATCAGCATAGCGTTGAGGTTCTGAGTTCAGCCAGGCCGCAGCCGCCACCTTGTAGCTCTATTTCAACCCTCAACCTTGACTTGACTTCACACATCTATCTGCGTTTCCCTTAAGAAGGCTCTGTTATTCATCCAAGCTTAAAAAATTATGAAGTTCTCTGATGCTGCCCTTGTGGCCTTGGTCTCGCTCGCCGGGAGCGTCTCTGCTCTCTCACCAGCCGGGTGGCGCTCTCAGTCCATCTACCAAGTCCTCACCGATCGTTTCGCTCGAACTGATGGCTCAACAACTGCAACATGCAACACAGGGGATCAGATTTACTGTGGAGGATCTTGGCAAGGCATCATCAATAAATTGGATTACGTGCGTACATTCCCCTTCCACCGATTCCCCGAAAGATGCTGACAGTTCCCCTTGTCAGATCCAAAATATGGGGTTCACAGCAGTAAGTTCACAATCCCCCGGAAAATTTGAATGCGTGCTTACGAGTCTAGATTTGGATATCCCCTATCGTGGAGAATTTATCCGGCAACAGCGGAGATGGAGAAGCCTACCACGGATACTGGGCTCAAAACATCAACGCCGTCAACAGTAACTTCGGCTCAGAATCCGATTTAATCGCTCTCTCTACAGCTCTCCATGCCAGGGGGATGTATCTGATGGTAGACATCGTCACAAATCATATGGGTTACCTGGGCTGCGGGACATGCGTTGACTACAGCGTTTTTACGCCTTTCAACTTGGTAGGCACATCGCCTCCAAATGATTGCTATGTGCTAATAAGAGAAAGCAATCTTACTATCATCCTTTCTGTCTCATTGATTACAACAATGCTACCAGTATCAAAGTCTGTTGGGAAGGAGACAATACCGTCTCTCTCCCTGATCTGAGGACCGAGGATTCAAATGTACTGAACACGTTCGAGACTTGGATCTCGGGGCTGGCCTCTAAGTATAGCATTGATGGTTTGAGGGTTGATAGTGCCCAGCAAGTTGACAATGCGTTCTTTCCTCCGTTTCAGGCTGCTGGTGAGTACTCCTGATGCTTCTGACAAAGAGTGATAAACAGAGCTGACGAAACCAGCTGGAGGCATGCATATTTTGGGAGAGGTTTTCAACGGAGATCCCGCCTACACATGTCCATATCAGCAATACATGAGCGGTGTCCTGAATTATCCTGCGTAAGCTCATTCTTGGATCTAGGTGTTCAAGTGTTAACCAATATTCAGCTACTTCTGGATCATTCAGGCCTTTGAGTCCACCAGCGGGAGCATCAGCAATCTTGTCAATGGCATAAACACAATGAAATCAACCTGTTCAGATACGACGCTTCTTGGATCCTTCATGGAGAACCATGACAATGCCAGATTTCCATCACTCAATTCCGATCTGTCCTTAGCGAAGAATGCTATTGCTTTCACCATCCTTCAGGATGGCATACCTATCAGTAGGCACACCTAATCGTTGTACGGTTCTAAGAAAGAATGCTGATTTATTCAAAGTCTATTATGGGCAAGAGCAACATTATTCTGGTGGCGGTGTTCCATATGATCGCGAGGCCCTTTGGCTTTCCGGATACTCTACCAGCGCGCCTCTCTACACATTCATTGCTTCCGTAAACCAGATCAGAAATCAAGCCATTTACAAAGATAGCGGTTATCTCACCTACAAGGCCTACCCGATATATTCCGACAGCCACACCATCGCAATGAGGAAAGGAGACAGTGGTTACCAGATCATTGGGGTATTCTCTAATCTCGGCGCCAGCGGGAGTAGTTATACTCTCACCTTGACTTCTTCCGAGACGGGCTTCACAGCCAGCCAATCATTGGTCGAAGTTCTCAGCTGCACAGCATACACCACCGATTCCAGTGGAAACCTAGCTGTAGCTATGGCTGGTGGCCTGCCAAGGATTTTTTACCCAACAGCTCAACTTACAGGGAGCGGTGTTTGCAGCTCAATCACAGGTTAGCCTGTGGGTTCGTTCTTATTGTGAGAAATATGGTTCCAGCGGCAACTAATACTACTTGTCAGGATCCACAAGTTCGAAATCTACCACGACAGCGACCACGACAACGACAAGCTCAACTGCTTGCGCAACCGCTACCTCAGTCGCTGTCACATTCGATGAAAAAGTTACCACAACAGTCGGACAAACGATCAAAATAAGTGGGTCTATTGCAGCCCTTGGGAACTGGGACACCAGCGCCGCAGTCTCGCTCTCTGCTTCTCAATACACAAGTGCCAACCCCTTATGGTTTGTGACATTGAACTTGGCACCCGGCACAGCCATTCAGTACAAATATATCAACGTTAATTCCGCAGGGACTGTCACTTGGGAGGCAGATCCGAATCATACTTATACCGTGCCTGCAACCTGTGCGACGGCGGCGACGGTGAATAATACGTGGCAGTAATTTCTGGTATCAAATTGTATATACAACGTTTCTTAGGAGGATACTTTCCGGGGAATATTCAATTCATTGTACATAAAATTTCTGGAACAATCTTCGCTTTCACCATCACCTCCCGTCTGCGGCATGTGGCACGTGACACCCCTTTCCTTCCCAACCCGAAAACGAAACTCTCGCTTAGCTCCTTCCTTCCCAACAACACCGCTGCTCTGCATGTCTTCGCGGCCCGGCCTTCTCTCTTCTTTTCTCTTCTTCTCCTCTCCATCCCTCGGGATCAAGACCACGGTCTCTAAACTTCACAGTGTCTACGGACGTTAAAATGCACTCTAGACACATCGTCTTTAAACAGACCACGGTCTCTAAAATTCACTCAAGACGGATCGTCTAAAAACATCGGAGCAGAGCTTGGCATCTCTGCGAATGGCCTCGCTCATTTGCTGCTTTCAGACTTCTGTCTATAAACTTCTTCACACTGACTACGGTCTCTAAACTTCACTCAAGACTCGTCGTCTTTAAACACTATTGAGGAGTGCTTGGCGTCACTTTTCAACTATGGATGCCACTTGAACGTCGATTTCTGTTGCTAATTTTGATAGTTGTGTGGCAGAAAGCCTGTTGTCCCCGACTCTCATCGGAAGCAGTGCGACTCAGAATTACCAACTCATGGTTCACAAATGACTTGTGATGGTATATGACTTGTCTGACTGAAAATTTCTAGGCTTACCAATGTACCGAACAGCAGGGCAAGATTGGTACTGTACAACGGAAACCAAAAACCCCGAGAATGAACCTGCGGCTTCTGGAACAATGGCATTCATTGCGAAAAGTGTCATTGAACCCAGGGCCATTCATTTCTTCGAACCCACCGATGCGAAGCAGTTTCAGCATGGCAACACCTTCGGACTTCTCATATCGACCACCAGTACGACCTGCAGAAATCCTGTGACGGCAGTCCCGACGAAAGACAAGAGAGGGTTGAGACCCGGCATCCACCGCATCACTGCGAATGAAACGACTGGCAAGAAGAAGGCAAGGACGAACCAAGCTTTATGACGTCTCCCAAGATGGTTGGTGTGTGAGCCGAGGCTGCGAACAGTCAGGACATAGGTCATGATGGCAGAGAGCATTTGCGTCAAGGTGGACTGGAGCGCATTGAGATTGGCGGAAGTTGATGGCGAATTAGGGCTGTCGGGAAGCTTGGAGAAAGAGAGAGCCTGGATGATAGCACAAATAAAATAGGCGGAGAGGTTTATGATCCAGATTGTGAGGTCATCCTGCAAAAATTATCAACTTTACAAGGTACATGGTGTAGTGGGTGCATGACTTACGTTGAATTTAGCGAGGAAAGCTTGAAGGAGTGAGGGCCTTGAATCCGACTGTCCTAGCGGGTTGGGAACATCCCTCGATTCCGAGGTTGTGGTGGAAAGTAGATGGTTTCTCCTTCTCCGTACTGATGAAACATTAGCACCGTTTACACATTCCCACATGGCACGAAGCTTACAGTGAGATTGCTGAGTGGTAGGTGTAGTTTGCTTTATTTTCCATTCTTTGTAATCGTCACGCGCTCGGATGGGGTCAAAATATTCAACTTTCCACCTCTTGAGTACCTTTATTCGAGTGTATATGCCATCAACAAGCTCTTTGGGAAGGCGCTTGTCAGGGGCATTGTGAGCAAGGAGAACCTTTTGGCTGACGCTCAGGGCCTCCCGAGCAAGGATCTCAATTTCGCTTGTATGCTTGTCCCACAACGAGAATTCAGGGCTGAGGATCACTTGACGTTGAACGTAGTCCATATAATCTGTCCAATTAGTAACGCCATAGACAGTCGTCAGTCGCCGAGTACCAGAGCCTTGATAACGATCATGGTCGTAGTCGTACTTGATAAGATACACGAATGCTTCGGCAGCAGATGAACAGGCCACTGTTGACTTCGGCGTTATCCTGTCTATCTCGATATACGCGGACACCAAGTTTTGAAGCATGCCCATGTCTGTGGCAAAGCAGTCAGACTGACTAAGTGGAACAGACGTAACGCAAAAATCATAACTCACGCTCTTGAAGAAATTCAATTGTATCTGTGAAGTGCGGATTGAAAACGACGCGGCCAAATAGACCAATAGGACCTGTGATTATCCACCTCCTGCCATCGTCAACACTGAAACTGTCATCAAACTCGACCGCGAGTTTGACGCCTTCACATGCCATCATATCAGAACCTTAAAACATGTTTGAATAGCCTAGAAGTAGTGAGCAAAGCAAAAACAAATGAGAGATTTTGGCAGGGCTGTGGATGTGAGGCTCATCCTTTGGCGGCTGCCTGGGAAACTGGCCTGCTTTGCACTCTGAGTGGTCCGCTTCCATGCCGCCGCGGGGCTTCTTCATACACTTCGGGATCATTCCGCATGATCAAGCTTTACACTCAGGGAACTTTATTGGGCAACACCAATTCGTATTGCTATATTTTATGAGTACAAAGTCTTGCAAGGCTAAAACCTCTGGTGCAAGAATGGACGAAAAAGGGCCATTGCTGTATTCCTCCCACCATCATAGTCATCCGGATTCATCCTATCCAGCATTGACCCCGTGTAATACCGTAGCTGTCTGCAAAGGCTCGGCTTAAACGCCAAGACAAACTCTCGTATTTTTGGGCTCAAACGCCTTGCCATGACTACAAAGAAGGAAAAATTGAAATGAAAGATATTGTAAGAGCCATCCTAGAAGCACAGGTGTTCGCTGCAATAGCGGTTATGAGAGCATTCCAGCATCTCAAAGGCTCTGGCAAATCCAGGTGTTGTGCTTGTCCAACTGAATGACGAAACCGCCGGAAAATCCAGTAATTTGTCATAAGCAAAAGGAAATTCAGGATAGGCTCTTAGTATTGTATTTATGGCTTGTAAAGCAGAATGCCAATTCAGACGAGTTGCCTTCACAAACCGGTGCGTTGGCGTTCACTATCGAGAATGCGGTTCGCAATGCTAACCATCATGGACAGTCGCTTGAGATTGGGATCATGGGCGGCGATTTGGCTGATGCGCATGAAGAGGTGTTCGATGCGTTGGATGTAGATGCCCATGATCTTTGGGATGAGTTCTCTGACCTGTTGCTCCTACTCTGCAGTTAGATTATTGGCCCTTAGATAGTGGAATTGATTCTTACCAAAGTGCCCGCAATGTAATGACCATGGAAGGAGTTCACGATGACGTCCATCCATGCAATACGTTGGTGAATGAACGGGTCTTCAAATTCGAGACTAACAGTAGCACCGAGCGAAAGCAGGAGAAGAGGGCTCAATTCGCGAATGAATTCAGGGTTGTACTGGCAAAAGTACTTCTTGAAGAACTCCTGTTCTCGTTGAGTTTGAAGCCATTGGATGACAGCATTTTCGTATTCGCCTTCGGCCATGGCCTTACTGATGCTGTTAAGCATAGAGTCATATTCCTCTTCCTCGGGCGATTTCTCAACTGGGGCCGCGAGAGCAGTCGATGATGGCCTGGAAATGGAGTTGCGCTGACCTTCTGACTGACGAGCCGCCGCCTGTTTTCGGTCGATGACAGCTTGCTGTTGCATCCTCAAGAACTGTCCTTGGAAGTCGCTTTGCGCAGAGGCCATCGATGAAACAGTCTCGGTTAAGCTTGTGACAAGTTGTGTCAATTTATCGATCTTTACCGTGTCAGCTTGGCGCTGTTGTTCAATATTTTCGATTTGCGCAGTAGCCTGACGATGGATATCACCGGCAACTCTCTGCGAAGTTTGAACTGCAAGACTAGTAAATGCTGGAGTAACCACGTTTTGGAGGATGACGGCGAACTGCTCTTCGACTCGGAACGCAACACTCTTAGCAAGAGATTCTGACATCAATTTCAAGAGCTGAGGCTGCTGCAAAGCCTTTCCAATGGCATCCGGAAGAACCTTTTGAAGCTCCATAGGCATATTTTGAATCAAGTGAGAATTCAGCTTCGGGCCAAATTGCTCATCAACGAGATCGGAGAGAGCTGGCAGTACAGACTTTTGAATACTACCAATGACGATTCGACCGAGAGTCACTTCGATGTTATCAGACAGGGTGCTAGAGACAAGGCGTAGCATTGCATCCGACTTTGCTTCTGCTACAGCAGCTTGAGTACGCCTATCATCCTTGATATTTTGATAGAGCGAGTCCATAGACTGTCCAAAGATTGACTTGACCTCAGCAGCGACACGAGTCTCAATGCTCTTGATAGCTGCATCGCTAATGTCTTGCGAGCGAACGACAGTGTTGGATTCAGGAATGGGGGCCATACCAGCATTGGCCTTTCCGAGGCTTCCATTCCTGCTGTTGGAGGAAGGGTCGAGGACAACCATCTTGGACGATTGGGAAGGCTGGGGAGCACCCGATGGCCCGGCAGTGGAGTTCTCGGAGGTTGCCTTTCTCCTCTTCTTCTTCTCCGACTTCTCAGGGCCGCTAGCAGAGGCCAATCCACCGTTGGATGGAGACACTTCTTTCTTTTCGGCCTTGTCGTCACTCTTCGGAACAACGCTTGATGGGTCATTCAGTGCAGCCTTTCTAGGCGTCTCCTTCGCTACTGACTCCTTAGCAGCTGGACGCGGGACGATACGAGTGGGAATCGAAGGCTGAGCTGTAGCCTCAGTGACCTCAGGTGCTGGAGTAGCAGGGATTTCCTTGAGAGTATCGATCGAAATCACTCCAACCTTCTCCGCAAAAACGGGATTGATGACCTTATTATCGGAATTCCATCCAAGATCAGCTTGCCTGATGTTGAGACATGTGACACCTTTCGAATGCATCGCATATAGCTCGAACAGTGTTGAAGAATCAGCGCTAGCAGAGGCCGAGTTTGGACTTTGCAGGATGTCAAGGCTTCTGAGGACGCCCTTGTTGGCAAAGGAGTACTCGCGCATGCCGCTGATAACTGCAGTAGATTCGGGCTTCGGAGCTGAAGGATCACCGGCAACAAGCTTTTCAATGTATTCGGCTTGCGTGAAGTTCTTTGGAAGGTTATATTTCGGGGCGGACAAATGAAGGAAGTAGATCGAATTGCGGGTTGGATGTCCAACGATGATTATCGATGAAGAAGCATGGTATACGACACTGCAGACAGCGTCCGACTCCTTGCTATGGGGGAGATGAATTTCTTGGACAGGTTTTCTGAGAGCAAGGTCCCATAACTGCAATGTATGGTTTTGCTTCATCCCAACAATCAAGTATCTCAATGCGCCACCTCGTTGATAGGGTCGGAGCTTGTCGACGAACAAGACTGATGTAGGCCATGATTTCTCAGTCGCTGGAGTAGTTGTGAAAGTGATCAACGGCTCCTTGATCTCAATGCTGTGAGCGTGAGTTGGATTGCCCATGATATCAGTCTTGGTAAGGCTGCGAACATCCCAGAATTTGACTCGTCCGGCCTTGTCGAGAGATACAATGGTCGTATCATCTTCACTGAAGGTGAAGTCTTTGCCCGCCTTGCCGGTGTTGACCTTGAGAGAATGCTTGGTGAGATATTTCTCGACGTCAACGATACGGTCTTTGCCATTTTTCAGGAAAGACTGCTTCAAGATGACGGAAGGCCAAATTACATGGATGAACTTCCCTCGACCCACAGCAAAGAAATCAGGATGATTGGAGCTCTTTCGCGCACGGGTCTTCAAAACACCACCCGGTGATTCGCTGTCCAGAGCTTGAATAGGAGGAAGTGCAAACCCATACTGTTCTGGGTTGCTCTCTTCGATGTGATCTCCTTCGCCATCCTTGATCAAGGCCCAGTAGACTGTTCCACTGATGCCAGTGCCAATAATAGCCTCCTTGAGATCAGCTGATGAAGATGACATGACGACGCTGAAGATACGATCGTGCGTCTCGGTGAAAAGTCTCGCATCTTTGCCGTCATCCTGTCTGATAATGCGTACTCCACCATTCTTAGACATGCCGTACACAATGAAATTATTGGATGCAGTGACGAGAGTTCGATCAATCTGGTCAAAGTCCTTCTTGAGGCGGGCGATATCCATAACTGCCTCATCGCGGAGTAATGGACGAGTCTCTTCAGTTTCCTTGATGGTGAAGGAAGTCCACGGTCGCATTGGAAAATTGTAGACCTTGATGACACTGTCTTCTTCATCTTTGATGGGACTTTCTTCGGCATCAGCGCTCTCCCAGCTATCAGCGACATGACCATGAGCTGTATCATCGACGATGTCCTTCACTGCCTCAGCCACAGGAGATGGAAGGCTGTCGAGCGCACCAAGGTTCTCTTCCTTTTCAAGCTCTTTCTTGATAGCAATCGCAGCAGCTTGAGCAGCCTCTTCGAATTCTTCCTCGGTCTTGGCTTCAAGCATGTCCTGCAAGTCCTTTTCAATTTCTACTTGATTTTCGTCGTTTTCGGCGCGAGCAATTGCATCTCGGACTTCTCTATCGACTTGGCTTCCAACCTCATTCAGAGCATCCTGAACGGTTTCCTTGTGGTCAGGTGCGCCTATGCCCATCAAGGCCTCGACTGGAGTGCGTCCGTCTGGGAGAGGAATTGACGGAGAGGGAGATGCTTGAGAGGGTTCAAGCTTCCGCTTTGTATGAGCTGGGCTCGACACCGTACTCCTCTCATCCGTCTTCCGCTTGTGCTCCGTAGACTCGTGGCGAGGATGCTTTAGAATTTGTATAGCGGGGCTACTGGAAGGACCTGGTGTCGCGTTCTTGGGGGTGCGGTTGCGCGGGGATGAAGCAGCAAGCTGCTCGAACGGGTTGACATATGTGAAAAGACCTTGCGTAATTTTCGGAGCAGAGTCTCGGACATTCTCCTTTGCAAAGGCAGGAATGGATTCTGTTGTAGTCTGGCCCATTATGTTCATATCTAAAGAAGCATCCTCCAAAGCTTGGGTGATGTCTCCAACGTCATCCTGCGAGCTGGCCTTGCTTGGAGGTGTAAAAACTTTTGTTGACTTGAGTTGTGGAGTGCTATCGGATTGTGCAGGTTTTGGCTGATTCAAAAGCTGGAGGAGGTAGGCTTGAGTATCGGCAGGGGTGGAGGTATTCGCAGAGCCAAAGCTAGGCTGAGCTGGTTGTGCAGGTGAGGAAAAGTTCGGAGTAGCCTGCTGGCCTGCCTTGGATTGGCTCGATCCTATGAGCGAGGCCAATAGGTCGGATCCGCCACGTCCTTGAGCAGGGCTGCTGCTTTGACCAACTGTATCAGCGGTAGTATAATGTGAAGAGGGTTCTCGGGAAGGAGGTAAAGGTGTGCCGATTGGTACTGTATTCGCTGCGGTGTTGGCGGCAGAGGGCTGGCTGAACTTTAGGAGATTTAGAAGGCTGGAAGTTCGGTCGGCATTGGAGGTACCACCTGTTGCAGCAGGCAGACGCGGCTGAGGGGTACCCACTGGGCTCATGATGGTTGAGCTATGGTGAGGTTGTTGACCCGTTGTTGGAGGTGTAGGAATTGGTGACGACACCGCAGGTTGGTGGTAATGAGGCTGCTGGGATTGAGGTTGACCAAAGTAGCCGCCGTTATTATAGTAGCTAAAGCTGGGCTCCAGATTGACAGTTTTGTTCTGCTGCTGTCGAAGCTGAGCCAATAAAGAATCCAAACCATTACCATCACCAGAGCCAGCAGGATATCCAGACATGGTGCAAAGTGAGCGCACCCGAGGCGCAAATGGAAGCTGTAGATCGCTCAAAATGGACGGTTCGTGAAGTAACTTTTTGGATGATAAAGAAGGAGAAAATGGACGCAATTGCGACAGATCTTGTTGCAGAAGCAAACAATGCTGTCGGGAAGTGGTGTTTGAGGGATTGAGTGTATGGGAGGTGGTAGAAGGTGGGTGGGGGAGAGGAAGGTAGATCGAAGAGCGTGGGAAATATTCAAGATCAAGAGCTTGGATACTGGCAAATGCCAAGGCGCTAAACCCTATTGGGCCTTAGTCACGGAATCCACACGTGCAAGGGTCATCCAGCCGGGCTTCATGAATCTCGAAGCAAGGTCTCAAGAAAGTACTGTCTCACCAAATTCGCGTTGTCTAGAGATTTTGAGGCTGTACTGCATCGCAAGACGCTCGCTCTAACAGAGAATTTCTCCCCCGGCTCTCCTCGTTCTTGCTTTCTTCATTGTCCTGTCACCAGATAGCTTGAGTCTCTGCATCATTCACCTCCTTGCCGGATGATAGCATAATCTGGGACGACGACCTCAGTGTCCTGGAGATAGCAACAAGATGTTCTGCTTAAGAAGGTGCGCCAAGTCGTTCTCTGGGTGTCTTCTCAACTCTAGCTAATGCTCTCATAGTTGGCTTCCGCTCCTCTTCATTCCGACCAACGCCTCGCCCATCTTCATCTTTCTCTTCTTCGTCTGCACATACTTCCTAAATCGGCCATGCGTTTACTGTTCATTCCTGCTCCTCATCCTCTTCGCCTCTTCTTGCCACTGGTCAGATCACTGCTTCTTTGACTTCAGCAGCAATTGGTTTGAGCCAAGGCAACCCACCTCTTCGATATCCCATGAACTCGTCAACTCCTCCGCACTATCGAATCAAACCCTTGACCAGGTCTCTATGTATGCAGGTGCGCTGAATAATACTGCAGCTGCGTTGGCTGGTGCTGCGCTGGAAGAGGCAAAGCGACGGCTTGCAGTGCGCGCAGAGTGGACTGGTATCGGGGTGGAATGGCTACGGAGCCTTCTTGGCCGCAGGGAATGGAGACTGCCATGCGTGGATGTGTATATCAGGCTTTGAAAGTCCCGCTACGAGAACACGAATAAAACCGAATGATGGCGATGCATATCAGGCGTTATACAAAGGGATTGATCTGGAAGCACAAAGCTTGGCGCGGCGGCCTTTTCGGATACAATGCTTGCATTAGTGGCGCCTTGGAATTTGATTTCTTTCACAAGGAACTCGTCTCTTTTGAGGAGACCGTGAAGCTGTAGATTCAAAGCGGGTCTTCAGAATCACGATTACTCTTATTGAAACCGAACATCTTTCCAGAGTGTCTCGGCAAGCTGCAGTCCAAAGTTTTCAAAGTGGTTTCGAGGAAGGGAAATTTCCAGAACCAGCATGCAGGGAAGAAATTATGGATTCCATTACCAGGTCGATCCTAGATCAGCACGTTGACATTGCCGAAGCTACACTAAATCGATTTCTATAGTCACATGCCTAAATATTCACGTTTGCATTTTGTTCCACATACTTTTACAGTCATTTTACCTTTATCTTATTGATTGTGATGTCCTGTATCAAATTTACGGTGCTAGTTTACTAGCATGCTATATCATTGCTATTGGTGATGCGAAGTTAAATTCAACAGGCAAGTGAAGCTGACCCAGTTCTGTACTATGCCATAAATCTACAATCATGGTTCTACTTGCTCACATCTGAACTCTTTTCTGAAATGTGAACAGATTCCGGATGCCTGATGAATATTCAGCAACGCCACCGATGCAAAATTTCTCCGGCATACTTTATATTTGAACTCGATCATATAACGACCATCAGAATGGTCATATTCGACATGGTTGGCCAGTTCAAAGTTCCGTCCAAATGCTTTGCCACAGCTTCCATGTGTGCAAACGTATTTTCGTGGAGGTTGATGGGTCTTTTTTCAGCCGAGTTCAGCGACTCTGAGAATGAGGTGGAGGTAATCATAGAGCAAGCAACCGATTCAGATGTGTTGAGCTGGACTCCTACCATTAATGAATCAGTTGAGTTTGACCTGGACGGCTGGACTTTGATCCCAACCGAGCGGACAGGATGGCTGTGTGGGCTCTTTGCTCTGATACAAAGTATTAGGTACCAAATTAATTGGCTCAGAATCCCGAGTGTGAAAGAAATACAACTCATTGCAAGAAGTGGGAGAATTTGAGAATTCATTGGAAACTTAGAAGCTTTTGGGACCAGGGAATATTGGGAACCCAACTTCATCGTGGACCATTTGGATGCTATCTTACAAGAGTATGGCCGTCTCGAAGGGGTAAACCTGCAACTGGGAGTCCATCATGCAAATAAGGGCTGGAGACTGATCTTTAGTGGCGATGACAGACCTGAAGTGTATCAAATCTGGATTCGCCATGACAGCGCTAGCGTTGTCACTGAAGACGGAATCGCCGCGGCTCACTACTCGGGAATGAAGCCGCCAGAGGATTCGTAGAGCCTGCCATCTTTCAGATAAAGATACACTTAAATAAAAATCATCTCATTAACTAAGTAATAAATCCTACCTCAAGAGTCAAGAGACTAATTGCCGTAGTGAGTGGCCTGGTAGGGTGATTTCTAGAAACAAATTCTGCTCCTGTTATCAATAAAACGTCGATCTTTCAGCCTTTGTTAAATCTTGACAAAGGCAATGCAATACCTCGCTTGTTTACAAGAGAGCTGTACCCTTTTGGACAAAGTTCCCTTTTGCGTCGTTGACAATGCCATTGTTTGTGCACAAAGACCCGTCGAGCCACTTCAAGTGACCGAAACAGTCCAAATCCGTGTCATAAAATTCCCCCAATTCCGACGGTTCAAGGCTCACTCTACCAAGCATCTACCTCCTTGCAACTTTTACGCCTCAACTTACATTCAACCAAAACCCCATGATGTGTCCACAAGGCTCGATGAGTCAACCCGATGATTGTGCCAACCGATCCGACACGAACCTATTGACAATCAAAGCTTCTCACGCTTCTGAAAACAGGACCAGGCTGGATTTCCAGCAAGAGATCAACACAGTGAGAACGAGGACGAGTCCAGCCCCGTTCCACGATAGAATCGACCACTCTTTGACAGGAACATACTTCAACAGCCAACGAAACCACGCACACACGCATGCTAGGCGCCGAAGCCATCTTGGTGTTCCCTGCCCGGAGCACAATCGCATGTCCTCTTCCAGAAGGAAATATGGAAATAAATCTGGGAATGTTCACTTGAAGGACAAGCCGTTTAAATGCAAGAGGTGTGGTAAAGGGCTTATGACGAAACAAAACTTGCAGAATCATTTCAAGGCGATCCATTTCTTGGAGTTCTTGCAAGATACCAAGGCGAAAACTGCTGCCGCTAGTAAGCAAATGCCACTTCCCGCTGCACCTCCCACTACTAAGCTTGAACGTGCTGCCAAAGAGCGTACCCCTTGAGTTCGGGGTTCAATGGAGGCGAGCATGCAGGTCAAATTCCCTTACCATTTCTCAATCCCTAGGTATATTAGGAATAAAATCACGTAACCAACCCATAATTTCAATTTCCCATTATTTTCAAGTACTGTGGTAAGATTACAATGAGGCAGCGCATACGTAGGTAAGCAACATCGTTGGAAGCAATTTTGCGATTTTGAAAGTCGGACTCACACTCTGACAAAGACGAAACATGTACCAGTGAACTTTGACGGCTTCTACAACTCAGAATAGACAATGCAATGTTTTCCTCTTTGATAAATTTTGGAAATAAACAAAAAAACAGCAAGCACTTGCTGTGTATAAATCTTTCATCTTTCGGAAAGATTGGTCATTATCTCCCTACTGCTATTTGACACCAAACTTTCAGCATGGATCCAGATCCATCCCGTGGCAATCCATTAAGCTTGTTCGCTTTGAAGTATATGGGTCGCTCCTATGTGTACGCTCCGAAGTTAGCCAACACCGAAATAGAAAACATGAGTCAACCTGGTATGAATCCAAGAATCCCACTGCCAAGCTGCCCAATTCCCAAGTATCAAAGCCAAGCAGTGGCAAATGGACTTCATGGCGAGGGAACGGAAAGGAGATCGACAAGTGAGGTCTCAAGCAGAAATATCATGGATATATCTAGCATACTGAACCTAGTCGTTGACCGCGAGGTGGAAGTGAGCGTGGAAACTCACGCTGAGTATCACGACCCGGAGCGGAAGACCTGAAGGCAATCAGCTCTGTTGGGTGTGTATGTAACGTCTAAAGAGAGAAAAGAAGAGAGGAGCGGGGAGCTCGAGCTAAGTACAGGGTGCCACGCTAGGGCCAGGTCATGTGACGCTGACGTCACAACACTGAGCCAGAACCAAGACTCGAGGAAGTCTCGACGTTCTTCCAAGAAACTGGAGAGAAGCAATTCAAATGCCTCTGCTGCTCCGAGATCTTCACAGAGGGAAAGTACGTGAAAAAGCACATAGCCGATATCCATCGGGATCTAAGGCCCTTTCGATGCCCAGCAAGCGAGTGTCGCTGCAATACCAAGGGTGGATTAAACAACCATATCCGAGACATTGAAGGGTGCCGAGTTAGCATCATTCAGAAAATTGCGTGCATGACCTCCAACAGGAACTTCCTTCCAGATGCATCTGCTATAGGGTCGCCCCTGGTCCTTGGTTCAGGAGAGAACTCCCAACCAGCAGCGTCCGTGGAGCGGGAATCTAGCCCTAGTTCTAGGTGCCTCGCACTTGAAGAAGACAGCAACACTATCCTTTCTACAGAACACAAACCACTATCAATGGAAAGCTTGATTTTGATCGGAGAAATGATGGAGGAACTGGAGACAACAAACATACGTGCTCCTACTGCGCTCGCATCTTCTCACGAAGAGAGCACGTGAGAAGGCATATAAAGCAGATCCATCTCGGACTCCGGCCCTTTCCATGCCTAGAATGTGGCAAAACCTTTAAAGACAAATACCACTTGAAAACACACACAGGAAGCCGCGGATGCCAGCCTTCCAAGTCCCTCGGCTTAGGCGAAGGACCTCAGACTACGACTTTCGTCGAGCTAAGTAGTAGGCCTGAATCAGAGCTAATTGCAGGCCGGTCTTTACTTGTCCTAAGTAGAATTGCCCAGCCGACAGCCACTGCCGAACCTTCCTCGGAGGGACACGAAGATGAAGTCAATACAGACAACGAGCATGCAGATGAGGGGATATTGCTGGACTGGGACTAGGAGGTACATTCGATAGAAACCATTTAGCAAACAACACTCATTATTTCTAAAAATTTAAACTCGCGAAGACAACTCCTATTTAAAGTAAACAATGCATTCTCTTCAACATAATTTCCCAAGACTCTTCAGAACAGCGCACTAACAGTATTAAAAAACCCTTTCCATTCTCCTAGAAGTCAAACCCATTATCCTTCCTCAACCATTTCACCATAGGCACTACATACCAACAACCATTACCATTACCATGGGTAACTCAAGAACCACTTCCAGATCTACAAACACGGACTCTCCCCCAGCACCGCCGGCAACCATGGAAAAGTTCACAAAAACCCCCGATACCCCGGCCAATTCTTCGTCTTCCCCAAAAACAATGGAAAACTCTTTCAGCAACTACGACCGCCGCTACGTCTCCCAATACACCACCCCGGATATAGCCTCCTCTACGATGCTTAGCCGACTCCTCCCAACTCCCTCCACAAATTCCATAGGTAACTCAAGCTCTCCCTACCGCCTCATAGCCCCAAAACTCCACCCCTCCCCTCCTACACCCTCTCCAACCACCACCTCCAGCACCTACATCTGCACCCGCTGCAACCCTCCTTTGCGCCCCTTCTCCACAAAAGCCTCCCTGAAGCGGCACGTCGACATTGTCCACCTGGGCTTGCGCTTCAAATGCCCCGTGTGCAAGCAGCAATCGACGAGCCAGAAGGCTGTGGATGAACATATGAAAAGAAAGCATAGGCAGGAGTGGGATGCCGGACAGGCATTGCTGGCGATGGGTGGGGGAGTGTATTTTGCCGCGGATGAAGACGTGAAGGTTACGATTGAGTTTGCGGCTGGGATTTAGGTTGAGTATGAGGCTGAGGGAGAGATAAGATGTAGATGTTGAGGTGGAGGTGAAGATCAAGACGGAAGAGAGAGATGATAGGGATACGAAATCGGATATGGATATTTATGATGCGTGAAGAGGTAAGAGACAAGGACGAGTAGCATGAGTGAATTTTGCGGGAGATACTGCACTCTTGGGTCTTTAAGTGGGGCCATCTTGGCTAGGGAAATTCCTCTAGGAAGACGAAGGTAGCGAACTGAAATTTGTCGTTGGTTCCTTCGCCTTTGCATTTTAGGGTAGCAATCTGGGCATGAGAATGCATAATGATAAATATTAATCAACGAGTCGGTCTCGCCATGAATTCGAATTGCATGTCTTGTAACGTACGTTGAACCAGGACCTTTTGTCTTGCCTCAAATCTTTCTGGAAAAATAAATATGTAGTTAGCAGAAAATTTAGTTTCGCAGATTCGGTGTTAGAGGAAAGGGGATCACGTGATCGTCTCGTCAATCAAGGGTTTGAAAGTCAACGAGATGGGGATACATCTATTTCCATTAGCTATATTCATATATTTGAGGTAGAAAATTGAGTGACCCAAAGGGAAATGAAGAATGAACGGACCTTCATTGCACATTACACTCAATGTCCGAAGTCGGCCTGGAACTTTATAAAATGAAAGTTCTTACTCCTTGTCCAACTGTAGGGAAATTCGTTACGGCGAGGTTTTAAATTTTTTATTTGTTTGATACAGGACTTTAAGTCGCAGTCCCCCAAATCCATATCCAGAATCTTCTGAGATCCTTTGCCACTCCAAATCAAGATAAGCGTCGCATCGTGGGGGCCTTATATCAATGGAGACAGCATCAGAGGTCCTTCGGCCACGACTTGGCAATGGATAGCCACACGCAGAGGGCAACGCTGTACTCAGGTCTGAAGTCTTCCACTACACCACCGGGCTGGGCCAGCGAGGGTTTAGTGGGCGTGGTATCCGACAATCTTTGTGACGTGGTGACGCGAGAGTTGGGCTCGATGGGTGACGGGCATTTCCAAACAGGCTAGCCAGAATAGGGCTTACCTTAGTGAGCCCAGATCTCTTGGCGCTCCAGCTTCTGGATCTGGCTCTGGCTCTGCCCCTGAAAGAGGCTAAAGAGCTTCTTTGAAGCGACCCCTCCTCCCTCTACTCGACATATTTCAAACAAAAAGGGAACGTCACTTGACACAAGTTTACGATACTTCTCGTACGTGTTTGTGGTGGACGAAAGATGCCAGAAGGAAAAGGCTACGAGGTATGTAATGTATTGTGTCTAATTCTACTCCTCGAGGGCTCGGAGGCCGAGCACAGCTCCTCTGTACAACGATGTATGCTCTCCCGTATTACAAGACGACGCCCATCCAACCAATGCATGAACACCCAACACCGGAACTCCTTTAAATGCTGCTTTTTCGCTCCGTATGTATGTGGGTATCGTAAACACTCTTCTCTCTTCTATTTCACTTCGTGGTCGCGTTTTCGTCTTCACTATAAAACTCGGAACAAGTTCTTCAGTCCTGATTCAGGCTCTCCTTCTGGTTGCAGACTGCGTGGTACGTGCGGTTGTATCGTTCCTTGCACCGTCCCTTGCTTGACCCATTCTTTTTGCTCAGGAACCCATTGATGGCTATTTAATTGAATTAGCTTTAGTCTCGTTCGTAATGTGGGGCGTGGTGAGAAGAACATACCCCTCGTGCAAAGTCTTGGTCAACGCTCTCGTCGAATACTCTTGCGTTAAGATCTTATCAAAACTGTACGGCACCAATGCCTTCACGCCCTCGAACTCCGTCTCTCGCAGCGGATATAGATCTCTCGTCCGGTATCGGTGGAAATTCTTACAGGTCCATATCCCTGGCTGCGTGCTAGGGTTCACTTCGCTCAACCCTGTGATATCGATGAACAGGCCGGTTCGCACATCGATCCAGCGGGCGTCGATGACGTTCATTCCGTCGCCTCGCACGCGCTCGATATGGTTCGGGTTGATATCAAGCAGATACTCTCGATTCACTTCCGTCCCGTCAGGGTTGATGCTGGTATAGTTGTGCATCGTCATGTTAAGATTCTCGCCCAGCCATGTCAACGTCGAAGCAGAGACTTGAGTGTCGAGGTCCCAATCCCACGGCATGATCTTTCCATTCCACCACCAGCCTAATAACGTCCCATGCGCTATCCAGGTCTCGATGTTTCGTTCTCGGAAGACGGTGAGGTAGGAACGGATTAGGTGGTGCAGCGTGTCGCCTCGCTCTTCGTAGGAGACGGGGGATCCGGCATAGTATCGAATATCGTAGTGGCCCAGCTCATTGGTCCCGCCGGGTTCGTGGAAGTATTTTGTATCGACGGGTAGTTGGTAGTTTTTGTTCTGTCTTGGGCCTGCTTCGGAATTGGCAACTCTTTTCACATTCTCTGCGGACGGTCCAGAAGAGGGACCTGGTGCTGCAACGACAGAGGTGAGGAGAAAGGTGGTGGTGAAGAGGCGGTGGAGTCTCATGGCGATAGCCACGAGGCTGAGATCGTCCAATGTCTTCCTCACAGCTACCGACACATAGACGGAAGATGTGCGGCAATCGAACAGAAGTTGACTTTTGAGTTCGTCCGAAGTGATATCGAGTAGTGCAGAAGACTTCTTATACGGAGGGTGTTCGCTCCTAATACGGTAGATGGTCGCGTGCTGCTGTCAATCGAGGATGCCAAGCAATGAGCCAAGATGGAGGAAACCGAAGCGCTTGGCAGACAGAAGGCTGTCTGTTAGATATGCAATGGCAGTAACAGAGGATAATAGTAGGCTTGGGTATAGAAATGGCAGAAAGAATAGAGTGAATACGTTGAAAGAGTACCGTCACAGTAGCAGTAGCAGTAGTAGCGTGGCTAGATGACGGGGTGAAGGATACTGTACAGAGTGGCAGGGCACACGAGAGTTTTGTTCTCGCCAGATCGGACGACGACACACTGGGGGGGAAGAGCCCATGTCGGGACTGATTAGATGGCCACCACTGGTTGGCCATTCGACGCGCAAGCACCAGCAAGCACCAGCAAGCACCAGAAGCAGCCATTCAAAGTGGAAACGGGGAAGGGGGGCGCGAGAGCACACGAGAGCACTAGAGGCTACGGCTGCGTAGAGCACTAGAGCACGAGAGCGATTGATTGCGTCGGCGTCTGCTGGGAAGGGGGGAGTGAGTGACGGATCGCACGGCGTCGGGGGCTCAACAGGGTAGGGCAGGGGAGGCCGGCCGTGTGGCTAGGGTCCTAGGGATATTCACGGTGCCCCAATATGCCCCAGTGCCAACTTTATTTGGGGTCGTACAGGTACAACATCTTGCCTTCCACTGGAGCAGCGCAAGAGGGTTTGGGGCGTCTTGTGCGAGGAGCGCAGCGGGAAGAGCAGAGCAGGATTGTCTTGGCTGTGGCTGGTTCAGACCTCACACCTCACTGCCATTGGCGCATGCGACGTTCATCTGCCAAGTCCACATCCAACCTCATCCCACCCCACCACGGCCACGCCCACACCCACGGCCATACCCACGCCCACAAGACCTTCCTGAACGGATCTCGAAGGCCGCCGTCAATTTAAACTACCAATGCCAGCTTCAGCTTCTCGACTTCTCCTCCCGATACAACTCTCCTCCCGTTGCTTCCATCTTATCGCCGGGAGAGAGACACCGCAGACTGACAGCTCACATCTTTCTTTCTTTCGTCCCTCGCTCTGGGGCTGGATACAGGTCAGGGACTCAGGGCAGGTCAGGCTAGGCCAGGCCAGGCACGGGAGAGCGGCACTCGCCAGCCCTGGCTTGAGTTCGTAGATTACACTCCGAAGAGGCGTTGGCGGCTGTTGCAGTGTTACAGAACGCGTCCTCATGGAGAATAACGCAGGCCGGGCCCTCTGCACTTCCACGGTATGGGACACGCGGCCTGCAGCGGTGAGATGGGGAATATGCACCCAATACTCCGAAGAGCACATTGACAAATTTAGCCCAACCAAACCAGACAAAGCCAGGAACGCACCGCTTCCGGTATCCATCTCGGGCTTGAAGAATCGATCGCCCGTACCAACCTTGAATTTGTGCGGGGCCTTCGGTCCCGAGTCTTGGCTGACGACGCTGAGATTATTCGATGCGACGATATCCATTTGAGAACTCCATATTTACCACGGGAGAGACTTTGCCTTTTTCTGTGGAGGCAGACAAATAAAAGCCATCAAGTTTGAGCTTCAAGCCCTGATTTTTGGAGACGGCAGACATGTTTCTGTCGTCTCTCTATCGCGGGTTGATGTTGGTGCGCCAAGGCGATGGCGGAAAATAGGCTTTGTGCGAGCAAACTTGGATTTGCTATCCTGTGCTCGCCTGTCAAATAATGGAGCTGGCACCAGGCACTACGAGAGAATACGAAGATAAGAATCAAAGACCGACGACGACAAGAAATCTTCTTCATGATGGATGGTTCTGTGTATCGCGGTGGAAATGCCGATCTTCCTCCAACGGCAGCTGCAGCCACAGCCGTCTTCAAGTTTTACTGCTAGGTGACGATGCCACAGCTCACGCGACCAGAAATCGAAAAACGAGTGGTCACTGCAAACGAGACGTACGGAGTTTAGCATCTCCTCAAATAACTTACAATCATCAGCCAAGCATTTTCGACATAAAAAAACACCCCGACGTCCTGCAATAATCCTCCAGCCACCATGCTGACTTCCCGCCTTCTTATCACGCCCCATGGACGTTGCCCTAACTTCCACCCCACACTTTCCTCTGATACCCCCTATCGCAAAAACATGCTGTCATGCAGTTCTCCATGATCCATTATCATATCGTTCATGGTCTTGTCAGACTCTTACTTCTTCGTCCTGGGAAGATCAGAACGCACGGGCACAATTTCTCAAAATAGAGAGAAACACGTAAGTCAGGTTTCAAAAATAGATCTGTCATTTCGCTGGCTGATGACAGTGAAACAGTGGCTGAGAGTGAGGCTTGGATTTGTAACACGTGACTCAATAAAGGCTCTACCTTGAAAAATCATTTTACTTTCCGGGCCAATCCGAGAGGCGAGACTCGCCGCTCCCGAGACCTTTCGTGAGAGAATCTTTGGGGTTGAGTATATATCGTAGCCTAGGAAGGGTACTAGGAGGGAGTACTGCGACGATGCTAAGGGTCAATTTCTTATTTTGGGCCATCCACTAAAAATGCTGTGCCCTGAAATTTGAAGCTGGAGAATTCTTCAGGGCCTCATTATTGCGGTGCAGTTAAAACGCCCAGCGGGATCATGCCAGATTCCATCCTTCCTGGGAAAGAACCAAGGTCACGTGCACCCTTCGCTTAACTCAGGGGCTGGAAGGTTACCTTGACCCTTGCCTCGGGAAAAAGTAAAACGCCACCCCCAAAAGTGTAGATTGGGAGTATCGATTAGGGGCCAGACAGACCTGCTAACTCAAAGTAAAGGCACTCGGACAGGAACGCCGGGAATCTAGTTTTCACTTTAAATTTCATTTACTTTATTAAATTGTTACGTCATACGACGTAACTAACCGACACAACTACCCTGTAACTAGTTCTCGCCCAGAAGGGCTCTCAATCAATCAACCTCTACGCACATCAACGTTTTACCATGACAAATGGTAGCAATCATCTTGTTATCCATTTGATAACTCAACTAGGGGCCCTCGGCAGACTCGAGACCGTTTTCCGCCATCCAAACCCATCCGATCGATAGAAAGCGTAGTTACACCCTTAAATTTATTGATAATCCCCTGATTAACACCCCCAGGAGTGTCGTTTTACTTTTCCCCTTGCCTCCACGCTTTTGACTCTTCCAACATTCAACCAATCTCCCCACAATAGATGTCCCACCCCTACCGCTAAATCCAATCCCCAAAGAGGATGAAGTCCTCCATGTTTGCACTGAAAGATACCATGACGGCCCCTTTCCCAGCTACGAAGGGGTAGAAGTACCCGACGCGGCATGCACGACCAGAAATGGTGACAAACTCCTATCCACCGGGCACTGACTTCAGCCCCGCGAAAAAGCCAATCCCAACACCCATAAAAAGCCGGAGCCATTCTGCCAAACGTCGCTCTACTTTGGTCTCCTGTGTGAGTTTGCAGAGGTGATTAGCGATTCGGCTGGTGCCTCTCCTAGCGAGCTACCCCTGATGACTATCTCGACTTTGTTTACAACAATTGGGCCAGCACCACTGATGATTCTCGGAGTCTGGTTGTTAGCGTTGCTACAGTTTCTCTGGAGTTGGAGCTCTGGAAGTGGACACCTCACACAGAGACACAGATGCTGCGCTGTAACCACATGTTTCAACGCCTCCATCTCACAAATCTACGTTCGTACGTTCGAAATTTACACCTCCCGAATTCAGTAGGCTACCCTCGAGGATCTCCAGTGGATGCTCAATTAGGCTCCTCTAACTTTCGACCCGAGTCAAGTACTCAGTCGCAGCCTTAGCCGAGTATTTTCAACTTCATGCTCGAAACTAAAACCACTTCTAATGGCTGGACTGATCTAGTAACCTTCTATAGTCCTTTGCGTCAAAATATGCCACGCCGGAAGTTGAACAACAAATGAGAGACCATGGCTGGTGTCCAAGTTCCATCGAGGGTGTAAGTAATAGGCTCAACGGGCTACAGACACTTCACATGTTGAGCAAGATTGATAAGTCGGTTCCAATTGCGCGCTCATTTGCGAGCGACTTGCTTGAGATAATCAAGGGCAACGAGTTACCTTCCGGGGAATCCTCGCTGAAGTGAAGAGATCCGAAGATGATGAAGACAAAGCCATTGGGGTGGACTGAATCATGAATGTCCTGGTGTTGACACTTTACGTCCCCGAAAATATGTTGCAGGAAACATATGGGGTTGTTGCAGGGCGAGTTCGACAGGACGAGCTCACTGCCGAACGGCCCAGAATATAGGACAAAATATTGGAAAATGATCGATATATTGGAGATTGACAGTCTGCAGAATGACTAGATACAAGAGAGTGAAGTGTAGAAACAGAGGAAAAGTGTCCAAAGTAAGAGATTTATTCCCATTACCCTTCGGCAATACCGGTGATGCCGAGCCCGCTTTCTCCGATACATTATTAACTAGCTAATAAATCAAAGGTAATCAAAATGACGATATACTAGTAAGCTTGGTAAGCCCGGCGAGTGACGCATGACAAATGAGAGTGGAGAACCCTAAATTAGTGGTTGAACCTGGTGCTGGAAGGACTGGTAAGCTAGCTATGGTAGCGTACCAATTTCAACACAAAACAAGTGCGGAGTACAAAAGGTGTTTGGGCTGGCTGGAAGCTAAGATGCAGAAGGTGATGGAGGAGACTATGAAAGAGACACCGACGTTGAAGGAGTGCTTGCCGAGGTTTTATGGCGCGAATTATGCTGTTGATAGACTCTGGGTTAGGGTTGCGAATTAGTAGGAGATGAACAACAAGGCGGTGAAATTAGGAGGTGAGCAGGTGTGGTGTGTTAGTTAGGATACTAGAATGAGGACAATAGAGATCTCCCCGCACCCATCGTTTGCGTAATCCAAATCATCCCTTGCCTCTCGTAATCGTGAATAGCTGCAGCTCGAGGTTGGATGGAATGTCACGCGGAAGATTAGGGGGGTCCTTTGCCTCAGATCTCAGGCAAGAGTTCACTCAGCCGAGGCAAATCGTGGAGTCGCGATTTCGCATCGGATGAAAACTGGCGACGTGGTGTATCGTGTCAATTTTCTCAGTCTGCCCAGTTTCTCTGAACCATGACTTTCCTGCTCTTATGAGGGTTCATCTGACTTCCCCCCTGATCACTGGCTCCGGACTGCCGGGACTAGCGGACAGAATCCGAGATGGCAGCAACAACACATGAGGAAGCTATGAAAGCTGTGGAGGCCATATTTGAACGGTATGTTGAAGCTGTTTGAATATTTCGTGTTTTTTTGTTCTTCTGGCAGTCTGCTGTCATCTAGCTCTTCTCAATTGATCCAAACCCGCGAGCCTTCGGAGTTCAGGAGGCCCCTGTCCAAATGACTTCCTCGATCATAATATTCAATGCTCTGAGCTTCATCTGTCTTCTTCTTTCTTGTTTCCCCGGAGTCGATCTTATGCCCTTTCTATACTCTCATTCTTCGCCTCAATCGCAAAATCCTCACGTCTCCAACAACCCCACCTCGCCCCAGAATTCTTCAACAACCCGTGCTCACTATCACCTCGCAGCTACCTCCTCATCTCCACCTCCACAAAGTTCGCCGGATTCGACAAACACATCATGGAAACCGTGGAACTAATTGACGCCTCCCCAAAGGGTACCGTAACCTTCGAATTCCTGATTGACGAGCGGTACACGAATATCAACGGCGTTATGCATGGAGGTGCGGCTGGCGTGATATTTGACATGTGTACCACGACCGCGCTGGGGCCGCTTGCTAGACCTGGGTTTTGGGAGTATGCACCACCAATAAATTGGTGTTTGGATTCTGATTGGAGCTGATGAGGCGGTAGTTTTCTTGGCGGCGTAACAAGAACGTTAAACATAAGCTACTTGAAAGCTATTCCTATCGGTACTTCCTCCCTCCTCCCTCCCCTCATCCCCCTCCTACACCTCTCCCTTTCTCATTCCTCCAAAACCTGACTCTCAATTGAAGGAACGAAAGTGAGGATCCACAGCGAAGTCTGCCAAGTAGGCCGAACAATGGCCATGATCCGCGGCACGATGATGAGTCAAGACGGGCAAACTATCTTCTGTACGTGTGAGCATCATAAAGTTAGTGTGCCCACACGGGAGGCGCATTTGCAACATAGGGTGGCTTGGGATGATTTGTGGGATAAAGATGAGAATGTGGAGGGGCAGGCGAAGTTATAATATCAGGGTTACAAATAAAACTTGAGAGTTGGGTTAAGAATTGTTTATTTGTGGTTCCTCTGCTTCCCTGGTGTGGGTCTGTTATGTGAAGATCGTTATTAGATCCAATTGAGATCTGAGATAAGGGAAGGGTTGATATTTACTCTCCTTTTACATTTTATTACACATCGCTCTCGATGTCCGGCATCGGCTTGGAACATTGAGATTGTCAAGCCGAAATGCCTCTGAAATTCCCTCCAGCTTTTAACATTCTTCTTTGTTGCAGATCGCACCCAAAGTCCGAAGTCGGCCCCGGTTAACATATCGGATAAAACCTTCATCCGACCTCTTTCCTTTTGGTGGATCGTTTTGTCATGCTCTCTGACTGGCTTTGTCGCATATCATAATCACGTCTGGACCCCGCTCTCATCTCTTCTACTTCTTATCCGAAGTCTTGATGTTGAAATTAACCCACCTAAACACGTTTACGTCTTTGGATCTTTTATCCGCAAACTCCATCTCCGTCAAATAGACTTCAACAGTTTCTGCAATGAGGAATAAAGCATCACAAAGCTCCACTCAAAAGCCCCTCCTCACAGAAGGCAGGTCGCCCTCTCGTGCTGTTAAGATATTGCAACAAGATATTGTGTTGTTCCAGAAGTTTTGCAACATTGAGCGAGATGTGCAACAAAGATTATGAGGGGTTGAGTTATACATGAGTGAATTTCTACAGAGTTGGAAAAACGTCAAACACAACTCAGACATGATTTACGGGGCAACGAAACTTCATGAAAGCTATCTAAGTCCTTTGAACCCATTGCTGGCCAGTGAGTAAAGGAAAGCTAAGTGAAAGGACCCCATTCCCCCCCCATTTTTTCCCTCCTCTTCTTTTCTCTAGGTTTTTCTAGGTAAAATAATGGGCGAATTCAGCTTGCTATTGCATAAGGGGACCCAGTTCCTCCAAATCGTTTGCCCCCTTTTCAATGACTCTCAATCTCAAATATAATTCACATTCCCTACTCCCTAGCCCCTCCTGTCTTTATCTCTCATAACGTGTAACTAACTCCCATAACCCATAATAACACTCAAAACCCCTCATGCACAACCTCCCAAACCCACTCCCACAAGCTTCCCCCTTTAACCCAAGCCCCCAAAATCTCCCTATAAGCTCTCTCTCTTCCCTGCCGAGCCTCCTCATCCCCCTTCCCCATCCTGACATACTGGTTCCAAGTCGGCACCCTCCATCCCACTTTCCCTTCCCCAAATCCAGCTTCCCTCCTCGCCACCTTACACTTCTCACAATGCACTTTTCCCGAATAAACATCCCCATCAAATACAATGACCAACTCCTCCAATAACAAGAATTTAAATACCGCTGAACTGCGAAAATAGTACTTCAGCTCCTGGAGCCGAGAATCCCGGACTGCGAGACGTTTGATCCTGAGCACGTCACTAAGCGATACGTCGTTAATGAAGTGATAGGGTGAGACTTCAGCGTTGAAATATAAGATATCGATTGCAGGGTTGAAGTAGAGTTTTGTGTTCTCGGAAGTGAAGACGCACTCAAGCTTTCCTTGAAGTTGGAGGGAGAGAGCAGCAGATCAGACTTCGTGATTTATCGATAATAGAGCAGGTGGTCCGGAAGAGTTGCTGAAGCGGGGGAGGAAGCGGTTATGCGGGTTTTGGCATTGGATGATTGTTATAGTGCAGGGAGTGATGAGGAAGGTTGTCCAGATTTGGAGGCGGAGTTCGGTGGGAAGGAGGGGAAAAAGATGGAATTTTGCTGGTGCTGGAGTAGGAGAGACCGTGGTTAGTTGTTGGCGCTGGACGAGCGCAGGTGGGCGTTGAACTGGTTTCAGGGAGACGCGGGCGAGGGTTAAGCGGCGGTTGGAGTTCATGCTGAGAAAGTTGGAAGCGTTGTAAAGTGTCCAGTTTTGAGGCTGTACAATCGGGGCTCATGCAAAGCAGAGACGTCACGTTCGAAGGTTGAAGTTGTGTTCTAGGTTACTCATGGAATGGCTATGCTGAACTGCTATATGGGCGGTGAGAATCGGGGTGCCTAGCCGCACGTGACTGACTTTGTCAATAGCTGCTAAATGTGAGACAATGCTGATGTTGGCGAAATAGGCAGCTAACTCACATATTTAGCAGAGATATACTGGATCCCACTTCGTGACACATTTTTCGACATCCCCCAGGGCCGCCAAATAAGGAGCCCCATCTGCAATCGATTGAATAATAATAATTGCACACATCAGTATCACTTGGTGAATTCGATCTTGATTGTGAAAGTGTGACACTCGCAAAACCGGATACTCACCCTCACCCTCAAACCACTTGTAGAATTCTTTAAGAGTGTCACCCACCCGCCAGGCAAAATCCATATTTGACATTGCAGCAACGCAAATCTCTTGACTGGTCGGTACTCGATCTGCAGGTAATGGGTGGATATGGCCAACACAATGGCCAGCGGCCTCAGACCAGATTGCAGTAGGAACGCTGAGGACCTCGAAAGGGATGTAAATGTTGTCCACCTTGTCCGCCCAAAAATGGGGGTTATAGATCTTTTGACGCGAATTGACGCGAATTTCGGCCACTGCTTGAAATGACCTCTGTCGAGGCCGTCGGAGCTCGGCAGCCCGATTTCTCAATTTCGAATCTACCATTAGCTCAAATCGCTTCATGAGACGAGCGTCCTTGCGCGCAGGCGGATCATCGGTCCATTCCTGTGGAATGGCTTTGACTTTGGCATCATCGAGAAGTTGGGAAATAAATGTTGTCCATTCGGAGAACGTATCTTCCGACGCCATTCCAATGGAAACTTCACGAGAAAAGAAGAGGGTTTCTAGCCGAATTCGATACCCAAAGGGTCGGCCATTGTAGTCATGATGGCCGTTCAATGAAGTACTTGCCAACATAGCATAAACGAACCAGTAAGGTAGCCCCACCACTGGGAGAGTGATACCACCCACGAGCTTCTTTTCGAGGAATCCTTTGCGACTGATTCGTACATTCTCGATGATCTCTTCTTCTACTTTCTCCGGTTTAGCTTCGTCCGTTTTATCCTTCGTCAACTCAGCGGTCTCGTTGGTTGCATCGGAATCTAACGGTCTCAATTTTTCGCTGCCATTGACCTCTTTGCTTTCTGCTGGTACTGTCGTCTTGGGGATTGCTGGTACTCGGATCCAATCGGGATCAAGATCCCTTTCTGTCCTCGGAGTTTTGCCTGGTTTGTTCTGAAATCGAAGTAGCAGTGTCCCCGGGTGTTCGCTCGTCGGCTTCGCAACAACAAGAATAGGCTTCTCCAAATTATCCTCTCCAATCTCCCTCATAAGACAGGTTCCAGGCCGAACATTCAAACCCTTCTGAGAAAGTTCCCAGAAGCTTTCGGGATTCGTTTGGAGTCCAAGATCGCCAAGATAACGTATCAAATCGGCGAAGTCTATTGACGCTTCAGGTAATTTGATCTGGTCTGAGAAATGAACCTGAATCATCTTCTCGTCTATCCTTCTTCGTTGCCAGTTGAAATTTTGCCAGGAAGCGCCATGTCGTGAGCCACCCGTATTCTTGTGACTCCAATACTCTGAATGGCCCCGTGAGGGTAATGCCAGTTGGTATGTTGGGATATTCACATCAACAATTCCGGCAAGTAGGCGAGAATTTACCGAGGCTTCAATGTCATAGGTTTTGAGGGTTCGGCGCAGGCGGAAGCTCATGATCATGGTTTTGAGGTAAGTGTAGAAGATGGGAGCCACGCCTGGAACCTATTTGTTAGCTTGGCAAACCTCAGAAGGAAGCATGAATTCGTCATTCTAACGTACCTATAATAGCCAAAGGGACGCCCACGTAGGTGATGATATCCGTTGCCGACACCATGGTGCGCCAGCCCAGCAAGCTCCAGCTGTATCGCGACTTGCGAAGGACACCTCAACACGACGATAATAGTTGTTCAGTTCTTACAACGAACAAAGCAAGATTACAAAAACAAAGGAAGCCTACAAGGCAGCGGCATATATGAAGGAATGCGGTTTGATGCTGCGGTTTGATTCAGCCCATCTTCGCTTGAAACTGTGGCTGAGCTTTGTGGCAGATTTGCAGGCAAATAGATGGGAGTGCAACACTGATTGGTGCTAGAATGCCGGCCACAGGAGTGGCACTGGAAGACCGTCACCTTAGATAAAGCTCCAGTAGAAACTAGCCCGTAATTGTGAGATGACAGTTTGTTTGAAGGAGGCGAGGAATGTGTGGAGGAAAGGGAGCTGCGCATTGGTCTGCCGAGACTGCCCTACTCTACAGGCACAAGCTTCCTTCCGATATGTAGGCCATAGCGAGCTAGTCGACAAAACTCGGAAGCGAGTTCTGATTTTCTGATTTTTTTTTGAATCGCTCTCAGGTAGGGTGGCGGGGTCGAAAAATTAAAGCTCTTTGAATAATAGTATAGAAGTGTAAATATAAAGAAATTAAAAGCTAGATATAGTTAGCTAATAAGCTAAGTAAAATTGTGCATAAGATATACTTCTATTCTACTTTACTTAAATAACACGTGATAATTTATTCACGTGACCTTTATTAAACTAATCTTTTTAAGAAAAAAAAGTTAATATATTTTAGGTCCTTAATTAATATAAATGATATCTTACTTAATGAAAACAGAAAGTGAGAAAAGAAAGAGAATATAATATATGAGACAGCTTGTATCGAAGACAATCGAGATCGCTCATATCCGTCATTTCAAATCGGATTGTCCTACTCCACCGCTGCTCCTTACCTGTCTTGAATCCTTCAAAGTCGCTTCGAAATCATACACTCCCACTTGTTTTTCTATCGGTCCATTTCCTCAAACGTATTTCAATCACACGCTCGATACCTTATATCTTGACTGGGAATCATGTTCTCATGACTATGAAAGCGAGATAAGGTTTTTACTTCGTAGTTTTGCATGCCCCGATGAATTCGCCAAAATTGAGCCTTTGGCTCTTCAAGATCAGATTCCCGGCGAGCTGCCCACAGCTACGAACTCATCCTATGCGACATCCTTGCAAAGTTCGGGAACGTACAGAAATTGACGATGGTCCATAAAGATTATAAGACCGAACGAGTCCGGGAAGGACTGTGTGAAGAAGGATTGTTAGCACCTTTCGCCTCTCTTGAACCTGTGGACGTGTGTAGACGTTCCTTCATGTTTGAGCGCCTGGAATATCACATCAATCACGAATCGGAGCCTGTGCCGAAGAAGGAAATTATTTGCAGGATGATTGCATTGAATCAGATTTTGACGAGGCGAGAGACTCTGAAATTAATTGAGGTGGTGAAATTTCCCAGGCCAGTCATTGAACACAAAGTTATGATGACGCCTCCGATGAGGGCCAAGTTTGAAGCTCTTCGGCAAGCATATGAGGATGTGGCCAGCTGCCGATGCTATGAGAGCGAGACTGTCTGATTGACGTTGTTTATTTCATCTTTGTACAATTGATGTCTTTTCAAATTTCTTGGCCAAGTCTCCTATGTCGAGTCTCTCGAGAGTTTGTGAATGCGTACAGTACAGGTGATTGTGAAGGTTCCTTGACCTTGATGGTGAAGACACAGCCTTGTCACATAATCTTCCGACACCCGTGCGCTTGCTAGTTTTGGTATGGCCTCTACACTAGCTAAGGACGCTGGGACTCTATCAATTAAATGGTTTACTTTGCCATGGTTAGGGATGCACGATTTATAATAATTACAATTATATAATAATCAAGTCGCCAATATTATAATGCATAAAATACTGCATAAAAGAGCGTACAAATCGTGCATAATTCGGCACGTGGAAAAGGGTAAATTAGTGGATTTGATTGTTGGGGAGGAGCACGAAACCGCGCTAGTCAAATGGAGGCTTCTGATTGGCTATGTCTCATATGCAAGATAATATCACCATAATCAAGTCGGAGTGATTATTTTACGATATTACGTATTCAAGTCCTAAATTATATAATTTTAGCATCCCTAGCCATGGTAGATGTCTCCTTTCAAGATATCTGCAAATCAGAAGTGTCGATTCTCTTAAAAAGCACAAATCATCCTCGCTAATGCAGTGATAATATTGGTGGCGTGAGGCTGAAATGGAAAGGGATGTCACTAGGCGCGAAGACTTACAACGCCACACAATCGAAAATGGACTGGTGGTAATTGAATCTGCCAATTGAAAGATGTGACGAGAGAAAAATGGCAGGTCGAGACCCATGAGGCTCCTAGCAAAAGCATGCTGTGGATTGGCTGGGGGGACAAACTGAACCTCGACCTCATTCTCAGCTTAGGTTCCTTCAATTCAACTCTCTTCTCTCTTTGATATACCTACTCTGTGCTCCGCAAGGAGAAGGGGCCCACGAAGCTCGAGGCCAGACGTCGAAGTTCACGCGCTGGATACAGCATCGACTTCGAAGCTCCAACCATGGCGCCCAGCAACGACAAGCTCAACAAGGCTATAGGGACCCGGAATTGCTGCGTAGCTGGACTCTGTGCAGCATGGCTCACAGGATTCGCAGCAGTTGGAGGAGGATTCTACTGCATTTATTTGGACAGTGCCGACACTGGCCGCAAATCCCACTTCATTATTCCCCACGCTGCTAAGGAAGTCTTTCCCCTCGGCATGAACATCCTCGTCACGTTCCTGAACGAAAGCATGGGGTATATTCACAGCACAACTCTCAGGTGGTCTCTCCAATACGACAACCGACTAACATTCAATTCAAACCTCCGTCTCCTGTCCTCCTCGGCGAGATTCAGATCGAACAAGTGGTATGCGAACATGGCCTTTCTGTTCTCCATTGTACTATCCTATGCCACAACCTCCTTGATCTTCCTCGGTTGGAACCCTGCTCTCAGCGAGACCTTCGAAACGATTTCAGATTCGATACCCCCGGGTCAAATACGAGTGTCTGGAGTCGCTTTGATATTCTTCGGCATTGGTCTGCTTGGCCAGGCTGGGCTCGCGAGTTGGGCTCTTAATACAACGCAAGTCCCTACCTGGTCATCGAATCCGCTGGATACTGTACTTGCTTGCACAGACGAGACGAATCCGAATCAGCTTATTAGGAGGGTAGATAGGTGTATGAAATCTGTTCATCAGATCAAGGAAGATTCACACCCATGCAAGCCAAAGCCAAAGCAAGGGCCAGCATGCACAGCTCACCCTGAAGTGAAGTGGGTGCTCACACTGTTATGGCTTCTTGTACCACTTGGTGGGCTCTGGGGAGGAACAGTCTACACAATGATATTACGAGGAAACGATCATGGAGTGTTGGGAAATAGCTGGACTTTCATTCCTACATTTACTGGTACAATATCCAATGACTGCTCTGGGGCAGCTCGTTGCACAGAGGGGACAAGTGTTCTTAATGTGGGTTGGACAGCAAAAAGCGGCATGATAGGAAACATTGGCTCCATATTCCTGATTGCATTCTTTCAATCGGTGGTCACGCTGGCTCTGCATTGTGCAGAACTCCTAGTCAACTTATCCCGCGATGAAGGTATTTTCCGTATGGCTATCACACCGAAAGGCACCGATCCCCGCTACAACTCCATCCTCGCTGCCTTCTCTAGCGGGCAAACCATCACTCTCTTCGTCTTCAAAGCGGCCGTGCACTGGCTCTTTGGTCTCAGCATCAACAACGATTTCATATTGGGAGTCAATATGTACCCACCCCAAATCTTCTACTTTACAGCTTTTGCCCTCATGGTCGCTATCTTCGCTACATATGTCAGCCTTCGCCGGCCCCTTGGACCGTTACCAGCGACGTTCGGACATCTGCAGACCATGGCGGATTTGATAGATGATTGGGAGGATCGGATGTTTTGGGGCCATAAGCAAGATGGGTACGCTGGTCTTCCGAATTCTGCTGGGACATCGGCTAGGAGGCTGGAGATGCCGAGGATGAATGCGTTCTACGGAGGCGTAAAGAACACAAGGCCCAGTTTGAGTGGAAGCTTTGTGAGTGGCATGAGTGAGGAGCATCTTGCGGCGAGTTATGATATGCAATATAATGGGGGGATGTATAGCAGCTATGGGTACGAGTACTGATGTGTAATTGTGGGTATATTGGGAATGGCGTTTCTGCATATAAATCACGGCGTTATGAAGAAAAGGAAATTGGAAGCTGGCTAGGAAGTAGCCATGCCCGAGCATGATACGTTCATGTTCTGCCACAGCAACTATTCGATTTTTCGAATGTTCACAAGAATTCAAGATAATGAATAGAAAGGTTTTGGTAAGGCTATAAATGAGGTGGACGAGAAAACAGAAATGTATATATTATAATGCTATACATTCGGTGGAAGAATAATAGGGGCGTCGGCTAGTCTCCTTGCTGGAGCGACTCCTGTACCCATGCTATCCGCGACAGGCGTCGCCAGACCTCCGTGAGACTTCGATCAAAGTTCTACAGCTTGACCCCCGTTTCGTCTCCGGGAGTGAGATTCGGGTGTTACGAGCCTGCGGACCAAAGTCTGTGTTTTTAGGGCATTTCGCTAAGAAACGAACCCGATAACTATTTTGGATGCTTTTCTTTTACATTCAAAATTAGTTATTAAGGCTTTCTAAATTCATTCTAGCTTCCTTTATCGTATGCTCTTGAATTATGCAAAGTTTCAATCTATAGCTGTTAAGAAATTGTGTAGTGAATGGGGCGACTTTAGTTTTGCAATACCTGAAAATATCGCTAAAATCACGGACTTTGGTCCGTAGGCTCGTTACGGGGCTAGCTCCCAATGACAGCGGCCACCTAACTAGAGCGGTAGAGAGCTGGTTCCACTCATGGAATGTTCCACAAAGCCGGCTATTCCGTTCTGAGTCTCTCATGGATTGACAAGGCCTTGAAATTTCAGCAACTCGCCGTTCTCGTCATATGATGGCGGCTCATCCGAGTCGCCTCTCGTGATACCGTTCCCAGTTGTCGTTCTCGACGCAGGAGTTTGCAAATTTTTGCAAGACGTCTAGCGCTGGAAGCGAAATATTGCTCGAGCCCATTGTGGACGAAATGAGTTTTAAATAGGTTCCGAATTTGCTAGGCAGCCCCCAACTTTGTCATTGTCAGTGATATGAAGAATACTCGAAGCATCACATCCCTTCACAGACCAGAGCTTGGGAGAACGAGGAGAACCTTGACTGTCTTGAAAATGAAGCACAGAATGAGAAGCAACGACAGTCTAGAGAGTTGATATCAAAAAGTACAACAGAACGCGAACTCGGGTAGGACTTTCATTTTGGGTCTAAGTCTACCGTTCGTCACTGGTGAGACCCTCGGTGCTCTAGTACCAGGCCTCATCGACGGTAGTCTTTAGCCATATTTGGCCAAGCCAACGTTTGGTACATAGGTCACCAATTTTCAGGTGAGACGCGTCGCATCGTCTAGTCCAACCGGCTACATAAAGTAGACTGGATCCTGTCAGCATCCTGTCGGCCCTTACACTCACTGAAACCAGGCCTCTGAGGCAATATTGTGGAGCTTCCTATCCTCGCCCTCACTTGCCTGTGCTCCCTCTCCGAGCAATTTCGTCCATTTTCTCATGTGATCTGTTCGGCGCGGCAGCTGGTAGTCCAACAATCGGCATACCCGTTGACATTCTCCTGATAGCATTCATATCTATCGGACTTCCTTCGTTCCTGTTTCTCAATATCCCACCACTAACGCCAGTAGCAACAGATGTTGGTATGTGTCTGCCAGTTCTTCTCTCTAAAGCTTGCCTGTAGGGATTGATCGTCTCTTGTGCATGTCTGTCGTAGGCTTCCATCTCTGAGGCAGCTCTGTCAACAACTTCCTGTAAATCTCTGCTGAGACCCTCCCACACCATCCTCGCTGTTCTGGGCTTTGGGTCCGCTTCAGTACCACCCATGAGAGCATCTCCGTCGGCTGGTGCGGGAGTGGCGATTCCGTTGCTGTGATGGGGCTTGAAATCTCCGGGCTTGACTTCGAAGTCTTCACTTTTCGCGTCTTTCTTTGCAGGTATCTTCGTCCTCTGAAACATAGCATCAACCTCGGATCTGGCTCGTTGCCTCTCTTTGGGATCTCCAGAATCATCCTCGTAGTCGCCCTCCAACTCATCTAGCTCCTTCCTTGCATTTGCCTTCGAAGCTTCCACTCGTTGCTTTACCATAAACATCATGTTGCCACGGACCATTGCCTGCTCCTCGGGGAGATGTTGAAGGATCTTTTGCAGCTTCTGCGTCCGATCGAGAACAGGTGCATCGCCGGGAGAGAATCCTGTGAAAGGAAGAAAGATAGACGGCGCAAGTGAAAAAGGAGCCTGTTCGTTCACGTCAGGACTTCCTTCCAGAAACCGTGTGATAGAGCTGGCGATGGCCGCGCGAGTAAATGTCACGTGTGAAATAAATGAATAGGGGGAGATGAATTAAACTCACCTCGACTGCAGGCAGTGGGGACGGTGGATCCATGTTGCTGTGCGGCCGAGCCGTGTGGGGGACCTTGCGACGCCCAAGAAACGCTGTAAACGGCGAAGAAGAAGCTCCAAATCAGCCGACACCCGTCAATTTGCCACCGGACGTTGATGGGACAGTTGTGGTTCCTCGGTACTTACTGTCTCTGGGTTGCGAAAGTTTCGACGAACTGGAGGTTGCGGTGGGGTTAGAGGCGGGAGAGTTCCGTTCGCTTTCATTTTCTCCACTGCTTGTCAACTCCCAATCACAGGCCTCGACCTCGACCAGCTCCCGACAACGCCAACTTCGTGGAAGTCTGGCCGCTTGCCCTCGTTTTCCTCACGCTCTCCTGGGAACGACGATCGAATGCCATGATTCCGAATCTAACCCTTTCTACCCTGTCAGAGTGGAGCATGATGATGAAGCCCGGAGCAAGGGAGCCTAGGCAGTGCCCGGCAGGAGAAGATCCGGCATCACGGTAAGAGACCTTGGTGCAACCACCCCGCATCTTAGCTTCTGAAGGGCTTTTTGGTTTGTGAGGAGAAGTTCATGGAGGGAGGAGAAGAAGGGTATATATAGGGGGGTGAAGTAGCCGTCAAGGTTGCAGTTCTGCTGATTCCAGATACCTTATCCATAACGCCACTTCACATACATAATACCATTTGCCCAAATCACTCAATATGCCTGAAGGAGGGTGCTTTTGCAACAAGGTGCGTGTGTTCTGCATGGCAATGGCGATGGAGTCCAATGACAGAGGAGATGAGCGAGGAAGTAAACAAGAATGCTAATTCTATTCTTCACTAGATTCGTCTCAACTTTACAGGAGAGGCAAACGGCAAAGTACTATGCCACTGCCTCGACTGCCGGAAGATCAGCGGTGCAACTTTCAGCAACAATCTTATCATCCCTGAAAACAATTTCAAGCTTGAGTCCGGTACATAGGCCACCCGTTTAAGCCTCTCCATAACCTCTAACCCGTGACTAGGCAAGCCGAAAGAGATTTCGAAGACTGCGGATTCCGGCAAGAGGATCACTTCTCACTTCTGTCCTGACTGCGGTACTACGCTTTACCGGACCGGCGAGTCCTTCCCAGGGGCTGTTATCATCAAGGCTGGCGTTCTTGATGATCCCAGCTTCCCAGACAACAATGTGCCAGCGGGAGAGCTGTTCATTGGCCACAGAGTCAAGTGGAACTCTGAAATAAATGGAGCTCAGCAACTTTCGGGCATGCCGTCGTGAGGCTGAGGATTGTATATAGTCGTGGTGGCAGGCATAACCTCATGAGTTCGTAGCCGGTATCTCCTTCCTCCTGCGTGACCTGGCCATGACCCATGCCTCCTTATGAATATGATATCTTAAGTCGTTTCGTTTCATCTGGCCGGTAGTATCCTCCTCACGTACTCCCTCCCAATCTTCAAACCTTCTCTTACAAGGTCTTCAACCCTCCGGTCCTTTCTCTTCCTCAGCCATATTAACACAATACCCAGCACAACCGCATCGACCAAAAAGTGCCTAACAATAGCCCATATCAGCCACCCAAGCCACTTTCCAAAAGATCTCCTCCTTTTCCCCTGATATTCCCTCCCGGTAGCAATCTTCTCCCTCAAGGCTGCGATTTCAGTAGTCATCTTCACCAACGCTTGTTCGACCGTCCGTCTCCACTTCTGAACTTGCTTCTCTCCTTTCTTCTTCCCATCATTAAACTCGGCACTATCGTCGTATTCGTCGTTATAACCCAATCTTCTGGATTCCGCTTCGGCCTCATCGTCCTGGCTCATCGGACTAAGTACCCGCATCGGCCCGTCGCCTCCTGATAACGGTTGCTGAAATGTCCTTGGTTGTGTTGTGTACGAAGGAACGCCTCCCCCTCGACGAGGTGAAGATCCGGAAGAGGAAGCACTGTTGTTCTTGATCTGGTCCCAGACGAATTCGAGTTCGTCGACCAAGGCTCTGGCATCGCTGCTCCTTGCATCAGTTCCATTCCCACCTGTAGGTCATGTGAAGAATGTTGGGCTTACGCAGTCGTACTTGCATACTTATGCATCGTCTCGATCAATGCCTCAATATACCTCCTCTTCGCTTCCGTCTTACTGAGCCCCCTCTGCGAATCCCACGCATCATACTTATCCCTATCCTTCTTTACATCCTCCTCCTCCGCCTCCCCCTCACCGATACTCAGCGGCCTCTCCATAACCCCATCGACATCCCCCTCCATAGCTTGCTTGTATAGCCCATAGAGCCGCAGACGATCGAAGGGCGGAGGTCTCGATGCGCCAGTCTTGGGGATTTTCTTCACGGTGTTGAGCGCGTGCACGAATACTCGATCTATATCCATACAGTCCAATCAGTATTTTTCCAACACAAGAACAGATTTCCACGCGCCAGGGAAGGAAAGGGAGGGAAAGGCGTGCTTACCCACTGAATCGGCCATCTTATCTGACAGATTTCTGTTCACGCTATCCTATTCAGGGCTGCTCGTGTTCCGAGTCCACCAAGCCTTCTCTCTCTATAATCGTAACATGTGTGCCAAAATCAAAAAGGAATGTACAACGTATCCAAAATAAAAGAATCTTGGTGAACAAATGTTTTTGTGTCGGGCAGAGGTCGAAATTACCCTATCATGCGCATCATTACTCGTTGCCGTCGCGTGTGAGATCGATGCCTCGGCCTTCAGAATTGCAGGGGTCGGTGGGTGGATCTCACAGCTCCGTTAGCAGAGGGGAACCCGCTGATTCTGGCGAGAGCCCCGGATTTAATTTCTACCGGGTGTTGAGGTTTGAAAAGGAGTTGTGTCAACTTGAATCTTTGCAACTGATGGAGACAAGTCACATTTGGAGGCGGACTTCTGTGGCTTGAGAGTATATGCTGCTTGAATCGCCGATGACAAAGCAATTGCAAACTCATCTTTTTCAGCTTCAACGTTCAGAGCACGAAGGTTTCTCAGAAAATGTTACAAGGAAGTCTGCTAAGATAGGCGACCAGTCCGATATTCCTATTCCAATTCAGACTTTATTACATTCCAAGTAGGATTGCAAGTCTATCGAAAACCCTTCACTAACTCCTCGCAAACACCCCAGAGTCGTTCTCCGGTCCCTCTCTCCATCAGTCCCTCGAATATATCTTTGCTACCACCGCCCCATCTCCCAAATGGTTCGACGTAACCTCCATTCTTGCCATTCTTTATGCCAAGCATATTCGCATCTCCCTCTTCGATTTCCCGAATACCAGCCCAGAGAACTGTGAGTGCACCAAACCTCGCCTCTTTTCGCAGTATCCCGAAAAGGAGGTTAAGCCACCCTGGGGCATTTTTCTGCAATCCCTACGAGCAAATTAGCGTTTCTGTTTGGTAGAAAGACATGTTGTTCTGGGAGCTGAGAGCTCTTTTGTACGTCTGACACCCCTAGGCGCGAGGCTCTTACAAGAGAGAGAGAGAGACTAGCGGGGGGGGGGGGGGGTGATTAGAGGGGAGAAAGCCCTACAGTCTTCAACGCTCCAGGATGGAGACTCAAACTCACTATCCCAGACCCTTTCCCCTTGTATCTTCTCGCGAATTCATAGGCAAACATGCAGTTCATTGCTTTGGATTGGCCGTACCGTTCCGCTTCTTTCCTTAATCCTGTTTTCGTTGTGTGGGCGAGATTGATATCAGACCAGGCGACTCCGTCAGGAGACGGTGCAGCCTGGTGCCCAGAGGAAGAGAGGAAGATTATGCGGACTGAGTTGGGTGGTGTGGTGGGCAGAGAGGCGGTGTGAAGGACGAGTGGGTTGAGGAAGAGTTGGAGGAGGAAAGGGGCTAGGGCGTTGATTCCCAACTGTTGATACCAGCCCTGTGTGGTGGTCTCGTCTGGATTGTCGGGGAGCATTACACCTGCATTGTGGATTATTGCATCAAGTCTGTTGACCTTGCTCATGAATTCTTTAGCTGCCTGCTGAAGCGTGCTGAGATCGGAAAAATCCATGACCACAAAATCAATTCTTCCTTGCCCGGGAGGAACGATTTGAGATAGATGCGGGGACGAGGCTTTTATTGAAGTGATTGCGGACCCGGCCGACGAAGAAGAGCGTGAGGTTATGTAGACGGTGCCGTTAAGGTGGTAAAGGGCTTTTGCTGTTTCGTAGCCGATTCCTGTGCTGCCGCCTGTGACTGAATGCCAACATCCTGGATTAATATGGCTTGAAATAGTCGAATTGGATACTCTCGGGTTGAACAACTCAGAGGATATAAGGAGGAGGAGGAAACAGTACTCTGACAAAGAGAACTTACCGAGGAAAACACGGCCCGCTTGGGAGGTCATGTCTTTTTCTGTCCAGGCCGGTGCAGGAGGAAATATTTCAGACCAGGAGGCAGCCATTTTGAAGAGGAAGAGGATAGGTGACATGATTGAGAGTAGATTGAGAGACGTGGTTTTGGAACTTGGGAAAGTAGATTTTTGAGATACTTATTCCTGATACTTATGATTTGGTAGAGTGCCTGCCTAACCCCGTCAGGGTAATCTATTGTCAGCAAGTAGCACTTTGATACTGCTGTGCATTCTCATTTTGGGGATGTTTCTAAACTCGGCCAAGGACTGAGGTCGAGGCAAAAGGGAGGGATCCACACTAGTCTTCTTTCCGATTAGCTTATAAGCAGGCTGCAGTAGCGTATTACAGGGGCGAGTATTCACGTTCAGCCCTGGTCGGCGTCAGCATCACATCATATATCAACCTCAAAGGTCGGCCGTCAGCATGTTGCATTCTCCTCCATATGCGCTTCGCCATAGTGGTACTCACAGATCTAAACATGAGCAGCGTGGCAGTGATAGCCCGCCAGACTGAGGCAGAGGTCGAGCACAAGTGGAACGAGATGGCAATCATACCATTCAATTCACCCATTATTGAAATCCTACCCATGTGCCAGAGGCTGGAGATTAAGGACGGGAAAGAAGATTGGACTGGCAAATCAAGCACTTCGGAAAGAAGAAAGCTACAGAATCGATTGAACCAAAGAGCATATCGTATGCATGACTGCGAGCATCTGCCTAGCCTATTGATAGGAACTAATACATACCAGGGCGAAGAAAGCTTGGGGAGAAATTTCAGAAAGAAACCCCACCCACAGACTGTGTAGCAATCATCCAACGAGCAACCGAGCTCCAACATGAGCGATATCTCGGTGTCCCTCTCCAGCGCCCCTCATCATCAGGCAGCCTCCACATGTGCATGAACCCGTTCAAACGACGGCATGTGGTCTCTGCTCCCAACTTCGAGTCGTTTATCAAAATGCCACTTCCATTGGACCAGAAACTTTTGACTTTACTGCATTTCAACCTCGTGCGCGCACTGACACAAAATGTATTCATCTTGAGTCTCAACCCAGATGATATGAACTCAGATCTAGAGTCTCCCTTTACCTTTACTGAATCAAGACTCGGGTTTGAGGCCTTGCCTGAAACGCTTCGGCCAACGGAGCTGCAAAAGACCATCCCCCACCACGCTGAACTTGATGTGTTTCCGTTCCCGAAGTGGAGGGATAATATGCTTCGACAAGGGTGGACGCACCCCAAGTATGACTACTGCATGGATATGCTGTATGGCGTAGAATCGAATGTGATTAGCAGGGATAGCGGGTTGAATGGGAGGACTGGCTTAATTGCGTGGGGGGAGCCGTGGCTGCAAGAGAATTGGGAGGTTGAGGAGGGGTTTGCGAGGAAATATAGGGATTTATTTGATGGTTGTGAGGAGTTGCTTGAGAGTACGAATCATTGGAGGGCAAGTAGAGGGGAGGGGCCGTTGGCTCTGGAGGTGGAAGAGGATCGTTAGTCGTGTTTCATATGACAGCGATGCATTGCGTTGAAATGCTCTCTCACCTACGAAGACTATTTATCCCTCACTTGCAGCGGCGGTAACACTACCTCACATTCCTTTCTAGAAGCAAAGCCGTGACTTTGCAAGGCTCTGTATTAGGACGCTTCGGTAGCTAGCTTCTCGGATCTCGACCGAGAATGGCAGCTTTGCGCGTGAAGCCGGTTTGCAGTACTTCGAAGGCGATGCCATATGTTTTTGAATGCTTCCGGATTCCAATTTCATCATCAATACAATCTGGGTATATTACAACCAAGCCCAAAAGCTATTGTGCGCGAACAATTGCGAAATATTTAGCAGGAGTTTTCACGAGCTTCCATGCTTTTCCATGGCAGCTCTCTCCAGCTCCATCTGCTCGTCAAAGACTCTCTTCTTGTCTATGTACATCTTCATTATCTTCTTGTTGGCCAATGCCATCTCCGCAGCCTTCATACCAGCATCTTTCTTGCCATTTGCCCTCCCAGATCCAAGCATCTTGTCTTTCTCTCCCCATCCGGTCAGGTACACTCCAATGGTAAACAGCGCCAGCTTGTTCTTGGGATCCTTCTTTTCGGGTGCCGCATCTTTGTAGATTATCTGGACTCCCTTTGAGCCTAAAAGCTTCGCAAGTTGCTCTTTGGGATTGAGAGGTGCGGGTTGCGATTTGTTGATGATCTGTTGGACCGGTTCGGCCTTCCCTCGTAACCTCCAAAGAGGACTATCCAATAGCAGGCCGTTCCGCTCCTCTTGTAGAATATCCTTCGCAAGAGTCATTCCCCAGATATCCTTCAGCCATTCCGAGACTCGTCTCACCCCGTCCGCTGGATCTGAAAGCACCACTGCCGCAACGTAGGACTCGAAAATATCGCCCATGACTTTCGTTCTCTCTTGGTCCTTGCCTGCAGTGTAAAGATGGTCTGGGAGTTTAGCGCGCTTATCGAAGCCGTATCGTCTTGAGTAATCAGCTAACGTGAGGTTTTTGACGAGTCTTTCCCGTAGCTGAGAGCACTTTCCGGGGGTGAAAGAAGGGAAGGTTTGTGAAATCAGAAGTGTGGATATGAGGTAGACATAGGCGTCGCCGACCCATTCGAGACGTTCGTAGCTTAGGTCCGTTGCCTTTCCACTTCCAACGCCAAGATGGACAAATGCCGATTGTTCAAGCGTTGGATCTAAGACTTCTGGGAGTGGCGGAAGAGTCAGAGGTATCTGTGATGACTTCCAAGGCGTGATTGAGAATGGCGACATCGTCTTAGGGAGATTCCAGAAGTCATCATGTGACTTCTTGGGCTGAGGTTGCGAAGCAGGCGGAGTATTGATAGCTGTGGTGTCTATCTTGGATTTGTGTTTCGAAAGAGAGCTTCGAACATCTAAACATCTTTGGATTGATTCATCGTCAACCAGACTCAAGATTTCGTCCATGCCATCTTCCTGCAAAGCATCGTCCAAAGCACCTAGGAGGTTGGCTAACTTTTGCGAGCTTGAAGACTTTGGTTTCGGATCAGAGAAATCCAAACTTGGCTTGAAGTTCTGTGAGAGTCTGTCGATAGAATTCGAGGAGCTGGACGTGTATGAATGTCGATTCTGAAAGAGGCGTGAGACGTGGAATCGTGGTGGAGAGTAAGGACTCACGTTGTGCTTTGTATGCTTCGCATCTCGTTCATCCGGGCTACCGCCATCTAGAGAGTGCTTCCTTTTGAGGTTGCTGAAGAGATTCTGCATTGTGACAGATATTTTGCAATAATACTGCTGGCTGTGTGAAATATTTGGAAAAAGTTCGTGGTGCATTGGAAATCTCGTGACTTTCCAGCCCCGTCGGAAAAATTGTCGGCCCGAGAAGTGGAGCTAAATTTCCAGAACGTCGACTTCACCTGAAGTTGTTGGACGAGAGGTGAGAAGACAATCGCAGCAACAATGCCTGTTCCGCGTGCACGGCTGTTGGATCTGATGAGAGTATGTTTACAGAAAGCAATTGAGGATTTATGGCAGCCGGACTAATGGAACAAGGTCCAATGCCGCATTTTCAATTCAACCTTCAATCCCGAAGGACTTCGATTGGGGAACAAGATTTTGCGACAACGACTGAAGGGGCCAGCCTTAGCATCATACTATCCGCGGAAAATGGGTACGATCCAAGACCTTCAACGAGTATATACGGACGAGCTCGACATCTTTGACGAGGAGGAAGAGGACCGTTTCGAGAAGATCAAGATGTAGGCCTTTATCTGGGATATAGAGGCAGGATACGTGCTAACGGCCATACAGTCTCAAGGCAAGAGGGAAAGGTGCACCAAAGAAGAAGCGGACAGCAGAAGGTATGGATGCAGTCGATTGTACACAGCAAGAGCTAATATCGTGTGATAGAATCGAAGAAGTTCAAGGGCAAGAAAAAGTAGATACCGGGGCTTGTACCAAAAGAATGAGATGTATGGACTATTGCATAATTGTAGAATACCGGCGTTTCGGGAAATGCTATGGGAGTGCAAAGAGCTTAAGGTGCCTGTCTGAAATGTTGAAAGTCATTCTCCAGATCACGGCAGAAGAATGCAACGCGTTCATGCACCTGAAAGCTTCTTGCTCCGTATCGACATATCGATATACTTGAGAAACGATTGCCAGCGGAAAGGGCAATGGTTTACTTCTCATGCTCCACATGGAAGTACTTGAGGAATAATATCGAGTAAAATCCGGAACGAACCCATCCTATTGCTTGTAACTTGAATTTGTTATCTTGCTTCCCCCCCCATTATTAAGTCGGGCTTTACTGGATTTCCCCCTCAGGTAGTCACAGAAAGCCTCGGGTGTCCTCTTTCTGATTTAATCCATAATGTCATTTGCGAATTTAATTCTGAGTATCAAGTGGAAAAACAAAAAGAGCTTCATTCACTAAGTAATTTCTTTGCACAAGCTCTCACTTGTGAAACTTTGTTAGCACCGGAACGGGACAAGATATTGCCGTAGCTCTTTCGCTTCGAGTGGACTAAATGTCAATCGAGCCTTTCCTTCCTTCTTCTTTCGATTTTTTCGATACCATCCGCGTCAGTGTCGCATCCTTTCTGTTTTGTCCTTACCTACAAGTCGAACACCTTCAAGCAATCGTCCCAATCGATTGGGTGGTTGTTCAACATCTACAGCCGAGATATTTAAAGGGATCTCGAACGATCTCCAAGCGCAGTTGTCTCCCACTGTCCCGCCGACCACACCTTCTCCCCCAAACGTTCAGCTTTTTAGAGTTCAACCGCTCGACGCGTAGCAACTCTACATCGCAACATCCTCAGAGAATAGTCCCCACCGGGTGCTCCTTCTCCATATAGGAACAGAGCTACGACTCGGATCTGACTTGTTGATCTTTACTTTCTTTCTACATCTCCATTTTCACCTACGTGTCGGAACCATCTGCCCGGATCTTTTCGTCACCTTCTTCGAGCAAAGCACGTGTCATTCCGTCCCGCTGACAATCACCTTCTCGAAGATACTCAAACGGGTCAATCAGGATGTCTGCCACCGCTTCGACCGGTTCTCCAACCATTCACCGATCAGTTGCTAGTCGGAACGTCTCCCAGGAGAACGCTGGATCCTCCGAGGAAATGGCGGCTCGTATTGTAAGCTTCAACCTTGAAAATTCCTTTGCATTCACTGCAGCAATTTCCTCTCTTTCCTTTCGGCTCCGGCGTCGCTTGATCAGGCTTGCTGCATTTCCCTTTCTTTCTTTCCACCCACGCTCCTCCACAAACCTCCTCCACTGCAGCTCCGCTCCGCAACGCGTCAAATTCGAAGATATATTGCACTATAAGCTCTCGTATACTGACATTATCATGAAGGACAACTCTGCGGCTTCCCTCAAGAAGTCGGCAACAGCTCTTGGCTCCAACAAGCTTGGCAACCAGGTCGCTCCAAAGGTCAGCGACGCGACACGCCCTCCAGAGTAGCTTCTTCGTCGAGCTTTTGCTAATCTGTATAGAAGATGAAGATCAATCACGACCCATCCTCCTCAAATGAAGTCAATCCGATGGATAAGCTCCTTGCCAAGCTCTCCGAGCAACAAGCCGTCATCAACAAGCAGCACGAAGCCCTTAAGTCCTCCGAAGACACGTCATACACTCGTACCGCCGACCATATTGCAACTGCCAGCAACTCTGCCCCAATCGCACCTGCTCCCGAGTCATTCAACAATAGCACGGCACCAACCACAAACCCTCCCAGCGTTACTGGCGATGACAGTTCTACACAAAGCGTTGACGAAGTTGCTCGATTGAAGGCCGAGCTTGAAGCTGCACGAGGCAGGATTGCTCGCATGGATCAGGAGCTTGCTCAGACACGTATCACCAAGCATACCCTTGATCAGGCTATCGGAAACTCCTCTGAGGCCGACTACCCTCTCAATCATCAAGTCGACGACCGTCTCAATCACCTCCCACCCACCCTCCGTCCTCAAGTTCAACGAGACAACTCTTGGGCTGGCCAAGATGATTCCCGCTCTGACACTAGTGATGCACTCTCCGCTAGCGGTTTCAATCGTGCTCGTGCCATCTGGGGCAACGCTGGCAAGCCAGCTTTCCCTGGAGCCCAAGGTGCCTTCCAGCCATCGGAGGCTCTCAATGCAGCTCAATGGATGAACCGCAGCTTTGGTCAGCCATTTGTCGATGGTCCCATGGCTTCCATGCCGCCGATGCCTTCCATGCCAGCCATGCCATCGATGCCATACACTGGTCCCCCAATGAACGCCTTCCGCAACAACGGTATGATGCAGGACCCTGAGCTCTTGATGGCTCCTCCAGCCACTCGTCGTGGTCCAGTCGGTGGTCGCTTCAATAACCGAAGCAGTGCTGGTTCCTTCCCGTACGCTAGCAGCAATAGCTCGTTCGATGGCTACACTCCGAGCACCACGCCTTTTGGCTCCGTTGCTGGTGTCAATCACATGGGTGGCCAAGTTGGTATGGGGATGAATACTAGCATGAACATGGGTGCAAATGCGTACGGTGGTTATCAACCTCAGCCAATTGGTACTCCCTTGTCTCCCCATGCACCCGAGTTTACCTCTTCAAGTGCTGCGTCATGGAAGAACGATGTAAGTGTCCTAGCCCTGTCATCGTCTCTTCCCGTATGCTTAATAACGGAAACACAGGCGGTTGCCACTGAGGGCCAAACCTACCTGCCAACCACTGAACCTCTCAACTACCGCCGCCTTCTTGATCGCACTGTCAATTGCAACTGGAAGTACATTGTCGACAAGATTGTTTGCAACAATGATCAGCAGGCATCTATCTTCCTTCAACAGAAGCTCAAGGTTGGCACCACAGAGCAAAAGTACGACATTGTTGAAGCCATCGTTGCTCAGGCATATCCGTTGATGGTAAATCGCTTCGGTAACTTCTTGGTTCAACGCTGCTTTGAGCATGGCACTCCTGAACAAGTCATCAAGATTGCTGAAGCCATCCGAGGCAACACCTTGAACCTTTCCATGGATGCATTTGGCTGTCACGTCGTCCAGAAGGCATTTGACTCTGTTCCAGAGGACTATAAGGCCATCATGGTTCATGAGCTACTTCGTCGTATCCCGGAGACTGTCATTCACCGCTATGCTTGCCACGTCTGGCAGAAGCTTTTCGAGCTTCGCTGGACCGAGTCTCCACCTCAGATTATGAAGTATGTCAACGAGGCTCTCCGTGGCATGTGGCACGAGGTTGCTCTTGGTGAGACTGGTAGCTTGGTCGTTCAGAACATCTTTGAGAACTGCCTCGAAGAGGACAAGGCAAGCAATTCATTTCTTCCGCAATAGCAGAACTAACAATTTTCCAGCGCCCTTGCATTGAGGAGGTCTTGGCAAGCATTGACATCGTTGCTCATGGCCAATTTGGAAACTGGTGCATCCAGCACATCTGCGAGCACGGTGCCCCAGCTGATCGCAGCCGAGCCATCGACCATGTCATCCGCTATGCCTCTGAGTACAGCATGGACCAGTTTGCGTCTAAGGTCGTTGAGAAGTGCCTCAAGATTGGTGGTGTTGACTTCCTCAGTCGTTATCTTGACCGTGTCTGTGAGGGTCGTCTCGATCGTCCTCGCATTCCATTGATCGACATCGCCAGCGACCAGTACGGCAACTACCTCATCCAATACATTCTCACTCACTCCAACCCTCAGCATCGTGAGATTGTTGCTCAGCATATCAGAAAGCACATGGTCTCTCTCCGTGGATCCAAGTTTGGCTCTCGAGTTGGCATGCTCTGCACCAACCCGGCCATCCAGACTCGCCCTGGCCCTGGTGTTGGTCCTGCTATCGGTCTTCCAAACCCTCGCATCGGTCCTCCACAGCCTCCTCGCTATGGTGGTGCTTATCGTTAAGCGGATTCATGTGACACCTTGCTGCGTTCGCTTAGTCGATTTGCTTCCAGTGTCTTGGTTCACCTCACGATCTTTACTTGACACGATATCATGGAACGACCTTAGCAATATGACATTTCGGCCGGGCTTATGTCCCTTTGTCTGCTTTTGGCCTTTCATATCTATGGATGTCCAATTGGCTCGATCACATCCACGAAAGTAACCATAGGCATTGTTTGTCACCTTTGTTTTTCCAAGAAAAAACTTTTCTTCGACGTCAATGCACGGTATTTCCTTTCTGTTTTCACCCAACATCTTCTCCAGCAACCTATTCACAATTCCGGTCATCCTACACTGAAGACTCTTCATGTCCTCAGTGCTTTGGACAAATCATGGTTACCTTTTGCATTAGGTTGTCCTGGCATAGTGATGGTTGCCCTTGTGGCAGCTCTGCTATTCTGACTCGACTGACTGCATTGCGCCTTTGTGTAGATGTATACTTGATGCTGCTTCTTGCTCCCTTTTTACCAAGGTCGCAGCGTTTAGAGGGGGATCTGCGTTCACTGCATTAGTGCAGATATTAATGCGGAGGAAAGAGAACCTGCTATTACACTGAGATATTCCTCGTGCTCCCGCGCTTGTACCCAAACACAAAAACTTTGTTATTTAGTCACTCGTTACCGAATACAAAGAAAGGCTCTGATAATGATTTGACTTGGCCAATGTGATCATGTGCATCTTTGGGACGATTTTGAACTTCATGGAAGACAAAAAAACCGAAGCAGATGTTGAGTTGCAGAGGCTGAAGTATGTTAGTCTATACGAGCCGTCCGTTACCGAGGACCGCTTCTGAAGACTGCGAAAATGCGACAAAGCCCCTGAAAGCAACGGAATATGCATCGAGCTTTGTTCCTGTAGCCGCGAAATCCAGTGTGGTAAGATATGTTCTCCCCACCCTCATCTCTCATCATGAGGTAAAACGCCAAATCCATGCAATAAAATCATGCTCGTTCCATCCCAATTCCTCCCCAGACTCTACCTACCAGATGCGCCACATCCCACTGCAAATGAAATAATGAGGACCTTCCATCTGCCCATCCTCACGCTTCAGGCAACTCCTGCTTGATGTACTCATCCCTGTGGTCTCCAAAGGTCCCACCAGCTCTACCTTGAATGACATCCTCCGGAACGTCCTTCTCCCACGGCTTGCGACGCTTCGGAAGCTTCGGTTCGGATATCTCAGTCGAGAGTATATTAGGAATTTCCTTGATGCCGGGGATGGGTTGGTTGGAGGTGATCAAGGCGACGATTTGGGCGAAGGTTGGAGGGTAGGGAGCGGTCTTCTGCTCGACTTCAGGCTCGTGGTGGGGAGTACTTTGAAGAGCCATTTCGGGAGTTTGAGGAGGTGAAGTGGTAGGTTGATGTGAGAGTTCGGGTTGGGTGGAGGTAGAATCGACGGGCGGGTTTGGAGTTGTAGATGACTTGGACAAGAGGTAGCTTTTGTAGCCCTCGAAGTCGATAGGCGTGGACTTCTTGCGTGAGAGGTAGTAACACTGAGCACGGAGCGTGAGGTCGTGGATCTGTGATGGTGACGGGTTGGGTCCGAGGATTGCAGTGAGTCCGATCTGAGGAGGCGAAATTGTTAGCTATGCTCGAAGCATGTACAGTTGATGTTTGGGCCAATGTTGCCGAGGCTGATCAGGAATTGTCTGGAAAGTGAGGGCACGTACCTGAAACTCCTTATCTGTATCCCAGGGGTACACCTCCAGTTGCCTGTATATCTCAGTGTTGTCGGAGGTGGATGTTTCAGTCGACATGGTTAGCTTGTGAAATATTTCGAAGTCGGAGTTGAAAAGGAGGGGTGGTTGTCGGCAAGGCTGATTCACTGAAGTTGCGCAACTGAACCAATGGGCTGCCGTTTTCGAACCGAACTTTCTGCTCCCCAGCCTTTTTGCTTTAGCTTGACCACACAAACCTTCCAATCCACAAACACCTTTTCTTCCATAATTCTTTGCGCGACCTTCCAAATCTAACGATCTTCTTCCCTTACTTCCCAACCAACCTGCATTCAGCTTGCTGTTCGCTGACCGCAAAACCACGGCACAATGACAGAGTTCATAGGGTCAGTCTAGCTGAGGCTGAGATCGATCACCTTTTGGGAACTGGATGCTAACAGTGTGCAACGACAGTGCCAGGATATCGCTGATATCAAAGAGTGACATTCGGTATGATCTACTCGCTCGATTCTACGAGGGAAACGGACTGACAACGCGCCAGCTATGTGGGCACGCTCCATGAGATCAACTCGGAAACCTCGACGGTAGCCCTGGAGAATGTCTCATCTTTCGGTACGGAATCGCGAAAGACGGACCCCAAAGAAGTAATCCCACCTTCGGATAGCGTCTACGAATACATTGTCTTCCGTGGCAGCGATGTGAAGGATTTGAGGATCGAGGAGACTCCTGCGGCGCGAGAGAACATCCCTCCGCAGGTCCCCAATGACCCTGCTATTCTTGGTGTAAGTCTGGGGATTCTTTCGAAATCTGCTGAGCCAGCGCGCTGGACTCAGCAGTTGACATGCTTTCTATGTGATGAAATATTTCGGATGTTAACTCATATACTCTCCGAGAGCGCAAAACCGTGTGGAGATTTCCGTTGCCTTCCTTCTGATTTTACAAGCTATATATATCACTTTTCTGGGTGCTATGGAAAGAGCAATGTGCTAATCAATTGTCACAAACAGAGCGGAACTCGTCCTCCACCTCAAGCCCAATCTTCCCAGCAACGTCAACTACCAGGCCCTCAGCAACCAGGTCCTGCGCCCCCAGGCGTACCTGCTTTTGGCCATCACCCACAATACCCGCCTGCATTCTACCCCCCAGGTCCTCCTGGTGGATGGGGCCGTGGTGGTCCTCCAGGCCCAGGCGGCTTTCCACCAATGCCATATGGTCCACCACCGCCTGGCTGGTTTCCTGGACCAGGGCAAGGCTTTCCCCCCGGACCGTTTCCCGGCTATGGTGGCTTCCCGCCAGGACAGCAAGGGTACCCGCCACAACAGCAAGGTCAACCACCAAAACCGGCTCCAATTGGTCCAGGTGCACATAAGCAACCCACCCCTCCTGCAGCCCAGACTGCTGAGAAGCAACCTGAACCTAAAAGCTTGGCTCAACCAGCTGCTGAAATGGCTGCTGGATCAGTAACAAAGGTTCCAACCCCTCCAGTCGCGTCTAAGCCGTCTCCATCCGAGATCCAAGCCGCCGTGTCTCAGCAGCCTTCAACATCCAATATCGCAGTAACTGCCCCAGCGAAGACTGCTCCAACTGGGCCCAAGATTCCTGGCCGCGTTCAGCCAGTTATTCCACTTCAAAGTCCCGCTGCTAATAAATCGCCTCCTCGCATGCAACAGGGTAATGCTGTCCCAGCTGCCAAGCCTGCTGACGATAATGCAGCGAGAATTATGGCTGCTACGCAAGCTGCCACAGCAGCAGTTGCTGCAGCGATGGCAAAACTCCCACCGGCTGGACAGACGCAAACGAATGGAAGTGCGGTTGATAACTTGACGAGAAAGGTCAACGAAATGAGAACTACTGACCCAATTCGCGCCCCAAGACATCCCGGAGGTGCTGGATTTATTCAAACTAGAGGTCGTGGTGGAAGAGGTGGGGGACAATCAAGAGCTGCGCCTACGAAAGATGTGCCCACTACTGATTTTGATTTCGAGTCATCGAATGCCAAATTCAGCAAGGAGGATTTGGTTAAGGAGGCCATTGCTGGATCACCAATCGGAGAGAACCCACCAGATGCGACGTCTCCCACCGAGTCAGCTGTCCAAACAAGTGGGTATAATAAGTCGACCTCGTTCTTTGACAACATCTCAAGCGAAGCCAAGGAGCGAATGGAGGGTGGTGGGAACAGACCAGGCGGCCGAGAATGGCGTGGCGAAGAGCAGAAGAAGAATCTCGAGACTTTTGGCCAGGGCAGCGTTGATAATGGATATCGTGGTGGATATCGTGGACGAGGACGCGGCCGTGGAGGATACAGAGGACGAGGAGGCTATAGTGGAAATGGCCAACCAGGACGTGGACGTGGTGGATATCGAGGGCGTGGTGACGCACAAACGACAGTGCAGTAATTGCATCTTTGCAGACCCAAAAACTACTGGACGTATCGGGCTTTCCTTACGCTGTACCAAAAGCTTTCTACGATTTGCTATTTCGGTCGATACGGTCCAAAAACGGCATATCTTCGTCTTCTTCGGACAATTTCCTTCGCTTAGCTGGGAGATAATACTAGAGAACCGAAGCGTGGCTATCTCTTGTGTGTGTATCTCTCTTTTTTCCTTCTTCTTTGCAACTTGTACCACCAGGATCACGGACACGAACGAAAAAAACGAGAAGTTACGAATACGACTGGACCTTTCTGGGTTGGGTGGCGCTTTAGCGATCTGATCTTATGAACGAATGGACTGGGAACAAATCTGCGTTTTCTTTTCTGCTCTTTGCTCGCGCGGGGGTTTGATACCTGTGTGGATGGATGAACCAAACATGGAGTTGATTGGGTGGGTGGAATGAACTGGATAGCTTGCTGGCTTTTGCCTGCTCGCCATGCTTCACACGACTCGATAGGGCCTGCCTCCTTGCTATGTGGGGCTAGGTGGGTGAAATATGGATGAAACGAATTGAAATCGACACAAATGAGAGGAGGATATAATAGGGGACGGGTTTGTGGAGCAGATTGGCGACTTAAGTATTGCAGTGCCTTCTGGTAATTCAAACACCTGCAAACCAGTCTTCCGTCCTGATTCAATCATTGATCCAACTTCATATGCATAGCAAGTTTGCCTTTATATTACCGAAATGGCGTGCGTCCAATGGCTTACATAAGAACATTTCGTTCTCCACCAATCGACCACCCCAATTTAAGTCACACTTGCTCTAATTCACTCTCACCCACTTTTCTCTCCCCCTCCCTCCCTCTCCATCCCCCACATCCTTTTCGCGTCTCAAGCATTCCGATAAACTTCCTATTGGCAACTTTCCTTTCCCCAATTACTACTCACTTTCCATCCCAAAATGCCTTTAGCCCTCAGCCTCGCAACCCCTGCCGACCTACCCAATCTCGCCCGAGCCCAATATGCAGCCTTCCATCCCAATGACACACTTCATGTGCTGATCTACCCTTCTCCGGACCGGGTTCCCGAGTCGACCTTCGAAAAGACGGTTGAGCGGCAAACGAACGCTTGGAAGGACAACGTCACGTGGGTGAAGGTCACTGATGATGAGACGGGGACTGTGATTGCTGGCGCTAAGTGGATCTTCTGGCCTGAAAGCGGAGGTTGGGCTGAGGAAGAGGGGAAGAGGTGGCCGGAAAGCTTTGGTGTTGATGCAGTGAAGGAGATGAGGAGGGAAGAAGAGAGAGCCGCGAATGGCATGCCTGATGGAACACCAGGAACGAAAAATGTGGGCAAAGGTGTCGACGATTTAGCGTATGTTGCTTGGATTATGGAGGAGTTTATGGGGAGGAGGAGAAAGAGGAACCAAGGCCCTGCGGCGCTGCTGGATATTTGTTATGTGCACCCTGATTGGCAGGGGAAAGGGGCGGGGAAGCTGTTGGTACAATGGGGAACGGAGAAGGCAGATGAGCTGGGCCTTAGGACGTTTGTGGAGGCGAGTTATTCTGGGCGGCCATTGTATGAGAAATTTGGGTTTGTGGTTGGGGAGCATGTTTTGCTTGAGGGTGGAAATGTCAAAGAGGAATGGAGGGGATATGGGCAGATTGGGTATTATTGGATGGAAAGGCCGGAGAGGGAGGCTAAGGCTTTGAAGGACTAAGGAGTGAACTGGATGTACGTGCCCATGTCGGGATTGGGAAGTCCTTCTCCAGTCTGCACTAAATTCTGGGCTCCAGGCTTGTCAACTGGACCCAAAGCTGGATCCTTTTGTGGTCATTCAAAGAGAAGGCCTTCGAGGCAATACCCTTTTGTCAGAAAGGAAAGTCAACTCCGATTCCTGCTTTCGCGCCTGAGGATAGACCTGATGACGGGGCTGCTGTGTTCGATGGGGAGGTGCTGGAGGTTGGCCGATCCGTAGCCTGCCAATTGATCTGTATTAATGGAGCATCGAATGTATGTGTATGATGGTATGGCTGCCGTTGATATTGTAGCGGGAATTGTGAGGTAGGTAAAATGTCCGCTAGTTCCAGATTCGCATGTCACAGCTTGAAAGGCAGTCTTGGTTGCAATCTGTACGCACGTTTGTGCAAAACCGCTGGGACGCAAATATCCCCTATAGGAGAGTCAGCATTGGAGCGAAGGTTTTGAACGGGCTTGGTACTGAGGGCAATATCCCATAGCCGTCTCCTTTGCCAAAAGATCGGATTGAACGTCACACCCCGAAGAACCGCCTTCTGTCGTAGAACATGCAGACGCCATTCCAACAGTCCAGACCTGGAGAATAGAACCCCCCATCCTACTAGTGGAGGTGTCAGTGCTCCAATGAAAGAGTCTCGTGGGGGTCAGCAGTCGGCATATCCTCAATCTTCAACGCCATATTTTTAAATTGCCCGTAGCAGTATTCGGGAAACAAAGTCTGTGCTGCCCATGCCTGGCTACACATCCGACAGTCTTGGACCGCAATGGAGCAAGACGAAGGAGCCGTCCATGTTGTATTAAGCGGCCCAGAATCACTCGCTGTTGATTGGTTGCAGGTCCGGACATTGCTCTCCTTGAAAGACGGATATGCGCAAGAATTGTTGATGTGAAGTGGATTGTTGAACATGATGAGAAGGAAAGGAGGAGCAGAGTGACTAACTTACTGTCGACGGATTTCTTAGAATCCTCAAGTGCATGCAGCTTCAGTGTCGTCTCGAGGCATCGTTCATTGCACCTGCTCACTCCAGCCACTCAGCAGAAAGAGCGCAAAGTAATCTTTCAGCATCAGCTTGAGCAAGGTTTGGGAGGCACTGTTTTCCTGGAAATTTCATCCAATGACCAAAACGTGCTGGTAAAGGGATCATGTGAGTGCATAAATCGGTCAAGATTTCTACACTTCAACGGTATCTGAACTTGTGAACAGCCCAAACAATACAAAACTGCCTCAAATCATCCTTACGCTTAAGATCTTGATTCGTAAAGAGTTGCAAGTTACCTCTAAAACCAGAAGTATCTCCTACCTTGCTTGGTACACTGGAATTGGAATGATCGTTGCTCGCTTAAATAGGGGCGAGGAGAAACACTAGGTTCATTCTCTCTATTGTGCATAGCGTTCAAGAATGGTAAGGGCAAGGCCTATTTTTTCATATTCATTTTCCTTTGAAACTAAGTGACTCGGTCTCGCTATTTCTCGCCCCCAAAGTTGCTCATTGCTCGGGGTGAAGTTGCCCCGTTCATTGGTGGTTTTTGCGTTTGGGTGCTGACTCAGCCCTCGACGACACTCAACACGCAACGCCGACAGGAATAAAGTGCAGGCAAAAGCATCAAGAACAAAGTCGATTATCCACTTCCATCATGTCGCAGGTGCCGCCCGTGACTATTTCGCCCTCCGAGAAAAACGCGAGCTCATCAGCGCCCGCATCCGTCCCCGTGCCGAAGCGACGCAGTAAGGAGCCTCGGTTTTTTGTTCCTTGTCTCCGAATCCCGAGACCCTATTCTTCCTTTTACTTACTCGTAAAATATTCGAAAAGAGCTCTTTATACTCAATCTGCGTCAAGCACATTCCAAAATACGAAAAGGCTGACTCCCCGATCTTCTAGGCTGTGTTGTGTGCCGCACCAGAAAGGTCCGCTGTGACAAACAGTCACCATGTTCTAACTGCCATCGCGCGAATATTGCTTGTGTCTTCCCCTCCACGGACCGGCCCCCAAGATGGGCTCGTCGTCAAGCACCCGCCGCCCCTGCTCAGATGATGCAGAGATTGCAGAATCTCGAGAGTCTAGTTAAGGACCTGAGCGGCCAGCTGGAAGTGGCAAACGCTGCGGCTGGTTCAGTTGCCGGTGGCTCATCCGGGGTAAGCTCTCCAAAGAGCTCTAATTATGGCCGTGACGCAGATTACCCAAGGGATTCATTGCAGAAACCGTTTGGAAGACTCATTCTTCAGGATGCCAATCGAAGCCGATACGTGGGGAGTGGCTTCTGGTCACGTGTCGACGATGAGGTACGCCAGGAGGTTGCGTTACGTTGGTGATTTGGATAACTTGCTAACTATTTATATAGCTTGATGGGCTTTGTTCAGACACTACAGAGGATGAAGACGACGTCTCGTCTGGAAAGTCCCCATCCACCCAGGAACTTCGACGGACGCCGTCAGAACGCCATGGATTCTTGTTTCAACACAATTTGAGTCCTTCCGCTCCCGACCTCCGCGAATTTCACCCCCTGCCGTCTCAGATACCGTTTCTCCTGGATATATTCGCTGAAAACGTTAATGCTGTCAGCCGAATTGTTCATGTCCCAACCATTGCGAAAATGGTCCGCGATTTTCGTGGACGTGAAATGTCGAACTTGACACCAGCCAACGAAGCATTGATGTTTTCCATTTACTACGCAGCAATAACCTCCATGGATGAAGACGATGTAAGTTTGCATTGAAACCGGAATCTACATCTCACAGGGCGTACTGACACCTCTGGTGCGTCTAGATCATGACCAACTTTGGCTTCACCAAAACTGAGCTCAATATGAAGTACCGCCTCGGCCTCGAGCACGCACTTGCAAAAGCCGATTTCCTCAACGTTCCAGACTTGGTTCTGGTGCAGGCGTTCACTATCTTCCTCTTCCTCGTTCGCCGCCATGACAGCCCGAGATTCGTGTGGATGATGACGGGGCTTGCCATCAGGATGGGCCAGGCCCTTGGTTTACACCGTGATGGAGCCCATTTCGGCCACTTAACTCCTTATGAAGTTGAGATGCGACGAAGGGTCTGGTGGTCATTGTGCATGCTGGATATGAGAGCATCTGAGGACCAGGGCATGGATTACACGATCTCACTCGAGAGCTATGACACGAAGCTTCCCTTGAGCATCAACGACGCAGACATCGAGCCCAAAACAACTCAAATGCCAACAGAGCGTGGAGGCATAACCGACATGACGTTTCCGCTCATCTCGGTCCAGATAGGCATTATTGCCAAGCAGATGATGGCTCTCAGTTCCAAAGGAGGTGCGCCAGAAATAGAAGAGCAAAACCGACTTATAAACGAAATGTACCAGATCCTCGATAGAAGGTACCTTCAATTCTCGGTAGAGTCAGGCGACATCATGTATTGGGTCCAAGTCTGTGTCGTGCGACTCGTGATGGCCAAGATGTCGCTTTTTATCTACTTACCTCTGCTCTTCTCCTCTCCCAGCGAGCACTTCTCGGACAAGATCAAGAACAAGCTCCTAATCGCAGCAATCGAAGTCGCGGAGTATAACCATGCTCTAAATGCAGAGCAGGCATGCCGTCAATGGCGCTGGGTTTACCAAACATATATACATTGGCATGCCGTGGTCTACCTCTTGATCGAGATCTCCAGACGTCCGTGGTCACCCATAGTCGAGAGGGCCTGGGTTGCGCTTCATAGTCCGTGGCTGATCCCCGTCCAGTCCAACATGGACAAGAACCAGAGGATTTGGTTTCCATTGAGGAAGCTGATGGCAAAGGCAAAGAAACATCGCGAGACTGAGCTCGAGCGGCTAAGACGAAATCCCGAAGCTGTAAAATGGCTAGAGATGGATGACCAGAGGCTTCCCGCTCCCGGAAGCCCCGGGCCGTTCCCACCCGGCTCCAACGTTGTCGAGCTCTTTCGCGAACGATGGTGGCAGCTTATGGCGACGCCAGAGGAACTTGAGCATGATAAAGGGAAATCTAAACAGTACAGGTCAGAAGTTACCAGCCCGTCGGCACATTCAACCAACACAACCCAGCTAGGAACATGTCCCTCGCCTGCGTATAACGAAGGCGGTTCAGGACCCAATACGACTGATGAGCCTCCATATTTTGGTGCCGGTGGGCTCCAAACAAGTCAGAATCATCTGTTAAGCACCACTTCCCTGAACATCCAATCCACCATACCGACCAGCGCTCCCGATGGTTTTGCAATGGGACAGACTGCAAGGCAATCATACAATGCCGTTCCCGATATTCCAGTAACCTGGTCGATGGGTCCTGGTTTAGACCATTGGCTGTGGGCTGACGCAGATCCATCGGCCGATGTTTTCGCCAATGTGGACTTCGATGCAAGTGATGTCAACATGGACTTGGACGGCGAGATGGACTGGCATAATTGGGTTGAATCTGCCAAGGGCATGGAGTGGAATACGGGGCCAAATGGCAATGGACCGGCCTAATTCTCTTCTAAGCTCGACCTTCAAAATACAAACGATTGGGGACAATTGTTGTTTTCGAGGCTCGAGATGGGCAGGAAAAGTGACACTGAATATCCGAAGTCAATTTGGATCATTTCAGGCATTCTCTCACCGAATGTCCTCTGTTACTTTCAAAGCCTATCATTCGAATATCTTGGGAATCCTCAAATGCTTAGTCCCTTAAGCCCCTATTCCAAAGTCTAGCTAAATGTCTAAACTAGACTTAGAGACATTGAAATGAGTGCCGCTTTTTCTGTCCACCGCGAGCGAGGATAACTCCTATTGTGCTGGGGGCAGACCTGATTGACGCTTGGTCATTGGTCGGTACCCCATGGGTGGAAAGGGCAGTGTAACCCTAGTGCTGCCATTGTGCGCCACCAAATTCTTGGTTGGGATTTTACCCTCCAATGATCAGGGCACACATGCCTTCCTAGATTCAGCCGCCCAGTGGCTTGTTTCGGATCGCTACCAGTCTTTCCCTCCACCCATTAAACCAAGAAGAATAAAGGAAGCTTGGTTCCCCTCAAAAGCTAAACCAAGCTCCCTTCCCTTAAAGTCGAAAAGATGGAGATTATAAAACTCCTCTTTACCGCGGCCGTTATCGCCCTGTCTCTGCGAGGCATACTTGCGTCTCCTCAATGCTACTGGCCGAACCACCAAGCAGCGCAATCAAATTATGTCTCATGAACCTGCGTCGTCGGAAATAATTTTTTGAGATATGGGCCGTTTTGATATACCGTTTATGCTAGCTCATGGTTTAATGTTGGTTCGGAATTCGTGGTTCTTGATGCTGCAAGAGTTTTCGCACGCTTAAAATCCCCGTTTTGCACCTTCGTAGTCTTATAATATACCAGGAGTGGATAGCTCGAAAGAGTGATGTGTGGGTGGGAATGAGTAACGGATCTTGAGCCGATGTGCACAAAGGAAAAAGGGGCAAATGACGTGCGGTCGCATTCGCCTCACTGACGGGAAAGTAAAAGTCACAATATGGCATGACCCCGATTCATGTCCAGTGGTCCAGGAGGGATGAGGATAAAATTTTGGGTTATGAGTGAGTCAAGGAATGAAGCTTTGTCTTTATGTTTCGTGTATCTAATTTAGCTCTGTGTTTCGTCTCTTCCTGATTCTCGCACAGGAAAGTCTTTTGAAAAGATGTTTGCAAATACTTTCCAAACAGTAAGTCCTGTTTTGGATCTACGACCAGTCATCAGCAGAAATCTTATTCTTCCAGAAACCCCTGAAATTTTTCTGCTTTCCAAGCTCAGAAATGTCTTCGACCTCTTTCGGCGTCAACTTAAACTGTCCCACTTTTTGGTACCCCTTCAACCGCCCCTCACTCCCACTCGTCGTCAATGCAACGATTCCCTGATCTATTACCCATCTCAACGCAATCTCTCCAGGCGTAACTCCATGCTTCCTCGCCAACTGCTCGTACGTTGGATCCAGTGGTCCCGGTTTGGCTCTCACAACAGCTGTCAATGGCGCATATGCAGCAGTCGCAATACCATGCTTCTTCTGGAACGGGATAAGATCACCGTGTTGCAGGTAGGGGTGGTACTCAATCTGGTTAATCGCCGGCACGATCTTGGCCGTCTTGAGGATAGCCTCCAGATCCTTCTGCAGGAAATTTGATACCCCTATTGTCTTTGCTTTCCCGGAAGCATGAATAGCTTCCATATCTGCCCATTTTTTCTGCAGGTCCTCATCAGAGTTGGCAAAGAAAGGGGCATGAATGAGGTATTGATCCACGTGATCCAGCTGTAGTTTTTTGAGAGAGAGCTCGAAAGCCTCCTTCGTGTCTTGGATTTTGACGCCTGAGATCTTTGTAGTTACGTAGAGTGTCTCACGTGGAACTCCAGCTTCGATGATCGCTTTGCCGAGCTCGACTTCGTTGCCATAAGCTGGGGTCGTTAGCAAGCGAGATACTAGGTGCTGACTGCGGCTGTAGATGTATGCAAACCTTCGGCGCCATCAAGATGGTAGTATCCAGCTTTTATGGCCATCACGACCGTTTTGATTAGCTCTTTGTCTTCGGGAGAGTCGCTATCAAGTTTGTAGTTTGCAGTACCCAGGCCGTAGCCAAGCTGTCCAAATGATTAGCAGGTTGCATCGGATTTGGCGAGGAACAGGGACTTGCCATTGGGATCTGGTTCCCATCATTCAACTTTAGATTCTGTATTTGAGACATTTGCTTTGGAGGACTGGCGGATTGGCCGTCAGTGTGGGAAGTTTGATATACTGCTGTCGAGGAGTTCATGGAGAGTGGGGTGGAGAGCCAGAGACGTGACTTTGGACGAGCTGGGAAGGTTGCTGGAGGTTGGAATTTTGCCAGTCGAGCAGAATGGGTTGCAGTTATCATAGGAGAGAACGAGCGCACTCCACTGTTAGAGATTCATTTGATTATTATGTCATTATTCAGCGGTTGATGACTTTTCCGAGACATCACCGTCTCGACCCCACATTCGTCATATCGCGGGTGGATTCGCAGCAAGTACGGCAAGGCGGTGAACTGTGGCAGAATTGTTGACTATTCCTATTCCAGCGAGCTGGTGAACGCCACCGAGGTTCTCAGTGCCGAAACCTTCAACGTCAGTCAGCAAGGACATCTTATTTCCGTCTCGTCACCACCTCGAGCCTTCTCTCTTGCCTCTTCAAAACTGTGTATTTGATCTGGATTTTCTTGGAAATTGACTCGGTTACAAAAGCAAGTTCTTTTGGGCATTTGTTGTACATGCTTTCAAAGCTCCTTTCTCGACCTTGTATACCCCGCATGCGAATCGCCCAAATGGCTGCCCATCTGTCGAATGGCTCGGCCTCGAATGGCACATCCGACACAAGGACTTCTCTCGCAGACCTCCCAAAGTCATGGACGTTCACCTCCTTATTACCTCCCGACTCGAGATTCCCTACTCCCGCAGCGTCTCACAAGACTCCTCGAGAAGACATAGAACCTCGGCAGGTTAAAAGCGCACTGTTTACATGGGTTAGACCAGAGGAGGCAAAAGAGCCGGAGCTGTTAAGCGTAAGTCCCGCAGCCATAAAGGATCTAGGCATAAAAGTAGGCGAAGAGAAGACCGAGGAGTTCAAGCAGACCGTTGCAGGCAACAGATTGCTAGGATGGGATGTCGAGAAAGAGGAAGGTGGATATCCCTGGGCGCAATGTTACGGTGGGTGGCAATTTGGGTCATGGGCGGGTCAATTGGGTGATGGTCGAGCTATTTCGTTATTCGAAACTACGAATTCGAGCACGAAGACGAGATATGAATTACAGTTGAAAGGGGCGGGGATTACACCCTATTCAAGGTTCGCAGACGGGAAGGCGGTATTGAGATCCAGTATCAGAGAATATATTGTCTCAGAAGCATTGAATGCTCTGCGGATACCTACGACGAGAGCTCTGTCTCTGACACTTTTACCATATTCGAAAGTTCGACGAGAGATCCTCGAACCTGGTGCCATTGTGGCAAGGTTTGCTCAATCTTGGTTGCGAATAGGAACATTTGATATCCTCAGAGCGCGAGGTGATCGAGACTTGATTCGACAATTATCCACATACATCGCTGAGAACGTTTTTGATGGCTGGGAATCACTTCCCGCCAGGAACTCCAATGAAGACGATAATCTTGGTGGCCCAGTGGGCACTGGCGTTGGAAAGAACATTATTGAAGGACCAGCAGGCCAGGAAGAGAACCGCTTCACCCGTTTATACCGCGAAATTGTACGCCGCAATGCCAAAACGGTAGCAGCATGGCAAGCATATGCATTTACAAATGGTGTCCTAAACACCGACAACACTTCTGTCTTTGGCCTATCCATCGACTTCGGCCCCTTCGCCTTCCTCGACAACTTCGATCCTAACTACACACCAAATCATGATGACCACATGCTACGATACTCCTACCGCAATCAGCCAACAATAATTTGGTGGAATCTCGTCCGTCTTGGCGAGTCGCTGGGAGAGCTTATCGGCAGCGGTGAAAATATCGATTCCGAGGAGTTTGTCGAGAAAGGCGTCAGGCAAGAAGATGCAGATGAGCTTGTTTCCCGTGCCGAAGCCTTGATCACTCGAGCTGGTGACGAATATAAGGCCGTGTTCTTGGAAGAATACAAACGCCTCATGACGGCGCGACTTGGGTTGAAAACACACAAAGAGTCTGATTTTGAGACACTCTTCAGTGAGCTTCTTGATACAATGGAAAGCTTGGAGTTGGACTTCAACCAGTTCTTCAGGAAGCTAAGTAACCTTAAAGTTGGAGATTTAGAAACGGAAGAGCAGAGGAAGGAGGTAGCTGGCGTCTTTTTCCATCACGAAGGTGTAACAGGTATTGGAAACACAGAAGAATCTGCGCGCAAACGAATCGCGGAATGGCTCGAGAAGTGGAGTACGAGAGTTTATGAAGATTGGGGACCGAATGGCGACGACGAGACGAGGCAAGTGGAGATGATGAAAGTAAACCCAAAATTCATCCCAAAGTCCTGGATTTTGGATGAGCTTATCAAGAGGGTTGAGAAGGGCGGCGAGAGGGAGATTCTGGATAGAGTGATGCATATGGCGCTGCATCCTTTCGAGGAGAGCTGGGGTTGGGATAAAAAGGAAGAGGAGAGGTTTTGCGGTGATGTGCCGAAGTTTGATAGGGCCATGCAGTGTTCTTGCAGCTCTTAGATGGTAATGTAATGAGATGATACCACCCATCCTACTCTTTTTTCCATCTGATTTTCGATTCTTGTTTGTAATGTTCTCAACTACTAGCCCGCAGCACATCCCTGTGAGGAAATACTTCAGTCCCTCCCATCACGAAGAATTAGTATAAACACGATTCGTCCGAAACGGCTCCCACACACACCAACAAAGCTTTCCCACATTATAAAATTCCCCTCCTGACAACACAGGAGTTGCACAACTCGGTCCCTTAAAGAAAGTCGGTTGGCCTTTCTATAAATGACGATATAGACAGGCGGGCAGCTGGCAGGAGTCAGGTTGCACCGGCATTTGCCAAGTGACAGGCTCTTGCAGTCGTTTGCATCGCCTTTTTCGCAGCACCAGGAGTGTTTGCCGACGCCGGAGCTGTCGAGGTTGCAGTTGAATTTGCTGTCTTCGGACGACAAGTAGGCTTTTGACGCGAGAGGGGTGGCACGAGTAAGATGAGGCCGAGGAGAGGGTGCTTTGAGTAAATTATGGGGTGCTCGCGATATCTTTGCTCAAGTGTACCGGAAACTTGAGTACAATAGTTCGACTAGTCAATTTTTAAGTGTCTATTCTCTGGAGCCATTTGTTAGGCAGCGTGCATGGCTTTCTGCTGCAACGCACTTACTGATGTCTTTTGAGTCCTCTTGAACTTAGTGTCTGGATTGAGATGACAGTTTGTGGCGGTCAGGCAAGAGACTCTGTATTTATTACTTAGTAGCCTACATGTTTGCCTCTATGCAGGACCCCGCTGTCGTGAAAGCATTGGTTCTTTGAATAAATAGAGGCCGAAAACGTGCCTTAATACGAATTAGTGATGTGCCAAAGACAAAAACAGATGAACTACAAAGCTAGATTAAACGAATAGACGTGTACAAAGAATTCAGTGATATTATTCTCGTGGTGACCTGATTTGACCGGGGTGGGAAGCGAGACCGCCGGGGCAGGTTGGGAAATTGGGGTCCTTGGAAGGGAGGAAATGGCCGCCTTGCCGGTGGGGCTGAGCTATTATCTGCCCCCTGGAGTGGACTGGCTCTCTTGGTCAATGCACTTCAATCAGAAATATTTGTTATTCGTGGGGAAACATACTGGAATTAGCCTGCCCCTGGCTTCTGATTTGTTACCCCGTACTTTCGCGTCAAATAGGAGGCTCTCGCTTATTTCGACATGGGAAGGTGCATATCTGACTGCCAACCAGATCCCAACGACTATCAAGTGACAGCTAGAAACCGCAGTCTCAAAGAGAAGTAGACTGCTCCTAGCAAGATGTTTTTCTTACTTATAGCGGCTTTATCTGTGGAAATCGGAGACTGCTTTGCCTTTCCGAGTCAGATGAGAAGATCCCAGCCCTGGGTCAACGGCCCGTCTGATACTACTTTAGCAACATTTCAGTGACAATTGAAGTATATATATATACGGCGTGCATCTCAACTCTGATGGAAGTGACAATAAGGTCGCTGGATGAATGGTGCCCTTTCTGAGAAACGATGGCTTCGAATGAATTTGACACTACCACTGGAATCAACGAGAAGCGTGCTTCGACGATGGAAGACGAGATCCAGCAATCAACAAACTCGGAGAAGACAAGCGAGTCAGAGAAAGTAGATGTGCAAACAAAGATGAATGCGGAGGAGTGCTCAAATACCTCTGATGATAGACCAGGAGGAAACGAGGAAATCGAGGAAGGAACCGCTGCTGCCACGAAATCAGAACCCAAGTATCCTACTGGCATCAGATTCGTGCTCCTCACCATTTCACTAATGCTGGGAGCCTATATGGTAGCACTCGACACACAGATCATCTGTAAGCCCATCAACTTTCACAACCTCAAAAGACCAGACTAACTCCGAACAAGCGACCGCGATCCCAAATATCACCACGCAGTTCCACTCCATCTTCGACATAGGCTGGTACAACTCCGCCTACCTCCTCCCTCTAATGTCCCTGCAACCAACCTTCGGAAAGATTTACACTTACCTTCCCCTCCGCACCGTTTCACTTTCGCCCTCCTCTGCTTCGAAGCCGGCTCTCTCATTTGCGCTCTGTCCCATTCTTCCTCCATCTTCATCCTCGGTCGCGTGGTAGCTGGTGTTGGCGCTGCGGCAATATTTGCTGGTGGAATGGTCATGATACAGTTGGCGGTGCCGTTGGCTAGGATCGCGGTGTATATTTCGGTGCTGTCGAGTATGTATGGTGCGGCCGCGCTGACCGGACCGCCGCTTGGTGGGGTGTTTACTTCGAGTGCGAGGTTGACGTGGAGGTTTTGTTTTTATATTAATTTGCGTAAGTCCTCTTGGTGGCTAGGAAGGTAGAGACTGATCAGTGGCAGCATTTGGTGGAGTGTCGGTTCTAATGATGTTGTTTGCGTTCCGAGAACCGAAGAGAGACGAGTTGAAACTTACCATCAAGGAGAAACTTGGGAGAATGGATCTTGGAGGCACGGTACTGTTTATCTCCAGTATCGTTTGCTTGTTCCTCGGGTTGGAGTGGGGTGGTAATGAGATTCCTTGGGTTGATTTTAAAGCTTGGGGGTTGTTGCTTGGGTTCGGGCTGTTGATGATTGCTTTTGTTGCCTTGCAACTGCATACGGGCGAGAAGTAAGTGGTGCAAATATATCTCAGTAGATCAGCGATCTTAACCCTTCGGCAGTGCGACTATCCCTCTTCGGATCTTCCTTAACCGGAGCGTTATTCTGGCCCAGATGATCGCGGTCCTTATGATGATCGGGACAAACACACACACTTTCTACCTCCCATTCTACTTTCAGTCGGCCAAAGGCCTCACGGCTTCAGCATCCGGGATCCGACTCCTGCCGTATCTACTCAGCGTCACGGCCATGGAACTTATTGTCGGTATTGGAGTAAACAAATTCGGTGTGTACCTCCCTTTCATGGTTTTCGGTACAGCAATCTACACTATTACCTCGGGCCTGTTCTGTACCCTCGAAGTCACCACCTCGACTGCTCGCCTTATCGGCTTCCAGATCCTCGCAGGAATAGGATTTGGTTCCAGTCTCAACATTTGTGCAACTGTAGTGCGAGCCAACGTCCAGGACAAAGATATTCCCATCGCCGGCGCATTGGCAGGCTTCGCGCCCTTTCTTGGTGGCTCGCTTGCGGCTAGCATCGGGCAGAATGTCTTCAGATCTGCGTTGACCCAGAAACTTCTCCAGAGTGTGTGTCCAGCTGAGGCGGCAGCGATTGTGAAAGCTGGTGCCACGGGCGGTGTGGCAACCGTGGAGGAAGGGGTGAGAGATGTCTTCAGGGAAGCGTATAATTATGCTGTCAAAAGAACTTTCGTGATGGCTGCTGTGCTGGAGGATTGGCGTTTTTGTGTACGCTGGGTTTGAAATGGAAGAATATCAAGAAACCCGTTTTAGAAGTGGCGAACAGCGCCGAGGGAGGCGAAATCGGGGAGAAGAGTGGGTAGGGACTTGAAAGGCAAAGATGTATCTCGGATCTAGTTGCGTGAGATCGAGAATGATGGGGAAATGGAGGCAGAGCAGTGGACAAAGCAGTGTACGAAGCAGCACGGGAAATATTTTGAGAAGGGCTTTCTAGAAGAAAGTAGTTTATCCCCTCGTCTGGTGAGACATTGCCAGCGCTAGCAGCCACCTAAATGCAGATGGCCTGATTGGAGGAGGCGGTTGTATTCTGGCCGAACAGGGGATATTCGCGTGCGGCCGCTAGCGTGGCAATGTTTCGTCAGGCGAGGGGATAATATGGTAAGAAGAGAAACAGCTCGCAACTCGATGCTTTCTTAAATGTCCCAAGTTTTCTTCGCAATTGAGAATGTTAAGCTACTGTGGGCTTATCGTCTGAGAGAAATAAAAGCGCTTGCTTCGATCTAACCTAAAAAAAACAAAGCATTTGATAATGAGAAGAATGTGTTCACCCTATGAGAAAGGAACTTCCAAATCGAAATCGAACGGGCATTGTACTTGCTCAGACCAATTCATTTCCGCGCTCGCTTACAGTACCGCTATTTACCGAGGTTTCAAGCTTTGTGCTGACGGCCCCACCAACGGCGCTGTGTCAAAAGGAAATCCTAGTAGGTCTATATTACCTGCGTCGGCCGTCAGCTCAACAACTTCGCGCTCTCTTCTCCCACCATATTTCAAATATTCCCCGCCACGTGCCTCCCTTTCCAACTTTCTACACCCACCTCGCAATGAGTTCCACGCTGCGGAATTTCAGACTGGGTGTGGCCGTATTGATGTTCGGCGTATTTTACCAGTCATGGCTCAAGGAAGTCCTCTTTGAGGTCATTGGCGTGGGCCGTGTCATCCAGCCAATCGAGGACTTTCCCTATAAATGTCGACGAATAAATCATGAGCATCTCGAGGCGTGCGAGGACTTGTGGTTGGATGATCAAGAGCGTGTTCTGTATCTTGCGTGCTCCGGGACTGAGAGTCGGATTCAATGGAATCCAGCAATTGGAGGACTCAATGTTTCTGGGCGCCGGCCTGGTGGTTCGGAACTCATGGCACTGAATATCGACTTGCCAGGAACCAGTGGCATGTTCGGAATCCATGGTATTGAGCCGGTGGGATATGATGGCGCAACAGGTGACGGCACACTCGACCTTCTCGGGTTTGACGTTGAGGTTGTTGACGCCGCAACATTGCGATTCTGGCTCATTAATCACAGACCACCGGTAGATGCCAACAAGAAGATTCTCGATGCGACGAAGGCCGGGGCAAATTCCACCATTGATGTGTTTGAGTTGAAACGTGGAAAAGATAAAATGGTCCATGTCAAGACTGTGTTTGATCGCGAGGTTAAGACTCCCAACAACATTGCCGCCATGGGAGATGGGTCGTTCGTGGCTACCAACGACCACTCAGCAAAAGGCGAGACACTCACAGTGAAGATTGGGCACCAACTGACTCTTCTACCATAGTCGGCTTTCGTAAAGAACTCGACATCTTCATCGGTGGCGGCAACGTTGCGTACTGTCCTGCTTCAGGCCCTTGCAAAGCAGCTACCCACTCGAAGTTCCGCTTCCCAAATGGCCTTGTACGCGGTATTGACGGTCTCGTATATGTTCCCGAATCGGCAAGAGGCAGCATCCGTGTTATGGAACTTCAGGAAGACGGCACCCTGAAAGAGGTAGATTTGATCAGAATCGGAATGCCGATTGACAACCTCTCCCTTGACGTCAATGGCGACATTTGGGGTGCTGGTCTTCCGAAAGCGCTCCAAGCAGTCCCAGCAGCGCACGATCCTTACAAGGCGCAGGCTCCTACGACTGTGTGGCGTGTCTCAAAAACTCCCGAAGGGTATAAGACTTTCAAGGTGCTGGAGGATCGGGACATGAAGGTTCTCACCCAAATCGCCACGATTCAGCACGACGTTAAGACCGGGAGATTGTTCATTGTCGGTAAGTAACCCTCGGAATGACCTATTAATTTCCTGCCGATTCTCACTTGGCCATTGCCATGGTCGTGATAAAGAGGCGGGCGTTGTCGAATGTCTTGCTGATACTCTTTCGCAGGTCCATCGGCCCCATACTTGACCGTCTGCGAGCCATCGTGAGGGACACAGGGGTGAACCCCGCTAGGCCCAATTTGGTCGGTCACTTCTCCTCTCCCGAACGAAGGGCAGCTTCAGATCCATAGCTTTGAGCTCCTACCAATTCAATCAAATTTCGGTACTCAAATAATTGATTATTCTGTTTGACTTGCTGTCTTTAGCTTCTTGATTCTCTGTGTGGAGATTGCAGGCATCCATCACAGCGCACGGCCCCCTTCTCCACCTCCTCTGACTTAATTTGAAAAACTCCTCGCGTCAACCAACCTGCAAGAAAGCTCACTTTCCCTTCCACCGGAATAAGCTTGGAGGTCGTGGGGAAATCTCGATCAACCGACATGAATCTGCCCCATGAGGTGTCCCGCATCTTTGACCTAACATATTTCGACCCTGAATACGATGATCAAGACCTCGATATCTTTGATCCCTCAAGCATGATATTTTGTGACCCTTCCCGTGGGACATCGGGACTACCGAGCTACAGACTTCCTCATCCAGAGAGCGGACCGGGTATCAATGGGAGGGCAGCGAGGACAATATTTGTCTCAATTCATGGTGCCTGTCGTGGGAATGGAACAGAAGTTGCGAAGGGGGCATATGGGGTACACTTCGGCAAGGGATCTCGGTATAATCAATGCGGTCTTGTCCCAGGAAAAGAGCGCCAAGGAAGTAACGCAGCAGCGGTCTATGCCGCAATAAGAGCCCTCGAGATTGTTGAGGATAGTGTTCTGCGTCTGAATGCCATCGAAAACGTGATCCTTAAAACCCATTCGGCGTACTTATCCAAAGGGTTAACCGAGCACGTCTGGGGATGGAAAGAGAATGGTTATCAGACTTGGGAAGGGCAAGACGTTCAGAATCGTTTTCTAGTAGAGAAGCTTCACCACATGATTGAGGAAGGAAACGGTGAGAGGGGATTCAAAACGTATTTTTGGCTGGTAAACGAGAGAGACAACTACGACGCGGTGTTCCTAGCCAACGACGCATACAACACGACTATTCAAAAGAAAAGGTCTACCGACAGGTTCGATAATCCATTTGCTCGACGCGTGAAATACTGGATGTACACTGCACCAACGAATCTCGAAGCACAGCAACTGTGCCAGCGTCTTGGAATTGCCATGCACAATCCAGCAACCAGTGGCTTTACAGGACTTGCTGCTCCAATACGAAGGCTGGTTGTCACGGGCGAGGACAGGCAGGAGAACTTTGAAAGACTTTTCGGCTCTGGTCCAATAGGAGATGAGGACCCTCTCTATTGGAAGATTCGCTTCCAGGTGGTCGGCGAACCGTGGTTTCCTCCCGACCCTCAGGGCCCGTTTCTGGATGAAGGGGCTCCATGGTATAGACCTAGGCAGCTTTCTGATAGGGAGCTGTGGTCAATTAAGAAGAAGGGCAAGCAGCTCTCAGGTGACCTTGATAGACAAATCCAAGGCAAGCTTTCGTCTTCGGTGTATTTCAAAGACAAGAACTGATTCTTAACAGCCCAGATGACTCAAAATATTGGTGCTGACGCAAAGCCCAGGTCGGCGCAACCTTGGTCCCGGCCACGCCACTATTAGCAATGGGGAATTGGAGATGGATACATGTTCGTCGCAAAGCCCAAAGCTATGCTTAAAATCAATAACTCGCAATGCAATAACTCAATATTAATGATTGTGCTGCAAACGCAGAGGGGAGAGACCCGCGCACACTCTGCTACGCAGAAGGCAGAGTGTACCAAGACACAGCACAATTCCAAGCTACAAGCACCCATAATTCTCCTCACAGGGTTTTGATTGAGGTAGGGGTTACTCAGTGCAGAGCAAAGTTCTTGTAAAAAGTCATGCTCGCAGTGAAATTCTTCAACCCCGTAAACTCCTCCAAGCTCCATCGACTATTCATAGTACCCCACCCAGTACTCTTGATACCGCCACAAGGCAAATTTGCTACGTAAATCAGCCATGAGTCACCGCATGCAGAAAGCAATTGTTCTTACCTTCCCCGTACACTGTATTCGCGTTCACCTGAACCTGCCCAACATCCAGCTCCTTGCTAATGTTCAATGCGCGGGTGAGATTTGTTGTATGGATCGAAGTCGAGAAGCCACATGGAGTATCATTCACAAGCTCGATGGCTTCTTCCACATTGTCTACGATGAACACTGCAAGGATGGTCCGAACGTTCATCATTCCACGTTATCATATCTTTCGTGATTCCGCTGACAATTGCTGGGACGAGGGCATTCTTTTCGTTCTGCTGCGGCCCATGAAGGTGGACCTTTGCTCCATTGCTCTGAGCGTCGATAAGTCTGTCAAAGGCACGTTTCGCCATTGTCGCCGTAACTAGAAGACCTACGTCAAACGTTCCGACCTTCTTTTGGAGGAGCTTGATGAAGTCGTCTGCGATGCTCTCCGTGATGACGATTCGCTCGGTGCCATAGCAGATCTGGCCGTGGTGCATGTATGCTACCGGTGAACGACAGTCAAAAAGCATCCCCAGGAAGAATCAGGGGTTATCTAGTCAGGGAAACACTCACCTCCAAAAATGCATGTCGCTGCTGCTTCCTCCAAGTTCGCATCCTCCAGGACAATGGTTGCAGCTTTATCGCCCAACTCCATTAGAACGGGCTTGAGATACTTCGCTGCAGCCTGTACGATCTTCGACCCCACTCCGGCACTCCCGATAAACTCAACTTTTCTAATCGCACGATGTTCAATCAAAGTTTCTGTCACAGCAGGCGCATTATCTCCACCCGTCTGTATGATATTGATTACATCACTTGGTACACCAGCCTCAATGAAAACTTCAGCAAGCATGTGATGAGTCTTGGGAGAAAGTTCGGAAGCTTTGAAAACCACGCTGCAGCCAGCACCAATAATCGACGCCATCGACCTCCCGGCGAGAATGAGAGGAGCATTCCAAGGCGCAATCAGCAGAATTGGCCCAAGAGCTTCTCGAAATATGAAGCCCATTGTATCTGGCGAAGCCACGTTAGGAACTTCTCCAACCATTGAAGAAATCCTAGATGCAATCTCTTGGATACAAGATGTGGCGAATTCGATCTGGAAAGCAGCGAAGAAGGCCTTGCAACTCGTTTCTACACGCATCATCCCCTACAAATCGTCCTCGCTATGCTTGAGGATGTCGGCCGTGTGCAAAAAGATATCACGTCGTGTGCTCCAGGGTGTGTGCTTCCATGTCTTGAAAGCTTTGGATACAGCTTCTGCTGCTGCAGTGGCGGAGGTGAGGTTGGCACTCTCGGCGAGGAAGAGCTCGCGTTGAAGTGCATTGGAGAATACTGGGAATGTACGGCCGGTGTTGGTAGATTGGGTGCCGTCGATGAGCAACGGGACGACCTTCATATCCTTGACTTCCTGATATTTAGACAACATTCTGAGATGTACAAGAAATCTTCGTTTGAAAAGGGGGGGGGGGGAGGAATGCAATGTGGTTTGCAGGAGAAATCGGGCATCGGATTGAACGCTTATATATACCAAGTTTAGTACCTTGTTCGGGAGAGCTCCTGTGTACCGTTGCAAACGAGGTCATTTTCCCACGGGATTGAGCGGACTGGCTGGACCTTATCGGTGACATGATCCGAATCAAGAAAACTGGTGCAAGAACGCGGCGTGGAAAACAGGGGGTCAAGTGTTCTATTGGGGATGTACCGATACATCTTGCAGGAAGCACATAATACACGCTGAAGTTCCGAACGACTTCTCAATCTCGAGCGCTAGCGTCGAAGTGCCCTTGAACGGCATAGTGCAATTTCGGACTTGCGGGGTTCGGACTGGAACCTTATTTCAAGGCCGAAAATGAGCGTAAATTGGATGAGAATACAGACAGGTAATGGTTCCCATGGTGTGGAGTTAATAGAGAAGAAGACTTATCTCCATGCAGACGAGCAAGAATGGCTCGAAAGCGGGAGCGGAGAGCGAAGAACGAGTAAGAACGAAATGGCATTTGCTCGGAAAACAGAGCAATAGATCTACACTGCAGTGGTTGAATACCAACGACTAACAGCGGGTCAAACATGGACAGGGGGGCTCTTGAAGAATACTTCCAGTTGACCGTACGAGATTGTATCAGGGTCCTCAGGTACTCTCGGCAGAAGACCTCCCTTGGTATTGTTGGTATTGTACATGGATACGGACACTGAAATGGACATTGACAGGACGGTAGAACGGATTGACCAACGAAGACGCAAAGAATGACTTGCACCAGCATCGACCATTGGCGGCTCAGAATCTTGACCTCATCGACCGCACGAGATTTCCAGAACCAAAGTCAAAACATTTGACCAACCAGGACGTCCCAATGTCGACTCCGTCAATTCCTCCATGTCCACAATGTTCATTCCAGCAGTAAGATGTAGCAGCCGGCGGTAAGTTGCTCATTCATACGAGCACGAAGCTCTCATTCGCATCCATTCCAGCGCCCAGAAGTTGTGCTCTAGAGCACAAGATAGAGGAGGACTCGACGGCAGCAACAATCTCACCGAAGTGCGATTGCGCTCAAGTGCACCCACAATAACGTGCCCAATACAATTTAAAGTTGAGAGAAGAAGATCAAATGTGTCGCGAAAATTTCCACTTTATATCGGCAGACGAGCTAAGCCAATCAGAGACCTGGCTTAGTAACTCAGAGTAGCGCGAACTCTTGCCGAACAGCTTCACCTCATCGAGGTCTTCGAGATCCAATTGCTTGCCCCCGCCACTGTTACAGCGTCGTTTTCTTTCTTTTCTGTCCAGACGACGAGAGGACACGATGCTGCGGCAAACTCTGGCACGTTCAGCTCTGCGGACGAGCAGGCAGAGCTGCAACACTTCAAGAGCGTTCGCGACCACGAGCAGGAGACCAGCGGAGGTCCAGCTTACTGTTGGTAAGGCGCATTGAGTCTGCAGATTATGAAGGGGTGGAAAGTGGCTAATTTGTGCTTTAGATGGCAAGACGGTCTCGATAGAAGGTATGCGTGGAACATTGGAACAGCTTCGGTAGATTCTGACAACCCCACAGCTGGTTCTGCGTTGATTCAAGCTTGCGAGAAGGCGGGAGTGACCATACCCAGGTGAGCATTGGAAGGGGAATATAACATGGAATCTTGCTAATATGTTTCTAGATACTGCTATCATGAGTGAGTGTTACAACGCATTCCGAATTGAATTATCACTGATCCCACAATAGAAAGCTTATGATTGCTGGAAATTGCCGGATGTGTTTGGTGGAGGTTGAGAGAGCTCCAAAGCCAGTTGCATCATGTGCATGGCCTGTTCAGCCTGGAATGGTCGTCAAGACGAATTCGCCCCTCACACACAAGGCTCGAGAAGGAGTTATGGAGTTTCTGCTGGCCAATCACCCTCTAGACTGCCCTATTTGCGACCAAGGAGGAGAGTGCGATTTACAAGATCAATCTATGCGATACGGTGCTGACAGAGGACGATTTCACGAAATTGGTGGCAAGCGTGCAACGGAAGACAAGAATATTGGACCCCTCATCAAGACATCCATGAACCGATGTATCCACTGCACAAGATGTATTCGATTTGCCAACGACGTTGCTGGTGCGCCCGAGCTTGGATCTACTGGCCGTGGAAACGATATGCAGATTGGGACATACCTCGAGAAGAACTTGGACTCGGAAATGTCTGGAAATGTCATCGACTTATGCCCCGTTGGAGCTTTGACTTCGAAGCCCTACGCATTCAGAGCAAGACCATGGGAATTGAAGCACTCCGAGTCAATTGATGTTCTGGATGGCCTTGGATCAAACATTCGGGTGGACTCGAGAGGTCTTGAGGTTATGCGAATTCTTCCCAGAATCAACGACGACGTCAACGAGGAGTGGATCAACGACAAGTCACGTTTTGCTTGTGATGGATTAAAGACTCAGAGACTCACCACGCCCCTGATCCGGAAAGACGATAAGTTTTTCCCTGCCACTTGGGAGCAAGCCTTGACTGAGATCGCTGCTGCCTACAAGGACTTCGCACCGAAGGGTAACGAATTCAAAGCCATTGCTGGGGAGCTCATCGAGGTCGAATCAATGGTGGCTTTGAAGGACTTGGCCAACAAGCTTGGTTCTGAGAACTTGGCTCTGGATCAACCCTCCGGAAGTCAACCAATCGCTCACGGAATCGACGTTCGTTCAAACTACCTCTTCAACTCAAAGATTTGGGGTGTAGAGGAAGCTGATGCAATTCTCATCGTGGGATCCAATCCTCGATGGGAAGCAGCTGGTTTGAATGCTCGTATCCGCAAGCAATGGATGCGCTCAGACCTTGAGATTGGTGTTGTTGGCGAGACATGGAACTCTACTTTCGAATTCGAGCACCTTGGCACCGACGCCGCTGCTTTGAAGAAGGCTCTTGCCGGGCCATTTGGGAAGAAACTTCAAGCAGCCAAGAGACCAATGATCATCGTTGGCTCAGGAGTTACTGACCACCCAGATGCAAAGGCCATCTATGAGATGGTTGGCTCTTTCGTGGATAAGAACGCCGCAAACTTCCTGTCTGAGGAATGGAATGGTTACAACGTTCTCCAACGTGCTGCATCAAGAGCTGGTGCTTACGAAGTTGGCTTCACCACTCCATCGACTGCGGTCGCAAACACCAAGCCCAAGTTCGTCTGGCTCCTTGGTGCAGATGAGTTCGCAACGTCAGAAATTCCCAAGGACGCTTTCGTGGTCTATCAAGGACACCACGGTGACCGCGGCGCTCAAATCGCCGATGTCGTCCTCCCTGGGGCTGCATATACCGAGAAAGCAGGCACCTACGTCAACACCGAAGGCAGAGTTCAAATGACTCGAGCGGCCACTTCATTACCGGGTGCTGCACGAACAGACTGGAAGATCATCCGAGCAATCAGCGAGTTCCTCGGTGCACCATTACCTTATGATGATGTTGCAGCTCTAAGAGATCGTATGATCGAGATCAGCCCTGCGTTGGCCAGTTACGATGTTGCTGAGCCAGTTGCATTGAAGCAGCTGAGTAAGGTGCAACTGGTGGACCAGAACAAGGGCAGCAAGCCAAGCGGTGAGGCATTGAAGAAGGTTATCGAGAATTTTTATTTCACAGACGTCATCTCAAGAAGGTAAACTATCCATTGACGGTCGCTTGGGGATCTGTGCTAACAATTTTACAGTTCGCCAACAATGGCTAGATGTTCTGCAGCGAAGGAGACAGGCAACCCAGAGACCAACTTCCTGGCACCTGGATATTCATCAGAGAATCCTCATGGTCGTGTTGCATATGGGCCGTGATCTTGTATTTTGAGACCTTTTGCCCTGCATCTGGTGTTGGTTCTGTATATATGGGAAGTCGTACAATACAAAGAATGCAAAAACTAAATAGATCGGCCCATGTCCTACCCATGAGTGGTCATTATGGCCTGCAAGCCAGCAGACTTCCAAGTGGATTTGAAATTAGTTATTACGTTTGGTCGTGCAGCAAATCTATGCATTTTACATACTGTACATGTACTGTACATCAGACCGTCATGAAAAGTAAACCAGCCCATCCGTCGGATCGAAGTCCAACTTAACCCCAACGCCTTCCATGCACAACCAACTTCCTCCCAAGGGAATGCTGCTCCAAGCAGGATGTATTTATCTCATCCTCGTTTCTCAAAGCTTTCATCTCATTTTCGTTCCCTCCCTTCGAAACAATAATCCTCTTCATCAGTGCCAAATCTATACTGGCAGCGCAAATTTCTTTCCCTTCAGCACCTTCGTGTAGTAAATCCAGAAGAAGTCCGAATACAGCAATGTCTGCACGATCCCAGCAAGGACGCTAATCGGCTCCCAGTGGCCCTCCACAAAATACCGGTAGATCCAATTCGGGATATACAGCGCACGGTAGCTCCCCAAAGCAAACAGATAATGTGTCGTTATCGTCTCCGCCTCTCCAGTTCTTTGCAACAAGAACAATTGCGGCAGAATAGCGACCGATTCAAGCCAGATTGAGAAAGCCCACGTCATTTCATACAGGGTCCATTTGTACGGGAAAAGGACAGCAAGCACGGCTGAGCCCCCGAGCAGGTATTGCACGCGGAAGGTATCGAGGTTCGGGTCGTGGGTTGGCTTGTACGCTGTTGTCATGAGGTAGATTGTGTAGCCTGACGAGGCGAGGAAGAGCATCTTGAAGACGGTGTTGTAGAGGCTGTCGCCGAAGGTCCAGAAGAGGTCGAGGTAGCGGGTTATGTAGACGATTAGGTAGAGGGCTTGCGATTTGAAAGATATGCCGGAACATGACTGTGGACCTCGTTAGCTTTCGTGTGTCGAGCGAGGCCGCATTCCGAAGAAATAGGAATTGCTTTGGGAAGGAGAAGTACGCTGGTTTGTGTCATCTTGTGTAACAATATCAGAATCGATATCAAGTGGGAGAGGTCTCCTGTAAGAATCAATTAGTTCTTTATCTCTAGGAAGGGAGTTCCAAGCTGTACCCAGGATCCGAAAAATATTCATGGCGGGTGGTCGTGGAACGCCTCGGCGTTTTCCTCGCAGGCGTGCAGCGGGTGAAGGAGTGGATAGCTGCTCAGATTTAGCAGCTTGGTTGGCGTCCGAGTCAATGGCAAGGTTGATGGTTCTCGCAAGAGAGGCTTCAGATGGGGATGTTAAGGACACGCAACGGCGCGCTTTCTTTCTCCAGGGAGTCGCTTAATTAAGCTTCCGGCTAGAAGCGAGTAGCCGCGACGTGCGGATCATGTGGCGACGACTGGCGATTACGAAGCAAACACTACCTGGAACTTTCTGGTAATCAGAACAATGAACTTGTATTTTGCAAACAAATACCATCTCAATCTCTTCCTATTCCACTTACACTTCCATACTTAGTGAACATGGCAACTGATATGCAAGAACCCACCATGTCTACTGACACTCAGGATCTAGTCTCGGTTACCTTCACACACCATGGCCAACCTCATACCTTCCAATTCCCCACCGATGCCACTATCTCAGACCTCTCAGATGATATCGCCGACAGCTTGTCAATACCTCCCTCGAACCAAAAGATCATGGTCTCGAAAATTGGCCTCCTCAAACCTCCATTCAAAGATCCGAACCTCCCAATCACCTCGATAGCAGACAAGAAGATCATTTTGATGGGAAGTACAGCGGATGAAGCCTCCTCAATAGCAGAAGCCGCCGAGCACACATCTCGACGAGCAATCCGACGAAGTAGACCAATGCAAAAAGTCCAAGCGTACAAATCCCACGACTGGAAGAAAGAGCAAGAAGAAAGCCAATACACTTTCCTCACTCTCCGACCCTTGTCATACCTCCCAAACCCCTCCAAGTCTCTACAGTTCCTGCAAAGGTTGAAAGACGATGCGGGGATCAAGGCAGCGATGAGGAAACACAAGTTCACGGTCCCGCTGCTCACGGAGATGAATCCCGTCGAACACACGCAGTCCAACCATGAAGGCACAACACGCACCCTTGGGCTGAATCGAAATGCGGGAGAGGTCATTGAGTTGAGGTTAAGGACTGATGCGTATGATGGATACAGGGACTACAAGACGATCCGGAAGACGCTTTGTCATGAACTGGCACATAATGTACATGGTCCCCATGATAGGAATTTCTGGGATCTGTGCAAGCAGATAGAGAAGGAGGTTGAGGGAGCGGATTGGAGGAGTAGTGGTAAGACAGTGGGGAATGATGAGGTTTATGATGGCAATGGGGAAGAGGATGTGGATGATCATGGTGGATGGACAGGGGGCGAGTTTGTGCTTGGTGCGAGTAGTGCTAGAGGTGCGGAGAGCACGGGGAATGCGGATACAGGGGGCATGAGCAGGCGGGAGATTCTGGCGAGGGCGGCGGAGGAAAGGATGAAGAGATTGAGGGAGCAGCAGCAGGAGGGTGGGGGAGGGCAGAGCAGTGGATCTTCTTGATGAGGAGATGAGGACTTTACTTGCATTTGAGCGTCGGCGTTAAAAGACCCGGATTATGGGATACCGGTATGATTTTGGAAATCCTTCTTTTCAATGTAATGAAATTGCTTGTTTCATCTTACGTCGCCCTTTTGCGTGTTCATCATTGGATATCGTGTCCTTGAGGATGAGCAGTGCACTGTTTACACCCATTTCCAGTCGACGAAGGCGGAATTCTGAGTAGAGAAATAGAAGCGGTAGAGACAGCGGTTTTATTTGCACCTCACTGCTGGCTTACAATTCCTCGAGCTCCCTTTTACGTCCCCTTGAACCATGGTCCCTACCCCGTACCAGCATTATAACGTCAAGCTACTTGCCTTTATTGCATATCGCTTGAGCTAATAGAATGGTTAGCCTTCCTCTAATATTATAACTATGGTTTCTATTATGTCCTTGCATCTGCTTAATGCACCTCGGTTATATCCAGAAGGTATCTTTGATCCTGCAAGACGTTGCTTTGATATAATTCGAGATGAAATGTGGAACCCGCCCGTGAGCTGCTTCGTCCGTGGCTCGATCAGCGTGTATTATTGTATTCCTCAACAAATCGGACACTGTACCTGCCGATCCTTCGTTGCTATCAGGCTGAGCGCTGACCCCATCACGTGCTGATGCAATTCACTTCTCCGACTTTTATCAATTGAAATAAGGCCTTTTCCCTCAACAGCGGCCTCAGTGGCGGTAGTGTATTCTAAACCCCTCAAAAGGTTGAAGCACTAACTACTGCTGAGGAGTGGTAATGCAACGAAACCGGTTCCTTAATTCGAAATGATATGACCCAGTTTGTAGCACATACCCACCGGCCATTACCCAGATGCGCCGGAGTAACATTGGGATGTGACTGGAGAATTGATCCCCGGTATCAAAGAATGTGAGTCTTCTATCCCTTTAACTTTTTTTTGAAGCTTTTTGCAAATGGCCACAGAGAGAAACATGAAGTGGTACATGCCAATCGAGGTCCGATGACATGAACAAGCAGTGAACTCTGTATTAAGATGTCCTAAACCTCGGTTTTCGGTTTCTTGAATTTTTCGGGTGGGGCGTGGGATGAGAGCGAATTAGCGAGGCGAGGTTTTGAGGATATACTTTTCCCCGCTCATGTCCCTATGAAAAACCACCAACTTAGCCTTTGTAACAGACCTTGTAAAAATCGTGTTGAAATTGGAGCTGTGTTCACCGAAGTAAGTCGTATTCGTATATAGAGGTGCCTCCGGACCCTTGAACTGATAAAGCCTCCCGGATCGATATATAAAATTTTGGCGTGTGGCGCAGCTCTCAATGTACAAATGTTCTTCGGTTCGTTTGACTTTGCAACCGAGCAGATCCAGCTCTTTCCATTTAAACTACCATTTTATCGATGCTAATTAACTTTAGAGCTTCCATATATGGGTGAGATTGGAGGCTTAGAAATCCCACTCCTCGCGCCTACCCCGCATCCCCAGATGTCGACCTCATCAGCTCCACCACTAACACCCAAACGAGAGTTCGTCGCTCTCATGACAGGCTTCGGTGTATGTCCAATCCCTCTTTTCAGAACCTGACTAACCAATTCCATCCAGCCCTTCCCGCAAGCGCCCATAAACACATCCCACCTCCTCACCATGCATCTCGCAGATCATCTATCAATGATCAACCAATACAACTCAACTGGACTGCCTATCGAAATTCCGAATCCCACTGCCGCGGACGGGAAATTCATTAAAACCGAGTACGCCTATGTACGCGCTTTCATCCAACAGCTGTTCGACCAGTATCAAGACCAGGTCGATGCAATTGTTCATCTTGGATGGTAGATGGTTGGGAGTAGTACTCCTTGGAAGAGAGAGCGTTCAATGAAAGGTTTACCAGTAATTGGTGCGGCGCACGGGAGGAGGAGGGGTATTATAGTGCCTGATGCAGAGGGGAAGACGGTTAGGGATATTTCCAAGAAGGGAGGGAAGGGGATGTGGGACGATATTCCGTTGGGACTGAAAGCTGCCGGGCTTAACGTTAGGATTTTTGTGGATGATGTGAAGAAGATTGTGAACTATGAAACGGATAACAAGGGGAAGGGGAAGGGGAAGGAGAAGATAAAGGTTGATGTCATTTCTCATGATGGGGCTGGATATGCGGGTGGATTTAATTTATTATGAGAGATTGGCAACTTGCAGGAGGAGGAAGCTCAATACAAGGGTGGTGTTTTGTCACGTCCCTGAATGGAAGGAGGAGGAGGAGAGGCTTGAGAGAGGTGCGGATTTGGTTTGTGCTGTTGTCGGTGCTGTCTACAGACAGATCACTCCTTCCTTCCCTGACCAGGTCATATACCCGATATAGGTGGATCAGTATTCTATCTGATCCACTCTGAAGTCATTGCATTCAGCGTGCTTGGTTCAATGTTGTCCTACCCATCATCCGCCGTGGTGATCTCATTGCACCCAAATGACTCAGATCAGGCAATATTTATTCCATCCAACGCCACTGCTTAGTCGAAGTCGAAGCAAGACATCTTCCTCGCAGCCGCCGGTTACAAGTTGAACGCAGATCTGGCCAAGCCCTCCGCAAGCTTGTTCTCATTCTTCGTAACCCTCCAGAGCTTGACGTCGGTAGCCTGTTCCTCCAAAGCCACAAAGAGTGTATGCAATTCGTGGAACAGGTCCGCGTGTACGACAGGGCTACCCTTGGAGTTAACGTAGTCCTGGTCCTCCCACTTCCAAACAACTCCATCCCTAAGACGTATTTAGCATTGTAGGATATGTTGCAGGATGATATGTAAAGTTGGACCTACATATGTTGGGGCAGGTAGTTTGAGGTGACTTTGAGGACGACGAGGTTAATATCAGCTGCTAAAGAGTGATCCTGCACAGTCTTGAGGGCCATAATGGCGGCGTAGAGCTCAGATGCCTGTGAATTGTTAGTTGATTCTCAGGTGCTCCAGGCCATATCAAGCTTATGCAGATCTTGGGAAGGTAAACTGGCCTGATCATTGATGGGGCCATCCTTTGGCAAGAGACCGCAACGATTGAATGATGAGCCCTCGGCGAAGAATACTCCGTATGCCCCCTGTTTTCCCAGATTGATACCCTTGATAACACCATTAACGTCGATCAAGAGAGTCCGTTCGTCGCCGGAAAGTCGCCGGAAACCCCTTGGGTTGATGCTCGTGTTCTGGAAATCTGGAACACCGAAGTATTCGTCCGCGTCGAAAATGCGACTTGTCATTGTGGGATTCTCTTGGGTCGATCTCTCAGCTCTGAGGTGGTTCTTGTTGGTGGAAGAAGGATTTGGAAGGAATCTCGTGGATTTTACGAAGCTTAAGCGACCTCGGAATGCATTCACCTCCAAAAACGAGAATTAGGGCTAGGAAAGTAAAATTGTGTAAGCTTTCGAATTTCCAAACATTTGCCTGGACAAGGAGCGTGTGTGATAAGTGGACGGAAGCAGAAGTTTTCAAGCATACTTCACACTTTCAACAAAACCGTGTCACTCGACGTTGAATCGTAAGGTTATCTTGCAATGTTCGAGTCTAAATATAATGTACCACGCCGTATTCGTACATCTATATTCCTGCTTCGGGTCGTCTCAAAATTCCTCCCATGTGTTGTGCAATACCAACGCCACCTAAGCTTCCCCCGGTCAGTGACAAGCACTTCAAGAAAAAGTGCAACACTCACCTGAAGCCTCTCAAAATATTGCAGCCCTCGCCAGTCCATCAGCTTGCTGATTGAACTCTTTCCTCACCAAACAAAAGCTCACATGTATTCCATACTCCTTCTCCAACAAAACAACCTTTTCATGCAAGTACTTGAAAGCTCTCCCATTGACTACCGGCTGACCCTTCCAATTGCGGAACCCATTCAGCGCCCACTTCCAGATATATTCGCTCAATCCCAATGCCAGGTAGGACGAATCCGTCTTGATGATCACATGCGTGAGGTCCTCCCCAGCAATGATGAGCTGATGGACAACCTCCAATGCTTGTATCGTTGCATACAACTCCGAATAATTGCTGGTCTGTGGTGAGGGAGCTGGAACTTCGCCGCTTTTGTTCAAATCATGTGCGTGATGGGAGAAGAATACGCCGTATGCTGTTCGAGCTGATGATAATCCGTTCTCTCTGCAAGAGCCTCCGATCGCAACGACAATAGATTGGGGGTCGGTTTCTAGTCTTCTGAGACCTGATGATTCATCCGTGACGGCTGTGATGCCATGTCTTTCTACGTCAAAGGTGCGATTCTTCTTAGGGACAGTAGTGAGTCTGCGTTTCACAACTTCCGTAACTTTCGTGTTCTGGCGATCTCTCACAGATTTCACTCTCCCCATTCTGCTGGCTCTCAAAAGTGGACCAATGTCTTTTTTGCCTCTTCTTGAACGGACCCTCACCATTCTGGCAGATTTCTGGTAGTATTTAAGTGAAAGTCCTGTCCGAGTGGGTTGTCAGATCTTGAATTGAGGCTGATAGAGAAATGAGGATGTTGACAGGACGTCGTGAGCTGTGGGTCGGTTCTCAAGCCACATCCGTCAGAGGCGAGATGGCTAGGCCAGGAGTGGGCGCTACTCCATGGAACACACATGCCCCTGAATCTATGGCATCAGCTTTCATATTCTTCCAAAGGAAATGAACCCAGAACAGGTTTGATAATTGGTCTAAAGAAGCCTGCGAGTGACAGAGGAAAAGATACTACAAGCTAGAAGCTGTGAATCTCCATCCCTCACCAGCCAGAACACCATATTCTGCCCCTTCATGCTTGTGGCAAACTCCAAGAATCAAGTTATGACATTTGCTCACTTTAGGAAGAACAGAATCTCAGCTCTTGCACAGTTCGGATAAGAATTAAACATCTCGTCTCCGGCTTCAAGTTCCATCACGTGCTCACAGCCCCCTTCGGCTATGCGGCCGCCTCTGCAGCGAAGCGGCCGAAGCGGACATGCAAAGAAAATCCCATTTCCATCTCCGAACCTCCAACACCTTTCCCATCTCCGAACCTCCACCACCATTCCATAATCTCCATGTACGATCAAGAACAGGGTCAAGCTTCCAAACGCCCATAGCCCCCACTCCGCTCCTCGGTTGGTCCGCAAGATATTTCAAATCTGGTGATCGAATATCGCCAGTGGACGCTTCTACTCCGGGGCTGGCTTGGAGGGTAGGAAGTATAAAGCCAGCCCCCTTCCATTCTCTCAGTTCTATCTTCATTCTCAATCAGTTCTCTATTCAATCTCAAACATCCATTAGTTCTTACAAAAAACAAACACAATGACTAAATCCATCCCAGAAAACGCCGTCTGGCTTATATCAGGCTGCTCCTCTGGCCTTGGCCAGAACCTCAGCACACTCCTCCAAGAAACCAACACCTACCGCATCGTAGCAACAGCCCGACGCCTCTCCGCCCTCTCCTACCTCCCCTCCTCCCCAAACATCCTGAAACTCGAGCTCGACGTCACCTCCCAAACGTCGATCGACGCGGCGGTCGCAGCAGCAGTTGAGAAGTTCGGGAGAATCGACGTCCTAGTCAATAATGCAGGATACGGACTCATGGGCGATGCAGAGGGTACCTCCGACGCCGAAGCACGCGAGATAATGGATACGAATTTCTGGGGTGCGGTCAATATGACAAAAGCTGTGCTACCTGTATTCCGTGATGTGAATCCGGCTGGTGATGGAGGCGTCGTTGTGATGGTCAGCTCCATGGGTGGCTTCATCGGTTTTCCCGGGGGCACATATTACCATGCGAGCAAGTTCGCCATGGAGGGATTCACAGAGAGCGTGGCGAAGGAGATGTTCCCTGAGTGGAATATCAGGTTCTTGATTCTGGAGCCTGGTGGAGTCAAGACGAAGTATGCATCCGGAATTAGATACTCAAAAAGGCATCCGGCGTACTTGGATCCAAAGGGACCCACCAATCAGATGATTGCGTATCTCCAGACCCCAGGTATTGAGGATGCTTGGGGTGACGCAGTGCTTGTGGTCAAGGCTTTGGTCAAGGTCGTGGCGTCTGATGATATTCCGTTCAGATTGCCCATGGGGAGTGATGCGTGGGGATTGATGAAAGCGGAGGTGCATGGCATGGACAAAGAACTTGAGAAGTGGAAATCGGTGAGCGAAAGCTCCTCAGGTGGGGAACAGTTGGAGAGTGTTGAATTTTTGAAGAAATGAGGATACAACGGCATTGTTCAGTAGCTTTTGTAAATAGATTTTTTCAAGGAGCCACTTAGCTATAAATTAGAATGAGCATTTAAAAACAAGGGCAAAGCTTGCTCTCTCGGTGAGAAATATACGAAACTCGAGGGGACCTTTGAAGAAAGTAGACTTCAATGCACTTGACTCGAGAGGATGTTAAGAGAGCAGACGCATCCAAAGTCTCGAAAATGTGGACGAAACTGCAAGTGAAAAAATATCCACTTTTATGCGTGCATGCACTCCGTTCTCATAACTAAGTCAGTCTTCATGAATGTCTCCTCTTCGATGTCGAAGAGCCTTCCCGATGACACTTCGAATTATTTCACGAAGTCCAAACGATGGCAGCTCCTCTACATCACGAATGTCCCGGGGGTCTCTGCGCAACATAGCTATACCTACTCAACTGCCATCCTCGGTTCGAGTTCTCATGTCTTTTGCACCCCTAGCCAACTGACAGGCCTCATACACATCATCACCTCCCAGAAAGCGAAAGCTTACTCGGATAGAAGGCTGCCCTTTTCGGAGATCGGTGAGTTTTCCAAGCAATTTCCGCAATTCAGGACAGTGGTCAGCATCATGGAAATCTCTGCCTTTCTTCCTTGTCAACGTCCACCCCTCATACTCATACACCCATTTCCACTCGTCCAGGGCGATCAGAAATCCCTGGATCTTTGTGCACAGTATGATGTGATCGATGACGATTGCCATTTTATGAATCATTTGAATGGTCGTATCCAATGCAAAGGTCGCCGCCAGTGCCCCAATCTTGTGAGGATTATTGTACCGGTCATTCCAATATACATGAAGTTTCCCATACTTCCGCGACAGCCTCCATTCCTGTGACAATTCCAACTTTTTTGCGTTATAAAGGGAGTTCTCTGCGAACCAAACTCCAAAGCCAGTCTTTTCCTTACCAGACCAACATTCACCATGCATGCCGACTACGATCGCGTTCGTAACATCTTCGTTGAGAGGGGGTCGCCAGATTTCAGCCTTTCCATCGTAGTAACCACCGCGTCGATGGTAATCGAAACTACCTGTATTGCTGTCAATCCGAGGTGGCAAGAATCCTTGATAGTGGTAGAAAAGGCTTTGCTCTTCTCCTACGGCGATCTGTATCGGTGACTTTGGTATTATGCTTGGTTGACCTGTTGCCGACTGTGACAATCTGCTGTGTGAACGTTTCCATGCCACTTCTCCCGGTTCCAGGTCGTATGTTGATTTCAAGATTCTATATTCTTCTATGTATCCCTCGAAGGCTTCTTTGTAAAACTGAGGCCGTTGTGCTTGGAGCTCTCCTGGTGCGGGGAGCCACTTCGATCTGACTGCTTCGTGCTTTTTGACAAACTTCGCAAATGGTTCGTTGTATTCATTATCTCTCACGCGATGCGATTGCGATTGCGTTAGAGTCCCAAGTTGGTTGCCCGATGTTGGCCCAAGAATAGGCCGGTTGTCAGATCTTGGAATCTGTCCCGGATGTTTGTTGACTTCTGGATGTCTCACCTGCTGTCCGGGTGCTTTCGGTAGAGTTGTTTGGGAGGGTGATTCAACTCTGGTATTTTGGGATAATGGCGTTTCCCTTAGTCCAAGTTCCCTCCTTTGTCTTGCCTCTTGGAGTGCTCTTTGAATAGTGATTCGGGGAGCTGGTGCTGTAACTGATGGTTGTCCGGGGTGGGGTTGAGACTATACCGCCTGACGTGTTACTGTTGCCTCGGTGGAACTTTGAGGTTCAACTTCCGGGGCACTTTTCAAAATTTTGTCATATTTTTCAATGTCTTCCCCGAAACTCTCAAGCCATTCTTCGACGCTCTTGGGACTCGAACCTTTTCCCTTGTCCCCAAGGGTGATCATGCCACCCCTCGGATCCGCCTGCATGTGAGACAGCAGAAATTGGGTCTGGTCATCGTTTTCGCTACTAGATATGCCGTTGCCCTGCCGCCCTGTATCTGGTCCGCCCCAGCAGCCCCTGTAATCTTGTGATGCGGTATCGGACGACTCAATTTGGCAAACCCGTGCTGCAATTCGCGATCCGGTGTTCGAGCTGCCCGACTTTCTGCCATACGATCTACTCTCACAGCTCGATTCTCTGCTCTCTTCTCGTCTCTTGAATGTTCTGGCTTTGAATTCGTAACTCCGTTCTGCGGATATGGCTTCTGAGGCTGTTCTGCGCTGTCGAGGCAGCGTGGTTCGTTCGGGGTCCCGGGCATCCCAATGTATTGGTTTGCTTCTGATGAGTTGCACATCAGCGTCGGACATGACGGCGCGATTCGATTATTATACTAATGTCTCTGGAAGAATGTTGTAAGTGATGTTATGAGTGATGAAGATGGAAGTCTATGTTTGAGCGGAAGACTTAGCTTTGTTTACTTTGGTGTTGGTGAGGGAAGAAGGAGCGGCGATCAAATAAGCGCACCTTCCATCAGTGTCAAGGCCAGTCAATCTCACTTTTGGAGAGCAACAACACGCTGGTCTCTCATAAACCTACAGCCAATCTAATTCCGCTTTCGTCGAGGGGAAAATATGCGAAGCTGTCATTGTCGAGTGAGGTTGCGCTCTATATGTTGAGATCGAGTTGCGTCGGTGTGTTTGTAGAATTTCTCGGAATATCAGCCTCTCAAATGTTTGGGTTATTCACCCAATCAAGGAGGTTTCGTGGCATCCATCACCCATTTCGGCAGGAGTGCTTGTGTGCAAGATCTCGTGCGGCTTGGATTGGTTCCTGCTGGACTGAGGTTTTGCCTTTCTGAACAATGATTCTCAAACCATTCCTATCATCGCTCTAAAGGATTCTTAATTTTTACGCAATATTCATATCAATCAATTTGATTGATAATGTGAGTAGTCCTTTTGACGATTCGGTGCTTCGCTTGCTAAGCGAGTGGCGAGAGGGTCTCCCCTTTTCAGAGCCCAGCTCCTTACATAGCCAAGCTTTCTTGACCCATGCTTCACGCATCGCGGTTCATTGTACGGTGACTTTTATATCACTTGTTTGCTACTGTATTGTATTTGATCATTGTATATTTCGTTGAGCGTTGGTAGCCCCAATACTTTCCCCACATTTTGTTATTTTCAGCGGCAGACCTCTGCGAACTAAAGAAAGACAATTCTCATTTCAATACCACTCGTTATTACAAAAGATTGTGTTCTCTTTGGAATCAGAGGCAAGGAAAGAATGAAATTCAGCCATCTGCGAGCGAGATATATCATAAGCTCAGAGATCAATGTCCGTGGTCATTATCGTCGTCGTGGTCGTGGTCGTGGTCGTCATCGTGGTCGTCATCATGGTCGTCGTCGTGGTCATCATCATGACCATGACCGTGGCCAGGCTTCGGATACACAGTAACAACTGGGAAGCCCCAGCAGCTGCAAGCACTGGAGTATCTCACACCGCCAGAGCAGGCGGTAGCATAGGTCGGGACGGCGGTTGGGCTAGTTGGAGGATGGCTAGCGTAAGATGTATGTCAGAACAGCGAGCATGGATCAAGTTTTGTGTTAGATGGTGACTTGCTGTTTATATTGAGTGACCTGCATGAAACTCTTGCAGTCTGCCTGGTGGGAATAGACGGTTGCTGGCCCGTTGCGGGTGCCAGTGACGGCTCGAGCACAGTTGTCTGCGTTGCAGCCCGGTGGCCCGTTATTCCTCTCGAAAATGAGGTTTCCGAAGGCAAGGCTAGCAAGAGCGAGGAGAATGAGTGTTGGTCTCATGATGAACGATTATTTGAGAGGGATAACTTTGGTGTTGATAGTCAGGATAAGTTTTTGGTTATGATTAAAGTGAAAGTTGCTTGAGCTGGGAAACTTCACAGGCTCAGATAAGTGGCACTCTTTAAATAGAGAACAACCAAAGCCCCGCAGTGCCTCATCGTATCCCCTCTCTTGGCATCCCTCTCAGAGGAAGACTCTGCTAAGCCAAATCCTGAACTCGGTGTCATGGCTGCAGGAGGAGCTGTCGATGTTCGGACAGTGAGGGGAGGTGCCTCTCCACTTAAAGCGTTCCCAAGCCTTCTCCAACAATGCGATCAGTATTATGGAGAAACTAAAGCGAAGCCTTGTGGAATGCGTTGGAAGTCGCGCTGTTCTGTTCCGCTGGGCACTGAGGCTTGGAAATCAGACTATTGATTTTCCGCGGGATGACGGGCCATTCACGTCAACGATTGCAATATTCAGCTCCCTCGAAAAGAGTATCCACTTAAAGGCTTTGAAAGAGAGAAGAGACTTCTTCGTTATAAAAGCAACCTCAAACAAATTACTCGTGAACCTCGCTAGGTCTTTCGGATCCACCTCTAGTTCTAGACCTTCCCCTCTATGCAAAGATTCGATTGAGCGTAGCGATGCAGTGATGTAATAAAATAAAAACGGCTGTTTTATATTTTTCTCGCAATAAAAAACATTATTTTTATAATTTCCGATGGTTTTCTAATTTGTATGGCATGTATGTGTATATAATTATTTAGGACGAAAACAATGAAAACACCAAATTAGGCGAGCAAGTCACGCTCTAACGTCACGTGAAAATATAAAAAGCCACTTTCTTTTTATATATAACCAATAAAATATGATACAAACATGTTTTTGATATAAAAAACTCTTTTTATGCATTCTTAATTGAGTGTCACTAAGACACGATGGCTGTGGAACTCATTGAAGCTACAGATCAGGAAAACTTACCAAGTTACTGACTGCTGTTCGTGATGCGCTACGAGGTGGTGTAATGTCAGGTTCGGACGGATTTCCCGGAGGTTACATAGCTGATTATCAGATGCGGGGTCGAGTCTAACTTCGGGAATAAGGAAATGCTGCATATCATCGACCGTCTGAAAAGGGATGAGGTTAAAAAGGGAATGAGGGGGCTGGATCACCAACACGTCAGACAAGGAACGCCACCCAGTCAGCCATGACACCAAAACACCATTCCTTCAGCTGAACCCTTCCAACTTCTCCTCACAGAATAATTAGCTTTCTTGGAGGAGAACATTACCATGATCTGATTCCTTCCATATTCTGATATCCGGATCCGACGAGAGAGCAAGCCTGGAGGACGGCTCGATTGGCCCCTCGGTTCCTGGATGGCCAGACTAAAACCTCGTTGCCTAATGGCATAAGTCAGCGAATCGTTTGGCTTTCGGAGCTTGGCAACAAATAAATGAAGGAAAAATAGGCGGATGTACCCCGCATCACGTATTTTGAAGTGTCAATGAATTGGGATTGGCTCTTGTATTAAGTTACTCCCGCAACGGATCAGTTGGAGCAGGCTCACTTTCTGACTCTGTACCCGAATATCAACATTCCAAATATAGCTTTGTTGCCTCGCCGAACTTTGCAAGGCCACTCCGAACGAAAGTACGGAAGCGGCTGCGCAAAGTTTCTTCCGTCCAACCCGAAGCAACCGGCTCGCCGGTTACTCTCATCATTTTCTCTTATCAGATCAAGTTGAAATCTTGAAGTAATGAACTTATTCATTATTCGAAAAACCAAGAAATCCAAAGGAGATTCATTAAATGTGTGTCTAGACTAAATAAAATCAAGTCCTGCCTTTCCAGAGCGTTCAAAATTCTAAATTATTACCAAAGGATTTAATATCTGAATTGACGAAATGTGTGAGACTTTCACTTTGATAACCCTGAAATTTTTAAAGATTGCTTAATCCATGAGCAGCTGGACGGATGTGGAAGTTTCCTAGGTTGGTTTGAAAACGATTTCTAGATTAAAACGGTTTGAAATTTTGAAGTGTTCCGAGTAAGTTTCGGCGGCGGAATTGACGGACCACATTCCAACTTTCCAACAAGACTTGAAAGTCCTGAAATTCAAGTAGCAAAACCACGACAACTCCATCGGTCCATGTATATAGAACTCTCAAAGCCCCTTCACCGGAATTTGCTGTGATGTTTCCGCAAAGGACATAAGTCACGTGAACCCCTCTGCACCACAGCATCTCAGACCCACACACTTCTTCAACATAACCCGCGACTATCCTCCACCATTCTAGGCATACGACCAGTAGGAGGCTGCGGCCACCTATCGAGTACAACATCCTGCCCCACCAACGTGAGATCGACCCTCGCCTGTCTTGGCACATCCAACAACAAACTATACCTCCCCACTAAAGCTCCGTATGCCCCACCTCATCCACCCCCGCCAAACTCCCAACCTTAATCTCAATCTCCGTTTCCTCGTCGCCTTAGCAGCCAATCCTTTCAACCTCTTATACCCCACCAACTCTTTAATCGGATTCGGTTTCAGTCCAAGGTCTCCACTCACAAAACCAAAGCCACGAAATCCGATGTTCGGGGCCTGTATTCGTGACCTCGACCTCGATCTTCGAATCTGGCTGGAAGGGAAAGAGATCAAAGAAGGATTCAAAGTTGCTGTGAAGCAGGTTATGGATCTCAGTCGTTCGTGTTGAATTCGATGTCGAACTCCCGCCGCCCGGAGATTTTAGAGAGGAAGGGTAGAATCTGGCAGTGAGGTTCGTGTCATGCAGGCCATAGATCAAACCGTAAGACGGAGTTGTTGTAGAATTTGTATATCCTTCCTGGCTTTGTAGCGGAGGGGCGGAGAGACATGTCGGTCATTGGGACTTGGTCTGTATATTTGGCAGGATGTTGAGTTACAGGTAGCCTGCTAGCTGGCGCGTGAACCCCGGCCAAGATATCGAAGACTGCGGGCTCTCCGTCTTGGTCTGGATGCCCCGCCCGTGGGATGGCGGAAATGTTAGGGGTTTGGAAGAGGGGATTGTCGTCTAGTTGACCTCCCATTTTTATGACGATGCAAGGCTTTCCGAGAGAGAGGAGCCTTAAGAGATTAAATCCAGTTGTGCAAGACTCCCGGCGATTGAATATCTGTCCCATGCTTCGCCTTCGATTGAAGAATTGACGCCTCCGAAATACAGGGCGATATCTGAGGGATTGGCGGCTGCGAGTGCGCCCTTAGTCATGTTCACGGGGTTGTGTTGTTGTTGATGGGTCTATTTGCGTATGTACGCCACTTGCAGTCCGATTTGTTGGACAGCATAGAGAGAATTACACAGATACGGAGGAACTTCACTGTATCCTCCTTGCATTTGAACTTGTGCATTTGCCCACATGCCAGTTATTGCCACTTTCGTACCATTTTTGGGAGCCAAAGGCAAAGTGCCGTCGTTTCTCAGTAAGACCATTGCGGCATTGCCTTGACGGCTGATTGGCGAGCTAAATTCTGTGCTCCTGGGGTGTTTACGTCGCTCCATGAGATGACTCGATATGGATTCGCTCTTGATGGGTCGAAATAACCAAGTCTTACCAAGGCCCCATACTGTCTCTCGAGAGCGTTGTCCAGCGCCGCTTCAATGACTCCGGCTGTATCAGTGGGCTGGCCATTAGCCTCGCAAACGTTATCTGTCTCAGCGGTGAAACCAAGACCAGCAGGAGCCGCTAAATTGTCTGTGTAATGGTGACTGCCCATGATGCTATGAACAGCTTTGCAGCCACTCGCCACACACTGATTCTGGTCCGTCCAATTCCAGTGATCTCGGGGAACCTCCTGGAGTAGATACGTGCTGGCACAAGTTGGAACTTCGTTGACTGCGTTGTACGAACATTTTATAGACTGAACTCGAGAGTCTCGTGCAAATTGCTGGAAGGGTGGTAGATAATACTCAACCACGTCCTGCATGGAGACGTTGGCGTTAAATGCGTATCTTGTCACACTCGCCCAGATTTCCAAATTATAGGCTGTGTAATGTTTGCAACTAGCAACGACTTTCTTGAAGGGTTGACTTTTGTCCCTTTCCAGTCCGAGCAATAGGTGCTTCACATAGTATTGAATTCGAAAAGGATCTTCTCCTAGTGTCTCCATCCCTCTGCCCTAACGGGGATCTTTGTAAGGATTGATATTCGGCGTCCTTACTTTACGTCAGCACCGAACTTTCAACAGGGAGGAAGAAACAAACCAAAAGTTCAGCCCTGCTTTCCCGACATTTGCAAACGCCCTCTCTTCGGTCCTACTAACATTCCCAAATCCCTCAATCATCTTATTATCGAACGCAGCAGCCAGCAAAATTGGATTCGCAAGCGACGTTGGTTAAGAGAAGTTCCCGGAACTCGCACAACTCACTCCCGGTTATGCGGCAACGCCGTGTAATGCTTCGTTCCACTATTCGTATGGAGGCAAGCCGAGTCGAGAAGTTCCTAAAGCGTCACAAAAAGATGTGAGTGACGTGGTAAATTGTGAGGGAGGTTTGAGTACTCAACCGTGTTGGCGATTTTCTCCGTAATGTTCATTGCTGCAACAATTGCCTTGACTCGATCTGCTGGAGGCAGAAGTATTTCACACGAGATTTTTCGTGAGTAATGCGGGACCATTAGTGCAATCCGGGAATTGCATTGCCCATGTTGGAGAAGCCAGTATGGTAATCGCTGGCACGGATGCGATTGTACGTATCTTGAAGTTACACTCGATCTTCTGATGTTGCGATTGAAGCTCCGGCAAGAAAGCACTTCAATACATGCGAAAGCCGAAACCATGGCGGCATATGTTCCTCTAAAATCTTCATTTCTTCGAAATTTCGACATGGTAGCTAGAGTACACATGAGATCGAGCTGTAATTCGAGAGGTATTTCCCCGAAAGCCATGGCTAAAAGGAGGTATATCTGGGCCATGACTTCAGAAAGTGGTATTCCCTGGCGAGACCAGGTTCATCTCGAAGAGCCATCTGAGCAAACTCTTAGTTGCTATCCATTTCACTTATCCAGCCACTTAGCCAGATTTGTAGGCATTATATTGAGGGGAGGTGCCGTATGGGTTACAGAAGCAGAGGTTGATCGACTACCGATAGACCGGCAACAACGAACGGAGACATTTTTTTAACTGTTGAATGTTGTAATATTACCAATGCGGGCTGGCCGTCTCCAAATGAGACCGTGAAAGATTGTGTAGGGGATACGAAAGACTTTAGCCGCCCAGGGCAGGGGGTGCTCCAGATCGGTCCGGCACTCGCCATTGGCAAGTCAGGTCTAGATATCAGCCCAGAAGAAAGTTTCTGCAATACTTTGGAAATCATGCATGACTTGTATATTACAACTTGGAAGCTGTGCAGTGTCCCAGAGTTTCTATTAATCCTGCACATCAGTAAACCCCCACTCCTCCTCGGTGTAAAATAATACAACAGCCGCCCAAACATTTTCTAAGCAGGACAAAAAGAGCTCTGCCTATTCTTAAGAAGTGAATAGTAACGCTCTACGTGCGTCCGCTCAACCAACTCTGAGGAATTCTCTCTTCCACCAACTCCTCCGTGCTTCTTCCACTTCCACCTTGACTGATTCTCCTCACCTCCGAGATATCCTCGCCAAGCTCACTCTTCCCCGTGGGCGACTCACCTCGAGGTCTGCTCTCCACCTGAACGACTCGTCCTACGTGGACTTTGATCTTGCCCAAGGGTATGCTGCTTCTTTGAACTCTTCCATTCAAATCCATATCTCTCTCCTCGGCCTCCATGCTTTTCAATTCTTGGGCTGAGATGTGTGTCGTGACAGTTCCTTCTCTGGTGACTTTATTTGCACCGAAGACTCCAAGTTTGTCAACGACGTAGGGGCCTGTGGATCCAGCAGAGTTCTTGTTATGCTGGATGTGACTTGCATTCTGCGCTGAGAATTGGTCGTGGGAAGAAGCGGTAGATGTCTTGTCTTTGCTAGTGACCCAGTGTAGGACCAATACCGAGAACAGGACGTCCGCAACGCAGCACATCAAGCAGATCCAGGCTGCTTCTCCCTTAAGCACCATGAGCACAGTTAAGTTGACAACCGAGGAGGTAAGTGTTGCAAGAGAGCCAACGAAAGAACGGAGTGTGATGGTGCGGAGGATCGAATTAGGCGAGTTCTTGTAGGAGTAGAGTTTTCGTAGAGGGATGACAAAGAGAAGGGTGAGATAGAAATTCAGCACCGCGTCGAAGATGATGAGTGGCATCACAGATTTGGATTGAAGGCCGATAATACAGGTGCCGTCTTCTCTGAAGTACGCCACACGGAAGACGAAATTGACGGCTACGACAACGCAATACGGCACTAGACATTGTCAGCCTGCGATGCGAAAGGGAGAGGGGTTGGAACACACAGAGAAGTCCAAACACATTAAAGCACCATAATTTGGATTTGAATCGCGGGGTAGAAACCGCTCTCACGATGTACTTGTGCTTGTCAGTTATGAAGCAATCAAAAGCTGGAATGGATACGCGTACCACTTTCTCGACCAGGAAGTAGTAGATAAACAGTTTCGTAGATAGATAAAATGCAATACAGAGCAGGATGGAGGCTCCGCACACATCCATACCCGAATTGAGGCCCAGTCCATGCTCAATAATTGCTGTGGCGAAAGTGAAAACGATTGAGTCGGTGTAGATCAAGAGAGTAACTGTCTATGGATTAGCAGAACTCCTTCGAATGAAAGTCATGGTCGTACGCCATCTTGTTAACGGAACTTTGGACCAGTTCCTTGTCGCTTGTATTCTCCGAGCTAGGTAGAATTGTTAGAAAATTCCTCGATATGCGTCTCCCATGGAACTCACTGAGGCACACAGCCAGAATGGCCATCGTCATCATAGACAAGACGGTGGAAATCACAAGACCAGCAGTAGGGATTGGGGTGGAAACAGTGCCCATCTCGCGGGACAGCAATTGCACTGAATCCATCATCGTGAGATTCTTGAGAAATCCGTTGGCCCCCACAGTGGATGCCAGACGATCTCTTATATGGGCCTGGCGGTGAGCCTCCCAGTGCCTCGAGCCTTGAAAAAGAGGGCCTTGAAAGGGCCCACGGGCAATGGAATGGCATCACGAAGGCGGAAATGGATCACTGGACGGCTGGCAGCTAAGGAGTGTATTGGACAGGTACTACATGCAGAACGGAGAGCTTTACTAGCGCACCCAAGCGTCACTGGGCAGGGGCCATTGCCTTGACATGATTTGAGGAAAACGATGGGCTGCCGACATGTGAAGTTTGACAAAGCGATAGGAAAGGAGGAAGAAGATATCGAGCTTTGCTCTGCCTGGTGCTCTTTGCGAAGCAGTTGATCGAAGGCCGTGCGAGCCCCACAGCGGCGTGCCGCTAAGCAGTAGCGCTTCAGTTCCTTGGTCCCTTAACGCCTCCTCCCGGGATGTCCAGATCGCGGGGAATGATCTACGGGACGGTGAGCAAGGTGTTGACCTTGTACGTTTCGGATCGTATGAACCCTAGGAAACTCTAGGCGCCCCATTTGCAAGCAACTTTGCCGCAGGAGACGCCATCGTGTGCGTGCGTGGCTTGGACCGCACCCAGCACGGGCCTGCTTTCCAAGTCGACAAGAATTATTGGAGACACGGCAGGAGCTGCGCATGAAGTCTCTCATCTTGTCATCTTGTTACATAACTGTCCGTGCCGAATCGTGGCTATCGATACGATAGTCAGGGGTTGCCCCTCCCCCCCTTCGGCCTTCGGCCTTCGAAATCCAAAGCCTTGTTCACCTTTTGCACAGGAGACACGTTCATGTCGAGTCAAGACGACAAATCTGGGATCTGTCACTTGCCACATGCTTCCCACGTTGTAGGGTTCCTCCCGGAAGTTTAAATCGAACGGCCGATGTGGCGGTACGACAATAGAGTTCGTACACCGACCAAGATGAGGTGGTGCGTTCTGCGTTACAGTACTGCTATCGGTGGTACAGCTGTCTTCATCTTGTTCGTCTGAAAGATCCTCCCCGACAGTGACCCTGTCTGTCCATGCCATTGGCGGGATGAACGAGTTGTGAAATATTCGACGGCCCATCGCAAGGAAAAGGGATGGCTGGACTCTTCCGCTCCGCAATACGCGGTCTGCCGTGTCGGCGGCGTCGGTCATCCGACGCCGCTCGGTGTTGTCTTTTCCCACCAAGACCTCTTCTGGCAAATGTGTCCCGCGTGTCGCGCGTGTCGCGTGTGTTGAGCTCGAGCCGCTGTCAAGTCAGAGTCATAGTAGAAACTGTGGCTTTCAAATCGTGGCTAGGTTGTGATGGTGTGTCGATCGATGTGGTTTATTTAAAGTCGGAAAGTTTGAACGACAGTCGGGTCATCGCAGTAGGCGCTGACTAAGGCTAATCCCCGTGCCCCGACTCGGAGCGTTTCCAATTTGAGGAAAGGCATCGGGGTGAAAGTGGGTAGGACACACCCCTGAAGCTTTTGATTGGCGGTTGATGTCGACCGGAGATCGCGTCGCAATCGTCCGAGCCAAATCTCCACACTAGTCTTGAGCACCGTCCCGTCATTGACCCCCTCCCACGCATATGGGAGTTATTAGAATTTTATGATGGCTTCGTCTGGTGAGAGCGATCCTGTCCCCTCTGCGGCTGCTGGTAAGTCCAATCCTGAAGATGGATTACTGAGGTCGGCAATGCGCATTCTTGTTTGAGATCTGGACTCCACAGACATATGAAGGCTGATCTGGGACAGAAGATAAGACGTCTCCTGGAAAAGAAATATCTTCCACGGTTGAGGCTCTTGCCACAATTGCTCACAGCAAAGACCTGGAATCGAATGAGCCTGCTGCAGCGAGCTCAGACGGACACTCTTTTGGACCCGCGTCAAAAAATGTCGCTCCACTGCCCCATCATGACGAGAGTGCTGCCGAGACCCCATCGTTGCCCACCTCACAAACCGGTGAACCTATCTCTCAAGGAGATCCTGCGTCTGAGATCGCCGAGACGCCCAGCGTAGCTGCCCTATCTGTGGACAATGAAGAACGGGATGACGATTCAGCGATTGGAGACTCAAGCATTTAGTACGTACAGACATTTGAAAACAATGTGAAGCCAAGCCAAGCCATACTGACCATACATCTTAGCACTACCAACACTTCAGCAAGGTCAAGTGTATATGATTTTGTCTTCGAGAATGGGAGAACGTATCATTCTTTTAGGCAAGGAAGTATGTATCTCCGCCACCACCTTGCATAGGACTGCATAATGCTGACGACGTAAAGAATATGAATTGCCTAACGACGAGGTACGCAAAGCCCAAGCAATCGGATCTGAAGAGGTTAATTGATATTTCGAAGCGAGAGCAGGACAGATTAGGTGAGATCACTTCTTGGCCGTGTCCACATTGACCACTCACACTTCCAGATCTCCAACATCATTTATTTCTATTAACATTGGGTGGTGAGTTATACAATGCACCTCTCAAAGATCTATCGGGTGGCCTTCACAACGTGCTTGACATCGGGACGGGAACTGGTATTTGGGCTATCGACTTTGGCAAGCTTTGCATTCATACCCTATTCAGAAATATGCTAACAAGCCAAAGCCTCCTTATTCCCCTCAGCCAATGTAATTGGGACAGACCTGAGTCCCATTCAACCAGACCTGTACGTATATTCAATTGCCATCCACATTCCCAATCCAACTAACCATGAAGCGTTCCACCAAACCTACATTTCGAAGTCGATGATGCAGAAGACCCCTGGCTTTTCTCTCACCAGTTCGATTATATTCATGGCCGGGCTCTAGCAACCTGCTTCAAATCCCACATGACGGTAATAAAGTCCGCTTTCAACTTCACTCGACCTGGCGGATATTTTGAACTCCAAGACTGTGTCGTTCCGTTCCGCTGTATGGACGATTCTATGAAAGGCACCACACTCGAAAGATGGGTAGACCTAATCATGCAAGCGACAGCGAGAATGGGTAAAGATTGGACGCGAGTGAAGAAGTACAAAGAGTATTTAGAGGAAGCGGGCTTCGAAGATATCGTAGAGAAGAAGTACGAATGGCCAGTGGGCACTTGGGCCAAGGGGAAGAAGGCGAAGATGTTAGGATTGTGGTATAGAGAAGATTTGCTGAGTGGGTTGCAAGGCTTTACGATGGCGTTGTTGACACGGGCTTTGGGGATGTCGACTGTGGAGGTGGAGGTACTTTTGACTGGCGTGAGGGAGGACATCAAGAGCAACAAGATTCACATTTATATCCCGGTGTAAGTTGGAGTATTTTTATTCTCTTAGACCTGAAAACTGCTGATCCCATGCAGACGAGTGGTGTACGGCCGCAAACCACTCTGAGTTCGGAGTTTGGTGACATGTTGGAATATGATTTTTGGAGTAGCGGATTTTGTTGAGCATCTTAAGTTTTATCTGAATACTGTATCTGAACCACTGGTACGAGTCCTCTATACCAGCATTAATGGACCCCACTGCTTTACATAATTCAAACTGATGTTACTAATTGACGAAGATGGACTTTCAGTATGGTTCTTTTGATTTCTCGTTCTATTTTCATTTCATCATAGGCAGAGCCGCAGAGTCCTACAGTACTTCTTCCAGCCTCTGCCCAACTTTCTTCCATTTTAGTGAAATTCCGCAAGGGTTTTCATAATTCGCTACTATTGTCAATTTCCCCGTATAACTTTAATTGCTATTGGCCAAATATCCTCGCCTCATAGTCGAGACCACTAGGAGGCTGGACCTTAGGATGAGTAAGCTGATGCGTTGCAAAATACTTATCTCGAATTACCTTCCATGTTGGGACTGCTTCAAGGACTCTGTATGGATGTCTCGCTCTATCAACGGCCAAAACAAGCCCCTCACTGTGCTGAAGAGGTGTCTTTTAAAACCCATGTTGTCCTCGAGCAGGTGCAAGATTATGAAAAAGGCCCCACTTATCGAATGTCGCTTTGGTTTCCGATGGTGCAGCAACTGGCTAAGGCCACCCTGGTCCCTTGGGATAGCGCACCGTTCACTAAGGCAGTGGGAACACTTTATCTGTTCTCTTTTCTGCCCATCGAAGGCTGCCTGTTGCGAGCGAGAACGCCTCTCAGAAAAGATGATCGAGCTGAAGCAATGGAACTGCTTCGAAAATGGGGAAGGGTGGAGCAGGTTCTTCCTAACGAGTGGTCACTCCTGACTCCTGGAGCCAAGTTGGAATACACCTAGAGCCAGTGCCAAAAACCTGTGGCCATCTGCTTTTAATTCCATCTATGTCGGTCATGTGGACGCTGCAGCAGTTTGCGTGATCGTTTCGCCAATTACGGACTTCTTTTGTTCTGCTCGATTTTGAATTTCGATCTATTGGCACTTGGCAAGCTACTGTGAGACCGCTCGAGCGTGTGGGGTTCTATCTCATCGTTGAAGAATTCAAAACGCCATGGTGCTGGTGGACGTTGGGGCGGCTACTCGTACCTTTGTTCTTACTCGAGATATGTGCTTTTGAGTGCGTTGTGGTTTTACTCTATGTCGCCAACCTATGTTCTACAGCAGCGGCGCCCGTATTGATCCCCTACGATCTTGCGAACTTGGTTCGAAGGTACCAGGAGTATTTCTCCAAATCGTTGGATACTCAAATGTTACGATCCGCACCCGGAATAACGGCCATCACAACCGGTACTTCTGGCAACCGCGGCGTACTTCTGTTTAGGAGTACCAGGAGGTCTTTCGTACGATTGCTCAACGGCCAAGCAGAAATCACTTTATGACATCTTCACTAAATAGAAAAATGCAAGTTTGGAATTGTTTGGTCATGAACGCCGTCGATCTCGTTGCTGTCATAGGGCATAAACTATCATAACTCATCATCGGATTCCGTTTCCGAGCCATCAACGACAGGAGCTAGTTTTGCAGCTGGCTTTTTCTGAAATACTGGTAACTCTCGTCTCGGAGGTACAATAGCTTCCCTAGATAAAGTCGGTGCTACTGCTGACGATAATGCTTCGGCAGGGCTTTCTCGGAGGTTCTTTCGAGTGGGTGGCGGTACTGATGCTTCATCCTCTGACGATTCATCTGCTGTTGATTCATCCTGAGGGGGTGTCTGTGGTTGGTCTTTCTCGGACTCGTTGGGAGCTTTATCGATATCCATATTCTGGAAGCCGTCTGATTCGTCATCCTCGCTCTCTACTCGTATTCCAGCCTTTCGTTTCCCCCTTCTTGAAGGGCCCGCAGAGTGGTGCCTCTCGCTCCGATTCTCTTCTACCACTGCAAGCCGAGCTGGATCCACATTTGAGCTCGCCAAGAGTCGTTGTTGGTCCCGAATCTTTAGCTTCTTTTCGTTTAAAAGAAGGGAAAACTTCTCTAGTAGATCATTTTCGTAATCCATTTTTAGCTTCTTAAGCTTAGCAAGAGTATCTTCAAGATTCTTTACTTGCTTATTTTCCTCTCGAAGAGCCTTCTGTTGGGACTCGAGCTCTTTCGTGGTCGTATTTCTGGAAGTGACAGAGAGGCCACACCATTCGAATAGATCGATCTTCTCTAATGCGTCCGCATCTTTAGCAAGGGTAATTGTTCCCAGTTTTTGCTAAGACAAATTAGCGACGAATATTGGTCATACGGTATAGTACAAACCGTGATTCCTTCCACTCGCTTCTGTATAGTAATTATAAGGTTGCCATTAACATTTGCAATAGCCTCAAGGTCCTCCGTTACGGCAGTACGGTCTGGTCCTGGAGCTATCCCAAGTAAGATGAAGGTTAATATCGCCTCCCAATCTTCCTGATTAACTGCTGAAGAATTTTTCTTCCCTAGTAAAGAAGGTTGATGTCGTACTAAATCATCCAAAATTATTAGCTGCCGGATTAACGCATAAAAATAATGGCCCAGGGTTGACTCGGCCAGGCAATCGGCCACCTTACATGAGACGGAGAAGCCATAACCATTGTCTGTTCCAATCAGATCCACATCGAGGAGGCGGCGGCCGGCGGAGGTAACGTGCACGAGCACAAATGGAGGTTCGTCCTGCGGGTGGTCGATGCGGGGAAGCCTCAACACGACCGGGTCCATGGCTTGCCTGCTGAGATGGAGGGTTTCGTTTCAGAGCTTCCAAATGAAGGACGTCAGTATGGGAATTAAGATTTCGGGAGTCGTATCCCTCGCCTTAAAGAGAATGCCTTTATTGCTGCTGCGCCGGGAGCAGAGTCGTAGAAGTGTCCAAATCAGGCAATGTCGAAGTTCCGCCCGCCGTAGAAAAGCACGACGCGCTTTTTCGCGTTTTAGCGCAAAAATCCATCGCGTGCCTGAAATTCAAGGCGGCATCCCAACCTCCAGCCACCTCGACGAGGACCCAGCCATTCCGACCAAAGTCGATACGACGCCAACCACCAGCTCCCCCGACCGATATCTCTCAATTCAACGACAAGGTATCTCACGATACTGCCCGGCGACGACGAAAACGACTACTGGTGGGTGCTGGAGGAAAAGCGCGACCGGGAGGAGCACACGACGAACAAATACAGCAAACAAACCTCACACCAGACCTGCTCCACACGGCGCAACCATACAAACGAAATCAGCGGCCCTGTACTATTAAAACACGATACCAACGACCTTTCCAGACCTACCGACCATGAATTTACGACCCTAATAATTGCGCGATCGATGTTGCCTTGTACGATAGAGTTTTCCTGAGGGTTTCACGTTGAACTTTCGCAGAAAACCCTTCACTTCCCTACTCTTTCAAACTACAGGAAGCGCTCACGCGATGGATCAGTTGACATTGAAACCGCGCAATGCGGTGGTGGACGAGCCCATAGAGAATTGGGATGATGATGACTTGGAGATCGGAGGAGACGACTTTACCTTTCGGAGCGCGTCGCTGGCAACCACATCCGCGTCACAGCATCGAGATTCGGTTTCGTCCCGTCTGTCGATTCGATCCGACTTCGACTCAAACCACGGAGACGAGGAGAAGCAGGTTCATCTCCCCGGAGACGACGAGAAATCTACGGTTGATGCGATAGAGACAGCTACGAGAGCTGGGATACCTATACCAGCCAATGTCCCACCTTCGGCATTGATGGGTGGTACAATAAAGAGACTCGGAGGAAGAAAAATCAAGAAGATCATCCAAGACGATTGGGATGACGGAGACTTGCAATTGCCTGGCGAAGGAGGATTGAAGATCAAACGACAGGACAGTTCGAATTTCCCAGATATGTTGCGACAAGTCAGTGGACCAGGTTCAACTCAGGCAAGTCCAGTGAAGAGTCCCGTGAAGCCGCTGCAAGCTGCACCGAAATTCAACATTAGTCCACGGCCAGAACTGAGGCCGAAGCCTGCATCCTCGAATCTCCTCGACCGATTCAGAAATGAGGATGATGAAGAAGATTTCTTTGGAGATGGTGGTGCTACAATCAAAGTTTCTAAGAGCCGGCAGGCGCCAAAACTTCTCCCTCTTATCACACCTCCCACGCCACAGAAAGGAGACAAGTCATCAGATGATGGTGATTTCGAACAAGATTTCCAACTGCCCGCAAACGGGGAACCCCTCAGACTTTCTGCTCGCAAAGAAATCCCACGGACACCCGTTAGTATCCAGGACGATCTTGACGGATGGGGAGAGGGCGGAAGCTTGGGCACAAGACATGGAGGAACGAAGCGGGGAGATGGGCGCTCGAATAGAAGCTCCTCGGCCTCTGCTCTGAGCCCAAGCGTTTCAAGCTCGCTGACAGTAGAGAGCGAGGATGAAGGCCTCGACGGGCTCATTCTGCCTACCGGTCCAATCCACTTCGACGATATTCTGAAGAAGAGGCAACAAGACCGATCTCCAGATCATCAATCCAACGAGAAGCAGGCGGCAAAGCGTGCAGAAGTCAAGGAAGATTTCCTTTCCGGTCTTGAAATTGGAGATGGAGATGTGTTCGATTCGAGCAAGCTCACTCTCAATCGGAATATCAAGATGAAGACAACTCGTCAGACCAGTCCGACCAGGCCAAAAACAGCTGTCTCATTAACTTTCACCAACAAACCTACTCCATCGACGACGACTGCTGGTTCGAGACTTCCTCGTCCGCTTACTGGCCATGAACGAGTTCCATCCGCTCTAGAACCTGTTTCGGAAAGTGGTGGACCAATTGTCAATCGCAACCGCCGATCACAATCCAGGCTTGGAGGTCATTCATCACAGTCATCCGTGGCCAGCATCCCAACCCCCGCCACACCCACATCAGTTCACTCATTACCTCCATCGACGCCACGCCGACGGGAGCTAGCATCTAAACCATCGATCACGGGTCTTCGTAATGAACCTACAACGACCAATGCTCAGCTATTGAAGCTTAAGCGATCGATGCCTTCCATGAGATCTTATCCCCAATCGCCAGCAAAGCCAATGCTGTCGCGATACGAGAGACCGCCGTCACGTACTGACGGAAGTAGACCTCACTCGGTGTCTCGACCCAAAACCCCTGTCGAACGAGATCGTTCTGGGGCTGAATCAAGCATGTCTCATGCTAGAAAGAATCCCCTGCCTTTCCTCCCAGCTGGTGGATCTCAGTCTACATCACACCATGTTACCATCAAGACTTCCCGTCATTTCCGACGTCATGATTCCGAGTCCTCATCTACCAGTATTGATCTTCGTCCCTCTTCGCGGGCCGTGTCTAGGTCGACGATGAGGTCTCCTAGCCCGAGGCAAAACCCTAGAGGCGCCGAAGTCTTGGCTCGTGAAGCTGCTGCGAGGCGGCCACTGACGAAGCCATTACGGCGGAGGCATTTCGGAGATGGTTTTGAACTGGACGGCTTTGACGACTTGCCTACTTCTCGAGACTCGGAACAGAAGTTCATCAAAGAGCCAATTGGTCGAGGCCCACCTAAAGTTTCTGGTCTTCGTACCAAGATTCATCAAGATTCGTTCCCATCGCGGACGGGCACACCTGCTCCACTTACTCCTTACTCCCCTGCGAGATCAAGAGATGAACTCCCTCGATTCGCTCGTGATACCAACGCAAGCCGTATGGCCCGGGAGCATGTACTCGCACAACGCGCCCCTTCAGGCCAAGGTGCTCCTCTCGCAGCGCTCACAAACCAGTGGAAGGCCAAGGTGTCAGCAACGACTGGCTTAAGTACTATACACGCCCAATCTGTCAAGCCAAAGCGCAGCAAAGGACCGCCTCAGAAACCGCAATTGATCAAGCCCCTAGGAAATCTCAACAATCCGAAATGTAAGCCAAACAAATCCTCTTTCCTTGGTTGCTTACTAACTCTATTTTAGCCGTCAAGGGAATGTACTACAACCCCTACACTTATCGGTGGGAAGGCAACGAGAACGACCTTACACCCTTTGACGCACCCGCTTCATCTCCATCTACTGCGTCGGTACCATCACACATGTTCCGTGAGAAGGAGAATACCACACCCCGCCCTGCTCTCATCCAGAACGTCAACTCTTCCCAAAACGTTCAAGTGGTTGGCGGCATGGTATTTGATCCTCAACGCATGTGCTGGCTCAAGTTACCTGCAGCTCCTCAGAACAACAGGAGTGAGCCAGGCGACACCATAGATAGGTTCGACGCTTTTGATGATGAGGAAGATGTCTTCAAGGATGTTCCAGATCTTGAAGATGCTCCAGCAAAGGAGGCTGATGAAGTCGGTGGCAGGAAGAGCGACGGTGCAAGTGGCTTGAAAGATGACTGGCTTGTGGGCGAGGAGTTCGACGTTGGTCCCGAGTTCGTAAGACGACAGAGAGAAGAGGAAGAGCGGTGGAGGAGAAAGTGCGAGAAATGGGTTGGAGCTGGTCTTGACAGAGGCGGCGATGAATGGAGGTGGAGCATACGAGACGTAGTTAACCACTAGTGTGCTCATCAAAAGCGGGTTGACTTTACATACGGATTTTGAGGTACACTGTGGCGTGTGCCATGATTGTCGATATATACACACCTCCGATGGAATGGATTTTTAGAGGAACAAAAAGGATTCGGTAGTATCCGTGGGAGGCGCTTCGGGATATTAGTCCTTGGATTAGATATGATCTGGTATCAATTAGATACTTGCATGAATGTCACGAGGTTATGATATCATCCTGTTCTGGTTGCTCTTTCATTCTCCCCGTTTCATCTTATGTCCTCCGGGTCTCATTATTCCACATAATGTTGAAGATTGAGTGACATTGCTGCACCTAATTGAACTGGGCGAGTGCCATTGTCGAGGTGGAAATAAAAAGCATCAGTAATCTTCATTGTCCTAATCAAACTTGAACAATGATCTGGACTTTGAGAAGAGAAGCTTTCGAGATTTATGAAGCGTCATTGAATGCCTAAGAGCTGCTAAGGACATTGAGAGTAGGAGTAGTAGAATGTCCTACATGATATGTGTTGCAGTGCTGTTGCAGTGATCTCTTATTTAGGCATAGTGCACCAGGTGCGATCGCTCCGCTTAGTCAGGATCTGTGCACCCATATTCTGAAGTTGTGACACTTCACCTGAGCTCTTTTCTAGCTAGCTCTGATAAACTCTTTTACTAGAAATGCAACTTCCTACTCTGCTTTATTTACGTGCATTAATATGGTTCATTTAGGGCGGGGTTTTTACGTCCACGGCGAACCAATGCTATTTGAGATGCAATTTCGATGTCATTGACGCTCAACTCTATTAACTCTCTCCCTATCAACTCTCATTCTGACGTTCCATGATAGTCATCAACTCGCTCAACCCTTTTTAGGACGTGCTTGTGCGATCAATTGTTCCCAGACCGAAACATTGATCCGGCGAAGCGACCATGGCTCATCTCCATCTCTCACGCCCTTACTTAGATGATTCAACATTTTCGTCATATATCCGAACTCCCCATCATCCCTCAAGCGCAGCAGCAACATCTCATTTCCCACAGTCATCTTCTTCAACGCCTCAAACACATCATTTGCCTTGATAGCCAGCGCAACGAGCCCCATATACCTCCGATCAAAGAACGCTCTTAGATCCTGTTTGACCTGCTCATGCTTGTACTGGACCAAGTAACGGAACGCTGGATGTGATTTACAAAGGTCCCAGCTCTCTCCTCTCTCCTGAATAAGGGCATTCATGATCTGGTCCATATGTGCTGCAGCTTGGAGGTACCTGGTCATGTCAGGCGTCTCCTCGTCATTAGGCGTCTTGTGGTTCTGGTCGTAGGACTGGCTCATCAAGTCGACATTCGCTTGACAAGAAGTTACGAGTTGTGCTTGAGAGGCTGGTTCATACTCGACTCGCTCTCTCTTTTGCTTGACGTAAGCCAGGACAATGGTATCTTGTTGCGCAAAACGCCGGAGTACTTCTTCAGCATACATGATACACTCGACGGTGACGGTTCCTGGCAGAGATTCAAGCCATTCTCCGTATATATCTGGCTCCATTTCAATGGCACGATCGCGTAGCTTTTTCTGGAGAGTATGGCAACCATTCTTCTGGGTGATGGCGCTCTCGGTGATGACTCCTCTGCCTGCTTCTGTCAGCTTCTTCTTTTGATTCGGGGGTAGAAAAGGAAGAATCGGGAGAACGTACTTCTGAACGTGCAGAATGATTGACCGTGTGCAGCTTTACAGTTTGTGCAGGCGCCCCCGAAGACACTATCGAGCACTGAGCAATCGACGAAAGGCCGCCTTCCAATGCCGAGTGAACAATGTTCACATGGCGTTGGCTCGACGAGAGCTGATACATGGGCAAGAGCCGCTTCGCCGCCCCATTGGGTGTCGATGTTGAAGAAAATGCCCGATCTGATCAAGACCGTTGTTTGGCCAGCTGGGAGCTTGTCGTTGAGGCTGTGTTGGAGCCGAGTCCATTGTTGCGTCGGTCGAGGGAGCTCTATCTCGACCTCCTGCGGACGAACCGGACGAACCTGGTCGTTCGGATCCTCCATCCTGAGCTGAAGATCTTGCATGTAGATGGGAGAGGTGGAACGACGCTCGCTCGCTGAAGGTGTTGTTTACTCCACCCGAAGTCGGCATCTCTGAGCCTTCCGCCTAGCTTAGCACATTTTAAAAGCGACAAGGAGATTGTAGCTCCACGTGACCCGCCTCATCTTTATTGGAACACCAATGCAACTTATTATTTGTAACAATCTATCCTCTTGAGAAGTTGACGTTGTCTTTCGAGAAATGAAAGAAGGTATACCTCCTATCTCCTTCATTGACCCCCTTTTCGAAGCGAGTGGTCCGTGCGATGCGAACCGAATGCGGCCGCTCCGCCCTCCAGCACCTTTCACGAGGAGGCTTGATTTTCGTCCAAACATAGATACAAAGTTCACAAAAGAGAAAGTGAAAGAATTTAGCAAGAGGAGACGCGCACCCTCGGCCCCGGTGATGGTGTTGTCTGCTAAGACTCCATGGAGATGAACGAGGAGGACAAGTACAGCGAGCTTGCCTCGAGGTCTCTGGTGGCACACCCCATGGTGTGTATAGGAGGCAGGCAAATAAGCAAAGGCGGGAGGTCGGTTGGGATGTTGGAGATGAGTTTTGAGGAAAAACTTGCAGGATCGATGGTTCTAGCAAGAAGTTGACACCTGTTATAGCAAGACCTACGAAGTTCGTGAGAAACATTCCTATCGTATCTGGTTTCCTCTATCCATTCGGGTCTAACTAGTAATTCCCCTGGCCGACTAAGAAAGGCTGCCAACAATCTACTACCTAGACCATATCTTGACCTTGAAACGCAGATCCCTGCAGTTGATTCTGTAGTTGAATGAGACGTTGAGAATACCGTAACTCGATTGTATTATGGCAGACTTTAATACCGCATCGACTGGACGGGCCATAATTGTTGTGCGGTCCTGGTGTGATGAGCGGGCAGTTCTACACGGGCCACGCACACGGCTGGCCGTTGCAGGCAGACGACAGAGTAGCAACGTACAAACTTACGAGCCACGAAGTCCTTGCTCTACGTACTTGCAGAATTTGAACACTTTTATTTAGCTAGACAAGGGAAATGGAGATATAGCGAGAAGTGTTATAGGGGTCCTAAGGCACTTATTGGTTCTAGTCTTACACTTTATAGTTCCGCATCCGCCATGCTTTGTATCCTATGATTAGATCCAATGCAATAAAATCTAAAGCCGAAAAATTATTTCTTTGTTTCTAGATATTGTGGGCTTCAGCTATATCAAGTGTATGGCTTGACTGCATCAAAACTGCCCTTTAAACGGCCGCGAAGGGAAACTTCTTTTTGTTCTAAGCAGAAGCGGAAATTGGGATGCTCCGCTGGTACTCGGAATGAATCTACTAGATCTCCTCCCCCCCGGAAAGATAATTTCAAGTAAAAGTATAAGCAGGGTCGAAAAGTTCGTTTTAGGGAAGAAACGTGGCACTTGAACACGGCAAAGACGCGATGTGGAGAAATCAGTGCGCTGCAAATGCTCTCTGGAGACCATCGAAGTGGATTCAATCTGAACGTGATGGCGACTAGGTAGCTCAGCTTTATGGAGATTACTTGGGGAATCTCGAGTCTGCATTAAATGGTTGAAAAGCTTGGCTAAGCTACAACTTGCTGGAGGGTTGAAAGACTCAGGAATTCGGTATTCCAGGCTTCGCGGGAAGAATAACAAGTAGGAAACCCCCTCGAGAATACTTGGACAGAAGCAGAAATAAAGTCACCATTAGATGGATCCATCAGAAAGACCTCCAATGCTACGGCCCTGAGATCATCTGAATCACATGATCTCATCACCGAGATTGTAGAAAACCAGAAAATCAGACCAAGCTCAATCAAATTGCTACGTAAGATTACTTCACGTATCTTTGTTTTTCTTCTTCTCCTTCCCGTTGACCTTTTTACTCATATCTCCAACATTTGCTTTCGGGTTTATGCCTTTCTTCTTCAACATCGCTCTCCTCGCCCTCTCCATATAGGCATCATCTTCTTCCTCATTCCATCCACCGAACTCATCTGTCTTCTCCTCTTCCTCCGTCTCAGGAACAGGCCTCTTGTCAACATCTAATTCATCGTCCATTTCCTTGCTGGCGCCGGTGCTCCCTCCATTGCCCTTTGGCGAAGGACCGAACTTCTTGAATTTCGAAACGAAGAAGCCATCAACGTTGTAAGCATGGGGGTAGTATCTTCTTGTCATCTTGAGAGACTTGTCGAATGTCTTGCCCATGTAGGCTGTGAAGCCCTCCTTTCCAAATACTAAGCCTGTTTCCACTAGCTTGACGTTGGGCCGTTTGCTAAGTGCGTATTGCACAACTCCCTCGTTCTCTTCGACTGTCACGGAACAGGTGGAGTACACAATATATCCGCCAGTCTTGCTCGTATGATCCACGGAATCGATGGCCGCGAGAAGAAGTTGTTTTTGTAAGTGCGGTAACATGAGGAAATCTTTCTCCGTCTTGTTGGTTTTCACACTAGGATCCTTCGCAATAACACCAGTGCCGGAACATGGAGCATCGAGTAACACACGATCAAATCCTCCAATGACTTTTGGAAACTCCCGAGCATCGTAGTTGCATACGATCGTGTTCTTCGCTCCTAAACGGTGGATGTTACCAATCAGACCTTTGGCACGAGATTTGTTGCTATCGTTCGCGAAGATGCATCCAGTATTCTTCATAAGTGCTGCGATGTGTGTAGTTTTGCCACCAGGAGCGGCAGCCATATCGAGGACACGTTCATGCTCTTGGGGTGCGAGCGCCATGACGGGGAGGAAGGAGGATGCTGCTTGGAGAATGTAGTGGCCTGCGAGGTATTCGGGCGTAGCTCCAAGAGGGACAGCACTCTCGAAAATTTGAAGACCAATCTTGGACCATTTTCCAACGGGCTCGAGAGTGACGCCTCGGTTGATGAGTGCCTGTGCTAGGTCTCTTCTGTGCGTTCGGAGGGTGTTTGTTCGAATGACCACTGGACGGGGAGTTTCGTTTGCTTCGAAGAAAGCAAACGCTTCTTTCGGTGGGAAGAGATTGAATAACTTCTCTGCCAAGTATTCTGAATATCCATAATATGCACAAATATCCCTGATCAGCTGTGCTGTATATTCCGCTCTTGATCGTCCTTCCTCTGCCAGATTCGAAAAATCGTCAAGTACTCGCACGGTGTCGTTAATTCTGTTCCGTAGCAGTTGTAAATCCGGGGCTAATAACGCTTTCGACTTGATTCCTTCTTCGTCTTCACTATTATCGTCCAAAATATGGGGTCGATCTCCAGCAATATTTGTCTGCAAGGCGGCTTCTTCCAATTCTGCTTGAGCATCCGCGGCCTCCTCTGCCATCTGCTCGTCCAACTTTCTCGTCAATCCCGCAATATTCGCCGCGGTCAACTTCTCCTCTGCATCCGACTCGTCTTCATCCTCCGAGAACATGGGCTTTGTCCGGTGATCCTCATCAGAATCGTAGACTTCACTCCTACTCTCCAAAAAGTCGTCTCCAAGCCCGCCTTCCTCTTCCTCCCCAGACAGATCATCGAACTCGTCGCCCACCAAATCCTCCGCATCAGAATCGTCATCTTCCATTTCTTCGTCGGACATTGGAAGTGGGACCGATTCGGGCTTTTTCGACTTCTTCAGAGCAGATTGTTGCGAGGGTAACGAATTGGTAAATTTGCCTTTCGTGCTCGTCGTCCCCGCAGAGTTCTTCTTTCCCTTCCCTTCTGTCCCGCCATTTGTACGTCTCTTCTTCGAATTGGTGTACTGCTGGCTCTCTGCTCGCGACTCCGCAACCGACATCCCAGCTTTACGCTTCAAGTTCGTGAAGTGAGCTTCATCGAGGGGCTCTGGAGGACCCTGCTTCTTCATACGACGTCCGACTCCCATCTTGAATAGAATTAGGGGTATTTGGGCTGGAAAATGACCTGGAGAATTTCCAGAGTGATGTTGGAGCGAGATCTGGAAACTTTTTCTAGTCGAAAATTGCTGATAAGATTTAGCGCGGTTTTTAGCGTACTCAAGCGACCGCTTCCCCGCCTACTGCGCCACATCTGCCTGTGGTGCTGTTCCTCCACGCGGTGAACATAAAAGGCGCACTAACTCTCATTGTCCTTCGTCAAAGTTGAACATTTATCTGGACTTGGAGGTGATAGGACTCTACTATTCTAGTTCTAGTACTCCCGAGGCTTTCGAGAAAGTAAACTTTGAATCTACGGCAACTCGAGAGATCGTTGGGAGTGGCGGATGGGCATGGTACATTTGGTGCGACTATTTTGTCTTCCGCGAGCCTTCTATAAAAAAACCAACTTTCAAGCTTCCCTAATTTTATATTGAAGCAAGTCAACCTGCAACTAACGCCGAAATTCCGAAAGTAAAATGATGTATGTCAAGAAGTCTCTGGAAAATTTTGTTCGATTCAAAAATTTGAAGTCCTTTTCATATTTCATTCTCTAACTGGTTCACCACTGTGAAAATATCCTACTACCTTGTGAGATGGGTTTTATTCTTCTTATCAAAAGTAGTGAGAAGGGAGTTTCCAAGTATCAGCCTGCCATTCTGCCGTATCACGCTCAACGAAATCTCCTCAAGAACGCCATCACTCCGAAAAGGATCTTGAATCCAATCACGAACACCCGTGTCCACCAGCCTTTCCCATGCCCAAACTTAATCGTGAAGTGAGACATTCTCAAGACATTTTTAGCCCTGGGAATACTCAACTCATCATAAGCCTTTAAAGCATCCTCGAACTTCTCATGCTTCACCAGTTGCTCAGCCAGATCCCACCCATCACTCAACGCCAGACAAGCACCGGCTCCAGCAAACGGTGTAACAGCATGGTTTGCGTCTCCGAGAAATACTACATTTGTTCCCTTCAGCGACCCCGCAAAATGCTCGAATGGCGCCTTGTCCGAAAAGTTACGCAACATCAGCGTCTCCATGTCCGTCGCCTCAACATACTTTGTGAACGGTTCTGGAAACGCCTTCCCACGCTCCAGCGCCCCCTTCAACAATTCATGTGCCTCACGTTCTCCTATCGGCTGCTTCGACAGCGCCGCAGGTTCAGAAGCAAGCCAGGTAACAGACCACACAACAGAACGCTCATCAACAGGACCAACAAACAATCCAGTCCCCGTGCCAGAAAGCATCAACCCCCAGTCCCTATTTGCCGGAGCAGGCGGCTCATCAGCGAACCTCGCCTCCCCCATAATACCAACAACCCCCCGAAACTGCAGCTCATCTTCTGGTCTTAATGCCCCTCGCACCTTGCTCTTCGACCCATCAGCAGCAACTAAGAAATCGCATTCCTCTTCCTCTCCACCTGCAAACACCACCTTCAACCTCTCATCCTCCAACTTCTCCACACCGACAACCTTCTTCTCCCACACAATCTCCGCACCCTTCTCAACCACAGCATCAACAAGAATCTTCCTCAACACATTCCTCTTAATCCTCAAACTCTGCACCGGCAACCCCTTCGGCGCCGGCATATCGGCCCTGAAAATCTCGTTCCACTTGCCATCCCAAAGACAGAATGTTCCTTTCTCCTTGCCCTGGTAACCCGTGATGCTTTCCCCAATCGCTATCTCTAGGAGTCCGAGTTTCTGTAAGGTTTGCACGCCGCCGGTACTTGCGTCTGAGCGTATGGAGAGGCTATAGCCTTGGCGTGTGGGTTGTAGGTCGGAGGTGTCTCGTTCGTAGATTTTTAGGGTTGGAGGGGTGAAAGTGGGCGAGCAGATTGTTGGCAGGAGCTTTTGGAGGGAGGCGGCGAACGAGAGACCTGAGATTCCGGCGCCGATTATGAGAATTTTCTTGCTGGAGACAAAGAGAGAGGAAGTGGCCGAGGAGGGGAAGGACATCTTATATTGGTGATAATGGATATTTGGTGGGCTTGATGGTGCTTAAACTGTGATTGAACCAGGCGAAAGAGGTAGATTGAGAGTATTCTTGAAGGAGTGAAAGAGATATGTGAGAATTTGCGGTGCTGAACTGGAATTATTTGTTATGCAAATGGAAAGCAAATCTCATTTGAAAAGTAGGAGACTTTCCTGATTTTATAGAACTTCATTCAAACTATCGAGGCATAGCATCAGGTTCGACGTGATTGGCTGCTGATGGGTTTGACGTTACGCAAGACCAAAATCTTCGGCGGCTCGGTAAGCAGCAGCCTCCGAGTGGAGGTCGCGGACGCGCAACACAGAACGTCAACTTTGACGAAAAGGGTATTAACTTGTGACCTTGGCTGTATGTGGAGGATTCATTTGAAGCCATAAATGAGAATCGGTATCACTTGACGTGTTGAGAAAAAGTATAGAGTGTACTAAGCCTCGCACCGGGAGCCGATTCCAGCCTAGTGGAATAGAAAGCTCCATGGGTTTCCGCTATCCTCGGTGTCGACTTTCCTGATCATTAAATTTGAGCGACGGATACGATTGCAGATGCCTGGCGATAATGGCTCGGAGCATTTGTCTTGTAGTTCCAATGCAGATCATATCAACGCAGGATAACTATAGTGGCACGAGAAGAGATCAAAATGTATGCATTTTGATGGACGAACCGCCACTGCCTCTTAAGGAGGCTAGCGTGGATGCCGCTGACTAAGGTACAGAGGGTCTGGTCCTTCCCATGACAATAACCTTTGGGACTGGCGCCTACCACTAAATCTTCTCTGCGTCTATGTCAGTGGCCAGTGAACTAACCTAATGTCACCTGAAACGTGTCTAGTTCCTGCTGCCGATAGCCCTCGATCAAGGAACAAGCGGTTTCACTGAAGGAAAGATGTCCGTCCATTGATTGCCACCCTTTCTATTTTTTAATAGCTACAGCGCGAATGTTGGATACAGTTCGTGAGCAATTAGCCTGATTACCGCATCAGCGCGAAGCATAGTCAGATCAATTTGAAGAGCCTCAGGAAAGAAGTGGTTACGTAGCCTACAATTTGAAGACTCTTGTAACTGTTTGCTTAAATATTTAAACGTTTCGATTGACTTCGTTGGGGTTTGAAGAACATTCAGGGTCGATTGGCAGATATTAGATTCAATCTACCATATTTGTTAGAGAACTGCGGGATCCAAGTTGGCAGTAAATGGTCCAAAAGAGAAGCTCTCACGTCTCCCGACTCTCTTTTCGGCATTTTTCGCGAGAGTGTTTCGGGTCCGCAAGTCGTTTTCAAAGAGACATGCTTGCTCAGAGCAGAAGGAGCAAAAACCGGCAGATTTGAACAATCTGATAACTTCGATTACTCGGTGATGTTTGGTCAAGGAACATTAGGCAGCAAGGAGCAGAGTCAACAGATTTGCAGGGGCTGTGCTGGCTGTGTCTCATTATTGGTCGCCATTTGGAGACTTGCTCATCTACATCATAGGTACAAGGGCGAAGCAATAAGATGAGAGGCACCTCAAGTGAGTAATGATTTAACAGAAAGCCTCAAATGTTTACTTGTGAAGTTGGGTCTCGAGAGAAAGAGGTTGGTTTCCCACAGAAAACCATTAGAAGGTTTCACTGGCCAACCGCCCAAACTACTCAACCGCCCAACCAAAAAATCTTAATATTTAATTAACGCCTTAATAAAATTTTAATTCCTATTAAATACTAATACTTTAAGACTATGTAATATTACTAAAATTATTAATTTAGAAGCGTTTTTGGCATTTTCCCATTATAAAGGCATGCCTAAGGCAAGGAATATCAAAATCTCTAGTTTTTGAAAATTGCGCATTATAGCAGAACTAGGTCCGAATACTTTAAATTAAGCTTTATATAATAGAAAAGAAGTTAAAGTATCTTTTATTACGGTTTCATGGTTCTAAACTTTTAGGGAGTTTTATTACGATTTTTTAAAGGTAAGGGAATAATTTTCAAAACTCTCGCTTAGCGAAACGGAAAGTTTTCAATTCGGTGCGCCTTCGCAATCTCACTAATAAACGCTGTCTTGCCTTTATATCTTATGCCTTTGGTTTTGCTTTATTAATTCGATATCGAAGGGTTTCATACGTAATTCCATGCTCTCTCGCGCATTTTCAATGGATTTAGTCTTCTTGTAATCGAGATGATTGTTATGGGCCATCTGTAATCGTATGCTCTTTGAAAGCTCGTTAGAATTGTCCGCGAATTCGGTATAGTGATTTCTCTTTACAGGCATGTTGAGGGGCTAAAAAAGCTTCAGAAAACAGTTGATTTGATAGTAAAATATTATGTGGATGTTGAATTATGATTTTTGGAAAGCAGCGATTTTGGGCGGTTGAGTGGTTTGGGCAGTTGGCCAGTGAACTCTTCTAGCGCCTTCGGCTTTTCAGCCAGTCAGAACGCTGTGGCTTGACCGTGGCGTTCTCATCCGAGAGCCCAACGTGCAGCCTTGCCTTCTCATCTCTTTCATTCCTTTCTTTCTCGGCCTTCATCTTGAGCCTCAATCTGTCCACGAGAACGGGGACAGCTGGCACGCAGGCAAGATGCCGATGACCACACCCATCGACATGTCCACGGCTAGACGAAATGGGACGCTTCTGAAGGAGAGTTTTACTCTCTCCCACGTGGCAGGTGACCCGGTTCACTCAAAGACTCAACGCCGAGTAGTTCTTCCCAGCAACAGTCCTTCATCCGCTTTTGCCTCTAGGGAGAAGCGGCGGCAGACTACTTCGCTATCCCCTGAGCCCACCGAAAGTGTGAATAAGGAGCCCAAGAGGCGGAGATTAAATGAACAGAGCTGTTCATACTGCCGCAAAGACAAGGAAAAGGTATTGAAATTCATCTCGAATTTTGAACTTGCTGACTATCCAAGTGTTCGCCGTTAGAACGCAGCTGGCCAGACGTAAAGTGCGACCGTTGTATTGAAAAGAGCTTGTCTTGTTCAGAACCGCAAACCAACCCCAGTAAACTGAACGGGCCTAAAGACAGACCGCATGGGGTTGGCAGTCGCCCAGGCACCCCGAGTGATGATTCGGGTTTCGATGATGATGCGTCCCAAACTGTACACCCTCTTGCGCCAGTCAAGCGCCTAACCGAGGCTCAAAAACCATACCCAACCCCCTCGAACTCTATCAGCAGCCTCGATGCGCCAGTGAAATCAGCTTCGATTACCGATAATTCTTCCGCAGCTTGGGTTTCTCAATCAGTCGATAATAGTTCCAGAAAATCCCTTCCTGATGTCGTCACCCCTGTAGGTCAAGATTCGTCTCGTCATTCATTTGTACGGCCATCAGCGGATGGGGTGGATCGCCCTGAACTGGTATGCCCCGTATGCCAGAAACCTGTCAAAACTCAATCCGAATTGAAGTAAGTTGTACACACACCCAAACAAACTCAAGCTTACATTACATAGAAAGCATGACCTTCGACATAGGAAACCATTCATTTGTCGGTTCCCTGGATGTCCCCGCACAGAAGGATTCAGTACAACCAACGATCTCGACAGGCATATGAGGTCAAAGCATCAATCTGGTGCTTTGGCTACAGCACCAGCGAAATTATATCGTTGTCTCGTTTCAGGTTGCAAATCGAGTGAGAAAGTCTGGCCTCGAGGGGACAACTTTCGAAGTCATCTTAAACGCGTACACGGCCATACAATTTTTTCGGATGAAGAGTTCGAGAAGTTGGTCCATCGGGGAGAGTTCACCCCTGATCCTGCCACGTTTGCGAGGAGCGATTCGATCAGATCAGCGCAAGAAGACTCTCAGGAGTCGGAACCTCCCGAAACGTTCTTCCCCGATAGCCGGCGCAAAGAAAGCCCTGCCCCTTTGACTGCAGCGCAGGTGTTGGTAAAACCTAGCCTGGACCTAAACGTCAGCAAGAAGGGTAGTTCAAATAACGCTCATGTTCCCAAACGACCCCGCCCTACAGGTGTGACTACTGAAACAGAATGGAAAAAACCCGACCAAGCTTCTGCGATTCTCCCCCAAATGGTTGAAAGGCTTATGGCCCGAAATGAGTACAGTTACAAAGCTCTTCTTGAAGACGAGACCAGAATGCTTGTTCTCTTACCCGGGGAAAAGGATGAGATCATTCAATGCCGACTATTACCATTATCTACCAAAACTCCAAAGGTCTCCTATGAAGCCTTGTCATATTGCTGGGGAGATATTAGAACGTCAAAGGAGATCCGCATCCAATGCTTGAAAACACAAGGCCCCAAGCGTTCTCTCAAAGACTTTGTAAGAGCGAAGCGTTTCATCCCAGCCAATCTGCACTCTGCACTGCTGCACCTACGAGATTCTTCATTCCCGATCTACCTTTGGGTGGACAATCTTTGCATCAATATGAATGATAGTCGAGAACGGGCACATCAAGTCTCGAAGATGGGACAAATTTATCAACAAGCCAACAACGTCTGCGTTTGGCTTGGAGAAAGCGACGACTCGAGTAAATTGGCTTTGGAATTCATTCCACGAATCTTGAACTTGTCATCACTTGATAATGAAGTCCGCGATGGATCAAAACTGGATTCGTGGAGGGCTTTGAGGGATCTTATGTCACGCAAATGGTTCAGCCGCCGTTGGGTCATTCAAGAAATTGCATTTGCCAAGAACTCTACAATACACTGTGGTGACGATATTATTCATTGGGCCGATTTTGCCGATGCAGTTGGTTTATTCGTCTCACGAATGAATGAAATCAAACTTCCCGATCAGCAGCGGAGTGGTGGGTATCCAGCGGCTGGATGGTCCAGGTTTGCCGAGAGAATTGTGGAGTATAATCAGAGCCTAATCCAGAGATCTGACAACGGCGGACAGTTTGAACCAACTTTCGATTTGGAAACGCTTCTATGGACATTCAAAGACTTTGATTGCACAGAAGCACGAGATCGCGTCAACTCATTGCTCGCTTTGGCAAGAGATGTCCCTCCTCTTGAATATAATAATGCGGGCTCTATTTCATCTTTGGACTACGAAGCAGACATCACGGACGTGATTCAACGTTGCGTAATGCATTGCGTTAATGTCAGCAAGTCACTGGACATCATTTGCAGGCCTTGGGCCCCTATAGTCTCTAGAGTCCTCCCGAGCTGGATCGCCACCGTAGCGGGTTCTGCCTTCGGCGTGCTTGGAGATGGTTCATTTGGCCGCAAAAACGGAGACAGTCTGGTTGGCTCCCCCAACCGCGAGACTTACAATGCTTCCGCTGGACGATCGCTTGTGGATCATGATTTCAACCAGGGTATTCTGCTTGTCCGCGGCCTTAACGTGGACACCATAGGCGCGTGCCTGCCTCGAGCTAGCGGTGGAATAGTATGGAGAGAAGCTCTCCACATGGCGGGCTGGAACGAACAATCCGACAAATTCTACTCCGTTCCAGAGAAGCTTTGGCGGACGTTAGTTGCAGACAGGTCGCCGGACGGATCTCCCCCGAAGAGTTGGTACCGGCGGGCGTGCCTCTACACTCTTGCCCAGACCTCCTCATCTGGAGTTCTCGATACCTCTGTTTTGATCAAGTCTGGGGGACCTTCGATAATGGTTGAGTTCTTGGAAAGGGTACAGAGCGTGGTATGGAATCGCAAGTTCTTCACAACGAGCACTGGAAAGTTTTTTGGACTTGGGCCAGATGGATTGCAGAATGGCGATGTCATCGCTGTGTTGTATGGTTGCAGCGTTCCCGTTGTTCTGAGGGCCGCGGACCACAAGATGCATTACAAGCTGGTGGGAGAATGCTATATCCATGGGCTCATGGATGGACAGGCCGTCACAGACCCGAATCTTCGGGATGAATTATTTCATTTGGTTTGAAAAATACGTTGGTCAATATATTGCAACTAGAAATTAGTTAGCATTTGAGACAGCTGCTTTGGCAGAGCAGTACATGGCTGGATGGGCGCAATCGTTACATCAATATACCATAGCCTCCTTATATAGTCTCTTATATATTTCACAAACAGGAACGGAATCAAGGAGCAAGATGGACAGGAAGTTTACCCTCAAGTTCGATATTCAGAGTAGCAACCATCACCTTCACGTGTTTCTGGAGCACAACAAGATGCACTCCTCGAGGATTCAGTTGACCGCCTCAATGGAATGACTGACCAGTACTGAAATGGAATGAATGACCAGTACTGAAAAGCAAGAGTATCACATTTCTGTTTGATAATAATGCTTGAGAGTTGTCTCGGCCTGTCGATTTTTAGGACCGCTCGTGCTCTACGAGCATAGTTTATGCGACAATGGAGACTATTTAAATCGTAATAGATTGCTATACGCTGCTCTCTAAAAAATTCATCTAGATTTAGAAAAATTGTTCTGTGTTTCCATTTGATGTTGAGACAAGGACAAGCTACATCATCGTCTCGCTACAGTAAAGCAGCACCACATTTCAAGCTTTACATCTCCCGCACTACTTGTCCTGCTTCAATGGTCTTACCCTCCCCACCTCCCGTCCCTTCCACCTCAACTATCTCGCCCCAAGGGAAACAGCCAAAATGACGGAGCTATCCTTCGCAAAATCTTTCCTCACGACCCTCGACGCAAAGCCTAGCAAGATCTCCGCCGAGCATGTCGAAGACCCCAAAACCTACCCTGCTCGCGGGGCTGTACGTACCTCATTTCCTTCCCTCCTTCCATGCCCCTTTCCCTATCCTCCCACCAAACTAATAAGCATCCGAACAGTACATCCTCCCCAAAGCCTCCCTCCCCCTCTCCAAAAAGATCCGCCTCACACCAGGCACCGAACCCTCCCTCTCCGTCACCCTGAAATCCCTGCGTAACCCGCCTCTTGACATCACGTTTCCCTCGCTACCTTTATCAACCTCGATCCTCTCTCTCAAAGAATCGATTTCGGAGCAGAGCGCGATACCAGTAAGTAAGTTGAGGTTATTGTGGAATAAGAAGCCGGTGGGTGATAGTAAGACTCTCAAAGATGTGGTTGGTGACGAGGGGGCGAAGGGAGGGAAGGTCGAGCTTGGGGTTATGGTTATTGGTGGTGCAGGGGCGGTGAAAAGGGATGGGGAAGAGGTAGAGCCGGTTGTTGTTGGGCATGGCGCAGAGACACTGAGGGGTGAGGAGTTTTGGACTGATCTGAGGGGCTTTTTGGTGGCCAGGCTGAAGGATGAGAAGGAGGGCGAGAGGATATGGGGGGTTTTCAGGAAAGCTGTGGAGGCGGAGAAGTGAGGTGTTGATACCGCATGTGATACGGTCAGAGAGCTTTGGGCATTGAGCATGGCGTTTGGAAGGAAAATACACATGATACACCGCACATAGAGCCTCATTGGATGATTGGTAGAAGAATGGAAGGTCAAGAACATGCTTTTGATGTCTCCATATCTGTTGTCTCGTACGGCTATGAACTTGACTATTCTCTCTTTCTCCTCGCTCCAAAAGAGAAAGCTCGACTGATAATCAATCGCCCAACTATGCATATCATCGCAGGCAAATGAACGCAACTGCACCAATGAAACACCGCCCTCCTCCAAACCGCTCCCTTCTTTCCTTTCCCGTGCCTTCCCTTCCCTCCCCTCCGCCTTTCATATCAAGAATCTGTGTGTGCGCAAGAAGTAGAGTGTTTATGCCCCTCCCTTACTGACCTTCTTGAGCACGGATTCATACTCGATATCTTCTTCGTCGTTTGCTTGGAATTCGGTGGCGATTCCATTCAAGGCGCGCTTGAGAGCATCTTTCGAGGAGGCGTACACCATTTTGGGCTGAAACCGTTAGCATAGAGCTGGAGCCTGAGATTTCAAGGATACGAACCTGGATTCCAGCATCATCTGGAGACCACGCAATGAAGGTAATCTTGCTTCTGTAGACGTTATCAGCTCCGTTTATCCAACTCGATTCCGGGGTCAAATTACCTCGAACCCTCGCCGTTAGACAGTTCATAGGCAAAGTCATAGACAGCGTATCTTGGACCCTTGCCAATTTTCCCCTGTTTCATGTGTCAACAGCCACCCGCAAACTTTGGAGCTTGCCAGAGACATACAGTCTTGCTCTTGGACTGTGCGCTCAATAACTTCTTACGGAAGACCTCCCAGTCACCGTCTTCGCTCGTCTCCTCGATGACGATTTCCTTGTAGTCATCTGAGAGCTGGTAGATGATGAACTTGAGCTTCTTGTTGAGCTTCAGCTCGTTGAACTTGCTGATGCAGTCCGGCGAAACCGAGACACTATTTCCAAATACTCGTCAGTCTATGTCTGTCTATCTCTTCATTTAGGCTACGTTGTGGATGGAGGGCTCGCAGAGTCGAAGGCATCAGCACGAGGGCGGTTGCAGGCAATTTGGGTTTCTCGAGGACTGTGAATGGAGGGGTGAAATGGTGGAACTGACCCTGATTGAGACTGGAAGGTAGCACATGTTAGCACCTGGTAACGTGGTACTCGAAGGCCTGGAGATACTGACCATGATGCCGTTCACTTTTGTGTGACAATCAGTGCTGATTCAATGAGTCTGCCAACAACGTTGTCAGCGGGATTAGGCGCAAGAGATCAATGAATTGTAGTATTCTTGGAGGCAAGGCGGCAAAAGACGTACAGAAACTTGAGCTAGAATCGTTCGTAGGAAATGGGGTCTGATTTCGAGGATTGGGGCAGAGAAATGGCGGTGGGATGTTTATCGTAAGTATTTGTTGCTGGTGGTTGCTTTGCGAACGCCTTGAATTGGTGGGGTGGTTTTGGTCACGTGTTGGCTAGCTCAAACGTGGAGAACGTCAGCGCTTCTAAGCCTTCACCAGGCAGAAGATTTATGGGAAATTTATTGATAGATCTGTGAGATGCCTAAGAATTCATATGGTTGCCTTGAAATGACCCTAATATAGACATTTCAGTATGCGGAAGTTCGAGAACACAGTGGCAAGAGACACGCATTGTGTATTTGACAGTTTGAATTGTTTTTGGCTCATTAATTTACATGATCTTCCTTCCACTACTTAAAAACACCAAATCGCTCCGTAATGCCAAATATAAGACAAAGTACAAAGAGGATTGAGTGGGGTGAGTGTTGTACAACATTTAAAACAGCCCTCATACTATCATTCCAGACGCCCGACGGCATCTGTGAAGAGCTTGGCCGTGACGGGGTTTTTCTACATCGTCGCCGTTAACTTTTTCACATCATTCCACCCATGCCACCCATTCCTGGAAGTTGTCAGTAAGCTGATAACAACAGGAAAAAGAGAGTTACTAACCGCCCATGCCTCCCATGCCACCGCCTGGTGGGCCCTTCTCCTCTGGTGCCTCAACAATAGCAACCTCAGTCGTGCCAAGTAATGAGGCAACACCGCTAGCATCTACCAATGCAGTTCGGACAACTTTGAATGGATCAACGATACCGGCAGCGATCATGTCAACGTACTCTCCCTTGGCGCTATCATAACCCTTGTTGAAGTCGGACCCAAATTCATCCATAAGCTTGCCGACAACGACTGAGCCCTCCATACCAGCGTTCTCAACAATCATGCGTGCAGGCTTGGTTATGGCACTCTTGATGATGCTAACACCAAGCTGTTGGTCGAAGTTGGTTGGCTTAACACCGGCAAGAGCTTGGCTGGCTGCCTTGAGAAGAGCAGTTCCACCACCTGGGAGAATACCCTCCTCAACTGCAGCACGGGTGGCGTTGAGAGCATCAACAAAACGATCCTTCTTCTCACCAACCTCGACTTCTGAAGATCCACCGACCTTGATGACTGCAACACCGCCAGAGAGCTTGGCAAGACGCTCTTGGAGCTTCTCTTTCTCGTAGTCGGAGGTTGTAGGGTCGGTCATGACGCCCCGGATTTGCTCGCATCGTTGACTGATAGCATCCTTGCTTCCGTCACCATTCAAAATGATCGTATCCTCTTTTGTGATGGTGATGGATCCAGTAGATCCGAACATATCTGGGGTAGCCTTCTCAAGCTTGATGTCGAGCTCGTCAGTGAAGACAGTGGCGTTGGTAAGAACACCTAGATCACCAAGGATAGACTTGCGGTTCTCACCAAAACCTGGTGCCTTAACAGCAGCGACTTGAAGTTGGCCACGGAGCTTGTTCAAGATGCAGACCGCGAGAGCCTCTCCATCAATATCCTCAGCAATGATGACCAAAGGTCTGCGGAGCTGGGTAGAGGCTTCGAGAGCTGGGATAATGTCCTGGACAGCTGAAATCTTCTTCTCGGAGAGCAGGATCAACGGCTTCTCAAATTCGACCTTTTGTGACTTGGTATCGGTGATGAAGTATGGGGAGACGAATCCGCGGTCAAATCGCATACCCTCAGTAACATCGAGCTCGTCTTCCATGGTCTTTCCCTCCTTCACCGTGATCACACCCTCCTTTCCGACTTTCTCCATCGCACTGGCAATCAGCTTACCAATGTGCGTATCGCCGTTCGCACTGATGGTTGCGACCTGGGCAATCTCCTCGCTGGTGGTAATATCACGTTTATTCTTTTGTAGGAACTCGACGACAGCCTCAACAGCAGCTTGGGTCCCGCGGCGGAGGTCCATAGGGTTGCACCCTGCGGCAACGTTCTTGACGGTCTCGGAGAAGATGGCTCGGGCGAGGACAGTAGCGGTTGTGGTTCCATCACCTGCGGTCTCGTTTGTCTTTGACGCTACATCTTGGATGAGTCGGGCACCGAGGTTTTCGAATTTGTCCTTGAGGGTAATGGCTCTGGCAACAGTCACACCATCTGGAGATCATTAGCTGGAGTAAAGATGAATAGGGGGTGGGAACTAACCCTTTGTAATCTTCGGTGAGCCGTAACTTGACTCAATCAAAACATTCCGTCCCTTTGGTCCTAAGGTTGTAGCTACCGCCTTTGCCAGAGTCTCAACACCAGCCAGGAGAGCTGCTCGTCCTTCCACACCGAATTTGAGCTCCTGTGATCATGCCATACCCGTTAGCCTCTATTTCTCATCATTTCTCGCAAACACTTCCCCAATACATGTAGATTCCTCAAGTATTGCATACCTTGTGTGCGAATCGCAGCTGCTGAGCATTGAAGCCAGCAGAGGCGATAGGACGGAGCTTCGATGTTGACGATCGGCCGAGGGTCGACGCTCTGGAAGTCAATGCACGCTGCATTTTGGAAAGATTCAATGAATGACGCTTGGAGGAAGGTACAAGTACAAAAGTATGGGGAGACCTGGAGAGATCTGACCGAGTAGTATGAGTTATGGAGTGAGAGAATTGGGATCAAAACAGAATGGCTCGAGTGCTCCAGAAAAAAATTCCCAGCATCGAACCTCGCAGAATTTCTAGCGTGCATTTCGGGCCGACATTTCCCCGCCGACCAACCTCATCTCATCGTGATGCTTCACTCTAGGTAGCAATGATATCATTGATACATTTTGCTCCTCCTAAGGATACTCTTACTAGTGCAATACTTCACTGGGTTACCCTATATCAAAGGCCCTGGAATGCATCCTGTCGGCGCTAGAATCAGATTTTGTGAACTGTCGTGTGAGTCGAATCCCTTTGATCGCCACCCATCAGCGCATTTCCAACCCAGAGAAGTTATTGAAATTGTAGTGCAAATAGGAAGAATTCGATACTATCTATTAGCTGTATCAGATAGGGAAGCTTCCTTTGTGCTAGAATACCTTTACAACAAAATGAAGCGGGACTGTTGCCCCGTTGACTGTCGAAGTGTCTCCCTTTCCTGGCCATTGAAGCATCAACTTTTTAGAGACAAAGACAAAACTTGATGTACCCTAGATGGGATTGATGTGGATGATAATACGTCTCCCTGCCCATGGTGGTTAGCCCCCCAGTCCTGCATTTCTCTCTTCTGCGGTTGCCTGCGCATGTTCCTGCTCCACTCTCAATCAGAGTCTCCTAGACACAATTCTTTGGAGCAACAAGATTGAACAGGGTAGGAAGTGTAAAGTTGCTGTCATGGCTCAATCGATAAGCTCTAAATGGAGGGAAGTAAACTATTCGTCGTGGTCAGCATAATTGCGCAGCCGCTCGACAACTGTTTTCCATAGCAAAGTCTGCATCATATCGAGTAGTTAAGTCACTTGCCTGTACTCACCATGTCTGCGTAGAACTCACCCAGTCATTTGACGTTCCGAATCCAATCTCTTTAGAGCGTAGTAAGACCTGTACTTTGCTCTTGCCACGAACTAAGAAACTGTTTGCAACGCAACGGCAGTTTCGACACATCCATGGAAATGCCAAGCCGCCTAATAGGATTTTATGACTTGCTTAGTCGTTGAACTTGTTGAAGAGCTAAAAAGCGTCGAGGACGTCTGACCGGGAAGGGTTTAGCTCCGTTTGCGAATTTTGCTTCCTTCTGTCCACCTCCTCCTACGACAAATCCAATCAATACACCACTCAAAAATTTCCTCACCACCCCCATCATGCATCATTCCATCTCCAATTGCATCTAGATGTTCCTTTAGTGTCTGATACTATTCCCTGGAGTGTCTAGAAGCAGTGCGTCTTTGTGTAAGTGGATTAATTAGAGAGAGTCTTGAAGTGGCCAAAATAGGCTGACCTTCTCGCAGGTGCCACAATACAGCTTTCGTTTCCCCACATTACCCAGTACATTGAATCTACCTGCTAGAGGGCCTTCAGAGCATTCTAGTGCTGTTGGATAGGAGTTGGGAGCAGATCTCTTCTCAAATAGTAAGTCAAAGCGCCTCCCTTGCCTTCCCAGCAGTACGACTCACTACTTCAGATCTGCTTTCCCATTGTCTGCGATGCATTACGAACACTCGAAAAGGCCTAAAAGCAAGCAATTGAGAATATGGACACGCAGTTGAGAGCTGAACCATTTGTACTCAGGGTCAGTTCTGTTTGGAGGCCGCGATGCAGGTAATACCATCTCCACAACAGTACGAAAAGCCTCCGGGGCGTCTTTTAACACTGCCTTGACAAAATTAAGACACTCCTTTCATCGAATCCGACTCCCGAACAGCTTCCACCGCTTCCTTGATTCCCATTTGGTAAGTGCCACGTTCTTCCCGTGTGATCTTGGCAAAACCGCTTCACCACGGTCTTTGCCTTTCGACTGTTCTCCCTTCGGCTTCAGGTACTTCCTTGAAGGTTTGGGGGTGCCATATACTGCTCACAATCGATGGTGATGCTGATGACCAGCCTTTTTGACTTGCCTTTAGGGCAGTTCCAAAACTCGCTCCAAGAGCGACAATTCTTCCACAGCGCTTTACATTGCAAGAGCTTCGGAGTACGGAGAGTAGTGAGAACTGTCGTACAATGTAATTATCTATAGACTGATCGATTTGCAGATGTTGTGCCTCAGATCAACGGTAAAGATCGAGGTCTCAACCCGGACATCCCCAAATCGTATCTCACCACCTCATTGTTGACGCGTCCTAGCCGTTGAAGTTATTAAGTAGACTCGATCTTTCCAACTACGAAGTATCGTCATCCAATTACTTGTACTAGGTACTCCTCTCTGCTCAGCTACTCGAGACTTCTCTCTGAATGTGCTTTCGAAGAAGCGGAACACATCGATTTACCCACACAACTAATAACCCCCACAACCGAACACAAATCCTCGAAGACTGAAGCAAGCTCCATCGATCGCACCCGTGTTGAGAAGCAGGAGAGTAGCACAGGACATTTCGCTAAAATGCCCTCAAGAAGCAAACTGAAATTCATTGGTAAGTCTGGGCCTCGGCCCGGCAAAGTTCTTCCATCTATGCCGCTTCAAAAAGACATTTGCTAATACTTCGCGTGTATCTCTCCCAACCGTGTACGTCAGAAATATACGAAGGCTCCTGGGCCATGTGGATTCAAGGTTTTCATCGCAGTCCGGTTTGGCGAGCGCCGATTCATCAATCATCCATGTTTGAGGTCCTTCGGCCCTAGATATTCCTTGACTCTATTCACTGACTTCCCTCTGAAGATCAGACAAAAATATATAGAACCATACAGTTGGTAGACCAGAGTGGGTTATCATCAATGCCATCGACAACGGCAGCGGTAGTTGGGTCTCCCAGAATACGCCGACTCCAACTGTCTAAGGGAAAGGCCATCGCAGCCGGACAGAGACGTCATGCTCAGAGCGATGATCTCCGCCCATCAGCGTGTTTAGGAGCAATGTTGGTTTGCCTAATGTCAAGTCCCGGCAGTGGATCTGACGCGAAGTGCAGGACCTGGTGCTTTTTATTATTCTCCTCCCAACGTAAGTTGAAAAACTACCAATTACCAAGGAACCTTCTTATTGACGAATCTGTAGCCACTGCTGAGTAATTCGGCTCTGATATCACCACTACTATGGTGGATGTCTTGGGCATCCCGCTCGCTTCAGGTTCTCTCACTGTCACCGAAACCTATTCCATCCCACTGTTAATCGACCCTTGTCACAACCTCCTCCCCGGCCAATCTGTTCCTTGGGACTCTTTCTGCAACGGATGTGAACTTCGTGGAGGCCGGCCGAACCCCACTTGAACGGTGTCCCGCATCCAAGCCAGTCAGCTAGAACTACAAGTACTAAACTAAAACATCGTCTACGCAAAGGAATTGGCACTGATATCGTGGCATTAACAACGTGGCACGACTAAGACATATTTGTGCCGAAAGCCAGAGATCACCCCGAATGAGCCAGATTTCAAATTTGATCTATTGACGCTTCACGTGCCGTTACTGAGCCAAATTTTGCAGGCAAGACCGCCGGAGATTCAAGTCTGACGGAAAATGAAAATCACTACACCACTGCTCTTTGCGACTTTATCAGTATCAAGCGAACTGAGTGGAAGACTGACCAGAGGCTTGCAAGTCACCTTTACCTCTTTCGGAAGATCCAAAGAGTCATTCATCGAGATCAAGAGTTCCAGAAAGACATCCAGAGCGCTGACTTCACCAAAACGAAGCTTTCCGTGATCAATGAGGACCGCTCCTTGTGGGAGATCGAGTCTCTCTGCCGTCAACAAGGTCTGAGATCTAGTAGACCAGAAAACCGCGAGTGGCGAAGGGAAGTGCTGAGAAGAGGGAGAACAGATGATGAGATGCCGGCCTTCACGAATGGCGAGCCTCAACGAGTTTGAAAGAGTGCCCCATCGTTGATATATAAAGGATCTCGATCAAGGCCACTTCTCAAACAACGACTTTTCCATCTACTGCTTCGCTCAACTCAAGCAGCATAGCAACAAGATACCTATAGAGTACCGAGGCCCCGTTGGTATTCTCAGTTTCAGACCATGGCTGGAACTCTTCCCTGCCATATGGAGAAGGCAAGGAAGAACTTCAATCCGAGATGAATTCAGGATCGTCATTGGACTTAACGCGAATTGAGAAGTTGGATCAGCTTCCGGACCTCCAATGCTTCTACGCGTCACCCTGAGCCTTAGCAACAACAATCAAGAAGTCGTCTGAGAGACCAACAGCAATGTTTCCAAACGTCACCTTGAGTTTCGGCAAAAACAACCCAGTCTACTGAGAGACGAGCAGCAATGCTTCCACACGTCACACCAAGCCTTTGCAAATACAACCAGGAGTCGATTGAGACGCACAAAACAGACAAATATACCATTCCCCTCACGCCTCAATTCCCAAGCTGGACCCGCTTTCACTCCTGCTTGATGCTTTTATGCACTCATTGGTGTAAACGATACTACCAGTGATGAAAGGCGAATTGCAAATTCGATAATGGCGAACAGCACACTGGACGAAAGATGAATTACGATGCGAGGCCAGCAGCAACAAAAAAAAATGAGATGAAAAGCGATTCGCAATGAAAGTTGGCATGTAACGGAAAGAGAATTGAGATGAAAAGCACATGCAACATCTGAAACTTCTCACTTATCGTCAAAGACCTCGCGAACAGATTCTCAAACGTTTGAGAACCGCCCGTCCAGTCCTGCATTCTCTGAAACTATCTTTAGCTTGATGGATAGTGTGCAGCCTTGAGATAGGAAGTTTGAACAACCTTTGATGAGCAGTGAGCGCCTCCTCTTCATCTTAGAAGCAGCAAACAAACTCAACGTCTTTTACCATTCGACTGCTTGACTTGAGTCACCCTTCGTGGAAATCATTTTCAAAAAGAGTTGGGGCTGCCTGCTGCATTGGCCAAGCACAACACCAGGCCAGCACTTGCCTGGCTTGAGTCATTGATCACACACTTCCACAAAAACGGCTTCATCCGGTCCCTCAAACAAATCTGTTGTCTTTCTACAAAATCGAAGAAAAGATTTGAGTTGACGCTCCAAGCCAAGTAGCCTGTGCAGCTTTTCTTGTGGCAGGCGAGAACTTGGTTAAATGGGAGGCAGCCATGACTGGGCTCTCCTCACTGGTAAAGGCTGCCGATACACATCCAAGAAAGCGCAACTCATCCAGTTGGTCAAACATGAACCTGAGTTCAGTTCTTCGATTCGAAACCTTGGGTCTTTAAGTTGGGCTGCATGGACCTATTTTACACACGCATTCAGTATTGGAGTTGCAAGAATTGATGGTGGAGGGAAAGTGCGAACCCACCCCCCTTTCTATGCCGAGAATCACAATCACGCCTTCTCAACAACAGCAACATCGAAACCGACAATCACAAATTGTAAACAGAAACACATCGTCACAGAAGAAACTTCCTCAGCTTTTGCGGTCTCATCAAAGAGCCCAGCTTCGAATTATTCGACCACGGCATTACCACAGCAACATCGAAACGGGCAACCACACATCGGAATTAGAAACATACCATCGCAGAAGAGATTGATGACCTCTACAAATGGATCGGCTCCAACTTACTTGATCACGGCATCAACGCGATTCGCATCGCGCTAGGCCTTCATCGAAGACTTTTTTTTTTAGTGATGTTTTGTTGTGGTTTCTACTGTACATTTTGCATGGCCCTCCGTTGGCGTCTTCGAAATGCCCACTTCCCGACGCTCACGAACAAACTACGACCAATCAAGAACGACCAATCCAGTCCTCCGGTCCAGCCCTGACCAGACAGACGAATATTTGCGATGAGGATCCTTAAAGATACCAACATCCCTGCATTGGAGATCCTACCGAATGCCGAGCCACATCCGATGAAGCATATGCTGAGAAAGTGCGCAGCCTTTTGCGGAGAAGAGACGGGATCCAAATATCGATGTTTGGCTGCACCACCTCGTGTTTGAGAGGCGTTCTATTGTGAAGGAAATTTTGCGTTGAGGGAAGCCGAATTCATATCCGTTATTATTTTGTTGAAAGGGGGCAACGAGGAGGCTGAGCACCCAAGTTGAAAGAAGCGAAATTTGTGCAAGGTGTGATACCGGTGCCTCGGCCAGATCAGCAAGATTCGTTATCGAAAGGACGACGTCGAAGATGTGATAGTAGACCAAGGACGACCACAACCAGGGATCCAAGATCAGAAAAAGTTGGTTGAAAAGGACAATCAAGAAGTGAAAAGTCATTGAAAGACAAAACGTCGTTCGAATGGCGGCTTGGTTACTGGCAGATCCGCAACTGCCGGAATGCAGGTGAAGAGATTATTGGTAATAGGGATTACGGAAAGGATCGTCATAACCATAATCGTGGTAGGCGAGAGGGCTGGCAAGGCCAGGTGGGGCATTTTCGTCCTGCTCATCGTAGTAGCCGCCGTGATCAGGCTGTGGGGTCAAATTTCCAGCCAATCCCAACATACCAGAATGCTGTTCTTCGTCCTCGTAGACGCCTAAATCGTTCTCAGGCTGGTGGTAGGTCATGCCAGTGTGCTGGGAAGCTACCTGAGCCTGGTCTTCATGATCGAAACGACCGTTCATGTGGTAATCATCTTGCTGAGGCGAAGCAAATCGATTTGTGGACATGTAGCCAGAAGCTTGCTACACTCACATTAACCAAGGTCAAAGCTACCAGAGAAGTTAGAACTTACGGAGTACGATGATGCTGCAGCAGGGAATTGATTCCAAGGGTTTTGTCGGTCCATGCCATATCGCTGCAAACCACCAAACACATCATCTTCAGAGCCAGGTTCAAAGCCGTTGTTCTGGCGGGAGTCGAAGTACTGTTGTAATGTGCCGTGCTCATTGATGCCGCCGTATTCAACAGCGCCCTGCTGGGCCTCCATGTGGTCTTCATCTTCGACTTCACCATCCTTCTCCTCATATTCATCAAACTCGGGGCTGGATCCGAAGTCCTTTCGCAGGTCGGGATCGGATGCATCATCATCCTCAGCATCGCTTTCCTCAGCACCATCTTCCTCAGCATCGCCTTCCTCGGCATCGCATTCCTCAGCATCATCGTCCTCGACATCGCCGTTTTGGTTCTCGGGAGCTGGGCTGCCAGAGTGGCCGGGAGGGAAACTTGCCAATTTATCAGGGGATATGGAAAGCTTGATGGGCAAGGAGGACGTCTCGTTGGATGTTACTTCATCCGTTGAGCCAAACTGCATCACTGCATAGGTGGTGTGTTCTTCTTCGACCTCATCTCTTGTCTCAACCTTAGAGCGAGATTTCCTAAGAGAGCGCCTAGTCCTAGTCTTCTTTGCGGCTGGGACATATTCTGAGTCCTCGGTCAAGTCAGCTGGATCAGCAACCTCTCCTCGCTCTTCCGCGTCTGACTGGCTTTGTTCCATTCGCTTGCGCTTCTTGTCCTTTGCTCGCTGACGACGTGCCTTGGTCTTCTCGGCAGAGACACTGTCCGCGATTGCCTTGGCGTTTGCCAGATACTCTTCAGGATACTCAACCTTCAACTGTGGCTCATCGCGGCGAGCGCCTGCTGTGCTTCGTCGACCATCTGGTCCACGGCGATACCGACCAGAACCATTGCTGATTCCTGGGTTATCTAGGCTCTTCTTGAGATGTTCAATGTGCTCGTCCCATCTCACAATACGGACCTTTCCTGGCGGGCCATTGGGATCGGCACGAACAAGAGCTCGCACATTCGGATCCATGGGGAGGTATGGCTTAGTCTTGGTCGGTGGGACAATATGGCCTTCAGCGATGAGCTTATATCTCATCTTTTCGATGTATTGGACAGCAGAAGGACCGCTGGATCCAGGTTGAAGGCGGTGGACGATGTGGTCCCATGGGATTGGCACCGATCGTTGGTGGCACTCGTACAAAAGGAACACTAGAAGCTTTTCCATCATACGAGGACCTACCGACGGAGTGTGAGCTTAGAAACCACGGGAGACACGTTTTGATTGGGGGCGGAGCCTCGATCTAGACATTCGAACATCCTGAGTGAAGGAAATAGAACTTACGATGCCAATGGACTAGTGTACGACCGTGGTATCGACCGTTTGGATCATGTTTGCCCATTCCCCGCGATTGTCTCAACAAATATCTCTCCATGTTATTGGCGGAGTGTGGGACCGATGGATGATCTGGGCCAATAACCTCCCCACCGGGAGTCAAGGGTTGCACCTCGACTGGGAACTTGACAAGCGATTTGCGCTTTCGGGGCGTCTTCGGTTCACCGTCTTCCTTCTTGGCATCTCCCTCCTCGCCCTCGTCAGAGTCAGTCTCTTCCTCCCAAGCTACTTCCTCATCGCTATCATAAGCCTCATAGCCATCTTCCTCGTATGGATCAGGCTCGCCAGCCTCGTTTATGTCATTCTCCTCCTTCTCTGGAGGACCTTGCTTGAGGCCGAACAAGAGCTGGCGTGGTGACGAGGCAGTCGCAGAACGTTTGGTGTCTGACTTGCTTGCTGGGGTTGTCTTTGACTTGTGGTCTGATTCCCGAAGGTAGTTAGCACTAGCCTCGTCAAGCTCGATTTTGATTGTTTCGGCACCGGGGTGCTTCTTGGACCAGCTGAATCGAAATTGCTTCTTACTTGATGTTGTTGCCTTGGCGACTTTGTCGGGAGAGACTTTCGCATTGGCAGGCTTGACTGCAGAGGGGGCGGTCTTCTTCGCTGACGATTTTGCCGCCGGAGCAGGCGATTTAGCAGCTTGCTTCTTTCGTGCAGCCATTGCGGACGCTCATGCAGTTTAGCTCGAGACAATGCGTTGCTTGAAGCAACCCAGGAGTTTATCTGTTTGATTGGCAAAATGGTTAGTCGCTGAAGCAGATTGTGGTAGATCGCAAGATGCTCTTGAGAAGCGCAGCTCGGTGATGACAAGGAAGCCGCTGAAAGGTAGTATAGTTGGCAATTGTGTGCAATTGGGAAAGGAATGATGGGGGTTCTTGTGCAGGGAATGGATTGGCACTGCTGTACTGCGCAAGGTGCGAGCGTGTGCAAGTCTTGGTACGAGATCGAGGTGCTTCGGAAAGCGCTTCAACAAGCAACAGAGACTGCTGGGAGTGGGAGATGGAGGTATCTTCGCGACTGAGTCGCGCCGATGTTGAAGTGATTCAGGTTCGATTATGTTTAGGGAGGGGAGACGCGGAGGGGAGGAGTGCGTAGGATTGCTTGAATAGGGGACTCCCTCCTTGGCCCAGAGTCATTTCAGAGACAAGGGTATGAGGTGGCCAGCTGCTGCTGGTATCGGAGGTGAAGGAGTGATTGGAAAGATGTTTGTGATGGTGGAAGGGAGGTAGTGGAAGGATGATGGGAGGAGGGATGATGTAGTGGAGTGGAAGAGATGGGATGATTGTGGTAGAAGAGTCTGCGACAAGATCACCGCAACTTTCAACTTGAAGGTAATCACGTACCTGAAGTCCAAGGTGAGCAATGCCAGAGGGACTCTAGATGCTCGAAGGGGAAGGAACTATGGTGTTGTGGTAGAGAAGGGGAACGAGGTGCGGAGGTGGTTGAAGAGGTTTGGCGTGGAGGTTGAGTTGAAGTTCAAGATCTTGGATTCCACGCAAGGCTGCGTATTTCACCACAACAACCCCGCTTGCAACCACTAGTGCGGGCGAAGAGTCACGAGTCTTTACGCTGATTGGTTTGTTCGAGGTCAAATTCTTCTGAAAAGGCGCAGAAAGATATCCCTTCAGTGCACTTGTGCAGATGAAGCTTGAATCTGGAAATCGGAGAATCACATGCCACTATCGGGTTTCAAAAACGCATTGGACTGCGGGAATGATTGAGTGGCTTAAAACAATGCTAGGGAGACTTTTGGAGCTGTAATCTTTGGAGCACGTAGTGTACTCAAGGCTTCAAACTCGCAGACTATGTTCCTGGAATTCCTAAAAAGGAGTCAGCTTTTACAGATCACCAGCATGAGCAAGATGGTAGATGCTGGACCCGACCGCAATATCACAGGATTCTACGCAGAAGCAGGGAGAACTACGAGCAATGGCATCCGAAAAAGCAGGGGAACATCATTTATTTCAGAACTAGGGGCTATTCTGACCAGTGGCGACATGCCTGATTAGGAAATCCATTATGAACATGGAAGCATGATACTTCGGTCGAAGAGTGGAAAGGCAGTTGAAGACCAACAAATATCCTACAGTCAGCTTAAAGACGACAACGCTGATTTGCCACGACTCTGTCCTCTGTTATATCTCACTTCACTAGTTCAGACGCAGCTTCCTGAACCACCACCCTCCGCGCTTAGCCTCTCTGCCTTCTATGACTGGCGAATATTGTTCAGGGGAATGTTGTGCTGAAGCTTGTTGTGTCGGAGATTGTCGTGCTGAGGCTTGTTCTGTTGGTGATTGACTTGCTTCCTTGTACTCTTTCCCCTCCAGCTTGCTCCGATTGACCTCGTTCCAGACTTCAGACATCGGTACTGGTCGTTCGCGTACTCGGGGCTTTCTTTTTGATGATCTGGCTGGTTTTTGAGAAGCTCCAGCATAGAAGTCCTGGCGCTCTGAGAGGGTCTCGCTTGATCCATTCCATAATTGGTTGAGGGGTGTTGGTGCTACGAGGGTTGCTGGGTCGAGTACTGAGTCGAATCCTGGTTCTGATTCTGAGAGACGTGCTACGAGAAGGTTAACGTTGTGAAAGGTTGACAGGTTGCTATACATACGTCTTCTTGGAGGAGCCTCTTGCCCTGGTTCCCGCATTGTCGTGAGAAGAGGATTCCGCTCCTTCATAAGGGCCTTGAAAGCTGCGAACTGCTCCCTCTGCTCCTTTTGAACGGCCTCTACTTTCTTCCACTTTTCCTCCAGCAGTCTCTTGGCAGTCTCCGGATCAACAGACTGCTTCTCATGGGCTGCCTCTTCTTGACACTGAACTCTCTCATAATCGGCCACCAAAGAGCACTCAGGCTTCTCTTGGTTTCTCTGCTTCTCAGGAAGTGCCCGCTGTACGTCTTGGACCCTATCGAGAACCGGCTGCGAGGTCCCGGTCTCTATCTCGTCTTCGAAAGCGGAGAAAGAAAAGCCGGAGAAGCGGGCTTGAGACGCAGCTTTCAACAAGTCCGCTTTCGTCTCTGCATCTGACTTTTCTGCTGCAGCGCACAGGGTCTCCTTGGCTTTCTTCCTTTGTGCCTCGAGGTAACTTTCGTACAGCTTTGCCTCCCGGGGGTTGGTAGCAAACTTCTGCTTGTGTAGCTCCATCCACTCTACCTCTTGTTTGTCTCGAGCTGCCTTCCAAAGTTTTCTCTCCTTGGATGCTATCTTAGCGTCGATCGCCCATTGAGACTTCCACCATTGCGCCCCGTCATCTTCGGCATCTTTGCCGTCCCACTCGAACTTATTGTCACGCTGTTGGAATAAGCACTCAGCAATCGTTCAAGTTGCTGTGTGAAATTGACACTTACAAATTGATCTGCCCGAACCTCGATGCCGTACTTGGTCTTTGGTAATGTGTACTCAGAGGAGTACGGAGGGTGCGGCAGCGGCTTGTCCATCTTGAACCTAAGTGCTGTCAGCCACTACTTACAAAGACTTGAGTATCTTACTCTTACCAACTGATAGTAGTATGTCTATATTGTTCAAAGGCACATTGGGAGATTGAGGAAAACTGCAGCGGAACTGGGATCTACGCGATCTACTTTCTGGGTTTGAGTCAGCCGGAATCCTGCAACGCGAGATGGAAATGGACTTACAGCTAGAGAGCGAGACGATTTCAAATGTGGGCAACGCTCGATTTCGGATGGAAGAAAGCAAGTGGAAGTGGGATGAAACTATGGCGAAGCTTGGAAGTGAAACTGATATCTACGGGCAACGTGTGGATGTCGGTGGATGTCACGTCGGGTGCTGCAAAGCCGGCTTCGGAGAGAAATGGTTGACTCCCAGGAGGTTAAGGGGGAACTGTCACGTGGTACCCCTGAATTGCTGGAAATCTTCTCAGAAGAGGCAAAATGGCTGCAATACGTTTGATTGTTGAATCTATTGTCTATTCAAAGGATCTAGGAACTGCTGAGTATGTCCAGAGGACGGAAGCAATATGCTTCCTGTTTCTCTCCTGAACGACATGGAGTTTGAAAGAAAGAACTGCATGATTCGGTCCTCTCGAAGAGAGCAACGCCACTATTGCAGCCAGGAAAACATCGCAATCTTTGAGGAAACGCCTCTATCGTCTCGCTCAGTTGTGAAGTATGCGTCCACTCTGACTTCTCTCTACTCAACAATGAGGGGGCTGTCAGAATGACCTTGGTCTTCGGGTTGGTATGGCAGACTGTGCTGCTGATATTGGAAACTCTGCTGGGAAGAGCGTGGGACGCTGCCCAGCCCACCCATACTCTCCATATTTCTCATGCTTCTCATCATCGAAGATGCGCTGCTCATGACAGAAGTTGGGTCATATTCTGCACCAAAGTAGCCATTCTGGGGCTCAAGATCATATGCAGAAACCATGGGAGTAGCATAGCCAGACGAGGTCCCGTATCCGGACATACCGCCACCATACTCTCCAGCGCCGTAGAGATCATCAACCCCCAGCTGAGAGCCATTATCGTAGTACTGCATGAGGTTCGCGGCCTGCTCGAGATTAAGCTGTCCCTGCTCCTGTATGATCTGCGGCTTGTGATCTCCACCTCCACCTCCACCTCCACCTTCCGTCTTGAAATTGTACTTCTCTTCTCGCGGACCTTCTTTGATGTGGACTGTTCCAGAGCCCCAGCCCACACCTTCGTCGTCGTCGGTAGCTGTGTCTTCGGGGAATTGGTCGGCTTTGCGCTTCTTGAGGACGGGAGCATTCGAGTCTTGTCGGTCGGACTTGGGGGCTCGGGTAGGTGCTGGCTTGATGCTGGCCGCGTTGGGGGCGATGCCGTGGGCGCGCATCATGCGTTCGTAGCGTTTGGCCCTGTTGGAGGGGATTATCAGCTTCAATTTCTGGAATTAGAGAGAAGAGAGAGAAGGGCGAAGAGTTGAAGTTGCTGGCAGGATCAGGGCTGGAAAAACTAATGCTTCCTGCTTCTGCTGCTGGGGAACTGAGACTTACGCTGCACCTTTGCTGACAATGTTGCACTCCTTTGCAACTTGCCCGAAGTCCACCTGTTGAAGTCAGTAAAGACGGAAGCTGAAGAGGTGTGAAAAGCGAAGCCCTTACCTTTCCATTGTTGCTGTACCTGATACAGCTGATGAGGAACTTGAACTGCTCTTCGTTCGAAGCAGGAGCCATGCTGAAGCCTAGTCTGCCAGCCGAGAACCGAAGCAATAGCCAATTATAGAGTGATGTGGGCAAGTCTCGAGATACTTCGAGAAGACGGTCAGGGAAGTGGTTGGAGTTGACCAGAGGAGGAAGTTGAGAGACTGGAGGAAGTCAAGGCAGAGAGTGGTGGTGACACTGTGGATTGAAATCGAAAGGAGGCAGACGTCCCAGATTTATGGTAGCGAAGACTACTTTTGAAGCGATGGCTACCGCAATGTCATTGACAGTCGATTTGCAGATTTGTGGCAACTGGCCGGGAGTTTGTGGGATGGCTTTCAAGTCTTTGGGCATTGAATGCTTGAAGAGAGGAAGGAAGGGTGGCGGCTTGCTGCAGCTGAATGAATGTTGATGAATGACTTCACGATTGCGAAAGAAGCTAAAATTGGGAGTTGAGAAAGCTATTATTTGGGCTCAAAGAGCAGAATGCAAGGTCGCGAAAACGACGGCAGAAACGCAGCAGCCACCATTGATATCATCCTCCCGATGCATGAAGAAACGGCAATCCTCATCCAAATGGATGATATAAAGCCATTTCAGAAAATTCAGAAAGACGCTTTATGAAGAAGGGGAGAAGCAAGCAAGAGTCCATTAACCAGCCACCCAAAGGAGCAATCAGCATGCAGCGGAGCAAACGCCTATTCCCAAACTAGAAGAAATCGTATGCCAAGCCTATTCCCAAGAAAGTCGAGTCAGCATACTTATTTTGGGTATTTGAGGAAGAAGAATGTCCCCGAAGCTAATAGACGTTGCGGCAAGGGGGAATAGTACTACGAGAAGTGGGGACTTACCGAGGTGTATGCAATCTTAGGGGAAAGCAAGATGGTTGTTCAATTTATGCCTCGTCTGAATGAAAGATTCAATTAGCAGCTGCTCAAGAAGGTTCGTGGAAGAAATACCAGCAGCAAGTCCAGTTTTGGAGTCCTCAGGCCTTGCCTGAGCTCTTCCTGGCAGCTTCTTGCGCCAGGTGTTCTTCCCAAGAATATGGCCGGGGACCACAGTAGAATGTGTAGTCGTTGTACTCCTTCCATTGCAGATATTCCCGAAGGGTCATCTTATAACGGTTGGCAACACTGACATCGAACGGGGCATATGAGTAGTCATATCCCTGAATGAGGATGTGGAACATTGGCTTTGCTGGGTCTGCAACAGCGGCAGCGAGAGCTTCCGGAGAAGCAACAGTAGTGGGAATATCGACGGGGAGCTCGTTGTCTGCGGGGGGAGATTGGGTAGACTTGCCAGCAGCTTCTTCGACGTCCTCCATGACCTTATCCGTGTCTTCAGACTTGGCATCAACATTGTCGTCAGTTTCGGCATCGCCCTCGGCCTCAGCTTCCTCCTCGACTTCCTCGGTCATGGCAGCCTTCTTTCCCTTTCCCTTAACAGGAGTCTTTGGGCCACCAGCGGATGCCTTTTTGGGAGCGGTGGTCTTTCCGACAACCTTCTTGGGGGTCGTGGCCTTCTTTGCAGTTGCTGTACCCTTCTTGGTAACTGGCTTCTTGGTGGGTGATTCTTCCTTGTCAGAAGCCTCCTCAGCAGCGGCAGAGGCTTTGCCCTTCTTGGCGGCGGTAGCCTTCTTGACGGGGGACTTCTTGGGAGACTCCTCAACCGTCTCATCGCCGTCATCAGCCTCAGGAGTGGTGGCCTTTTCAGCAGCATCGGAAGAGGCAGCAACGGTGGCCATATTGTGCTGCTTCTTGAGGCGCTCGAAGAGCTTATTGACAGCAGCCTTCACGTTCTTGGCGTGGTTATAGTTAACCAACTTCGCCATCTCGCCATAATCAATCTGATTAAAGAAGTTTATTAGCCAGTTTGGATCTCTTGACCTAGAAAAGCAAGTTGGGCGGAAATGAGTAACATGATGTAATGAAGCGTTGGAGTATCTGTGGAGGGTGTTCAAGGTGCAGTGTGAGGAAATCCGCTGGAGTTGATCTAACGAGATTGGGGACAAGTGGCGAAGAGGAGAGGGGCTTGGATGAGCGGAGAAGGAGGGATGCTCGGAAGGTGTACTGCAGCCAGGCAAGGGATGTGATGATGGGTGGAGAGGGTAATGAACACAAAGCGGAAACTTACCTTCGGCGCCTCGGGCATAAGGGTTGCAATAGCTCTCAGGAGCTTGAGCTCGGTGGCCGTCAGTTGGTCCTCTTCACCGGGAGCAGCAGCTTTGCGAGGCATTACGGCGGTGTTGTCCTGCGACCGGTCAGCTCTGCAGGACATCAAAACAACAGCAAGACCGGCGCTTTTTGACGAACCTTGTTTCTTGGGAATGATTTGTTGTCTTGTCTTGTCTTAGAGGACGAAGTCTTCTTGATGAAGATCTTGCGGGAAGACAGAAGGATGTAAGACGTAGAACGATCTTTGCGTATCGGAAGTTGTTGTTGGAAAGGGAGAAAGTCACAGTGGAGAAAGCGAGCTTCGTCTTTTGTAGTCGAGCGGGGTACAGCAGCAGCCTCGAGCACTGACGTAGCCTGACAGTAGCGAAAAGTGCTGGAATGGCAATTCACCGCTGTTGTGTGCTTCGACGGCCGGCGTTCGCTTTCTCCGAGGCACTTCTGAAGGCTGGCTGCACTGCTGTAGATACCGGGCTCATTAGGAGGGCATCCTTGTGCAGGATTGGTCTAGACTTGATATTAGGTGTATAGATCAAGTCAAGAAAAAAGTTTGGGGCTTTCAATTAAGGAGGTCACATTCAAGAAGAAGATTATGCAGTTGCAGTTACTTGGATTTCCTAGTACTGTCCACAATCAGAAGATCAAACCACCAACCAGGTCGAAAGTCGTTGCATCATCAATATTGATGATTATGGAACTCAAGCCTCCTCAACTTCGAGCTCCTCATCAGCATCTTCAGCAGCAGAAACGCCCTCGCCAACATCCTCCTGCTCGACCTCTTGAGTATCATCTCCCTCCTCCTCAGACTCCTCCTTGACAGCCTTAGCCTTGAGTTGCTTAGGAGAGGTAGCGGCTTTCTTCTTGGGGGTGTTTTTGGTGATCTTGTCGGACTTCGTAGTCTTTGGGACGGCAGGGGAAGAAGGTTCACCACCAGAAGCCTTGCCAGAGCCGGTACCGAGAGGAAGGCCGTACTTCTTTTTCATGAGGGTTACTTTGTTTCCGACGGAGCGGACGTTCTTCATGCCCAAAGCATTAGCAACGCCAGCCTGATCGATCTGGGATAATAAAAGGTGTTAGCTTGGCTCGAAGCAATAATGCTCCGATTTGAACCTCGCATTGTGTTGTGAAGAATCGAGGAGTCTTTGAATAAGGTGAAATAACGTGTTTGTGGAATTGCGGAGAGGAGTGAACTCGGCCCGAAAATCAGAACACCAGACAGGTCTCTGAAGATGTACTTGAGGGGAAGAGTGGCGGAGAGGATCCCTGATGCTGAACATGAAACGATTGAGAAGGTTCTGTGCTATTTTTTGGAGAAGGATGGAGTGGTAACTGGAGAAATGTGAAGGGGAGAAGCACTGACAGAAACTAAGTAGATTTCTGAAGAATTCCCGATGAAGAGCTTGAAGGAATGGAGAGGGATACTTGCGGGAAGGAATGAAACCGGGTATGAGGGGAAGTGCTGAGTCGTGACCTGGGAATAGAATGGTGATTGTCTACTTACGAGGAGTTGACCACCGGTGGTATTCTGGATACAGGTAATGAGGAACTCGACGTCACTCTTCGTCATGACGATACCATCCGGGGTGGTGATAGATCCATCAGTGGTTGCCTTGTCGCCAGCCATGGTGGATAGATTGGGTAGGTGTGGAGAGTGTTGCGAGATCTGGAGATCAAGGAGATCAGAGCAATGTTCGAGGATGCGCAATGCAGAAACTCGAAGAGGATTAGCTTACTGTTTGGTATGTAGATGAACAAACAAGGCTTGCAATTCGTTTGAATTATTCGTGGTGAGAGGTTGTGGTGTTGAAGGAGATCGTGTGTGTGGTGTTGGTGGAAAGTTGTGAGGGGCAGGCGACTCGCGCGGATTTATGCTGCAATTTTCGCGCTACTGTGTGTGCGATTACCAGAGCCTGGCCTCTCGCTATTCCTTTTATTTCATGCACGTGCATGGGAATAGCATTGTGGAAGATCCTGGCAATGTCTCTTTTGTGTTTGGCAGCTGCAGCCTCAGGTTTTGAAGGGGGAGGGAAACTCTCAAGGCCCGGCTTTGTCAAAGAGAGGTTTCAAGTCCTTTCCAATAGAATCAAGAAGACTCTCGAAAACTCTATTTTATTGAACATAGTAGTTGAATGAACTGTAGATCTCCATTCTGCGTGCCAATACTTGATCCCATTCCCATATTCCAATCCAGAGCCCAGTACAATGGCAGCAACGCGTATCATCCGTATTGTGTCTGCATTCTTTTCAAAACAAAGGAAACCAATCCAAGCCCGTAAAGCCATATGTCACTCTTCCAGTTGCCACGGTGAAGAACGAGAAGATCCAAGTGTAAATACACGACTGCTGGAAGCAGCTGGAGATCGCCAAGCAGCCAGCACCACCACCACCACAGCTGTAGTCTGATATCTCAACCCCACATCAGAAAGGGGATATTTCGCAACGATCTCAGACCTTTAATGGTTTTAGTCAGATTCTCTCAGCAAACAGTGGCTCTTGAATTCCTTTCAGAGAAGTTCCTCGCTGCACCGCTGCTCATTGTCCTGTTGCTCCACCATTTGCTAACAGAACATTTTCCAGATTCGATGCTATCTGCGCTTCTACGAATACCAGCCAACCACTACATATCACGATTTTCTTCCTCCTATGGCGCTACACGAGCAAACCCCCGCAATGCCACATATTTCTGACATCTTGGTGCCGTTACGTTCGAAGATCGGCGGGCACGTAAAGAAGTTCCTCCCAACCACGCTGCAGGCTACGAAACACAGTATTCTAATTTGGGATGGAAGTTTCATGCGTATGCGAGTTCGTCCCTCTTCATTCAGAACAGAGATTGGAGGCAGGAATACTTGGGGATTTGGCAGGGGTACAAAGTCGCTGGCTGCAGCTTCTCAACTGTCCCTGGACCGAAGGACACGGGTTTCTATTTCGGAAGGGAACACTCGGATGTTTTGAGAAATTATCTCTCCAGAGGAGAGTTAGTCTAAAGCTGGAAACGGACTTCTGGGCAGGCTTCTTTTGAGGTTTATAGACAAAGTTTGGAGACGAGAATGAACCATTGGGCGGCGTATCTATGAACCAAGAGTAAATCCTCTGACAACTCCTTCACACCGCACATTCGATTTCTGGTTGGAAGCTGAGTCTGTACTTCACTGCATTGTGAAGGACATACGAAAAGGAGTTTCAAGCAATGACCTCTGGGCAGGGGCTTTTAAAGATGTACGCAAGGTTGAAGAGTTCTGAAGCCGGAAAGACATAGCTACAAGGCAGATGTACAAATACCGAGTGCTTCCCGAATAATCCTTCCAATTCCACATTTTGCTGCTGACCGAGCCACTGTCTGGAACGCGCTGCAACGCCAGAACATACAGAAAGACTTTTGAAGCAGGGTCAATGTTAGCATGGACACGAATGAGAGCTCTCATAGATAACAAACTTCCAGCGGGTGACTTCTGACACTTTTGAAGATTATATCTACAAGCCTACGAAGATTGCGAGGTTGCATCTTGTTGACCTTGAACGTTCCAACTTACCTATCTACCTAAGACCAAATTTTCTCTTCGTCCTGGGTTCAGTGTGTGGTCCGCAGCGTGTTGCCGTGGGCGCTGCTGGACTATAATGGCGTATGTTTTTAGTAGTGGTTAGAAGCCAAGTAGGGTTTCCGCTTGGCTGCAGCTATCTACATTATGAACTGCAGCCGGAGCTATTGGCATCATAACCACTCCGCGCTTTGGAAAGATAAGGCCAACGAAACCAAGACGGAGGACACTTGGAGAGCGGGAATACGTGAGCTTGAGTTTTCTGCAACTGTAATCGAATTGAGAGTGTAAAACTGCAAAATTCGTTTTGGACTTGAACTGTCTCTGATGCTGCTGTCGCAGGGGAAAATCTGCCTCAACTTTCAGGTTTATCAGCGTTCCCACTTGCTATTCTCCAGCTCGAGAAGCATTTAATTGAACCTCTCTCAGTCTCTTACTTAAGTGGAAGGCATAGAGAACAAAGTAATTGCTTCTTGGAAATACAAGAAGACGAAGAGCTATCATTGTTGAGGACTCGAAGATTAATGTAGAGCTGGAAATACCAAGTGGATGACGAAGCAAGCACTCCTTGCAATTCTCCCTTCGAGTTATCAAGTACAGCCTATCCCCAAGAAGGAGCATTAACAGTCATCATTGTCACATCACACAATCACAACTAATTCAAGAAGAAGCAGAAATTTATGTCATCTGTCTAAAATTGCTGCTGATCATCACGAATCTGCAGTTTATCCGAGTATGTGTCCCCGTTTATCGCCTAGCCTCAGTCATGGAAAGACCAAGGGAGATCATAATATCAAATTCCCACCAGTATCCGCATCCCCACCAACATCCAGTAAATCTAGCACCATGCCCTTGTTAATGCCATTGCAATCTCTCGATCTGCGATGTCAGCGTCAATTTGGGTTGAACAATGTAGACGAAAGTGAGAGAACTTACGAGAAGCGTGACATCACACCTGGGCAAAGCTTAAGCCTCCTCGACGATCTCGATCTCCTCAGCTTCGTAGAACTCGGCCTCCTCCTCAAAATTCTCTTGAGTAGGGGAATCGCTCATCTCAACATCCGCACCACCATCCTCAGCCTCATCCTCGTGCTTGACCTTGGGCTTGCGGCCGCGCTTCTTGGCAACCTTTGATGGGGAGGCGTTGGTGCCACTGCCCACCTTAGCCTTCTTGGGAGTCTTCGCCTTGGGGATCTTTGAGGGAGAAGAGCTGGAAGCGGTGGTGTCAACGTTAGAGGACGTAGCACCCAACTTCTTCTTAATTTGACTAAAGCGGGTTGCGGCGGTCCTGCCATTGCTGAAGCCGGAAATCTGTGCAACGGCGTCCCAGTCAACCTGTGAGAAATGACGTCAACGCATTGCCTTCCGTGGAAATGATGTGAAATTTGAAAAGTGAAAACTTGAAATCCATCCCGGAGGTGGGATGAAAGAGCAAAGCTGACCTCACGAATGTGCTGAAGAGGGGATGGAAGATGACAAATGACTTACCTCGGGTTTGTTCTTCATGTTATTGAGGATGGTGAAAAAGAACATTGCCTCCTTAGGAGTGGGTGCACCGGTGGCAGCAGCGGAGGTAGTGGCGGAAGATTCTTCTTGAGACATTTTGATTCTTGATGAAGTGATCAGCAGTTGAAGGCGAGATGATGAAGGAGTGCTTGGATATCGAACTTACCTTGTTGAGAGGGGATGTGTTGTGTTTTTGGGTTCTGTGGAGTTTGTAAGTTGCGAGGTCGAACCTGAAGGGAATGTTTGGGGTTGACAAGAGTTGTTTTTGAAAGATGTTAAAGTTGTAGGAAAGACTTGGACTTACGATGCGGAAAGGCTGTGATGGACTTGCAAATCTGCAAAGGGTGTTGCGGTGCTTTTGGTGGTGACAGATTGTTTGTCTTGAAGTTGAAGGAAAGAAAGTATGTGAGCGCTTGGGCCTCAAATTTATGTTCAGGGGAGATCGAGCTCATCACGGAAATATCCGAAGCCGAACTCGTTGCTCACAGCCTTTGCCGAACTCGGTACTGACAATGGCGATTCACTCACTTCGTTTAAACCCTTTTTGAACACAGAAGAGATTGGAAGATGGGTTGTTACTTTTTCTTCGAAGAGTCGGCCAAATTGTAAGCCAGAAAGTTCTCGACTTTTCGTGTCCTCGCTTCTCGCAGCTTTCAGAGGCACTTTCGATGTGTTCCTTGTCCCCCTGTTGCTCAGTGCAGCAGATATCTCCTCCCAAGTCCCTTCCCAAATGCTATATTTGCTTTGTTGTTAATTTTTCCACCACAGCTCCGCCCATTTGAAATATCAACATCCCGTCTCGGCTGGCTCAGGGGTAATTGACGAGGACTAGCGTCGGCATTACATAAGCTGCAAATGTCCAAGCAACCTCTCTATATAGCAGACAAAATATTTTGCACCGCACCAAAGGCAGCTTTAACTTGATAAACAAAGCTCGATAGTCGGAGACTGTAGCTGCGAGGGGGTTGTATGTCACGTGATGACGACCAAAATTTTGGATACGAAAGCAGTTTTGCCTCAACAATTTGAAAATCAATTCCCACAAAGTTTGCTCAACTCAACGCGCACTCAGTCCAGATCAAGGCGGGAATCCTGAGTATGGGGGTTTCCAAACATTGAACAGGGGGCATGAAAGTTTTGACTTCGTACAATGCTGCTGCATCTACGGCACAATTTTGGCCTAGAAAAGTTTGCTTCAGCAGCCGAGCGAAGCGCGAGATAGACGGTGTTGTCATTGAAGAAATTCTACCCACTGGTATTAGCTGTAAAGGAGGTCCCCAGGGACAAGGAACTCTGCAACGTCTCCGGAAATGTCACTGGAGTCAATCTCAGGCAACCTGGCTTGGTGCATTTCTTTCCCAAAATGTATGCTACTACTATTCAACCATCATTCTCGATCTTCGGATGCATGGTCAGGCTCAGCCAACTCGGTTCAGTTTGCAGAGTTAGAGGCGAAAGTCAAGGAATAGACTGATGCTTGCTCAAGTCCAATATCGCAGGTTATCTCGATCTATCTCTTCGAAGACTACTTTTAAAAGAGGAGGAAAAATCAAAGCTAGTTAGTACATGCCTGGCTACAGGCCTCTTATAAATTATGCACGCCTTTGCCCCACTTTTTTGGGGCGCGACTGGGGTGATAAAATTGATTATGGTTATTAACCACCTAGCCTTCGGTCTCGAGTTCTGTTGTACGCGTAGTTATTCCATAAAGGAGAAATACATCCATAACATCCTATCTCTCACTCATTTACAAACAAACCTCACAATAGCATTTGCGCTGAGGGGCAGAAGGTCGAGAAGGAATTCAGACAGCAGATCTAGTGGTTGGTACATAAAGCGAGGATGTCTACCAGTATGTCAACACGGCTATATGGTCCATAACCGAACCAATGATGCCTCTAGTCCCGAGCCCCCGCACCCCACTCTTCTGCATCTCAAGCCTCAATACCCGAGCGGGGTCTTCTATAAGAACAGGACATGGAGATTGCATTGAATGTCTGACCGGACCTCTTTCAACATCCACATTCCTCTTTCAAGAAAGAACGAGCGCACGCTTGCTCGATTCCTACCACGTTTCATATCGCTATTGCCCAAGACACCTCAAACGAAATCGTAGCGGGGGTAATCTTGGCTCTTTGGATTATCTCTCAATTGTGATTTTCATCGCGAGAGAAAAGCTTCGCCGAAATTCAGATCAGTGAGAGCACAATGGCTAGCATACGAGCACTTCGTTTCCACGGGAGAAATGATATCAGGGTCGAGAATGTGACGGCGCAGTACGTTCAACCATTACTACCACGCATTCTCTACAAGCCAACTGAATCTTAAACAGGAAGTGTGGCAATGATGAGATAAGAGTGAAGATCGCCTATTGTGGGATCTGCGGTTCAGATGTCCACGAGTACCTTGGAGGACCAATATTTTCGCCTCAGCCAGGCCAAAAGAACCCGTACACTGGCGCCGAACTGCCTATCATCATGGGCCACGAGATGTCAGGTACAATTCTCGAGATTGGCTCCAGCATTACAGGATTCAAGGTGGGCCAGAATATTGCCATCAATCCATCGCTAGATGACAGACATCACGGAAGGGAACCTTGCGGGATCTGCAAGTCAGGACGGTTAAATCTCTGCAAAAGCTGGGCCACCTACGGGTTGAATGCTCATGGAGGAGGATTTGCCGACGAGATTGTAGTGAAGCCATTTAGTTGTATACCGCTTCCCGAAGGAGTATCGCTAAAGGCTGCTGCCCTGGCTGAGCCCTTGGCCGTTGCTTCCCACATGATTCGAATTTCTGGATTCAAGACAGGTCAAGATGTGGTTATTCTGGGCGGAGGACCAATTGGGCTTGCTCTTTTGCTCTTGCTAAAGTCGAAGGGCGTGAGGAAAGTGATCGTTAGTGAGCTTGCCGAAACGAGGTCGCGTCAAGCAACGAAGTTCGGGGCTGACTTGGTGGTCAACCCACTCGCAAAATCTGCTGACGGAACATCGGATCCAGTACTAGATGCGGTGCGGAGGGTCGTAGGAGAAGAGGGAGCAGATATTGCCTTCGATGCTATGGGTATACAGTCAACTCTGGACACTGCGTTGAAGGTCGTCAAGCCTGGGGGGGTTGTGTTCAATGTTGCAATCCACGAAAAGCCACTACTTATTAACCCTAATAGCTTCTCATTCACGGAAGTTAAGCTCATGGGCGGTATTTGTTACACCCACGAGGACTTCGTGGATGTTCTTGATGTTCTTGCAAGTGGAAAGATCCGGGCCGAGGACATGATTACCTCTATTGTCCCTCTCGAGAAGGCTGTTCAAGGTGGCTTCTTGGAACTAATAAACAATAAGGCGGAGCATGTGAAAATTCTCATACAACCCTCAAAGTATGTAGCTCGACTCTAAGCTATTTGAAATAAATCAATCAAAGTTCAAAATCTTCATTCTGGCTGTATTGGAAAGTGAAAAAAAGTAGGAATTAAAATCAAACCGAAGTACAAACTGAGGCCTCGATATTACGCCCACTAACGCTACTCCAGATCTCTCAATCACTTACAAAAGCGACCCGACAACTCCAACAGCAACACCTGCCATTACGCCAAGGACCTCCATTCTATTCCCGCCAAGTCTCAGTTCAATCTGTCACAGCTCAATCTGTAGCAGCCCGCCAGCCTCGCTCGTGGCGCTTGCCATCTCAACTGTCCTTACTTTCGTTTCCGTAACTACCCGCTGGCTGCAGCATTCGCCACTTTCCCATCGCAATACTGGCTCGAGAGTCATTCAATGAGCCGTACTCAATTTAGCACGTACTACGTATTGTTCTTGGGAATAAATGAAAGGGAGAAGGGGAACTGGGGGGGACAGAACGGGGAAAGAGGCTACGTACCTGAGGTCGCAAGAAGCTACGGCCGGAGAAAGCGCGGCATTGTTGCTGCTGGGTTTATTATGGTGGAGACTTGGACCTGGATCGTGGTTGACAGAGCCAACAAGCCAAGTGGGAGAGTGACTTGGAAAAACATTTTGAAAGGAGAATAATCTTTCCAAACCCTGGAAATCTGCTCCCAGATACCCGCTCAAGGTCTCTCCCATAGTCCCTCTCGAGCCTAAAGGAGGACAAGCTGCCTGCTTGACTCTTGAAACCATTGTTCCATGAAAATTGCAGCATCCGACCGCTATCGGAGCTGAAAAGAATAGTTCTGAAACATAGAGGTTACAGAGAAAGAATAGACGGATAGTGTGGGAAATTGAAAACGAAGAGCAAGGGGCCTCTTGCACGCTAGCTTGGGGCTACCAGCTGCACGTTGTAAGCCCGAAACATTGGGCTAAATTCCAGGAGGCCATTCTAAGTTAAGTTGAGCTCTTCAAGTTTTCTGTCTCAGTCCCAATCTGCAAGTGATCTGCAAGAGCTGCAAACTCGAGCTTAGCGGGAGGATGCAGAAGCCCCAGCTAATCGCGGCAAAGGCAAGGTGATTGATCAGAATAGCGCTATGCAAGAAGCTCAAAGCGTTCCATCAAGCTTTGGCAAAGAATTTGATAATTGGCTGAGCTGATCTTCGATCGTTAGTTCCCTTTAAGGACCAATCGGTCCCCAAGCCATGGTTCAAGCGAGAGCAATACGCATAAATTACCACACACTTAAAATGCATGTGGTTAGCTAATGTTCAAAAGTTCAAGATGCTTTCTCTTCTAAGACATATCTTTGGGAGAACTAAACTGAAGCACAACAGCTGGTTCACTCTTTCTTTTTATTGTTCAACGAAGTCACTGGCACGCTCACCTGGTGAAAGCGCTTTACGAGGGGTCAGTCATCCCTGGGGCTTGCACTTGTCGCCCTGCTGCTAGGGGCACGGAAAGCCGTAAGGATCACATCTGTCTGCGCGCTCCCGCTTCCCGCTTTGATAATTTACCCTCCCCAAATCCTGTGCCACACCCTACGAAAACGTTAACTACTAATTTTTAGTACCTTTAGCCTACAATTTAGCGACCGTAGCCCTATAAGTTAGTAACAAGAAGCCTATAATTATAGGGCTTCCTTTTCCTCGCGACTTGTGACCTACGACCCTCGAAGTTCGCATTCTACATCTCACCGTCACTATCGCTGCCGTCGCCCTCTTTATCCCCCTTCTCCTGCTCTTATACTTATATATATAAGAGTTAAAGAGAGTGAATATTTTAAGCAGTAGTAGAGGTGTGGAGAGAGGGGGAAAGGAGGGGCCGCGTAGCAGGAAAGCGCGGGCGTTACTTTAGTGAGATGAATCATGCAAGCGGAAGCGGGAAGCGCGCTGGCACCTGTGATCCTTACAGTAGAGCTTTCCGTACAGGGGCCTATCGGTGAGATCGTGTTGAGGCTGACGCCACCCTCATGCCACCAGGGCGTACCAGGGTGCCACATTCATGGAAAGCAGAGTAGCGGTCAAGAGAACAGCCCAATTAACAGTTGCAATTTCCCAAAGCCCTATTCCAGTCTCAACTCAACGATATCGTACGTCTTTTTGCGGCCGTTGGGAATCTGTCAAATCTTTCTGTTGGGTATTTACCCACGCCATTTCCGCAAGATTTTACTAAGGAGCTCCAAGACGGGAAGGAACACAATCCCGTAACACAATACGCTACAGTAATTAAAGATATGTAACCTGTGTCTGCGGGAAGGACATATTATCAGGAGGAGGAAATCCCTCAAGCTTCTAGACCTGCAATAAGCATTTTTGCTTCTTATGCCACTATTTCTAGAATACCTGGACACGGATCAAGACCCTAATACCCGATGGAATGCCCCGCCCGTGGCATACAGAGCGAAATTAGGGTTGGGTGGTTTCGTGAACTGAGGGGCAAACTCTCCCTCACAAATAACTTCTGCAGAGCCACTGATCTCTAATTCGAGTACTACTTATTATATTAATACCGCCAGAGAAGAAAAGCAAACAGAGGAAGGCTTAACAGCAGAAATGTTGCTGTTCTGGGGCTGTTATGAATTTAATTAATATGGTGGAGTATAGGGAGTTATGGCAAACTGGAGCCTTGGAGAAGCCTGGAAATTCCGTACTGGAGTCGCTAAATGCGGGGTAATGAGGGGTAACGGCTTCGTTTCCAGGGCAGCTACAGTGCACTGGCCACAGGTCCGTGCGCTCAGGGCATTTTCCAGGTATTTTCAGGCTTCGCAAATTCGCTTACAGGTTTTGCAAAATAATATCTCTTTAAACACTTAAAAGTAATAAGATAACAAAGGATAGTCACGACTCGATATTGGGGGCTAGAAAACTAAAGCAACCAAAGCACGATTTGATTAATTAATTCTTTTAAGAATTTAAACGTTTGAAATTTTTATTTGTTAGTAAAATGCCTGAGCGCACAGGGTGGGCTCGTAACTCGTAACTCGTAAGGACTTCACAGCGCATCCACAGATTACAAGTCCTCGCATTCATTCCTCAATGCCGGAGCGGGCCAACTCGCCTGGAAGAAAGCTCTCAATCCTGGCCTCCAAGTTTTCAAAGATTATGCACGTACATGATAATGAAGAAGTCACAACATAAAGGTGTATTGCATATATATATCGCAGGTATCAGAAGGGATGTCCAATGTTTCTTGGAGACAAGTTATTTAAACCCAATCTTCCAAACCGCTTTCCTCAACATACGAGTCGCTGTCATGCTTCTTGCCAAACGCAGACCCCCGTTCCTTCTCGACCAGATCAAGGTTCGCGTCACTCTCTATCTCAAAACCTTCTTCCTTCTTGATCTTCCGTCGTATTTCGTCCACTTTCCCTCCATTCTGGAGCTTGAAATTTCGCTTTTTGCCACTGTTTTTGGGTGTTGTTTTCTTTACCTTGGAAGGTGTTGGACGGGTGATGGATCCGGTGACGAACGTCGGCATCTGGCGCTGTGACATTGCCTGCGGACGGCTCATACCACCTTCGTCTTCGGTGAACTTTCTCATGAGCTGCTGATATCTGGTACGGGCTGAGTTGCCTGTCTTGTACCCTGCCTTTTCAGCAACGAGATTCCAGTCAACCTAAAATATCGTCAACAAGACCTTACAAGTTCGTTGTAGTCAAAGTGAGTGTTGCTTGCAGGAAAATTGAGAGTATTAGCAAGAGTTGTAGCTCACCTCAGGTTTGTTTTTCATGTATACAAGGATTGTCTGGAAGAAGGGGAGTGGTGAAGTAGAGCCTTTGCTGCTCGGCGATGAAAAAGTGTCGATATCCTGAGACATCTTGAGAATATGCAACCCAAGTAATTGGAAATCTGTTCGTCACAGATAGCCTCCACGTCAGCAAGACCAAGGTGGTGGTATGACTAAGAGGGCATACCCGTAATAAGATCAGTGTGGTTTTGAGCATACAGCAAAATAGGTATTGATCAAATAGGATGAGCAACGAAAAGGTCCGAAAAGCCGTTGCTCAAGAGCCTGAGGCGTTTAAAAGCGCCCACGCGGAATGGTAGAGTTTTAAATTGAGCGGAACGTTACTAGCTTGCTTCGTCAATTTAAAACTACAGAAAATATGCCCAATTTCTACCGACGACCAACGCTATTTATCTCCAAAAACATCTTGTTACACGGAGCCATTTCAGATTTCCAATTTTCAGTAGTTCAATGCATCTCCTCTTTCGCATTCCGTTGGGAAGAGAGCCGTGCGCAACCAGGGGCGGGACGTGAGGCTCCCGCCCCGCGAGGAACTGCTTCCGAGTAAGCGAGGAGCTCACCGACAAAGAGGATGATCAAAAAGCCACTGCAGCAGATGGAAACACAACATGATCAAGGGTTCCAACTGCAATGCAACGTTATAGTGAATTTGGAAGTTAATTGGTTCCTTTTGCCCTGCCTTCCCGCGTCAAATATTCGCCACCTGCATGGCAAGCACATATTGAGAAGCACAGGCAGGGATTCTAATCCCTTGGTTCATCGGCAGGTGCAATAGATGTTTCTATAAGTAAAAGCGGCAAGAGATACTTGGTTTTGGAAAATGAAATCCGGCCATGTCACTTCTGTGTTTGCAAGATAGAGGTCCGGACCTCTAGAAGAGCATCTCTCCGCACGAGAAACTCTGCCTTCTTCTTGTTTCAGATGACCAGTATTAGTTGCTAGTGAACAAATTTCCCTGATAATTTGGCAATACTTGACTTGAGAAAAGTCGAAGCAAAAGAGAACTCGGACGGAAGTATTAAACCAAAGGATCGCAGAGCTCGCTGAAGTCGAGAATGAGTGAGCAGCCGATCGCACCATGTGACGCCCGCATCTTTTGGTACAAACACTTCTTGATTCCGGGACAGCAGTTAATCGTTTACAATCTCAAGACAACTACCGGGCATAGCTGGTCTTCTGAGAATCCCTGAATAGAGTGACATTGCCATTCAAGCCCAAAGACCTCAATGGTTCTCTCTCCAGTCCTGCGAGTTGCCTTCTCTTGTCTGAGCCATTAAGGGGTCAGCAATTCTACTCGGTCAGAGAACGTGTGCTTATTATGACGTATCTTTATTGAGACTCTGCATAAAGCTCTCCCAATTCAGGAGTTTCTTGGGCCGTCGAGCGTTTGAAAGCACTTGCTGCCTGTAATACTCCTCATCAGTCGACGGCAATAAAATTTGATACGCCCATACGACATTGCCAGGGTTTAGGCTAATTAAAAAACCGATCTCGCGTGCTAATAACTGCCGAGGTTGGTGTTGAAATGTTTCTGGCTTCCCAAGTTCTCCTTGTACTTCCTGTGAATGAAGATAACAGGCAAGTCCAGCAGGCACCTCAAACCCCACAACTCCACAAAGACTATCACGTTGGAATAGAAACCCTTTCAAGCTTATTCAAAAACCCGTTCCCGCAAGAATAGTAAAGTCATATTCAGCGACTCTTCTCCATTGTTTGAAAGAACATTCCACTAAAAACCTCGCGATTCGGAGAAATCCTCGCTCCACCCAGTCATTATCATCAGAATGGATTCGGTCTCTGAGTAAAATAACCATGAATTCCAAAGAGGTACATGCTAACACTTCATCTTTAGATCGTTAAACCAAGGCTGGATGAGAATCTGGGCTGGGTTTGGCTTGGGCCGACTGGCGTACGAGTTGAATTTGCAACGGCAGTCTGACGAAACCCTTGCTGGACTCCGTTCGGCTGGAGAGATCTTCCGAAATATCGATGGCTCGGAAGAGTTGGGGCTTTTGCTCTCAGGAGCTGAGTGCAAAGTGTTTCATAACGTCATTCATTGGCTGAACAAGGAATCTCTGCGAGGCGTTGATGAGGAGGACTACGACTACAATGCCCATATATCGGAGTGGTGCACCCTGTTTGTCCTGGCAACAAGGCTGAAGGTCTTTGACTTGGCAGACGAAGCTTTGGAACGATACCAAACTTGCCGGATGCCACATTGGCAAGGCTCATGGTTTCCCCTGCCCTCCGAAGTCGAGTACCTTTGGTACAACAGTGGCCTGTCAACCCCCATGCGAGATTTTGTCACCAACCACATAGTAGCACAGCTGCTTACACAGAGGTGTCAAGCAAACCTCGGCGACATTGCAGTTCTCCTATCTTGTGATGTCGGGCTAATACTCGATGTTCTCCGCTCTGTGCGAAGTCACCTCACAGACGAAATAGGTGCCACCCAGTTCTGCGGAGTTGAGTACTGCTCATACCATCTCCAGGTATGGACCCAGTTTGATGTCGACGAGGTAGAAAAGGCCCCATCGGAGTCCGAGTTCTCAGATCAGACGGAGCCTCTACCACGGAGGGGCGACCATGGAATCTCGTCGGATGACGAAGAAGCTTTTGCCGCTGCTGAGGTTTTGGAGGCACTCTCTGAGACGGGACAGACTCGAGGCTGAGTTTGGGTGGCTTTCATATTATTCTCTCCGTGCTTGGACAGCATCGTTTTGTGAGCCTTCCCGGCCCCAGTTATAGCAGTAGACAATTACAGACTAACATTGGCATCACAGAAACGGGGAAATGAATGACATCTCCTCTTGGATTTGAAAAAGCAAGCCAAACTTGAGGTTAATTGTTGCACATCATCCCCAGAACACCGACCCAATAGAGCGTTTTTTTGGGGTAGGGACCGAAGTTCAAGAATTTGGACGTTCTATCTAAAATAATAGACCTAATAATAGCTTCAAATATAGATTTGAAATCGCATCTTTAATTGAACGTGATTCCGTCATTGAAATGCCATCGTCTTGGAACTTGAGTTGATTCCATTTATGACGTGGTCACGTGATAGTATCAATTTGGCTCAATATGAATTCTCCTTAAGAGCACTACTACCCTATTACGGACGCCTTCTGAACTGATCTCTCCGATACCGCAGAGAATTTAGATCGGCGATGATACAGTTTCTAAGATAAGCGTTCTAGCCAGTGAAGTTGAGAGCCCAACAGCGTTCAAATCCGACTGGTGTTAACGCACGGGATGGTTGCTGCTCAGGTGATGACTGAATGCCTCGTTCAGGCAGACGCGGGAAGAGAGTTCCGAAACAATAATCAAGACTTGGTGAAGGGATGTGATGGACTATTGAATGCAACCATTTACAGGGCAGGTCCTGCACGTCTCAAGCACTCTGAACCGCAACAGAGAACCGCCTCTTCTTAAGAAATCAAAAGAATTTTACCAAGCTTGCGTCAAGCAATTCAAACTCATGTGCGCTAGCCAGAAAAGGGTAGTAACTCTAGATTTCCCTGATTACGGACTCTTCCTCTTATTGAGATGTGCTCTCCGGGAATCGAAGAAAGCGGTCTAGGCAAAGAGCCAATAATGCTTTCAATCTTCTATAAATTCATGTCTCCCCGTGAAGCTTTTAATCTCAGGAAACTCCCAAATCTCAACTTTCTTATTCAAAACAATACTTTCGCTTTCATAGCTGGGCATATGTCAAGTCGGTTTCGAAGTACTGCCTCCAATCGAAGCAACAATGGCCGAGGCTTCAAATACTCCAGAGTTTATCACTGCCGAAACGCTAGCTCAGCAGCATTGCCCAAAATCACAAGGGAGGTGGTCGAAGCAGAGGAAGATACGACCAATCAACGAGTAAGTTCGAGCTCGTGAATGCAACCAGCTCGTGAAATAACAAGCAACAGGTATGTGATGAGATCGAACGGCAAGGGTGCCAGCAGTGTCGAGCTTTCCCTCGGCCTTGCCAAGCCTATTCAAACCTGGAATCTACCTGAGGAACTCCTCTGTGATCACTCGTCATACTTCAGAGCAGTTTTCCAAGGCGAGTTCAAGGAAGGATTAGTGAAGAAGAGTGCACTAGACGAGGATCTATACACTGAGAAAGCAGTTGCCCATCTAATTAATTGGATTTACACGGGTAAGCTTGAATGCAGAGAAGAACATGACAGGAAGCAGCCCAGCAGCACCCATGACTGTACATGGTACTCGCTCTATGTGCTTGCAGACATGTTGGACATGTTTTGGCTTGCAAAAGCTACCGTTTCACGCATTAGATGTTGTCTAGAAGAAGGAGAATGGCTGCCAAACCAGGACGAGATCTACTTTGTCTATAAGAACACGTTAGAAAAGTCGCTTTTGCGCGAGCTTGTGGTGACCCAGCTGGTGGATGCTTATGTAGACAAGCCAGAGAAAGGCTTTGCGGAGGATATTCAGCACTGGACTGATGCTTCGGCATGTCACCCAACTTTTCACTGTGATGTGATGAAGGAAGTGAAGCATCACACAGATCTCATCGACTGTGATAGACCTGTAGCGTGTCGTTTCCACTTCTATCAGAAACCAGGGCGAAAGAGAAGGACAATCAGATAAAGGCGACAGTCAGAGCATCAGCGCGGAATCGGGTACCAGAAAAGAGTTGCGTGGCACACTAAAAATTGTATATAACTTGAAATTTAATGACTACCACTGAAAGCACGCTAATGACCACTCTATTGCCCCCAAGGTCAAAGACTTTATGTGTGAATGTCCGTGATTTTTACTCTCAAACACTTGTGCCCGATTGCTAAACGCAGAAACGATCGTTGCTCCTCAAGCCAATTTTCTAAGATCAATACGGAAAGCAGGGTAACAAGCTCCGAAACTAGGCGCAACTCCCGATGCGAACCACAGCCAGTGAGCTTCTTCGTCTCTTGGAAAATTGTAGCTCCATTTTATGACAAGGTTCTCCGAGCTGGAGAAAACATGTATATACACAGATACACAGGCATCTGCAAGCTTTAACAAGATCACCTTTCGATTCCTTCACACATCCAAACTTTGATATCCCAATCTCGTTTCACAGATAGATTAGGTGTCATTCATTTCTCTCAACTTTGAGATTCAATGGAGTTAACCATTTCGGTTCAGAAGCTTGTTGATGCCGCGGCCGCTGTCAAAAGAATCAATGAATATTCATCCAAAGTCCCTTTGGTTACACGTGATCTGATTACCAACTTCATAGATACTTCAAAGCAACTCACAACATTACTGTCAACGTCTGCCCAGATAAAGTCCCCTGACTTCTCCCCGGAGATCTTCTGTGTGAGCTTCGCTCATTCGCTGAGTGTTTCCATATTGGGACGCTTTGCACAGCAGCCTCCAACCGGATGAGGCTCTGCTTACCTGCAAGCAACTGACTTCCGAGCCCTGGGGAGATACGAAGTGTACGGATATCGTGGCATAAAGTCATGCGACTTCAGGGCATGCCCGGCCGAGATACACTATTCGTCCACTATGTTCAGGTTATAGTGGAGGCAGACGCTAGAAGTCCCTATAACTATAGGGTTAAGCCCTGTAAGGCGTTTCAGGGATTAAAAGACATTTCTAGGGTATGCCTCTGCAAGTACAGGGGCGTTGTCGCTAAAGTGCCCTATAAGACCTCCAAGTTCCAGCGTCTAAGCGCGATAGTCACTATGCAACAGCGTGGCGCTATGGCTACATGCACTACAGGTTACATACACTGAAGTTGCATGATGTTATGCCGCGATATCCGTATTCGGCCACCTGCCAGAAGGGCATTGTCTACAGAAGCTAATAGTCTCCGAAACACTCGATGCTTTTGTGTCCCTATCTATGGATGATATGAGGCAGCAAGTCGGCGAATGGGCTGAGATTACAGCTTGTCTTGCTGTGTTCCAAGCCCAATTCTTGATCGCGCGGAAGATTCGCTATAATACTTGAGGCGTGGACACCAGTAGCGCTGTAACACAACGGAAGCGTAAGAGAGTTTCTTCTCCTCAACCAACAACCAACAACCAACTCAACTTCACTGCCGAAGACGATCGATTTGACAAAGCCCACAACTTCAGCTGCAGCACAGTCGAACTGAAAAGCCGATGATACAACGGGCTTGTAAGTTCCCCTCATATGAATGAAAACAAATGTGTTCTGACAACCATCTCCATGAGCAAGACTTGCTGAGTGAGCCACGGGCGCAGCCCCAGTACACGGGATTGAAATTGAGAGACTGCGGTTGTGTTTGGGTTGGATTGGGTATCTCTTCATAGCCAAGCAAGCAAGTATTTCAGTACATAAGAACGTTTCTTTTCAGTTGTTGAAACTCCTGCCTCCTGCGCGCTCTGACGCGTCAACGCGTTCCTCGTCACGACGCACATGATCGTCTCGATCAGCACAGAATCGTGAAAGCTCATACTTTTGAACCTGAAGAACTTCAACTAGAGCTCCTGCCAAGAGACACGATAACGTGAACTTCCGAGCCGTAGTAGGGGAATGAATTGCCATTGAAATCCAGCAAGTCGTGACGTGGTATTTCGCCAGATGAACCGCTGTACGGAGGACGCGGCCATAAGTCTTGTAACTTGCAGGGGTGGGCGCCAAGCCTAAGGACGCCACATAGCTCTGGCGTAGCAACGGTGCTTAGGGCCTCAGTAGCCTGAAGGAACATCGCTATTAGTAATGTTTACAGGGATTGAGTACTGTTATTTAAGCATGACAAGCCTGTAAGGCCCTGTAATTGTAGCGGCCTCTGGTTGCCGTGCAACGCCCCTGCCATTTAAGCGAGTGTGGCGTCAAACCCTGGCAATTGCAAGACTTTTGGCCGCGTCCCCCGTACGATGCAAAACCCGAAGTCAACCGAAAGCACCTTTACCCCTGAAAGCCAGTCTTTACGGGATTGGCTCCTTCCTAGAAATTGCAGATGAAAGAACAAACAACATGGCCCAAATCTCACGAAACGAAGGCATCGGCCTGTGCAAGTTCGAAATCTTTAGGTCCGAAGACAGCATTGTAACTCTGTCACATCATTAAGAAGTCTGACGGCCAAAATACCCCGCAATGCGGGGTAGTTGTTGGTCTTGAAAGTTTCAATCCTTCAATGTACGTAAACAATCGAAACTAAAGCGTGATTCGAGTCCTGAGAAACGCGATATCATCTTTAAGGTAAATAAAAGCCTTCCATGGATTTAAACACATAACTCATATTATTCTTTGCTACTGTGCGCAGGTCTTAAGTGCCTCATAAGCATGAACAGGGGGAAAATTTCCCCCGTCTCCCAAGCGAGGACCCCTTCTCGACCAAAACCTGGGAATTCTGCCATAGCGCTGGAAACCCCCCACCCCCCCCCCCCCCCCGGTGAAGGCATTTCTCATCTATTGAAACTAGCATAATGGCAAATGGAGTCATCTGATCCCGTGTTCAATGAATCAAGAAGTGATGACTCGAATCTGAAAGTCCGCTCGTCAAAAGCTCCCCTTGAGGCTCTCACATCCAATCAACCAAACATCTCTAATGCATCATTGCATGCAAGAACGATCGCGATATAAAACAGTTGGGTGAAAATAATTTTCCTGTTTGGGAATCATTTGACACATCGCTCCGGGAATACGGCAGCTAATGCTTCACAGAACATCTGCTTCGAAAGTGGGGAAGCGGAGTGTTTCCGCTTACTTAAAGACTGCTGATCCCGAGGTATATCATACCAATTTTGCTTCAGTACCTCATTGGTATTCTTTCCATCAATATATCTTCTTTTGAAACGGAATGCGAACTGAGGGTCTCCAACAACCTCGCGATGTATCAGACACCATCCTCACCCGCGAGCTCTCCTTCGAAGAGATTCAAGAACTACCTCCTGATGGCGGTTACGGCTGGGTCTGCGTAGCGTGCTGCTTCACAATCAATGCCTTTACCTGGGGCGTTCTCTCAGTAAGCTCTCTCCATTCCCCTCCCTCTCAGCCCACTCTTAACATATCCCAGTCCTACGGCGTATACTTGGCCTACTACCTCCAAAACAACATCTTCCCCGACGGCACCTCCTTCGATTTCGCGCTCATAGGCGGTCTCAACTTCTCCATGGCCATGATCGTTTCCCCCCTCGCCACAGCCCTAACCCGCCGCTATGGAGTCCACCTCCCCATGGCCCTCGGCATCCTCTGCCAAACCTCCGGCTTCATCTCCGCCTCCTTCGCCCGCCTGATCTGGCAGCTGTACCTCTCCCAAGGAGTTCTTGTCGGTTTTGGCATCGGTTTGACCTGGATCCCTAGTATCGCTGTGCTGCCGCAGTGGTTCCAGAAACGACGGAGTATGGCGAATGGAATTTGCTCTGCTGGGTCCGGGATTGGGGGGCTGATGTTCTCGTTTGCTGTGAGGGCTATTTTGAGCAACGTGTCTCTTGCTTGGGCTCTCCGAATCTGTGGGTTGGTGAGCGGGTTCATGAATATTCTGGCTACTTTTGCGATTCGAAGCCGCAACCACATCGTGCAGCCGAGGCTTCATCCGTTCGATGTTCGTCTCTTTCGACGGTATGAAGTCCTTTTAGCGTTGGCTTGGGGCTTTGTGAGTATGTTCGGGTACGTGATATTACTGTTCTCGCTCTCGGATTTTGCTAGGAGTATTGGGTTGGGGAGTGGACAAGCAGCTGCTATCACTGCGTTGCTGAATCTGGGAACGGCGATAGGGAGACCGGTGGTAGGGGTTATGAGTGACAAATTTGGGAGGATTGAGACGGCGGGCTCCGTGACGTTCTTATGTTTTGTGAGCGTGTTTGCGATTTGGGTGCCGGCAACTTCGTACGGTGCTACGATTTGCTTTGCTATTATTAATGGTGGAATCTTAGGAGTGTTCTGGATGGTAAGAAGTTCCATGATGAAACGATAGAGTACTGACAGCTTTGTAGACTATAGCGCCCGTCAGCGCTGAAGTGGTGGGGCTGAAGGAACTCCCGTCGATGCTGTCCCTTGCTTGGATGATGGTAGTTTTGCCTTGCACGTGTAAATGAACCTCGAAACCTCCCCAGTTAGACTTGACGCTAATAATAGTAGTCTCTGAAGTTATAGCTCTGAAGCTGAGAAGAGTGAACGCATCGCGGGAGTTCCTCTATGCTCAAATCTTTTGTGGTTTAGCGTACCTAGTAGCCAGCTTCTTTGCTTTTGAGCTGTGGAGAGTGCATCGAAAGAAGACCCATGCAAGGTTACTTGATCGGCGAGGAGATTAAAGAAAAGGAAGAAGTATCTCTGCGAATGAACTTCTTTGAATGATATTGCTGAAGGGATTGTGTTGCAACAAAACCTCCTGAAAGCCGATAATGTATATTATGTAGTGAATTGTTTGTATTGGATAAGAAGCAAATCAAACTTCGTTTTGGTCATTTTACCAAAAATAACGATGTTGGGGAGTAAAAGTTCGTCAGGTGACTTTCGTTAGTGGTGGTCGGACTCGAGGCTCGAAAATAAACGTAAGGGTTGCCCACCACCACACTAGGAACCAAACTCGCGCACTATCAGGGCAACTTCTCCTCAACAAAGCCCTAAAGGACATCAAGCTCTTCGGTCAACAATATTCCAATTGTTAAGTCAGCCGGTAAGTTGCTCAATTCCATTGATTGACCACACTAGTGGTTTTCGGCCACAAATCCACTGTCCAATTGAACAAGCCTTGCTAATTATTATCTGTACACCAGATCACCAGGAAGGACATAAAGAAAGCCAATTACATGTGAGTAGGCGAAGAACAAGATTACAAGTTCCATGAATGGGGACGCGCGGATCTTCCCGCAACATCCTCATCCTCCCCCCTTTCGATCCTTCGCTAAGATCACGTGGTATACAGCAACGCCTGTGCTGAACTAGACTTCTCAGTATCGTCCGATATCATGGCCTCGACAAGTTTGACAGCAATTGGCGAAGAGCCTTCCATCTATGAGTAAGTTCTTTGTCACCGTTACTTCGTCCCTCTAAATGGTTCCAGTTTGATCTCCACTAGCGACCAAATGGTACGAATCTACATCGGATCAACCAAGAAACACAATTCTTCCTGGCTCCTCCATGAGTCGGTCCTCTGCTACCACTGTCCCTACTTCAAGTCGGTCTTCCGCGGCAATTTCCTCGAATCTACAACCAAGGAAAGCCACCTCCCCGACGACGACCCCCTTACCTTCAGCTACGTAGTCAACTACCTCTACGGCTCTCTCCTCAAGTGCGACTGCCACCTCAAATCCACAAGCCACTACCCTCACAGAGTTACGTGGATCAAGGTCTTTATCCTCGCCAACAAACTCCTCATGTATAATCTCGAGAATGCTGCGTTGAGGAGATACCAAGATTGCCATGCTTTAGGAAAGCCCCTTCCATCCATCTCCGAAATTGAGGAAATCTACAATGAACACACGCCGCCTGGTTGCTATTTGAGAGACTACGTTGAACTTAGGTTTTCGCGGGTGTTTTTTGAAGACTGGGATAATCACAAGGTGGCTTGGATGCAGGTGGTCACGTCGAATGAGGAGCTGTTGGAGGCTGTGATGCAGAGAATTAGGAGTCATCAGCAACTGGGAAATTATACGAGCTGTAGATACAAAAAATGCAACGTGCATTGGGTTATGGCAGTGTAGAGGGCTGTTTTGGAGTGGCTAGCGGGAAGAGGTCAGTTCGGGGTTGGACTCTGGAGATAATCCAGCAAGAAGTCAGGATGGTGATTCTTTTCCTTTCTTGGTTACTTCGAAGGGATGCATGAGATCTTTTCAGGATAAGCTAAATGGTCTGTAATAAAAAATTTGACTACAAAGATCCGGAACCAATCATCAAGACCTGTTTTGTGGAAATCCAGAGTACTCACCCCCTATCAAGGAAAATTGTAACGCCGCTTCCCGGTGCCGCACGCCGGCATTCTCCCGACAACCTCAAATTTTGCCGACATCGCCCAACCTCACGCCTTCTCCAGAATCTCGCAGCATTGACGTGCCCCAGCATCAAGCTTTGATGGAAGCAACCTCTTTCGATTTATATACTGTATGAAGAGGACGAGGCACAGCAAAATGGCCTTGCCCCGTATCGAGGAGATTCCTTAGTGGGAAGCTCCAAAGCGCTTGGTCACATCCCCGCAACCTCTTGTAGCAATCACATTCCAGCATCAAGCATTGATAGAAGTAAGCTTTTTTTATTATTGAAATTGCACCGCATATGGAGAAGACGAGGTACAGAGGAGGTGTCTTCCACCCCGCTGAGCGGCGCACCTCAGTGAGGGACAGTAGCACGCAGCAGCCGTCCCTGAAAAGGAACGCAAATACCCAGGGCACGCCGGCCATTATCATGAAAGCAAGAAGAAGAAAAGGGAACCATTTTTTCAGGCCAAAGTCACCCCATATGTTCGTTCCTAGGCAAAGCAGACGCGCACAAAGTCCAGGCCTAGCTCCAGCGACCAGCCAATCTTCAGACCGAGAAGCAGCAGCGACGGCAACAAGGGAGGAGCCATGTAGCTTAACCTTCATATATGCTGCATTGGGTTAGCAATGTGTTCAGGACGCAGGTGGCAAGGAAGAGAAGACGTACTCATTGTTCTCCAAATCAATCACAGCGCCGTGCTCCACCTTGAAGAGATACGCAGACTGTTCATCGGCATTCTCCTTGCCCTCCTCCTTCTTGGTCCGCTTGCGTTTCGAGGGCGGGGTATTTAAGTCTTCTTCGTCATCATCGTCGTTGGCAGACTGTTCAAAGGAGCCATGTGCTTTGCTACCCTTGCGCGGAGTTGACTTGTGGACGCCGTTGGTATTGGCACGCTTGTTTGGGGAAGAGGAGTCGCCACCGCCAGCCGAGTTCCTCGATTCCTTGCGGATCTTTTGAAAGTGCTGACTGTAATACGATGTGTTAGCAAGTGTATGCGATAGGTAGATGATATCAGCCCCAGGCTGGTGGATGCCTAGGCGGAATGCGGGTGCGGAGATGAGGGGTCAGCTGATGGGATTGCGCGTGACTAATGATGCGCTGGAGGAGAGAGGGCCGTACCGGCAGGCTTCATGGGTGAAGGTGTAGGCTTTGGCTTGCATCTTTGCGGCTATGGCGGGCCAGCTGATGCTCTTCAAGTCGCCGTTTTCGATGATCGCCAGGAGCAAGTCCTTGTCGGCTTTGTGGTCCCACTGGGAAGGCATGTTGTCGTTTGCTCGAGGGTGAAGTCTTGAGGTGAAGGGCAAGGAAGATGTATGTGGTGTGTTGCGAGGTTGGCTGTGGGCAAAAGATGATTTGGGGAAGATATTGGAAAGATGAAGAACGATTGTGGGTGTGAGAAGAAGGCAGAGGAAGGGCTGATAGACGAGGCTGGTTATTCACCGTAAGGCAACTCCAACCACTTTTACCGTGAACAATACCTCCCTCATCCCAACTTTCACACCGGTCAGGCTGCCCAACAGGACGGCCGCTACCCGGGAAGATCTGCTTCTATCTCGTGAATTGAAAATGAGGCTGGCTGAGCTCACGGGGGAAAGAACCCAGCACCGCCCTATCATTTCTACATCTCAAGGAGATGCTTATCCAGTTGAGTCACACTTCCCCGCCTTTGCATAAATCAATCGATTCTCGCATGCTGTTGCCCTTTCAACGTTTCTTTTTCCCTCCGCGTTACACAGACCCCCCCGCGCCCGCAGTGGCTGGCCAGGTCGGCGGCCAGGAAGGATGACTCCCTGCAAGGTACAGAACCACTACTGCGGGAGCGCCCCGAACACTGGAAGGGCCCGAAAGAGCAAGGATCTGTGGCTGGCCCGGCTGCCCTGGCTGCCCTGGCTGCTTTTATTCCTTTCACGAAGTCACCTTGTTGCGCGATGCTGGGGGCCTGCCAGCCCCTGCCAGCCCCTGCTGCCCCTGCTAGCCCCATGCATGCACTCTACGCGGTGCGCGTCGCACCACGACCCTCAATGGACATGCAGCCAGCCTCTGACTTGGCAAACTCACCTCCGTTGCCATGATCAACGGGGCAAAACACTGCAATTCCAGGCAACCGCCCCAACGTCATGTCTCTTGCTCAACATTTCCAGCCGGACGCGGTCCGAGCAACTGCTCCGTATCAGCCCCTTCCCTTATCCTGCGCCGCCAGCCTGCAGCTCTTGTCTATCCCATGCATCGTTCACACGAGCTTCAATCAGGAATAGCCCCGCACCGCGCCATCTTGCATACAAAGGAAGTCTTTGTGACTGAGCCAGAGTGGTCCATTGTGTCGAGCTCACGCCTGCTTCTTCCTTATGCACGCAGCCCCAGCCATTCTCAAAGCCAAGTGCGTGAGCTGGGAAAGTTATTTCTACCACCTCCCCTCACCGATCCTCACATCTTCTTCTCTGCCATATCACACCGCCAGTTCCAAATCTCTGAAGATCCGGTGCCGTTGTGCTTTGCGGTCAAGATACCGCAATTCATTCCTCACTGCCTCGCTCGATGACCCCATTTCCTCCCAGCACAGAAAAACTCGCCAGCTCCCACCTCTCGAATTGACGGCTTACCCTCGAGTCCTGTACTCGAGCACACCAAATCCAACTCACCAACTTTCGCGTTGCTCTCAAGAAAAATCGCGCAGGAAATCGCGAAGTCACACCACCGGCCCTCCACCCTGGCGAGCCTCCGCAAAACCGACAGGATGCCCAACGACACGGCCATCACTCGCCTGCTGTACGCCATCCTCAGCCAGAAATGTCTCAAGGATGTGAGTCACACCCTGCTGTCCTACGTACCTACCCCGCCCCCTTTCCCTGTTCCGTCCAGCTCCAGCCCCTGCTCACCTTTCGCCACCTCGCTTATTCCCCAACCTCCCCCTTTTTTAATTCCCCACTTTTTCTTCTCTGCGCAACCTGCGCCACCCCCACCCAGCCCTTTTCCCTGCGCCACAACTCACGTTTCCCATCAACCTATCAATTCGGAAAGCAGGAATAGGAATAGCATGCTAATAGGAAGTGAAAATGGCAGATCGACTGGAACAAAGTAGCCCACGACCCGATCCTCAGCCAAGAGATCACAAACGGCCACGCGGCACGGATGCGCTACAGCCGCTTCAAGAAGCAGATGGACGGCACTGCCAGCGTGCGACGACCGCGTGGACCCAACTCGCCGCGCAAACCCAGAGTTGAGAAATCCTCGAACAAATCTCCGCGAAAGGGAAAAGGGAAGGCGAAGGACGAGGAGGATGGGGAGGGCAGGGTGAAGGCTGAGCCTGGAATGGGGAGCAGACAGGGGACGGTCGAGAGTGAGGATGCGGGTGCGGAGGAGCGGAGGGAGAAGAGGATCAAGCTTGAGCCAGGGCTGGGACTCGGCCTTGCTTCGGCTTCGCACTCGGAAAGCCAGCCAACGCCGAGAACGATGCCGAATACGCCTTCAAGATCACGGTATGTCAGAGAGGCGAGTGCGAGCCCGAGTCCTGGCCCGAGTGAGCGGTTCGAAGGTGGGGATATGAGTGAGATGGATGAGATGGGCTTTTCGTTCGGGATGCATGGTGAGGAGGCGATGCCGGGTTTGTATGGTGGTGCGCCGTTGATGGGGGAGGGGTTGAGTGGTAATGGGGCCTTTGGGGGCGGGTTTGGGATGGGTATGGGGATGCAGATGGGGTTGGGGGATCCGTTTGAGGGGCTTTGGCAGGGACATGGCCATCCTCATGGTGGACACGGCGGACAGGGAAGTAGCACGCATGCTGGCGAGGGAAGGGTGCATGTAAAGACTGAGCCAAGGTGGGAGGAGGCTTATCGTCATGTCTAAAGTGTTTGAAAATATTATGGGGAGCGGAAAGATTGTAACTGAGAGGCTTTTTGCTGGAGTTTGGCTGGCTTGGTTTGGGAAGCAGGGTGACTAGATTGGTATCTGCACGATGAAGTAATGAAATTGTTCTTGCTTGATTTATGTGTCTTAATTTGACGCGCTCTATTGCATCTCTACCTAGATCTGTTGCCTTGAGTCGGTCCAACTTCCACCAATTCAAGCCAGACCACTACCATGGCCGTTGGTCTGTCATCCTAGCCTTGTTTAAGATCATGAATAGGGCAATGGCGGTAAGGACACATTTCGGTTTTGGGAATCTGCAAGTGGTGCAGAATTGTATCAATAAGCTCCCGGTTGAACGATGCGTTGGCAAAAACACCCACGCCCAGGCCGTTGGAACGCCCGTCAGATGGCGGCAATTGGTACATGCCACTCATCATCATCCCTTCCACCAAATGCTTCCTCAATTTCCCATCCCCAGCCGGGTTTCCACACGCCAGAGAAACCGCCTCAGGAGAAATGACCAAATCGTGGCCAGATAGACAACGTAAGTGCATGTCCAGAGCAGAGTCTCCCAGTTCGGTCAGATTCATCTTATCGGCAAGAACCCAAAGTTTCAGCCACTGGAGTTCATGCGCAGCGTCGACGTGTGAAGGAGTATAAGGCTCATTCCAATGACCAGGTGGCAGTGGTGCACATAATTTGCATTTTAACACCTCGGTGTAGACCCAATCAACAAAGTGTCCGAATGCCTCCGGGTCGTCGTCGGGCAACTCCATGACCTTTGACTTTCCCTCCTTCCAGCCACTCTTGAAAGCACCCTTGAAGAATGGGACGCGGTCACAGAGCAACTCCTCGTTCAGAAACCATAGCTTGCGCTCAGGGCCCACGTAGATCTGGACAGTTTTGTTGCTGGTGAGGTATCTGAACAATAGATCGTCAATCTTGAAATGTCATGGTTTGGGAGGGTAGATGACTACGTACTCTTGCAGAGAGCGTTCTTGATTTGCAGATTGATCGGTGACCGTTGGGCCGTTGGATGCCATGGCTTGAATAGAGACGTGTTGATTTCGGTATCGAGGGTGACTGACTGGTCGTCTGTCTGCCGCCTTGACCACAGAGCTCCAGGGGCGAGGAGTCGGCCAAGGAGCTGGTGGAGGACTCTTCCACACCACACCAGAATGACTGTGACTCCGGATGTGTCGTTGACTACGCTCTGTCGAAGGAGGTCTATCGTTGCAGACACAGCTCGAGAAGATAAAGGAGGTTGAAGAAGTTGAAAGGCAGTGAAGCAGCGACGTCGAATTTCAAACTCGCTAAGAGAGGGGGCTAGCGAGGGAGGGGAAGAGCAGCAAGCAACTGTCTCCTGAAAAGGAAATAATCGAGGAGCCGTACCCGTGTAAGAAGAAATTGTATCGTTGTGTTCAACGTAATGTGTTCTTGAGAGATGCGTGATCTCTTTCGATACCGATCTTCGCTTTGATGTTTTGTTTACCACATAAGACGGTGCTTCGGAGTATCTTCGCGCAGCCTCTTGTTAGATTGCAGCTAAATCAATCCGTAATTTCTTAAATATTTCAAATTGGCGATTGGTGGAATCTCTGCGAGTCGCGTTATATTCCCAAGGTAAAACCCCTGCTGCTTTTCTTTCATCAACCCGATTATTCTTGCCCATCGCATTAACGCCCCAGTATTCATGGTACATTGAGAGATCTTCCCAACCGGAAAGTGAATTTCCTTCTCGATGTTTTGTTGCAAATCGCTCCAATGTTCCAAATAACCCTCGTACATTGAGATTGTCCAATGAAACTCCTCCCCTGCCAGTGAATTCCTCTTCAAATTATTACTTGTCGCCCTCCAAGCAAGCAGGAACTCTGGGAAAGGTCATTCCTGACTTAATCGAATGTAATATTTCGGTCTTATCCTTGTGCAATAACATCCGCAAACGCATGATTCTTCGTGATTTTGGCGGATAATGCCGCTGAAAGCTGGAATAGATTTTCCTTCTTGGCGTAAATGTATTGATTGAGAAGTGAGTTATTCGTTAATTCAAGGAGATGGAACTGGGTGATTTCGAACCTGGCATATGTTGCTGGTGGATACCGCGTCCTCATACACAACCTTCACCAGTCCTCTACTGGTAATCCTCTCCTCCTTAAATACACGAAAACGGTTCTCAAGCTGCCTCCTCAACTCTCCAATGTCCATTTTATCTGTCATTACGTACAACGGGCATAACTCTGTCTGAACATCTGTGCTTTTCTCGCCGAAGAAATAAGGAAGTTTACCTGAGAATATCCAGTCTGCAATTCGACCGAAGGTAGCGGGATCGTCTTCTGGCATTTCGACTGTGTTTTCGGGACTGGAGTTGAGGTGGAAAATGCCCTTGTAGCAGTCGCGGAAGAAGATGCTGTTGTCGGCGAGCAGGAAGGCGGGGAAAGTCTAGAAGGTGCAGGTGGGGTGGTTGTAAATTTTGATGATGGCTGTGGGAAGGTTGGAGATGGTTTGGAAATATCTTTGAGAGGGAGTCAGGGTGAGAGATGAAATGGAGGGAGGGGTGACTACGGGCTGACTGAGTGGGAGTGGAGAAGTTTGGGGTTTGTGCCAAGCTGGAGTGCTGGGATCTGGAGGACGCTGCTGAAGAGGTAGAGGGGGTCGACGGAATTGCATTACAGTGGAGCTGGCGAGGTTGGTAATTTGGCTTGTAAGTCATTGCGTGGGTGCATGAGTGTACTTTCGAGGAGATATTATTCACGAGCAAGGAGATGGGCTTGGCAGATGCGTTGGTGACTGATGTTGTGCTTGTATTAAGAAGCCTCCTTCCCAAAAGCGGCCTTTCCCTTCTACCAAAGCAACTGTGTACAACCGCTTTGTCTCTCGTTCTTTGACGGCTATTCATAGCAATCCATGCATACGAGTATAAGACGTGCAAAGCCATCACCATTTGCCTCCCATACACTCCACATAATCGCGAACCCAACATCTCCAATTCAGTTTATGATTGGGAATGTGTCGTGCAGCCAGCGGTATCGCACTCCCATTCTTCTTCTTCTACCGACATACTCTTCTTCCTGATGGACACCATGTTGTCGACGTGGAACTTGGGATGGCTTGTAGCAGACTCCACCAATCTCCATTCTCTACAGAGAAACATGTCGGCGAGTGGTATAGATACATCGTCGCCCTCACCATTGTTTTGCGGATTGATGCTGACTCTGGAGTCTTTTCGTACACAAATTTTGATGCTCTACGACAGACGAATCGGCGTTCAAAGTCCTCCTCATATCGTAAGCCCTCGAGATAATAATCGACGACTTCCCATACAGCATCTAGACATCCGAGCTTGTCCGCGAGAACATATGCTTTGCAAAGTGCCAGTTGCATATCCTCGGGAGGAACTTTATCACTCATCTCCGACCCATTTCCCAAAGTATGATCGATAATGAAAGAGAATGCCACCGGGTCATCTTCTGGCAGGTCGATAGATTTCTCTGTGCTTTCGCGAAAGCCACTTTGGAAGGCTGATTTAAAGAATTTGATTCGATCGCAAAGGAATGCTTCAGGAAAGATGAACAGCTTCCGTTCAGGGCCAACGTAGACTTTGACGGTGGGGACGGTGGAGGCTGCAGTCGCCTGGAAGTATCTGTAGCTTGTTAGCTTGAACTAAGATCCAATGCAAGGAGGCTCTTACTCGCTGACTGGCCGCTCAGTCAAAAAAGACTGCCCTTCTTCAAATATAGGCATTCTGGGTGTTTGGGGTTGATGAGGCAACTGGTGGGTGATCGAGGTGGTGGGTTGTCTGGAATGGGTTGGAGAAATAAATCCGTGTCCAGATACCCTGATTTAATGGCACATGAACATTCGAATTCACTAGACTAATTCAAAGAAACAATTTGCTTCAAGATCAGTTAGATGTTGAGAGGGGTGGATGAGGTGATATTCTCTAGAAAGTAGTACCTGTGCAAGAGAATTGCAGCAAACGTTCTCTCTGAAAGGAATCACCACCGTCCACAGAAGTATTCAAGTGCCATCCATTCTGCCTTGCAAATCCTGATGCCAATATCCTAACCAGTTATCCACTTTTCCAAAGTCAAATTTCTCGGAAAATGTTCCAATTTGCCAAGTACAATGCCAGCATGTCTCTTAAAATCTCAGGTCCATAATGACCAACAAATTCAATCCTTCTCTGAGGACCATCCTCGGAGTACGTTCATATCCTACAAGCTCAATGTTTTCGGTAGTTCCAGTTCCATAGCACCAAGTCTAAATATTCCGTATTCGACTGGTTTAACGGTAGGACCAAAGCCTGCCCTTACCGGCACGCCGAATGTTCTGACCTCCATCAACTCGTAGAATCACCCGTGGAGCCTTGTTGTGTGCAGAACAACTACTCAACTCACACTCCTTCACCGAAAGACGTGTGTGGTCCTTGATAGCCTTGGTAACGTCTCGAGTGAAATCAATATGACAGGCGATGGCATCAGCCAGGAAATCGACATCATCGGGTCCTTGACAGAAAAACTCGACGACGAGAGCTTCAACGGCATGAGCACGAAGAGCGCAGTGTCCCGGGGTATTCTCGTAGATCAGTTGGACTTCTTTCGTGCAAGGCAGAGTTCCATCGCTGCAAAATTGATATCGCTCGAGTGCTTCCTTCGCTAATTCGGCGAGCGAGATTTTGTCGGCGAAGATGTACAAGCGGAGCCATTGTTCAATGTGGTTGAATGTGACAACAGAGGGGTTTGAATGATCCAGCTGGCAGTATAGGCTCTTGCCATATAGCCAGTCAAGGAAATGACCGAAGACTTGTGGGTCATCGTCTTCGAGAAAGATCTCCTTCTTTCCCGCCTCCATGAAACCTCCCATAAACGCCTTTTTGAAGAACTGCACACGTTCACAGATGACATCCTCGTGAATAAGCCATGATTCCTGCTGGGGTCCCACAGAGATCTTCACCATGACGGCAGATTTCATGAGTCTGCGAAAGTCATTGTCAGATCATCTATGGCGAAGGGAGAATGAGGCTCTTACACGTGCAAAGGCGTTGTTGGTTTTGCTGCTTCCGCCTGAGACGGTGCAGCAGTGGAATTCGAAGAGAGCGAGAAGAAAGATGAGGGGGGTGATGGCGGATTCATGGTGCTTGAGAGTGTTTTGGAAGTTCTTCAACAAGCTGTCAAGAATGTCCCAGTGGTCGCGGAACATGCAAATTGAGGTTGATTGACCGAGGATTGGTTTGACGAGCCTGACTGCAAAGAAAGAAGGTGTTAATGGTTCAACTTCGTAGGTTCTTAGTTTCATTTTAGGGTGAGTCTATCAAGTGAATCTTGTCAAGTGAATTGCGAAGTGTATTGAGGTGAGGTGCTTTTATCACACGTGACCTTTCGCTTCGGGCTTCGAGAAAGGAGCCAGGTAAATAAAGGGGCCTTCGAGCTTCCAAACAATACAAAATCCCTCATTTAATTTCCCAGCTCAAGCTAGAACAACAAGACAGTAATTTTTACAAATTTTCAACTTAAATTTGAACATGGGACGATTCGTCCGACGAGAAGTATCTTGGTTGAGACGCTGTGTCCCCTTTTCCCGCTGGGAGCAAGAACGACCATACTCCAAACCCTTTCTCATCTGTCATTGACCTCACCTTGAGGAGCAAACGGCCTGGTACTTGCTTTGAATGTTCAAGGTCAAGAGCTGCCCCGATTTGTGAGGGTGAAGAGGCACCAAGGCAACCAAAGGCGCAATTCGAGGGTCTGCTTCTGTCTCGTCACAAGAAAATCTCTTCACGACATTTACCCAGGAAGCTCTGGAGCATGTACCTAAGTCTGCTTCAATCAAATTTTCACACCTTCATCCAAACTCAAGGAGAGAATAAACTCAAGACGTGAGCCTGGGGCGCTGAAGTGTTTTTAGGCAAATATGTGAATTGCATGTCTGCCACTTACTTCATTTGGTAGTATTCGCCACTTCGAATAATAACTATCAATCCAGGGAAACCGGTTCCTATGTTACTTCGCTCAATCCGGGACTTTTCCCACGATTCTAGTCTCTATTAAATTCATAAGCTATATAAACTCTTTACTAGTAAACTACTTCCTAGTATTTATAGTAATCTAATTAAGAGAGCTTAAATAGGTATTAATCTAGTATTATTTTAGGGCGTTTTATATATATTAAATACTAAAGCTCTATAGTTAATATCCTACTTAATACTATATTCCTTTATTAATAATATATAATATAAGCTTCTTATAAATATAGAAGATATTAATAATTATAAAGTAATTAAAGCTAATATTATCTCTTAGATTAAACTTAAATTAGCTAAGTAATTTACTATATTTCTAGTATTATTTATAGTATTTTATAAAGTATTTAAAAGCTTATTTATTAATTTTAGAGCTCGTTTATTCTAGAATGTTTTATAGTTTCTTAATTAATAAATAATTAAACTAGTAATATAATTATTATAATTCGTATTTTATAAAGAAATAAAAGTTAGAAATAAAGAATTCTAATATAAAGGTTTTTAGAGAAGTATTTTATAATAAGAAAAAATAGCTAAAATATTATATTACTAATATATATTTTCTAGTAAATATAATTAGTTAATTTCTAAGAATATTAAAATAGATTTTTAATTTATTTATATTTATTAAACTTAGTAAAAATAAAGTTTTTAAGAATATAATATAAAATTATATATATCTAATTAGTATTTCTATAATTATAAATCTTTAAAAAAAAATTAATTTTAAACTTAACTTTAATATATTCTTTAATAGTTCTATTAAACTTAATTATTACATAGTACTACTGCACGTGACTTAATATATAGCTAGTGCTTTTAGCCCGGTATATAGCCTTTAACTTAATTCAAGCTCTTTACTACTATTATAATATTAATATTATTATTTATTTATTATAAAGCTCAGAATTAATTAAAACTAGTAATTAAGTATTTAGTAATTCTAGTATTTATTATAATTCTATAAAAGCAGTTATTATTATATTTAAATATATCTTTTATTATAAATAGTTTACTAGATTTTATAATATAGTTCTCTTTTATTAATAAATAAGTATAAAAGTAGTTTATAAGATTATTTATAAGATTACTAGCTATATTTAATAGTATATTAGAAAATTAGAAATTAGAAATAATAAAAAGAGTTTTAACTAAAATAAAATAGAAATCTTATTTCTTAAAGTTTTTTATATTTATTAATAAAATATTAAAAGTATTATTTAGTTTATTTTTATTACTTTTATTATTTTATTTATTTTCTAGTTTCTCTTTAATAAAAGCTATATAACTTAAATATATTCTTATAATTTTTTTTTAAATTTTAGGAAATTTAGAGCCTTAAATTAATAAAAATTCCTAGTCTTAATTAAGTCTTTTTATTTTATTATTTTCTTTCTATATATTTCTAGAATTAATAATCTAGTTTCTAATATATAAAATATAATATTAAGCTATTTATATAATTATTATAGTATTAATAATTCCTAAACTAGTAATATTATTAATTAGTAAAAAAAGTATTAGTATTATTTAATTTAGTTTTCTTAAAGACTATAATTAAGGACTATAGCTTATAGAAAAGCTTATTAAGATTTATTAAAGAATCTAAAATAATATATTTATATATTTTAGAGTTTTAGTAAATAGTAATAATTTTATTATAAAGAAATTTAATAATTTATAAAATGAGTATAAAACTATATTATAATTAATAAAGCTTATTAATTAGTAACTAATTAATTTTATAAATTAATTTTCTCGTATATTTCTTTAATATTAAAAACTATATAATTATGATTTATTAATCTAAATTCTATTATTAATATTTAAGGTTTTTAAAAAAGCTATAAAAATATATATAAATATAATTAAATATTTATTAAAATATATAATTATTATAAAAGTAATCTAGTATTAGTTTCTTAAATATAATAAAAAAGGCCTTTATAATAACCTCTTTTAAAAGATTTATATATTAGTAAATATTATAAAAAGTAATAAGTTTTTAATTATAATAAATATATATAATAATATATAAATAAGTATTAGATATTATAAATCTAGCTTTCTATTTTAGATAAAGCTTATAATCGGAATTATATAAGTAATCGGAATTATATAAATTATATAGAATTATATTTCTTAGTTAAATAAAGGGCTTTATATACTTGGCTAAATACTAGGAAATATATAAAGAAATACTTCTAGCTTTAGAAAGAAGTATTAATTAGTTTTTTATTAGAATTAATTCTTGGAATTAGTTATATTTATAAGTATTACTTTATAGCTTATTTATCTTAATTATTTATATATTATTCTACTATTATATATTTTATATTCTAATTAATTTAATTTTTAGAAAATAGTTTATTATAAGATAATTAAGTTATTAATAAATAAAATTATTAATAGCTAGAATATTAATTAAAAGAAGTATTTTTATTATTACTAGAATAATTTAGCCAGATATTTAAAGAAATATCTAATTATATATTCTTTATATTACTTAATTAGAAAAAGGAAATAGAATTCAAATATTTCTAAAACTAGCTAATAAAATAATAATAATAGACAAATTAGTAATAACTTATTATTATATTACTAAATTAGAAATAGAAATATAATAGAAAGAGAATCTAAAGAAACTAGAAGCTTAGATCTATTATTTTAAAAATATTCAAATATCTAATATAGAATCTATTATATTTCCGGTAATATTCTTAGTTTAGAAGATTCTAAAAACCCGAAAACTATTAATTTATAGAGAAAAGAGTATTAAAAAAGCCCAGGACTTCTTTTATTAAATAAAACTAAAGTAATATAAAAATAATAGAATTATCTAGGCTATAAATATAATAAAAGTTATATATTATATTTCCTGTTTTAAAGATATAGCTAAAAATATCTGGAAATATAAGAAATAATTAATAGGTATTAATATTACAAATTAGGAAACTTTTATTAAATTTATAAAGAATTCTATTTTAGATCCAGAAAGTTATAGTAATAATACTTTTACTAAGTTTAAAAATATTAAATAATAGTTAGACTAAAATATCTAAAGCTTTATATTTTATTTAAATAGTCTATTAAATAATTTATTTAGTAATTTGAAATAAGAAATTCGAAATAAGATTAATTATTAAAGAAATATTCTATAAAAAAGAAAAAAGTTTATTTCTATAGTTATAAAAGTTAAAAATAACTTAAATTTATTTATTTAATAGAAATATAATAATAAACTAATAAAATAATAAAAGAAAAAAAATAAGAAAAAAGAAAAAGAAAATAATAAAGGAAAATAAAAAAGAAATATATTTCTATTATAAGATTTATAAAACCGGAATAATAAAAATATAATAATAAGATCTAATATAATATTTATATTAGAATTTATAAAACCGGATATAATTTATTTTATTTATTAAAAGAAGAATTATTATATTATTATTTACCTAAATTAGAATAAACCGATTTATTATAACTATAATAAATCTAGCTATAAAATATATAAATATCTAAAACTAAAGAAGCTAGGAAATAAAGATATTTTATAATAATTATATTTATTTATATTATAAAAATAAAGCCCCTAAAACGAGAATAGTAATTAAAATTACTATTAAAATAAAGAAAAGTCAATATAGAATTAGAATATTAGTTAATTCGAATATAGAAACTAATTATATAAAAAGAAAACTAGTTTTAAATATAAGTATTTTATTAATTTTATTAAAGAAAAAAAGAATATATTTATATAAAAATTATATTCTTGAAATTATTATTAAAAATATATTAGAGAATTAAAGAAAGGCTAATATATACTTTATATTATATAATTTTAATCTAAACTATATTAATATAATACTTGGATTTCTATAATTTTATTAGATTAATTCTTTAATTTCTTTTAGAAATATAATATAGAAATACTAGATTTAATTATAAAAGATTAAAATTCTAAATATTAGAAAGTTTACTAAAATAATAAAATATAAAATATATATTTTTTTATTAATTATCTATTTTATAATAAATAATTAAAAAATTATTACTATTATTATAAACGAAATAATTATATTTTCTAAGAAATATTAGAATCTTTTCCGAATA